CACACCTGAGAGGTGTCTTCTTAACAACATACTCATGGACACACACACACCGACACCGACACAAAACGGTGTCAGTGGCGGAGACGAGCACGAGTAATTTGAGATGATTTCGAGATGAGTTGTAGACAATGTTAAGCGCTGTCGAACGGCTCATTGGGGGTTTTTGGTCTTCGCGCGCGAACTCAGCATCTACAGTACACCACTGTCTATGTTACGGTAGATAGAATTGAAATGATGCATGGGAATCTCCTTCGATTGTCCGAACATGATTATTTTAACCGTATATGGAATTGGATGATGTAAGAGAATAAATCAATCTTGAAATATACTACTTTGCGGATTAACTGCGTCAAACTTTTAGTGGATTTTGATGGGCTCACGCAATCTCGTCCATAAATCGCGGAAACGCAACAAAATCGCGATGCAATGTTTTTTATGATTGCAGTCATCGCGTTGATGTATGGCCAATTGTTAAACACGACGATGTGTGTCGACAAGATAAATGATAATGCGGAGCCGAGCGGACACGCTTCCCGTCATCGTCGCCGCCGCCACCGCCGATAAATTGGCAATTGAGGTGAACTCGTAAATCAGTCGAGACCACCTCCCCACCTCCCTCGCTCCCTTTCCAATCCATCCAATCCCGATCTTGATTTATTTGGCGAAAATTGTTGGGTTGTTTTTGGGTTGTTGTTGTAAATTGATTGCGGGTTCTCGTTTTTTTTATAGGAAATTGAAGCGATACGAGAGCAGATTTGCAAAAAAAGCGATGAAGAACAAAAAAAAAAGAGTGGCTAGTTGAATTCGAAAAAGCCGAAATGTTGCGGAATTTGTGATACATGTGTTTTCGAACGCACTCACACCCACCCGGCCGAATCCCGTCTGCCACGAGGTCCGCATCTGATATTATTGCTTGCTTGCTTCCTCGCTCGATTATGCGGTTTCGATCAAAACCATCATTTCATTCCGAGGCGGATTAATGCGACACGATGGGCCCATGAGGAGAATTTTTGGCGGCGGCTCGGATTTCAGGCTCGACGGAAATCTTACTTACTTACAGTATACTCCTAATATGCAAAAGATAAACAAACGCGCGATTTTCTCATCGGCCTTCGTTTTCTGCGTCGTCCGAGAAAATTCATTTGTAATCGACGAGGCAAAGAAACAAAAGCGAGACATTCGAATATGACTAGTTTTTTTTGTGTCGTCGCGGCGCTCGAATGCATGTGCGCCTCAATTTAGGGGTGTACGGTAGTTAATGTACTAGTGTGTGTATATGTACGCCTATGTTGGCGACCGACTAATTCAGTCAACACATATACATATATGGAGGTCATATTTTGGGGGATTTTCAAGAAGAATCGGTTCTAGAGCGATAACTCTTTAAAGGGACATGGGAAGATTTCGAATTTTGGACGTCTCATAGCAATATGCTTTGTTTTGGTAACTGGCAATCTCGAGCGCACCTTTAAATTTTGGATACTGTAGCATTATAAATAGATCAAAAGGTTAGTCTTGTTTACAAACTCAATTCGACTACTGTAGCTCGTACGATCGGGCGCGTCATCTCCACGCTGCTCCAAAGCGTCTTGTCGATTTGATGCCAATAATGCGATGCGCATTTTTGGAATGGTGTGGGTGTGATAATTATGAAACATAATTACACTATCGCATTGAATTCGAATCGCCTTGGGAATTGGCGGCGACGTGTGTGACATTTGTGCTGACACCACGCACACACACACCCAGACATACACTTCATGCTCGAAGCACTCGTAATCGAAGATATAATATGTGTGGATATATTGGGACCACATGAAGTGCTTACACATGCTTAATAGATCGCCTAGGGCGCTCTCAAATATCCATGTTTGGCGCGGTGTTGGAAGTGTGTCTATTATTACTAGCTGGTCGTATATTGGCTGGGATGAAAGTTTCGAGGGATTGCCGCTGCTGCTTTTGCCGATCGTTCGTTCGCGCGCACACACACACCCACATGCACGCATGATACGGTATTTGAAGATCGTCAGTCATGGGAAAATTGTCCGCCGGCATCCGCGACCCGCAAAAGGCGATACACACCATTATATAATCATAAATGTTATCGGTTTTTTTGTGGAGTGCTTTTTTCTAAGACGATTGCTCGAGAAACGCGCCGGTTTTATGTGAGGTGAGGAAATGCACACCTTGCGATGCACCGCGGGACCCCTGGCGGCGACGATGATTGATCGCACATCTTGCAACTAATTCGTGCTCGATATTACATTCGAATATTTCGCGCCCCGCTCGCGTGGCGATGTTCAACCACATGTTCTCGAGAGTATCGGATGCGATTCGCTGCTCACTTGGCATTTTTTGCTGTTGTTTGAGGGAGCAACTGAGCGGTTTGATGGATGAACATCGAGAAACCGTATTGATCTCTTGTCACCATCGCGTTCGTTCCTGTCGGCAGGTGGCTAGAGGTTACCAATAGCACTGGATGAGCCGGCCGTGCACTATTTGTAATCTAGCCCTGCGAGATCTCGTTTGGCATGGTAATAAGATCCGACGAAATATCTTAATCCTATAACCTATTAGGCTAAATATTTAGCAAATTGCCCATATGTGGGCATTTTGAGGTGACTCGGCTTTCCATATGGTCAACTATAATATAAATAATAATAATAATAACTCAATTCTCACCAAAGTGAGTCAACATCCCGAAAAAGGGATTATGCGCGGCGGCGCGCGCGCGAGCACCCCCCCCCCTCCCGTTTAAACGCTGGATAATTAATAAGGTGTCGTCGTGTTTGTCACACGCTCTCCACCGTAATCCAGTAAGTCAGTCAGTCATTCAGCGAAGGCGGCCTCGATCGAATTGTGCGGATAAAAAAAAAATAATATGAAGGGGGTCCGGAGCCGCAGTGGCACAAATGATGATGAAGCGTGGTATTGGTTTTGTCATTAACTAGCCATATGGTTACAATGTGCGAATAAGTGTGGACAATTGGCTCGAGTCGTCAACAATCGTTTAGATGCACACACCTTGCTCATCGAATGTCAAAAATTATGAGCTGATTGATTCAATTGAATTGAGATGCGATGAACGAGGCATACGGTAGTTAATAGTATTAAACGACACGACCTATTATCCCAATATGGATATATATATATATTAATGGCTAGCAAAATCTATTCCCTTGGCGCACCGCCGCGCATCGGTAATTAGGGGAAGAGCAGAGCTGAAGGAATCTTTTGTGTGTGCGTGTTTCGCCAATTATACCGTACCTTGATGTTCAACGTGCCGGGGTTGACTGGTTATTTATATATGGGCATTAAATAACCGCGGCGGTTTGCGCCCGTCGCACAAACCGACAGGAATTTCGCGAACAACAAAAAAAACAACATGGCGGGTTCTCTTTTGACCTGCGAGCCATCAAGATGATGAACGTTGTAGTGGTAGTAGATTTGAAGAACGCGAAGCGAGTCGACTGCCTCACTTTTTTTTTCGTTCGTTCTCTTCTTTTTGGTGCGGTGAGTGCTGCGCATTGGCGAAATGAAAACGAAAATGAGGGAGGGGAAAAATGACTGGGGTGTGTTGTTGAAAAATGGGTGTGAAATCGAAAAAGAATGATGATGCTACGGTAGATTTGTGTGTGCTGTCCGTCGTCGTCGTCGGCTTCTTCATCATTGAAATTGATTTGGGTCCCGAAGTGAACTTCTTCATTTTTATTTTTATTTTTTTTTCATTCGCCTTGAAAATTGTCTTCATCGGCGCGAGGAAATTAATGGGATTTTCAGCAAGTAGATCAAATCAAAATTGTTGGGATATCCAGACACGATTGACAACCAGTTTGTAGGTCAAACGAGCCAAGTTTCAATTGATCCCAGTTCTTTAGCGCGTCTAATCGGTTTTAATCGGATTGCAAACTAATCTATTGTCTTCGACTTATTCGTCCAACTCCCACACGCCGTCTTCTACTACTTCTTGATGCCAATTGAAAGAGTAGTCGAAATCGTCGAGGTCCTCTTCCTCCTCCTCATCGCCCCTTCATCTAATGTATGTAAATCTTCCCACGATGCCGAAGAATGACTTGAATGGAATGTGAAACGAGATATATATACACTACCACCACTTTTGATGCTCCGAAATACGTCGCCGTACACAAAAGCAAATCTGAAAAGGCGGCCCGAATTATGGACGAGGGATCTTTGCGTGATGTTGGATGATTATGATGATGACGACGTCGGTCACCACCCACAGTGGTGGGGGGTGGTGGTGGTGGGATTTTCAAAAATTCTCGGCCATGTCACAATTGATTAACTCGACGACGCTCTGATCCGGCGGTACTACCGTATGTCATTGCTGTTAGAGGTGACCGCCGCCGGCCGCTCACCCATTGCTAATCTTTGCCACCCAAATAAGGGAGTGTGTGTGGTCGATATTATTAATTGTTTGAGCCTTGGCGCAGCCCAATCGGACATCAAAAGCGATCATATGTTTGTGTGTGTGCTGAGCAGGAAACGGTAGGCGAGGATAAGCCGATTGTTGGTGGTTATTGAGCGAAAACGGGGGGGGGACGTACTTGAATTGGTTTCTTCGAGACACCGCTTGTTTATTATGCTGAGATTTAATGTTCAACGATTATTAGGGACTTGGAATTCGGCTGAATGGGTTACGGTAGTAATTGGACTAAACTGGATCAGATTTAAGATCATTAGAATTGATTTAAAGTCGAGAAGAATCCGAAGGAGTATTTTTTGAGCAATTATCTTGGATTAAAGCGATTCAAATTTTCAACAATTTAATATTAGTTGAAAATGTTGGCATTTGGTTTTATTCGCCAGAATGAACTACAGTACCACGAACGGTTTTTCCGATTATTTTTTTTTTACAGTAAGTCAATTTGTCGTTCTTTCTAGCGTTGAACTTGACACATTACGTGTGAAGTTTTAGCGAGTCTCAAGTGTTTGTGTTCTTCTTCATCTTCTCTATAATTAGACAAATATCGCTTTTTGCAATGGGTGCGGCTCGAGCCGCCGCTGACGGCGCCGCTTCTTCAAACTTCGAGTATGCTACCGACGACGACGAGGCCGCTGTCTGTCATAAAACCGAATGTTGATAAGTGTTAAGTGATGGCCAATGAGCCAGATGAGCAAATACGGTGTGAGTATGTAAACATCTCTTGGCGGGAGCCTCGAAAATACAGTGTGTGTGTGCTTCTTGATGAGACCTCGAGAGACACACATCAATATACCTCAATTTCTTATTGAATGATGTATTAGCCGATTTACGCGTGCGCGCGCTCGCATCAACGACTTTTGTTGTGTGCGCGTGTTGAAATGTGTATACAGTAGAGAAAGCAGGAAAAAATGAAGAAGAAAATCTAATGAATTGAATGTTTGCAAATAATTGCAGGGTGCTTCCAAGAGTGTGGAGGGGATTACGGTAGCGCCGCCGTCGCCGCCAACCACGAAATTACTGTATTTTTAGAGGTGCGTACTTCATGGTTCGCGATTGACACTTTTCGGCGAATCCAAAGAGTTCTACAAGACGACTGGAATTTGTTGGATGCGCGCAATTCGGAACGGCGATGTGGCAACGGTGATGAAGATTATTGAGGAAAAGGTTCGGTAATTGGAATGGAAATATGCGGGATGTTGACGACTTCAAAAGTAGCTATCTAGAGAGAATTTTTGTTCGTTGAAATGGCTCGATTCTAAACGTTTGAGATATTCTAGGCAATTTCTTAAAACGTTCCGATTTGGATTTAAAAAAAAAACAAAAGTTCAATTTCTAGGCCGAAATAGTTCACTACGCACCTCTTCATGGACCGGAAGCGTTGCACATTGCGACGGCGCGCAATGATCGATCGATTGTGATGCTTCTGGTGGCAAAAGGTGCCGACATCGACGTGCGGGATACGGTATGTCGAAAAAGTTTGTCTCAACGCGAAACATCTCTTTTGTTCGATTTCGCGACAAAGAAAAAAAACACGGCGCGAAAAGAATGAAATATTTTTCGATTGAATGCAGTGCGGCTACACCTGTCTACAACGAGCGATGCTGAACGCCAACAAATCATTCGGACACTTTCTGATCTCTCAAGGTATCATCGCCATCCTCATCATCATCATCATCAAGACAACATCTGTTATCCATTCAATTCGATTCGCACACCACATTTCCACTACCGTAATCCAATAGATATATCAATGTGTGTGTTTGTATTGAGGTAGTGTTGAGGTGTCGATGTGAATGATGTTTATCATTGCACTTAACAATTTTTGATACGCTGTGTGCGCGCCCGTCGGACTCCTCTTTAGTTGCAAGCATACGGTACTTTAGGTGAGGGGGGGGCGCTCAATATTTGTCAAATCGGATGCTTTACAGATTAACAGAAAGGAAGCAGCACTTTTGGCGCGCGATTAAATCATATAAATGAATCGAACGATTTGAAAAAAGGGGGTTTGAATTGATAGTTTTAAAGGCGCATGAAATCTAGGGGTTGCTGAAGCCTGAAATCGAAGGAAATGTTAAATAAAATGAATACATTATTATGGCGAAGAGCATTGGAAAAACAATTGATTTAAAAAATTTTAATGACATTTTAAGGAATCTGAGGACAATTACGGAGATATAATTGACGTAGTCGAATTAGAAAAAAAAATTATTGGTATTAATCTGCGGACATATTCCGAGGAATTTTTGAAAATCAAAATTGGTTAATAGGATGAACTCGAGTTGAGAATGGAGGCCAAAGTTGATTTAAAAGTGGCATGTCTAAGAAAAACGGACAGCGTTGACCGGACTCGGTAATAAATGACACACGAGTGAATGAACGGATTCATTTTCCGCCTGGCGCGCGTGTGTGTGTGTGTGTGGCGCCTAATCGACTAATTAACACCTTTTCACTTTTCCCACCATACGTTTTTACTCAACCTTTCTTTACACACCAATTTGGCGTCATTGGTGAATGTCGGATCGGATGGTGTGGATTTCTGTGGGTTCAATTGCGCAACTCCCGTCGTTCTTTTTTTATGAGCTCGAGAATTTCCAGTGAATTTGATTGATGAGCTCATTGGCAGCAGATTGTTTTGTCATATGGTTTTTTTTTGCAGGAGCAAACGTCGATTTGATCGATCCCGATGGGCTGACGATTCGGGATTATGAGGCATGGGACCATGAGATGGACCGAAGTAGGTTTTTGTTTAATGAATTTTGGGGGGGGGGGAATGTGATGAGATGGACAGGAATTGGAAACATTTTGTAGAATTACGCATCTCATTTTGCGGATTCTCGTTTTTTTTTTTTTGAAGTTGGCTTTTAAATTATGGTGAAATCTTTGATTTTCTGAGTTCCAGCACTAGTCGTTTGGAAATTTTATATTCAAAACGAACGCAATTTTTCCCTAAGTTATATAAAAATTTGAGAAAATTTCTGAAAACTTCAGAGTCTATCTTCAGAGATAGCAAATAAAAATTGGAATCCCTACGACCAAAAAATGCCAAAAAAATGTTTATAATTCAAATTTTTTTTTTCAAAAATCTGTTACGATTAGCCTACAGATGGGTTCCCCAATAAGTGTGCATTTTTTGACTGGAAACTTTTTAAAAACTTTTTTTCATTCAAAAATGAGACGTGAATTAATTCTCACTTACAACTGTTAATATCGTTTCGAATCTAATTTAATTTGATCTTTTGGTCGCGAAAATATCCTATATTGTGGATGCTTTGTTTTATTTTTAGAACTGATGGGACACATTGCAATAATTGTTGTCAAATTGAATGTTGTCCCAATATATTTGTTTGCCATCCTCGTGTCACAAGCTTTCAACCTTTCGATTCTGCGATCTCTCGTTATCGCCCCTCAACCTTCTACAGTACTACACACCAATGTTAACGCAGCTGTCAAAAAATGTAAAGTTTTACAATGTTCTACCGTACTTTTGCTCTCTCCTCCGGATCATTGGATATCTTCGATTTCGCGCGATTTTGTTTGTTCGATGAATATGCATTATTTGTGCTTCCTACGCCGGCCGCCAACTTATCAGCATCGCTAGCAACCATCGGGAGCAGCAGCAGCAAGAGGACGAACGTATGTATGTTTGGGTGCGTGTTTGTCGCGCGTCGAGGGCGCAGATCAATTCGGAAATCGTGTAGACATTGGCGTTTGACAGGTGTGAGATTTTTGATGGCTTTTCTGCTTGTTGACTACTTTGTCATCAAGGTTCATTCGAGCTATTGCGGGGACCTGTGTTGATAACAGAAAATCGATATGGGACCATTGAGCACAGAAACAGGTTGCAAGTTTCTTGATGAACCGATGAAATGAACGAAAAATGTCTGAAAAAGTTTGATTAGAACCAAAAACAATTTCCAACTATTGGTCACATAAAAATCACGTTTCAGGCAAACAATCTCACCTTCGTCAGAAGACGAATTCGGTTGCCGAATCGCCGTCATCGTCAATCCGAACGACTCGTCAGATGCGCCCGAACTCGACGCCCGACGCGACCGCTTCGGAACACACGGAATGGAAGCGCGATAATCTGCGCAGCTCGTGGAAATCGTTTTTCGAAAAGAAGCAGAAATCGGTATTGCTCACCTAATTTGCCAAACAGGTGTCGGCATCGTTTCTATTATACTCTCGTATATTATAATTATTATTAAATCATCGCCATCTGTACTGAATGATCTGTCTACACATTGAATACTCGGTCTGCCGCAGAAAAAAAAATCGACGCGCCCGCTCTCACCTGATGGGTGAAGTGACCCGTGCACACATCAAAATGCGCCCCGCCATGCCACCCGATCACTTTAGCCGATACATTATTGTTGTTATTAATAATAGTGTTGATCATTATACGGTATCTGAATACTTGTTGGTGGGGGTCGTCGAATTCTGTGAATTCAAAGGCGCATGGAATAGGGACTGTGAATTGTATTCTTCATCAGTCGCATCTCATCGCTTATCACATAAATCATGTTTCGCTTCAGGACCCATAAATCTACCGTAGCGCTATCGGTGGCGTCGGCATTTGTCGGAGAAGTTAAGGGGGAAGTTGTTTAACAAATCCGCGACTCGTGTTCTTCTTGGTTTAATGAGCGCCCGGCGTCTCTTGTCGCGAAATGGTCTCGAACCACGACAGTTGGCCACCGCGGGAGCCGCCGACACTGCCTTATCAGTTGATACGATCTTCAACAACGTGTTGATTCGTGTTTCGAATGAATTGCCGCTGATCGGAGCGCAATCGAAAGGGATCAGCCAACCAGGGGGGTCTCCTCAGCGATCACTGAACCGTATTTACAGGTTCCGTCGTGAAACACATTTCAGAGGGCCTTCGATTCAATGCTCCGAGATTTTACAAAATATAAAAACTAAGAACTGCTTGTTGAAATTGTGTGTTTTTGATGCACATCTCTCATTCAATAAAAATTCACAAAGAATGAATATCAAATTCCATTGGCATTTGTGCAATAATTGAGCGAAATGACCTAATACGGTCATTAATTGGATAATTCCTAGGAGATCATTAATTTTTTGTGTGTCGACGGATTAGTGTGTTTTCGAAAGTTTACCCAAATCAAGCCAATGATACTCGGATTAATCGATGAAGTATACTCAGCGACAATCATAAACATCGATCATTGTTGACATTGTAGATTAGTGTAAATGAATGTGTCCGCAGATACTGTCCATGAGTCGCCCGTTTTTTCGTCTCGTTGATTGAGTTAACACCTGTGCGCGACACATTGATGAATTATGTTTCGCAGATTTTTACGATCAACACGATTCGATCGAATTGATTAATCAGATTGTTATCTCGTGCGATTCGTCGTGTAGTTGGGTGTGTGTGACAGATGTGTGGCGCCAAATTGGTGTGACCTGTTCGACCTTGGTGTAATTTTTGGTTTCTGGGGGATCTTGAAACCCAAATTATATTAAGAAAACTGGATAAAAAGAGATTTTCGTTTTGAATAGATTTACAAAAAAAATATGTGTCGACATTCAACTAATTATTACGGTGTTTTAAAATTTGGACCGGAAGGATTTGAAATTAAAAAAAAATATTTTATGAAAATAAAAAGATTATATATGTCGTTTGGCGATTGCAGTGCGCGGCGAGACCATTTCGAAAGACGCACGCGTAAATCTACCCGCGAACACAATATTAATATTAAGAACAAGTCTAATATTATCAAAGTCGCAGACGGCGTGCTCTACCGTAAACTTGGGTCTCGAAACATGAGTGTCAATTTTCGCGCGGGAGATTTATGCCACGTTGTCACGCTATGCATTGTCCGTGTGGAGTACACAGTGAGCGTCTCGTCGTTTCGAGACCATTTCTGGTCACACAAATTTCGACAATATGTCCCTTTAAAAACGATGTATAATAGTTTGAATAAATTGTTTGGTAATTGGTCGGCGATCAATCACAATTGTTTTCAAACACGAGCCGATCGAAAGTCGGACGGCACGCGTTCAAACATTGCAATTCGATACGCTTGCCACACATGATGGCCCGTATTTGTAAAATTGTGCAATCATGTCGGGCGGGCTCAAAAGGACGGGATTAACCTCCTCGCGTTTTTTATCATTATGATGATTAGGGTCACGCAAACAGTGGCAATTGTAAAACATTTTTATGAATGCGGGGGGATCGGCGAACGATGAGCAGCAATCAGAAAATTCAATTTTTGTCGAAGATCGACGAATTTGACAAATTTGAATGAACCAACGCATGATCTTAGCCCGAATTCAACAAATTTGTGCATGCGCCTTTAATAACTACTGTAATTTTGAATGCATTTCATACTAGATCAAATCGAAAATGATTATAAGAAGACCATGACGCCAAAATTTGAATAATAAGCAAAGCTCCCCTAAATTTGTCCGTCCTCGCCAATAAATAATCTTGAATTTTTTTCAACTCAAAATTTTCTTTTCCAAACCTGAAATTTCTTGTCTAATTTTATAGTGTTGCTATACAGTGCGTTGCAGAATTATAAGGCCACCCCCCAAATTTGAGCGCCGCGCAATGATTTCGATATTTTGAGACCAACCAGTGTTAAAATCGTGTTCAACATGAAAAATAACCTATATGTAATCTATATGTGTAAATACAGTGTTGGCCATAATTCTATCCAAAACCGCATTTTCAGCCATAACTTTTTTCAAAGTTAGCCAATTGATCTGAAATTTTTTGACAATGTTTCTGACGATATGTTTAACTAATTCATCAATCCACTTGTTTCAAATTCCAAAAGAAAGTAAAAAATTGAAATTTTATGTATATTTTCGATCAACTTTTAGTTGTCGTCCGGTGTCCAATTTGTACGGTTTTTTGGACCCATTTTGATAAATTCTTAAATTATTTATTTAATTGCAAAATAAGTATTTACATGTGGCGAAGGACGCACTAGATAATCCAGAGTTGGCGAAAAAAAAAAACACAGAGGCCGTACCCGAGGGCACTCCCAGGGCCATTTAAAATTTCTCTTGTATGTATGGGACCATTACGGCCAGCCCTAGTCCCAGTCATATAGGAATGTGAGACGGGAATAAATTGAAGAAAAACATCAGAAAATTTCGGATTATTTGATGCATGTGATTTTTCAAAAAAAAACTTTATTTTATTCAAATTGATGACCTCAGTCTGTCGGTTTCCCATGCTTTATACAAATGTATCGATCGATTCATTAAGATAAATATTCAAAATTAAAAAAACAACCATCTTCGCCTAAATCGCTTTGCTCTCAAAACTATGCCTTTCTGAAACTGAGCCTATATCTGAAGTTTTATTGTAATCGCTACCTTCACGATTGCGCAATTCGTTTTCGCGGACGCCGAATCTCAAGCACAAAATTGGACGAGTCTTAATTTACAGTCAGCAAACGATTATGATGGCCCGAAAGTCGATTGATGGTCCGCCGTCAGGCGGTCGGCGAATTGCGTCACACCGAAAAAGGGAAATGGCGCAACACCGGCGAGTATATCAACACAAACACTTCCGACAGTGATCATCATCAACATATGGGCACTATTAAACGATTATGCGTTTTGCCACCAAATATGGCCAATTAAATACGAATGACTGCCCATTTTTTATAATAATAACATTAGACGGGGACCAGATGAACGAAAAAATATTCAAATGCAGTGAAAAAAATGCGGAAATTAATTCTGATTGGAAAGTAGCAATGCGTTTTACAATCTACACTAATTTCTTCTTGACGACGACGACAATAAAAATTTTTTATTTGATTCAGTACAAAATAATTTGTATATTGAAAGTGACAGAAGCGGAAAATTGGCTAAATGTCAAAAAAAAAATAATTTTTTCTCTATAGAGGTTCTCTGTTAAATGAAAATGAATCGAATTCGAAATGTTTTTTCAATCGAAATCGAATTTAAATTAATCTGTTTGGAATTATCGATTTTCTATTCTTTTTCAATCGGATCAGGTTAATTTATATTTCATTTCCTTCGAATTCGATTGATTTTCATTTACTTGAGTTTGTGCGCGTGTGCGCCTTTAACCTATCCTTTTAATTATCCGTAAATCTATACCTTTAATTTTCCGCCAAGACCACTGCCGTTGTTTTTTTTTTCTCATTTAAATATTTTTCCACATTAGCACGTCATCGACAATACTAAAAAACGAGTAACCTACGCCGATTTACGGTGAGTTTAGCCGAATTCTCACTGCTCAAATCGGAAGTTGAACATCTCCGGAAAAAAATGAACCGCAATTATTCAGGGTGCCCGTTTTTTGCAATGGAAATATTGCATTCGCAAAAAAAAACGAACATCCTGCCCCGTTTTACATTGAGTTAGCTTCGCAGGTTATCCAGAAAAAGAATCCACTTTTTTTAATCGAAATTTGAATTACCGCCTCGAAAAAAGTGCGATGGTCCATAAATATGCAAGGCACTCGTTTTTATTGCGATGGTAATAATTAAAGGGCAATGCAGAAAATGAAAAAAATAGTTTTTAATTTTTTTTATCAGAGAACCGGGAGGATAATTGAACGAAACAGAATCTTAAATGTTGAATGATACATATATTCTCGAATTGTCGACAACAATTTGTTTGAAACTGAAAAACTTTAAGAAGAACTCATTTTTCGTGTCGTAAATCAAAAATAGTTTCCTGTCGTGTCTTGTTTATTATTTACAACGAGTTGCGTTGCATTTGCAGCCGGACCTTTAATTCGACACCAGTTGGTCATTCTCTGGCCGAATTGCGCAATCATTGGCTTCTGCTCGGCGAAAAAAAAAACAGACACAGTAAGGCGAACACTTGTTTATTTCTTCAAACTTTCGTCTTTTAAATAAGGGATCGATTTGACGAATTCGTCGAACTTGTCGGTTTCAATGAATTCCTTCGGCGATTCCGTGCTTGTCTGGATATTCGGAAGACGGATCGGAGTGTACAGCAGTTCACTTATCGATTTTGTTGTTCTTCTACCATATTTTGTCACCATTCGTTGTAGATTTCGAAATCTTTTCATCTTCAAACCAAAAAATTCAAAAAAAAATTATCTAGAAGAGAAAAATGGACCTTTTCAGTAGAATCAGGAACCAACTTGATAGCTTCGCAGAGTTCGTCTAGCTGAAAAAATAACAACAATTGTTTTTAAAGAAAAATAAGTTTTCAAGCTATAATTTGAATCAAAAATTCTTCATTAAATGACCACAGATTGAAAGTTGGAAATATAAAAAACAATTATTGTTGGAGAATTTGATTGAAGATAATTAAGTCACATTGTTGATTCAGCATTCTTTAGAAAAAAAGAAAACAAATTATCAATTTTCAGAAAAAAATTTCCGCATTGCGATTTGTAATAAATTTTTTTCGATCTAAAGAAAAACAGTGTGTGAAATTTAGATATTTGAAACAATTTACTCCACTTAAACTTCATTATCTTATTTGGAACAAACCGAGTTTTACCATTCATACGAATTACATTCTAAGCACATTTTCTAAATTATTATCTAGGCATTAGAAAAATCTCGATTTTATTTTTAGTGCGGAAATTAAAAAAATAATTTTTAAATATTTGAGAATCGATCTTCGGTCGCGTTTCGTTTTCGATCCGGGATTTTTTGGGGGCTGATTTTTTCGATCTTGTTGACAAAATTAATAATGCAAGTTTCTGGCCGCTTCATGTGCGAAAGAAATACGCGGAAAATAAATAAAAATATCTTACAGTACTCTATTTATAACTACACTTCTCATTCTTCTTCAGGTCTCCACATTTTCAGACCTTTAACAGGGGTGGCTTTATAAATGTGAAACGGTTGCAAGTGACCAATTTTCAGTGTTTTCAATGCCACTCGGCCAATTTTTTAGATATCATTAAAATTGGTACACATATGTATTTTTAAGCGCTGAATTCAATTTAAAAAACAGAATTTAAAATTTTTCACAATTGACAAAGTTACACTCAAAAACGGATAGCTTTATAAATGTGAAACGCACTGTATTACTTGAGAAAATCATTATAGAGATGAAACTCTTCATTTTGTCATTGAAAAAAAAAAATAACATACCGCCTGTTCACTAACGCAATAATTCTGAGTTCCAAAAACTTCTTCCTCTTTCATGAGAACCTTTTCTAATTCATCCAGAGCTTCATCTAATCGTGATTGAGCTGCCAATGCACATATTCGAATTGAACTTGTGATTACCGGTGGAGAATATTCAGCGTATTCAAGCATTTTATCCACATCACTCCATTTTTTCTTCAAACTCCTCTTCCGTTAAAATGAAATTCAAATTGAACTTACTAATTTTAAAGCGGCCGCTGCCGTAAACGCCGCGCTACGTGATACAATCTCGCAAACCCCTTTGTTTTTCTTAACCATTGTTTTAGCTTTCACAAATTCTTCCTTGTTTGACTATTTAAACGTTTTTTTTTTGTAACCAGGAAACAGTATTCTCCTACCGATTCGTAACTCATCGCACAAATTAGGCATTCTCGCAATACACTCTTCGTATTTCTATCAACTGGAATAGATTTGACGAAATTGATTTGTTCCGCCGGAGATAGCGAGTGGCACAAAATGGATGCAACTTGCACAGCCTTTTTAGCCACCAACATCGAAAAAAGAAATATTTTTTTTTTCAAAGGTGTGACGGATAAATACTCAGACGCCCCTTACAATTTTCCGAACTCAAAATTTACTCGTGGACCAACAAAACATTTATCAACAACAAATTACTTAGAATTCTCCGCGAGCCAATTGGCGGCGTTGCTTTCTCTTCGACTCCTTCTTGACCTTTGGAGCATCATCTGTTGGTTTCGAAACAACATCATCCTTCTCAGCCAAGATGACTTCGATGTGGCATGGCGAAGACATGTATGCTAAAAATTAACAATTAGTAAACGTTACAATCAAATCTGTCTTACGGTTGATTCTTCCGTGGGCACGGTATGTTCTTCTGCGGAGCTTTGGGGCTCTTTGCACGTTGATGTGCTCAACAACGAGATGATCCACATCCAATCCCTTATACTCAGCGTTGCTCTCAGCATTCCTAAATAATTATCCTTTAATTACTAATTTAGCTAAATAAGCGTTGGCGTCCTGCGTTTACGTTAAATAGGCTAAATGCAAATAAATTAAAGTAATTTTTTAATGCGCATTTAACCTGTCAAAACGCTTTAAAGCAGCAATTTCGTTTTGGGTCGAAACCACCTCAGCAACATTTTTGCGCGTTGGCCCGGGATCCAGATAAGACCGTGAGGGCGGTTTAGAAACCGTCATTGTTTCTTGGCATTTAGTCAATTTTCGATTTCGACAATATATAAGTATCACAATTTCGATAAATAAGTTGCACAGAAATGACCACACAAATATACTCAGAACTAGAAATTTTCAACTTTTATGTTGAAAAAAATAATCATTTCTATAAATTTGTGATATTGTTTTTCGAATAATATAATAATAATCTTACTTGAGGAGGTCGAGAAGGAAGTCAGCAGACTTGACTGGCCATCTACCCTGGGTGGTATTCCACTGCTTGCATTGGGCAGCACGTCCAACTCCACCATGGAAACGACGGAATGGAACGATTTCCTTGTGCTCCTTAACGTGAGCAAGGAAAGCCTGAGCACGTCTCAATGGCATACCACGGAGGGCCATGGCGGCTTCATGAGTATTCTTGAAGTGGACTCTGAGGTCAGAGCCACGAGCTTTGCACGACTTGGTGCTGTTTTCCGGAGCCCGAGAATAATGGATCTTAGTCATATCAACCGGGATATTACCTGAATTTTAAACGATTATATAAAAGTGTGTGATTAATGAGAGAAAAAGTTAGCAGATTTCATAGTAAAAAAAAATAAAATCGTGGGCCGATGTAGAACCACATAAATTATTATGTTTAGCTAAAAAGAAAATATCGTAAAAAAATTAATCGCATAACACGATTTTTTCAAAATAGCGAAAAAGTGGCACTATCACTCGGTTTGCGTGGAAGTACGAATAAATCTGATTTTAATTAAAAAAAAACTAATTTCGTAAAAAAAATAAACTAAACTGTTCCGTTTATATCACGAAACCTTGTCTATACGGTTTCGAACATTTAAAATTATTTTATTTTCAACAAAAGAGAAAAAAACCAAATTTTTTCGGCGAAAACAGAAGAAAAATGGGTAAAACGGCCTAAAAATAAGAGAGAAATGCGATTAAAGGCGCATAGCGCACCGTAGCCGAGGGTTGCGTCTCGCCACGAAGAGACGGCGAGAGTAAATACTGGCGCGTTGCCAATATTTTCTACTCTTCGATTTTCTCCGTTTTTTTTTAAATTTCTTTCGTTTTAGTCAGATTTTCTCTATTCTTTTTGTTTTTTTTTTCTTGAAATAAGCGATATTTATTATTTCTAGATGATAAAGGCTATATTGGTGATCAATAATCATGGAAAACCGCGCCTTCTGAAGTTTTACCAACATTATTCCGAAGAAATTCAACAGCAAATCATTCGAGAAACGTTTCAATTAGTATCAAAGCGGGATGATAACGTCTGTAATTTTCTCGAAGGTGGTACACTCATCGATGGTAACGATTATCGATTGATTTATCGTCACTATGCAACTTTGTACTTCATTTTTTGTGTGGATTCATCGGAAAGCGAACTTGGAATTCTTGATTTGATTCAAGTATTCGTTGAAACTCTCGACAGATGTTTCGAAAACGTTTGTGAACTCGACTTGATATTCCACGTCGACAAAGTGCACCACATTCTTGGAGAAATTGTTATGGGTGGAATGGTGCTGGAAACAAATATGAATGAAATTCTGCAAAGAATTCAAGAGCAAGACAAAATTCAAAGTCAAGAAGCCGGAATCACTGCTGCTCCAGCTCGCGCTGTCTCTGCTGTCAAGAATATGAACATTCCGCAGCAGCTAAAGGACATTAAACTTCCCGACTTGCCATCATTAAGCAATTTGAAAAACGCTTTTTAATATTCTCATTTTTTATTTTGTACAATCTCACAACATTCCATTTCCTTTTTTGTATATTTCGCTGCATATGTATTTATTTATTTGCGACGCTGAGAATAAATCAAGATTTTTAAAGGTCGGAATCGGTCGGTGTCATGTTGAAATGGAGGGAGAGTATGATCTGCAGCTTCCACAATTTTCCGGTAATTTTTTAAAATAAGGAAATGCATAGAAATAAAAAATGTGGGGTTTATGTTGATGTACAAAAAGAATCGATTATTCGAATTAGCTGCTCTTCCATCAGTTGGCGGAATTTCAAAAAAAATTGCAGGCTATGCAACGGAATACCGAGAAAGAAACAACGCATCGTGGGACAGAATAAGACATGAAAACGCGCCAAGTGTTCGCTCTGAACCTGGGCAATACCGGAATTATGCACATCAAGCCAATCCAAACCCAAATTTTGTAAGAACTAGGAAATTAACGAATAAAAAAGCTTATATTTTGAACAGAATGCACCTCTGTTAGTAGTTCCAAGTGCTACAGTCAATCAGCCGGCACTTCATGATAATACGGTAGATCCCGTTGGTAATTAGTGAATCATTATCAACTAAACGAATAATTCATTGCCGTTGCAGGATGTAAAACTACATCGAGCCAGAATGAACCAATTCCAGTTTTCTGTTATAACTGTGATACAAAAGTTGAAGGCGATAATCATTCCGAAAGAGACTGTAAATTAGATAAAGATTATAAGTGGGTTTCTTTTTGTGAAAATATTTCAGTCGCAAAAAGAACGAGCACAATGTGCTGATTTACGGGGAGTTTGATTCTCACGTTATTCTGACTACGGTACCCGAATTCTCATTTTTTAAATCGAAATTTGAATTAACGTCTCGAAAAAATACGATGGTTCTCAATTGTTCATGGTGTTCGTTTTTATTGCGATAGTAGAAGTTTGATTTGAATTGTAAATAATATTTTTAGATGTGCAAAATGTTTCGATGAATTCAATTTCGAAATTAATTTGAAAATTCACATTGCTCTTGAACATCGGGAAAAGGTATTTTAGTATATTTCAAACTTTTTCTCAATTATTGTCAAGATGGAGTGCGAAAATACGTGTGTGCTTTGTCCCAAAGAAAAACAACACAAATTTTCGCGTTATTCGACGTTCATTGGACATTTAAAGACGCACGCTGAAAATGAGAATTTGTTTTGTAAAATTTGTAAGGAAGAATTTGACAACCCGGTAAGCGATTATTTTCGAGTAGTTTTGTGGATTTTCAAAAGTTTTCAGATAGCTTTGAGGCGACATAAGCGACAAATGCATATGGAGTTGTACGAATTGACATATTGCCCAAAGTGTAAATGTGTTTTGACTTTAGAAGATGCCAAAATGCACATGTCTCTTCATGCTGCTCACAAGTAAGCCAATCGCTATTAAAATGACATTAGAACGAGTACCCTAACTATTTGCGGACTATTGCATTTTTTGGAGAGAAGAGTTTAAAAGTAGGAATTAGTGTTCCTTACTGCGAATAACCTGGGAACCAAGCACGCCGTAAATCGACACAGAGTCTCGGTATTTTTGTGCTTCTTGTCATAATTTGTTTGTACGAAAATTCCTTCTTGATGATTTTTATTTGACACAAAAAATAATTTACCTTTCTTATATTCGAGGCTCACTATTGTTTCTATTGTTTTCACAAACGCCCGGGATGGTATAGGCTTCTGGAAAAAAAATCAAATGGGGGAAAAAGGAGAAAAGTTCCCTTTTTTTGGATTTTGAACGTCTTCAGAAAACGTTTCGTCAAGTATTTTGTTTTAGCACAATTGCAGTTGCAGCACAAACAAATTGATGAAACGATAATATTTTGTTTTTCAGGAGAATAAAACCTTCAAACTTATCGAAAACGAAATTGAAAAATGCTAAGCATGGATGTAACATATGTGGAAAAGTATTCGTAAGGCCATCAGAATTAAAACGGCACAGTGTCATACATAATCGAAATGGTAGCATAATTTGATTCTTAAAATGATTAATGCAATTTATGAAGTTTTAAAGAAACAACCGTCAAATGGAAATGCGCAATTTGTTTCAAACAATATGCACATTCAACTGGTCTTAATGAACATAAAAGGACGGCACATGGTGACGAAAATGATCGGCCGATGTGTCCGATTTGTGGAATCTCTTTTAAGAAGGTTTAAAATAATTCATTTGAGTTCAACAATCTCAAATTCATTTAGAAATTTAATCTTGATCGCCATATTCGCAATTGCCATCCGCTGAATTCCGAAGAGATCGACCAAAAAACTGAATGTGTGATTTGCGGTACGATGTTTAGCAGTGTTCATGCGCTTACACGGCATCAAAGAATGGCTCATCAAATTGGAAAAATCAAGAAACGTAAGAAAGTTCGATCAAACATAAGGGAACATCAATGAATAAATCGAATATAGACACTGGTTTTGAGAATATTTTGAAAACCGGAAAAGTTATCAAAAATAGCCCACTTTTTCGCGATATAACTACTCATTGTGGGCCAAAAAAATGTTGTTCCAAAAAATTAAAGACATTTCACAGACAAAAATTGCGCTCTGCGAGTTTTTATATCATGATTAGACGGCATATCAATAAACCACCGCGTTTTTTTTAAAAAGATTTAATCGAACAAATAACTTTCAGCTGGGCATATATTCGAAAATGTAAAATGCCGATTCTGCGATCGCACATTTAACAATCATTTTGCCCTGAGAAAACATCAGGCATTTCATAGCAAAATTGACAAATTGTCTTCAAGGACCAAAAAAGAACACAAATGCGAATATTGCGATAAAATGTGTGTGATTTGTTATTAAGAAACATGCAACTTTCTGATTTTTTAAGGTTTTTGCATGCTGCTTCTTTAATTTATCACGTTAAATTACATACCGAAGAGGGAAATGAAATACGAATCGACGGGTTACGTAGATGCGCGGTCTGTAATTTAGAGGTTTGAATTTTTTTGGATTTAAAATTTTTGATTAATTTTGCTTCAGTTTCCATCTCAAGAACATTATAAGAATCACGTTGATCTCCATCATTCAATAACCTGCTCATATTGTACTCAGGTTTGCTAAATATTATTTTTTGAAGAAAATACTCCTTTTTTTAAAGAAATTCCCCACTCGTTCTTTATACGATCAACACAATTGCAATTGTAACTACGCCCGAAGATATAATCCGACAGCATTGGCATCAAGGTAATTATTTATATCGATAACATCTACATATAATGAAGTGTTTTCACCGTTTTAGATCTGTAATTTGTCGCCTTTGTAAACCGAACCAAATTCTTGTCACCGTGCGACAAATCAAAGAACACCGTAATCGACATCAGCCGAGACGTGTTCATCTATGTTGGACGTGCCACAAATCGTTTAGGACCTCCGGTTTGTTTTTATCGTGAAAATGAGATTCTCAATTTCTTTTAGAATTGCTCAATCTTCATCGATATGTTCACAATGCGATGCCGATTCGGTGTAATCATTGCTCTGCTGTATTCAACAGCCGATTTGTGCTTAAACAGCATATTCGACAAGAACACACTAATGATAATCAATATCAATGTGCGGTTCATGTGGATAGGGTAATTGTTTTTGTTTTTTTATTATCTCATTGTTGATATTAAATTTTGTTGAACTACGTTTCTTCAGAATGCTGCAATGTCTGTTCAATCATTCGGAGAATATGGAATAGAAGATGCTCATGCCGGCGAAACTGCTCGAGCTCAATCGGTCGTCGATTGGATGGAGCAGCAGCAGGGAACTGTGGAGGAGCAAGGTATGAACTTTGGTCAATTGTATTTAATTTTGACAATTTACAGAACGCTCGATTGCTTTTCGCGGCGGCGAAGTTCGATGTGAAGTTTGTAAGCATTTGTATAAAAGTATCGATATGCTTAGCGATCATTGGCTCGAGTATGCATTTTTAATGATTCCTCTTTTTTCAAATACGTACAATTGTAGAAATGAGACCGAGAGAGAACACTCATTCGCTGTCGTCACTTGTCCAGTTTGCAAAGCGAGTATTCGTGGGGCCGCGGAAGCTGCAAATCATTTAAGATATGAGCACTTTGTATCGAACAACGCACATTACTCTCTAGCGTAAGTCATTTTGTTTTATTGTCGTGAACGGGAAATGATTTGGTGTTGCATTTTTTTCATGAACAAATTCGCAGTGAATTTTGTGATTTCCGTCTATTAGTAGGAAGATTCTTAATTTTTTATTGTCGAAGTCGCGCAATTGCGGAAAATTGGCTAAATCCCAAAAAAATGGTAGTGGTCTTGGCGCAAAACTAAGAGTGTCGATTTACGAGCTAAAATATATAATTTGTATTTTCGTTTCAGGACCATTGAGAATGTGAATTCGAAAAAGGCAGAAAAACCTCTTCATGAATGTTTGGAATGCGGGAAGAAATTCAAACGGAAAAACGATCTACATCGTCATTTGCTTATTCATTCAGGTATTATTTTTCGAAAATTATACAATTTGCTCATAATTTGGCAGGCGAAAAACCATTTATGTGCAATATTTGCAACTTGTCTTTTCGTGTCAAGACCACACTAACGAATCATCAACTGACCGTACACGGTAACAATCAAACGTTGCATCAATGCAGAGCATGCCAAAAGGTAAAAATCTTAATTTTTCCAATGGATACAACTAGAATTATAGCTGTTTTTCCACCGTAAGTCGTTGATCAGCCACATGCGGCTGCACACGGGGGAAAAGCCTGTGAAATGCAAACATTGCGACGAAGGATTCCGAACTTCTGGAATCGCGAGACGACATGAGAAACGGTGCAATGGACGGGTTGAGATGTATCAGCCATCGAACAACTTTTATGGTTATATTCCCAATTCGGATCCGCTCTATTTGACAGACTCGAGTACTCAGATGGTAAGAAGTTTTGAAGCTCGCTCGCATCTACGGAAATTCCTTTAGAAATGTTTTCAGAATTTTTTTTGGGTATTCAGAAAAATTTTTTCCCAATGAAAAATTCTATAAATTTGAAATCCTATTTCGCTATTAAAATCACGAGACTGTTCCAAATCTTGCTCCAAAAATGAAAATGCGAAAGAAGGATTAGAAAAAAAAACACTGAAAAGTGGATTTGGAATATAATAATGTGGAAATTTTTTTTCACCTTTCATGAAACTTTCGAAATTTTTAAAATAGTTTTTTGTTGAACTTTGTGAATGTAATATGAAACTGATAGTAAATGCGAATATTTTTCCAAATAAAATTTCCATTTCTCGCTGCACGTTCGAAAATGGATGAAAATGACAATCTGCGGCAGATCAGATCAATTTTTTCGTCTAAATCTCAATATTTGACGAAATTTATTCAAATTGGATGGAAAAAAGAAAAATTAATAAAACATAGATGAAAAATGGATTTAACAAAAACTGATCTGCCACGGATCCCCTTTTCATTCATTTTCCATCCATTTTCCAACATTGTGTGCTATTCGATTTTTTCGAGTTAATCGACAAAATTAGAGTGGGTATATAATTTTGTGCAGCGCTGTTTTTTTTAAGCCAATACGTATTAGAAACAGCTTCCAAGCTTGTTAGTTGTATTTTCTTATCACACAAGTACATATATGAAATCAGAATTCATTTATAAAAAATGTGCGGTATTTTCAGCGAGGAGTGCGACGAACAATTCAACAAATCTCATCACTTCCTGCAAAGCCGCTTAAATTGTCGAGCTCGACCGCATTCCAACCGATTGCCTCTACTTCAACATCAATTCCGCGTTATGGATTGCCATCATCGACGATTTACATTGTGACGAAACCCATTGACGAGTTGGCGTATGTTGTTATTGCGCAGTTCGAGCACCCCGCGCCGAATACTATCCGAGAGACGGTAGATTTAGCACATATCCGGATAATATTTTGAACTGCGCCGATTTCAGGTTGACACTATCAGCGCGATCGAGATAAATCAACTGAAACCTGATTCTGGCTTGTCAATTGTACTTCATGGTGATAAGCGGCTCAATGTGAACATTTTAAGAGTTATTGAAGAAATGCGAAAATCGCAATGTAAAGATTCAAAATGAATTTTGTTTCATTGAATTTTTTTTTTTCAATTTTCAGCCATGATTCGAACCAAAGTTCGCGCTGGTGATCCATATTTGGAGACGAATTTGTATCAAATATCAACTCCGGAGGATTTGCCATTTAGGAAACGATGCGACATTTGTAATGAAGATTTTATAACGAAAGAGCAGAGCGATTCGCATTTCTTGTCCGAAGATCATGAAATTGCTCAACACATGTATCCTATCAACAATCGACAAACATTGGCGATCGAAGCTGCCTATAATGGATTTCCTCAACAGTATGTTGCAAAATTTTAATCATTTTTCTATTTTTATATCCATTTCAGACCGGTGAACTTGTCGGAATACACTTGCAAATTGTGTGGAAAGAAATTCTTGGATGTCGACTTCCTCGCTGAGCACGTCGGAAAAGAGCACGGGCGTGGTGGAGATGTTGTGATTCCGCCGCGACCTACCGCCCATACAGCACCGATTCATTGAAAAAGAAAAAGAAACGCATTTTCGAGAATAATATACTTGACTGTGTGAGCCACTTAATTCGATTACAACCGAGTTGTTGGCATTGTTTTGGAAACAAACATGAACACTTGTCACCATATAGAAGAGCATCACGCTCGCCGTTGCGCAATTCACACATTATTTCGTTGAGTGGGTGATGCGATGGAAATACACGCGGTTGGCGTTAATTTTATCCTGCAATTACCTCTGGCTTCGGACGATCGAACCCCTAACTTCGGAATCAGAAAAGATATGACCGGAATGATGACATCCGGACTTGTAGAATAATGTCATGGAAGGAATTTTCGTTTTTCAAAAAAATCTCCTAGTAAATTTGAATACATTTTTTTTCGAGAATTCAATTTTTTGCATTTGCGAGAAAACAACAGTATTTAATATCGCATACCAATTTTTCGGAAAAAAAAAACACATAAAAGTGGTTAACCATTTTTGGCACCCTGTGTGACTTCCGGAAGGTGTGCGACACGCGAAAAGAAAAAGAAGCGCGATGTGTTGACGTTGCTCTCCGGGAGTCGTCACCGCGGGTCCGGGACCAATATTTACACGAGCATTAACACCCAACGGAACCCCCCAACGACATTCTTCGTTGATTCCGTCGATTCCTTATTCGTTCGTCTCGATTCTGTGTTCGATCAGATACCCGAATCACCTGCAAATCTCTTCCAGTTGGCTGAACTCATCTTCTCGTCTCTCGCCGAAGCGGCAACGCAGTCCTCCTTCTTTTTCATCGCCGATGCGCATTATTACTGATTTCGGGTGTTGTAATTGAGCGGATCATCGATGATTTTAATCGAATTATCGACGACGTCGTCTACGGGTGCCTCGACCTAAACGAATTGTAGTGTTTCGATTGAAGTTCGAACGAAGGCTTCGTTGAATAGTACAACGCGATTATCAAGAATTGTCGAAGTCGCGAGGCTACGGAAAATTGGTTGAATGCCAAAAAAAACTATGGCAGCTAACTTAAAGTGTATATTTACGGGCCCAAGCAAAACGATAGATTAAAGGCGCATGAAGACTTTTTTACTTATATTATAATGCCAATTTTTTGTAGTCGCGTGACGTCGACGATACTAAAAAATTCCAAATCATCAGTACTTGCATTTTTTTAATGTTAAAAATTCTAAAATCCATTAAAATGCTTGAAGGGTTTAAATCGTGAAAAAAAAACACAGATTTTACGATAATTCATAGTGAAGAGATTTCCGGATGTTTAAGAGATTCGATTTTTCGCGGAAATCGCATTGTGCATACTGCCCCTAATAATATGAGATATTTAAGAAATTTTATAAGAAAAACGTTTTTTTTTTCACACCGAAATCGTTTTATTGAAGCATCATCGAATTTTTGGGAATTATCAAGAAGATTTGCCTAATACAGAGAAAATTTAAAAAAAAAAAAGAAAAATAATAATTTTTTGTTTTTTCCCCTTTGTCAATTATTATTTATTTTTTGAAATTTTCTGTGCATTGTCCCTTCAAAATAGAGAAAAATTGAAGCAGTTTGATCTCTTGAAATAAATTATTCTTTTCGATTTTTTAAACTTTATTATTGATAATTGTTTCAAGATTTACTTTTTAGTGTTTCACTGTCAAAAAACTTCCATTCGACTTTTAGATTGTTGACACATTTTCCGTTTTGCCGTCTTACCAAATTTCAAGTAGCTGTAGTCATTCTATGGTTATCGACGATTTTCTTGTTAGCCTAGAAAATATGAATACAGTAACAAGATAATTTGGCGGATTAATCCGCCGACAGGATGGCGATTCGAAACAAAACGACGAACAAGTGGGGGGCGGGGCGTGGCGAGCCAATCATTGCGGCGCGCGGGGGAAAATGGGCGGGGCGAATTCGCGATTATCGTCACATCAAAGACAACACGCAAAAGGTGGCAGTGGGCGCGTTTTGTGACAATTATGTCGTCCTCATCGGCTTTTCCCTACCTGTTAAATGGCGATGCAAAAATGCCTGTATCTAGGTACTGTAGCTCGCCAGAATCGCTGTTTTATTAATCATTTCAGCTCGTCACCGTCGACTTCTTCTTCGTTCTCAATTGACACCCTGCTATCATCCCCATTGAGCTTGCCCCAATTTCCAGCTTCTGCTAATGGCTCAGAGGGATTTGTTAGCGGATTTCCGTGGCAGATGCATCCGTCTTACCCGTTTTTTTGTGAGTTTCTCAAATTTTTTGTTGTTGGGGTTTTTTTTAAGATTTTCATTAAATTTTCAACCAAAAAAGACCAATTGAAAATAATTTTGATTAAATCATTTTTTATTTAAAAAAAATAGAGAATTATTATATTACCATTCTTTTAAAATATCATAAAGAATGCTTCAGCGATGCTGTGCTCGCCGCTTCTGCCTCAATTCATGCCACCGTATCAGCATTTCGTGTCAAGACGCAAACGAAGACATCGCACAATATTTAGCGAAGAGCAGTTGAGCATTTTGGAGAGCACCTTCGTTTCGACGCATTATCCCGATGTTGCAACAAGAGAGAAATTGGCGATTCAATGTGCGCTGAAAGAAGAAAGAGTCGAGGTAATCAATTTGTTTTTTTAAAGGCGCATTCCACAAATTCAACAAACAATTCATAATTCTCCTGAGTAAATCTTCTAGCATTTCTGCTATTGAGGTTTTCATTATAATTAGGTTATAAACTTTCGAAATGGCGCATTCAATTTTCCAATTATTTGCCAAAATTATCCGAAGAATATCAAGAACAAAAAATCTTCCAAAATTATTTTCAAAGTTTGAATTTCGGGTTTGTTGAATCTTTTTGATTGAATCGCGTCGAGACCCAAACACCGTTTTTTAAAATTGATTCCGAATCTCGATCAAATAACAATATTCACCCTAATTTGATGACTATGAAACACTAAAAAATGAGTGGTCTCGAAACGAATGCACCACCCACCCAAAGTCTTAGTCGGATAATCTCGCCTCGACGGAAAGGGTATCAATTTTGTCGCGCGTTGGAAGTGCAACGATGCGCGATCGCCGCCGCTTCTCATTAACTATATGAATCGTATTGCGTGAACCAGATGGTCCAACTTATACCAAAATGCTATAATTAAAATGGTGATGTGCCAATAAATGTGTTTATTCGAAACAATTAGCGGCGGCGGCAAAAATCTCGAAAATATATTTATATATGTATGTGTTGGTTTTCAGGTTTGGTTCAAGAATCGACGAGCCAAAGAGAGGAAGCAAAAACGAGAAGACGGTGTTCGCAAGGGCGTCAGCGACAATTCGGAGTGCGACGACAGCGATGAAGAAGTGCGCAAAGTGAAGAAAATCAAAAAAGAGAAAGAATCGAGTTCGCCTGAATCGAAACCATCGTAGAGTATTATTTTTGTTTTCCCAAAATGTACATTTCTTTCATTTGTCTACCTATCGTTTCTACCTAGTCATGTGTTCCATCGATTTTGAGCCCACAGCACCCGAAATTGGTGTGAGATTCCATTCTTCCGAATTGATAAACAATTTGTTTTCGGTCTGCACATTCCGCCACCCAGGCCAACCCAATTACTGTAATAGGGATATAAATTAGACGTCTTGCGGATAATCCCTCGCGATTATTCGCGCCGAGACCGGTTCTTTTTTGTGGCGATGAAGTGTACGGTAGGTGTCTAATCATCAGCCGTCAAGAGGCACACGGTTCAATTGGCTAATTGTTTTGTTTTTTCTGTAATTTGATTTGGCAACAAGACGAATTAGAAGGGTTTTAGAATTGAAAAAAAAAACAATGGGCGGCAGGGTTTTGAATTTTTCGATGTCGTTGGTTTCTTCGAATTGTCGATATTGAAGAAGCCGGTTTGATATTCCAAATTTGTCTTTTATTTTCGTTATATTTTGATATTTGGTTACAATATGACTCTCTAGAAATAGCACCTACTGAAAACATCGACTCGAGTCCATGAGTGATCCATGTGTCTTTGGAATTTTCGAATTTACGAAATTCGCGGAATACATAACAACAGCCATTTATAAAAACTATTTTGGAGGAATTTCTATGGGGGGGGGGGAATAAATCGTATTGAAAATTCATTAAAATAAGACAACGCAGTCGATTATATTGAGAAATTGATTAATTCTAGGCTATTTCTGAAAAGAAATATCGGCTATCAGAATCAGTCGCCACAAGACCCAACTTATTTCCAGCGTCATGAGACTTTAATTGACTTTTATTTCTTTTTTTAACACAGCGATTGAAATCAGTTTATTCACAACTCGATTTAAACTTTTAAATATGGCCGAATATCATTAATAAAATTAAAATCGGAATAAGAAAACTTGAAGAATTTTCAATTTTGTAAATATATTTTTGAATTCGGTTAAAAGAGTTCATGCAGTTTTTTGTTCTGAGTCTTGCGGCGACCAATTCTGGCAGGATTTTTTTTGTCAGAAACAAACCTGAACGAAATGTGCAATAACGCGTGTCGGTGAACTGCACAATAGTGCAAATCGGACAGTTTCTCAATGGACCGCCCGAAAAATGAATCCGATTAGCGAGTTTTTGCCGCTGGAGGCACCAAATCCGTTGTCATTAATGGATTTACTCAAATCGATTCCCACAACGATTTTGTGCAATTTGCATAATTTCAATCGCGCCGACATTTCTCGTCATCATCTTATGGAGAAGCTGAAGAATGGCGTGTTCAAGGAGCATGTTGAAATCGAACACCGCGTCGAGACATTCACGAAATAAATAATAAATGATTTTTGAAGTGGGTGTACGGTAGTCATCGCCATATTTGTACAAAATGTGTGAGAAGTGCGTGTTCTCACACCTGCCATTAACAAGATGCACATATCGAGTTTCTTGTAGCCACACGAGCTGAACTCCACCAGGCAGGTGACCTATTAAGGCAAGTTCGCATTAATCCGTGTGATCCGCGAGATGTTTGCCAAACTTATTACGCGTGTTCACACACCGCGAGTCATTTTTTTTTCTATTCGCCTTTCTGCTCCCGTATTGACTCTCGCAAATCAGGCAACGATCGATGTCGTCTTCTCGATATTCAAAAGAGCATGAATTAATCTACACGGACACGGTGGAGCGACACCTCTAAAGCTAAAACGCAAATAATTTGTTGGGACGACGCATTGGATGGAAATGAAAACCATAGGTACACACGGGCAGACCCACACACTATCGGAGGATTCAAAAAAAAAAACAACACAATGGGGCATCGGAGATTTATTCGCAATTTCCTCAAGAAATATTCAATGTTCTTGCCGGCGCCGGTTTTTCGCCGCAAAACAGGAACGGCTAGAATTTTACATATTTTTGCAGATGACTTTGTCCAGAATTCGAATCACCTGTTTGGCTGTTCCCTTTGGTATCAAGAATGGTTTTACTACGAACATAAGAAAAGCGTAGAAGATGCCAAGAAACCAAAAAAGTAAAATTGGTGCCGCCAATACATCGAACCAAGCTAATTTCTTCAATAAATCCAATTATCAGAAAATCAACCAATCTTACTTGATTAGAACCAGCCATTTCTTATCACGAATAATCTTAAAATTAAAAAATTGTTTGAAAAAAAAAACACGTCAATGATTAAATATGTTTGCAATTTCCATAACTATTTTATTATATTTCTGCAACAAATAACACGGATAAACTATTACAAGAAATGCTTTGTGCAGGAATATAAGGTATTTGTATGAAGCAATGAATGATTATACAAATCCTTATTACAGATAAAAATGTAAAATTCTTTAAAAATTCTAATCCAGAACTGGCAATATGTGGAACTACAGATAAAAAGGCAAGACAATACAGATTGATTTACAAGAAGTACAGTTTATTTCTCAATGTCTCTTGGGCTTCAGTTTGAAGAGTTTGGGCAACCAAGAAGGCCATTTTATGAGCGTATTGACATAATGCTGGAACACGAACTGTGCCCTGCCAGTTATAATATAAATGGCAAAGTTTGAAAGCGAGCTGCAATATATCAACTTAGAATAAGAGTTAACACATGAACGATACCTTGTGATGCTGATCAGGCGTCAATCCTGTATTGTCGAAAAGAATATTATACGATACTGGCGTAACTGTTCCTTGGTTGACAAATTGTGGAACCATGTAGAAGTCGAGTCTTTCAGGCCTTGTAACGACGGAATCTACGATTGTTCCAGGCTCTGGGTTTACGATAGTAGCTCCAGATCTTAAAATTTCTCATTAAACCAAAACATGTTATCATTTTTACCTCATAATTCTCATATTGATTCTCTTTGTGACAATTATAAATGCAACTTTTATGGCTATTGGTTCTCCGCCGCGCCGCTTCGCTTCTTGTTGACAAACCGAACCACAAGCTTCGGTTACAAGCTTGACTTCCGTGTTTTTGATATATGGAATTTGACCATCTCCAGCGCCATCACGATATAAAATAAGGCGAGTAGGAAGTTTGTTATTTTTGCTGTAGTACTTGCTCAACGCTTCTGAAATTATTCTGTCTAACTATAATAACCAAGATTCGCCCACTTCTAATAAAATGTGTCAGATTGGTACCGAGCTGAGTTGGATTTTCATGCGGTTTTGTTTGCGAATAAAATTCAGTAAACTCAGTATCAACAGTAGAGACGCATGCCCCAACAGTTTTTCCCTTCATTGTTGAATCATGGTAAAGATCATATCCAACCAACATCGTATCGAGCATCTGAAATAATTAATTTCGTCGAATCTTTAAAAAGAAAGAATACAGGAATTCTGATTCTCCAAAGCGCACCGCCGAGTTTGCATGTCATTTGTAGCAGAATTTTGAGAACGATTGATGAGAAGTTACGATTCTCTCCCCCATCTGCTGCCTTTCCAGCTAATGTACGAACGTTGACGCACTGTGAAGGAATCGGAAGCTCGGTACATAAAAGCTTTTTGACACCATCGTATCTAGTTTTATTGTCATCGTTAAGAATGACAACCGCCATCTGGACCTCTTCAGTATTTGCGTGAACGACAGCTCTCAATGCAGAAAGATAACCGACAGGAGAAATATCTTCGAGCGGAACACCTTGTGGGGTTGCAATTTGGACTCCAATGTCCCGTCCTAATCGTTTGATTTCGACTATATTTTAAAAGTTAGGAAACTTGAATTGTAAGGTTCAATTACCAATGAACTTCGTAATCAATTCTGATCGATTTTCGGGTCCAACTATAATCCAATTTGACAAGTTCTTTCCGCGATAAATTCCGCTTTCTTTGGTTCCACGAGCCCACTCGGCGTTACGGCCACTGTAAGCATGGTCGCGTCCACCGATCAACTTCTCCCCGTCGAGGACTCGTGTTGGTACTTGAACAAGATCGTCGGCCATGCGAATGTTCCAATAATTCAAATAATCCGCAACTGAGTTCTTTTTATGGAACATTTTTAATAGTTCCATTGTGGTCCTATACCGCTGTTGTGGATTAAGACGAGTGTAGCGCGCAATTTCTCTCATCATTTTATAATCCTTCCTCATTTCGTCAGTGAGCCCGGTTGGAAAACACAACTCAGGAATTAAATAGTTGACTTGAGGTGGCTCACCGGGCTGTTTCGGTTTTCCTTCCGAGATCTGAAATGTATTATTTGAAATCGTTTTGAAGTTATTTATTACAATAATTGGTTGATTGTCGTACTTAATAGTAACACGATATTGGTCTTCAAAATATTGTTTGAGGGTTATTTTTTCGCCATCCTTTTCAAAATATGTAAGAGGCGAAAGCCTATAATCCAAGCGAGTGAAACGATGAAGTTTGTTGTTATAGCTGTAAAAAAAACGTTTACAGCTGGGTAACGTGAACCTGATTATTACACAGTCATAATTGTCGTTCCTCCGTAGAGTTCATCTATCTTGTCCTGTGTACGTTGGATGGACTTTCTGCATTGGTCGTATTCTTTTTGAATCTAAAGAAATTTCATTTCTCAAGTTTATATGTAATGACCCGGAGTGTTTACCATTTCCCACATGCTTTCCATCCGAACCATTTTAAAACGGTTTTCTACAGCAAGCATCAATTGATCTTCATACATCCTGATAGACGTTTCATATCCAGGCAAAATTCTCATTTTGTATTCATTAACAAGGCTCCCGTTAGGCTCAAAATAATGACGGCCAAGTTGTTTAAGTCCCAAATCGTCAAAACATCTATAATATATATTTTTAAAACCTTCTAATTTTTCAATACCTTCTAATTATAACATTAAACGTATTAATCGTTTGAGCATCATTCAAATGATATCGAGATGTGAATTTGAATTTCACGGCATGCGGAAGCTTGGTTTTTGGATGAGCAACTTCGATAATTTGCTGTAAAACGTGTCATCAGAACTTTGAAAATGATTAAAATACCTGATTTTCCCATTCTTCTTTTAAATAGAGGATCATTCCATCGAAAACACCATATGCACCAATTTCAGCTACAATCTTTGAATCCTGGAGCATTTGTTGCCTGAAATAATAAAAAAAATTAACTATTAACACTAAATTCGGATCACACATATTATTCTTTATTTTAACTCAACATATTATTCATCATTTTAACACAATTTCCTTACCGCATAAACTTTGAATCAACAGACGGTTGAAATTCGATATGGTACTGGTAGATCGCGTAGTTGTCAACAACCATTTCCAAAGGAATCATGTTGCTATAACATGGTTGAGGACGCCCTGCGGTTCCACGTTTAGCAGCTCCTGGCTCACGGGTAAACAAATCATTTTGAATAGTCCCGAGAAAATTTTGCTTTCGCTCTCCCGAGTTTTCCGTGGATCCACTTCCACGCCCTCGACCTCTACCTCGACCAGAATCCATTTTCTGAAAATCAAAATTTTTTTAGTCCAACTAACGGAATCAATGTTTTATTCATAAGTTATTTACATCTATTGAAGAGAGTAACAGAAAATCCGAACAAAACGACCATCACGGAGAATGAAAATAAAAAATGAATGACAATTTTAGGTTGGATAAAAATGCAATGGTCTCGACGCGAAGCAATTGCACAATTGCGGACTTTCAAAATTACAGTACTCATTTGACTTTTATTATGAGCGATTTCATACATTGCAATCAATGCTTCGTTTGTCCACCAAGTTCAAGATTTTTCCTCGCTTCATGTTTTCATTTATTATGTGAAAAATGTGCGAATAATGGTAGTTTAAATTAATTGCTTGAAAATAACAAAAATTTCAGATGAAAAAAATTGTATGGTGTGCAAAAAATCTGTTAAATATGTGCCGATTTCTTCGTCAATGAATGTCGAACTAAAACAATTATTTATGGTATTTTATAAATTTAGTTAAATTAAATTGATTAATTCAGAATCCTGGACAGCTCGTTGACGTACGTCTGAAAGAGCTTGCAAATCGAATGGAATTTCAAAAAATGATGTCCGACCATTTACTTGATCATTTGAAAAAAGAAGTACGCAATCCAACTTTTTTTTCATTGAGCATAATTTTTCAGAGATTAAAAAAACAAAAAATGGAGGCTTACGTAAAAAGTAAGTTGAAAGATTTTGAAAAGAAACAAAAAGAAATCGACAAACTAAATGAGTGGATTAAAATGGCTGAACAGAAGCTGATGGAAGCGGAAGAACAAAAGAATGCTCAAAATCAAATGATTGATATGCTTCAACGTGAATTACAGTACGCAATTCAACAGTATTACACAAAAATATTACATTCTAGAGCGTCAAAGGAAGCTGACGAGGAAATTGTGCATAATGCGATAGATAATGGTCCATCAATGGAGTTCCGATTTGAGCCAATGCCGAAAGCTGGTGCTTCTGATTTGTTTGATCAAAAACGAATAATTTTACAGGTTCTGTGACTGGAGCAAGTTCAGTTTCGAGTTTCAACATCAGTTCGCCTTTTGTTTCTCCGGCTCCTTCTGAGGCCCATCTTGAATCTTTCGATTCTATTCCATTGATATCAAGACAAGATGCTTTATCATCGATGAAAACTCCGTCAAAATCCAAAAAAGAACCATCTTCATTCAGTGCTGCGTTCAATGAGGTTTTCTAGCGCACTTCTTTTTTTACATTTGACTTTTTTCAGATGCTTACACCATCCAGGGCTTTTGTGAAAACAATAGTGAGCTCGGAATATAATGAAAGGTAAATATTTTGCAAACATTGGAATTATTTATGATCTTAAAAAAAACTATTTCATGCAAAAAAAATTATTTGCAGAATTGAATAGAATAGCTTATGAAATTTCATAATATTGTTTCAGTTTCAATTTTTAGACCTTCCAATTCTTATACGGAAAAGGATGATTCTTCTCAGCGTTACGCGAAAATTTTCGAAGAGCAGTCCTCACTGCGGTTATCGAATACGTCACGAACATCGTAAATATTCAGACAGCGAGAGTCGTCGCATTAAAAACTTCGTTTTTGCAGTCGCAGCTCGACAACGACGACGTCACCGCGTAAACGCGAACGTTTCACGGAACGCGAGCAGCGATTCCCAAGTCCAGTGAGAGCATTGCGGCGAAATGCCTCGCAAGCTGGTACGTCCGTCAAATTCGGTGTGGAAGTCCGCAACGGCTCGGTGAACACACTGGAGCTAACGCGAAATCTCACAAGACACGATTCTGTCGTTTTTTTTTAAATCGACTTTTTTCTTTACAGGTGTCGTTACACGCCATCGAATCATTCCGCAGTCTTATTTAAATATGTCTGAGAAATATTGATTGCTTATTTGTATTCTCATGTATATTGCCTCTTGTATTATCTTTATTTGTTTTCATTCGTTTCATAAAATGTTTCATTGATAATTTTAGATGGCAAGTCCCAGAACAAGACGTGTATTAAAGGAACTACGGCCGTTGGATGAAAATAATGTAAGTTGTGAATGCGGTAGCATTAAATCCCTTTATTTTTCAGTTTTGTTTTGAATGCGAAGCCAACAATCCGCAATGGGTTTCGGTGACGTATGGAATTTGGATTTGTCTTGAATGTTCTGGGATCCATCGAAGCCTTGGTGTACATTTAAGGTACGCAATTGACTGTATTTTCAGCCGACAAGATCAAAGTTTCAGTTTTGTTCGATCGGTTACAATGGACAAATGGAAAGATATCGAATTAGCGAAAATGAAAGCCGGGGGAAATCGAAAATTCAATGAGTTTCTTCAATCGCAACCTGATTATAAAGAAAATTGGACGATACAGGAAAAATATAATTCAAGGGCAGCGGCATTATTTAGAGATAAAGTAAGAAAGGACACATTGATATATTTAAAATAGGTTTTTTAGGTTGCATGCGAAGCCGAAGGCAAAACGTGGATTTTGTCTGAATCTCCCGCACGGAATTATGTTCCTCCAACTCTTGGTGGTGGATCGAATGCCTCCAGGAATACAAGTAAGACAAGTGGAAATTCGTCCCTAGGATCATATTATGGTGGCAACTCAAGTTATTCGCAATCGTTAGGAGATGGTGCTTATGGAAATTCCGATGGGTAAATTTATTCAAGATGAATTTTATTGGCTTTGTTTTTTAGAGGAAGCAAATATCAAGGATTTGGAAATGAACCATATGATCCCAATAAGCAAAATAATAGCGATGATGTTCTTGCGGGAGCATTATCATCGCTTTCGATGGTAAGATTGTTCATCTATTCTGGGTTGTCAAAACGGGCCCCCGGCCCGGCCCTGGGCCCTATAGGGCCGGGCCTAGGGCCGGGCCGGGGGCCCTGTTGTTTTAAACCTTTACAAGATAATTTTCATTTTAAACTTCTGCGGACATTTTTCAGTTTGTTATTATTGAATTATTTTTCGAATACAAAACAGATAGATCTATTGTTTGAAATTTACATGTTTTATATCTAAAAAATTTATTGTAATAGAAAACAAATTAAATATTCAAGTTGGTTTTCGCCTGGATTTCACTGAATACAATGAGCTTTTCAGCGTATGCAAACGACATTCGTCTACGATTATTAGAAAAAATGAACTTAACGTGACTTAATTGTCTCTCAACCGCAGCTTCAGAGGTTGCACATGAAAAGATTTTCCGGGCAACGCGGTACAAATTGGGTAAAATAGATCTATTCATAGGCCAATAGATTTCGGGGGAATTCCTATTCTGGTCGATTTTATAACGATTAATCTCGTCATTTATGGTGCAACTCGTTGGTGCAATAGCGGGGATGATTTTTTGTAATATGGATGGAAGCGGAATTATTGGTTTGTTCTCATCTTGTTGCCGCATCTCTTTGATGTTGAAGCAGTCGTTATGAACATTGGTGATATATTCCGCTGCATCTTCATAAAGATCAAATGGCAGCTGAATAATTCAATTATTAAAATTATCAATAAGTTATCTACCGAATGCTTGTCGCAGAGGTCTTGTAAAACCGTCAAATCCTTCGTAACTGGATTTAAAAACGTAGCCGCTGCGTGGATTTTGCCATACGCTGTTACATTTTCTTTTAATGCTAAATACGCAGACTTGCTTAATGTCCGCAATGCCTTAAATGAAAGTTCATTTTAAAATTATTTTTGTATTATACTTCATAAGTCTCGATACATCAATTCTTCATAGTGCACGAGTAGACCAATATAATATGGAAGCGCGAAGTGCATTTGAACGCTTTCGTTCTAAGATTTTAATTATAAATTGAATGAAATTAAGTTCTCACTTGATTTTCAACACACATATCTTTCAATGGATTTAACGTTTCAATGATGTCTTTCATGAGACCGCGATTTTCCACTTCATTCAGTTCATAAACGCCACTTTTAATATCTTCGGGAAACAATTCAACATTTCCAATCAGTAGGTTGATATGAGACGAAAACCAAACTAGCATATCATATGTCGAGAGCCATCGGGTGGAAGAAATTGTCGGTGGCGACAATTTCAGTGTTCCCAATGTCTAGAAACAATATTATATTTAATAAAATGCTAATTTTATATTTAATACTCACGCATTTAATTTTTGTCATTTTCGATGATAAGTTTTGGATAAAATCAATGAGTTTTTCAGCTTTGAACAATATTTCCATTTCATTTGCGCTCAAGTTCTGTTTTCTAATCGTGGTTTTGTATGGGTGAATGGTATGAACAGATACAAGGTTCGCTAAGTGCGACAAACAACGAACATCTGAAATTTTATTGAAATTTCGGTTTCGAAAAAATCTTACAAGAAAAGAATGATTTTCCTACTGAAATCATATTCGAGGCACCGTCTGCAACTAAAATCGCCTTTTCAACAAACTTCGATTCCCATCCAAAATCTTCGAATATCTCCCGAATTATTTTTATAATCTGCAACATTGATTATACATTTATACTAATCGTTGAAACCTCAGAAGACGTCTTTTCTCTTTCAGTCACAATTCGCGCAGCCAGTGGAACAGTTACTTGATTCCACCTTGAAACTCCATCTTCATCCAATTCGTCAGTAATAAACGACATTTTCACGCATAAAAAATCTTCGTGAACTTTTCCATAATCGATGAGTATCGCGGCATACTTCTCGGTAACGTGATAACCGACCTAGGTTAAATATTCTCATTCCTATTTTTGCATTTGAAATTCTTACAATATCTTTAGGCGAGTCCTTCAAAGAATTCAATTTGTCTTCCATGCACTTTCTAAGTGTTGACCGACTTGGCACTGAAAACCGAACTCCAGAATCTAGACCTCTTCGACTGAAAATTTTTACTATGAACACATTAAATTACTATCGTTTTTTACCCAGTTTCTATAAGTCTTTCGCAAAGAACCTTGAATGGTTCTTTTTCCATGATATTTAGTGGGAGACCCGTCGAAATAAAAAAATCGGTTAATATATCTTTGATTGGACATATTTCTCTGTATTCTGATGTGCATGGTTCTCCAATATCATTTCTTTTTTTACAAGACGATGTGTGCCTTCTGAAAAAATTATAAATTCTTCATGAAATTGCACGTTTCTTACTTAACGTGGCCACCTCCTGATGACATGACTTCGAAACATGATGAACAATACAAAAATTTTGTAGGAATTCTTTTCTCGTCTTCTATTACCATTACTTTCCATACCGCATTATTTTTAGTTTTTTCCTAAATTTATTTCATTAAAAAGTTTATTCTAGTATTAATAATTTTACCAAAACGACGTTAGATTCCATTATTCGTTTCTTCACTTCTTCTTTATTAAATGTCCTATGGTTTGTAGAAGTTCTTGATTTCGGCGTCAACGGAGTATCCATATGAAAATTATTTTATTTAATTGACATTTAATCGCTAATTAAATGAGAAAAGTTGCAAAGAATCAATAGAATGAGAGAAAAAAACTACTAGAAACGACGCTCCGCGTTTACGCTGCCTATTGTTTAGTGTAATTAGCGTCGGCGGCAATTCAAACTGGGCCTGTAGGGCCCCCCGGCCCGGCCTCGGCCCTATAGGGCCCAGGGCCGGGCCGGGGGGCCCTGTTTTTTTGACAACCCTGATCTATTTAAAAAAAAAAGCTGCAAGCAAAGTTAAAATGTAAGAAATAATCTAACATTGTTGTTTTCAAACGACTGATCGAGATTGAAAACAAATTGGCTGTGTGTGTGTCGATATTCTTTTAAAAGAATCAAAAAGTCTAAAATATATCCTACTCTACGCTTGTTTAGTTGGAGGTTGTGTGGGGGATTGAAGTCCAAGGAGCTGTTTGATTTTACGGCTGTAAGTTCCGGTCGACTCAATTGTTTCTTCCTTGTTACGATAGTCTGTCCAAAGTAGTGTCTCGAAGCAAAGAGACGTGAGGGTATTTTGCATAATATCGTACATTTTTTATTTCGCCAACACATAAATTAACACTGATTTCATGAGAAGAAGCTAGTCGTTTAAAACTGAAAATAGTACCACGCATAAGTTTTTTTTTTCAGGGTTGGTCAATGCTTTCAAAGGGAGCGACAACTGCTGCGGCGCTAGCCAAGGATGTCGGAATGCAAGCAACTCAAAAAGCTTCACAACTTACTAATGATATGGTATAATTTGTTGAATTTCAATTCTTCAATATTTTTTTTTACAGTCCCAGAACAATTCATTATTTGGCGGTGTTGCTTCAAAGGCAACTGAAGTAGGCTCAAAATCTTGGGACGGATTGTCGCAGTTTGTAAAATCCCCTTCACTTCAAGCATTTTCTGGAATTCTTGCAAAAACGTAAGAAATTTAAAATTGGTTTATTAGACCGTTTCAATTTAGCGGATACGAAGATTTTGGAGGAGGTTCATCATCCAAGGACGAATTCAATGAATGGCTTCAATCTGCTAATTTGTAATATTTTGCATAATTTTACTCATATATTTTATTTTCTTTTAGACCAAAAGGAACATCAGAAGGCGCCAATCATATTAGCAGTGAAGGTAATTTATGAGGAAAAATATGTTTGAATGTTTTTATCTGCAGAGGTTGTCCAGAAAGTGTCAACTGAGAAAAAAGCGAGAAGTCCGAAGCCAAAAGAGACTCTAAAACCTACGGAAAAGGGTAAAATTTTTTCACTTAAAAATTTGATTCTGATTTTTCCTAGCTTTAGTTTTTAAATATAAACGTTTCTGATGCTATATGATTAGATTTTTTCTTTTCAGAAATGCCGTCAAGCTCCACAATTGCTCAATTTGAAGCGTCGGTGGATAAAGTGAAATCGAGTGCGCCGAAGCCAGCGAAGAAAGTTGAAAAGGTGGAAAAAGGATGGGACGATGATGCCTGGGACATTCTAAATCAATAATTGTGCAAAAATCGAATCATACATAATTTATTTTCTCTCGTCATCTTCTTAGCCGTCTATTCTAGTATTTCTTTCCTATTCTTTCCTGTTTTGCTGTGATTTTCCATTTCCAATCATTATTTTCTTTTTTTATTTAATGTGCCCTTGGTTTTCTTTTCCGAAAGGAGTTCAACTTATAAATGAGATTGAAATTAGTCAGATGTCAGTTCGTGTTGTAGAAAAAAGTGTATTAATTTCTAATATTTGGTTTTCAATTTAACGTTTTGACAATTAATTGAGATAATTAGGCAAAATGGTGAAGAGAAAAAGAATTAATGTGTCGGAATTTGGTAAGAAATTCGCGGTGGCTTTGAATTTTATTTTCATTTGAAGATGCGATGCTGGATAAAGCAATGAAAAAAGGAGATACTGTGGGAATTGTGGACTGCTATAATGAAATTGGCAAGGAGAAAGCTGAGTTTGATGATTTCGATGGTGCTATTGAAGCATACTTACAAGGTTACTGTAATAGATTGAACAAACTTTAAAAAATCACGAAAAAATTGTAAATTTAGGAAGCAGCGAGGCTCGAAAAGCCGGACTTGTGCTCGAAAGAAGCTTCTCTGAACGTGGTCTAGCTGAAGTTTATGCGAAATTGGGTGAAAATCAAACATTGCATATGGTTTTTATTCAATATAGTTGAGGATTTTAGGCAATAAATCGAAATGTTTTGATCATTTGAGCATGTTTAAATCACTATCAATTGAGAGCGGAAATGATTCACAAATTCAGCTTTCTCTGCATGTCGAAGCATGGTGTTTGCAAAATTTATTCGATAAGGGAATGGCGGATCGGATAGATCTTGAAAGGGTTTGAACATTACTTGAAAAGTGGAAAAAAATGAAATAAGTGAATTATTAGGCTCTTAGTGTTGCTAAATCTTCTATTGAATATTTGGAGAAGAAGCGGTCTGCAATTGCAAAATTTAGATATTTGGGAACAATTGAGCAAAGAAAATCGAAGTTGGTAAGCAATCGGCGAATACTCGAATTTTTTCTTGAAAAAAAATGAAATTATTTGAGCTTTTGATGATAGCTCAAATCGAGCAAATGCTTGGAAATGATTCGAAAGCTTTATCTCATTTATGCGATGCTGAACATGTTATTCAGTAAGTCGAAACCGATAGAAATTGTGAAATTCAACCAAATTTAAGGGATAATGACAAGGAAATTTTCTACGAGATTCTACTAACGAGAAGTGGTTTTGCGCCGATAAATCAACGTGTTCAAATTGCAAGAAAAATGGTGAAAATTGCATCGAAAGAACGCAAAGGAGATGCTCTTCATGAACTTTCTCACGTAAGCAATTCATTTTTTTTCAATTCTAAACTTTAATTTTTTAAACATTTCCTTTTATTATATTTTTAGAAAGTTCATCAATTTAAAAAAAATGTTTTCAGCAGCTTATTCTTAATGGCGAATTTGATGAAGGTTACAAAAGACTTCGGGAAACATATTTTGAGAATTCAAAATATTTACACGATGATATTGTGGATATCAAAAGTAAATTGACAATTTGTAAGAAATTCATCGAATTCCTTTTGAAATTTTTGATTATTAAGTGTTTAAAATATCAATGTACAACGAAGAGCTCAAAAACCCAACGGAAATGGAAAAATGCGAAATTTATGAAGCGCTCGCCGATCTTCATGATGAATATTTTCGGTGATTTACGAATTCAACACTTTTTTGGCTTATCTTGAATCTCATGTATTTCAGATTTCTTTCGAATCGTGAAAAACGAGAATATCGCCATTTTGCTGAGGAGAATATCATTGAGAATTACAAAAATATGATACGGTATCGAGATTTTTTTTTTCGAAGAACGCCCCACATTTTTGACGTGTTTTTAGGAATAAGCGCGATATCAAAGACGAAATTCGTGGTCTTCTAGCGATTGGACTCGTTTATCAAGATCTCAATGAATATGTCAACTCGAAATCGATATTCGAGAAACGTCTTGAACTTCAAATTTCAAATAATGCGTCGATTGACGAGATAATTGACACGAAAATTTCCATTTTCGAATGCATGTGCCATTTGAAACGTGATGGTCTTTTTAAGGAATTTGAAAATCTCAAAAAACAAACGAGAACGACTAGCTCAAGAAAAGTATGAATTCTTATATTGATCTATTTAAATCAATTTTTTAAAGGAATTGTTTTTCGTTTGGGCGGACTATTTAGAAGAAATGAAGGAAATTGATGATGCCAAGTATTGTCGAAATATTGCAGAAGGTCTAAATGATTCACCTTCGGAATTGGAAGATGATGGCACGGATAAGCTGTTTGGGAATTGGAGTGAAGACAAAATTCTTAAAGAATGCAAAGGTTTATCGGGAAATGAAGATGAAATGCAAATAGAAGAACATGGTTGAATTGCAGTTGAACATGAGAAATTGGCAGCAAAAGAAAAAGCGATGCTCAAAAAGGATCGACAGAACAATACTGGAGAGACGGAATTGCACAATGCGGCGAAAGTGGATAATCCGGAAATGGTGGAGCATCTATGCCAGCAGGTAAAATAAACCTCGAGAATCCAATAGTTTTGGTGGCGTTTCGTGCATTTTTGATATTCAATAGGGCTATTCTGTGAATGTTGTCGATAATGCCGGATGGACACCGTTGTCGGAAGCAGTCAATCACGAGAATTATGAGAATGTGGCGATTTTGATCCGATACGGTGCCGATGTGAATATTGCAAGTAAAGAAGGCTTTGAGAACAGTAGTTCTAGACGAGAAGTACGTGTGATATCGCGTCTGATGAACAATATTATTGAATGAATTCAGCATACTCGACTAACGCCGCTCATGGAAGCTTGTGCTCAAGGTTTCGAGAAAATCGCAAAGCTTCTAATCGAGAATGGAGCGAAATTGGAGAAACGCGACAGTCTTGGATATTCGGCGTATAATCATTTGGAGTAATTTTCCATTCATTTTTTTGTTTTTTTCAAATTTCGTCTTCAGAGAATATATTCGAGAAAATGGATATACGGAAGAGCAGAAATTATTTAAAGTCTACTTCGAGGAGCTCATGAAGGAGAGGAATGTGAGCTTGAATGTGGCTGCACCGCGAGCCGTACTCGAAGAAACTCAGGAGAGCAACACTCAACGGATGCCAGCGCCGGTTCAGCCGTCGCAGACGTCGCCGATTATTCGGGATCGAAAACGCATGAATCGGTCGAGCGCAGGATCGGAGAACAGTGTGAAACGAAAGCCAACGAGTCCGACTCCGCCACTTTCGACGAAAATCATCAGCCGGCAAAACACGCCAGATGTTATTGAGATGCGGACGCCGGTTCGGGTTTCGCCGCCGTCGGTGCGGCAGACGACGCCACTAGCAGCGACTGCGGCAACTTCAATGGCGTGTTGTCCAGTTCGAGTGTTCTTCGTCAATCCGCCTAACGATCAAATTAAAAATATGATGTGGTCTTTGCCAAGGTTCGACTCAACAAAAATATTCCAAAAACGATTTATTCAGACAATCCACCATCGCCGATTTGCGGCGAAAAATATTGAGCTACTTGAAATCGGCAGAATATGAAGTGCGACTGCAGACGCATGATGGTACAAATATGGAATATTCTGATGAGGTGCTGCTCGCTCAAATCGGCGACGATGTCAAGATTGACTGTCTTTTGGAGATGGGATCAGCTGCTAAAATTTATTCGAATTCTAAAGGTATTTCTAGATTCATTCTAATGCATGTCGTAGTACTGTGGGACCTGGTGATAGTCTGCAACATTGATTATTCGTGCACTTCCCAATTCATCTAACACCAACCGTTGTACATTGAACCCCCATAATGGTTGGCACTACCGTAATACGGTGTGTAGTGCGAGTTGTAGGCGTAATGTTGTTTTGGTTCGTAGTAGGATTGATGGTCGTTGTAGTACGATGGCTGGTACTTGGAATAGTAGTCTGGCTGTGAATGGGAGTCGTCTAAAATTGATTTAGCTTCATTGTTGTGATTGGATGTTTCAGCTCACATTTGTTGTAATATTGGTCTTGATATCCACCGTATTTATTGTCATGGTAGCTCGACTCATAGGGGTTCTTCAGAAAGACTGGCTTGAAGTGTGAGCCGCCTAAATTCTCCTCATGAGTCTTGTGTCTGTTGTGAGTTTGACTTACCGAACATGGCGAATGCCGAAGCGCAGCAGACAACAAGGAAGATGGTGAGCGAATGCATTGGTGATTGTGAAGCGTCGATTCGGCAACTCGCTTATATACAGTGCCCGTCCGGATGTTTCTGCCGTCGTAGCTATTCATTGCTGGTTTATTGGGTCCTTCCGACGGCAGTTGGGGCCGGTTTTCCGGGTTAATTATTGTGCGACTTGACATTTCCAAGAAGCGAAATTATGTCGACAATAAATTCTGACATCTACCCAACATCGATCTTTTGTATGAGATATTTATTAATCTATAGTAATTATCATTTTTTTATAATAAATAATAATTTTTGAACTATTTGAAATTCGTTAATCTTGTTTCCGGAAAATTATTTTATAATCATTTTAGCACAACAGCAAGAGCGGTATGTGGTTAGCAAATGATTTAGAATGACCAATCAGCAATCATTCGTTATTATTTCCATGGGATTCACGCGTTGATTGTTTTTTTCCACGCAATCATGTTCAGACATGTTGTGGATATAACGATTATTTTAAATTTTTGTCGAGTTATTGAATAATGAAAACGGAAAAAAGTTTCTAGAGAATTAAAAAAAATGAGCATAGTTTTCTTCTTCTCTATGTAAATCATTTTCCCAAAAATAAATGTGTTCAACTATGAAAATGTGTCGTAAATGCCAATTTCTGCGGATTCTCGTTTATCTTCAAATATATTTTCGAATTCCTTGAAATACAAGAACCTATTTATTAGGTAATATTGTTCGTTGAGCATTGTTCGATTTCGATTCCTATTCGTTTTTTTTTTAAATTTTATTTTTTCCTGTGGCTGTTCAGAAATGTATTTGGAGAAATACTGTATTTGTACCCAATTACACCGTTTTTTGATTTCAATTTCTTTTCGATTTCTTTCCTAAAGGTTCTAATGATTTTTAGTAACTTCTGTTTTTTTTCCACCAATTCATCAATTTAAGTCGTAATACAATGTGCACGTTTAAAAATATAAAATTTTAAATTGGTTTTCAAATTTTCCTCGCTAGAGACCTTGAAAGCTTGTTTCTTATCATTGGTTATTTAAGGACTGAACCGAAAAAATGATTTGGTAAAAAACGATTGCGGGATATAAAATCTTTATTTTATTACAAAATTCTTATCAACTATTAATCGCAATTATTTGCTCAATTTCTTAATGATGCATATCAAAATGATGCGGAGCATGGTAGTCGTCGTGCTTTGGCTGCTCATTGTAGTACGATCCGTAGTATGGAGTGTAGGACGGCATGTAGTGCGAGGTGTGCTCGCCGCCGTACTTTGGAGCATAGGCGTGGTAGTAAGAGGAGATTGGGTTGTATTGTTGATTATGGTAGTCTGGCTGGTAGTGCGAGTCCTTGTCGTCGTCATACTTTCCATATGATTCTTGGTTGTAGTACTTCGATCCATAGGTGTGCATTTGGAATGGCTGGTAGTACGAGGTCGAGTGTCCGCCAGGATAGTAGCTCGAGTGCTCTGAACGTATTTATATGAGCGATTGACCATTTATGGAGCTTTGTTACCCATCACGGCGAAAGCCGAAACAATACAGAAGGCAGAAATGATGAGGGATTGCATGATTCGATGATGGCTTTCGGACCGGGTCCCACGGCTTTTATACTCGTCACGGAATCGTATTGTAGTACGACGAGTTTTCACTTTTCATCTTGCTGCTTGCTTTTTTTTCCATTCGATATTGTTCGGTTATGTCAAATGTTCGAATGAATGTTCATCATTGCTTCTCATTTCCGGTTTTCATAATTTATTACAGACGCGATCGCCGAGGTTGTTCGACGTCTTGAGCAGCTCCCGAAAACATTGGATTTGTCGAATTTATTGATTGATGAGAATTCGTTCGATACAGTCACCACCGCCATCAGCAACTCATCGCCGTCATCAGTGGAATCTGTGAATTTGTCGAGATGCCGTAAGTTCTCAAGCAGATTTTCTTTAATATGTATTCATTTCCTTCCATTTTAGGTTTATCTATCGATAATGAGAACCATTTGGCTAATTTGATTGCAAAAGCTAGCAGTTTGAAATTGAGAGCAACTCATTCGATGACCGGATTTCAGGCGCTATTTAAGGTATTGAATAAATGTTTGAAGATTCAATAATGTTTTGTTTTTTTTTTTAGGAAATTTCATCTCTAAAAATTCTCGAGATAAGTGCTTGCGAGTTTTCTCAACATTCGGACCTCGCCGCGATTCTCAAGAAATGCCCGAACTTGGAGAATCTTGAATTGGCGGCGATTAAAATGAAACCGACAACACCATCCCCAATTCCTTCAGCTTTTGCCGGTTGGTTTAATTTTTGAACAAATTTTCAAGGTAATATTTTTAAGATTTCCGTTGCCTCACATTTTTGGATATTTCACACTGCTCCTCATGGACATCGGAACAGGATTTGAGCGAGATTTTTGAAAATTGTCCCAATGTTGCTAAACTTGCTTTGAACGATGTCAAAAGCGCAGTTTCATTCGATGTAATGATTGAAGACAGGAGTAATGAGATAATTTCGCAAATTTCAGCCATTTTGGTTTCCCAAACTATCGGAATTCGTTGCGAGACGCTCCGATCTCGAATGGTGCAGCCTTTTCGCATTTTTTACATCTTCGCAATTGAAGAAAATTGATTTACGAGCTTCGACGGTTCCCGAAAATGTGGTACGAGAGTTTCGGGAAGAATCGAGGCATGCTGAACTACTATCATAAAACTGACGTCTTTTATAATCTTACAACAAAAAATATATATTAAATTTGTGATCTATATTAACTGTTAATGCGATGACTCTTCATACGGGCATGTTCGACAGATTGCAGTGATTTTTCCGTCGAACCGAGGCAGTTCATCATCATCGCGATAAATGAGCGTCCATTGATAAAGGGCAGTGCCATCTTCACAGAAACTTTTGAAGAAGAATCTATAAAAGCCGAAAGATTCATAGCTAGTTATTTTTTAAATCCATTTCCAAACCTGCTGTCTTCGGTGTACTGAACACCAAAAAGATTGCGAAAATATCGAAAATTGACAGGCTGTGGTGAAATCTTGGCCACCATTGGCACATCGTACTCATGTCGCAACTCGATTGTCAACTTTGCCTCATCCTTTTTCCTTCTGAATTTCACATTTATATTGGAAATCTTTAAAGTGTTACGGTTGAAGCGTTGAAAACGTATTTTCGCGTTTGACAGTTCGCTCCAACGTATTTACACCGGATTTACTATAGCCTGCAGTGACGAAATAAAGAAGAGTCGAAGGAAAACAATGAATTGCAAAAACCTCTCTCAATGTTTGTGAAATCGCTACCGAATCCGCTGGAGTCTGAAGTCGATTGCCTCTTTTTCCTAAAATGAAACAATTTGTGGGAAACTCGAAACCGGCGACACACCTGTAGAGCGATTCAAACCTTCTCGGCATTGTCGTCGTCGCGGTTTTCGGCGGCGGCGGCGCAAATCCATTTGCACCATATGGCGAGTCTCCGCCGTCTGCAACACTCACGTCTAAACCCCCTCGCCGACCCTTCTATCAATAGAATCACTGATCAGTGCTTGTGGTGTTATGGTCGACTTGCACAGATAAACGGCGGCATAGGCACAATGGAAGCATAGTGGAACGGCTGTGGATATCATAGGAATCTTATATGCAAGTTATATGGAAGCATAATGGAAGCATTTTTTTGCGGAACCGCGTGTTTCGTATATGGAATGAGCCGTATGCCTTCCATATGGGAAAATAAGAAAACAATTTGATTGCTGTATTCAAAATTTATTTCATATTAACACATTTATTTAATTTAAAATAAAAAAAACAACAATGAAATGAATTTCAATTAAGATATAATCAAACCATTAGTTACTGGCAACTGCCGAACTATTCGAATCATTGTCAGTACTGACATCGAGCGGGACGCTGTAATAAGTAGATTATAATGGGCCTATTAATTTGAAAAACTTGTAAACCATTGTTACGTAAACTAAATTTTTCGAGAAAATACAATCAGTTTTTTTTACATCAATAATTTTCTTAAAAATAAAAATAATTTATTTTTATTGCATTTTTGGAAACCCTTTAGTGCACAAAATAAAAAGTGAATTGGCGGAAGAAAGAACAACTCCAAAATTTGAAGCAAAAAGGCATTTTGGTTAAAATTTCAAAGACATATGAATACTCACATCTGAGGGTTGCTGGTAGAATCAAGCAGCTTCCTTAATTGCGCCGCGAGCGCTTCCGGCGCTACACCAAATTTCCTTTGAAGTCGTTGGCGCATTCTATCGCTTAATCAAATAAATAAATTAATAGTCATAGTTCAAAATCTTACAGAAGATTATCCATGACTTCTCGAACCATGCGTAATGCTTTCGCTTTGAAGTCATTTGTCGGTTGTTGCCCAAAGCCATGGATAAGAGCATCTGTAATATAGATATTTGCAATAAAGTATAGGATCTTTATATAGTCGGCGTCTGGCGACTTCTGTACTAGAGCCCCACTTAAAAAGATAAATGCCACTGAATGATATTGGTACGAAGGCTGTGCGGCAATCGGAAATTTCGGCGATTCGGCTAATGGCAAATTACCGATCGAAATTTTCTTCGGCAATTTGAAAAACCGGCAATTTCGGCAATCGGCAATTCCATTGCCGCACAGCCCTGATTGGAACCAAATAATCAACAAGCTTTAAACTTAGGAAGTACTTTATAAAGACTTCATTGCGCATATTTTTCTAATTGAAACCATTTCTGGAGTCGAACAGGCCAATTTTTGATGATAACAACTTACAAATTGGGCGTACGAAGGTTTAGGAATTGGCGTTGATTTTGTTGTTTGTGAGGACTGTGGAGAAAAATTTTTTTGCTGAGTTGGCGAGTAAATTGGACTATCTGGATCTGAAGTGTCGAGCGAATTTGGTTCCATGTTAGGGACTTCTGGTCCTTTGTTATTGACTTCTAGAGCAGTTTCAGTTATATCTGACAACACTCTCGATCTTGTCTTCATCTGTAAAAAATTTCAAAACATTATGTTTTATTAAAAGAAAAAAGCGAGCGATAATAAAAAATATGTTAAAGTAAATAAAAATAAAACGGATTCGATGAGAAATTAAACACAATTCGATTGAGAAAATATTTAAATTCGATTTTAAAAGTGTCGGAAACGATTTGAAAACATCGTATCGATTTTAAAATTTTCGAATGCTATCAATTTATTTTTGGTTTCGATTTTGATGATAAATATGAAAATTTTTCCTTTATTTTTTAAAAACATTTTTCCTTTAATTTTGAAAAAAATTCTTTAATTTTTGACAAAAAAAAACACAAAAAATCATGAAAATTCATTGAGAAAAAGCAAAAGGACAAAAATTTTGAAAACGAATTTCGAAAATGTGAGGCGTGGCCGCATTGTGCAAAGCGGCGCACGGTTTTGCAATGCTGCGGCACGCCTCTTCTACGCGCGTCTGCTACCAGTTTGGAGCAAATTGTGAGTAGTTTGCGATGCCAATTTCGGAAAAACCGGCAAAAATATATTAATACGACTAAATTGTAGTTGGCAATCTTTAAACAAAGTGAGGAACAGTTGACTGAATTAACATAAATCTGAGTAACATAAGTCATTAAATGGTAGAAGCTAAATTTCGTCCGTTGTGTATCATGTAATTTTCAAATTTTCATTGTTTATATGATAGCATAAGTTTTTTGTATTGATTTTTCTAGAAATTGTCTTGGTCTGCCGTCCAGACGCCAATTGTATAATGTTTATTGACATATGATTATTTTATCCATATTCCATCCATATTTGTTCCACGGCTCGCAAACACCGGAAGCATATTCATCCCGTTTTCATTCCATCCATATTCGTCCCATAATTCTTCCACAGCCACTAAGAATTACATTATGCTTCCTATATGGAAGCATTATGCTTCCGTTCCACAGATTTCCCACAATGCTTCCATTATGCTTGCGTCGCGCTTAATCAGTGTGGGTGTCTTCCAAGCATTCGACGATGGGTTCGATTCCCCCCTTTTTGAACCCTTTATGGGGGTTGGCTTACCTCGTTTTATTGTTTCTTCGACAACATCGTCGTCTCTAAAAAAGCGAAGTTTGAGCAATTGCATGACGAGAGTTAGTTGCTAACTTGATCGCTTCCAGTTTGCTGCAGACTGCGGTGAAGAACGCGTTGCGCGAATCGTCGGATGCATGAAGTTCCGGGTCATCCCATGGCTCGCTGCTATCATTATCACTGTGGTTCTGCGAGAAAAAAAACGAGCGATATTGTGTCAATATTTGCGAAATTTTCGAACATATCTCGCGAAGAGTACACGCAGGTGTGTCACCAGTGCTGGTTTCAGCGGATCGAACAAGTCGCGTGTCGCTGGTTTTCCGGCCAGAAGCTGAATTAAAAATGATATGAATTTGAATAAAATGTGCGAAACCTCGTGAATTCTAGACGACATTTTCTCGCGAATCGCATCATCGATCACATGACATGTTCCCGTATTTTTGCTGAAATCACGAATTCCGTTTTTCGGTGTTTCGATCGCAACGTTTGGAGCAGAAACCTCACATATTTTCGATGAATATGACGGGCGAGTTTCACTAGATTCAGCGGAGAAGCATTCGATTCGCATTTCGATTCGTAGTCGGTGATCTCGCCGTATAACTCAATCACATTTCCATTGAGAGATGGATCCTTTAAAATAGTCCCAACTTTTTTTTTATTTCAACTATATACAGTAATTTTATAGTCCAAAATCAAATGCAAATAACTAATTTTTTTTAGGCTATTCACAAATAAAATTTAACCTTCAAATTTAATTCTTAATTTTGGGGACTATGGTAACTCAAGACCAGGCGGATCCGACAATGTTAATCACCGGAATCAATCTTATTCCATTGGTAATTCTACGGAAAATGTTGTAAAACTGTCGGGTCCGATTGGTAGTTTATCGGATTGGATTGGTTTTGAGTTAACATAGTAGAGGTTGAACACTCTTAACGATAAAAAAAAGTTGTTATCAAGCTTTTTCGGGGACAGGTAAATCAAAACCAAACGGATCCGAATTGTATACATTTTACAAAAAAATTACCAACCTGATGCGAGAATTTTCAAATGGGATCCGAAACATTTAAAAATATCTAATTCGAACAATAACTAATCGGTAAAAAAATAATATTATGGGAAAAACGTATTCCAGTGATACTTTTTTAATAATATATTTTTTAAAATAATATTTTGGTGTAACTCACCAATTGGCACCAATTCAAGAAATGTGAGTCGGCGAGAAGCGTCTCAACGGGCGCAGTTGATTCCAAAACGCTTGAAACGAGCATTGAATCCGAATGGTTTCTGGCGGTCGCTCGCGCAACTGGTTCGTCTCGGCCTGACTTTCGAAGGCCGAGCAGATGTTTGAAGTGGCAAAAACCATTCGGGCGCGCGCGTGCGCAACACACCGAGATTTGTGTCAGAAATTGCCTGGCCGAGAGTGCAAATACGACGGCAAATTCCTATCTCATTTACATCCAACAACCTCGAAGTGTCTGACGCGCAAAAAAAAAAAACAAAATTTATGAACTATTCAGATTTCTTATTTATTTATTGTCGTAGATCGGATAAAAGTCGGATATTTAAGGATTTTGTTTCTTAGCGCGAATTCAACAAATTTTTGAATGCGTCTTAGATGAATATTGTAGTTTTGTACAAAATTTAAACCATGACAATTTTACGATTGCCTATTTTTTCTAGTTGATTGATTCCTTCGTCATTGTAACAGCGGAGCAAGAAAATTGAATAAAACGTTGTAAAATAGAGGAAAAAAAGAAATTTTTCAATAGGATTTAAGTAAAAAGTATTCTATTTTAAAATTCAATGAAATCGTTGTTAGCATTCCATAGTATCATCGTTATATTCACATGAATTTCCAGCCCAAAGCAGCGGTAAATCCCTTTCGGCAATCAAATGTTTCCGATCAACACGGTCCATTTTCTAAACATTTAATCGTTTTTTTTTAATTTGGAAGGTAACACTCATACGTCAATGGTAAAACTCGACAACACCGAAATAATTGAGGCGGACACGGTGCACGAAATGTCTCGAAGGAATCTCGAGATGCTCGGTTGTCGACCTCCTTCCATTTTGCATCCCATAGCCCAAATTGTTTGTCGACGGAATGCCACACATTGAGAATTCGTCCATTCCTTTTTCGCTATTGTTCCACCCTAATATTAAAAAAAATCTTGATTTTAAGATACAAGTTAAAATCTTACATTAATCGACATGATTGTATTTTCGTAGACTCTGAACCAAAGCAAAGGAAGAGATCGAATTTTGGTGTACTCGTCACTCGAACTAAATCATAAAAAATTGACAATTTTGTTTAAATGAGGCCTTACATCGCATAATTCAACAATGCTCTCAACACATCCCACTGCTTCGCAATTTGCAATCGAGCCATTACTTGCTCAATGCTTCTCACATCTTTGTACTGTTCGTCGATCATCATACAAGCGATTGTAGCCGTCATCTGTCAATTGTATTAATTTGAAATATTAAAATCAGAAAGATGAAACCGGAGCTGTTCTACTAGGACATTGGAGAAGAGACTTGATAATCTGCTTCCGATCCGAATCCAAATTAGCCTTCACATTTGTCAACGAAAGAAGTCGCTGATAAGCTTGATGAATCAAATTATTACTGAAAGTGGTTGATTCATATTTAAAATGCAAAAATGCGCTACCAAATCCAGTTGTGTGAAAACTGTTCGTTGAAATTGATGAGCTCTTCATCATTGAAAATGCGAAGAATCAGACAAGACGCCTTCACAACAGCTTCATATCCTCCAACAGCGTGCTCCGCGCCCTATAAAGGTATTTCGAAATCTCACAATTTCTAAGGTTCCTACTTTGCAAACAATCGTTGCAAGCCGCAATAAGAGTTTCTTGCGATCGATTCGCTCGCTGACGATAACCATTTTCTGCAAGTTTCGCTCGAAGAGCGGCAATCGGAGAATATCGTCGGATCGATGATTCTCCTCCTTGACCTCGTCCAAACATACTGAAATGTCGCCAAGCGTCTGAAACACAACTACTCTTGCAATAATATTTATCATTTAAAAATACGTCATTCATGTCGACGTTGCTAAACTGATTTCCAGAGTTGTGCTGCGACTGAATCCAATCAAACAGATACTTCTCATGGAATGCGGTCAAGTCCACCGAATTGGCTGTCGCAATCTGTTCAACAATCGCACATTTCGAAGCTGAAATTTCAAATGATAATATATAATACATGATAATTTTTTCTGGAATCTCCTACCAACATCCGTCGTATTATTCCACTCAATCATCTCTTCATAAATCAACGCGCAAAGTTCCTCAACCTTCTCAATTTTATCGGAAGTCTTCTCGTTGAACATTCCGTTCTGTAAAATTGCAATTCATATATATTTAAGACAAATAATTGCAATTTGCAATTGAAAGACCTTTTTCAATGTCAACTCAGTGGAGAACTTTGCGATTCCATCTTTGAGTCTGAAGCATTGTTCTTCCAAACTATCACGTTCTTCCTGTTTCATTGGCTGAAATAAACACAATTAGAGCATTTTGAGGATCTCACAAACAGGCTGTATATTCTCCATTCCAATCCATCGTTCGGCAAGTTCAACGCCCATCTGAAGAAGCTCAATTTTGACATCGCCTGAATCAAGTTGAACTGATTTCGAAAACAGAAACAGACGGTTATACTGAGTACAATCTTTCGGAACAACAACGCGATCGTCGAGATGACCACCGAACGCTGCGCGGCATTGTTGAGAAGGTGATAAATCGCGTTTTTGTCGGCTTGTGGCAAACTTCGCTCGACCATTGCAAATCGATTCGCGTGCGAGAAGATAGCTGACGACAGAAGTTGAGTTCGTGAGAATCTCGGCGACAACCATGAGATGTTTCGCAAAACCGCCTGCCACATTGGCACGTTGTAAATCGACAACTCCGCTTTGAGAATAGGCATCACAATTTCATCAAGATCCTCTTTCATCCTCATAAGGAACACATGAAGCGGAATCCGTTTATTCGCCTGAATTCAAGTTTAGCCTCATTTTCATTTCGTTTTTCATTTCAGACCAACGGCGGAATATCGCTAATAATCACATCATTCTTCTCATAAACCATTCCGCCGTCATTCGAGCACGTGAAGTCTGACGAAAGAATCGAGCTCGAGTGTGCTTCGTTCGTTCCCTCATATCTTGCTCGTATTTCCATTCCCATCACATCAGCGACTCGGCATCCACCCTTTGCGTATTCCTTCTCACACTTCACAATGCTGTGCTCACGTTTCGTGTACCACACCGATTCCTCTTGGGTAACATGACTAGTACGACTGTAATTCCAGAAGAACTCCATAAGCTGAAGAAAAAAAAGACACATTTTTGAAACAAATAGACAAACAAATTAAACAAAACTCACATGAATTAAGTTCTTGCAAAATTCTTTATCGAGTTCCTCGGAGGCACGAAGTTGAATATGTCGTGCAATAAATTGAATAACCTCGTAATTGTAGGGGCAAACGAGATAAAGGAGACACGTGAGGTAGTTGCATAACGTGTCAGATTCTTCATCATCTACAAGCTGAAAAAAAACACATACACCACCATCGGAATTCTTCGTTGCAAAATAGAAACATACACGAAGCGCAGAATCGGCCAACTCGAGGAATCGATTGATTTCCTCACATCGTTGTAATGAATCCGGCGCATTTCCGGCGTCAGATGCTTTTCGGACAAGGATGAACGCGTATCGAATCATATATTCGGAAACGGTCGTCTTATCGCGTTCAGATGTAATCTTGCTGCTTCTCATAAATTTCTCAACAATTTTTTGAACAAAACTGAAACATTTCGAAAATGAATTCAATGATTTAACATCAACTCACTCATGAAGACGATCCGGAGCCAATGGATTCTTGAGTTCGGCGGCTTGAGCAATAATTTTATCAACAGTATCCGACGATTTTCCAAGAACCGCTCGTATTCCTTCTTTCGCAAGCTGCTTCATTAGGAACTTCTGTTCGTAAGAGGCCACAATTTGAGGCCGCATTTCCGAATTTTCCACCATCAGCGATATGAAGTAGGCGAGTTGCAAGAAATTGAGCTGTGACTGCGTGTTTCGCTTCGAAACATCGGAACATCGCAACTTCATCATCATATGTGGAAGATTCGCCGGTGACATCATCGACAAAAGACCGACGGCATGCCAAGCGTCGAATCGATTCTGTTGAATCATACGATCGACCACAGACACAACACTGTCATTCATTTCAACGATTGCTTGACGCCATTCTCCCGACCAGCATTCTGTAAGTTTAACAATGCTGCCTTCAGAAAAAGAAGTGAACTCCGAACTCACTCAATGAACTGGCAAATACGCGTGAATGAATATCAAGAAGGCCTTGCGAGTGCATTCCAAAAAACATGGTGAGACTTTCCCAAGTAGCACGATACTCGTTCGCGTCATCTTCGGTCAACGCGGCAGAGAATGGCCTCGAAACAGATGGTGCAGCGCCGGCGAACGCCAACAACGCCGCGACACCTTCGAACAATGTCGGCTCACTTGTGAAATCATAATTCGAATGACCGCGTGCAAACCCGTAAATACGCGTTCCGCCATTATTCTCCGATTCGGCGTTCTGATTCCATTCGTCTTTCGTGTTCGGCGTATTCGAATCGTTTCCGCGAAGTGACTGTTTCAACACTCGCTCGCCGATATGCAAGTAGCCTTCGAGCTGCAGCAGATATTCAAGCTCGTTTGAAATTGTCTCAAAATCGAATTTCTGAAGCATTTTACGAACAATTTCAGTGAGACGCTGCATGACAAACGCGATCTGCAATTTGCGTTAAAATTGGGATTCTCAACGATGCAGCTAACTTACGTCATCAGCGCGATCTGCATCCGCAGCTTCGCCAGATAACGTTGGCAGTCTGAATATCACCCATGCCAACGAATCGCAAATCGTTCCAACCATTTCGGTCGTCGAAGGCATCCAGATTCCAACACAATCCACGGTGCCCAACAATATCTCGCTAATCTTTTCAGCGTCGTTCTCGGCTTCGGCTTTCGACAACATATAAGTGAGCAAATCAGCGCTCGATATTCCCAAATATTGGCATTTCGCGTATTTGTCAAAATAGCTTGATTCCTCTCTGACCATGGCGCAAAGCTGACAGCGTTTCCATTCAACATCGTCAAAATCGGACAACAAAACCGCCGGGTTCTCATCCTTCTGAAGTTCGCGGATAAGAATCAATTTCTTTCGCAGCTCTTTCATTTCTTTAGATCCGTTTCGTCCGGCAAAATAGGAAATAAGTTCTTCTCCAACGCCGAGAACCAATTGACGATCAGCAATATTCGTCATACATGCTGGAGTGTCAGCAACACTTGCCACGAACGAGGCGATCAACTCGATCACAGTTCCGCGTTCTCTCTCTTCCAATTCGTTCACATGATTGATAATTGTCGTTGTCTAAACGAATTCAATTGAAACCGATTTCTTATTTCTTTTTTTCAACCAACCATCACGCCTGTACGAATCATGTGCATAATGGCGAGCGACTTGGCAAACTCGATTTGCACCGACTTTCGCCAATCGCTATTCTGCACCAGTGTGTACAATTCGAGCACTTTAATGCAATCGACGAATCTCGATGATTGGAGTGTCTGCGCGAGAATGCATCGGATCACCAGAATGATTTCAGCAGTCGAGTCGTCATCAAGAAATTTGTCGATGAAATTTCGTTTGAATTCATACGTGAATAATAAATGATTGAGTTCCGCACGACGACAAACAATCTGCATTTCCTCGATTCTACAAATCAACACATGATTCGTTCGAGAGGTAGACTTAATCTCACTCTGATCTTGACAGTGTCTTGCTTTTCAGAATCGCCTGCACCGCTTTATTCAACTCCGAAGGCCACGGCATCACAGCGGCCGCCGAAATCGAGATAATCGATCGGCATCTTCTCGATTCATCGGTCAAACTTGCGCATAATTGAACACACTGCACTTCCCATCCCTTATAAGCAAAACCACCAGAGTTAGCCATTTCCGACATCAATTTGATATAATTGAATATGGTTTGATCCTGATTGAGATGACGCTCATTCATAAACGGTTTCACAAACTGCTCAATTTTAAGATGTGTCACATTCGGATTGATGAGCGCGTTTTGAAGAATTCGATGGCAAATCTCTTCTGATGTGCTAGCCACGTATGTCGAAAAACTCATGTTGCATTCATAAACCTCTTTGAGTCGCTTGATTTGTTGGAGCGTATAATACACCTTCTTCATTCTTAAAATTGGTGTCGATTTTTCAGCATCGACGATGCACAAAATTTTTCCATACAAAGCAAGCATCGACTGCAAAATTGATTAGTAAAACGAACGAATGAATTGACAATCGAAACCTGCTCTATCGGAGTAACTGCGTTCTCCGACAAGAATTCGGTCATGTAGTCGAAGCAACTCGCAGCTTTGATAGCATTATCCGGCCAGTTCTGAGCATCGCGGTATTCCAAAAGGCCAATAAGCGAGATTATAACTTTCTCGATTCGTGGTACTAACTATAATAGAAATTTCAGTTTCGAATTGATTCAAGAAAGCTAACCAATTCAGACTCTTGAATGCAAGACGGTAGCATATCGAGAGTTAAATGCTCGACAATACTGCTCCAACTCTGAATATTCGCTGTAATAAAAATCAATTCACTGACATTTATATTTATGCCTTTTTACCATTTAAAGAATTGACAAACTTGGCGAATATTTCATCAATCTTCTCGACTTCACCATTCAGTGCACATTCTTCGACATATGATCGTAGTACCTTCTCATGTCTTTCCCAAATCACTCGAGCTTCAGTAATCGCGCCATTGTCGACAAACTCAAAATAAAGGTCGACCCATTGATCATTTCCGTGTAAGGCATCAACGAATAACGGCCACGAGCGAGTAATCAATGCGGAATCTTCGACTTCAGGGCCTCGAATTATACGGAATGTAGCCAAAATATAGCACTCATCTTCAATCATTGTCATAGTATCAGGATCTAAACGAGAATTTCTCTTTTTTACGGCCAAAAAGGAACAATTCTCGGGTTTATACCAGTAATTCTTCGTTTTTTTGCATATGACAAGTAGCTGTGTATTCGATCGTATCTGGTGCTCATTTGAACGAGCGAGAAGCAAGTCTCCGCAACCATATTGTGATCGGAAATCAAGTCAAGAGTCTTCATAAGATCCGCAAATGATTCGTCATCAGTGTCGCAGTTTTCCGTGAGATGACTGACGCGAGATTTGTAGACACGTTGAAGATCAAGCTTGTAAGTTTTCGCAAATTTCTCCGCTTCATCGAATTTTCGATGTTTGAGGAGGGCTTCAAATCTCATCTCTGGTCGAGATTGAGAGACTTGGAGAACAGCGATGGACGAGCTGTAAAATTAAAACAATTATTTTTTTATTAATCACACATTTGATTATTGAATACTTTTTAATATCATTATCTTCAGGAGCAGTTTCTTCAATGGCCATCAAAACTCGTTCACTTCCTGAGTATGAGAATAATGTAGTTTTGGAAGCACATGGAAATGAGAAGCAATCTTCCATTTTGAGCCTATCAATGATCATCATTTGAGTAGTTCCATTTCGTTCGATAACAACTGCGAATAAATGCGGAATTTCGTCCATATTGTGGTCAATTACAATGAAATCAAGAATTTTGTCTCTCTGAAAAAATATAATTTCATTTGAAAACGCTTCTTCAATTTTAAACCGAATTAATTTTGACATCGAACTCGGCGACGAAAAACATTGTTAATGGATCAAACACATGGATAAATCCAGTTTCGGAAAGGAATAGCGCAAATCTTCCAGTATCCCGAATTCGCACCCATTTCACTTCATCTGCAAATCAAATTAATACTTTAGATTTCATAGGAATTTTCGTCTTTAGAATACCAGCTAAATCATAAAAATCCGCCGAACTGTGGTCGCACCACTTCAATCCCTTCTTGTCATTAACAGTCCCTAGAAAATGGCCAGCCCCAACTGAAATATTGTCAATTTTCGAGCTGATATCCCCCATATTCACAGTTCTCATTACAGTTGATTCCATTGCCTACAATTTGAAATAATGTCAGGTAAGAGCTCGAGCGAATTCTTACTTTAGCAAAAAATTCAAGAATATTTGCACGGGGAAGGCCTTCAAATGGATTCGAATCTTTTGGATTCGCTATCTCGGCATTCATTGTCGTATGATAGAATTGTCCCTGATAGTTTCCAACAGTTAAAATGCATGTTTTATGAGTAGAAGATGTGTGTATAAAGTCGACATTGCATGGAAGCTCTTGATTAGTATAGATTTCTTTTTTCTCCATAGATAATATAATGAGCTTGTTCGAATTGATGGCGACGGCAATAAACGATGATTCACCGATTATTGCGAGATCATTGATGACACCTCCGAGACCCGTTGTGTAAAAGTACTCGGGAGTAGCGCCAAGAGTGAATACGGCAAGATCGTTGCAGGATGCGATAACCAGGAAACGCTCATTGCTCGCCATTTTGATTTTCCAGGCAGAATCATCGAATTTAAACGAGCTTTCTTCATCAAACACTGAACAATTTATTTTTTTGGTTCTAATAGAATTTTATCTTACTTGGCACAATTGAGGAAACATTTACAACGTCGTAGAGTCCAGATGAACCCAGCGATTCAACATCGATATTAGTTGGAGCATTTGTATTACCAAGACGACGCATATCTCACTGAAACTCATGATGACTTCATCTACATTTCCAATAATTGAGATTTTCATTTAAACAATTAAAAACAAAATGAAGATATTAGGCCAAGTCTATTTACGTTAATAAAACAAAACGTGAAAATGTATATCTACAATTTTATTTTTACATTTATAATCGCTATATTAATCCATGCACTAACCGATTTAAAAAAAACCTTGTCAAAATAAAATCAAAAATTTGAAATAAATTCAAAATTTCAGTTTTCCGCCCGTTTTAAACTCTCTAATAATGCAAATGCGCTCCAATGCACATGTGTGTGTTATTTCATTCGAAACTCATTTTTTTTAGCGTATCTCATCATTTTTTCATTTTGATAGTAATAAACATATATAAATAATTTTCTAAACGGATTTACAATAGGCTAATGTCTGAATCCTCTATAATTTATCGAAACAGTTTCCAAGGCGTTCAATTCCGTTGTAATTTGTATTTTTTAATTGAGCGTTTTGAATACGCGTCTTCCTATTTTTGGCATCTAGTAAATATTTTAAAAATTTTGACTTCTTGTATTATTTCAACAAGTTTCTATTTCAGAAGCCTTCAAAAATGGTGCGCGTTATCATTAAGGGAGGTGTGTGGAAAAACACCGAGGTTTTATTTTTTGCACCTTTAATGAAAAATATCGATTTTTACAGGATGAAATCCTCAAAGCTGCCATTATGAAATATGGCAAAAATCAGTGGAGTCGTATCGCTTCATTACTGCACAGAAAATCGGCCAAGCAATGTAAAGCTCGATGGTTTGAATGGCTCGATCCTGGAATCAAAAAAACCGAATGGTCTCGCGAGGAAGATGAAAAGCTTTTGCATTTGGCGAAGCTTATGCCAACGCAATGGCGTACAATTGCACCAATTGTGGGAAGAACGGCTGCTCAATGTTTAGAAAGGTACTTGATATAGTTTTTTAAAAAAGATTCGAATTTTCTATAGATACGAGCATCTGCTAGATGAAGCTCAACGAAAGGCAGAAGGCCTCGACGAAGAAGCGACAGAAGCAAGGAAACTCAAACCTGGAGAGATTGATCCGACGCCAGAAACGAAACCAGCTCGTCCGGATCCAATTGATATGGATGACGATGAGCTCGAGATGCTTTCTGAAGCGAGAGCACGTTTGGCTAATACCCAAGGAAAGAAGGCGAAACGAAAGGCTCGTGAGCGTCAGCTTTCCGACGCCCGTCGTCTTGCATCGTTGCAAAAAAGAAGGGAAATGAGAGCTGCTGGATTAGCATTCGCGAGGAAATTCAAACCAAGAGCGAATCAAATCGATTACAGTGCAGAGGTATCAAATCTTTTCATTTGAAATACATTTCTTTTTAATTCTTCAGATCCCATTCGAGAAGCATATTCCTGCCGGATTTCATGATCCTGGAGAGGATAAATATGTCGTCGAGGATCAGCATCAGAAAGCAATTGCTGATCATCAAAAACCCATCGGTCGTGAAATTGAGAATCAGATGAGACGTGAAGATCGTGAGAAAATCAAAAGAAAAAAGTAGAATGCCAAAATTTAACATTTATATTCATTTTTAATTTTTTTTTAGGGAACAAGGAGAAGCTGACGCAGTATTTAACATCAAGGAGAAGAAGCGAAGCAAGCTCGTCCTTCCTGAGCCACAAATCAGTGATCGCGAATTGGAGCAGATAGTCAAGATTGGGCATGCCTCCGATAGTGTTCGCCAGTATATTGATGGTAATGCGACTAGCGGACTTCTTACTGACTACACTGAGTCCGCAAGAGCAAACGCTGTAGCGGCACGAACCATGAGAACGCCAATGCCGAAAGATACTATTCAAACAGTAAACTGTTTCGTTTGATTGATGTTATTATATAATTTTCAGGAAATTGCTAATCTTATGGCTTTGCAAAACACCGAATCTGCTCTTAAAGGAGGACTTAATACTCCACTTCATGAATCCGAGCTCGGGAAAGGAGTTCTTCCAACGCCAAGCATTGCTGCCACTCCAAACACGGTTCTGCAGGCTATTGCTGCCACGCCTCAGACAATGCAGCCCGGAGCAACTCCTGGAGGTTTCACGACGCCTGCTGCCACTCCTTTCCGTGATCAGATGCGAATCAATGATGAATCGGCACTTGGAAACAGCTATGAGACGAAAGTTAATTTGAAGCGAGCTCTCGCTAATCTACCGACACCGAAAAACGATTTCGAGATTGTTGCTCCGGAAGATGATGGGCCGGATGATGAAGAAGCTTGTGAACAAGAAGAGGGATGGGTTGAAGACGCATCTGAAAGAGCAGAGAGAAGAGCTAAAATGAAAGCCGAGCTTCGTTTAAAGAATTTGAAGCTAAGATCGCAGGTGAGATGAATTGACATATATTAACAAGTTTTAATATTATTTCAACAGGTTTACCAACGAAATCTGCCAAAACCAGCAAAGCTAAAGGAACAGGCCATCAGACCATCGAATGGATCATCCGACGTTGCTAAGGTATATACTTCAATTAAGATTTGTTTATTTATTTGTTCTTTAGGCCGAAGACCTCATTAAAGAGGAAATGATGAAATTGATCGCTTGGGATGTTGAAGGAAAAGCACCGGAAGTGTTAGTTGCTCGTGAAGATATTGATGCTGCCAGTGAGCTTATTAAGTAAGAAGACTATTTTTTGTAATATTTGGATCAAATTTGTTCAGGAAAGAAGCTGATGACGGTCCGGAACTTGATGAAACTATGTGGAAAGTTGTGGAACAATGCACATCGGAACTTGTTTTTAGCAAGGTATCATAATTATTTTGATAGTTCTTTATTCATTTTTTTTTTTCATTTTCAGAATAAATTCACAAGGATTGCTATTTTGCCGAAAAATGAACAAATGGAAGTGCTCAATCAGCAATTCCAGGTTGAATTGTTTGATCAATATCAGAAATTATGATAGAAAATTGCAGCTCTATCGCGAATGGATGAATGCTCGCGCTAAGAAGGCGGCAAAAATCGAAAAACGGCTACGCGTGAAACTTGGAGGATATCAGGTAGATCATTAATATTCATTTAAAATTCCTAAACCTGAGAAACTAACTCACCGTAAATCGGCGCATGGCGCTCGTTTTTTTTTGCGAATTGCAAATTTTTTTATTCCTGATTTTTGAAATTTTCGGGTTTCATTCATTAATCCTTTCAAATTCAAATATGAAACATAAAATAATATTTAACTAGGGATTTCCCGTTATTTCGAAATGGATAAGTTCGTGACTACACGTTTTTTAGCGCTTTTTCTTCATCGAACTTCAATTTTTTGTGGAGAAAACAATTTTATTAAAAAATTATAAAAAGATTGATATGGATTTTGTTTAATATTACGCCAACTTATAGCGCCGTTCTACATTTTATTTATTTAAATGAGCACACTTAAACCTTTATTGAAATCTGTAAGATCCAAACGACAATACGTAGGAAATAAATGCGGTGAAAATAGAAATTTGAACTTTGATGTGGGGTGTTCTATTCGTAGTTTTGTATTCTTTGTATCGATTCTCTGCAATATATTCTCTGCAATATGAATGGAATTTAACAAAATAAACGAAGTGAAATCAGAAATATGTACGAATTGAGAAGTTTCGAACACACGTGAAAATGGAAATAGCAACTGGAAATTGGTTTTTCTTTAAATAATTATTGAAAATTTCGAACTCCGTCCATTCATCCATTCAAATCCAAATGTGAAGCCTATTAAAATAAAGAAGTGTCATCGCATCGGTCATGAAAAACGAAAACGAGGGGGGCAACGACGATGGCGCGCGCGCGCGCACTTGTGCGGCGGGTCGCTCGTTTAAATAATTGTTTTAGTGTGTGTGGCGCCGGGGGCCCGCGAGAAGACGTGTGCTGCCATTCAAACGACACCCCGCGGTGTGTTGAAAATGGCCGTGACTGACTGGATGAGTGACTGGATGAGAGGAGAGCAGCATTTTCCCATTTACCGTAATTTATGCGCGTTTCTTGTTGTTTTGCGGAGTGTGTATGTGTGTGCTGCTGCTACTGATGCCTCATGATCCCTCTTCCTCCTCACCATCCTCATCCTCCTGGTTTCGGTTACGCCACGCTCGAAGGAAATTAAAAAGGCGCAACAGAGAATGGATTATGGAAATTAGCGGAGCATTTGCATATTTAATCAACTTGTGTTTTTTAGGCGATCCACGAGAAGTTGTGCAAGAAGTTTCAAGAGGTCGAGCGCGATATTGAGATGACACGAATCGAGAAGGACACGTTCTCGTAAGCTCGTCGATTTTCTAGTATATCACAATTGGGTTTTCAAATTGCAGCAAACTGGCCGAGCATGAGCAGAAGGCGATTAGGAAGCGAGTTGGGCGATTGCAAGAAGAAGTGAAGACGCAAGAAGTTCGCGAAAAAGAGCTTCAGAAGATCTACTCGAAACTTTCTGGTATGATTACGGAATTTTGTAGGAAATTGACAAATTACACGAGAAATCGGGTGGCGAAAATTTGCGGGAAATCGCGTACGGTAGCATCCTTTCACTACGATTTCGCATCTGATTACTGTAGTACAGTATCCGTTGTGCTATTTTAGAATGTAAACAAATAATATTAAATTGGTTTTAAAAAAGCAAACTTCCATTGTGTGAGAAATGATATTTTATAACGGATCCGACCAATTTCCATCCAACGAAAGGTTTATTGTTATTTTCGGGTCAATCAACTCGTTAATACAGTTTTGAATGATTAATGCTCATTGCGCAACATTTCAGATCAGCAATGGAAACTGTCACAAGTGGAAATCCGCAACAATGCGTCGACGACAGGAGCCCCCGTCAGCTATTGATGTGATGTGTTCGCCCGTTCATCCTTTTTATTCTTCTTCTTTTTTTTTTGAATTGATCCTCTATTTATGATTGTTGTTGTAATCTTTTCTTTTGTATCTTTTCACATGAATTTTGATATAAAAATGGTTTTACTGCGCGTCGGCGTGTTATGTTCAACAGGCGGCACGTGTTGCGCAATGTCGTACAAATGTCAGACCCTCAATTCATCCCGGAAGAGGAGAGAAGTGGCGTTTTTATGTGAATCTCCAGCCGCGAATTCCGTCGCTACCGTTGGCCGACGCATAAATTAACTCTTGACGACAAGGTGATCAAACATGCGACGGATTACGGTAGTCGCGTTTGTTTTTGAATCGCCGGCCAACCGCTTCAACAAATTTCGGCTCGATTTTCGCTTGAGCACTTCTAGCACGCTTTCAGTCCCCCTTGCGCACAAGTTGCCCACAAGCATGTAGCTGAGCTGTGGCGCAGACGTCCGCTGACAAGTGACGGACAGCGGCAGATGGCTACCACAACTGATGGCGATGCGATTCGACACGAACGTCTGTACGGTACACACATTTTTATTATTATTAATGGCATAGTGTCAGCATTTCGTTGGATGGATGTGTTTGAGAAAAAGAAAAAGAAAGAGAGAGAGAGAGAGAAAAATTGGAATCGAAACAAAAAAGAAACGAATGGGAGATCATCAACAAAATGATGGGGGAAAACAATAAAAATAATAATAATTTACAGGAAATTTCATAACAACCGACATGGAACCCAAAAAATTCAGGAGAAAAAATGGGAAGAAAACAATGAAAAATTCGATTCTATATTGGTCTCTCAGAGGAGATAGTTGGTGGCCGAATTTTCAAAACCTATATTGCAACAAAAATCTAGGCCACAGGCAACTTTCACAGAAAATCGCTACCTGCATTTTTGTTAAGGATTTCGTTGAGATGATAATGTTGTTTTATTGATAGCTAATGTTCATAGTCATGATGGTTGTTGAGCATAGTGATTGACTAGACCGGCAGCGGTTTGGTACTGAAACAGATCCGACGGCATAGGGTACTGATTGCCGACGAGACCCATTGGCGGCTGGTCGAACTGCGGTGTCATTCGTTTCTCTTTTTGGCGACGATTGCAGAACCAGACGCGAACCACCTGTAGCAGAGGAGAGGTTGCGAATTTCGAGCACTGCACGACACAAACCTCTTTTTCGAGTTGAAGCTCGTTCGCCACTTGTGTGATCTCTTGCGCGTTCGGCTTCTGATTGGCTTGGAAGTGATACTCGAGTCGTGATTTGACATTCACCTGAAAATAATTGCGTTGCGATTGAATTGACGTCTCAACGCCAACCTCGATACTAGTCCGCTTCTTGCGTTTCCTGCCGCCTTGTCCGGTCATCTTCTCGAATGTTGAGTTCGGCGAGCTCGACGTCGAATCAGCCTCCTCCAGCCATTTGAACAGAAGCGGTTTGAGTTTGCACATGTTCTGCAATTCATCCACATTAGGCAACTTTACAAATATCGCCAAAAAAAACGAGGTAAAGAAAGCCGCTTTGAGAAAAACAAATATACCTTGAATGACAACTGAAGCGCTTCAAATCGACAAATTGTCGTCTGTGAGAACACGTTGCCGTATAAAGTGCCAAGTGCTAAGCCGACGTCTGCTTGAGTGTACCTTTAAATACACGAAATTCATTATTCGATCCACCTACGACGCTCGGCTCACCCCAGCTTTATCCGTCGCTGCTTGAATTGCTTCGCGAATCCTTCCAGATCGTCGTGGCCCGTCTGATCGCCATCATCCGACATGTCGGACATGGCGGCTCCGTGAGCAGTGCTCGGCGCTTGTTGCGGTGTCGGCGCGGTGTTCTCCTCGCATGAGAATGGATACGTCCATGGATGCGAGATTCGCTGGATGATCTCAGGCCGCTCGAGTTCCTGCTGAAAATGTCCCAATAAATTGCGCCACTGAACACTTTTTTTTCAAAATTTAATTAATTCATTGAGATATGTTCAAAGGTTTTCTTTTTTTTATTTTCTTCTGAATCAATATTATGCAAATCCAATATAAATAGAAGAGGACACAAGAGTGTAGTGAGACTGTTCTGGAATTGGCGTATAACTGACGCATGTGATAAAATAATCCGAATACGGTAGAGATTATTTATTTCAAAACAAACGCCACTCGCTAACTATGCGGTTTCTGATGGAATCCCCATTGGTTTAATAGTGATTTTTGGATTGAATCGCGATACGGTATCATGTTGAGAAATGAATCGCAACAAATTGCCATTCCCGCGTCGCGCATCATCACCCTCCATCCATCCCCCCTCTGTTTCCTCTGCGCCTCACATCGCTCCCCGCGGCGTGTATCGAATTCGATAAAATGAATGGATACCTTGATTTGTTGCGATTGCGCCAATGAGGATGTCGTTGTCGACGACGACGTCGTCGCCGCTTGCTGCTGCTGCTGCTGCTGGTGAATGGCGGCAGCGGCGGCGGCGGTCGCGGCGACTGCCGTCGGCTGTAGCTGCGGATACGTCCAGTCGTGGTGCGGAATGACGAACTGCAAATGTTGCGGCGGATACATCGGCGCGCCCGCCGGATGCCAGTCTTGGAAAGCCTCGCATGTCGGCTTGATCACCTGAAACTGAAAACGAATCGGTTTTGGTACAAAATTTCAACAAATGCGTCGAGAACTGTGTAATCACTGTAACGACAAAATGCAGACATTTGAGGAATTCGATGTTTTTTTATTATCTATCTATTATGTGCTTAGAAAACTATCGAATATGCCATTTTTATGATTGAAATTCCGAATTGTTCGACATTCGCAATTTTTCGCAGCAAAAAAAGGCGACTATTGACTCAGTAGCTCGACATGATCTAATTTATTCGATATTCAAAAATGTGAGACACCGAATACAGTACCCGAAAACGGAAAATATGAATAAGAACCGTGCGAACATTCGCGCCACATAGTTATGAATGCCAATAAGGCGACTGTTGTTATTCGTGAGAGTGTATTCACGACAAGACCATTTACGATGGGAGCATTCATGCTCAACGAAAGTTTCGCATGTGTACAATATTTGAAAGCAGAAAACCTCCGAGTGAATACAAACGGTAGTCTGAAATGACAACGAAATAGCGTTGAATAGAATAAGGAAATACTCAAAATTGTGTCGGGGTGGTATTTACTGTAATAATGGAATAGAATTAATTCCGTCAAAAACAAAAATCAGAAAAAAAAATGGAATGAAATTATAGCGACGACGAATTCCAAAAGAATTCACATATTTTATTTTCATTTCAAAATTTCAATAGATTTCTTAACGAATATTTATAATTTCTAGTTCGAATTGTGAAAATCCAAAAAAAGAAAAGAAAAAAAGATGGTCAATCTAAAACGCTTGACGAACGTCTGTCCATAAATGGAGGATAATATAAATCGAGTGGCGAAAAGTCGGTGTGTGAAAAACTTTGCTCATTAGTGGGACCACATGGCATAACAAGAACAAAAAAAACAAGGAGGCACACCGAAAAAACCGAGGACGAGATAGAGGAGAGGGGGGAATTGAAATTCAAATGAGACCCCCCCCCGTTTCAGCCAGCCGACTCCGGTGCTACTCCTTATGCAAAAATTATTCGATCAGTATTTCGGCGACCAGCACATCAAAACCCCCGACGAAATAAATAAGGTGAAACAAACCTGCGCGTAATTCGGCGCATCGATGGAATTGTTGCCGGCGAGGCTGTTCGCCAGCATCGCGTCGTGTAGTTCGTACGGAATCTTTGCTGCCTTGTTAATGAATCAAAAACGGATTCCGAATTATGATGATGAGCTGCCTGATGAATATATATGGGCAGCAACTCGGGCCGTGTGTGTGTATGTGTATGTGATCGTCGTTTGGCGACGTCTCTCTCTCGCCGTTTAAGCCCGCTCTCCGCGTGTCACATGCTCTCTCGTCGACGGCGGCAGCCAATCAGCGCGCGAAGACACGCCCATTTCGACACGGTGCTGACACGCCCACCATTTCTTCTTCGTCTTAAAAAATTGGGCGGGAAGGCGCGGACTATATCGTTTTCGTTTCGGAATTACCGTGTTGCCGACAATTCGCAACATAATCGAAAAAAATTTGAATCGAAACCAGTAGAAAAAATTGGTTCAAAAACAAAAAAAAATGGATTTCGATGTTGCAAAAGTTGTGTAAAAATATTCAGCCAGATTTGAACAAACGAAATTTCGATGATCTGCGGACACCAATGCGGGAAACGACAACAAGAATAATAATAATAATGGGAGACGAAACACAAAAAGGCAGGAAATGGCGATGGGTCGTCGAAGGGGTGGCATAAGATTTGCATGAGCAATGAATTTTCTCAGCGTTTTCGCCGCCCTTCGTCGTTTTTTTTTCCGTCGTCTTTTCCAGCAAACTCTCGATTTTTGCTTCTCAACAAACTGTTCCATATCGTTGTGTTTTCTTGCCTTTGATTTGTCACCAGGTGTCATTTATAATTATGCAATCGCTGCGGTCGCACTTGTTTGTTCAGGTTCGTTGTCACTATTGCACCACACCGTAATCCGGTCGGCTGGTTGCTGCTCGACACCTCAGCCTACCGTAGTCTCGATTTTCGGCTCCTCGTCGGGAGGCGTGATATGCAAATTGATTGAAGCGGCAATGAGAAAGAAAAAAAAGAAAAAATGTGTGTGTGGCATCAAATTGAACTGTGAGCTTGTCCGCAGCACAATATTAATAAGTTTTGATAGGACCAACTAGAATTTCGATCAAATCTACATATTTTTTCGCTTAAACAAACAGTTGGATATCAGTTCTCACGGTTAATTCGATTCGGCGCATGTATGAATGCACTGCTGCGGACACTTCAGCACTTCGCTTCGAGATCCAAACCTTCTCTCATGTTCGCTTCGATGACAGCATTTTTGTATCAGTGTGCGATTGCATAAAGAGTCTACCGACGTGCATGTTTTTCCCAGTGCACTCGATTATCAATTCCACTTGAAAGTTTCGTTGCGCGAGCGACACAAATGATTCGCGTGTGTTCCCATATACGGATTGGCTTTGTCGGGGTCCGGCCGGCCGCGAATGCGCCGCCCGTGGGAGCACACCGCCCGTCTGAACTCGCTGACAGTAGTGCAGGCCGTCGCCGACCGCTTCATTTGCATATCAATTCCAATGATTCACACAAATATCTATATTTCCTATCGATGAACATTCAACAATTTTGTGAAGGGGGAAGTCGATTCAAAAAAAAATGCGAGGGACCTTCGAATGAGTGCTCTTAATTTTTTTTTGGTCCGCAGTTAGTGAAGACATCTTTTTTTCAGTCAAATCAACACCCGAATGAGACAATTTGCCTGTTCAATTTACATTTTGTCGGTTATTTTTCAGAATAAAAATTGGAATCAGTTTGATTTTTCAGGAATTTTTCATTTGAAAATTCATTTTCGAATTGTTTTAAAAGAAAAAACAAAGTTGAACTTTTTTGATTTCGATTTTTTGTGACGTATTCTCGAATCCACAGAAAACGCTATTTATAAAATTGTTTCGAATCGTTTTACTACTCGAAAATACGAAATCAATTGATGTATGGGTGTAGATTTACGGGCGCTGTGGTCTCGAGCGGACTAACTAGTTTTTTCGAGAAAATCGGATGATTTCGACAATTTTTCATTTTTATTATCTGAGAAATTCAAAGAATTTACATATTGTCCAAGAAAAATGAACAGTTCATGTGAAAATAACAAAATATGCATTCAATCGTGGCGAGACCACCCCGTAAATCTACAACCCAGACAATAAAATTATTTAGAACTTAATTTGAATATTATGAGCTATTTTAAATATTATAATATTCGATTTGTTTTCTAGAACTGAATTTTTAATTGTCGAAGTTGCGCGAATGCAAAAAATTGGCCAAATGCCAAAAAAAAAACAATGGCGCAAAAGTAAATGTCGATTTACGGGCTCAGTTATAAGAAAAGTTTAAAGGCGCACACAGCGCACTTTCAATTTTTTTAAACTGTTAGCCTATTTTCACAAAACCTATGAATTCGTGTGGTATCCGTCGTGATTTATTTAAGCTATGAAATAATATAAATTTATTTTCGTTTTAATTCACTAAGCACACTAAAATACCATGAGCTCTACCTTTATTTTTATCCAGTTGTTTTTAAAGGCACATACCAAAAATTGCGCAGCTCTAATTTTTTAGTTTTTTTAAATTTAGTGTCATTTATTCTTTTTTTTTAAACCTTACTATCGCTTTTTTTATATAGTCAAAAACGGACGAATTTAATAATTTTGAATGATCAAATACGCATTTACAATTTTTTGATCTTAGCGCGAATTGAAAATATTACAGTATGCGCCTTTGATGATTACTGTAGTTTTCATTGAATTTTATTTTGAGTCAAATTTAGAATGATTACAAGAGCACGCCGCGCAAATTTGATTCACAACCGCCCATCTTTTTATTCTATAACTTTTTTTCTCGAGTCATCTATATTTTGGATTCGTTACAAGACCATTCAGTTGGTTGTCGACTGTGCCAAACGGTCCGACTTTCCGAAATATGTTGATATTAGTTGAGCATCGCCCACATGCGACATTCGAAAGCCTGTTCGCCTAATTAGTGGGTGTCAACTAATCCGACTTGAAGTACAAAAAATACGGATGCAGCGAATAGCGGCGGCGATCGTTCAAAGACAGGTCAATTACGGATTTGTTTCTCCCATTGAGCAGCCAGCCAGACAGCCATTCGAATGCCTCTGCACGCCTCTACCGTAATCCCCATCCTTCCTTTTAAGGAGCATTGAATGACGGACGAGATGTGAAGAAATAAAACGAAGGGGGGCAGGCGCAAATTTATGCAACTCGATTATATCATTCACATTCCGAGCACGTAACATTTTGACGACTAACAAGGTATACTACTGAAAGAGGCTGGCAGACGCGAATTTGAAGGAGGGGGGGGGGGCAATTAGCTCATAATTTGATGGCATTTCAATTCTCAAAACGCATAAATTAAGAGCGACGTCGAATGCGAAATTTCTTCGATTATGAGGTCGTTTTGTGACAACTGAAACCGGAAAAATGTCCGCAGATGAGAAGAAAGTTCATCGGATTGAAACGTTTCTCACGAAGCTCTCGTCAATCGAATCAAAATCATAATTAAGGGGGTCGCACTTCGTCTTCGCGTCGAGCGCATTTAACTCTCTTCCACACTGCTAATTGATGGGAGGATGTGCAAACACAACAGTTTGCCACAACTTGATTTGTACGTTGCGACCTGAATCCATCTGTCGACGGATTACCGTAGGACACGATCGCTGGTGGCACGCTTAAAATGACAACAACAACAACAACAGCAGCAGAAGGAGCTGGAGAAGCTTACTTACATAACCAACAATTTGGGGGGAAGGGGGCACCGTATTCGTTTCAGTGAAATGTTTGGAGCATCTGGTGTCAAAAAGGCTCTGTTCATGGGGCGGCAATGTGAGACGCGCGCGGCTCAATTTCCTGTTGCGCTTAAAACAACAATCTGTTGTGCAAATTGATGGATTTCTTGACTCGAAATGTTCGAATGCGATGGTGGTTACTGACTAGACGAGCGCGTGGGTCTCACACCGCCGCTCATTTGCATTCGCGGTGTGTTGGGGCCAAGGTGCGCGGCACGCGTTAATGCACATTTGAATATTTAACGCGAAAACCGAAAAAAGCATTGTTTGAAATTGAGAAGAGAGCTCACATATAATTTATACATCATTTTCATAGCACCCGAGGGGTCTTTTTGGTGTGAATTCAAAATATAATTGCGAAAAGAAGCGAATAACATTTGAAGGAATGATTATTTGAAAAAAAAAACCACAGGAATAATATAGTGATCGACATTTCGATTTTACATGTCTTTGAGAAAAAAAAAATAAAAAATTGAATTGAATTTTGAAGAATCACGACGAGCTCGAAGAAAATCACACATCAATTATGAATTATACGAAAAATGACGATATGTAGGCAATGATGAGGCTCACTATGGAGATAAGCAGCACCATTTCGGAGAGTGGTCGTGACTTTGAAAACGGCACTCGGTGCATCTGAATGCTCTGGTCGGCGCTCAATGAGACGACTGTCGCCAAGTAGCCGGAGCTTGGTCCTGGCACGACAGGCGCCAATGATTTGTCATCGCAAATGTTCGACGCAGCACGATCAAGGAATTCAAGTCCCGTCACAAAAATTCCGTGGGTTTCCTAAAACATTCTCAGTTCATACTACTTCTTGACTTTTTGATTTACCGGTGCATAAAAGATTCGGCGACATTCGTGGGTGTCGAGAACCGCCACTCCACCCGACATGGTCCCAATGGCGGTGAAATTTCCGCAATCCGACACAGCCAACGACGAAATCGTCTGAATATTCCTTTTTACAATTATTTTTGGAATCAAATAAGTTCAACAATTATTTTTTCAGACTAAATTTGGGTAAATCGAGGAATGTCTTTTATTATCAGTAGATTTTTATGGAATTAATTCAATTGATATGATTGTATTATTTTGATGATATTCGAAATCTATGGTAATTTATCGGATTCTTTTATGTATATTGGGCGGACTAATTTAGGACGTTGATTATTTTTCAAATTTTGGAATTTTTTTTGATTTCGCGCTAAGATTAAAAATGACAACCGTGTTTGATCATTCAAATTTGTCCAATTCGTCCGTCTTCGACAATATGCATACGCTATTTTCGAAAATTTCAAAAATCTAAATAAAAACCGTTCAAGTGGCGTATAAAACACTTCGCACTGACTGAAACAAAATCGAACTTAAAATAAAAATCAAGAAAATAAAGTTTAACTTTAAACATAATTTTTGCCACATTGCTTCTCAAAATGTGTTGAATTTGATAGATTTTGATTTTTGAAAGGTTTTCACTTATGGGCTCATTCGTGCAATAAAAATATGTAAAAAAAATTATACATTTTTTCAATTTAAGTATATAAGATATGAATATTTAATGTAAATTTTACATTTTTTTTTGTAAAATAATATTTTTCATAATCTAATATCCATTAATCACTGCTATTATCAAACCAATGAAACACCAATAATAATGCGTATAACCTTGAAATTTCAAAAATAAAATCAATAAAATCTGTTCCACACCTCAAAGACCGTCGAATTTCGCTTAATGTGCCATTTTTGCAAAAATTCAATCTGATAATCGGATATTTAGGATCAATTGATGATAATTCAAAAACAAATCAGGAATTAATAAAAAATTTTGTAAATAAATTCGAGGGGGTGGCGTAACGAGGAATATTTAAAACATAAAAATCGAAAAATTGGAATTCCCGATTAATAAAATATTTCAAATATTCGCTTTCACGTGATTATTCTTAATCAAATTCTAAAACATGTTTCAATCGAGGAAAAAAAAACTACAATAAACTAATATTAGCAATCTAACCTCTCCTTTGGCGACTAATCGAACCACCACTGGTCTCGCGACTTTTCTCTCGGCATTGAATGCCCATAAGGCGACATAAGACGCCAAATCTTTCGAAGCTCTCGATATGGAATTATAAGCTGCGACAAATACGCTGTTCTTGCTTGATGCTCCCAATGAAGTACACCGAACAGCACGCATCTGAATAAGAGAACCAACCGTTTTCAATTCAGATATTAGTTTCAACCTTAAATCCTCTCGCGATTTCAATCGGAAATTGCAAATCCAACAATTTCTCGCCAGTCTGCGTACTCCAAATATACGCGAATCCATCAGCACCAACGGAACTGAAAGCGACAAATCATTCCGAATTTCTCTTTAACCTTACATTATTGTCATCGAATCATACGAAAAATCGATATCATCGACATCAGATTTGTGCGCTTGGATTACCTGTACCGGATGAGCATTCCCTTCCTGAAAATTTGAAAAATGAATCAATTTCAAAACATATTGTCTACGGCACGCGACTTTTTAATTTTTTTCGTATTGACTCAGTCCTCGACAATAAAGAATACTTAATTTTTCATTTTTTTCTAATTTCTTGAAAAAAAAAGAAAAACATAGTCAAACAGAGAAAGAAATCAAAGCTTTTTTTCAATTTAACATATTTTCTTTATTAGTTTTTTTAGTAGAAAAATCAACCTCTGCTTTAATTGCTGCCAACGCATCCCAAATTCGAATATGCCCATCTGCTCCGCCGGTAGCAAAAAACCGCCCTTTGCTATTTCGATCAAATCGAACACATTTCTATTAAAATTTCGATATATATTTTTTTAAACTTCGATATCTCGTGCCAAACCTGATACGAACTATTAGGATGCTCATCGGTTTTAATTCGTTTGACGTGCTTCAATTCAAACGAAAGTTTCGAGTTTTCATCATTACTCAGTTTATACCCAGCCGTTGTGTATAAATCACAATACTGAAAAATAATAATCGTGCGAATTGGCATGAACCCAAATGTGTTACTTCATCGTGTCCTGCGGCGATCACATATTTCGCATCCTGCTCGTGAACACTAGCTGATATCACATCCATGTTCATTGTGGCGAACGTCGAAGTATTAAACTTAAAAAAAAAAGTGAATCAAAAGTTATATATTTGAATACAAATTGCTTCAATTTAACTCAAATAAAATACATTTCGAAGTTCCCAAAATTTTGAACAAAATAAATTAAACATTTTGATAAAATTAGTCATCATTCAATTCTTTTTCATTTTTCAGAATTTTGTATATTTATTTCAAACCTTATCAACGCATTCGGCTTTCAAACCCAATTCAGGATTCGCATCTTCCGAAGTTAAAAGATATGTCTGGAATAAAATTATTTCAATATTCAAATTAATCGGACCATTTCAATGTGAATCACCTCTATTTCGTTGCTAACTCCAGTTTTCGAAGCTCCGCCACCTCCGCCAAGCAACAAATGTCGCGCTCCAATTTTTTTAATGCAATATGCCGGAATTTTACTGTTAGCAATGATTGGCGGCGCTTTTTTACTTCGTTTTTCCACAAAATCGGCGATTCCCATCGCAAAACCTTCGAATTATAGCAAAAAAGGAGAAAACCAAAAAGAAAGAACACGTCAACTCAATGTGGCCGCGGACAAGAAAATCGTTAGCGGCCGCACATGAAACACGGCCACTCACGAAAATAAGCAATTAAACACAGATTTGAATTTGTATTAAATAATTCTATCAATATAAAACAATCATCATGAATATATGTATAACCGTGCATATATGGAATATGAAAATTCAGATTCCATTAAAAATTAAAGAACAATATCGAAGTTATTATAAGTGACTTGTTTGATTTCAGATTCAAGATCTGCCATCGCGGAATCATCTCTAGTCTGAAAAAGACAGTTTTAGAAATGATTAAAAAAATATTCGAACGTACCATTTCTGCAACAAGCTGATACAGAAGCACAATTCTCTTTATATTCTTATCTTGGACGAATTCATCAAACATTGCGCGCATCGCAGTCGCGAAACCTCCTTGCGTTACAAATGTAGCAATTTGTTCCTGTTGAGGCATCGGCGAATTTTCTCAAAACCGCGCAAAATTAATCGAAAACGTTGTAATTTAAAACAAACCTTCCACTTGACTATCAGCATCGTCTTCCGAATCCATCCCGCTCTCATCATCGGCCGAATTGAAAAATTGAAGCATATCGGGCTCTCCGCAAGCCATATATGCATGTCTCATAAACTCTGTTGAGTAATGCTCAGGCGTCTTTTCTCCGGCATATTTGCAGCCTTTGCGATGAAGCACCGATGAGAGCCATTCATAGCTCTGATGCTCATTGAGAACGAGAATATCGACGGACGGCTCCTCACAATTTTTGTTTAAATACATTGGAATGATCGATACCACTCTGTCGTCGAACAATGCTTGAACGCGTTGTTGCATATCCTAAAACGGACCATACGCCTTTTATAAGAAGTTTCGGAATCATACCAAATCCATCTCGCGAATCCCGTAAATTGGATAATACATACATACGGGCTGGATGTTTTCCACTGTTGTCAATGCTGGCAACTCGTACAATTCATCTAGATCAACATTCAGTTCGTGAAAGCGATCAATGTCAATGATAAAAGCGATAATCTTCTTCAATTCCTCATTCTAAATATCACAAACGGATTGAATGTGTTTAAACTCAACACGAAATACCCATTTTTCTACAATCACTCGGTAACATCTTTCCTTGTATTTATACACATAAACCCCGCCAGGACTCAATTCTTCATATGATATCTTACGAGTATGTTTTTCCATTTCAGCACTGAAATATTTGGAAAATATACAAAATAATAATAATAATAATAATCCACAATACCCAATAAAATCGGACACTACTCTATGATTTGATTGTCCTTTTTTAAGAATGAGCAAACCCCGTGGCGCTACGTAATGCAAAACGACGCCCTGAATATATCTAAATTTTCGGATAACCATTTTAATAATACTTTGAAGAGCCCTGATTCGATGTTGTCTCCCTGAGTACGCTTATACTCATCAAAATCATGCTCATTGAATCTGCGCAGAGAGTTCATTTGAATTTCTCGAGCATCGATATTTTCGATATTTTGTTTCAATGAGACCATTATTTTATCTGAAAATCGTATTACATTGATATTGAAATAATCACAGAAATATACCACGAGTAGTTTGTAAAACAGAAAAAATCGGACATTTGTCGACGATTTGTTTCTCATTTTTGCCTAAAGCGTTGTATTCGACAACTTGTCGTGCCTGCACTAATTTTGCCACTCCCAATACATCGTACTTCGGTGGCTTAAAAATAACATATTGTTGGAGACAGAAAAAGTTGATAGATTTTAATGCGATTACGAAAAATTGGCTAAATGAAAAAATTACTACTCTATCAGTTTTCTAGCAGTCGCGCGATGTCAACAATATATATCCATAATTTGTTTATGTTCATATTTTTCATGCACGTTTGATATCTACTGTAGTTTTTAATACATTCCACACAATAATAATATAGAAATTATTAAATTCGCCCGCCTTATAAAATGAAACAACTACATACTAAATTCGAAAAAAAAAACGAGCGCCCTACACCGATTCAAGGTAAGTTAGCTTCACAAGTTATCCGTAGTACAGTGCCTGAAGTCCCACTGTTTTACCGAATCAAAAATGTGCGATGGACCACGATTAGGCAAGGCACTCGTTTTTTTTTTTGCGGTAATATTTACAATTTGTACAATACCTGTGGTACAGTTTTAAAACTGTTTCCAAACTTTTTTAGTTGATCACTCAATGGTTTCGGCTTCTCTACAATTTGAGTAATATGGTTAGACAGATAAATTCACGAACCTGCACGGAATTGTGGAGCAGGAGCATTGTCTGAATCACTTCTAAAAATTATTTTGTGCAATCGCAGAAATGTAGCACAGGGTGTGGCAAAATTACATGTGCACGAATTTAACGTAAGTTCATACGCCACTTACGCATTTTTTGGACATTTTTATTTGTTTATTTTATTTTTTGTGATCTTTTAATCATTTTATTTATGGAGATTGGTTTCGAATGACACGGATGACAGCTGATTTCATCCATCGCGCTGCAATGATCGACTTTTAAAAAAAAGGTACATCGGTGAAGGTGATTTCAAACATCCACGAAGTGCACCAAAACACCTTACAAAAATTTCGGAAACAATTTTGAGAGACAGAAGGACTCTCTAGCCGTCTTAGAAGAGGAAAACAACGAACTTCCATGTCACCGGAGCGAGTATAGACTATCAAGTAACGAATTATCGATTTTGGACCTTTCAGCAAGACAATGCGCCTCTTCATCGAGCAAAACGGTTCAATACTGGTGAGGTAACAATTTTCCTCATTTATCACGCCAAAGAAATGACCAGCTTTTTCATTTCTTTCTTTTCTTTTTTTTCTGTTTGAGGGGTCTTGCAAGAGAAGACATCAGCTTTCCCACACCTAAATTTGACCTCGCTAAAGGCGGCCCTTCTGAGCGAATGGGACAAACTGAACCTCAATTACCTGCGTGCCACCACCGACGTCTATCCGAAGTGTCTGAAGGAGGTAATCAAAAATCGAGGAGGGAGAATTGAACAATGATCATTAGTTCATTAGTTCAAAGTGTTCAATAAAATTTACTGTCAATTTAAACGAGTTTTATTGTATTTTTTTTTTTGAAAAGTTATTTCGTTTTTTCAAAGCCCATGCAATTTGCCGCACCCTGTACAATCGCAAAAAAAAAAAACAAGCACCCTGCGCCGAGTTACTGTGAATTTTGTTGGCAGGTTCTCCGTATTACGGTACCCGAATACAAAACAATAAATGGTCCACAATTATTCTGGCGCTCGTTTCTTTGTAATATTATGAAATTGTTTTCCAAACTGTCTACATGAATCTTTCAAATCGATAAAACGACTTACGAATTGTAATCATCGCCGATGTTTCCAGCACGCGTTTTCGACCGTTTCTGGTCAAGTTTAAATGCTTGTGCACTGCCAAATACGACGTTTGAAGCTTGTGTTGAACAACGTGGCGGTATTCCAAACGACGGTTTTGCACTCACGTTTTCCGGTGGTTGTCCAAAACATTTCGGCGCGATTTCAGTTTTGTTTGTCTCCGTTGAATCTAAAAAATATTAGCTCAAAATGTTTCAAGGGACTATGCAAATTTCGGGAAAATTAACTCAAAAAGTTAGTTTTGCGCAAACTGCATAGAACTATGAAAAATTTTGATGAACTTACTCGGCAATTTTTTCAAGTTTTGAAATTTCGGCGCAGTTTGGAAAAAGTCGTCTACTACAATTGGTTTAATATAGTTAAATTTTTCCTACAAAACAAAATAGATTTTTCTAAACGATTAATTGAAAAACCCCGGATGGCTCGTAAAACCGCGAATCGTGACTGTAATACAAATACGTTAAAATAATATAACGTGTAATTAACAAACTGAAATTGAGGAGGGGTCTCAACTGGAGAAGTCTCCCTCGGAGGCGACACGGAACGTTGCGGCTGAGTTCTGATTTCTTCTAATTTTTCCAATGATTTCACATCAATACAATAAATATCCTAAAATCGAATTTAAATTCAAGATAATCTGAATATATAAAAAAAAACCCGGTTTTCAATTTTATACGCATGAAAAATTTCTTGAAATTCAGGACCATGGAAAATTTCATAAAGATCTCTGAATTCAATTACTTTATATCACGTGAAAAATTGACCATACTTTTCATGATACATCTTATTCCAAAGTGGCATCTGAAAAGTCTTTTCAAACTGAGTCTGAAGCGTTGATAGCCGAATAATTCGCTTCGAATTATCATTTGGGTGGGATTCTTCCAATTGATGACGATACTTTAGAATGAAATTCACAATGTCGTGAATCTGAAAAATCGGTAAAATATTTAAGTTTAATATTGATATGTGATACTCGATCCATTGTTCCAGCGATACTTTTTATGCGACGCCTGAAAAATTGAATGTAGTTATTGCTACTATACAAGAATATTTCAAGATACAAAGGAGTAGGACTATGCGATGAGATAGCTGCTGGATTCCGACCGAACCCTAAAAGAACTAGATAATAAATCTAATTATTTGCATTTAATCAAACTTGAGTTTTGGCGGAATTGTAAACCAAATGCAGTTTGATTGCGTGGTGCTCGCAAAAATGATCTCGACGCTCTGGCATTGCCGTCGTGTTGGCGCTCCACAAGTTCTCGAATATCGGCGTTCGCGGCGGTTCTTCGGGCAGCGAATCTTAAAATAGAGTTTACACCAACAAATTAAGTTAATTATTTTACAATTTGTTTCCTTGCCGATCCTTGGTTATTAAAATTGTATCTGAGCATGCTAGCAATAACTGTTCCAAACTTTCAAAGCCGTATTTCTTGAAATCAAATATTTTTCCTTCTTCATTTCTGAATAGTAAAATTTGAAATTTGTCTATCTTTTTCTAATACATCATTCGCCGTGTAATGTGAGAAATTGAGACCGGGGTTTTCTCGGCACTCAAAAATCCGTTTAGCTGTAGTTTTGGAACACGCAAAACGTCTTTCTTTTCCTCTTCGGTAACATCAAGAATTTGCGGAAGAACCTAAATCAAAGAATTGGTTTGTATATACTTGTATATTTATTTATTTTTCCTACCTGTTGATTTGTGCCAAAAATATCAGCAGCCTCATCATCGGAGAAAGAAAACATAATTTTGGAATTAATTAATTATTATGTTAGTCTTTGTTACTTCCTAAAAGATAAAGTATGTTAATAAAATGGAGAGAAAAAAACGAAAATTTCAAAAAAGTCGAAAATTTGTTTCAGATCATGAAAGCACCTTGCTACAGTACTCCCATCATGAGAAGATAGAAAAAACAAAAACAAGTATGCTCCTTTAGTACAGTATAAATATAAAGAATTATTATTTTTATTTGTTTTATTTATGACCTTATTCATGCAATAAAAATGTAAAGAATTACAACTTTTTTTCAGTTAAGGAATGTAAAAAATAAAAATTAAATGTAATTTTTTACAGTTTGCATTTCATGAATAAACCATTATTTTTTATTGGAAATTTCAAAATATAAGTGTGTTTTCAGACAATGGCTTACGAATTCGATGATCAGTTTAAAGCAACACGTTTGGTCAGTTTGTTTGAACGTTTTAATTCTTAGATTCAGAATTTCAGTTTGACGAAATAGTGTGGAACTTTCGAAAAAATCTACCACTCAAAAATAATCGCCATTATATGACAGTTATTGAAAACAGCTTTACCGGCAAAAAAGCAGTAGATTTTCTAATGGAGGAACTCCCTAAAATGATGCCGGATAAAAAAATAACAAGGTTCAAATGAATGAAACAATAAAGAAATGAATGTCGAAATTAATTTTTTTAGAGAAAATATGATAAGCCTAATGAAAATGATGCAAGAATGGAAGATTGTAAGCGATGCGGTTACTAAAGAAAATAATGAAAAGAAGAAGTTCCAAGAGACTCGAATATATGTGTAAGTCTAAAAGCGTTGCGATGAAAACCTGCCAATTTTAGTTTTTCCAAAGATTTGCACGAATTGAAGTGTCCGAGGATTCGCTCAAGAAGGTCTGCATCATTTAGCGGAGCACGTCAGAATTCGAGAAGGCTGTCTTCAAGTCAGACAAACCTTAATCCGATGAATGCTCCGGTAATTGATAGTCCGTTCGGCACGGCGCCGGTCCGAATGAGTCGCCGATTGTCTCGATCAAATGGAAATCTCCGTAAATTGATCATTGGCGACAACAAAGAGCCTACCGGTCGAGAAAATCCTGCATTCGATGATAAAGTCGACGAAATTGATATCAAGCATAAAGAAAAAGAGAACGAGTATGAAGATGGGAAGAAGGAAAGCGCGTACGACTGGCTGCCATTTTTCAAATCGAAACGAGGAGCTTCTAAGGTGAATCTAAAATGAGAATATTATTATAACACACTGTTATAGCCGAAACGAAACGCTCGCCGTTCAATGTCTTTAGATCGAAATCACGTCATGCTTGAGTCGGAGCAAAATATCGAATCGCCGATAATTCCGCCCAAGGTTCGCGCCACAGATGATTCAGCTCTTCTCCCGCAAAAGCCGTTGACTACGAATCTATCGCGCACAAAAGTTTATGAATCAATTGCGAGAAGGCAGCCGACGAGTTCGAGAGATGTGTGGAGGAATGAGCTTGTCAAGAGGTTGAATCTCATGAATAAAACGATGAGTGACTGGTTTTCTAGATTGACTATTCTCACTGGGGCTTCTCCTCCGATCGAATGGAGCCGCCACTTGGACGGAGCTGATATGCACTGGAATTCGAATTCACTAAATTTGGAAGCTGGTGTTATTCGATCACGAAACCATGGAATTCAACCATTCTATCCATTCACGGTTGTTCAATTCATGGAATATCTCAAGGATTTCCCATTTTCGAGCAAATCAATGCCTGGAATGGACGACAAGGTCTCGAAAGTGTTCGGCACACTTTGTAGTCGACTTATGGATTTAGACCCGCCACTTTATCCAGTTGAAATGAATTACATGTTCGAATTATTATCGAAAAATGAGAAATTTGGAGGTTCACGCGATTAATTTTTTCATTAAAAAATTTGAACATTTTTTTCTTTTTAAGAAATTATTGATGAACGATCACGAAGAATGGCAATATCGCGCAGTTCGACTCCAGAGGAATTCGCGAGTCTCGTACCAATGCAATATCACATGCCGCCATGCGGAATTCGCGCATCGATTCGAAGAAGAAGTGTAATTATGCCTTTGGAGAATATTAAGCCAAAACCTGCCGTTGACATTCATAGTTAGTTTATTTTTTCATATTTGTCATAATCGAAACCATATCATATAGATGAAGAATTTTACAAAATCCGGGAAGCGTGGCTAATCGAATCACTTCAACTTATACTAATCGGGCTTCCAACATCGCGTCGTCGCAAACTTCACAAATTTGTTCTATTCATGCGATCTGTGTCGACAAATCAATTAATCGACATCACCGAACCGACTAGTGGATTCAAAGACAATTGGCAAACCGTCATCAATGGATTGTGGTACGGCGTGTGCAATTCATGTACAAGGAAACAAGGAATGCTGCTCGCCGCCGTCCTGGTAACCAATCATCGAATTCTGTTTGCGATTCCTGATGATTACGTTGAAAAGGTGCATTCGCTGATCGTAACGACACCGGAGATAACGCACACTCGATATTCAAAGGTACCATTTATCCAGCTTCGTTGATTCTCGAAATTTTGCAGCTAACCCGCGGTCGAAGACCCCCCGTTCAGGAAACGCAACAGACAATTGTTGAGCCGCCACCGCCGCCGGAAATTGTCGAAAAACCAAAAGAGAAGAATCTTTTAAATCGATTGTTTAAACGATAATTGTATAGATAATATATTGTTAAATATATGTGAATGATCTGTTAAAATTGCGATTATTTCGGCCGATCAAACGAATATGTTCTATTGTAAATAATTGTCACCTCGTTTATGAATTATCTCTGATCCGCAGCATATCTTCTGTATTCAACACCTGCACTTATGTAATTCCTGATTTCGATTCAAACAACTGTAAATAAATTTAAGTAATTGTACATTGAAATTTCATATTATTTAAATGAAATTTTTATCATTAAAGTATTTTTAAAAGATATTCAAGGCGAAAATGTTTTTTATTTGGCCGATCTTTTTTTGGATTTCATTATTTCATGATTGTTAAGTTTACGGGCGCCCCTTTCGTGATGGTCTGGCCGCGTGTGAATGCTTTTGCTAGTTTCACGTAAACTGGTTAATTTTTCTTACAAGGGAAGTCATTTTACCTCCCGTCTTAGGATTTTTTGTAATTTTGCACACGTAAACTAGAAGGTCTTCTGAGTGTTTTCACAAAATTCCAGTCTGCACTGGGGGATTACAAGCGAGTTATGGCCATCTGAAAATTCAAGGTGTTTTTCCGTTGTCAGCAACTATTTAGGCAAAAGGTTGCATATACGCCTCTTGGCGCCACGGTTTGCCGAGGTGGTGAGGTGGAGAGAGTAATTGATAATTCTAGGATGAAGGTTCGCATCCCGTCACGGAAAATTTTGCATTTTTTCTTTTGGCTACAGTGAATGTTAATGCCAAACAGTTTCAAACTCATAATTTCATGTCAAAGCCTCGTTTTTGATGTTGCTTTTCAATTTATTTATTTTTTTTTACTTTTTACAGTTTTTGGTTTTCTTAAAATAGTTTTTTTATTGGGATGTTTTTAAAAAATGTAATAAAAAAGAATATTGACGGCGCAAAGTGCAAGATTTAAATTGATCTTAACAAGAAAAGGATACGGTTTGAGGATGACAAAAAGGTAATTATTTTTTTTTATTTTTATTGATTTTTCCTTCGAAAATTTATATTTTTATGTTAATTTAAAGGTACCATGAGCGATAAAGCTCTCACTTATGTTATGGCACAATATCAGCGTCTTCCCAAATGTCCTACCCTGGCAGATCGCGAGATGACCTTTGCGAATGCAATTCTTGGAATTCTCGATTCTATCGATAATGAAGAATTGGAAGTTGATGTCTAGTCGTTTCTTGAAGAATACGATGACGAATAGGCTGACAAAGGTAGACCTACCAGTTAGTTATTCAATTACTATTTTTTTGAAGACTGGGTGCCTGATGACGAGGTTGTTAAAGCCATAAATGTTTACGAAACAGAGTCGCATGAACCCAATATGATCAGATTTGGAAACACTTTGGTTGAACGACAGAGAGTTGAAGAGGCAGTGAAATTTTTTGGATCGTTCGATGGAATGAACAAGATGGGAAAACGAAATCGACCGAACCTATCGACGATAAATGCGCGATTTCGTTTCATCAAGACGGATGGATTTGTAAGAAAATTGCGAGAAATCGAAAAAAAAAAACGGTATTTTTAATTATTGATCTTGTACACATTAAATTGATAATGTTCAGGTGTCATTCTCATGATCATGGGATTTCTTCGCGGAAAGTGACAAAATTTGTGCCAAGGTGCACCACCGAAATCGAGCTAACCTACTGCTACAAGCGAAGAATTTCGTGGCCGATGTTAACAATGAGCTTCAGTCATTCCAGTCGTCTCGTATTTTCAATGCGGATCAGTCTGGTTTTCAACTAGAGATGTATACCGGAAGAACACTGGCTGAAACCGGTTCAAAGACAATCGAGTGTGTGGCGAACACAGTGAGCTCTACGACGCACAGTTACACCATCACGCCGGTTATCTCTGCTGAATGAAAGCTGCATCCCGTTCTGTTCGTCGTGCTTGCCGAAAAAGGAGGGAAATTCCCGGCTAGCTTCAAGTGCAATGCTCCAAATTTACAAGTGGAGTGTCATACTTCGCACATTATGACCATGAAGTTAACCGAGAAGTTCCAGAACTCTTTTGTTTTCCACAATTGGATGCCGAAGAACTCTCTTCTGATCGTTGACTCATGGAGTGGATGGAAAGGAACCGATGGATGCAAGGACCCGAAGGACAACTGCAACCTTGTTAATCAATGTGTAAATTCTTTGCATTTCTATTGTCCTCGTCAAACGATTGAAGGGAGACGGAGCCTTCAATTTCGCGAAATCAGTGTAGATTTGAATTTATCGTTGACTGAATATTAAATGCGCGTACACTATAATGCAATGTACGCAGTCTCGCGTACTTCTCGCTGCCTCGAAACGCATTCGCACATAGCCAATAATTTTTTAATTTTATCAAGTCGTTTTTTTGACTTCGACGATAAGTTTATAAAATATTAAAATTCTCAAAATTAACGCTAGAATACAAAATACCCGTTAGTTCGCGTAGGACCGCAGCGCCCTTGAAAATAATTTCAGAAAAATTAGAAGAGCGTTGCCAACGATTTAAGATTTAAATTTAAGCAACGCTGCGTTGATTAAATTTTTGTAAAATATTTTTGGTTCCATATTTAAAATACAAATAATTTTTTTTTTGATTTTCAACGGTTTCTTCGAGAGTTTCGAGAATAAGTGAGTCGAAGTCAAATTTTCCATATAAAATAGTGTTGCTTTGTCTCGCCAAGGTGCCTCTTTTATTATAATAATGGGGTCCGGAAACGCGGCGAAAAACTCGATGTGCCGATGTGTCTCGCGAATTCACTCCACACTCACCTGCATGTTCTCGGTCGTCAATTTCGCGCCCGCTTTATTATTATTATTGTTGTTGTTGTCGTGGCCGCGAATTTCCGACCAACAAAATGTGAATTACAATTTCTTATCGAAAATTAATTTCTTTCCGTTTGTTTTTTTTTTGAAGGAGGAACCCCTTCAGTGCAATTTCTGTGTTCATTCGCGAAAGAAAAAAGACGTCGAGGATGGTGTAAAACAGGAGCCCGATTGCATGAATCATCTCAAATTCTTGTCGAGAACTGATTTGCGAAGGACGTGCACACTCAATGAGAAATATTGTGTGGTACGCGTTTTCCAATCAACTCTATTATTTCGCGAAATTTTTTATTATTTCGTTGCTTTAATTTAAATTCAAAAAATCTGACGAAACTTCTTAGCGAATTAATGCTGTAAATCCGCTAAAATGTGTGAATGATAAAATTGAAAGATTCTAAGGAAAAAATGGTTTCTGGAACCATGATGAAGAGACATTTTCTAGTCGGGTTTTATAAAAAACTATTATTTGGGGTATTATTACGACGAAATGGTTATGGCTGCGCAGAAGCAATATTTAGAATTCATTATTAACTGCGCGGTTACCATTCGGACGTAAATCGGTAATCAAATGTAGTCGACGACGGACGAATTTGGGGGTGCGATTGCTTTATTGTTTGAATTGCCGCCGCGGGTCTCGTATGGCAAAAAAACTTTTAGGAGCGATTTTTACGTTTTCTATCTATCATAATATGATCATAGTTTTTTTTTAAATGAATTTCAAGCACTTTGATTATTAGCCAAATAGCGAAGTGTGAGGCAATTTTGTTTCGGGGATTAATTAAATGGCATCTCACGCAATTTAAATTTCTCAAATTAGTCCGTAAAAGAATAGAATATTCGAAATTGCATCGCGCGTCTGCCAATGGACACGTCAAAACATTTTTGTCCCCTCGGGGACTGGGCCGATCCCGACAGCAGTGCATCGTCAGGTCGACCCTTGGAAGGTCGGAGCAAGCCCCGAGTCCTTCCAAGGTTCTAAAAATCCAATAACCTATTTTGTGACCTTTCGGTCACATATCGTAGGTTAATACGATAAGAACTGTTACTAAAATATGATCTTAGCTATTAAGCCGAGAAGCGATACTGATTGCTGCTAACGGCATTTCTTATAAACAATTGTCTGCGGACAACAAACGAGGACACGTAATTGTCTATGATTTCAGTCGACAGTGACGAATCTGAACGGGTTCTTCATCGAGATCGAACGCGATTGTGCCGAAGACTGCGAGCAAGGTCGAATGACTGAAATCGGGATTGTCTGAAACAACTGATTGCAGGATGCGAACAGCACGGCTACGGATTGTTTCACACCGAATGTACGCGGTGCTGTCGCGAGCCGCTGTGCAACGAGTTCGACGGCAAACACTACTATGAGCCGCTCGCCGCTTCGCATGTCGCATTCATCCTCATTCCGGGCCTTGTTTTATTGAATTTTTTATTAGTAGCCGGCATCTAAATAAAATTGCTCTTCTTCCTTCCTGCGTTTTTTTCTCGTCAGTGCATTTTTCGACCATATGCGGACGTCGAAAATCGAGCCAATTCCCAATGCGTCGTCTCGTTAGACGGAGGCAATTCGAATTCCATTTATTGTCGCCGTCAAACTCTATTCGCGGTTTGATTTCATTCGATTCAATTGAATTATGGTAGGTTAACAACTATGACAGTCAAATGTGCAACTACAGTACTCTTTGTCGGTTTCCCTTTAAAGGAGCATGCAATAATTGAATCGAAAACCAATCGTGTTTCAAATATAAATTATGACACGCAGTGCAGGAACACGGCTCGTTTTCACATGTATGTTTTATGCCCAAAAATGGAAATCGCATAAAATATTCGGCAAAGCACAAATATATACATGCACAGAGAACCCGAAAAAAAAAACATCTGCTATCTCGTCGTTTTAGTCATCGACATACTCGTTTGTGGCTGGCCGACGGCGAGTTTTTCGGCCGAATTCGCCGGCCTAATATATGCATATAATTGGAGTTGAATTCGTCCTCACGGGTGGCTCATTTTCGGCGTTTTCGATTCCGTTCACACATCTTCTCAATTCTCTTCTCCAATTTGTCCATCTTACGGTCTCAATATTTTCAACTGTGTCCTTACTCCTTTAGTTTTCTTCTTCTTCTTCTTTTTTGCAGCTTCACAAATTATTCATTGGAAACGACGAATACGCAAAAAACATTCTGACATCAAAAATAAAATCACAAAGTCACTTCATTGTCTGTTTCTTTCTTTTTTGTTGCCTTCGGATTCGATATTGGTCTTCTCGTGAGCGTATGCTCCTTTGATTACGGTCTCCTCGAAATAATTCGATAAAGAGTTGTATGCAAACAAGCCGCCTATTTTTTTTTGCTGTTGAAACGAGATCCATCGCAGCGAAATTCAATTTCCTCCCGCACCATGATGCACAACAAACAACCACACCATGTTTGGGTGGCAAATTTGGTGTCAAAACACCCATCTCAAATTTTCTCGTTCTTCTTGCAAAAAAAAATGAGACATTTATAATTGTCCTCGGAAAATTCCAGCTATTTCTAAAAAAAACCAAGTATCTCGAAAAATCATTTCTCTAAACACACTCGAATTGCAAAAATGCTTAATTGATTCGTAAATATGAATAAGAAATGCATATGATATTTTAAAGGCGCATGCCGCGCAAAACATACTTTGAGGGCGCCTAATTAGAGAGGTGTCCCTGCTTCTAGAATTTCGCCTAATAAGCAAATACACATTTTTCGTTTGGCCAACGAATAATAATAATATTAATTGCGCTAAAGTCCAAGTCGTATAGCATTAGTCGTTCGCTCGTTCCTTTTTTTGCTTTTTGAGGCATGGAAGAGTTTCGTGGGGGACGAACACGCCTAATTAGGCGATGGTTGGTTTGTCACGCGAATGAGAATGTGCATCCGACAATCATCACAGCATCATGTACTATTAAGCCGTCCGTCTCGCGCCTTTCTTTTTCTAATTTATTCTTTGAAGCTTTTCTCTTCTTTTGTTCTAATTTTAGACCCAATCGTACAGAGTATCACATTCTAACTATACTGATTGGCCTCATTTCTTATACATCACTAAATTGTCGCATTTATTTTTTTTTTTGCTAACGAAAAAATTTTTTATTAAAGAGGCTTGTCTGTAATTCACTAATTCGCACGTTTGCACCAGGGCTGTGCGGCAATGGAATTGCCGATTGCCGAAATTGCCGAAATTGCCGATTTTTCAAATTGCCGAATTGCCGAATTGCCGAAGAGAACGTTCGATCGGCAAATTGCCGAATTGCCGGATTGCCGAAATTTTGATTTTCGGCAATTTGATATCAAAAAAAATCGGCGAAACCAAAATCAACGTCCATTGAATAATTTGCGATACCGTGAAAATTCGGTATTTATATTTCGAATTATCGTTGAAAACATTTAATAGCCGAAATTTTTATTTTCGGCAATTTGCCGAATTGCCGGATTGCCGAAATTTTGATTTTCGGCAATTTGCCGAATTGCCGAATTGCCGAAATTTCCGATTGCCGCACAGCCCTGGTTTGCACATTCAAAAATCTTCTCGAACCACACTGGAGTTTAACTGCTTCGCCGATTTGAGGAAAACAACAATTTTGTTCAATTTTGCACAGTTTCTTCAAAAAATTTGCCATTATTTCGGAACAAAATCCCCCCAAAAAAAGTGAGTTTGCCGAAAAAAAATCAATCAAAAAATAAAAGAGATTCGCGCTTTTTGTTTTTTATTTTTCTATTTCTTATTCGAAAAAATCCAATACTTTTGCCGTTGTTGGAAAGCCATGGGAAATTTCGTATTCGCAATTTATTTCTTTTTTTTTCTTGTTTGCTTCTCGATTCTTTTTGTTGAACATGATCGATTTCTTTATGAAATCAATTTATGAACATTTTGATACGCCACCCCCAATTTTAGAAGTTTCTCGAAAACCATATAAATTGGTGACAAGACAATTTCATTTTCGAATTCAGTGCCATTCGATGGATATAAAGACAATAATGTTGAAAAATTTTTATAAAATATATTTAAAAAATAAGCAAGAAACATGCAAAAATGCCGAATGAAAATGCAAAAAATAGGGATCATTTTGAAGCGCTTGAAAATCCAACTTTTTTCGACTATGCGGATATGGACCAACGGACCATCATGAAAATACGCGTCTATAGGTTTTCAATGGCCCTGAATTCGAAAATGAAATTGTCTTGTCACCAATTTATATGGTTTTCGAGAAACTGCTAAATTTGGGGGGTGGCGAGGCGCACTGTATTTTTTTGGTTTTTCCGATTTTTTGATAGTGGATTTCAAGAATTTTCGCGATTCTGCAAACACGAATCAAATGCGAGCATTTCGGACTGCCTCGTTACAAAAATTCGATGGGCGCCGCTCTCTGCAATTACGCGTCGGCTTGAGCAGGAGGTGCACAAATTCGAGATTCTCTCTTTGGTTCGCTCGTCATCCCCTTTTTTTTTGCTGATATTCCGAGAAGACCAAAATGCAATAATATTCAAATGTGTTCGCGCCTCTTACTTCATCGTCGCCTTCTTATTCTAATTGAATATTAATTATTGGTGCACGATTGCGGCGGCGTCAGTTTGTGATGTTTTTAGCACGACTCGGTGAGTGTGCTGTGTTCGCGGCGAGACCTGAAACGCGACGGCGGCGATCGTCGAACGATGCGATGAATCGAAGCAAAAGTGTCGGCCGACGCGACGGACGCCCGCGCGAGGCCAAACAGTACAAAGTGACGGTGGCGGTGCTCGGCGGCGAACGAGTGGGTCCCAACGAAGCGCCACGAATTCGCTTCCGTTTTTCAGGTCGGCAAATCCGCTCTGGTCTCGCAATTCCTTTGGCAGAAGTTTGTCAGCGAATATCGCGCCACCGTCGAAGAATTCAACTGGATCGAGTACGAGGTCGAAGAGGGAAGAGTTCTAATGGTTCAAGTTGGGTCTCGCAGCGAATTCGATTCCTAATTCGATTCTTTCTGAAGATTATCGACTCTAGCGGCTCTCGAGATTTTATTGGCATGCGAAATCTGTACATTGGCACTGCCGACGCATTCATGGCATTTTCGGTTGTCTCGCAATCTCTAAACGAATACATATTCAGGTAGTGTTCGCCGTGAACGATCCATCGTCGCTTATTGAAGCGAGATCAACTATCAACGAAATCGTGGCAAGACGCGGTCCCTATGTAGTTCACTTCGGTTCCGTGTGCTTTTGGGTATTTCAAAATTGTAGGTGCCAATTGAATTAGTTGCGAATAAAACCGACAAAGAGAAATTATGCGATTTTGATGAGCATGAGCAGATGAACAGTGGAATTTGCTACCGAGAATGTTGCGCAAAAAATCAAGAAGAAGTGAGCATGTTTTAAATTTGCGAAGCGACTGAATGGAGGCGGGCAATATTCATTTAAAGGGGGGGGGGAGTAACCTTTAGAAAAATTTTAAAAAAAGTATGATGGAATATAGATAAGAAAATCGAGAAAAAAAAACGAGAATTCGATTGTCGGCAAATAAGGTGCACAGGTCCGCAATGATTTCAATTTTGCAAATTTTCGGCGTTCCTTGGAAAATTTTCAATAGCACTCAATGAGAGTTCAAAATTCCAAAAATTGGGCGTTCAAAATGTTCAACGCGTTAAAATATAGTCGTCGAGTAAAATGCATTTAGTGTAAACACGCGCTCATTTCTGGAAATTCGATTTTTTTCTTAAATACGTGTTCCGTTCTGTTAGGACATGAATACCACAGAAAGAAGTCGTTAAATTTCAAAATGAAGTTGAAAATGACATTGCGGACTTGTGCATTTAATTTGACGACAATACACACTTCGCTATCGATTTTCTCAGTGACGAATTCACGTAGAATTGTCGTTCTTTTTTTTGGATTTGTTCGATTTCTTATCCAGTTTCAATGATTTTTAAATACTTTTTCCAATACCTCCCCCCCCCCCTTTAAGATGCATTCAGTCGTTTGACGCCGACATTTGAAGAAACTCTATGCACATTGCAACTCTCTCGAAACGAATAAAATTCAGGCGCGGCAATGTTTCCAAGATTTAATTGCTCGGATTCGGCCAACACTCAATTTTCAAGGCGGAAGCCTACGCAAACGTCGGCAATCAATGCCGTCGAGTCGTGCCTACAGCGGTGTCGAATCTCGCGATATTCAGAAAGTGCGCGACTCAACTCGTCAGAATTGCCTCATTTCATAACATTATGAATTCAAATAAATGGTGTGATCACAAAAAAAAGGAAAGAAAATAAACGAATCACTTTGAGCGAGTAACACAATCGGGACCATCTTCCATTCCGTTCGATTTTCAAACTAGTATTATCGGTGTCAAACGACTTATCAATGACGCGAAATTGAATTTTGCAAAATTACGCGCGGGTAAAATATTAAATGCGCGTACGATAAAATGCAGAGTACGCAGACACGCGCACGTCTCGAGACACTTGGCAAAAAGTCAATTTTTATTTAAAATTCGCTTAGACGTTTGACAATAACAATATGATCGCAAAAAATGAGCGCCGTGAATAATTGTGGACCATCGCACTTTTCGAGGCGGTAATTCAAATTCGAATTATCAGTTTGAGCGAAGAAATGGATTCGAAGATGTCTGTCTGGTATCATATGCAATTAAATTGGCACCATATAGCGAAAGTATATCTCGCGTACACGATGCCCTGAAAAACACTGGTCAAAAAATTGTCGACATGACAGCTCTTGAGCTAATTGCCAATTTGACCTTTTCCGTTCGCCGTGGGCATTTTCCTCTGGCAAATATGTCGGAAAACTGTAAAAATTAGTAATAAAATGTTTAAAATGTAAAAATGTATTTAAAAAAAATTTTTTATGAGGCGACCGTATTGTCGACGTCAAACGATTGAAGGGAGACTGGGCATTCAAATTTGGGAAAAAAATATCGACGACTGAATATTAAATGCGCGTACACTATAATGCAATGTACGCAGTCTCGCGTACTTCTCGCTGCCTCGAAACGCATTCGCACATAGCCAATAATTTTTTTGATGCCGTCAAGTTGTTTGACCTCGACAATATAATTATGTGGAAATTTTTTAAATTTTTCTCGAAAAAAAATTGATTACGTTTTAACACCCAAAAACATGCTTCAGAGAAGAAGAATTTGCCGCTAACACGAAATTTCAATTTTCGAAATTTACTTTGTCCATTTTTGATGGTGACAGTATAATTACTCTGGTAACTCAAAAGCAATCGGATCCGATAAAATTCGGCTCCGAAATTAACCTTATCCGATTGGTAATTCTACGAATAAGATTGGAAAATTGTCGTATCCGATTGGTTTTTTTTGGGTATTTTCGTATCCGATTGGTAATTTGTCGTATCCGATTAGATTTTCTTCGAATCCGATTGGTAATTATTTGAATCCGTTTTGTTTTAATATTTCAATTCGAATCGGATTCGACAAAAACAATCTAATCCGTAGAATTTCCAATCGGATAAGGTTAATTTCGGAGCCGAATTTTATCGGATCCGATTGGTTTTGAGTTGCCAGAGTATGCGAAGAGTAGATTTTCAAGTGTCATCAACTTTTAGAAAAATTCTGGCTATGAAAACTTTTCAAGAATTAATGTGATTTGAAAGAAAAAAAATGATGTGATCTGAAAAGAAAAACGCATTTAATTAGAAAATAGTTTAATTATCGCAAAAAATGGTCTAATCTGTAAATTCGGAGCGTCGGCGGAATCGAAGAATCGAGACGGCACGGAATTTTGCAAATCTGGAAACAAACGTGTGGCTGCTTGAATAAAATTGATAATTAGGAACATTATCTACAAAGGGACCACAGACTCAAATTTCAATCCATAGCCTTCACGAGGACAACACAAAAAAGAAGTATTGTGGAAAAATGACGAATGCGAAAACCTGCAGCGATATTCTATGCATTGTGTGCGTACACCAGGGCTGTGCGGCAATCGGAAATTTCGGCAATTCGGCAATTCGGCAAATTGCCGAAATTCAAAATTTCGGCAATCCGGCAATTCGGCAAATTGCCGAAAATCAAAATTTCGGCAATCCGACAATTCGGCAATTTGCCGAAAATCAAAATTTCGGCTATTAAATGTTTTCAACGATAATTCGAAATATAAATACCGAATTTTCACGGTATCCCAAATTATTCAATGGACATTGATTTTTGTTTCGCCGATTTTTTATTGATATCAAATTGCCGAAAATCAAAATTTCGGCAATCCGGCAATTCGGCAATTTGCCGATCGAACGTTCTCTTCGGCAATTCGGCAATTCGGCAATTTGAAAAATCGGCAATTTCGGCAATTTCGGCAATCGGCAATTCCATTGCCGCACAGCCCTGGCGTACACCGAGTCGCACCTTAGCTACAGTAATCTCATCTGAAAATTATTTAATCAATATTGATCGTTTTGTTTTATATAAAACCATTAACTTTGAATAATATACAATAATAATTATTATTACACTTTTTCAATGCAACAATATAGATAAAACCATAAATTCGCCAAGAAAACACGAAAGAAACTTTTTTAAAAAATTGATTAAATAATTTTCAGATGAGATTACTGTAGGTAAGATGGAATTGTGCGACTCGGTGTACGCACACAATGCATAGGATATTGCTGAAGTTTTTCACATTCGTCATTTTTCCACAATACACTCAAAATATGAAAAACGGTAATAATTTAACAAAAATTGCCGAAAATTCACAGATTATTTATTTTCAATGAGATATGTTGAGCATATTATGAATGGTTTGTTGAATATCCTGAAAATGGAAATTAAAAAATTGGGCTGAACCAACAATTTTCGAAGAAAAAATGACTGAATTACTGTAAAAAATATTCAGAGAATCTTCACAAAATGTATTATTACGTTGAGCGAAAAAAATGGTGTGATTTGCATCAAAATTATGAAATGAGAAATAAAAAAAAAATCATATAAAATTGTAAAAATGTGATGTGCGACGTGAACATTCTTCAAGAATCCATTTCTATGCTAAAAGAAATAAATCTAGCAAGCGATCAAGCAAACGATGAGCGATATGTCGATGAAGAAGGTTATTGAAGTTGAGGATGCCGTAGAAGTAGGGCCTCCTCGAAAGCGCGTAAAGTTCTACCATTTCGCCGAGGAGGTCCTCTTCGAGGTTGTCGAAGGTCCGTCCATTTCTTTTTATCAATGTTGAGTTGATTCGATTTATTGGTCTCGGGCTAGATTGACTGATAGGAGAGGAATTGTTTGGAGGATTCGGTATACCATCCTTCAATTCTGAAGCAAGCCATTAATTATTGATAATGTCTTCTATCCAAACGATTTCTCAGACTATCAGTCGTGTAGGTGTTGAGATATTCAGAATAGTCGCCTTCTAATAATTCTTTTTAGTATTTTAGTTGATTTTTTAAATCAAAAAATATACGAAATTTCTCTTTCCATACAATCAATAAGAACATCAATAGACATTTCAATCGTTTTAAAATTAAGTTCTTTTTTTTTAATTCAATTGGTTTTTATCCATAAATAATTATCAGAATTACCTTAATATTGGGTCAATAGAAGGCTAATTTTTTGAAAGTTTATTATTATTTATTATTGAACGATTATTTATTTATCGGGGGGTGGTTGGGGTGTTTAAGATTTTTAAAGACATATTTTCAATTCGCGGAAAATTTCCAGCTAAATTCGCTTTTTTGGAGCGATTTTTTGCTTTATTGAAGCAAAATTTATCAAATTTTGGTTTTTTCTTTTTTTTTGTTTGGTAGAAAAACGGGAAGAATTATGAACAAATTTCAGTATACATTAAAGAGAAAAATGAAATTCACCTAGATTGTTTTTTTCCGATTTTGACAATATTTTTCTATGAAAAGTGTTTAAAGGCACATAGTCCTTGGCGAGGAATACTGCTGGTTGTTCTCGAAAATGTCTTGCGAATGTCGTCTTCTGTTCTGCATTTTGATTCTTTCACGTTGGTCTTGCGAGATTGTCAGTTGATGCGCCTTTAAAGACTTTTCATAGACTGGAGCTTTTGAAAAAGTTCAGCGGACTTCTGTAATCTGAAATATTTAGGGCCGAGGAAGGGATTGAAGAGGACGAGAATGAACGGGCCGGAGATACGGAAGGTGAAGGCGGAGCTGAACGAGTCGCCGGCGAAGAGGAGAAGACCGCAGGAGGTGTCGCAGGAGGAGATGTTGGCGGCGTTCGGAACCGATGCGGAGCCTGTCGAGCTGGACATGACGCCACACAGCTATTTCTGCTATCGATACTGTGTGGCCGGTTGTGGCCATGACTGCCTGTGCCGAAAAGATCTGGTACGGTGCTGCCCGCGGTGCCCGTGCAATCCCCGCACGTGCACCAATTACGATCTCGAGCGGGAGCATCAACGGCGGTCGGCGAGAGCATCGAGGGCCGAGCGTAGGCGGACGGCGAATCGGGAGTGGGCCGCGATGGAGCCGGTGACGGAGGCGATGGCGGAGCAGGAGCGACGGTTGGCGGAGAAGGCGGCGGCGGCGGCGTTGGTGAAGCCGAGGTGGAGCGTGTTTTCGGAGGAGGAGGATGAGGATGAGCCCGAGGAGAAGAAGTTGGCGGTGTTCCCGGAAGAGGATGAGGAGGAGTTGGAGTCGGTGGGTGAGCTGGAAGAGCAGGAAAGCGGCGAGCTTGTGAGGACGCCGGAAGAGCCGGAGGTTGTGCTCGCGCGCACACCGGAGGCTGAGCAAGTAGCAAATCCGGCGGTGTTGGAGCCGGTCTACTTTCACCCTGAGGTGCGTGGCGTATTGCGCGGTCTGATCGCGAGTGAAGACCGGCCACAAGGGCGCCAATTCTTAACATCTGGCGCCGTTTTCGCCGGACTTTTAAATCTGGTGAAGACGGCAAAGATTGGTGTGGTTTGGCCGTCTGCCATGAAAGTAGTCGTCGACGAGGAGGGACAAGATCCGGAGCATATCGCAATTATGCTCAAACGGTGCACCGCTGGGGTGCGCCGTGAGGCTGAGGTCGTTTTCATGCCAGTGCATTTCCATCAGCACTGGCTCCTCGCCTCATACAAGACGGCAAGTGGCAAGTGCGTCATCTATGACTCACTTGCTGCGAATCGCCTGCCGAGCGACCGCAAGAAGATCGCGGCCGCAATGAAGCGGGCGTTGGCGGCGTTGTATCCAGACGTCTTGTCGTCCGTGCGCTGGGCGCCAAAACACCATCAAATGGCGCAGACGGATGGATACAACTGTGGCATTCATGTCATCGAGAATGCCCGAAGAGTCCTGGAGAGATGCAACACCAACCTGGCCGGAGGAGAGGACATCGACATGGAGGGCGAACGAAGGCTTCTACGATTCGTCGTGGAAGGCTTCATTCCACAGTTGGGTACGTTTTTGTCATCTCGTTTCTAGCTTGGAACGGAGTTTCCGTTGAATCGTCGATTTCAATTTTGCCATTTTTTCCGACGTTTTCCTGCAAAACATTTTACGGAAATTCCCCGAGATTTCGATTTACGCGAAAAAACGGTCGCCTAATTAATGGCGGAGTGTCGTATTGGTTCGAAATTCTCTTGTGTTGCAGAAGCAATTGTGGATGAAGCGACGAAGAACCCACCATGTCCGGATGTTGGCGTCCAGACGACAACAAGACCAACGAGACGCGCAGCAATGGACGCCAAAGGCCAAATCCAGAGGCTCTACCGCCAAAAACTAGTTTGATAAAAAAAAAAAAAAAAAAAAAAAAAAAATTAAACAAAAAAATTAAAAAAAAAAAAAAAAAAAAAAAAAAAAAAAAAAAAAAAAAAAAAATTAAACAAAAAAATTAAAAAAAAAAAAAAAAAAAATTAAAAAAAACAAAAAAATTTAAAAAAAAAAAAAAAAAAATTTAAAAAAGAAACAAAAAAACAATTAAAAAAAACAATAAAAAACAAAAACAAAAAAAAAAAAAAAAATAAAAATAAATAAATAAAAAACAATAAAAAAAAAACTTTAAAAAAAAAAAAAAGTCATTTAAAAAAAGAAAATTTATATTTGTCCTATATTAGGACACCAGTTAAAAGCGATCGATGAGCAATAAAATGCTCGAAGAGTTTGCTGATGGCCGAATCTTTTCAACGCTGATGGCCGAATCAACACGAACACACAACACAATATAATGGACCTGCAAAGGATGAGGACCTAAACGCAGGCAATTTCGATTTACCAATTGAATGGATCAAAGAAACAAAATGATATTGATCCGAGAGATCGAAGGAGTGCACAAGATCAATGTGCCCATAAAATGGTGAGCATACTTAAATTGAAGAATACTTCAATTTCATCTACTTCAGATCAAAGTGCATTTTATTAGAAAATTAAAAGACGGAAACGACCAGAAAAATTCGAAAAGGATTTTATCAATAGAATGCAACGAATCGAGAAATTTTCTGTCGAAGTGGCTGAGCAAATCGTGCTTCTGCTGAACAAATGGTGAGTTTTTTTGCCATTTGAACATTGATTGAACTGAGTCTCATATCAGAGTTCAATCTAATTCCATTACATAAAGAAGGATGCCGTGAAGTTACAGTTCTTAAAATGGATTTATCAAAATACCCTCCCCCACTTGGCCCAATTGAATTTTCCCCTAGATTTCTTATATTTTTTTAATTATCATTTTTTACTACTTAATTTTTTAACCACCCCCCCCATTTTTATTCATTATTTCCCAAATATAGATTTTAAAACGACGGACAATTTTTATTGTAAAAAAAGAAAGAAAGATCCAATGTCGTTCAAATTGATTTCGGGTTTCTTTTTGTGTTTATTTATTCTATTTTTTCAAGATTTCCGATGATTCTTAAAAACGACCGGACAAAATGAGTTGTAAAAATACGAAAAGATCCACATGTCGTTTAAATGTGTTTTATTCGCTTTTTTTTTTGTTCTTTTCGGATCTCTGATTTCTGCAGGGATCGGATGAGCCACATCGTGGCTTTCAAATGTAAGGCATTCAATTATCATCTCAAAACAATTGAGAATCTCATTTCAGAATGAAATTGGCACGAATTGTCGAGAAAAGAAGAATTTTGAAGTGAAGCCGATGTGATTGAGGGAATCAAATCACCAACTGATTACCAATTGAAATCGAACGGCGCAGAAGTGTAAGAAAATATTTATTCAAATTATTTATATTATTTGACATTTTGTAGTATTCATAAGCGTCTGAACATCGACAATCTGAATCTCGACATGAAATAGAGATGATACAAAAAAAAAGATTCGAGCAAATGAATCTGAGAAGATCGAGACGTGATGTCAGAAGGATGAAAGATGTGTAGATCATTGAAGCCGCCCATTTGGTATTATCATTATACCCCTTTTACCTTACCCGTTGTATGACCCCCTTTATTTCGTTTATTATAGTTTTAAAAAAATTTAAAAGAAAGAAAAAAAGAGATTAAAAAACATTTTTTTGACATATTTGTTAAAAAGCGAAGGACAGTCTTAATTGTAAAAAAATATGAAGAAAAGATCCAATTTCGCTTTATTTCTATCATTTTAATTGTAATTTAGTTTATTTTTGTGTATTTTATTATTATTATTGTCTCAATCTTCTTGGGCATCCTTGATTCGAATGTTGAACAATAGGACACAACGAAAAAGTCGAATAAGATGTAAGCGATTCTTTCGATTTTCCCGTAAAAATCCGATTTTTCAGTGTGAAGATTTCAAAAAAATCGTAAGAAATTGTTTGATCCGAGGAAAAAGATGTTTGCAAGAAATGAAAATGGAAAGATCACGCAAAATAGAGTCAAACGGAAATTGACGGGCTTCGGATGATTTCTGATTGGTTCGAGTGATCGGCGTTGATTCGTTGAAAGTAGTGTGAGCAAATGTTCTTTTTTTTTTTGTTGGAAATTTAATCGAAATTCTGAGCCCGATGATGATTGTGGAAGGTAATGTCCCGCAATTGGAGGGCAGTCATCATATTTACTAACACAGCAAATAAAATTATAGCGCGAATTCGATAATTCAATTGAATTCGAAAATCGTTAATTTCAAGGGAATATTAAAAATGCACGATTTATTTTCAAAATTAAAAATTGTTCTTTTTTTTCGATTTTTGGCCCGATGATGATTTTGGAAAATGATATCCCGCAATCGGAGGGCAGTGGGTTAATGAGCGGATTGAGTACCGCACTAGACGAAGTGTCTTGGGTTTAGATATTAAACGAATCTATGTATATTTCATTATTTTTATTTCCTTTCCTGGTGTATAACTTCAAATGATGATTTACCGGAAAATTCGGCTAGAAATTTTGAAAATGAAAACACATTTAATTTTTAATTGTAAAAAAACAAGCAGCTGGAATAATTGAGGACCATCGCACTTTTTCGGAGCGGTAATTCGAATTCGAATTTAAACAGTATGAATTTGGGCAGTCCACTCTGATCTAATCTAATAGTTCAATTCAATTTTTTGCAAGTATGAATGTAAATTTATTTTTGGCCCGATGATGATCCTGAGGGCAATGATAATACCAATAAACGGTATTAAGCTAATTCGAAGATTCTATTAAATTCAAGCAATTATTAATAATCGTTAAAATTTTCGAGGTTCCATTAGATCGGCAATAAAATTCGAGGATTCGGGGCATTTTTTTGAGAGATTTGCCGTCGTGGGTCTCGTATGGAAAATACCCTTATAAGTGATATTTGCTATCTCTTAAGGCCATAATGTGAAAGAAAAATAATTTAATAACGCATATTAGGTGCCTTGGGACGTATTAATTAGGCGACTTATCAAATTGCAGCCAAGATCTTCAAACTCACTGACCGCAAAAATATTTTTCGCAATTTTTTAAAAATTTTATTTTAAAATTGAAATCATTTAATTAATTTTTTTTTCATATTTCTTGTGCGTTTTGAAAAGAAATCGGCAAAATATTCATTAGAAAACTCATAAAATTCAGATAACAAATAAAAATTATCGAATTAATGGTGGACGTGAAATGCGGCATGGCCGAATAATTTGCGGCCGTCCAATAATTCGGCCACCTGAATGGAACAGGGTTGAACAGAAATAAAAATTCTCCTTCCGTCAAACAACGGAAAAGAGAATAAAACAGTTTTCGTCTGAACATTTAAAATATACGTATATAAGATTAACGAAAGAGAAAAACGATCTTTAGTGATCGAGTACAGGGTTGTAAATATTTTGTTTTTTTTTGCGTGAAATAATTGTTTTTTAAACATTAACTGGAAATAAACCAGATTTTCAGTTTCCCAACGGAAAACTATTTTCCGGTTGGCGGCGGAAACAGAAAAACACTTTGTTTTCCCGTTTTTTTTTTCCGGATAAATGTGGTTTCCCACCCAAGTTAGACGGAATGAATGAATTGAAAACGCGGAATCCGCCAACTCTGTTTCCCACAATCAGAGGGCAATCGGTTTTCTCTATATATTTTGTTTTCCAATTTATATTATTGGGGATCATTGATTCGATTGTTGAACAATAGGATGGAAAGAAAAAGTCGAATAAGATGTAAGCGATTTTTTTTCGATTTTTCCCATAAAAATCCTATTTTTCAGTGTAAAAAGTTAAAAGAAAAATAATTGTGTTTTGGAACCAAAAAACAATCAAATGAGGAACTAATAGTGTTTACGACGAATGGAATCTCGAAGTATTTGGAAGAAAAATGAACCGGAAGATCAACATTGAAGTGAAAGTATTTCAGTGGTATTTTTTCTACATAGGGTATTTTGCAACAGCTTAATATTTTGTGCATAGAGTGCGGGAATTGAGGGGTCCGGATTCTCCCGTCTGGGCCGTATTCTCGGTTATGTCTATGTTCATAGTTTCGTGTTGGAAACAAACAATAAACAACTAGGAGTTTATTTATGAACAATAGAATGAGTAACATCAAATAGTGTGGACTTATAGCGTGTCTCCCAGCTTCCTAGCTCCTCGTTCGTTTCCCGGGCATCGCTTAAATAAGGGGAGAGCTGGTGGCATTGATAAGGTTGCTTCCGGTCGGAGGATTGATTAAATATAAATGTATCTCCTTCCGGTTGCTGTTCGACCTGATGTTGCCCCTATGACTCACTTACAATAGAAAGCAATTAAAAATGGTTTAGATTGGAGACAATTGATAAACTACCAATTGAATTCATAAATATTTGGGAAGGGTACTAATTATCACTTTTACACTTCAGAATTTTAGTCATTCACGTTTCGATTGACTATGAAATCTGCGTTTTGCATTATGGAATTAGTTTTCATTTTAACCCTGAAAGTGTAATTTTATGTTCTTCCAATTTATCAAATTTAGTTTGCATTGGTCTTGTAGAATCAAAGAAATTTACCTTTAAAGGTAAACTAGAAAATTACCAAAAAAATTTATATCCGCCTAAATACTTTGGGCCGAGAAAAAGTTAACGCTGAAATTTCTAAATTCGTGTAATTCATGATTTTTGGCAACCAATCCGCTTCTATGTATGTGAATTTTTCTCAATTTGGTTATTCTCGAAAAATTATTGACCACGTGAATATTTAAAATACGAAAACCAACATGGCTTCATTTTCATTCATTTCTTTTTTTCTGTTTTTGCCAGTATAATTCGTCGTTCGTTATTTCGATGAAGAGATCTAAAAAAAAACAACATTAATAAGAAGGTAATTACGATGTTCGTGCTAATTATTTAAAAAGATGGTGAAATATTAATTTTCGTCATGTTTTTATTTTATTTTTAATTTTATTGTGATCGTAGGTTAAGTCGGTTAACCGGTTTATTCAGTCTAATACACATTTAGAAATTACCAATTAAACGAATAACTAGGTTCTTTAAAAAAAAAATGGTTGGCTGGTTGAACAGTTTACCGGCTAATTCCGGCTAACCGGTTAACTGACCATTTTTTAAAGAATCCGTTAAACCTATTTATGGACCTAATCACTTCAGCCGTTCATATTGCGAACAGGCTCGTTTTTAACCGGTTAATATATCAACCGTTTTCACACTAGTGAAAATTTTTTTTTACAAATTTCTTAAATTTTTGAAGTGCTTATTATTTAACCGAAAATAACAAATGGTTTATTTTCAGGCGAAATCTTCTCCGATTTCTGGTAACCCATTTTCTGATCTGCTCTTCATTTGCCAATCAGTGGCTGATATACAGTCGTGTAAGTGCTTGCTTGTTCTTTTATTTTTTTTTTCAATAAGTTTTTTAAAACCAAGTCTTTTAAAATTAAGAAATATTTAAACATTTTCGATTTCCTTTTGTCCCGACATCGAAGGTTCCGAACCGCTGTGAGCGTGTCTCGAGAACATTCGTTGAGTCGGATCTGAGAGAGCCCGCACGGACGCCGCGCTTCTCGTGCCACGAGACGCGGACCAACGTCTCGCTTCGGTGACCCAAAGGGTCCGACCCAGGAGGGAAATGCCTGGGGAAGTCTAGGCGCACACGGTGGAGTGGCGTAGGGACCATTCGATGTAGGGACCGCCAAATTGGCAACAAGTTTTTGAACGACTCAACTTTTTTTAACGCAACATAATAAATTAAATATTTTAAATCAAACAATGAATTGCTCAAAATGTTGGTAAGAATCAAAAGAAAATTGTTTTTTTAATACTAATTCAATACTTAAATTTTTTTTGGACACTGCAATTCAATGGATGGACCAACACAAGGAGGATAGCGAACATTAGTGACAGGCTTTGAATCAGTGACATTTTTTACTTATTTAATTTTTTTTTCAATATTTTGTTCCAGATCGAAAAATTAGAAACTGAACGGAACATGTGAGCGGGTCGAAGTTTGATTTCACATACAGTGACTCTATTTTCCCGAGAATTCTAATTGAATGCTTAATTTCAGATCAGAAGATAAGCAATTCCTTCACCCACTAGCCATTATCGATTGGTTGAGTTGCGAACAAGCATTTCGTTCTGTCATTAATAAAACATTTTTAGAATCTCGTTTCGAATCCCAAGTGTCAGGTGATCGGGCTCGCTCAATGTCAGCTTCACATGATACCCGTATGGTTCGACAATTAATCAACTAACTGGTATCAATTGCTATAATTTCAGGAATAATTGACGATAAATGGGTAGAATAGGAAATCAAGTGCATATTTTTGACTGAGGTAATTTACAAAAGGAAAATATGGATAGTTTTACTATGACTGACGAAAATTATAGTGAGTTGATATTTTAGGAGCTGCTTTATTTTACGTCTATTTTCTAATTAGTTGTAAGCAAATAAAAATATAAAAAATATGGATAGGATAAAGATGCAAATTGAACACCAAGACTGCAAAAATAAGTTTTTAGCCAATTTAGCCATCGCGCGAAAACAAACTTAAAGTCTAGTGTTTAAAAACTCTATTTAACAATGTAAAATACATTTTTAAAAACAATATTACCTTTGTAGAAAGCAGATTTGTTATTGATTTTTTAAATTTCTACCACATTTTGAGTTATTGAAGATTTATCTCGCAATATTGATTCTTTTTATTCTGAAAGAGGGCATATAATCGAAAAGATGAAGTAATTCAAATAAAATTGTAATATTTTACGAGTTTTTCATGTGTTTTTTTCGGTATTAGAAATATATAAAATCGCGAATTTCTTCAAAAATTTCAAATATTTGCAGGAAGAAACTTGCCTTGTTCTGATGATGTGCATTGCGGCAACATTTGAATCAATTTGGACAGCAATTTTAGTTTCTTTTACTTCATCCTTCATTTTGTCTATTTTTTAATTTTGTCTATTGATTTTCCTCAACTTGTTAAGGCAGGTAAGTAATTTTATTTTTGAAAATGGGAAGAACATGTAAAAAAAAGACACTTGCGAAAATGATTCGTTTCCATTTTTTTATTTCGGGATATTGAGTAGTTTACGGGTTTTTCACACAAATATGGATGTATGACGAGGGCCCATGATTGAATCTAACACGGTATGTCTATTAAGAGGTTTTTTGTGTGTCGTAAAAAACTATAATTTTTGAAAATGCGATTTATAACGTAATTTTCGCGCGTCTTGAAAGTTTCTGACATACTCAACTCAGCGATTCGATTGGGACGAACAGGGGACCCTTTTGGTTGGAGATAACCGGCGAAATATTTTGGGCCGAACAAGGGAAGAAATTCAATTAGTTGTAACAAAAGTCGCCCACGGTTTAGCCCGATTCGCTAAATTGAGGGCGATGTGTAATTGGAGTGTCGTACTGATATGGTAAAAAAATTTTGGGACAAACCGCGGAAGTTTTTTTGGGAACCCCGGTGTTTAAACCAAAAACCAACCACGGTTCGTCCTTTTCGAATTGCTAAGAAGTTTAGTTTTTATCATAAAAATGACGGATGCGAAAATATACAAAAAAACCAGTCGACTTTGACAATTTTACAATCTTATTCGTTGAATTACCAATCAAATCGGCTAGTTTTCGGAGCTGAACGAATTGTGTCGGATACGATGGGTTTTAATGAGTAGACAGGGCGCGGGATGCATCATAATCAGCAATATCGACTGTTTCCGGGAAAAATTGGCTATCGGTTTCTCAGCGCAAAAATTTTTTATTACCGCATCCAAATGTTTTTGATATTCTTTTCAAATCTCAAGAAAACCTCGGGTAAATATTTCGAGATTCTAACGTGTCTCTATAATATTTTCGATTTTTCTCAATAAACTTTAGAAATTATTAAAAGATTTTCAAATTTATTGAGATAATTTAGAATTTGCTCAATAAATTTTAGAAAATTTTATAAGATTTTTAAAAATATTTTTAGGTTTAGCGATTTTCAAAAAGTTTTTGAAAGTATCAATAAACTTTTGATTTTCTCAAAATATTTTAGTTTATTATTGAATATTTGATTCTCAAAATATTTCATTTGATTTTCCTGAGAGTTTCCGGTAGCCTGTTTTTCAAAGAACTCTTGAAAGCGTAGCTTTTGCTTTTTTCGTAACAAATATTTAAATATATCCAAAAACCTCAATTGGCCAATGGCCAATATTTTTTGAAAACCACCTTGATAATTATAAAGTTAAGGCCATGCCTTGTTTATTTGAAAGAAAGCGAATAATACAAGAACTCAATTTTCAAATGAATGAAACATGCAAATTTGGTGAAACGTGAATGGTGTAAGGGGTGCAAAATAAATAATTAAATAAAACATAAATACAACTCGTACATTTCACAGGAAAAAAGTGAGTTTAAAGGCACAGGGGTTAACTGATATTTGACGAAGAATGTAATATGGGGTTTGGCGATAAAAGTTTAGTCGAGATCATTATTCTTCCTTGACGTAATTTCCAGGGAACAACCCAATTTTGGCTCCAAGTTTGCCTTGCCACCAGCCCGAGCTATCTTTTGTCATTAATTCGATATGATCTCCAGCTTCAAATGAGAGCTCGTCGGTATCTTGAGCCTCATACGGGTACATTGCGATTACAATAGGGAACAGTTTAGGTTTCGCAGGTGGCGGCGGTTTGGGACCACGTGAAGGCGGCTGTAAAGACGTGTTGCGTTTAATATATTCAGGGTTGAGAACTTACCGCATTGTTTCCTCCAATATTAGTGTTATTGAATTGAGTATTGAGCTGGTTGATGACATTCGGCATCACCGCAACTCGTCCAGGCTGCTGCATCGTGTTCGCCACTGGCGGATTGCTATTGTTCGAGGTATGATGCGACGGCGGAACTGGCCGATGTGGCGCGATATTCTGCTGTGATTTGTTGGTTCGTCGCGTCGAGACCCGCGTTTGATCACGTTTCGGAGTATATCCACCTTTCGGCCGCTCAGTCGAAGGACCTAAAATATTTAACGAATCATTCAGCAAACGAATCGGTTCATACGAGTATTATTTGGAAGGCCACGTCCAATGGAGACATTCAGCGTTTTTCCGGAAGGTTTCAGCAACTTCTGGCTACTATCTGTGCCATCACATGAGAATTGAACAGTTCTTGTGCCACCTATAATAATTCAATTCATGAATTAATAGCAATTAATAACGGCATTGCTCACCTCCAAATCTTGTCTTCTTCAGCGTAATCGTATGCGTCGGCTTAAATTCGAGCGTCAAATGGCCGCCATTGGTCCGCTCTTTGTAGGCTTTACTAAGCGCCGTGCAGAATTCCGTCTTGAACGGCGTCTCAAGAAGCGACGTGTAATCGTCGGCAACATTCAGCACCACAAAATCATCTTGGTACGGCGACAATCCAATTGATCGGATATTTGGCAAATCGATTTGTCGCTTCACAATTTCCACAATTTTTCCTTTATCGGCCCCCTTCTTCACTTTTTCGCGACCAACGAGCGTCAAGTGATTAGCGGTGATGAGAAGATCAAGAATTGACGTCTAAGATATTAAGAAATTAGAAGCAAAGCGAAATGTTATAACCTTAAACGATCTATCATATTTATTGACGACGGCAGCAAACAATATTCGTTGTCTTTTTCCCACAATTGATTGAAGTGCCGGATGATGTTCAAGTCCAATATAGTCACCGACGAAGTTTCGATTCAGCGAATAACGACGGCGTTCCTTCTTTCCGAATAGTAAATCAGCAGCTTGCTCCTATAAAGTGTCATATTGTCGATTTCAAACGACTAATCGAAATAAAAAAAAATATTGTCTACTTGCCATGGTGTCTCGAAGAAAAGAGAAGTACGTGAGACTGAGTACTTTTGCACTTTGGCGTATGCGAAAATAATATATAAAAAAGTTAAAGCACGCCCATTCCAAATGGCCTAACAAGGGAGGGCATTTAGCTGTCCATCATAAATCTATTTGCATGCAGATTCTTTAGAATTACGAATTGTAATGTAACTCAGTGTGTAGACTTATAAATTTGTAGATATTCGCGGAGTTCGCGATTTTGTTTTCAAAATGAAAACCTTTTGTTTGATGTGTTGTTTTCGAGCTGAGAATAGTCTCCATGCTTTTTGAATAACCCTTGCAAATCCGTCGTATTTTCTTTCTCGCGTCTCCTCAAGAAGGAAAAGCTGCAAATCCGAGACGGTTGAGAAAAAAAGAATCCAAATTCATAATACCGATTCAGGATTTTTGATGAAAATCTTGCTCCTCCCCATCTGATACTGCGTCGGATCGACATGAACAGCGTCGCAGATTATTTGACATGCTTGTTGCGGTGCTCCGTGATACGACGGCCACGTTTTGTCGGAAATGATCGCGTACCGCTGAGCGAACTTGTCGAACGGACGACGGTAAGCAAATCCGGCTCGTCGAACCCGAATATTCTCCTTGAGTCCGAGGTATTCGACCTGATGCCGAACTCGGCTCTCATCCCAATCATTCGGACGTTTTGTTTCGTTCGGTTTGATGCATCGGATATAATGCGGAGAGCATTTCATTAACGACTCAACCAATGAGTTCGCTTGAGTCTACAAATCATTACAATTAAATAATTAGTATTTTTAATTTAAAAAAAACTGAAATCTTACTCGAATTTTGGTCGAAAATGTCGTTGGCCTTTTTCCAGCTTCAACCTTGTCTGGGAACAAAGAGCGAACAAAACCACTAGAAAAGTGCATATGAATTTTGACCGTGTTTAATATCATTCTCACTTGCTGCTCTGTTGCATGAGCTGAATAAGATCCGAGTATAGAACATCCCGATTCCGATCGCAGAATCCATCGATGTTATAACTAACATCACCAGCGTAATGCCGAATCACAAATGAACCAGAACCCTGACCAAAATGCGGATGAGAAGCGAATGACTTCGACAGTGTGGTGAGCAATTGTCTATCGACTCCTTCACGTTGTCCATGATTCTGTGCACAAGTATCATCCAATAGGCTCATAATTCCTAGAATAAAATCAATAATAGAAATCAATTATATATATTTTTCATACCTGGTGGTCTTTTCGTCTCGATCAAATCGCAAACAATCTTATTATCAAAATACTCGATTTCGGTCCATTTTATCCCTTCCTTCACATACTCTTCTTGTTCCGCTTTCAGCGTCAATTCAATAAAGATTTGTTGAAGTTTCTCATTGACAAAATTAATACTATGAAAAAAATGCGATTTTTTGTTTTAATTGAAAGTAAGCCTTACCAAAATTGCTCGAATCCGTTATTATTGAATATTTCAAATCCGTAAATATCAAGAATTCCGATGGAGAAATTGTCGCGAGTTGACTGATTCTCCACATTGATGGCTTCATTAACTTTGCGAACGAGGTAGTCGAATAATCTCGCGTAGATCGCTTTAACCCATGCATCACGTGTATAGTCAGCTTGTTCCACGTTCAATTTCATGTCGATTTCTTCTTTCTGAGTTCCCCATCTAAAGAATTAAAATCAAAATGAAAACAGAAAAAAAGAAGACGAACTTGCTCTCCATTTTGCGGCCGGTTAGTTTTCCTTCAATCGCCTCATTTGTGAGCCCGAGAAGAAATGCAGGAAATTCGAGGTCTGAAAATTCAAAAAAAAAACGAATTATTTCTGAGTAAGACACCTCAAAAGTTAGGCCGAATAAATTGAAAAACTCACATTCTTTTTCTTTCACAGCAGCAAAATTGTTCTGCTCAATAAATGAGATATTTCCGATGTGAAGTACGGCGGACACAATTCGCAAAACTTCCAGCTGATCTTGATCCGACATTCCAACAACCTTCATAGCGTGCTGAAAATTAAGACACTCATCTAAAAATTGTGATTCAAAATCGATACCAATGTGTTCTCGAATTCTTTTCCATCATCCGTGTCTTGCGCTTTATACACTCCGCTCATATTCAGATAATTATAATACTGAAGCTCGCCGATGCCAAGTGTGCTTCGTAGGTTTTTGTCGGCGCCGGCGCACAATTGGTAGAATATGTGGAAATTGCGATCGCCCTCGTTTTGGAACACAACGCGCGATTTTTCGAGCAGAAAATTCGACAATTTGCCGCCGATCGGCTCACCACCACGACTGAACACAATCTCGACATACTTGCCGAATCGGCTGCTGTTCCAATTGCGGACAGTTGCTGAGTTGCCGAATGCTTCGAGAAGCGGATTCGATTGAAGAATCACATCTTTCACATGCTAAAATGTTTCCTATTCATAGAATATCTCGAAACTTCCATTATTCGTAATTGAAGTTTTTAATTGTATTCCCTTCAGGACCCATTTCTTTCAACAATTTAGAAAAATATGTTTTGCAACATCATATAACCATCGATCTACACGAAGAGGTCTTGTTTGTTGCGATGGTATTACTAGTAATAATTTTTCAACAAGCAAAATTTCTACCTGAACTTTTTGCCCTCCACCCGATATTCTTGATATGTAATTCATGATGAATTTTGCATTGACCGTTTTTCCGGCACCCGATTCACCCGAAATGATAACACATTGCGATTCATTGTCAATTAGCATGTTTCTATAAGACGAGTGCATTTGTTGCGACAAACCCGTTGATAATACCCACCTGTACATATTATCAGCAAGCGCGTAAATGTGCGGCGCATTTTCGTACTGCGCTGCACCTTGGTACAACAACATCTCCTTTTCAGTAAAGTATGGCATCTGCTTGAATGGATTCACCGATATGAGCACCGGACCAATATACGTCTGAAATGTTTTGAGTAAAAAAACAATAAACGAAACGAGTAGTGTACAAATATGGAATTTGCTTGGATCCGCTTCTTCAGATTATCCACAATCGCCTGCTCTGTGAGCTTTGAAAGAAGGACCATGTCGTCGACACCGACATGTTGAACATTCACTTTGGATTGCCAATGGAATGCCTGAAAGATTTCTTGTAAAAATTGGACTTAATTTTTTGCATTATTATATATAGTGAGTTTCGCAAAGGCGGCTGCCAGAATTTTTCGCGTCGAGACTTTGTAGTTCAGACGTGTACATAAAGAATTTCGTAAAATTAAAACAAAAATTAATGAGCGTATGCGAATCGCAACATGTCTGCCGACAGAGAATAATACCGGAAGTCGGTTTTTAGGGGAAAAAGACTATATGAAATATTATTAGTAACTGAGACATTTTAATTTGATGCATCCGAAAAATTTCATCAGTTCATGAGTAATAATTAACTATTTTCAAATATTGACGATCAAAAATGACTTACCATATCTGGAAGACCCTTTTAAAGGGTAGATGTTGAATAACGGAGAATTTTGCCGGGAGAACCTAAACTGACTTTTTTTCGTATTAATTGAGAACGAACGCGACGGAAGAGGAACTAGACAACGAATACAACTATTAAGTCTCCTTAACCTTCAAATCGATCCGCAATTTCGTGAATACAATGTCGAATATGGGTAAGAATGTCAAAAAGCAAATGTCTCAAAAGACAATCAGAACGGAATTGACAGAATGAAATGTAGAACAGACGAAATCGAAAAAAACAAGGTAATTTCAAAAAAGGCGCGGCGATGGAAGACGGTGTTGAAATAAGCGACACAGAGAGAATACAGAGAAGCAAATGATGAGTCATTCAGGCATTGACACAGGCACACACACAAGTTTACCTTGGCAAATAGTCGAACACAATGTCAATAGGAGAAAAGCTCAAGTGCTTATCATTTAGAACTGACAAATATGGGATTAACAATAAGAGATACTAAAATTTCGGATTCGAAATGTCCGCTTGTTGATCTGATCCGATCCTATGTGCGAGTTCAAAATACAAGAACCGGAAAGCATGCAAAAAATCAGGCAGCCCGCAGAAAGACGCCTAATCCGGAAAAAGCCGCTTGCAACGTTTTTTGTCCGTTGCGGCGCGCGGCGCACGCGGGCGCCCCGCTTGCCAACCACCCGTTTTTATTGACAACTATTTTTCCGACGGGCGCGGAAAGTGTGCCTGGCCGGCGATACACCCATCTGTTTTGTGTGTCAAGTCTACCGACAAACCAAATTATTATTAATGAGGGCCAGGTTGTAACGTAATGTGCTATTTTTTATGACTGGTGCCGCTTTTTGATGTGTGGGAAAATTTTTGAAAATTCAAAGAAAATTTGTTTGGAATTAGTGTGGATTCTCGTGGAGATGTTTTGCGGACTTGCATCATATTTTACGCAGCTTGATTTTAATTCACTACTCATATTTGTCTGGGATAATAACCCATATTATGGCTAATAAAAAAGCGATCAAGGAAGAATGGGTGCTTAATAAGAATGTCGAAGATTTTATTCTTGATGAGGTGAGATTGTTGCGTCTTCCACAATTAAAACCGCTATTGAAGGTCGAAGTCCCCGTCGATCGCGCCAAGCGGATTTGCAAACTTTTCGATGAAGGTTGCGAAGTTGCGTATGTAGCAAGATATCGAGGAGATGTTCACGGCGGTCTTGAATGTGAGCAAGTGCGGCACGCATTTGAAGCGTACAAACACGCGCAAGAACTTAATAGAAAAGTTGCGAAAGCCATGGTCAATGTTTCCGCAAAAATCGAAGATTCAAAAGAGAAATCAGCTGTATCTGAAATGATAAAGGTTTTTATTCAAAATAAATTTGTCGATTTTGTTGTGTTTAAGTCTTGCAGTGATGCGGCAGAAGTCGTCGAAATCACAAAACTTTATTCAGCGGGAACGCGGAAGACGAAAGCGTCAATTGCAAGGCAAGAAGATTGAAAAAATTTGCATGATTCGATTTGAAGTTCAGGGGATTGGGCTTTGAAGAGCTCGCCAGGCAAATTCTTGACGGCAAATTTGTAAAATTTGGCGATTCGGATGATTCGAAAGAGCATTTGAAAATCAGTTTAGCCGACTTAATGAATAAAATGGAGAAAACGTTAAAGATTGTGAATGACGTTTCCAAACAACTCATTTCTTCTGTGTCAACTACCGTAGTCTCAGGTCTCACACCGAAAATCAAAAAGATGCAGGAAGATAAGGATGTGCAGGTACAGAACAAAATTTATGCGGAATAATTTCATAAAAACCGTTCAGAAGTCAATGAGTCACTTCAAAGAATACTTGAATTTTCGAAAAGCGGCGAATAAAATTCAAAACTATCAAGTTTTAGCATTAGAAAGAGCTGAAGAAAATGAAATTATCAATTGGAAAATCGAAGTAAATGCGAGTTGTTTGACAAACTTGCATCCGGCCAAATCAATTAAGTATATTGTTTCAATTATTTCTCAAAATAATCTTTTGATGTTCAGAATTCATCCCAAAATGACAAAAATGTTTAATGAAGCTATTGAATATTCAATAACAAAACTAATGGTGCCGAAAATCCAGCGAGCAACGAAGTAGCTCATTTCAAATCAATGATTCGCTTACAGAATTGGATTTCAGGCGATTTTTGACAGAAAAGGCGCATCAGGCTGCCATTCGATGCTTTTCAAAAAACCTCGAGCAATTATTCTCACGTGAAGGATTGCGTGGGCTTACGATAGTAGCTTTGGATCCTGGATTTGAAACATGCAAAGCAGCATATCTGGATCCGAGTGGAGATGTGTTGTCAACTTCCAAGTTTGCCTATATCAAAAAGGAATTTGAGAAGAAAGGAGTTGAAACTCTCAAATGTTGGGTGAAACAATCAAAAACTCAGCTAGTGGTTTTTGCCATTGGTAAGATTTAGAGACGAATTTCCCAAATTCAATTCGATTTTTTTAGGTGATGGAAAGGGGTCTTATGAAACTCAATCAATTGTAGCAAATATGATTCAAAGACGAGTATTCGATAATTCAAAAAATGTCTCATTTTGGTAATTTTTGCCACTTAAAAATATTTTCTCTCATTTATGAATTTTAGCGTTGTCTCGGAAGTGGGAGCTTCTAAATATAGTATTACTGATCTTGCAATAGCCGAGTTGCCCGATATCGAAGTTACTCAACGTAGCGCAGTTTCGATTGGCCGCAGATTAATTGATCCAATGGCTGAATATGTGAAGATTGAGCCGAGACACCTTGGAATGGGAATGTACCAACATTCAATCAACTCGAATAAATTATCCGAAGCGCTTGCTCTTGTCGTCCGCGAACGTGTCTCAATGCGCGGTGTTGATGTGAATTGTGCCAGTGAGCACCTGTTAAGGTGAATTGAAGCTATCGGATGAGACGGCTATTTAAGGATTTAGACAAGTATGCGGTCTCAACGCGAAATCTGCCGCGGGAATTGTGGCATTCCGCAGAATGAATGGCGCAATTGTTTCGCGTCAGGACTTAAAGAAGGTGGCAGGAATCGGAAAAGTGAGTTTCACGCAATGCGCCGGATTCTTAACAATTTCGAACAAAAATTCGAATGATGATGAGCCGGCGAAGAAAAAACGGAAAATAGAGGAATCTAAAGTGAATCCGTTGGATTCTACTATTGTTCATCCGGATCAATATGAGATTGCGGAACGGATCTTGAAACGAATTGGAATGAACGTCGTCAATCTGCAGGCCAATAGGGATGAACTGAATGAGAAGATTCGAAAGATTGATAATTGGAGTGACGAGGAGCAACGTGTTGTTGAATTATTATTGACTGAAGCACACACCATCCCGCCGCCACCACTTTTGGTTGGTTTTTCAAAATTGTATTCCATATAACTTGGCTAGGTTTAGAAAACTGTTCGACAATTGACATCGCTGCGAGCCGGAGAAATAGTGATGGGCACTGTGCAGAACCGTACCGATTTCGGCATTTTTGTGAATATTGGTGTCAAAAGAGATGGATTGGTTCATTCGACGAGTCTGAGAGCCCCATGGCCCGAAGTAGGAGTGTCTGGTTTTCATCTCTTTCATCTTCATTGCAGGTTGGAACGGTTATTATGGTTAAAATCGACCGTGTTGACGTTCAGAGCGAAAGAATTAGTTTGAAACCGGTTTAGATGAGATCGGTGCTCTTTTTAATTATTCATCTCGAGCATTTTGATAATGGTCCATCAATGTAAAGATGCATGATTCTGACAATGGTGAGAGTATATTTAAACGAATACACTGAAAACAATTATTACTCACGACCAATTTTTTAAATTCCAATATTTATATTTTGTGCCTGTGATATATGCATTGAAAGATTTTTTGATATAGCATGAAATTATACATAAAACAACAGTAATTATTGAAACATGGCCGCTGATTGAATAGTTCTCTAAGGATTTAAATGGCTAAAAAAGTAGCGGCCAAAAACAACAATAATTGGTGATCGACACAATGCATTTGTAATTTATTCGTGACTATTTAATCGAATCAATGGCTACCCGAGATCATGAAGAACATACGCGGAATGGATGTGACAACTAGACGGGGATTGGGGACTGTGGTAACTCAAAACGAATCGGATCCAAAAATTTTACAATCTTCTCCGTAAAATTACCAATCGGATCGGGTTGATTCTGAAGTCGAATTTTGTCGGATCCGATTGGTTTTGAGTTATCAGAGGAAAAAGTTATTATTGCTATTAGAGAGGCCACTTGTTGCTATCAAGTGCCAGAATGGGTACTGTAATAGTGCATCTCGAGATGTTCGGGCTTCACGAACTCGGCGAGACAGCTATTGCAGCGATAGAATGTGCGGTGCAGACTGGTCACGTGATGCACGAGATCCTTGAGTTTGTTGTAAGAGCACGGGCAGCCGACGCATCCAAATGGACGATTCGGTGAACCAGAGTTTCGACTTTGATCAGGAATCTCGCTCGCTGAAATTATCAACGATTTTTTTTCGGAAATTTTAAGTTTAACTACAGGGTGTCATTTAAGTTCCCGCACAAAAGTTAGACGCCATGAAAAGCTTGGCTGTCGCACTTTTCGTGCACCAATACAATTTATTTTTGTTAAATAAGGTGTATTTTACTTACTTTTCAAGTTTCACTTCATTCGGATGTGTTTCCGAGAAATGGCGAAGGCTAACATCCATTGCGCTTCCATTATCGAACTTCATAAGCGAAATGAGCGCCCGACAGAGATCATTCAACGCCTCGGTGTGCCTCGTAGAACGGTTTGAGACACCAACAAACGTTTCAAGGAGCTAAATACGACCAGTGACCTTCCCAGACAAGGAAGACTCGTCTCAGTAACCACTCCTCAGAAGATCAACGCCGTCAAAACGAGGATCAGGCGAAAACCGCACAGGAGCATAAGAAAGATGGCGTCAGACATGGGAATGAGCATCTTCGCTATGGAACAAATGGTCAAAACGAAGCTTGGACTGACCCCATATCGCGTCCAAAAAGCGGCAATTCTATCGGCCGTCAACTAGCAGAGACGCTTCGAAAAAGCAAAACGACTTTTTGCTCGCACGCGGTCTGGAGAACACCTCGCCACTGTCTTCTCCGACGAGAAGCTGTTCACTGTGGAGGCGGCATTCAACTCACAAAACCATTGAGTACTTGCCCAGACATCCCAGAAAGCTTCTGAGAAAGGAAGAACAATTCATCCAGCCTCACATCCTGCCAGTGTGATGGTTTTCGGTGCCATCTGCTCAACCGGGAAGTGCCCCTGGTTTTCGTGGATCAGGTGGTGAAAGTGAACAAAGAAGTCTACGTTCGGGACATTTTGGGGAAGCATATGATGCCCTGGGCCCAAACGCATTTCGGTGGGAAGATATGGGTCTTTCAACAGGACGGAGCACCCGCCCCTACTGCCAAAACTACTGTGGAGTGGTGCCAGACCCATTTTCCCGACTTCATCAAGTCATCCGAATAGCCTGCTTGCTCCCCAGACCTGAACCCGCTTGACTTCTCCGTGATGGGGTCTTGCAGGAGAAGGTCAACGCAAAACCCCACTCAAGTGTAGAGGCTCTGAAGAAGACATTACTGGCGGAATGGGACAATCTTTCCATCGAATACCTGCGTACCACAGTCACATCCTACCCGAAGCGTCTCCGCGAAGTCATAGCTGCGAAAAGAGGCCGAATCGAAAAGAGTTAATAGATAATTATTTGTTGTACTATAGATAAAAAATATTTCGAGTCTCGTTTGATTTGGACTTTTAGTTTCAGAAATATACGTCTTCAAAGTTGTGCGGGAACTTAAATGACACCCTGTATAGTCGGCGCCCGGCGACTGCTGTACGCGGGTAGATTTACGCGCATACGCCTTGAAAAGGTCTCGTCACGTTAGAATGCTTATTTTTCTATTTTCACGTGAACTGCTTCATTTTTCTTGACGAGTTTTGAATTTCCTTGAATTTTGAACGTCATTCGATTAAAAAATTATCGAGCCGGTCCATAAAATTTGAAATAACCTGCTAGTCCTTGCGAGACCATTTCGTAAGACGCATTCCCGTAAATCTACCCGCGAACATCAGTCGCCGGACGTCGACTATATATATATGTACTGAATTCAAGAATAGGAATTGGGAAAATGAAAAATGTGTTGAGCGAAAAACGGTTGGGTTTTCTGGGAATGCAAACTTTGAAAATGTCGCAAAAATTGCTGGGTTATTCTTGGCGTAGAGGGTTTTGCTTCAAAATGGTCAAATTCGTCATACCTACTATGCTACTTGACGGAGTGTTATCACGTGAATTGCGATCTGATTGCGGAGGCTCCAATAACGAAGACCCCGCCTCCTTCTCCGTCTTCAGATCATCAATTTCCTTGCTTCGTCGGTCAACTACACATCCAATAAGTATTATTTTCGATTTCTCGAGATTCACTTACTATCCAAGAGGAATGTACCCAATTGATCCTCCATACTGACCACTGGCATGAACATTTCGCTATAAAGTGTTCCATCGATGATCGGCTTCTCATCGAGTCTCGGCTTCTTCACCACATCATGCATTCTGGTAACTGCAAAAAAGACTAAATAAGGAAGTTGTATATCGTTCTTGATGAGTTTCACTCTACATTCGTCATCCAAAAATGATCCAATCATATTCGGATGTTTACAACGAAGGTGCCGAATGAAACCGCTACTACCATCTGTATTGATTATTGAGAATTTCTCGAAGAAAATGATTCTTACGATTCACTTTGTACACTTTCTCACAAAATTTGCACTTTATTATTTCTTTTTCAGCTGTCGGCTCACTGTACAATGCCACGTGGCTCATCGGTGTTCGCGGACAGAGTTGAGCGGAATATTTCGAATAGCTCGATTCGGAATAATTGAGGGACCGAATTCTAAAAGTGCCCAATTTCGGGTTCGTTGGATTTACGACATTAAAAAGAAGAGAAAAGAAATGCTAGCTTTTAGGAGAATAGGTCTGGATGAGAAACGAAAAATGCATGGCGTGGATGGATGGATAACTGAAGAGCGGTTCTAGAGAGCGCAGATGGTGTGGAGAGCGCATGACGAACAAGTGGATCGGATTACGAAGGAGTGAGGACGGCCGCGGCGAACTAACCGCATGAAGGGCGCCACTGGCGACAGGATCACCGTGGATCATCGACGGACCGCAAGCATCGGCGGTTTGTCCGCAAACACCGACCACGTCTACCGTAATCTCAATGACTCACATTTTCCGACCTCGTTGACGCGCCGAACTTCTTCGATGCTCGCGTCGACGTTGACGACGAACTCGCGTATCGGCAATCCCTTATGCTGATTCTTCATGTGCACTCGTGCGTTGTCTCGACGCGAATGAATTTTGAGACAATACGGGCAGACACAAACTGAAACAATTTTTTTTTAAATCATCCCTTGAGTGGATTTAAGTGAAAAAAAAAAGATTTTTGACACTTTTAAGATCTTCAATCTCTCCTACTTTTTTGGATTAAGTTCAACAAGTCCGAATCCGGATTACATTTAAACCATTACTTTCCTGAATTAAAAAAATTTAGATAAACGAAAATATTTAAATGCTACATTACAAAAAAATCATTCGATTAATTGCCATATAAAGAATTAAATTGTTTGTTTTCCGAGTAATTAAGTCATCTAATTAACATTAAATGAACGTCAAAGTTTTATTTTAGTGGCATTTTGAAATGATTAGATTCTACATGTACAAGCAATTACCTTTTGTGAGCTCTTCGCTATCCAAAACCCATCGGATGATCTCCGCACGAGATCGACTCGTCACATCCTCTCTGCCTGAAGCCTGTCCCTGATCATCGGATCACCTCCAATTAAACTCATACCTCGTTTCGCGCAGTGCTGATTCTGCTGAAGTTGATGATGCTGCTGAATCTGCTGAATATGCTGCTTCATCGCCTCATCGACGACATGGTTCATCACCGGCATGACGATTCCGTCCTTCGAGTGATTCGATAGCAACTGGATTATCTGCGCGTCGAAACCGTTCATCGGCATCACGTCTTCGTCAGCCATGAAAGGTTCTCGAAGCGAACACGTCGAAAAAATAATTGAGACTAATATTAATAGAAGGACGAGGGCAAGCCGCACACGCTCGCTCTCACAGATTGATAGACTGGCCACCGAGAGGAGTGCTAGGGCAAAACAAAATGGGCGGAGCCGTCCTGGCCGCCTTGGATAGATAGAAAGATAGAGGGAAAGATAGGCGAAGATGTCTAGGGATTCGCCTAGTTGCCTAGTATTCGATTCCCGTGGGGTACCAAAGCGAAACCACAATTGAGTTGATGATCTGCTTTCGTTTCTCCAATAATTTATTATATTAATATTAATTGGGTATAACAATATGTCGAATATCAATTAAGTCGAATATACACACGCAATCACGATCGTCGTCGGTCTCTTGAGCTCTCGTTTCTGAAATCAACACGATTGCTCATCAAACGAGTAAAAGTGCATTGGAAAAAAAGGGCAAATTAGTGCATCAATTAAGCTCGTCGAAGCGAGAATATTTTTCGTCGCATATCGCACTGATTAAGAAGTATAGCATTTGCACTTTTCAAAAAAAAGACGATGCTGATGATCAGTACCGGTTAAAGAAATGCACTATAGGAAATCCTATAATACGGCTTCCTTGAGACCATAATAATAAATTTTGAAAATTCAACAAATACAGTAACCATGAAATAACCGAATTAATGACAACGAAAGAAGTGGAAAATTCAATGTCTTATTTTACTGCAATATTGCCACCGTGCTCTTTTCCAAATTAGATAAATTGAATGCCATCAATGCCGCCGTAATAAAATTTGAGATTCAACTAGTGTATGACAAAATTGAACTCAACATTAAATCGAATAAACGTTGAATAATTAACAGTATTTAAAACTAGGTGAATCTATCTATAAAATGATCGAGTGAATACGCAACAATGATATAAGGTTACGGTAGGAGTGATTGGTTTGACTCGTGACAGATTTCGCTCATTGACGGCACCCCATTGGTTTTAAGAGACGCATAATGTTCCAGTTGAAAAACTTTGTTTAAAATCATCGAATTCAATTCGTGATATTAATTACGTCGCGAATCAGTGCAAGTGCAAAAATGTACTTTAATTTTCGGGCCTCTTCTCTGAATAATTCTTTTTTGGATGCCAAACTTTTTGCCTAGTTTTCCCTTGAGGCAGTCTCACAGCAATCGTAGAGAATAGAAAAAAAAACACACGCTCATACGCACTTACATAAAACGTCGTCGAATTGACTCACACTATCACCGAATGTGAAACAACACACAACACTACCTGAATTTCCAAGAATTATCGCATACGCAGATTCAAAAATCGCTATCAGTTCGTCGAGATGAACACTGGAAAACCAGTTTTCAGGAAACAAAACACTTACCGCCCGAAACTACTAAATTTGGGTAACTGACGACCAATTTTCGCTCATGATTTTTGAGCTTCTAACTAATTTCTGAATTGAACTGTAAACATCGCACCTGACTCACTACATTTGCACGTTAATTGCAATTCCCCCAGCGAGTCGGCTTTAAACTTCGGAATTCGACGGATCAAAATTCCTACTAAAAATAGGGTTTTCCCAGGAAGTGAAACATAGTGCATTTAGCAGGAAGTCGACGTCAACAGAAAACGATAAGAAATAAAACTTTCGGACATGTGTACGGTCAAATTCAGTAATGCGCATCCTATTCGGGTCGAGACCCTTCAACATGACGAGTATTAATTTAAAAAATAAGTATTCTTTTGCCACAAATGTTCGAAATCAAAACTTTACTTTAGTATAGAAGCCCAAAATTAAAGGAAATTGATGAAGACCGATGATAAGAATTTTGAATAGCTAGAAGATGAGCAAACGGAAATTAAAATAGCCGAATTATACCAAACTTATTAAAACGAATAAAATAAATCTTTAGATGATATTAGCAGCGTAAAAGTATGGAACGAGGTCATTTGGTATCGCAAAAAGTTAGGATTTAGTTGCGTATCAACCATATGCAAAACTACAGTATACATCGAATGCACATGCAAATATGAATTAGATAATCAAGAAACAAAAATTGTATTATAACTAAATGTTTTGAATTTCCGGCAGTTGTCTGTTCGACAAAACAATCTTATCAAAATGGTCTAGAACAAGACAGTAATCTTTTTCAGCGGTCTACCTAAAAAACAGGAAGGAGCGACGAACGACTTTTTGAAAATGGTTCCCGGTGCCGATGACATGCAGCAAACAACACTTACCTCGATCTTCTTGGCGATGGCGATGTCCGACGATGCCTGAAATTCATGTGCACATTATAATCGGCTTGTCTCGGGACCCTAATCCCTCCATTTGTTCTAATTAAAGCCGTGAGCACGGAGGCACCATATACACATACCTTTTAGGGGATGGTGATCGTTCTCCTCGTTTACTTTTGCTTTCGTTGTGTCTGAAATTGTCGAATCAAATGAAATAATGGTTGATGAAAACAAAACCTTGGCGATTTTTCCGAAGAACTACTCGTTGACTCACGTCGTCTACGCTTCTCATCGTTGTCACGCTTCTTGCCAAACATTTTTGGAGACTGTGATCGTTCTGAAGACGAATCAGCTGATGAAGTCGAGGAAGAATCATGTCGGCGTCGTCGATTTTTCCGAATAGGCGAATTTGATGGAGAACGACCTCGTCTAAAATTTCAAAATAACAACAATTTTGGCATGATTTTTGAGAATCCAAATTTCAAAGTTCGCAACAAAAATTTAATACGCTAGAAAACTCCTCAAATCCGACGATCAGCGTATTATTCATTTTTTAAAAAGCAATTTCATAAGTGCTGTAGTATTTTTTATTCGAATGATGTCATAAAAGTTAGATTTGTTCCCTGATTGAATGTATTGGATGGTTTGAAGCTTCATTTCACGCTCATTTCTCATAATTTAAAAGCATAAATAATGGATGACTGTATTTCGACTTGTGTCTATACAATTTTGTCAGATTTAGAAGTTTTTCTTACCGTTTTGAAGCTGGTCGAAGTGAAGAATCGCGCGGTCTGCGAATATCCCGTTTTGGTGATTTAGAAAGAGATCTTCGACGTCTGAATATAAAAAAAAATCTCTTTTTTTGATGTGTTAGAGGATCTCCAAAACAAAAATTCAAGTTAAAAAAAAGAAAATCGGTTAAAAATATATCCAAAGATAGGGTGTTTTTTCAAGCCGTTTTAAATAAACCAACGCCACCTGACCTTATATTAGTTAATTTGTTCTTTGAGAAATCGTTCGTATATGCTAAAACATGACTTTTGTTTTAACAATGATTCTGGCTAAATCTGGCTAAATGTCAAAAAAAATTGAAGGAGAAGCCTTGGTGCGCTTGTAACAAAGCCCGAATATCTACGCTTTTAGTTTTGCGCCAAGACCACTGACAGTTTTTTTTTTCATTTAGCCATTTTAGCACAGTCGCGCGACTTCGACAACATAAATACATTGTTATCCATAATTTAAGGATGCCTTCTAATTTTTTGGCAGTTCAACGCAAACTCAACTTTTTAAAATCATTTTTGTGCTATAGTTTATGGTGAAGTGGATTATAAGAATATATTTCGTTCGACTAAATAACATGATTTTAATTATGTCTTTTATCAATTTCAAAGTGTAAGCGTCGTAATTTCGATGTATTTACAATCGAGTTTCATTACGTCCGAGTTCTATTGGATCGTTTTTCGGATCGATCGAAGAAATTTTTCTATTTTGCAAATCAAACTGTCTGAGTGGTGATCGCCCTCAAATTCTCTTAACGCTTACCTTTTCGGCGACGCTGATCTTTCCGATGAATCGTGACGTCTTCTTACTTCCCGTTTCGGAGATTTCGATACGGAGCGGCGACGTCTGAAAACACGAATAAAATATCAAGTTATTCCAAAAGTTTACCTACCTTTTCGGCGATTCTGTTGATGAATCAGGCCTTCTTCGAGTTGCTCGTATAGGTGATTTTGATATCAAACGACCTTGCCTATAAAAATATTATAAATTTTCTTCTAATAAAAATTTAATAACATACCTTTTCGCTGGCTCTGGAGAATCGCGTCTTCGTCGTTTAGGTGAATTAGATGGAGATCTTCTGCTTCTAAATCCAGGTTAAATCAGATATATCAGAAACATCAATTAGAAACAAACCTTCTCGCTGGTCTGTCCTCATCCTCTGAAAGCAACTCCCGCTTGATTTCTCTCCTTGGTGGACTCTCTACTTCCTTCTTAATCTTCTTTTCCTTCCAATCATCCGCACTGTCACTACTACTACTACTAGACCGCTTCTTCGATTTTTTGCTTTTTTTCGACTTCTTACTCTTCTTCTTTTTCTTCTTATCCTTTGACGTCATCACCTCTTCGATCGATGCTCCACTCATCAACTTCTTCATCATTTTTCGTTTCTCCTTATCGCTCATCGAGTTGAAAAATTCGAGCATTTGCTCCTCCTCGGTCTTCTCGCGCTTCATCACAGCCAACTGCTGATCCTGTCGCATTCCGGCGAGCACATTTCCTTTCAACACCATGCCGTGCTCTTCTCGCATATCATCAGCGAGCTGTTGTTTATCAATCCATTCCTCATCTTCTGCTTCTTTTTCAGTCATCTTCGGCTCTTCGCGTCCATCACGTTTTCTTCGTCTCAAGTCTTTGATCAAATCCGAAGGGTTATTCGAGTCTAAATTAATAATCGAATAAATAATATAATATTAATAATTGATCCTACATCCTTCATCCTCGTAATTTCCAGATTTACCGAATAACGGGCATTCTCGATCGGTATTGATATGTCCCCATTTGTGGCATTTGCAGCATCGCACATTTCTCACCTAAATGCCAAAATTTATTCGTGTAAATGTTTTCAAGAATACCTGAATTCCAAACGGCTGATCCTGAATTTCCTCGTTTCCTTTGGCCCAATCCTCGCGAGGAGCCTGGTATTTTCGTTGCCATTCGAATTTCGGTTCCTCCTGAATATACAAAAACGAATTTTTAATGTGTTGAGGCAGTTTTCTTGTAACTCCTCAAACGGGAATTGAAAGTTTTTATTACTATAAACCCAAAAAAACGAGCACCTTCAATAATTATTTTTCGGGCGGTAATTCAAACTTGAAAAATTGTGTTTAAAATATAAATTTAAAACAATCTAACAATAAGCTAAGCTAGTTTCTCTTGAATTTATGGTCAGCAAGAGATGATCCTCGACTGTTCGCATAGGAATCCCATGGAGCGCCGCAAACTCCAAACGGAAACTCTATGTAACTGTCGTTTCTTTGGTGTCGAACTTAAAAAAGATAAAAACGAAGGCCGGAAGTGTCAGTCGCCAAGATCAGCTCTATTATAATTCCCGTTCCCTTCATCCGGGGAATATTAATATATCAATTATGATTTTTGAAAACAAAAAAATAAGTCCTGTTGTCAACGTTGCGTGAGTGCCAAAAACACAATGGTAGTGGTCTTGGCGCAAAACTAAGTGTAGATTTACGGGTATATGTATAAGAATAGGTTAAAGGCGCACGTCGCGCATCGAGACCTCTTTTTAAATTTTTTGGCATTCAGCCAATTTTCCGCAGTCGTACGACTTCGAAATTACGTTTTTAGGATTTCAATCAAAAATTCACTATACCTTCGGCTCCTCTCTTTTCGTCATTCCCGCCGGCGCATCATACATAAAAGACAATCCCATTTTCGCTTTCTCATCTCCCAAAAGTGCTCTGAATGTTTATATTTTAATATAAAAATTTAATTCAAAATTGACAAACTTGTTATTCAAAATTTCCTGTTCCTTTTCATATTGTACACGCAACTCTTCCTGCCTTTTGTCCTCCAACGATTTTTTCTGACGAGCTTCCCAAACCTAATAAAAAAAAGAAGAATTAAATAAGGAAATCACTAAACACGAAATCAAACCATTTTAAGATTTCTGAACGCTGATGGATGGAAGTCCTTTTTGGACATGAAATTTTGGAATCCCTTTCCCATTTTGCCGAATTTGTTGGCGGTTTTTCACCCAAAACGTATAAAAATTCCTAGAATAAATGAATTAATGTGGCAACTTGTGAGATATTGGAAGAAAAAATATGCATACAGTGACAAACTGTGAAAAATTGGAAATTGATGGATGAAAATTGAAAACTTCATTGAAACAATAACAAAATCAACAAAAATTTAACAACAAAATCAACAATTTAATAAAATCTAAGCAGTCTCAAAAACTTTGATCGTACAATCGGCGGATCCGCTAGCAATCAGTCGATCATTCCAATCCACACACAAAATTCTTTCCTCGTGTCCGTGAATATCGAAAAGTGAGCTTTTCGCTGATCTGAATCATCCTATTCAAGGAATTGTCAAATTACACCTCAAATACCGAATATCCCACATTTTGGCCGTTTTATCTGTCGAAACACTAACAAACTGATTGGCATCAGCTGGATTCCATTTTACAGCTTCCACCCATCCTTCAGTGTGCCCGATATACGACTGCTTAACAAGGGTCCCGTCTCAAATGTCATAATATAGTTTTAAAATTTGATTCTCGAGTAAAACCTCGAGATTTGGGATCGTACAGTCGCGGAGTGGCATCAGTGCAACTCGCAATCATCATTCCACTGACAGGATGTAAATCGACACTTGTGAACGATTTCGGACCCTTCGTTCGGGATACTTCTCCAGCTGAAATTTGATTAGTTTCTTCGTTGCTTTTTTTTTTCAAACACTCTAACCAAGCTCAAGATCCCATTCCACAATCGAATGATCCCAGGAAGACGAAAATGCATGTGAGTTCTTCCAGGGACACCACTGAATCGCTGTTACTACATCGCGATGTCCACCAATCGTCACCATTGGCACTTTTGTGATAGCTTCTCGTTTCCTTTTCTTCGATTTGACCTCATCTTCGTTTGTCTTCTCGTACACAGTGTTGTCCGATTCTGAAAACAACCAATATATCAAAAAAAAAACTTATTTTTGTAAAAAGCATATAAACCTTCTAAACTCCAAACTTTAATATTGGTGTCCACCGAACCTGAAATCGCTCGCGTTGAATCAAAATTCACGGCAACACATTCTACGGCGCGCTCGTGTCCTCGGAATATGAACTAAACAATTAAACGATTTTAAATTGAATAAATGATTCAATTTGATATACCTTTTCAGCTAATGTTCCTTTCTCAATCGTGTACATCGTGAGTTGCTGACTTTCGCCACCAACAATCAACTGTGTTCCATTTAGATCTTTGCCTTTTTTCACCATTGCCGAACACTTTAGAATCTTGTTTTCCCAGTTTACCGATAATTTCGTCTCTTTTCCTTTTCTGTCAGCAATTACAATATCGCCGCTGTACGTTGTCGAGAAAATGCTAAAAAAAGAAATCAACGTTTCATTTTAAATCATCAAAATTCTTACTGATTATTTGCAACAATCACAGAAGATACCCAATCAGGAGCCTGAATATCATGAAGCGGTTTCGGGGCTTCTACTCCAATCACACATTCAACTTTGAGAACAGTTTCCTAATAAGATTTTAATTATTTTTTTTATCAATTGAAGAAATACCGTCTCAATTTCATATTCTTCAATGAATTCGGCAAGACTTGTTCGAAGAAATGTTTCACCAACAAGGAATTCGAACTTGCGATCAGACCATTTGTCTGGAAAATCATAGGTTCCAATAATGAAATGCAGAATGTTCAAAGGAACACGAAATATTTACCATTAACAGCTTCAATTGTTTTGTTGATCAACAAATTCAAATCATCGCATTCCACTGATATAGGCACGTCGAAAACGGAGTCAGGAATTTCGGGAATTCTGAAACTCACGATTAAAGACGCACATTATTTAAATGATCTCACTGGGTGTCATTTGTGAAGAATGAGACCTGAACGTGTTTCTCGTCGCCCTCCGTCATACCTAAAATGCATTTATTTGTGTTCTATCGAAATAAAAACGATGGCAAAAAAAGCATCAAGAAGATCAGAGAAAAAGAAACCGAGATGAAATGAAAAAAGAGAAAACTCCATGTGGACGGAAAATGATAAAATAAATATACAAGAAAAGAAAACAATGGATCATTTAATGTTTGAAAATCGACCAGACTGCGGTGATGGCGATGCCGAGAATTGCCAAGATGAACATGCTTTCTCTTGACCTTCTCTTTTCATTTTGCTCCTCCAACTCATAAACGCGAGCATTGATGCGTCCCATTTGTCTTCTAAGCATTTTCAGTTCTCTCAATGGATCCTCGTCGACCACTATCGAATTATCAGTTCGAGCAGTATCCACATGTCTCCGGATTTCCTCCTCCGAATACGCGGTGTCCGCCATTGTCAGAATATCGGGAATATCCTTCATTCCCGTATTGACCTGCGTCGGAATTTGGACTCCTTGATTGTAAGCCTCATCGATGCGGCCGAACATGTCTCCACCGACTACAGTGATTCTATCAGGCACCTCCATTTTTTCAATTAAGGAGAGGCGAGCACTGTTCCGTTTATCAGGCTGCTCGCCGTAGCGCAGCTCATCGCCTGTGGCGGTTATGTGTTCGGGAACATACATCCTATGATTTATTAGTATTAAAAATATATGGTAGTTATAATAAAAAATGAAAATTAATCAAATAAAGCAACGTGGAAACGCAAAGATTAAGTAATATGAAAAGAAAAATTTCAATATAAAAATTATAATACCTTCATATTGATGGTTTTATGGAAACTTCAATTTCAATATAAGAAAAATAGATAACCACTTTTAACTCGTTGATTAAAAGATAAAACGAACCAAACATTTGTTTTGCTTTTTAATATTTGTAATGTTTTTGAAAAAGGAAAAAAAAAACTTTTGTTCAATGTGCTAAGAATCATGATATCAGGGAAATTTCTTGATGAAATTAATGAGAAAACGCAATTTCGAAAAATATTTGCCAATTTTCTGCGTGGACGTGGTTTATCAGAAACCTAGGCCACCCTAACACGGTCAGCATAAAAATGCGCATTTTCGCAATATCACGGCGTTCACACTAGTGGGATTTACAGGGTGTCATTTAAGTTCCCGCACAAAAGTTTGACGCCATGAAGAGCTTGGCTGTCGCACTTTTCGTGCACCAATACAATTTATTTTTGTTAAATAAGGTATATTTTACTTACTTTCCAAGTTTCACCTCATTCGGATGTGTTTCCGAGAAATGGCGAAGGCTAACATCCATTGCGCTTCCATTATCGAACTTCATAAGCAAAATGTGAGCTCGAGAGACATCATTCAACGGGTCGGTGTGCCTCGTAGAACGGTTTGCGACACCATCAAACGTTTCAAGGAGCTAAATACGACCAGTCACCGTCCCAGACAAGGAAGACTCGTCTCAGTAACCACTCCTCAGAAGATCAACGCCGTCAAATCGAGGATCAGGCGAAACCCCCACAGGAGCATGAGAAAGATGGCGTTAGACATGGGAATGAGCATCTTCGCTATGGAACAAATTGTCAAAACGAAGCTTGGACTGACCCCATATCGTGTCCAAAAAGCGGCAATTCTATCGGCCGTCAGCAAGCAGAGACGCTTCGAAAAAGCAAAACGACTTCTTGCTCGCACGCGGTCTGGACAACACCTCGTCACTGTCTTCTCCGACGAGAAGCTATTCACTGTGGAGGCGGCATTCAACTCACAAAACCATTGAGTACTTGCCCAGACATCCCAGCAAGCTTCTGAGAAAAGAAGAACATATCATCCAGCCTCACATCCTGCCAGCATGATGGTTTTCGTTGCCATCTGCTCAACCGGGAAGTGCCCCCTGGTTTTCGCGGATCAGGGGGTGAAAGTGAACAAAGAAGTCTACGTTCGGGACATTTTGGAGAAGCATGTGATGCCCTGGACCCAAACGCATTTCGGTGGGCAGAAATGGGTCTTTCAACATGACGGAGCAGCCGCCCACACTGCCAAAACTACTCAGGAGTGGTGCCAGACCCATTTTCCCGACTTCATCAAGTCATCCGAATGGCCTGATTGCTCCCCAGACCTGAACCCGCTTGACTTTCCCGTGATGGGGTCTTGCAGGAGAAGGTCAACGCAAAACCCCATTCAAGTGTAGAGGCTCTGAAGAAGACATTACTGGCGGAATGGGACAATCTTTCCATCGAATACCTGCGTACCACAGTCGCATCCTACCCGAAGCGTTTCCGTGAAGTCATAGCTGCGAAAGGAGGCCGAATCTAAAAGAGTTAATAGATAAATATTTGTTATACTATAGATAAAAAATATTTTGAGTCTCGTTTGATTTGGACTTTTAGTTTCAGAAATATACGTCTTCAAAGTTGTGCGGGAACTTAAATGACACCCTGTACATGAAAAAAGATTTTTCTCAATGGAGCGCACTTGCAGCTTAGCGCTATTCCGGTGCATAAATTCAACAAATTAAATTTGTGAAATAAATTAGAAACATTCTCAAAATGGATCGTTTTTTTAATAAGAACGATTAGTTTTTATATTTCTTCGGGTGGATCAGATTCACCGCAATTTATGGTCTATTTAGTTATAAATTAAATAAGTTATTTTAATTTATATCGGATCTTTTTTAAACATATAACATTTTTAAATGATAAAACCATCAATTAAACGAAAGAAATACTACATAATTGAATTATGATATAAAAATTGATGATATGTAGCAGATGAATTCAATGCGAGTAGATAAAGACGCGAGAGAGATTGAATTCGGAAAAAGAGGATATAAGGACATTTGGAAAATTGCAAAACTAATAGGGAAAAAATACACTTATCAATTTGGAAACAAATGGATAATCAACAAATACATTTAACAAGATTCTCTTTACCGATTTCATTAGGCAGCTTGAAAAGAACACTTTGATGTTATACAACACAAATAGCTAAAAAAAAAAGGCATTTTTGGGCTGAGGACGTCTTTCCATTGGTCTTTTGGAGTAATTCGGAAGTTTAAAAAAATCTCGAAAAGCGAATTGTCCGTGATATCGTTTCATCACTCCGCCAGCTTTTGATTTTCGAGATGGAGTGCTTATCTGAATTCAATAAATGAATTCAATGCGAGTAGATAATGACGCGAGAGAGATAAATAACGAAAAAAGAAGCTGAAAACGGTAAATTAACGTAAGAACTAACGAAATTAAAAAAAAAAACAACAAAAAATTATAGAGAATCTCTTGCAACTTCTCCGCCGAAATGACACACTATTTACATTTAAAATTTGCGAAAAAAATTAAAAAATAAACAACTATGAAATGTTTTTCCAAGTATTAACAAACATAATCGTATAAATCAAACCATATAATATAACTATAAATGATATTAACAAAAGAGAGAGTGAAAAAACAGAGAAAAGAAATGTGAATATTTTTACAGTTCAATCTTTAAAAAACTACGGACCTCCGAATACTTATCCGATTGAATTATAGTAAAGCTTTTTCGATAGAAAAAAGCCTTGCGAAAAACGTGGTCGGTGCACTTTTTTGTTAAAATTTGAGAAAAATTCAAAAAACTTGAAAAATGAGCCAAAACCTGGCGATTTTTAAAAAATTCGTCTGCGCGTCAAAGACGCCAACAATCGACCACTGACACAGTTTGAGTTTTCATTTCAGGTAAATCCCACTAGTGTGAACGCCGTGATATATATTCCACTCAATTTTTCAATTTTTTTCATGTTTTATTTTCAAAGTGCCATTAAACAATTGAACTTTTTTCTCCTTCTTCTGATTTTGCATGAATCTGAGACGGGGAATTTCCATAATCCCGAATTGTATCCTCATCCTTCGCTTGACTAAAACTTAATTATTTTCTATATTTTTAGCATTTCTCTAACCAAATAAGCTGCAAAAATACTGAGCACATAACAACACTTAAGAAAAAGTCAAAAACAGTGAATACGAGGCTAACCCATTCGATAATATTGTCTGAAATTAATTTTCATTGTGCATTAATTATCTGTCGTAACCTTTGCTCGTTAGGGGTGTTGATTTCGGAAGTTTACCGGTAAGAGTGAAAATAATACCGACTATTGAAATTGCTGAGAGTAATGTGACCGCAATCTTAATATTTAATAGAAAACAACTACTTAAAAAAGCAAATATACCGTAAAAATCAATAAAATGAAATAAACCACAATCGATTTTCGAAAAATTGAAACACCACTCAGTACGCATACAACGAGCTAAAAAATTTAATTGTTGCTAAAATCGAAAAAAGGATTACGTATAAAATTCCAACGTAACGAGTTATCATTATCGCGACATGGTCCCCGCTAAAAACGCTTGGCAATTTATTAAAAACTTGGATTACTTGTAGTAAACTGTAATAAAAATGAGTATAATTCCGAATAAAAATGACCACACTGAATAAATGAACAGCCAGACCTAATATCAAATCTTTATTGTTTTTCCAATTTTTCGCGATATCAACCTTTAAAGAGAAATAAAAGCATGTTTTTGGAGTTTCAGATTCCTCCAGCTCTCGAATAGAATTTACATCTTTGTCACTTTCTTCCATGCTTATTTCTTACCAATTATGGATATGAAATGACAACAATTTCACGTGTTTTCGACATTTTTTTATATCGAGTTATTTAGTTATCTAGAATCGAACGCCAGCATGGGAGCGGATGGAGGAACTATTCCGAAACGGTGTGAGCTTGTGAAGGAAAGAAAGAAAAAGGAAAAGATTGCAAAACACGTTAAAGATGCGACAAAATGGAAAAATTGTCAATTAACTCAATTACCGTTGAGGGTATATATTAGGAACCAAATTTGCTTCAAATTTGATTCAATTTCATTCAGAAGCCGGTAATTGCTTGCCGATTTGGCAAACTTTACAACAAAGAAGATGTGATCAACGCGATTTTGAGCAAGACCATTGCTATGTCTCTGGTTGCTGCGCATATCAAAGGACCAAAAGACTTTGTCGAGTTGAAACTCGCCGAGAACAAGGAGTACAAGGGAGAAGATGTTAAGGGCGATGAATACAACGATGTTAATCAAGTAAGTGATATCTATAATTAAGGAAAGTTAAACAAGAACGATGACAGACTCAATTCATGTGCCCAATCACAAATACTCCGATGAACGGCGTCCAAAATTTTGTTGTGAACTGGCAGTGCGGTTGTGTGTACTCGGAAAAAGCTCAACAAGAAGTCAAATGTGATAATTGTCATGTTTGTGGCGGACCGTATGATCCAGAGAAAATAGTGGTCCTCAATCCCGACGAGCAAACATTAGAGCTGTACAAAGCTCGTTGGGAAACTGAAAAAGCTGCAAAGAAGGCGGCGAAAGAAGCGAAGAAGTCTGGAAAAGTTGAAGTTGAAGCGAAACCTAGCTCAAGTTCAACTATGACGAATGGTAAGTTTGAGACTTTAAAACGCATGGTATTAAGAAAGAGTTCTTTCAGGCGAGAAGCTTAACAAAAAGAAGGTAGAAGCAACTAGCGATGCGAGCAGAAAAAGAAAAGCCGACGTTTCTGATATCCAGTCGGATCCAACAAAATCTGATACATACAAGAAGTTGTTCACAACATGTGAAGATGCTAAGAAGAAAACTGAGGGTCATTGGGTTACATTCAATCCATTGTATTATTAATTGGTCTCATGTATGTATGTAAAATGCTTAATAAATCCGCGATTCGAGTGCAGATGTCGTGAAATTTGCCTGATTTTCAGGGTTTCTGAACCCTTCTACTACCTCCGTAAAATGAATTATTGAATGAATATTGAGACTTCGGTTTTAGATGCTCTCCGTGCCATTGCGCACCGCGGCAAGAAATCTCGTTCGAATTCCGGCCAGAAGTCGGTTGATAGTGACATGTCAGACGAGAAACGTTTCAACCGCGGATGTGTTTCGAGTTTCTGAAACAGCGGTACGCGAAACAAATTTGAAATTTTCGTTGGTTTTCAAAAAATATATGCAGTGCTCCTCTCCACATAACTATATACCCATGCCAATTTTAACGACAACGCGAATACCTCCGGAAATGGTTTCAATTAGAAAAATATGCGCATTTATTATTAGTTTCATGTTACATTCACAAAATTCAACAAAAAATAGCAATTTAAAAAATTTCGTCATTTTCACAAAAAGTGGAAACAATTTTTCCACATAACTATATAACCACTTGATAAAAAAAAACACAGAATAAGGTATCGAGAGTTGGAATTTGAAAGAAAATGAACTTTTAATAGCTAACTGGGCCTTCAGTCAAAAATTCGACTGTCCATTGATTAATAAAGATTGTCAAGAAGCTGTTGATCGACAAGCTTCCAAGCTTCCACGATTGCCTTTTTGAGATCCGAAATCGAATAAAAACACTTGTTGTCATCGTAAATCTTCTTCACGATAAATCCGCAGACATTTTTCTCGATGAGATTTATGTCCAATAAATGCGCATATTTTTCCAATTGAAATCATTTCTGGAGGTACTCGCGTTTTTGAGATATTCGACATAATTGGGATGGGGTATATATAGTTATGTGGAGCACTGTATAATGAAAACTTTAAAAAATGATGATTTTTTAAGCACATTGTTTCCATTATTAAGAATTTTGCGAACCTCTGAATAAAACATTATTTTAAGACTCCCCTAGCTTCGGATTTGCCACCCATCCCAACTCCACCACCTCCTCGACGAACAATTGAAGAAATGATTGAGGTTTGTTATAAATCAATAAATAACTATTCGTGTGATTAATTTCCAGTCTGGCGAATCAGTTCTCGACGAGCTTGGTCTTTTCTCGTGGTACAAACCTTCGTCGTATTTCCGTGTCGCTCTTGAAGGGATTCACAATTATTTTGATCTGCCGTGGTGGCTTACTATCGTCTCAGCGACGGTTGCTCTTCGATTATTGCTCATTGGGGTTCCGATTATGTCGCAAAAGCTTGTCGCCAAGCAGTCAATGTACAGAAAAGAGCTCAATGAGTTTCGAGAGCGAATTGAAGAAGCGAGAAAAGAGAACAATCAGCTATTACGTACGAATGAGAAAAATTAATAATTGAAATTTGATTTTTTAGAACAACAAATTCTTATTGAGCAGCGCGATTTCTTCAAATCCAAGGATATCCGATTGTTCCGCCAATTTGGTATCATGCTGGCCAATGGTGCTGTGTTCGCCACACAATTTTTCGCCATTAAAAAAATGGTCGAAGTTAGTTATCCGGGACTGTCGACCGGCGGAACGCTCTGGTTCACCGATCTCACTGCCACCGATCCATATTTCGCACTTCCATTCATTTCGGCAGCCACAATGGCTCTTGTGACGAAAGTCGGCATCGAAATGGGTACAACGTCGGATCAAATGCCGGCGATGATGCGCGTTTTCATGCAATGGGGACTACCGGTTGTCATTTTTGGAGTTTCCTCGCAATTCGCTACGGTAAGTTATAAATATTTAATTTAAAAAAAACGTTGTTTCTTCTTTAGGGACTTTGTGTTTATTGGACCGCCTCTAACGTGATGTCTTTGATCTACGCTGGAGCATTCCATGTTCCAGCGATACGCAAACTTTTCAATATTCCAGCCGTTGTTCCAGCACCCGTTGTACCAGGACAAAAATCGGCGATATCACAAGTTTTGAAGAATTATAAAGGTAACATTGTGCATTTGTAGAATTAATCAAAAGGAATTTGCAGAAAACAAATCAATTCCACCATCATTGGCTGATTTACGCCAACGCGACGCGACAAGTTTCAAAAAGGCCGGACGTGGAAAACCGCTTAATTAATAAATAATTGTTGAATCCCTTTAATTGATACTGGTGTCGTTGTTTGACTAGATAGCTGTAGGTTCGTTGTTTTCTTTTTTCTTTGTTTTCTGTTTCTTTCTTTCAATATAAAACTGTAATTTGTCATAAATTTCGTTTCGTACATGTTTTTCGCCATTTCGAAATATCTGACAACCAAGAGACCCAGGTTGACAAACAAATGATGACTCATCCATTCGTTTTTCTTATCCGAATTTTTCTATTTGATCGTTTAGGTGAATTGCGATGAATTTCTTCTCGAAGCCCGATCCTAAAGGTTCGTTTACGGTTAATTTGTGCAAATGATTACAACGCAAAGAATTTTCGAATTGAATCAAACATTTGATATAAATTGCACTTTTCAGTTTTTATACTCAAAAGTAAATATAAAATATGAAAAGTGGAATTTCAGAGCAAATGCGTACAAACACCCGGGAATTGCGCAAAACAAATCGTGAATTGGAATCTGATCGAAGACAGTTGGAGCGGAGAGAAAAAGAATTGGTTAGATATTTGATTCAATATCAAAATGAGGTATTTTTGTAATTTTTAGGAAGAAGAAATCAAGAAACTTGCTAAAAAAGGGCAAACTGATGCTGCTCGCCAACTCGCAAAACAGCTTGTCCAACTCCGAAATCACAAGGCGAAAAGCGTTGGAATGAGTGCGAAAATAAGCGGAGTTCAAGCGCAGAATAGGTAACATTGCTTCTAACTGCTCTAAAATTATTTTTTCTTCCCATTCCAGTCATATGAACAGTATGGCGAAAATGTCTTCTGCAATGGGCACCACTGTAAAGACGATGAAAGCAATGGAGAAGCAGATGCCTTTGGAAAAGGTTGCTCGAAATATGCGCGAGTTTCAGATGGCACAGGAAAAGATGGGTCTGACTGAGGAGATGATGAACGACGCCTTGGATTCGATGTTAGATTCTCCAGGCGATGCTGAAGAGCAGGATGCCATTGTGAATCAAGTTCTCGATGAAATCGGCATCGAGATGAACAACAAAGTAAGATGAATAGCTTGTTTCTCAAACCTCAATAGCTACTTCAGCTCTCAAATGTGCCGGCAATTCCAACGGGCTCTTCCACTGCAACACCGACAGTGGCTACTTTCGATGACCTTGAAGCCAAACTGGCACAATTGCGAAGCTAATTTTTCGACTTGTATATAATATGTACGGGTGAATAAATATTGTGTATTGTGAAATGTGAGCGGTTAGAGATCGTAATTGGGTTATTTTACAAGTTGTGAAATTGTTTAAAAATCGATTTTCAGCGCAATTGGAGCATGGTCACTTCCCATCACGGACGAAAGGACTTTCGAGTGTTTTACCTGAAATTTTATTAATAAAAATTGTGAAAAAGATAAGTTTTACGAGAAATTAATACTAACATTATCCATTATCCGATTACTGACAACGAAATAATCGAGACGCCATCCGACATTTTTGCTCCTCGCATTGTTCATATACGACCAGAATGTAAATTGTTGTTCTTCTGGATGCATTTCACGGAACGTGTCCTTGAATCCGGAAGCCAGTAAATCAGTAAACCATCCGCGTTCTTGGTCCGTGAATCCTGCGGTCTTGTTACGATTAGAGTCCGGATTTTTCAGATCAATCTCATTATGGGCCACATTCAAATCGCCCCCGTAAATTACTGGCTTCTGCGCATCTAGTTCTTTCAACTTTTTCGTTAACAGCGATTCCCAACGCCCGCGTTTTTCAAGTGCGACGAGCTTGGCTCCAGAATTTGGAACATATGCACCAACGAAAAAAAACTGTGCAAACTCGGCAACTACTAGTCTTCCAGCTGTATCAAACTCTTCTTCTCCGATTCCTTGAGAAATCTGGATATTTTAGGATTGTCGGAGAAACAACCGATCATTTAAAATTAACCTTTATTGGAGCGACTTTCGTCAACATTCCAACACCAGCATAGCCTCCACTCTTTTCCTTCGAAACGACTAATGTCTTTTTGTATTCCTAAACTGATTTCGATTTTTAGCAAAGAAAATTAGCATTGGAATCATTATCGATTTCTGCTTAAAATGAATACCTTGAAGATTTCTTCTATTTCTGGGGGCCATTCTTTACATTTTGTTTCTCCAAGAAACAAAATGTCAGGTTTTTCCGCAAGAATTTCGCTAAAATCGTTCTTCTGGAAAAGTTGACCAATATATTGATATTTTTTCCTAATCTACTTTTACGCATGCACGCAGTCCTGCAACGTTCCATGATATTATTTTCCATTCTCTTTGGGATCCATCATCTTCAGGGATTGTAAATTTCTGCTTCTTCTAAATTTAGCTTATTAAAATCTTTCGTAGATCCGCTACGCACCAAAAACATGGCTGGCACTTTAGTCAGCGATTGAGTTCGTTTTGATGCCATTCCTTCAACTACCATTGCATTTACGTGCTTTTATAAACACAAGTAAGATCTGAAGTTTTTACCATCTGAGAACTTAGAACAATATTTAATATCAATGTTTTATTTGCGGAACTTGGAAATCGATTATATTTTGTAAAGTAATGATGCAGTAAAACAATGTGGGGAGTATTATAGGAATGGTCGAGAGATCACAACTAAACAGCAAGAATATTGTGTACAGTGAAATCTCATTCATTTAACGCTTTAGTTGTTGGCGAAATTGACACGGAGGTTTCTTCCGTTGAATGGAGTTCCATTGAGTTGCTCAACAGCTCTCTGAGCTCCAGCCTCCTCAGCGAACTCACAGAATCCGAATCCCTTTGGGCGTCCAGATTCACGATCGAAGACAATTCTAAAAATTGTTTTGAATCATTGACCGGAGGCGATATCTCTTACCTAACGTTGGAAACCTGGCCAACTTGGCTGAAGTAGTTTCCGATGTCGGCCTCGGTAGCTTGGTATGGAATGTTTCCGACTGAAAATACGCTATTAACCCTGTTCAATTAAACGTCCTTATACCAGTTACGTACAGTGATAATGCACGCTTACATAACGAATGCACCCTATTCTAGACTAATCAGGAGACTATGGACAAATCTCAGTATAATTTACCCTCTTTATTTTAAGACTTCGGCGTCTCTTTTGCGGTGTCGTGAAGTGTTCATCTCCATTGTAGCCATCACGGCCACTTTTTTAAACCAGGGGGACTACAGGGACACTACCTGAAATATCGGTTAGTTTTCGAGGTACACGAATGAACCATGGAGAACGAATGCCGACAAAGCCCTAGGAGATGGAGACAGTCACTTAGTGAAAACCTAACATGGAACATCCCAAATTTCGAATTTTCAAACTCAGTTAAATAGCAAAAGATCTCTTCGAAACTTGCTTTATCGCATAAGCGATCGCTTTACCGTTTTTCTGCAACCCTGGAAAGAAAACAAACCGTAAACGGAGAATCCTTGGCGACCGGCAGACATGGTTGACGATTGGTTTGGTGAATGAGAAACTCGTGACGAGAATGAGAACGTGTCCAACGCGGCGTCCTAAAAATCGAACATAAACAACCACGAGGTCCCAAAGCGACAATGCGACCGCAATGTAGCTGTCGATTTACGAGGAGTGCCTCCCTTTAAACCATTTTTTCTTTATTATTCAAATTTTTAACATTCTTCTTATGATTCAATCAATTTTTTATTATTGATTTTAAAAATGAATGGCCAAACAGATTTAAATAAAATTATAAAATTACAATATTAATTGTTAATTAAAAAATAGTTTTTTCATGATTTAATAGTTTTAAACAGTATTTTTACTTTAAAACTTATATTATAAACCGTTGCATTATTTCTTAGAGATTAACATTAACACTTTATGAAAGTAATTCGACGAATTTTTTAAAATTTAAAATGATTTTATTGTAGAATAAAATCAATTTTTAAAACAGAGCATTTAAAAACTTTTTAAATGTTCCAAATAAAATAAGAGAAAGTATTTGATATAGTTTTTCTCTCTCTCTCTCTCTGTGACACACCGATTTTCATAGTTGATCATTGTAGTTTCGTAACATGATGAATCATCTTCTTATCATCTTTTCAAACGATAAGGCGCAGATTTTTCAGGCAGTTTATGCCTCTCACAAAGCGTGCAGTATCTCCAGTTGACATTAGTCGGAAAGTTTTACCGGCCTCAGTACAAAGAGATGAACTTCAGTGCACTGCAAATGGAACAATTGCCAATCTTATAAGGCAGTTGAGCTCTTTGAGGTAGCGAAATTTAAAACATCAATTTTCAATGGTTAAACTTTGAAGTCAACACGCAGAAAACATTTTCGGGGAAATCTACCATGATGCAATGATTATTTATCACAAAGCTAACACTCTTGAGCAGCGCATTGATCGTCTACACACGAAAGTAACTCAGTTAGATTCCAGTAACGACCAGGGTAATCATTTCCTCGTGTTCTTGTTTAGTATTCAACTTTCAGCTAGTTTAAATGAAGCAAATATGCGGAAGGCATTTAAAAGCTCAATGCTTGTTGATCAACATATATTGGATAGAAGTACTTTGCCAGTAGCACTAGCCGAGCGTTATTCGAAGTGTGATCCTCCTCCAGATCTTGACGCATTGAATCCTTACAGGCAAAATTTGTTTAAGTGTTTATAAATTTGGAATTATACCAGTTTTTTTAGGGAAAGTAATGTTCGGGCACTCAGTCTTTACACAAATCCTTCATTTTTCTTCGATTTGTGGAAAAAAGAGACATTGAAGGAGGTGACAGAGCGCCCACGACGAGTGAAATCACCAGGAGATGGTAGTAAAAGCCCGAAAAAGAATCGTCGACAAAAAACAATTCCCGCTGGATCATACGCTCAAGGTGCACATCATGCTAATGATAGCGCTCGGATGCGGAATGGAGCCAGAGCCGTCAGAATGCCACAAAATGAGATGTTCTCATTTCCCGAAGAGTACCAAGCTCCTCAAGCTCTTGGCCTTCAGCTCAACTTTAAAAATCAGGTGAGAATATCATATAAAATCATTGTATAAAGTTCATATAAAGCAAATCTGTAATTGTCATTTTATGTTCCTTTGTTCCCCTCTGTACTGAAAAATTCCAGCAAAACCATCATTCTCATAGTATGATGCCGCCTCTTGGAATGTCTATTCACAATCAACAACATCAATCGATTCCTGCTATATCTTCTAATCAAATCGGCATAACTCGTCAGATTAGTGCAAATCCTTCTATAAACAGTCCAGTGCGACCTCGGGAAGAAGGAAAGGTATGAAATGGACAGTATTACGAAAAAAAAAAACCCATTTTCCAATTCACCAAGTGTTTCGTGTTTATTTGTAAAGTTTCAGTCCGTCTCAAATCTCGACCATCTCCCCCCTCCAGACATGTCGATTCTTTCCATTGATGACGATGATGACGAGCTTCCGCCGCCACCGCCGCCATTGCTGATGCACGCGTCCATAGTTCATCAACTTCCTGTTGAGCAGCCTACTGCAATACAGCTCGTCGAGCCAAGCGCTGAACCTGCGAATGTAAGATTTAAACTTTGTGCACTTTTCAACCAAGTAGCCGCTTTTCGACCTGCTCTCTGCCCCTGTGTACCCTGTGTTCGTTTCAGATTCCTCCTCCACCCCCTCCACCTCCGCCAATCCCTTCAAACCTCAGCAAACCATCATCTGCAGCAACTTTCTCATCAACCAGGGTGAGTTTTATATACCTTTTGTTTTTGATGGTCGTTCTAACGCTGTAGACAATTTTTTCTATAAAAAACATATCGCGAAACTATTATTTTATTTCAGCCCGAAGCTGATTCCAATGGTCAAGCTTCTGTCGGGGCTGCTCCTGCAAAGCCCACTGATGCTCGAAGTGATCTTTTAGCCCAAATACAAAGTGGCATTAAACTTAAAAAGGTACCATTATCGCAATTAATCTTTTCGTTATAATTTCTTCGTCAACGTTTTAATTAAATTGCTAGGTCCGTCTCGCTGAAGATGCTGCCGCTGAAAAGGCTGCTCTTGAAACTAACGACGTGGCTGCTATTCTCAAGAGAAGAATGGACCAAGTCCTTGGTAATGATGACAGTAGTAGCGAAGAAGGAGCAGATGATGATGAATGGGATGATTAATTAAGGTGCTCATGTAATTTAACTCATAATTTATTCAGTTGTTTTTTCATCAATTGCCTTTTTGTTTCTGTTTCAGTTTGCCGATATCAAATCTCTCAGCATTGTAAATAATAATTGAACAGCTTTTGTAATATTTTATTGAATTTTGGTTTTTTTAATGTTTGCCTAATGCACCTAAAGTCATATTTTATCTTGAAAAAAATATATTTCGGTTAAAAGAAATGCCAAAAGTTCAGATATGTCGATTAGCCGCAAATTGGTCGAAGCGGCGTTAGGCGAGGTAAAAAAGAAGTTTGTTGGAGTAATATGCTCGAAATTACCTCGCGATGGTCCAGAATTTGATATTCTACAATATAGAACGAGAAATGTATGTTGTTTTTTTTTTATTTTGTCGTCTCGAGACCCATATTTATTTTAGTTATTCGATAGCACGGTTCTTGGAGGAAAATATTCAAGAGCGGCGCTTTGCGTAGAAGCCACTCGTGCTCTTCAGCCGCATTTAAAACAAGGAACACCGGAATTGAATGCGGTCGTCGAATCAGCATGCACTTTGGAAATTGTATTATTTCTTTCGAAAAGCGATATATTATTATTATTATTATTTGCTTTTTAGATTCAAAGCTTCTACCTCATTGTTGATGATATTATGGATAATTCGGAAACAAGGAGAGGCAATACCTGCTGGTATAGAAGGGTTTTCTAGAAATCTAGACAATCTTTTGTGCATATTTGCAAAATTTGTAGGAAGGTGTCGGAATGAGTGCTATCAACGATGCTTTCATCATGGATTCCTGTGTCGAGGATCTGTTGCGAATTACCCTTGCCGGTCATGTCAACGTCGATCGGTTATGTGAAGCTTATAGAAAGGTAATAAGGTAAAATGAGAGAAGTAATGCCAAAATTGATTTTCAGTCGAAGCAAATGACCTTAATCGGACAAGCTTTGGATACTGCTTCTTCTAATTCCGTAACAAGCTTTAATTGGGATAGGTACCTAATTATTTTTGTGTTTCAAACATTATTTTGTATTTTCAAGATACGAACTTCTCGTTCAACACAAAACATCGCATTATACAGTATTCCATCCACTCCAGATGTCCCTTTTAATGTCGGATATCCTTGGATATCACGGTTCTGTCAAGAAAGTCGCTTATCAAATTGGATTCCTTTTCCAGTCTCAAGATGATTTTCTCGATGTTTATGGGGATCCAAGTGTTACTGGAAAAGTTGGAACCGATATTAAGGTTTTAAAAATTTTGAAATATTTTTGAAGGTTCTAATTTTAGGATGGAAAGTGTAGTTGGCTGGCAGTGAGAGCGGTGCAGAAGATTGTCGAATCACAAGACCAGACACTTTTTGAAAGATTCAAGAAGATATATGGGACACCGGACGAGGAAAATGTGGCTGAAGTTAAGGAATTATTCGATCGACTTAAGTTGGCCGATGAATTTAGACGTTTCGAGACCCATTTTTCTAAACAGGTATTCCTTTTTATTGGATTTTTTTAAACAATTGATGAAATTTGCAGATAAAACAGAGTATATCCGAAATTCCTGAAGTGATTTCACCGCTTCGCACCGTTCTTGAGCAATTCGTCGACAAACTAGTCAAACGGAAACATTAAACAATTCTTGTTTATATTCGCTATTAAATTCCAATATTTACCTTGCATTTTTTCATTATTTATTAAATTAATTCATTGATATTCATGTTTTGATATCATTTTATTGCCTGCATCGTCGGTTTTAATAATTTGGTCTCCTTGGTTGTTTTAAAATTGTATTTTTTTTTGGTCATAAAGTGTATGTTAACGACGTGGCCGCCGAAGGTGGCCGAGAAAAAGAGCAAATGCTCTTCCACGACGATTTCGGTGATTTTAAATTATTCGACTTTTGCCTGCGCATTTTTCACGTTTGTTATGGTTTTCGAATTATTCGAAACAATTTTTCATTACAAATCGTATGCCACGTTGGTGGCAGTTGCTAAAAATTTCGTTTTGGTTAAGAAAATCTTTCATACGTGTTAAACTATCCTATTAAAAAATTTTTGCTTTCGCTTCAAAAATTATTAATATTCAATTTTGTAAAAAGCTTCTCATTAAATTTCGAATAATTATGAGAATTTTTTGCAGAATGGAGTTATCACATTCAAAAGCACGTGTAGCGTATTACTACGATGGCGACATTGGGAATTACTATTATGGTCAAGGGCATCCAATGAAGCCTCACAGAATGCGTATGACGCACAATCTAATTCTAAACTACGGGCTATATCGGAAGCTTGAAGTATTTGTAAGTATCTCGATATTTTGTTCTGAAACAAGTCGAAGACTGTCCACTGTCGGATATTCAAACCAGGGCTGTGCGGCAATGGAATTGCCGATTGCCGAAATTGCCGATTTTTCAAATTGCCGAATTGCCGAAGAGAGCGTTCGATCGGCAAATTGCCGAATTGCCGGATTGCCGAAATTTTGATTTTCGGCAATTTGCCGAATTGCCGAAATTTCCGATTGCCGCACAGCCCTGATTCAAACCAGGGATGTGCGGCAATGAAATTGCCGATTTTCAAATTGCCGGATTGCCGAAATTTTGATTTTCGGCAATCTGATATCAAAAAACAAATCGGCGAAACAAAAATCAATGTGCATTGAATAATTTGGGATACCGTGAAAATTCGGTATTTATATTTCGTATTATCGTTGAAAACATTTAGTAGCCGAAATTTTTATTTGCGGCAACTTGCCGAAATTTCCGATTGCCGCACAGCCCTGATTCCATGTGTTGAAATCTGTTTAAATTATTAGCGCGAAATCAACAATTTTCTGTTTGCGCCTTTGATGTATACTGTAATTATCTTCATATGTGCTTGATATCAGCCAACGTTCAAAACATCGCGCGACTAAATTTCGTAGTTCAAATTTTTACACAACGCCCCACGGTAGTCTTCAATCACTATTCCTTAATTGGAATCAATGAAATCAACAAATTTCGGAATATCTTTAGAGACCAAAGCCAGCGACATTCGAGGAAATGACACGGTATCATTCGGATGAATATATGAATTTTCTCAAGGATATTCGTCCGGATAATATTACAGATTTTGCCACGCAAATGGCTCGTTTTAATGTTGGAGAAGTAACTGATAATAGGTTTTTTTTCTACGGACTAAATTCAATTTTTAGGATTGTCCCGTTTTTGATGGAGTTTATGAGTTTTGTCAGCTTTCTTGTGGGGGATCAATAGCTGCTGCTGCTCGCTTGAATCGAAATGATTCAGAAATTGCGATTAATTGGATGGGTGGTCTTCATCATGCCAAAAAGAGCGAAGCCAGTGGATTTTGTTACAGCAATGATATTGTTCTAGCAATTTTGGAGCTTTTAAAATGTCATCAGGTTTTCTTTTTTAAAAAGTCAAAATTTTCTATTAATATCTATTTAGCGTGTTCTTTACGTTGATATTGATATTCATCATGGTGACGGAGTCGAGGAAGCTTTCTACACGACAGATCGCGTTATGACTGTTTCATTTCATAAGTATGGAGAATATTTCCCTGGAACTGGCGATTTGAAGGTAGTTTCGCCATCTGATATTCCCCATAATTGAATAATCACAGGATATTGGGGCTGATAAGGGAAAACACTATGCTCTGAATTTCCCACTTCGTGATGGTATCGATGATTCCACTTATGAGGTGATTAAATGAAACATATTTTTGAAATCGTAGTTTTTCAGAAAATTTTCCAACCAGTGATTTCAAGAGTTGTACAACACTTCCAACCGTGCGCTATTGTGCTACAATGCGGAGCTGACTCACTAACAGGAGATCGATTGGGATGTTTTAATCTAACCCTAAAAGGTATGGATGTCGAATTTTTTTCTTGTTGATTTGTTGATCGTTATTACATTTCTATATAATTTCCTTGAAATTAAAAATTACAATTAGTTTTCGACATTATCTCTAGAATGGAAAATAAGCAGTTTGTACGTACTAGACATTCTTATAAATCTACTACTATTTCCTGGCGCCGATTATTCGTGTTTAAAGAAACGTACCAAAAAATACCGCTTCTGCGACATGAATTACGTGTTCAATAATAGAACGGAACTAGATAGAAAGTGAAAAATGTTTAAATTAATTGCGAAAAAAAAACAACCGACAAAATTAAAATGAGTTATGCTTTTTATTGGATTTGTTTTCATGCATTTTCCTACCATTTACTTATGGACCTATTCATCAAATGCATTTTTTATGAAAAATGTAAAAAAAAAATTAGATTAGAAGTGCGTTTTTTATAATCCTGCATGTGGAAAATTGGGTGTTTATAACATTTTTTGTAAAAAAACTAAATTTCATGAATAGGTCAATCCGTGATTTTTTTCACTCTCAGGCAAATCAAATAAAATATTTTGAGAGTCAAATATTCAATAATAAACTCAAAATAATTTTGAGAAAATCTAAAGTTTATTTATGCTTTCTAAAACATTTTGAGAATCGCTAAACTTAAACTAACTCGTTATTTCACATTTTATGGGTCAGTTTGATAATTTTTAAATCGAACGACGTTAGAAATTTAAAGAAATGCGAAAGTCATCAGGAAAAAATAAATCGTTCACGTAAAACAGCGAAATAAGCGTTCACATGAGAGAGAGAGAACTTTTCAAGGCGCATGCGCGTAAATCTACCCGCGTACAGCAGTCGCCGGCCGCCGACTATAAGATTTTTCAAAATTTATTGAGAAAATTCTAAATTTTCTCTATAAGTTCTAAAATCTTATAATAATTTCTAAAGTTGATTGAGAAAAATCGAAAATATTATAGAGACACGTTAGTTTCTCAATGAATCTCAAAATATTTTATTCGATTTACCTGAGTCATTCATCTAAATTTTACGATCAATTTCCATTGAAACTTATTTTTAACTGTACCAGAATCAATAGTTGTCTTCCCATTTATTCCGGCGAGTTGTTTTATTTTCAAAAATATTTGCGTATGCGGGGATTAATGGGACGTACTATTTCGCGGCGAATGATTCTGGCAGCCACGCTTTTTTAAGACTTTTTAATAAATCGACACTATTAAAAACCGGTATAAAACTAAATATTTCAGGTCATGGAAAATGTGTCGAATTCATGAAGACGTTTAATGTGCCGTTGATGCTTGTCGGTGGAGGCGGATACACAATCCGCAATGTTTCGCGGTGTTGGTGCTATGAGACATCGATTGCTCTCGATGCACCGATAACCAACGGTAATTTTCTTCTTTATATGTATGTATAATCGTTTCATTACATTATTTGTCAAGATATTCCATACAACGACTATTTTGAATATTTCACACCCGATTATAAGCTTCACATAACGCCATCGAGCATGATTAATCAGAATACCTCGGATTACTTGGACAACACCATGGTTTGTAATAATTAGGTGAAAACTTGAGCACACAACACTTTCAGAGGGTCATAATGGAGAATCTGCGACAACTTGACACGGCACCGTCTGTTCAAATGCAACCGCTGCTCGATGAATCGCCGATCGTTCGCACTTATGATAGAAGCATTTCGTACGAAGAAGATGATTTCGATCCGGATGTTCGCGAGTCGAGTGTGGAAAGAGATTTGTCGGTTGAGCACGAAGCCGAATTTTATGATGAGCATGAGCCGTCTAGAGATGTTCAAGTAAAATGTTTTCTTACCACCTATTATAAATCCTAAAATTTAGCTTAACAACAAGAGAATGGCCGGAAGCCCGTTAATTGCCGAAGAAGCAGAGCCAAAGAAGACGAGAGTGGATCCAGAAGAAGCTGCGAATTAACGTTTATTTATTTTAGCTGTTTTCAATTTTTATCCCGTTTTTATTTAACACATATTTGTGTTATTTGTGATCTCTTGTCTATCAAAAAAACCCCCACAATAATTGAAATGGCGTTGTCGTCGAGTGTTGGGCATTGCGTGCAAACACCGACCCCTCATTAGTGCAGACACGCCGATATTCGAAATTTTCGCTTGTCTCTCACTTCGTTGCTGCGCGCGAAGTTTTTGGCTCTGGCTTGAAAATTGATACGCCCCGAATTATTTCATGTACTTTTATTCAACATTTTGTAAATTGCATTTAACATTATCTTATATATTCCAAAATTATTTCGCAATATGAATAAATTATCTTCACAGTTTTATATCTGAATTCCTATTGGTTTTTTTCCGGTTTCTTTACCGCCCACATATCACTTTAATGTCTCGTTTTAACGATTACTTAAATTTATCAATTGTTTGCAGAAAAAATGAGTGGAGACGAAGCCAAGAATAACGACTTCTACGTCAGATACTATGTTGGACACAAGGTAATAAGGTGGTGAACAGAAATTATTGTTGGCGTCAAAGGACTGAAAGAAATCTTTAAAAATATATTGACTATTTGTCAGGGGTATCGAAACGAACAAACGTTTGTGTGTCTGCGTTCTCTTCATTTTGACATACATATTTTTCCGCGCGTAAATTTCCAACTTCGTAGATATGAAGTGATTTTGCGAAATTGAATTTCCCGCCACCGAATAGTCATTTGACGCTGGCAATACAAATTATTCGGAAAAATGTCTTCGATCCTTTAATCTAACTGAAAATGTGAATTTTAAGGGAAAATTCGGGCACGAATTCTTGGAATTCGAGTTCCGCCCAAATGGAGCTCTTCGATATGCGAACAACTCAAACTACAAGAATGATACGATGATCAGAAAAGAAGCAACCGTTTCAGAGGCAGTTCTCAATGAGCTCAAGAGAATTATTGAGGACTCGGAAATTATGCAGGAAGATGACGCCAACTGGCCAGAACCGGACAAAGTTGGACGTCAAGAGCTCGAAATTTTGTTCAATAATGAACATATATCGTTCACCACTGGAAAGATTGGAGCTCTCGCTGACGTGAACAACAGCAAGGTACATAAATTAATTAAGCATTATTTTAATATATGTGTTTGCATTTTAGGATCCGGATGGTCTCCGCTCATTCTACTATCTTGTGCAAGACTTGAAATGTCTTGTATTTTCACTCATTGGTCTCCACTTCAAAATCAAGCCAATCTAAAGAAGTCGGATCTCATGTTTTCCATCAATCTGTTATTTTCATTTTTCGAAATTTTAAGTTCTATTTATTATTTTTGTTTCATCTACACAATCATCTTGTTTTATCAATTCTCGAAAATGAATATTTATGGAAATTTCCTAAAAAAAAATGATGAAGTTATTTGAAATTACAATACATTTACAATTACGCCGCGTTCGCCACCGGGTCAGCAATAGCGTTTGATATATTCGCGAGCTCTCATCTTGAATTGGTCGCGATTTTGAGTCCACATTGTGGCTGCTTGCACATTCAAAGCATCGTCGAAGTCGATGAGATCCGTGAATAATGAAGCGAGTCCGTGAACGACCTGCAATTGAAAAATTATTCTAACATAAGTTGTATTAGATTCGCAAAAGAACGAGCACCGTGAGCTGATTTACGGTGAGTTAGCTTCGCAGGTTATCCAGAGTACGGTATCCAAATTTCCACTCTTTAAATTCGAATTTGAATTACCGCTTCGAAAAATTGCGATGGTCCATAAATACGCAAGGCGCTTGTTTTTTTGCGATGATAATATAAAAGCTCATTGTTCTCAAAATGACAATGTGTCTAACCTCTGTAATATTTCTTGTAGGTCTCCAGCCGAATGCATCCAATGAATTTTGTCGTAAAATCGATAAACACACATTCCCTTCTTCGCTGATATTTGGATGCCACACACGCGTGAGACATTTTACTTGTGGCGGCTGGAATTGGAATTAATATCTTGATCGTTAGTAAAAAAATTGCGATCATACCACATTGTTGTACTCGGGCGGAACGCTGATTTTGAATCTGAACACGCCGTCGGTGTAGATACCCTCCTGATAATTTCGAATTTTAATTATTAATAATTGAATAATCAAAACCTTTGGAGTGACTGTCAGCTCGAGCTCATGTAGCTGTGACGTTGAGGGAAGCGTGAGCTTGCATAGTTTTTGATTCCGAAGATTGACTTCCAGGTCTTTGAGTTCTGAACAAAAAAGCTGTCATTAAATGCATTTCTTAAGGAATACGAACCTTGTGCAAGTAATTTTTCACGAATAGCAATTCGCGTGGCCAGGTATTTTTTGTCTTCGTCGTTCCCATTGATACGTTTTTGAAGATTGAGCATTTTCGGTGATGAATTTACACCGCTACCGTCCTGAAATTGCCAAAAAATAATCAGGTACATTCGAAATGATTTAAAAAATCATGTTGTGAAATCACGAGTTGATTTGATTTTTCTCTCAGCATTCGAGAAGGCATCCCTACGGGAACCACGCCCACTTTTCAATAAAGCGCCAGCTGCGGCACAGAATTTTGCAGCCACTCCGCGCACGCCGGAGGCGAAAAATTCGAATTTCAGGAATTGAAATTTGTGGCATTCTTTTGGAAAATTATCAATACCGGTTGCTTAACGATTTTTAAGCTCTAAATCCCTGGAACACTATGGACGGTAATATGAAAGTACGCGATTTTCCACTAACAATTCATTTTCAGATCAGTTAGCGAATGCGACGAATGTCTATTTAAAACAAAATCCATTGTCGTTGGCTCCATGGAAGGTTTTTGAGTTTTTTGAAAACGAAGAAAACTTGTCTGAAGCTGAACTTGAAATGTCTATAAGTCAGCTAATAGAAAGACGGCCCGACATCAATAAAAACTACAAACTCTTCTTAACCGAACTTCAGAAGCTCGTACTTATTCTCATACCTTTAACAAATTCTGTTTCAATAAGTAATAAATTAATCTTAATTTTGATTAATAACAATCAAGCTTCAGGTTCTTTGATTGGAATTCTAAGGGAATTAGCTCTTATACCGGAAATTCTGACCTACCTCCCCGAGTTTCCAGAGCAGCCAGAACCGAATGCAATGTTTCATTACTTGAAACAATTAAAGCTTGATAAGAATACATTAAGTTCGGAAGAACCTAAGGTAGATTTATTCCAAAATGTAAAAAAAAAAACGAAAAAATATATTTAGAAAATATTTGAAAAAATGTCAAAAAACCCAAAAGAGCTATTAAAGTGTATGAACTCTTGGAAAAGCGATGTATTAGCTTATGTGGAAGGCTTAGAACAATTTGATGATAAATATAAAGAATATTTGAGTGAAAGACAAACGGATATGATGCAAACATTTCTTGAAAGATCTGAATCGACACTTCCAGAAATAGAAAGAAAAATTGAAGAGAAGGTTTGAAATGCTTGCAAGGCAATTAACTAATTATTAATATTCAAGGAACAATTGATCGTATTACAAGAAGAAGCTTTCGAAAAATTTTATAAGGCGTTGAAAAACGATAAAAAGTTTGAGCAACTTTCTGAGAAAATGCGACGAAACACCATTCGTGAAATTTACGACAATACTGATTCATCGGTTTTAAAATTATTGATTGGTGAAGAAAATCGAGATGGCGAAAAGGGTAACATTTTTTTATTGAAAAAAAAAACCCCATAATTTGTCGATTTTAAGATGGAAATGCTCAACTTTTGAATTTGTCAACACGTTCTACTCCAACTTCAACAACTCCCCAATCTTCGGCTAGGAAGGCGAAGAAAAGAAGCAATGAGTTGCCACCCGCTGAAGCCAGTAAATTTTTATTTTTTTTTCGAAAATTAGTCAACAATTATAGCATTATCTAAACGCCAACGACGCAAACCTAGACGTCTCGATGAATACGAAGTTGAAAATATTGCAAAAAACGAAGGTAAGTCTTGGTTGAAATCCAAATAAATTTTAACAAAGTTTCTCTTTAGAAGCTCCTCAACGGCCAAACGCTTCCGATAATTACCCTGTAATTAAAACGCGCGGAGATATTAGCCGTTCCGATCCAGAATATTGAACCAATATTGATTGTACAGAATGATCAAAAATAATCCACACACGACTTATAGTGATTGGTGGTCTTTGAAATCACAATATGGTTTCGAAAACACTATTGACATAGTAAAAGTGCATTCTGCTTCTCAGTGCAAATGACATGAAAAATTACTACCAAATAAGCCTTGAACAGATTTTTAGTTACTGATCTATAAATCTGAGTGTGGATAATCTTTGGCCAGCCCATTTATTTATTTTTGTCATACGAGTATTCATAGTTTCAAAAAACCTTAATAAGTATCAAAATCGGGTTCAATAGAATGAAAGTGCTTTAACTCATTTATTTTATCATTATTGTGGGTTCGAAATTTTATTATGAAGTATTTTTGTCTATTAAGCTTGAATTGTGAAATAAATTGATAACACTTTATTGAGATTTTAATTATGTCGATTGATTTCAAGGATTTCCTTACTCTTTTGCTTAACATTGACTATATATTGCAGTAAAAACAAGAAACTGTTGATAAAGAAAAGAATTCAACAGTTTTTGATCGTATTTTGGATTTTGATCTAACATTTTACGATGAAGAAAATTAAATAGGTTATCTTGCAGATTCATCTTCGACTTCGCTTCCAATCGCTCAACGTTTGAGTTGTTTTGTGTGTTTTTTTCGTCCGAACTGCTTTTATTCGAATATTTCCGCATTTTTATCAGATATCGCGTAGAATTGATAATCGAAATTTTGTGTCTCGAGTCCTTCTGTGTCAAAACGATTATCATTCATTCGCTGCGTTTGCACATTTTTTACTTGACAAAATTCTGATCAACTAAATTTATTATATTAATCGCGGAATTTCGTTTTATTTTTAATAACTTTAATTGCCAGAACGGGTTAGGATAATTTATTTGACAAATTTATAAAATAGTGGAATGTTGCAAGCTCCAAAAACACTTTAAAAACGGTCTGAAATCCGGAATTTAAATATTTAAATTCCAATAAGTGCATCTGAATTTAACTTTTGCTAGCAATTTTGCTATCGCATTGTGATTTCTGCTATTTTGCACCAATTAATCGTACTAAATAATTTTTAATCCGTCAACGCGACGAAATTATTGATGAGACGATAAAAACACAAATATGGTATGATGTTGACCGTCTATTTCTCTTCGTCTTCTTAACTGATAACCTATCTCCCTACAAATACGCAGTTTCGCTGCCAATTTTCAGTTGTCACTTTGTGTTCATCTTGGCAATCGTCGTCTTTTTTTGTATATTGAAAAAATGAAAATTGTACTGTTTTCAGGACTTCCTTTCTTCGTTCGAAAATGACTCTTTCTGTATGTTTTTTTTTTTATTTCTTCCCACATTTCACTGTACGATTAATTGTCATTGTTTTAGTTTGATGATGCCGCTGTCAAGGTTAAAAGTCTAAAGGCGTCGCCGAGCAACGACGAGCTCCTTGAGCTCTACGCCCTTTACAAACAGGTATGAGCTGCATGAATTATGCGACGAAAATTGGAGTAGACGAACAGCGCGAATTAATGTTGGTTGTAGGGAACCGTTGGCGACAACACCACTCCAAAGCCGGGAATGCTTGATTTGAAAGGAAAAGCTAAATGGGGAGCGTGGGACGCTAAGAAGGGTAATCATTTGATAGATTGAGCCAATTTGATTGAATAAAATTCGCAGGAACCTCCCAAGACGACGCTAAAGCCGCCTACATTGCTCTTGTTGAGAAGCTCATCGAGAAATATGGACTTTAAATAAACGCTGCTTATTCGCAAATTTTCAATGGTGTAATAGTATATAAATCTGAATCGGGAGTTAATTGGAAACACACGTTGCCGTGGTAGCTGGCCTAGGCACCTAATTAAGGCTCCGCCGAGCGTATGTGCGAGAAATGCACTCGTCTTCGACATTCTCACGTTTTTTTCGCGTCTCTTCTCGCACTTTTCTTTTAATTGTTGATGTCATTGGTTTCTTCGAATCATTCGTTTTTGACAAACTTTCAATTTTTCTGATAAGACGGATTTGATTAGAGGAACAATTTCTGCAGGTTCGTTAGCGTTCTTGTATTGCAAAATAATGTTTTTTGAAACTTTCAATTTTTAGTACTCAATTCGTTTAACCTATGAGCAAACAATTAAAGCTATTGAAACTGATTTTGTCAATATTGGGTTTACGGTGTTTCTGGAAGCAAAGAACATTCCCGAACGAATCATTTTCTAGGGCACGTCATTATTAAATAGATAAATAATACTCAAGTATGGTCTCGAACCGATTTTTGGCAAAAATATAAATAAAGGATGTGGTAAAAAGTACAATGACTTTAGTCTCAGGAAATGTTAGTTAAAACGTTATTATCGACAAAATTGGCTAAATCGCAAAAAATTAAAAAAAAAAAGAGGTCTTGGTATACAGTGTGCACCTTTAACATACTCAGGCCCGCAAAAAAATATGTTTCGCGGCGAGACCACTGTCATTGTTTTTGTTGGCAGTTAGCCAATTTTGCGCATTTGCGCGACAATATTTTGTATTTCAAAATTAATGCTTACCAAAATAAACCCTAAAAAGTAAATCAGAAATGTTGAAAGCCGAATTTTCAAAGGCGCAGCGCAGCATGATTAGTAATATTTATACGGTATGCCGCGTTGTGTGCGAAACCACCTGGTGTCAAATGTGAAAGATCGAATAATCCGAAACTAAATTTTGAATTTTGGAAAAATTTGTTCTAGACAAAAATCAAAACGACATTTATATTTTAAATAATTTTTTTTTCGCAAAAAAAACGAGATCTCTCTGTGTAGATCAAGGCTTTTGATTCGCAGGTTATCCGAAGTACGGTAGCCGAATTTCAGTCGTTTAAATCCAATTTTGAATTACCGCCTCGACGATAAGCCAAAACTATAAGGATTTCACAAGAAACCAAGTTTTTTTGAGTTTTCTTCTCGATATTTGCAGATAGCCATTGTAGTGCTATAATCAACGCCGTCTTATGACCAAAAAATCAAAAAACGTTATTAAAATAATAAGTAAATGAATAGAATAATTCGAAGTTGGCTTCATTGAAATACCTTTCTCAATTTCGGATGCTCATATTTTTTGACAATTAAATTTGACAATTAAAAATTTGCTGTCATCCATTTTTCGTGTGATCGGCTATATTTATTTATTTTTTCAATTAAAATCTCCTGATATATTATTATTATTATTCATTTTTTCCTATAAATTTCTAAAAATTGAATTAATATTGCAAATCACCATTTTTTCAAATCAATTCTAGAAATGGCCTTTAAATCAACACGATTAGTTTCTTATTTATGCATTACTTCATTTGATATTCGATTTCAGCGAAAGATTACAGTATTACGAATTCAACCCTCAGATGTTCAAATATCGCAAAGATCAATTTTTATGAGTACCTCAACCGTAAGAATTGCCCATTTTTTGCATTTTTTATTCTGCGATTTGAAACGTTCGAATTGCGCAATAAAATCGACGAAAAACGCATAAATAAAATTGCGAAAAAATTTCGCACAATTTTTTGTTTATTATTTTTGGCGATGCGGCAAAATTGATTTTTCTTAAAAATTGAATAGTCATATTGAAATCATCGAAACAATGTGTATTTAATTAAAATGTTTGTCTTTGTGTATTTTCCATACAAATTTCAATTGTGCAGATTTACGGGCCTACTCCTTTAAAGCTACTCGGCCCCCAAACTCTCTATTCATTCAACGTTTATTTTCAAGCATTTTGAAAATAAAAATTGAAAGATCTTAATGTAATTGTCACGCGAAAATTAAAAAAAAATAAAAAAAAAAAACACAATTGCCACGTTTTTAAATCGACCATAAATCGACTTAAAAAAAAGCACGATAATTTCCAGAAGCCGATTGTTCATTCAAGTTGGTGAGTTTGGAAATAATGGGCATTTTCAAAGGTATTGTCAGTGTTTAAATTCCTGTTGAGCTTTGTCATTCATAGGTAGAAATTGAAAGAATGAAATTGGGAACGACGGACAGCTGAATGAACGTGAATCGCCAGGAATCAGGCTCGTTTCGCGTCTTCAGCTGCTCGTCGTTTCCATGGTTTTTTTTTTCTTTAGATAAACGTTGCGATTATATATTAATTCCGTGCGCATCATTTTCGCGTCAAGAAATTGACAGAAAATTTGAACGTCACAGAGTGATTTTCGAAATAATTTCAACTCGATTATGGCAAAACTCTCAAGTGTTTCAGCAAATTCTTGAAATATGTGATAAATTGATTCAATATTATTTAAATTCCCAATTTGTAGATCAAATCAGTTTCTCTCTCTCTCACACATTCTCTCTCTCTCTCTTATTAAATAAAATTGGAAGAGAATGTGAAAAAAATGGTGGTGATATAAAATGGGTAATTTGATCTAAAAGAAACGCGAATTCAATCAGACCAAAGCGAATTCATGGCCTCGTTTTTTAAAATATCCCCCATAAATCAAAAATAAATCCTCGACTACAACTGATTTCTGGCAACTGTTCTCTGATCATCGAGATTGTCTGTCTCGGTGTATTCGTGTGTGTGTGTGTGTGTGCCTCCAAATGTGTGCAACTAGTATTTTTTGCACAAAAAAGTATAACTATGAAGAGAGCGAGGCGAATGAATGCGACCAATTCATAAATATTCAAATCATCATCATAATCCCTATTTTTCGATACTGTTCATTCCGCTGTTTATTCATGTTCATATGACCTACCGTATACGCAATTTGATTGTGCCAATTTTGCATATAAATCGCATAGTTAGCCTAGTTATCCACGTGAACTTCCCGCTGCCGCCCCACCGCCGTTGACAATTACACAAACTTTCTTGAGCTCGCTGAGCTCCCGCGACGAGAGCTCAACTCGTCCGTTTTTGCTCTCGGGAGCACATTTCTCTCGCAGTCAATGAGTGTGAGTGCGCCTCTCTGAGTGTGTGTGTGTGTGTTTTGCTTCGAACCCATATGTTGTTGACGAGAAGCTCGCCAGTAAGCAAAAGCCGAAAAAAAAACTGTGGGTGCAATTCGACGAGGCCCTTTTTAGTTAATTAGGTGCCACCAGCACCTCGCCTAATTAGATGGAGCCCTCCTTTTGCTCTTCAAGGCCACCCCCCTCGCCGAGCCCGCCATTCCAATTCCTCATTACCCTCCAACATCGGTCTGCGGTCTACACCGACTACACCTACTTCGGTCTACACTACACCGTGTATCTTTCCGCCCCCCCCCTTATACGTGTGTACGTATGTGTATCGATGCATCTTTGTGTTTGGTGTTGTTGTCCGAGCGGACTACACCGTGTAGTTTTCCTGAGATGGGCGGAGCCAAGCCGGACGTTGCTCGTGCCCCGGCGTTTCATTTTGTTGTGTTCGCCGCTGGCAACCTCGCAGCGAAAACCCAATTTTTCGCCGTCTTCCCTCCCGTGTCCGCTTTCTCGTTGTCCAATATCCTCCAAGCCATTGAGACATTCCACCGCTAATGGCCGGCACAATTCGAATCGGATGAAGCTCGACCATTTTTGTCGAAATCGGAACACAATAACAATTTAAACAAATTGATTCTCCGAACACATCTATTATTAGAGATTATTAGAAAAAATGAGAACGCTTTTTCCTTAAAGGCCTTTTTTTGAATAGCAATGCGTCAAAAATTCTTGCTTTACTGCAATTCTAAAATGAGCCTAGAAAGGTTTCGCTGGCGCATTTCTCGTGCACGCCACAAGAGTGACCGATATCTGATTTATCAGTTGCATTGAGCTCGCACTCAATTCTTCGCCCAACCCCGTTTTTATCAATGCCTATTATGGGCATACCTGCGTCTCTCAACCCTAAACGCTATTTCGCCAAACCGTCCCACTCGCACTGATTTCGCTTTCACACGTTTTTTTTCGCGGTTGTGTGTATTGCTTACCTCCTCCTTCTCCTCCTCCTCTTCCTCCTCCCTTCCTCGCCCTCCCCTTCACGAGAAATTGTCGAAATGCTGCAAATATCTACAGGCGATGGCATCGTCTTCGTCGTCGCCGACCAGCAGCAGTACAACTACCACAGCAACATTGAGCTACGATGAGAAAGAGGCGTTGATGAACGAAGAGCGTCGATTCAAATCGCCTGATCCGGCGCCACCGATCGACGCCGAACTCGATGCCAATAGTTTGCCGTCGATGCTTGAAGAAGATCCCAATGGTTCGTTTCAACATTTTCAAATCCATTCGTTGCAAACATATCATTTCTTCTTTTTTTTTCACTTGAAGATATTAGGGTTAGCTATTTTCAGGTAATGTTTCGTCATGCGATTTGGGATTCCAGGCGCCAAGATGGGGTCCGCAGCATGCGGGTGCCAAAAAATTGGCATCGATGTACAGCAAAGGTGCGTTTAATAGGCTCTATTCAATAAGTTACTCTCATTTCTTATGATCGTATATGTTTTACCTCAAGGTCCAACTATAGTGTAGTAAGCAATTGGATCCAACTATTTTGATATTAGGGCCCATAATGTTTTCTCATTGTAGTTTATGGGTCTTCTCATTTGGATTAAATCAAACTACACTCTTGTTGGAAGTTTGCCAGCTTGCCGAAATTTCGTCAAGCATCGCTAAAAACGATATTGCAACACACGAGAAAAATTTCCCAACGAAAATTCAATGTTCGTAAAAAAAATTTCGAAAAAGCAAAACAACAGAAAAGAACTTTTGAGGGAACAACGTTTATTTTTGAGAAAATAAAATCAGGCACGAGAAATGCGCCAAGAAATGTTTGATGGAACGCACGTGGAAAGCGCCAACCAATAATTTACTTTTTAAATTATTGCTGGAGATAATAACAATATTTGCGAGTATCTCAAATTTTCGCTGTTTTTTTCATTGTATTAACACAAATTTATCACCAACATCATCTTCATCATTCTAAAATGTTTTTTCTTTCCTTGAGAAGTGGCAGTTGTTCTATGAAATTTATTAACAATTGTCACATGTTCAACGCGTTTCAAATGGTCCGATTGAGCATTTCGCACGTTTGACGGTTTATTTTTAGCGATGCGGGAAAATTTATGGTCGGGTTCATTGTGTTTGATGAGCAATCGGTTGATTTCCAAGAAATTGAGAAATGGTTTCCGGCCCCCATAAAAGGTGTTGCAATGCCAATCAGCAGTGTTATCAGATTACGATTTCAAAGTTCATCAAACACCCGGTCCAAATGGGGTGAGAAGCTGCGAAATATCACGAATTTAGTTTGCTGACGCGTTTTGAGTGTTAATATGATTGAATGTAATGCGCAAGGAATTGAAATGTTTTGTGACTCATTATTAAACAAAGAATAAAAAAACTTTAATTTAAAATGGTTTTTTTCTTTTTAGAAAAAAGACGACAGGAAATTGCTTCAACGATCATTGGAATCACTCTTTTCGCCGTCGTCTTCGTCAATTTGCTATGGAGTTGGGATTCGTCGATCTGGAGTATGTCGGCAAGAAACCATTTCATATTTTGCGCACAATTTTCAGAATCCGTTCTCTTCTATGCACTTCTTGGAGTGATGACTGCTGATTTCGCGTCGGGTTTGGTGCATTGGGGTGCAGACACATTTGGTAGTGTCGAGACGTGGTTCGGACGGGTTTGTCATGCACCTTTAAGATAATTTCATAATGATTTTTTATAGTGCTTTATTCGTCCATTCCGCGAGCATCATGTCGACCCAACTGCCATCACGAGGCACGATTTTATCGAGGTTTGCCGTTCCAAAATTAATCAAAACATTCATTGACGCGTTTCAGGTGAACGGCGACAACTTCCTCTTGTGTATAGGTCCGCTATTCTGGATTTCGTATCAACAATTTACTTATGACAACGAGGAACTCACTCGGTGGGCTTCGTTTCATTGGTACGTGCTGCTGCTCGGAATATATGTGGCACTGACGAATCAGGTAACCCGTTGGCGCATTTCTCGTGTAGAGATTTCAATTTCAAGATTCACAAATGGTCGCATACCTATTTTGGACTTTCAAAGTTCGTTGTTTTCTTACAAAAAGCACATATCATATTGCCGCGTAGTCATCACAAGGTACAGTAATCCTCCGAAAGACTACAGTAGTACTTTTTGAAATGTAGGTTCACCATATCTCGCCGCACGCGTGTTACTACTGTATTACGACTGGTTGGCTCAATTATCCGCTTGAAATGATTGGTTGGTGAAATGAGACAACTGGCAATTAAACTCGCAGTTTTCAGGTTTCTGGAGAAAAATGGAATGGCTGGTAACGAAATTGACCGGAATGCAGCCACGTGAGGACGACCTCAAATGGGCGACAAAATTGAATTGAATGAAATTCAACAATTAGTCTTTAGACGCTCAGGCAAATGAAAAAAAATATTTTGAGACAATTCTAAAATCTTATGAGGTTCGTTGAGAGGCTAACGTGTCTCTATAATATTTTAGATTTGTCTCAATAAACTTTAGGAAATCTCATAAGATTTTAGAATTTATCAATAAGTTTCAATGAATATTGTGAGACTTTAAAGTTTATCAATAAGTTTTAGATTTGTCTCAATAAACTTTAAAGTTTATCAATAAGTTTTAGATTTGTCTCAATAAACTTTAAAGTTTATCAATAAGTTTTAGATTTGTCTCAATAAACTTTAGAATATATCAATAAATTTTAGATTGTTCTCAATAAACTCTGTCCAATATTATGTAATATCATACGTTATCGAGCAATTTTCACACAAATAGAATGTAATAACATCCATAATAATTGAATATGTATGAACATTTCATTTATTACAATATTAATGCGAAATGAATATATTAATAATAAAAATCAGAAAATAAATAAATGAATCAATTTATCCTTTTCGCATATTCTCCTTTTTCTGCGAATGACGCACAACGTTGCTATAAGGAATTCGTTGCATATATTGAAAGAAAATGTTGAACTTACAAATTTTGATGATTGAATTTGTCGTTTTTCGATTAATTTCATGAGTTCTTTGCGATAAAATGACTTCTTAATTAAATCCGGATTCGCGTTGAAACGCATTTTCAATGAAGTCACAATCTCGTGATATAGTTTATAACTGAAAATTGCCAGTTTTAAAAAATAACTGAATGAGTCTAACTTTCTCAAAATACTATATCCAATCCCGTTTGTCTGTTCCGAGCACATGTTTCTCTTGATAACGTGATAAATGTGCTCATGCGCTTGCGTGCTTATTGCCGACAGCTGACCATGACATTACTGTACAAATGGTATATAAGTTGCTGAAACAATAAATACAGTAATCATTAGTATTATTTCTTATATCAACGACAATAGCATGATGCTACAACGTTCAATAACTCTTAAAATTGCAAAAAAAACGACTTACGTGCACTTTTGAACCAGAAAACAATCGAGGCGCCCCATCTCAAATTAGAATTTCTAATAATTTGCAAATACCTGCGATCTGAAATAAAAATTTTCTATTATGTACATAGCTAACGATCCCATATTACTTTGTTTGGTAATGTTGTATTTGTAACTAAGCGAGTCGGTGACACCATCCATCGGTAGCAGGCATGTATAAGCAACACAACAGCTGAACCTAACGGAGGGATGGTTCCGATCATGGCGTTAGAAACAATTTTCACTTCAAAAATCTTCAAAGGATGATAATTGCAAGTGGTAAATTAACTTACACTAGCTTTTTCGGACCTATTAATGTCATTGAATTTTCCTGATAGCGACTTTACCGAAGATGGCAGTCTCGCTTTCACATCAATAGCTTCGCATCGAAAAATATTTATTTCGTTTTTAACGAAGACTTCTAAAAGACAATCTTCAATTTTTAAATGCTGAAAAAGGAGAGACATAATTGAAGTACCTTTTATTATACGTGTTCCCTCGTGAAAAAGGTGGAAAATATCCATGGCCGTGATCCACATGGGCACCTGCTCATTGAATTTGCTGTATTTACCTCGTTCCTTAAATCTATCGGCCAATGTTTCTGGAATATTTGTTCCACACTTTTCCCGATCTTCTAAAATATCGAAATCATTAGAAACTGAAGTATAATTGTAATTAATTGTAATAATTGTGCGTATTTTTAAAATTCATGAACCTGTTCATGCAATGACATGTTTAGACACAACTGTTTCAAATTCAGCATGTAAAACAATGCAGATTTAAGGTAGTGTTAAACATTTATTATAAAAACTTGCATTTCATGAATACGTCCATCACTAAAGTGAAGAAACTATTACCAAAAGCTAAAAAAAACGGAAGGAACATCAAAAACATAAATTATTTATTGGAATTTGGGAGATCTTAAAAAGAGACGCCGCAAATTGCATCAGTGGAAGTCATAAGGGCCCTATTCAAATTTTAAAGTCTCACAATATATTGAGATACTTTACACTTTCTCAAAAGATTTAACATTCTCAAAAGATTTAATTTACAAATTCCAAATTTTTAAAATTTATTGATTCTCAATAAGTTTTAGAAAGTATCAATAGACTTTAGAATTTCTCAAAATATTTTAGAGTTTATCACTGAATATTTGATTCTCAAAATATTTTATTTGATTTGCCTGAGTATTCATCTTTTTTTTTTAAATATTAGCTTAATATTAGTTTTTCTTTTCACTTCGTTTTTTTCCAATCTTGCTTCATTCTCTTTTTCTGTAACATCTTCTTCTTGTTCCACTTTTTAAAATCATTTTCTTTTCTTTTTTTTCGATTGTGATATTTGTGAGATAAATTCTACTTTCAAATTAAAAAAAAAAACGAAATTTATTTGTTGCCTTGAAATCAGTGTTTTGTGGAATGCATTGTACAATAATACTGATAAGAAAAACTGAATGAGGTCTCGAATCGGATCGATCGGATCACGGTTGAGTGTAGACGGTGTCGATTGCTGGCGCTTTCGCGTCTTGGAATAACGATTTGAGCTGGCTGACGCTCCAATTGATTTCGAGTGGATCCATGCCGACGCTGTCGAAGCGACGGGCGGTTTTAACCATCGCGGGTCGCGAACTACAACAATGAGCATTGACGTGTTTACAGTGCTGACGTGCTTCTCGTGCAAGTGATATCTTCGTTGGCGCGTTTCAGGTGCATTCGGAAATCGTGCGCACTCACCCGTAGATGTCCTTGCCTACGCTTGTCGAAACTCCTCTTTGTGATGACGATCTCTGCAAATCGGATTTTCGCATTCCGTTCCGCTTTTCGCCGACGTCGTCGCACGGCGCGAATGCGACACTTCGCGGCATCACGGGACTGTTCGTCAAACTGCGCACGTCGTGCCGGAATTTGTATGTGCTCACTGGCTCCGGCGGCACATACGAAGGCTTCGCCGCCAATTTTGGCCTAAAAATAAACGCTCATTTAAAATTAATATTTTTGTTTCGTCGAGATTTCTCACTTTGTCATTTCGGAGCTCAATGAATTCTGACGAAGAGCAGCCAATCGGTCGTTTATTGTCTTTAGCGAGGTGTCTTGAGAAAATGGCGCTACCTAAAACGAGCACAATTAGTGATCGTAAATATATATATATATTTTTTTTTTAAAGATTTTCACCTGCACAGTTGGTTTCTCATCGAATTTGTAGGCCATTGGCCTATAGTCATTGGCAAATTCGTCCATTTTTTGCACATATCCCCTTGGAGTTGGGTCTGCAGGCACCGGAGGACTGACATTGCAAAATTTCGGCGTCGCCTGCTGCAAAAATTGAAAATGAGGGTCTGTGGCTGAGAGAGCGAGAGAGCATGCGTTTGTGCAGAGACGCAGATCAGCGGACATTATACTCTTATATGTTGTTTGTCTCTTGGCCCGATGTGTCATTCTGGCCGAGTGGTCTAAGGCGCTGCGTTCAGGTCGCAGTCCTCTCCGGAGGGCGCAGGTTCGAACCCTGCGGATGACAAATACTTTTTTACCTCTTGAAGCATGCTTCGAAATGCTGGGAAACGAATGTCGGTTGCAGCAATTTCTGGAAGTCCACAGTCTGCCGTCTGGGTGGCCTCTTCCCGAGATTCTTTCCTAATGTGCTGTTCTGCAGTTGGCGTCGGTGTGGGAGCATCGCTTGGCTCCCTACTATGGCAGAAGGTCTCGGCGGAATTCTTGCGAGCAACTTCCTCAAGCGAAGATTTTCTTGAAGGCCTGTGAAATTTCATTGCTTCAAAGTCCAATTTCGCCGATCCTTCTTTGGTGCGATGTTGAGCTTCAGTTCGTTGGAAGTGGATTCTTTTGAGGCAAGGTGATCTCGGTGTGTCCGTCGATTTGGGATGCTCATCACTCGATGATCTCAAAGTCTCCGAAACGAACGAAGTCCTCGAAAAGGATGGCCGACTACGGTAGGTGTCCTTGTCATCGTCGTCCTCAGAATCGCTCGACGAAAACACAAGACGATCGGTTTGCGGCTCACTGAGCTCGGAGATGGTCTCGAGGTGCGACGAGGGCCCTCGTGGTTCATCGGGAAGATCCGATTCGGCAAGGCTTGATTGAGAAGTGGCATCATCGGCATCTGCAAACCACTCAGAATTGCGAAATGTGGGCGTGGCTTACCATTAAGCTCTTCAATTATCGGGGTCCGTTGCGAAGATCCGTCATCGGAATGCGACGAGCTCGGCACCGGACTGCACACGACATTCGCATTGTGATCGGTGCCATTGTTCATGATTGCGAACACGTTGTCGGTGCTGAATCCAGGCACGACTTGGGCAGCGCGTGTGATGAGGAATTCGACAAGCGGCGGCACCTTCTTGCCGCCTTCCATCGGATCGGGACTCTCGAGGAAGCTCGGCGCGAGACACACGCTGAGCGACGAAGCCGTCATTTTCGACGACGGCGTGTTCGAGATCTTGTTGAGCAGTTTGAGCACGTTGGCGAGCAGAATCGAGTGCGAAGTGGGCAGATGCGAGAGAAGGCCGCGACACGAAGAAATCTGGAAAACGAAAACAATTTTGCTGGCGCGTTTGCGGTGCAATCCAACTTTCTTCTCGTCGTCCGTCTCATCGGCAACCTGCATCCAAAGCTCATAATTTCCGGACAACAAAATTTTTCCGGGAATACTTCGAAGGTACTCCTATAATTATATTCAATTACCGTAATTCTGCACTCATTTTTTTTTAATTGCCTTGAGAATCGACGCCAACACATGAGTATTATAATTGTGGAAATCGGGCACGACGCCCTTGTCGAGTTCCGATTTCAATTCTTTGAATGTGCTCTGTTTGGGCGACTTGCGAAAAATGCCTTCGGCTTCGAATCCGTCCATTCGCAGATGATCAACGATTGTCATTATCGGCTGCGGAGGGGTCGGACCGGATAATTCTTTGCCGAATATCGAACGACAATCGGTGCGAGCAAGAACTTTTCTTCTAAATTTTGCAATTTTTCGATTTTTTGGCCTTCTTATGACAATTTTGAGACTGCTCAAACTCACTTGATACTATTCACAATCTGCCTCGGCGATGGTCCCGATGTGCTTTTGATCGTCGAGAGAACAAGCCGGCAGTTGGCGATTGGGCATGTGTCGAGCGCCTGCTTCTGACTCTCCGACAGTCGGATTCCTTGCCGCTCGATCTCGCACATCATGGCCACATACACATTCTCCGGACCTTGCAACGATCTGGTCGAATTCTCGCCTGAATACGGACGTTCATCTGGGCATCAGAACGAGTCTGCGACGATGCTTACCAACGGCGAGTGTCAATTGATAAGAAGTATGAGGAAGGCCCAAATCGGCGGCAGTTTCGACGACAATTTCTCCAGATTTCTTTCCATTATCAACCCTTCGACGAATTGTCTCAAAACACCCAAATTTTGGCAATTCAATTATGCCGCCGATTGCTCACCTGTTTCCTGCCACGAACATTGATATCCATCGATATCGTGGTGTATAATGGGCGGAGACATTGTTGGACGCAACATGAGAGAAGCTCGAACCATTCGTCTTTCTCTTCGCTGTTTCTGCAAATCCGGATTTTCAGTGTCAAGGAAGCATTCGATCACCTGAAATGGACAAGATAGTTGGTGAACGGCCATCCGATGAGGAATGAGTCTGCCGTGTTGCTCGACGCGATCCAAACGCGATCCAGTCGAAGTTTTTCTTTCAGCTTGTACGAGCAGGCGCCCCTAAATTCGATAGTTGTCGATTTGGAATCCGACGAGTTCGACCAACTTTTGTTTGGAAATGATGAGCGTTTCGTGGTAGAGGAAGAAATAACGATGATGAGAGAGGAGAGTCGAGAGCGACGTCAACTGCACCGAACCCTCTTTGATCGGCTTCTTGCCGTTGGTGAAGCTCGGCAGTCCGCCGCCGCCGCCGCTGCCGACGACGTCGACAGCCGTCGGCGATGTGTCGACGTTGAGGCTCGTTGACGACGAATTGCTGCTCAGCATCTCATGTGGAGTAACTGCAACTGATACTGTCTCATTTTTGTGTTTGTTGTCACTATATGTCGTCGTCGTATGCAAATAGGCGAATAAGGTGCGGTCGGTGCGAGAAATGCGTCAAGGTCGCCGCGAATCGCCAACAAAACCCTTCTCAGCCGCTCAATTATGGGATTCGATGGCCGGATTAGGCACTTCACAAAGCTTCTTTTTATTTTTTAATATTTTGATTTCGGAAGTGAAATTTTCAATCAATAAAAACTTCTAGAAAATTGGTGAAAAATGAGAGAAATTGGTTTTAATTATTAGACATATTTCAGAAGTTTCAAGCAATTTTTGATTGATTTCGAGAAACTTGGAATGTTTTCGAAATTTGCGAACATTTTCAATAATTGAAAATGAAAAAAAATTAATTGGATTGAAAATTTCGAGTTTTATTTTTGAAAATTAAAAATGGGAATTCGAAGAGCGCGCAGCTCATAAATAAACGGAATAACCGGCACACATTCATGTGTATACATGTTTAGTAATAATGAAACGGAGAGAAAAAGGAAGTATCAAATGACAGTGACAAAGCCAGAATAGTATCAAAATGTGTCCAGAAAAGTGTTCGGAATAATGGCCGGCGAGTGGCCGCAGGAGACAGAGGCCCCCCCCCCACCTTCGCGTAATAGTATATACGTGAATGTGTGTGATGTGTTGCGCAAGGAAAGTGAAATGGTTTGGGTTTCTTGGCGATTCGCGCCGCACTACGGTTTGATTCGTATATCGTCGGCTTTCGATTATGATTTTGACACACGATCTTGAGACATTTTGTTGTTGTTGTTGTTGTTCGCCGTTCGAACGACGGTTTGGTGAATTCAGGTCGGCAAGCCTTGATTATCAAATGATAAGCGATTTTGATTCGATTCAGGTCAAAACGTTTTCAATTTTGGGTTCAATTCGCGCACGTTCACGCTTCATTTGAAATCAATTCGACGAGATGCAGCCAATGAATCGAATACTGACACAAATATGGAGCAACTAATGAGCGACTCGTGAGAGAAGCTTAAAAACAGTTCAATCATGCTGCTAATAAGTACTATTGTCGGAATCAACAGACTGATCGGTGGTCGGAAATGCAATTTCGCGAAATCGGTGCAGAATTTCGTATGCGTAAATTTATAGACGTATTCAACGACATGCAAAATAGTCGAAATAGCTGACAATTTAGATCCATTAATGTCAAATGAATATTAAATGCGCGTACGCTAAAATGCAAAGTACGCAAACACGCAAACTTCTTTTTGTCACGAGAGTCAATAATTTTAAATATTTCGATCATTCGTTTCATTAAAAAATTGAAATGTGATTTAAAATTGATTTAGATCTTGGAGGAGATTTAAGCTTTCCATTGGTTTTAGGATAGAGATCTTAAATTGCTCTGAAAATTTTTCAACTATTTCCAAGTTGAAAAAAAAACTTAAAAAACAAAGTTCCAGTGAAAATTTGCCGCCATTTTGAAAAATGAATTCATTTTAGAAACAAGCAATTATAAGAAGTCAGAATCGGATAGTTTGGCGACGAAGTTAGTGGTAAAATGATAAAGCAACAAAATTCGGTTATTAAAAGCAAACGAAGATGAAGCCGAAAAATCGAAAACAAAATGCGTCGGCGACAAGCGCTAACGGCTTAAAAATTGAAAGTTTCCGCGTTGTTGTTCGGCCCTTTCGAACGAGGTCAAAATTGAGGGAGATAAACGGTCAAGAGGTGTTGCAAATTCGATTCCCAAGTGAATGCTGACTAATTCGAAAAATGAGTGCTGAATTGACCAGTTGATGTTTCCTTTAAATGATGAAAAAAAAAAAAACAATTTGGCAGACTGCCTTCTCAAAACGAGAATCGGCGGTTTAACCTCGAAATAGTGCATATAATCGGGTGTTCGCATCCGCAAAAACCGTTTTTGGACAGCCGCCGATCGTCGGACATCGAAATTTGTATGATTATGAGGTCGATTATTCGTTTTTTTTTCTCTTTTAAAATGGCCAATTTGTTGGCGCATTTATAGTGCATAATTACAGTAACGGAGAAAGTTGAATAGCTTTAATGGGATTTGTGGAATCTGTTTTCGAATAGATTTTATGTGTCTCAACGAATTAGAAGTGAAAATATCTGTTTTTAAAAAATCGACAATAAATTGTAAAATAAGAAAATATTTTTTTTAATTGAAAAATCACCAAAATAAAAGTTGACGCAATTTCAGTGCAAAATGTGAAAACTAGAAATGCTTTTTCGGCATAGCGAAACTTGGATTGGTTGTTGTGAGGTTAAACGTATGCAAACATACACCCAAATCGTACAGGTCATGTCAAGAATCGTAAATTTTATGGTTTTTATGAAAGATGAAAAGAGGCAAAAGTGGAGAGCCAACAACAACTATTATTGAATCGATTTCTCGATCCGCAATTCACCGCCCGTTTTTGGGCAATTTTTGGGGGTGGTATCGAGGTGGTGTTCCGGTCAAACAGCAACCGAAAAGCGGTGTGCCGGCAATGAATTGGCGCGGTCTCGCGCAACGGCGACGAGAGACACTTGGAGTCGCGCTGCGCGTCACCGTCTACCGCGCTATTCCGTCGCGAATCGTCTCTCGACCGGCCAAACGCACGCGCCAATTGCTTATGGAATTGGCCTGCTAGCCGGTCGCTCGCAACTCTGTTGCCAGCCGAGCACAACAGCGGCCAACGCAGGCAGACAGCGAGCGAATGGGCTCAGTTCGCACTCAAGCTTCGCAATCACCTCCATCCAAGAGTTTTACCATAATTGCAACGAGCGATTTCTCGAGTGCACTCCAAACGCGCCAGCAAACAAATACTCTTTTGTAGTCAGTCAGTTATTGAATCATCTGGTTTCTCGGCGCGCGAATCGCGTTTTTTATTTCGAGATTCCCCCACAACAGCGATTACATTTGATTTGCATACTATGCGCAAAATAAGCACTTTAACAACACCCACAGAAAATGCGCCAACAAATGTAGATCACAAAATTGTACGAATGATGCGTCATACACGAGAAATGCGTCAGACAAAAACGAAAATTCGAAGAAGAATAATTCAATGGAATACGCAAATGTTGGCCATTAGGCCATTTCGTTTCTTCTTGGAAACTACCATCAACCGATTGTCGTCGAACAAAAGCTTTTTACAGCAAAACAGCAACAACAACATGAAGAATAACATGGAAGGAGAGACGCCCGCGGCGTCGAATTTCATGAAACAGCCCTATTAACTATAAATGGCATGATTGTTTCGTAATTCAATCAAAACCGGGCCTTCCCGAACACCAAAACGACCGGATTGAGGCCATCCATGTGAGGCTGACTAACAATAACACAAGATTGGATTAACCCGAAATTGTAAAAATACTGTAAAACTGTTCAATCGGGAAACAATGACAAAAAAAAATACAGGAAAGAAAAAAGTGGTGGGTGGGTGGCCGAATTAATTAATAAACGTATGGGGTGTTCTCGTTATCCGAATCCGCCATCTCGTCATCATTGTTGTCTGGTGCGAGTTGGCGGCGTTCTGCGATTCGCGTCTCCTCAGCTTCGCGTTGCGACTTTGCCCTGAACATTGAAAAACCAATAAATTAAACGTCGACGGTATTTACGACTCACAATCGGACTTTACGTAATATCAATTCGGACTGGTTGCGCGATTCAAAATCAAGAAGTCGCTTCTTCTCCAGGTTCTTCTCGTTGTTATCAAGAGCATTGAGCATCATTTTCTAAAAAGAATCTCTGGTGGCATAAGTCTTCACACCATTATATATTCTCATAACCACAAAAAAAAGTCCCCCATTTGACCCACAGCAACGAAGATGGAGACTTTTTCTTGGTTGTGAGGAGTTATTCTAGATCGGAACGTATAATTCCAATGAATTGAGGAGCCCTTTTTCAATAACAAGCAAGACAGGGTCCAACACCAAATTAATTGCAAGTCTACGGGACAATTTCATTACAAGCCTCCGCAATTTTCAAAATGAGCGATTGAGTAAACCTCACCTACGCATTATGTGGGGGTGATCTGCATATTGCACAACTAATGCTAAATTCGGAAACTTAATAATCCTATCGCCACATTAAAATCAAATAATTTGTCTTCTCGTCAAATGCTAACGATGGCGGCGCGTCAAATGTCGTCCTTCACGGATAATTCCCCCCCCCCCCGTTGCGAGCTTATCAACGATTTAGCCAAATTTCCAAAAAATTGTATAATTGAATCAATCTACAATCGACGGGTCTTACAGAACTATCTTTACAAGGTTTGATATAATTATTTTTCATAAAGTAATTAAAATTCCAAAAGCACTTATCGAATGGTTGCAATTTCCACATATTTTTTTTGGGCGACTTACAAAGTGACACTCGCGCGCATCTCCAATGAAGAACAACTCATTTTCGACGTTCGTCCATTTCCCTTTCGTCTCCATTTGCGCATGCACCGCATTTTCTTCGTGGAACGCCAATATCTTTACATCAATGTGCGGCACGTAGACACCCCTACAAAACAAACCATACACAACCAACACGATTGCAATACCTTTGCTTGAACGCTCGACCTGCGTCACTTCGACATTTCGCACATTTGAGTGTGCAAAGTGGCTGCAGATTCTCATCGATATATTTCGACGATCTTCTCGGTTCAAGTTCGAATTTATCCCAAATATCCGGATCGATAACAATATAGTTCGAGAAAATCTTCTTAATGCTCGTACTTTTACAAAATTCGAGACTACACTTAGAGCATGCCACAGTGTAGAGCTTATTCTGAAGCTCGCGCTCTTTGTTCTCCTTCTCACGGAGCTCCTGCTCACGTAGTCGTTCAAGTCGCTTCCTCTCCTCGGCGACTCGCGCCATCAAATGCTTCTTGCCATTCTTCTGAATCTCCTTGACACATGCCCGCATGTTCTTCTCCGATATCAACGCGTTGTTCTCATTCTCCTTGACTTTGCTGTAAGCGACAAGAAGCACAGATCGCGAGTTTTTGGCACGAGCACGTCCTCGTTGTTGTGTGAGCTGAACGGCAGATCCAGACGAGCAATTGTACTTTATAATAAGATTACAAGCGGCCACATCAAGACCTTCTTCAACAACCGATGTCGCTACAATCGCCTTCAATTTTCCATTGTTGAACATCTCAATGGTTCGCTTCTGTTCGGTTTGCGATTGCGACACCGAACCCTGGTTATTGGTACCTGAACGATAGAAATTGAATTTGAAGAATTGGATCGAATCTCCTACCAAGTACGTATCCAACCGAGTTCGACTTCTCAAACACACCCGATTTGTTGAGGAACATGCAAACATTCTTCGCCGTCGCTCGCTGAGTCACAAAGATAATAACACGCGAATCGGGAATCGCTCGGAATTGTGCAATCAGAGTATTTTTGAGCTCTTTCACAATTTGCGGATCTGCATTGTCTTCGTCGCTATTTTTAAGTGTATCCAATGTCTCGCGGTTTTCTGAAAATTAATTGTTTTAGCAAAAAAAACAACACCAATTCTGGTATATAGATTACTATCGAAATCTCCAGAAAATTGTTGAAAGTTTCCGCTCGATTTGAGCTCTTGGAATTTCTCGTCCATATATTCAAAGGCTACATAAGCTGGCATCACTTCGACAATGGCACGAGCTTCAACAATCACCTCAAAAATTGAAATTTAATGCAAAATCTCGAATTTTGCGACGAAACCCGCAGATATTTGGCATTGATTTGGGCAATATGCTTATCCGGAGTGTGCAGTTTATTCAAATGTTGCACGACAGATTGTAGCCACGCTTCATAATGCGCCACATCGTCCAAATTGAGCATTTTCGCGCGTTTCAGAAAATTGGCCGGCAAAAAATTGCCGCCGCGTCCACGAAATAATCTGTCAAGCTCGGTGAGCAACTTCTCATGCAACATTTTCAGAGATCTCTTGATGTATCCCCGAATTTTGGCTTTCTGGTCAGGCGGCGGCGGACACATGATAATATTATCATCAGGTCTCGACACATGTCGATTCAGCTCGCGAAGCGATTCTTCATTCTGAATCGTGCTCAAGCACGTTGCCTCAAGAATGGCGAGCAGTTTGTAAATCTCTCCAAGCATCTGCTCGTGATCATTTTTGCCGGTAGTCTTGACATTCAGCGACGCGGTGAGACCAATGATTTGTGGTTTTACACCATTATAGGACGAAATGATTTGAGCGATTTCACAATACGGATGATTTCCAGTCGTTTTGTGCACCTCGTCAAAAATCACCATCGAAAAATCACAAACATAAAGTCGTTCGCTTTCCCGAACCGATTGCCACATATTCCTAAAGAAATTTCGAAATTCACTATAGAATTTTACACTTATCAAACATACAAAAGAATTTGCGGTGTCATGATAACGACATGTGATTTGATAACCTCATCCTTTCGTCCTCTTCCGTCGCTGCTCTTCTCAGAACCGTGGAATCCTTCAACATGATACTTGCCGAAACAATATTTGAGGAATCGATCTCTTTGTTGTTCGACAAGAGGAATCTTGGGGACAAGCATAACTACCTGAACCACGTGAATTCGAATATCTTTTAATTATACTAAATTTCATACGCGAGATGGCTGATTTTTGGCTTCTCTCGCTTCGATGTGAGTGAGAGCCGCGTAGATAGCCACTTCTGTCTTTCCGGAACCGGTCGGCGCCACAATCACAACGTTCTCTCCATTCAGCGCCGGAAGTACCAACTCTTCTTGATACGATCGGAGTTTTAGCTCATCGCATTCAATTTCATCATCTAAAAATTGAAAAGCAGTTGGAATAATTGCCGATGTCTCTCACCAATCTCAACATTAGTCTGTGGTTGTGGTCGCATTTCGCGAATTTCTCGTTCATCAACCAACTTGTCTGCTCCTTCCGCGCCGATTCCCTTCGAAAGCAACATCCGCATCCTCTGTCGTTCTTTTTCTTTCTCTTCTGAAACAAAACTGATTAGACGAGAAATAGAAGGAATCAACATACGGAGTGTCTCTTCCCAATTCGGATGCAAAAACCAGAGTCCAGCGCGGTTATGAGAATCATGGCTCATAGCTTCAATCAGATTGAAATACCTAATATGTGATATCTTTAATATTAAATTGGTTAACTAGAATACCAATCTTCTTCGCGATTTTGTTTCTCAAGATCGGTGACATCGACCAAAGGAAGCGTAGCAAACAATAGATTCGTTCTAGAAATGCCGTTAATTGAATGAATTAAAGCAGAATAAAGATACTTGTGTTTATTCCACTTCTCAATTGGCCTCACAATTTCATCTCCTTGTGGGTTAAGTTCGATTATATTGAATGGTCCCTCGTCGAGAACTGAAATTCGTCAATTAATTATGCTATTAGATCCGATATTGCTGGTACCGTCTTGAATAACTTGACTCTCGATTCCGATGTTCGGATCTTTCAAAAAGCAATCAATCGCTTTCATTTCACGCTCATAAAGTTGACTGTTTCGCCAAAAATTGAAGATGAGATTTCCACGCGAAGCGGTCACTACTCTGAAAAAAAGTGAAAACGGGAATTCTTACAAATATGCCAGTTTTCAACCTGTCGAGCTTCTGCGGCATGTATCTATTCTCTGTATCGTAGAATCTCTCAAAAAATATTCTCGCCGACGGCCAATTCGGTGGACATCCTTCCCAATGCAATTGTTTATACAATTGCCGATTATCTAAACATTTGCGAATATTTTTGGTTAAATATGTAAATTATCACATTTCTTAATCAGCTGATCCGCAATTCTGAGACCTTCTTCGCAATAAAATACTTGCGAAAAAAATCGTTCAATATATCGTTTCTAAGGTTTAATTTATAAGTGGAAATCTTAAAAATTGGCACATACCCTCACAATTTTCACTTCATTCTTCATCATTACTTGAATAAGAAATTGACGTTTTCTTTTAGCAAGATTAAACTTTTCTTCATCAAAAATGTCCTCATGAATATATTTTTCCACATTGAGCTGAGGCAATCCCATATCGGGATTTTGAATCTTGATCAGTGATTCGGGATTTCTGATATACGCGATGAAGTTCTTAAGCTCTTTCTCACCTGAAAGTAATTTTGAATGAGAATATCATATCAGGCATTAACTATTTAAATAATGAATATTTGTTTTCGAAGATCAACGGAAACGGAAATCAAAAAAATAAAAAGGAACAAAATTTGTTTCGTTTTTCAAAAAAAAAAAAGGTTTCTGCTTTAAATATTTAAATTTAAGTTGAATGAAAAACAAACTTACCAAAAAGCGGAAGAAATTCACCAAAAGCATCATCCGACGTCCTTCTCACACAAATATCCAAAATTTTCCATCTAAAAGTTCAACAATAATTGTTTTCTTCAAAAAAAAAAAGAACTCAGCCCGACTTGAATAATCTCAGATATGCGGGAAAATGTGGACTATCGAATCGCAATCCGTGCCTACTTTCATCCATTACAAAAAATGCTGAAACCTTAAAAATGAAACTCACAAGAATTAAAAAATCAAGTTTAAATATAGTTTTAAAATGCCTCAGCAAATCGCGCCGTAGAAACGGCGGTGAATAGCGAGTAAAACGGCGGCAGATGATCGGTGAAGAAAACAGACACTTTCGTTCCTCCAACTTTCCACCGCCGTTTCTTCGAAATTGCACGCGTACGCGCGGAGTGTCGTACTGCCTTCGTTTTAGTACTTTCAAACTATTGTCATATTTCACCACGTTTATTGTTTTTTTGAAAGTACTCGCGAAAAACTGGAATAATTTATTACAAAAAAAAATTATTTAGTCATTTGGCTGCAAAAAATTAAATTTGTCCTCCGTGTGATGCCACTTTCTGTGATAACGTTGAAATTGTAGACGAATTCGTAATTCTATAATTCCTCGAAAATTCAATATCACTACTTAACTGTAAAGTCGAATCCGAACTGAAGAAATTCAAGTTTAAGAGATTTACATTAAGAATTTACCTCTTTTCGGTTGTGAAATAACTGTCCGCTATAAACTTTTTCGCCATATCCGCAATCGATACTGAGCGTTGATTAGTCATTAACGATAAGTAGCAGTGCGTTTTTTCAAAACATGCAGTTGAAGTTGTTGAACAATTGCCGTATCTACGAATCAACTCCACACAGTGATCAAAAATCAGCTGGAATTGCTACCATTCTTCTGTTTTAAACAAGTCAATTTTCTTACATGCATTTTAAGCGTATAGAATTCGCTATTTTCATGTCCAATATATCCTTTTATGAAATTCGAAAGTTGTTGGATTGCGTAGAGATGAGCTTCGGTCCTTGCCATATATAGCAAGTTGTTAAATATGAACAAGCAAGCCAAAAACGTGGTTTCCATGATGCGAGGAAACTTAAATGTCATTGATAACGCAGCAAGAGTAAACTGAACTGACTGAAAAATATAATCAAATGTCCCAACTTTAAAATTGCTCACTTTTCTTATCTCTGAACCGGTCGCACGCGAGAATCTTTCTGGGCTAGCAAACCTGCAGGGCGTTTCCGGTGGATCTATGGTATTAATCAGAGAACATGAAAGTGCCTGAACCACCCTAGTCGAAATTTTCAACCGAGGCAAATTTGAACCGCGCCCAAAAATTTGTTCCAATAAATTTTTCAAAAACCCTTCGGAAAGGTAATGAAGTTCATCGAACGGTTGATTTGATGGGCTGGCAAGAATTGACAGAATGTCTAACAATTCATATTTTAGATGTAGGTTTGAAGGGAATTGCTTACTTAATTTTCCGCTAGCTCTCATCATATTCATTACATCATTCGCAGTTCTTGAAGGGTATTGAATGTCGGAAAAAAAGAAACCGCTTGCCGACCCGATTTCGAACCAATGATCGTGCAAAGTGTGCATCCCTGTGTACTTGCCCAATTCGGAAGACCACAGATCTGACACATGCCCTATATCGTAATGTTTCATTATGTACCAAGACAAGCTTGCCTTGAGATCCAAAAATGATACAGCTGGCTCGACCATGACGGAATATTTGACCCCTTCGTATTGTATAAGCAGTGGTGAAGTTCTAAGAAATTCTACTTCGTGCATTAATCTAAAATAAGCATACAATTATATATATAGCCGCGAATTTTTCATTACCTGAATGTGATGGTGATATTCATGCGTTTTGACGATTATTACAAGTTTTTTATTATCTACAGTTTCTTCTTCAATAACATCATTGACGTTTTCAACAGGTAAAAGACGAACTCCATAGCCCCGAATTCGCGCGTCTACAAAATTTTTTTCCTTTATGCTGATCACAGATATACCATTCTCTTCTTTCGTCAATCTACTCCTTTTCATGTTGAAACGAACGTTCTGGAAAAACCATTCTCATCAAATCAAACTTTCAAATTTAAAAAGAATGTAGTATTAATTATATTAAATCTTAAAACCAATAGAAGGTTTTAAAACAATCAATACATTATAATTAATTAATTACAAATTAAAAAATTCATAAAATTAATTTAAATAAATCTTCATTTTGAAATTTAATTAAAACTTTAAATGAAATTTAAATAAAATCGAAAATTAATTTAAATTAATTTTCGTTTTTTTTAGAAGGTTGTACGACACTACTAATATTACACATAGCCCACGGTTTAGCGCGTTTAGTAAACCATCGTTCCACCGCCGTTTCACCGAAACTCGCTATTCACCGCCGTTTCTACGGCGCGATTTGCTGAGTGAGCAATGCATGTAGTGCACTCAAAACAACCAAAATGACGCAAGAATGCAGATTAAAATAATCCGTGAAAAACCGTTGCGAAATCGAGCAAACTCCAATAAAACAAGTGATATCAAACAAACATTTCATTACAGATTCGAAAATGACAAGAAATTCAATTATGAACATTGTGTAAATAATTCGAGTTTACGCGGGATTTTGGTATCTCTTCATTTTTGCTGCCCTTCGTTCTTCTTCGGTCATTTTAGCCCACTGCTCGGAGGGAATGTAAAACTTTTTCTCAAATTTTGGCCGATTTCGACTAAAACTGCGATTTCCATTCTGAAAATTCAAATGTCGGGTCATAATTTTTCGATCAACAAAAAGTTTCTAATTTTAAAACATTTTTGTGTTATCACTAAATATTTTACTTTTAGATTAGAATTATTTCGCAAATTTTGTCATAAATAATTAGGATTATAGGCGTAACGATTACTTTCCCCAATGGGACACTGAAAATTCAAAATTTGCCAATTTTTTTATTGAAAATTAACAATAATATCATGTTTCCTTCTATTTTTTTGATCACAATAAGTTTCCCGAGAATTGCTATATAGCGAAAACTGAAAAAAAAATCAAAAATAAATTTTAAGAGAAATAATAGAAAAAGAAAACGCTGCTCACTTTTTTTGAATAATTCTGCTTATTTCCCGACTCGCTCTAAAATTAATGAAATTTTCAAATTATCTGCAACACTTTTCAATTCTCACATATCGCTTCCAATTTCCACTATTCTTGCGATTTCTACGAGCGAATGGTTGTCTTGGCACAATTATATTTGCGAGTTTTTCAGCAGGCACATTACGCAATTCAGTGATGACTCTTTTCATGGCCGAAATTGCGTTGTCACATTTTGCATGTTTCACTAAAATGTTCTCTAATCTTTATATAATCCCAATAAGGCATAATTATTCTAAAAATCCTATTCACTACTACCTTCTTCCGTCGGTTGTTTATCGTGTTTCTCTTCGGGCTGCTCTTCTATCTCGACGACTTCAGGCTCAGATATTTGCTCACCCTCAATTTTGGGTTTACTATCTTCAGATTCCAATGCTTCTACTTCATCCGGTTTAGAATCAGTCAAATCTTTCAATGTCAGGTAAAAAGAAGCCTCATTTTCTTCCTCATTGGTGGAAATTTCTTTTTTCTTCTGTTCCTTCTCCTCCTCATCTTCGGTCACTTCCTTCTGAGTTTCATCTTCCTCGACAATTTCGCATTCCTGAGAATTTTCCTGCGACTCCGCCTCCTCATTACTAGCAATGTCTTCGGACATCACATACTCGTTTCCATTCGTATAACTTCGCGCCTTATTAATTTCATTGTATAAAACCTAAAATGTTTAGAAAATTAGTTCGTCTTGAAGAAACGTGTCCCCACTGGCTTCAAAGTCTCGCGAACCGTCATTTTTCCAACGAACTCATCCATCGCATTGTAAAGCTCCGCCCGATCGACATTTTCCGGAACAACATCTGAATCAGATCTGTTGCATGTTTAGTCAAAAGAAAATCACAAACGTTTCACAATGTATGCCAAAAAGCTTTTATTCTTCTTCGAAGTATTCTTCTGTCCGACCGCATTAATCGGCCAGGCAGTGAGCACTTCGACAACTCTCGCGTACTTCTTCGCATCCGTCTTTTCCGATTCTTCGGTCTTCTCATCCCAATGATCATTCTTCCATGGATATTGTATGGGATAATCGAGCATATAGCAGAACGACTCGGCGTATGTCAAATTAGCCATAACGAACCACGGATGATTCAGAGCTTTCCATTTCTCCAAGAAATCTTCAATGTCGAGTGTAATTTTGTTGGTATGACAAATATGAAAACACTGTTTCAGAATATATGCTGAAAATTTTTAATAATCAATAAAAAATATAGAAATTTACAAATAAAATCATATTTTTCCGTTTGAAATTTCTCATCAGGAATGGTATATTTTTGAAGAGCAAGAAGAGCCAAATCGCGGATTAGATCTACAAATGTGCTTGCCTCAGGAAATGTCATAAACGATCAAAATAAAAACGAACCTTTTGAAGTGATGGCATTTGCCACCCACTCTTTCGATAGAATCTGAAGACCTTTCACCGCGTTCTTTTGCGCTTCTTTTTTCTCCACACATCGTATAAACATTCGCAATACTCGTTCCAAATTAACGACAGTAGGAACGTCGCGAGTTTATGAAACGAATTAAATTAATTGGACACAAAATATTGCGGGGCTTACTTTTCAAAAATGTGCAGAATTTCGGGAAAATGCGTTCTTCTTTTTCAGTGCGAAGAACATGAAGCACTTGAAAGTACATGCTGGTCATGGGAACTTCTCGCGATTCATCACCTTCTGAATACGGCTGGCAGAGTTCCAAATGAGATTTCAAAGAATCCGGCAACAAATGAATTGCCTAATATCGCAAAATTCAACAAATGATTCGCACATTGAAAATACAAACTTGTCTAACAGCTTTGATATCATTTTCAGTGGATTTGTTCAATTTTAGCGAAAGCAATTTGAAAATAATGTGGTTAACCTCAACAGTTATATGTTTCATGTACAAGTACATAAGAACAAATGAGAGGTCGAATGGATCAATTTCGCTCTGAATTATTCAAGTTAGCATTATAATTAATTACAGCAAAATTCTCACATTTTCATTCGGCTTCTCAACGCCAAGAATCGGATAAAACATCTTAAAGTATTTGCATCGGTTTTCAACAAGCGGCTCGACTTCAAATTTGACGGCTTCGCATCCGAGCATCGACGACATCGTGAACTTCCGCGCGTCTTTGTGCAACGTGAATATCTCATTTCGCTCTTCCGGACTCAAACATTTCAGAATATTTGTAATTGCCTAAAACGTGAGAAAATAACTGAGGTGTTTATTTTTAAATTCAAATAACCCTGGCAGCACTAATTTTAACTCGAATATCAGTTACGGCTTGCATGATATCGAGAACCTCGAAAATTCTGTAATCGTAAATATCTAATGGAATTGCAACTGGATTCGCTTCAACATACTTATCGAATTGTTTTCTTGTGGTGAATAATTCCGGGTAATTGTAAGCAGTTGGTGGGAAATCGCCAAATCCTTTCTCTTTCAAACTCCACTCGAGCATCTGTTCAACGAAACTTCCATGACATTCAGAATCGAGAGCCAAACCTCATCAATATCGCTTTCAGAAACCTCGAATCCATTCGATTTTCGATCACAAAGAGAAGCGAGTTCATCATTAACTCCATTCTGAAATTCACTACTCAGAAAACCACGTTGTTGAAGCAACGGCGAGACGCTGGAGAAAGAATGTTTGAGACATAAAGTGATTATGAGAGACCGAGACATTTCTTTTCATCTATTTTTTGCAGAGTAGATTTCAATGTGTGATGAGATGAAAACTTATTTTATAGTTTCCATGTATCAATCGAAGGTTTTTTTTTAAAGTTGAAATTACTCACCGCGTATAACACTTCCGTGTTAAATTCAAGTAAATTTGGCAAAAGAAGGTCAAATACTTTTCGACAATCCTTATCGATTCCCAATTCATCGATTTTCGGGAATTTGGTTGCGATTTTCTTGCAAATCGCATCGAAAAATTTCAATTCTTTTATTACGTCGATTCCGTTGAAATATTCCTCATTAAGTGTTTTTTGATACATCATTTTGCACATGTATCCACGTTGAAGTCCCGCAACGAAGAAACAAACCTTGACCTCGGCGTAAATGCTCTGAAAACCGTTTTCAATGAGATGAGCTCGTTTTCGGAATAAATTTGTCATCAAGTTGTCCATATTGCACGACAGATGTTCTTTTTTATTGACAATTCTTCCTATTAGTTTTTTTTGCCCATTTGAGTATATTTTAACCAAAAATGGTCTCAATAGATCTAGTAAAATCAATTAATTAATGTCTATTTATCCAATTGAAACATTACTACAATTACGGAAAATATTATTTCTCAGTTTTTTTTAAAGAATTTTTTCTTTTGAAGCAGTCGATTTATCTATTGCAATTGTAAAATTTGGTCTAAGCATACGTATCAATTTACACGATATTGTTAAATGTGAAATTGTCTGTGTGGAGTACACAAACGCAACTCTTCGTCGAAAGCCGTCACCAGATTTTTGTGAATTTGTCGCATTCGCACGACTTCGGCAATGAGTTATTGCAAGCAGAGCGCACAATCAGAGTACAGAATCAAAAATAACTCGTTTATTTTTGATATCATGTCTCTGATTAGGTGCTCATTTTGCGTGCCGAATAATATTATTGGATAAAGTGATACTCAAATGGAACGAGCCTCTTCCAATTTATACGAGACTCAACACCTGCCACAGAATGGGCGTGGTCGAACGTGCGCATCATATTCTATATAAATTCCAACATCTGCCAAAAAGCGTGACAACGGGTTTCAAGCATTTGTAGAACATCTGGAGAAGAATATTACCGTAAAAATGCGACGAAGTTCGTCATCGGTTACAACCAGTGTCGGGTCGTCGAATGGCCAGGCATTGCGCAGGCCTACAGCGATGAGTTTATCGAAGACATTTCGAATTTCCTCGCCGTCGAAGGTATCGCAGAGTTTCACATCTGAAAAATTGAAATGGAATGTAGAAATATATAAGAATACTAACCGCAACCCAACCGATACAACGGGTTGATTCCAGTCAAAAATCCGCCAAACATTTTCTCAAAATATAATGATGCATCACGCTTCTCCATATTTATTATAGACTCCTAGAAATAATATTTGTATCCGTATTGTAATATTGGAAAATTCTTACTTTGATATCAATCGCGACAAACTCATCGGCTTCATTTTTAATGGGCACATAATGTTGTTGTGGTAGTGGTTGAAAATATTGAGGTTGACGTTGCACAGATGGAAAATATTGAAATTGTTGTGGTGATTGGTGTACTGGTGGTAGTGGTGGGGGTGGCGGCGGATATGGTGTGAACGATGATGGAGGATTATATGTGAAAAATACAGACGATGGTGGCGTTCGAAATGATGGCATTTCTAAATTTGGTGGTCCGTCGATTTCAGTTAGAGCGACGTCTTCTGAAACTTCTACTTCCGCTGCTTTCTCCTCTATAACGGGAGAAGCTGGAACATCTCTGAAAAATCAATCGAAATGAGGATTTGTGAATGCAATTGTACTCGGATTTTTCAATCAACTGCAATATCGCCTCTTGTGATCTCGTCAACCTATTCTTGGCCTCAACGACGTCGTTATTTTCTTGTATTACAATATTTTCTTCAACTTCAACTTTTTCTTTGCTGTCATTCTCCTTTATTCTTTCGAGACTCCTTTTTCTCTGAAACTCGCTAGAATTTGTCTTAGTCTTTGAAAAATCTCACTCACTAAATTAATCTTACTATTCTTTCTCTTATTGTTTCTTTTCTGTCGTCTTCCATATTTCGGATTTCCTCTATTCATTTTTTACCTGAATAAATAAATATTTAAATTTACATTTTCAAAGATAATCAGTAAATAACTATTTTTGATAAAATTACACATAAAAGAATAATCAAAGAGAAGAGATTTGATTTTTTTTTCGAAATTCACGGATTTTCGATTTACCGCATCACCAGAAGTTAAATTGATTAATGAGTCTGAATGTTGTTGTTATAGTTTGAAAGCCTCAAATTATTAAAAAGAAAACAATAATAAAGTTGACAGAAGTTTTGAAGAATACGAAAAAATGTGAATAAAAATCTGCAAATTTGCTACAGACGAAAAAAATGATCAAAAAGTGGATGAAAATCGAGTAATCTATTGTCTGAACCATTTTTCATCTACTTTTTTAACCATTTTTATATCATAGTTGCAGTGAAGCGTTTAATGGCTTTTTTGAATTTAAACATTTAATTAATCATCTAAAAGCGAGATTCAGGTAACCTTTTGCCTAAAGGTTCGTTTCATCAATATTTTAATGGTCTTGTAACTATGATTACTGTAGTACTTGTTTTTGCTGTTACTATTTTTTGTTTTTATTTTCCTTCTCCCATCAGGAGATTGGAGGAGTGATTAGTGCACGCCGGTGAAATGTGTGTGATCTTGAGAGTCGGAGACATTTCTTTTCACTGGCGTTTCACAAACTAAACTATCTTTACCCAACTTCTCATTGAATTTCCTGAAGTAAAAAAAAGTGAGACATTTTGCAGAAAAGTGTGCCGGGAGGCGGAGAATTTGCATGCATACTTTTTACATTTTGGCTGGAATTTAAAAATTTGCCAAAAAAATTCAAATAACGCAGATATGTCAGAAGATGACACGACATTTGACGATTTATTCAAGAAATTGAGGCTCAAAAATAAAACATTTGAGATTCTTCACCATTCTCAGCTCAAAATTTTACACACATTTTTCAAGGTTTGTTCTCATTTGTTAGTTGTATGATAATTTTTAAATTTTAGAATCCAAAGAATGTTGATTTGGATCGACTAATTACACAGATAATTAGCAAAAAATTACTAACGAAACTAAAAAGTACGAGTTCAAATTTTTGGAAATTTTATTTCTTTTTTTTTTTGCAGACACAGCAGTTTGGAAATTAATTAAGACATATTGTGAAAAACTAACAACTTCCAAAGTTCACAATTCACTAAAATTTTTGTCGACTAATTATCGAAAAAATGCCGAAACGTTAAAGTTTGTCGAAAAAAAATTTTTTTTTTGAAATGTGATGCTTAGAAGTTGCCGGATGTCGGATTCTGCCGTCAAAAAATTTACATTGAAAGTTTTGATGATTATCAAGCTTGATGACATGATTGGATTTGCAAACTGTGAAGAACTGGCCAACTGGACAAATTGTCTATTCAAAAATAGCACATCGCCCTTGAAAGCGCCAAATTTTCATTATAAATCAGGTTTTTCTTCCGAAATTTAATAATTTTTCGTTTAATTTTAGCACCGATTGCCACGATATTCCGATCAAAACAAATGAGAGAGACATTCAAAGATTTTCGAGAAAAAAGGGGTGTACAACTGGCATTGGTTGACAATTTTCGAGCATTTTCCGCGCTTCTCGTAGTTTGTTCCTTAAAGTTTGAAAAACTGCCCCATTTTTCATATATTAAGTAATTTTTGCAGAAAGTTCACCGAAATTTCTCATGCGCCAACATTTAACCGTAATAAATTATTCGAGGCGGTCATGTGTAAAACGGGATACTGGCGAATATGCCAAAAATCAATGCATGACTTCAAAACGAGCTACAAAATCATAAAACTTGAAAATGTTCTAAATTATGAAGGAATTTTGACGTTCATTAATAATCGAGGTAAATTACGACCGATTATTAAGGCAAAAGAGGTATTGTTTCAATTAATTCACATTTTTTTTCTAAAAAAATATTCCGCGGTTTTCAGTTGGCGAATTTTGATCGAAAAAATGTTTTGGCCGATTTGAATGCGTTTCTCGACTTTTCGATTGAATACAATGAGAATTTCTCAAATATTGAAAGTATATTTTAACAAGTTTTGTATAATATCGGGAAATGGGTTTTTTGCAGCCTTTCAGCTGACTTCTATTAGAAACTACCTAAATTTAGCTGAAAGTCTACGCAAATTCTCCACGATTTTCCTAATTTCTTTTTTTATTTGATGATTTATTATTTCTAGCGATTCGCAATAGTATTCAACAATTGAAGAATTTTGTGATCAGTTGGAATGCGCGGCCAATGAAATTGTTGGCGATGGATCTCGAAAAATTCTTTTCAAAAATTGATTTGAATATCCTTTTGCAAATTATCAAGGAAATCACTCCTCAATTGTAGCTAATTTCTCATAAGTTGGGTCTCGAATGGAATCGATTTTAGCGCGATGTTCAAACGAGTTGCATGGGTTGAAACGAAACAAGGATCACTTCGACGAATGGTCGCAGTTGAGAAAAGCATTGAAAATGTGACATCGAAATTGAATCACCGAATTCAAATCAAAGGAATGACGTTGAAGAATTTCAGAACGACCGAAGTAGGTTTCTGAAATATTTTCAGAAAGAATGTTTATTATGAAAATTCCGCCTCTTTAAGAAATTTTTGCTTTGGAAATTTTTATGTGAAAATATTGAAAATTCCTCTGTTTTATAGGGAAATCTATTACAGAAACTGAGTTCAAGAGCACTAATTCATCAATTCGAGCGTATTTTCTCAAATTTCACCGTTCGAATTCGTCGAAATGTGTTCAAAATAACTCAAGGTGTTCCACAAGGTCATCCTCTCTCGGTTCGACTTGCTCATGTAATATTTTAATGCAGATTTCGTAAAAATCGAAATTATAATTCAGATTTATGCTCAAAAGTTTGAAAACACCGTGTGGGCTCCGTTAAATTATGGAAACGACGTTTTCGTTGCGAGATATATCGACGATTATTTATTTTGCTCAAAAAATGAGAAATTATTAGAAAAAGTTTGATGTCTCGAAGTTCGAAACAAGAATGGATGTTTTTAGATGGTGGAACCGTTGCTAAATCGCAATAATCCTTATAATCTTGTTGCAAATCCAGAAAAAACCCAGGTATCGAAGCATTAAAGGCGCAAACAATTCTGATTTTTAGACAAATGAACATGGAAAACCGATTATTTGGTGCGGTGTGAAAATTGATTCTGAATTCAAGTATTTCAAAGTCCTTCGAAAAGGAAAAAATAATAAAAAATAGTTGGGCTTCTTATTGTTCAATTCCCTCTAAAATTTTTCAATTTCAGTGTTCGACCTATTTCTACACGAACTACTGCCGATAAAGTATTGGAAAGAATTATAAGGTATCCAAATAACGTATTCGTAAAATTTGAATTCAATTCTTTCAGACTTCGTGAACCCATCGTGCTTGACTAATAAACTTTTTTTTTACGAATTTTAGTGTAATTTTGAAATACGTGTTGCAATTCCGCTCCATTGCGATAGTACTTCCTTCATTCTCGAATAACATTTTTTTTTTTCAAAAAATTTTACGAAACTCCTAGAATATGTCGATGCCGGGAGGATCAGCAATGCCGCAGGTAAATTTGATAAATAAAAGGGGAAATTAATCGATAAATTGAAGGCAAATCAAGCGGAAGCGCAGGAACAAGCAAGAAAACAAGCAGAGAATCAAGAAAATGCTAAGAATACCATGCTCTCGCAGGTTGATTTCTATTAGAATTCAATTAGGAATCTGAAATTTACTTTAGTCGTTCTTTGAAGTGTTTCATTTAAAAAACTTTGATAATGTCGATTTTTCAATTCGACTTACAATTTTGAATTTTTTTTTCAGATTCTTGATCAACAAGCTCTCGTCAGACTAAGTAATTTGGCAGCGGCGAAACCAGAAAAGGCTCAAATGGTCGAAGCAGCTCTTATCAATATGGCAAGGTTGCTTTCATTTATTGGTTTTTACTGGGGATTTTCATGTCACCAATTTTCAGACGTGGTCAAATCGCAGGAAAAATGAATGATGAGAGTTTGAAGCAATTCATGGAGCGCGTTGCTCAACAAACTCAACGAAGCACCACCGTCAAATTCGACCGACGCCGCAATAATTTGGACTCTGATGATGAGGATTATTGAAATTCTTGTGCCTTACAAATCCAGTTCTTTCACATAAATTTCAACTAAAAGTCTAATGTAGAATGAAAAGCTTTTATCTGAACAGTTCGCTGAAAATTTTTTTATTTTGCGAAAATAAGAATCTTCAACATTATTGCAACCTTTTATTAAGAATATGTTGTGTTTTTAAATTATATGCTGCCAACGCCGTTGGTGTGGAATCAACCGAATCTGGAAATTTGGGATGAATGGAATGAATTGATTCGAAACGCTTAACCTTGGTTTTTGAATTCCGTCGATTTGACGCAAGAATCCGGACATGTCCTCGAATCCGTCAAGCGCGCCACGGCGTTCCTTAACAGGAAGGAAGCGGCTGAAACGAGTCTAGAATTGCGAGCACGTGTCTCGATTCGCACCTTCTAGCGTAATCATATTCGCTGCGTGATGGGAAATCGACAAGTGGAATGAGACGATCCGGCGAGAACGCGTCGCACACGGCGATGATGAGCACAAGAGCGGCAACGATCGAGCACATGGACTTCATTTTGTGTGTGGTGGTGGTGGTGGTGGTGGGACCCTTCAAATAATCGCCGGATTTCCTAACGTCACTGAGAAAATAATTTGGAGTGCGACACAATCACGCGTTTCCGGTGTGTCTAACAATATTCGAAATTTATCTGTAAAAATTTCGGACGGGACCACTTCGAATCGGGACCCGAATAGCTCTATTTTTGCATTTTTAATTTTCGTTTTGATATCTACATTTATTTAATTTTATAGGCTTGTGAATTGAACTTTTTGTGAAGAACAAGGAATTGTTTAGAAAATTCAATTTCGATGCGATTCAAAAGCCGAATAATGTCCGCAGATGCTCACTACTATGTGGATATTATTATTGGGAAATAAAAGAAACAACAAGGCTGTAGAACTTTGAAGCTAAGAAATTGACGAATGACGGGCCTTAATCGTTTTTGAAGGTCCCAAATATGGAGAGGAAACCATTAAGTGGGCGGGACCCAATCATTTTTCAATCAAACGCAAAAATTTGTGACATTCGGATGAGTGACACAATGATTAGTTTTTCGTATAGACGTTTTTATATACATGGCCAACAAAAATGCAACAATTTTCTTCTATATGATGATGACGATGACGGCTTCTCAATTCACTTTTTTGCTGTTATTGTTGAGATCGGCGGAGCGGTAGAAGCCAATATAATGCAAAAACTGAAAAAGAAAAATACATTTCGATAAAACTGGGGAAAAAAAAAAGAAAAAGAGAATATGGATTACCGCATCAGCATACTGCCATAATTGGTAATTTCCATAGAATTGCTGAGAAGCCCGTGGTTTCCGTTTCAGTCGAGCATATGGTCCCATTGATGGATCGAATACGAAATCGGTGAGAATCTGAAATTGTGTTATTTCTCTACTGAATTAAACAACAAACGAAGCAACCTTAGTCATTGATTGATGCTGATAAAGATTTTCATAAAATTCCGGTGCAATTTGGCGCACTTTTGGCAAATCTCGTCCCGGAATATACGGGAAATCATGATGTTCGACATGATATCCAACATTGAATGTGCAATAATTCCAAAGTCCATAATAACTGAACGTCTCTTGATCCTCCTTGAATGCGTAATGTTCGGCGATAAAATGCCCGGCGCTTGGATGAAGCCCCATACTCAAAAGGGTGCCGATGAACAAATAGAGCAGTGATTTGATGCCGAAGAAATAATAAATTGCGAAATCGAATGAAAATTGAACAATCGCGTTGAGAATCTCCATATCGGTTGGTGCTTTTTTGTAGATGATCAATGGACGAAAAGCATAAAAGAATGGCTGGAAAGCGAGCCACAAGAATTTGCGGAATGTGCTTGTGAATAGTTTTGCTTCTAATTCGGTTGGAACGTCAGTATCAAGACCATCTTCACCTGAAAATATATTCATTTTTTAAACTTCAATTTCAATTTAAAAATTGAGTCGAATTCAACCAATTTGTTTCGAATACTGCCAATTTCGGCTCCAAAATTGACCAGTTTGGCTTCGAAATTCGTCCTAATCGATTGCTCTTTGTAATTCAATTAGAATGTGTTCGTATTCGTTTCGAATCAGGGCGTCATCGCTAGTGAAATGTCAAATTCTTCGTATTTTCGATCACATCCGAATCGAACAACAATCGAATTACAAAAAGCAATCGAATACGTAGAATTGTGAGCTTAAATGGTTAATTTCGGAGACGATTTTTGCGATTCAAAACGAATTACCGGGGGTATTGTTGAGAAATGACAAATGTATCTAGGTGTCGTGGGATCCTGCGTTTTGTACGCAATGCTAAGAGACAGTTACCGTAATCCTCGCAGCGATTTACGGAGATTTTTTAAAAATTTTCTTTCAATTTTTTTTGCTGAATTTTCTAACTTTCTTTAGAAATCTTATATTTAAAACCTGTAGAAACCGAGTTTAATTATTTAATTTTCAGAATATGCACTTTTTCATTTGTCTAGTTGAGTTGGGAATTATTGTGAAGATTTTGACGCTCTAAAAATTATTTTGAAAATGAAGAATACAAAAACAAGATAATAGAAACGCATAAAAAGTAAAACACGATTAAATAATTTTATTAACGACAAAAATGATTTCTTTTTAACCGCTGCTGTTTTCACCAAAAAAATATCGTTTAAAAGTGCTTATTCTGCTAAATACATTATTAAACTCGGTTTCTGCAAAATTTAAAAATTTAATTTAAAAAATTTCGAAAGAAAATTAAAAAAATGAACGAAAAACAAAAAAATGAATATGCGAAATTTAAACAAAAAGTCGCCGTAAATCGCTGCGAGGATTACGGTAACTGTCTCTTAGCATTGCGTACAAAACGCAGGATCCTACGACACCTGGATACATTTGTCATTTTTCAACAATAAATGAAAATCAATCGGATTCGAAGAAAAATTAAATATAAATTAACCTGTTTCGATTGAAAAACATTCAAATTCGATTTGAAATCTTGGTTTCGATTCAAAAATCTTCGAAATCGATTGATTTATTTCTCATTCTCAATTTTGAAATAGAATTCGATTGAAATTTTGGAATAATTAACAGATTAATTTACATTCGATTTAGATTGAAAAAAACAAAATATTTTGGAATCGGATAGATTTTCATTTACCTGAGTGAAAGGAGATAATCACAATATAATTCTCACCTAAATATCGATGATGTTCAACGTGATATTTCTTAAACGACACCGAAACCGGCACAGAAATCGGCAAATTCGCCAGAATTCCGAAGAATCGATTCTTCAACGGATGCTCATTTCCAAAAGCGGTATTGTGCGAGATATCGTGAATTGCGAGAGTCAGCGCGTGATTGATAATTCCACCGCAAAAATACGTTTGTAGAAGTATGAGAGTCCAATCTGCGTCTGCAAACTCGAGCAATTTCAGTTTGAGATTTTCTTTCCAGTAAACCTTGAAGGAGCCAGCACATGAAAACTTGGAACAGGACCATACTTGTGACGACATATTTCAGCGAAGGATCGACACCGAACAGCTGAAAATACTTTTATCACTTTCCGTTATTCGTCGACATTTTCGTATATATGAAACATTGCGTTTCCAATAGTGCAAAAACAAAGTAGGGGAGCTCAATTTTCATTGCTCGGTTGCCAATGCCAACCCCCATCCATATATGGTGTCGAAATGAAACAATGGCGTTGGTCATTTATGGGCTTCGCAAAATCAAAACGAATGTAGCTTTTGCCTCCTCTTTTTTTCGAAAGTGTTCGGCAAACAGCGGAAAGCATTCGAAATATTTGAGTGTCAACTGTCCAAGTTTATTTTCATTGGGTACTGTAGGCATCGACAGTCCGCAACACACAAATGACATTTTTGCGGAATATTAAAAATTGATTTGTGGACCTTCATTAAACTAGGATAAAAAAGGATTCTATAAAGTTTAATCAAAGTTATTAATCATTTTCGAGTCTCCGGCAAATAGTTCAGGCATCAATGTGCGCGGACGAATATTCGCCCTTTGTAGTCCACACGGACAATATGTTGATCATGTCTTCAATTTCCACGAGAAGTCGATTTGTACTACCGGCGGGTTATTTTTGTTCTTCATATGGATGCCCTCATTAATTAATTTTGAGTAAACACCTAATTTTCTATCTTAATCGTTTAACATCCAATTCCCTTTGTAAACGAAAATTTTTGAATATAATTTGAAGAAAAAATTTCAAAAATTTTGACCGACAGATGCTCTCAAAAGCTCAAAGATCGTGGTTTCGCTCCACCCTGATCTCACGCCATTTTTCGGAACAAACAGAGATGGCTCACAAAATAAATATAAAATAAATAAAAAATAAATGCTAGAAACCATTCGTCCTGGATTACCATTTAGGGCATATCTTTGGTTGTAAACCCAATGAAATATGAATGTATATGCATTTTCTTGTTAAACAACGAGAGATGCACCTTAAAAGTAAGAAGGGAAACCGAATAAGGAATCTGATCTCTGACAAAAATAAATAATATTGCCGAAGATGGATGAGAGTATTGGATTTCAGAGTTTCTGAAAAGAAATGTCCGCTTGTGCTAATTAATGCTCAAAATGAAATTTCTCTCAAATGATTTTTTTTTGTTTAGACGGCTGTTGTTTAGAATCTGCGAATTCGAGACTTCGAACCTTTTTCCAATAGGAAAAACTTCTGATCCCATTTTGAGACTATCGTGATTGAAATTTCGAATGGGATAATTAAATAATTTTTGATTTTATATTGATTAGATTGCATTGAAATTGGTAATTTGTAATTGGAAAATTGCCAATCTGTTAAATATGCTGACAAAAACAGAATTCCGATACATGCGGACCGGCAGACTCCGCCCATCGACGACGCCACCTGTCGGAGATGGGATCAATATTCTTTCCACCCGTTCTGGAGTAGGAATGTCTCTTCCCGGGTCGCCACCCACTATCACATGCATATCTTATTCCAATAAGGCTTTACGAGAAGACAGTGGAGGGGGGCTGCGAGTTACTACATATTAGGGACCATAGTAACCCAACCCAACCGAGTAGTTTGGGCAATTAAAAATGTTCGAAAATAGATCTAGTTCAAAATATCCATCTGCGGACAATTTATGGTTTTCAAACGAACATTTCGAACTAGCCGAAAATCGCATAAATTATTCGATGACAACATTTTTTTTGCAAATGATTTAAGCGTCTGGAAAATGTTCCTCTTTTCGTCTTTTTCCTTATGGGAACCAATTTTTCAAATTAAAAAAAAAAAGAAAATGTATGATTTTTTCTTTTTTTTTTTTAACATTTTTTACACCTCTCAATAAAAACAAAAAGAATTTTTAATTTTTCGGCTCATTTGGCTCATTTTGATCAAAAAAGGAAATGAAAGCAAAATTTTGAAATTTAATTGAGGGGAAATTGCGTTATTTGGGATTTTCATAAAATTATTTATGCTGAGGCAAAAAAAATCACCAAAATGACGAAAAACAAAGAAACATCTTTAAAAAGAAAGAAAAAAATAAAATAAAAAATTAATGATGAATAAAAAACCAAGAAGAGGGGGTGATAGAAAAAAAATAAATAAACGAACCTTTTTGATTTGTGGATACTTTTTTGAAATCGCTTCTCGTCGACTCATATGCGGCTGATCAGTGAGCGTCCAAATAAAGTCATCTCGGCTCACGGATTGGCCCATTGATGATTACCCCAAAACGAAACCCAAATTGTTCGGCTATTGGTTGCCGTTTGATCTACAATAAAAACCCGGCATTTCGATATCAAACGTTGAAATCAAGGAACAAAAATGACGGCACATTCAGCTAATGTGTACACAGTGACTTATTATGCGGACGACCGACGCGTCACTGCAATAAAGATAATATGAGTTGGTATGTGAAACACCAAATATGGAAATGAATCAGCTAGCCGATTTTGACCGATAACTAAGGTCTTCCCTTGTTTGGTTGCCATGGCCAAAATGTATGTCTGTGTGTGTGTGTGTGTGTGTGGGGTAGCAACACGACGGGCCCGAGCATTTTTCTCGTTTTTGCCCTTCCTCTCCAATCCCGATACAGTGTATATACATTCGCACGCACACATTCGCTGCTCTCGGTAAACAGCGAATTGCTGCTCCTGCCGACTGCCTGCACTTTCACAAGTTTTCCGGCTTCGCCTCCTCGTCGCCGACGACGAAGACTGTATCTGCCTCTTTCTGTTTGCATTTGACCTGCGGCGGTTCTTTGGAATTGTCACCCAAGTCGCATGATGGCACGTAAATCGTTGCATGACCCACATTTTCAGGTAAACGGTCGAGACCAAACACGCTGCCATCGTTTTTTTTTTTCGCTGCGAGACCCAAAACAGCATGGTAGCATGGAAAGTGCATCATCGAAAATCATGTGAAATTGGAAAAAAAAATAGAAGAAAAATGAGGGAAATGAAACGAAACGATGAGTGGAAGCTTGCTATTGAAAGCTTAAATTGTAGGTTTTCAGAGTGGGATTAATTCGCCGACGGCACGCGAAACAAGCGATTGCGCGTTTGAACTCTACACCAATAAATATTGAAGACGGTGCGAGAAAGAGCACAAATCATCGAAAATGAAAAAAAAAAACAAAAAGCAATTTTGGTGTGAAATTTGAAAAAAAAATGAAAATTTTAAAACATTCTCTTATATCGCCAATATGTTATTTTTCAAGGGTCAATGAACAAAAAAATAAACAAAGAAAAATGTTTTTTTTCTGCATTGAATCTTTTTTCTTTTCATTTCTTTTGCATATCTAAACTACTCGGATATGAATAATCAGGAAATCTAATAAGAAAATGCGAATTTCAAATAATTCCTTGCGTGTATGAGCGTGTATTGTGCACCTCAAACTTGGGTAATTAAACCATTTATGTCAAAGAGAGAAAAAAGCTGAACACTAAATAATAAATAATCATAACCAAAAAGTTATAAGGAAGAAAATGAATAACCACCACTTCTGCTCCACTTTTATACCGTTATTACAACATTATTACAACAGATGGAGCAATAAGATGCGTTTTAAATATATTAAAAAAGGGAAATATTGCGTGGGATGATATTGCCCACTATAGATAAGAAATATATTGGAGAAATATATTAAAAAGGAAGGCCGTTCACGACATTCCGCCTCTCACAACAATTCTACGATTCGTCTGGGTATCGGTTTGTTAGATTCGGGCACAGTGACGTATGGTGGGTTGTTGGATCTTCCCCTCGGATCTTTGAGCAATAGTAGCAGGTCTTGTTGCATCTCTTGTCGTGATCGTCGTATTTTAAGCAGCGCACGCAACGTTTGGTTTGTATGATCATACGTTGTCGTAAACATTTGTTTGGTCGATTTCCATGTTTCTTGCGTCGTTGTGAGTATTTCTTGGACTCCGATTTCTGCTCTTACAATGAATCGATGCCATTGTCGCAATTCTTGTTCATTCTTCTCGAGTTGTCGTTCTCTGCTTTGTTGAATAACTTCTCGAAGTTGATCCATCAGTACTTTTGTGCGGTTCGTGATCGCTCGGTATTGATCGGAGATATCTCGTTCGGCAGCTCCTGTTTGATCCATTCTTACTGCCACGTCAAGCGCATCGACTACGGCTAAATCAATAAGGTCGCGAACTTTTTGATTTGCATCCAAATATTGGTGGAAGACATTCGTTAGTCTGACGGTTTGATCCAATAGTCGATCGAACCCTTTTTGAGCCATTCTGTACAGTTTCGTCACATCTCGGGTCGACGCCACCATCTCGCGTTCTGTCATCGTTGTTGTTGTTATGATTTTGTCAGCTCTCTCTGCTTCTTCTTGGAGTTGGCGTACAGTTTTAACAACATTGGTGAAGATTTCCTTGATCTTAAGACTTCGGCGTTCGAGTTGGTACGCGTTGAGATTCGTAGGGATCGTATATGAGAAAGATGTCTCAGAAGTCATATTTGTGGCTTGTCCTGTAATAATTCCGATTGAGTGTTGTCCACTTGCGTCCAATATCATGCAATTAAGAAGAAGGAGAATGTGGAACAATCTCCAGGTGCGTCGTATTAGTAGTAATGGCAATAGTATAAGTAAAAGCATTATAGTTTTCATACAAATATGTGCGATAGAAGTAATGACTCGAATTCCGAAGCGAGTGATGGTGATATATGCGATGCCTCCAATGACTCCAATGACGACTAGGAGTATGATTACAGTTTTCGTATAATTCATATATAGTGACCACAAATGGGATAGATCAGGTAGCGAGATTTCGTTAAATCGTTTCCCGCGTCCTTCGATTACTCTCCAAGAAACGTCCCAGAGATTTCCGTGGAATTTCAGTAATGCGGTTATTTCAAACGACGTCTTCTTCGTGGCTCCACAACTAACTTTACATTTGCGGTGAAATCGTGCCGTATTCGAAGAAAATCTTATGGTTGATTGCTGACCGTTCGGGTCACATGGAATTGCAAATTTTTCTCTGCAATCGACATCTGCCATTGTTCGTTTCTTCTTGGAGTAACATTTGACGGTTGTCATCACTCCTGGTTCGCAATTGTAACATCCTGACGTGTGTTCTGTCTCGATACGGCAGTCGTCGCGGTAGATAAAACCGAGTGGATTTACATCCCTGTTAACGTTGATAGTGATGGTAGCTGATGTTGCTCGTGTTGTCTGTGCTACTACTGTTTGGTTGATTTCCGAAAACGTCCACATATTTGTAGTAACGGGTAGAATTTGTTCCAAGTTTTTAGCCAAATCGTCGAACTTCAAATCCTTGCATTCACACATCGTTTGGTTTTCTGCTGGATTGCATGTGCAATTTTCTTCGAACACACATTTTTTAAGTGTTCTTGCTCCTTCTGGTGAGTCACATCTGACCGGTGGGTCGTCATGTCCTTTCTGCATGATTGTATGACGTTCGGATTGAACGAATGATGCCTTCAACATTTTTGTTGGCGGTATATAAAGCAGATTGACGGTCGTTTCGAATCCATCAATAGTAATGGGTTCGTTCAATTTTGCTTTGATGTGATGAATTTTGTAATTCGTCTTGGTCGATTGAATATGAGCCACTCCTATTTTCAATTTCAAATATGGTAGCCATGATTCACAATCGAAGATCTCATATATGGTATGGGAAGTGGGCACTGCGTAATGTCGATAGTAGAGGCATCCGTCGCTGGGGTAGAAACAATCGCATCCGATCGATCCGCAGCTTGATATACATCGTGTTGTACCCAGATAATGGTTGACTTCGTGAAGTTCGGGAAGTGTAGCGTTCGGCAGTACGCCCAAGCACTTGTTTCCTGTGCAAGAACCCATGTGTGGACATCTTTTCGCGCTTAGTGTTTTTTGTTGAACATCCCTCGAGAAGTATTTTGTTCGTTTTCGACACATTAGTTCAATGGTTTTCCAGGTAAACCGTAATTCTTGAATTGTAGTTCCATTAACGCTGATTCGTATGCATGCTTCTCGTCTCAGTGGATTAAGGTTGATGGTCTCCACGGTTCGAATATTACAAGTTAGTTCTCCATTGGTGTTGTTAGAGCAAATGGTGATTATTGAATTCGTCACTTCGATGTCTTGGCAAGCATTTAAAATAGTAATTCCGCAGCTGATGATCAGTATGGGAGTGACCAAGCTGTATACGTCCGATCTTCGTCGTCGGGATTGTTTCCTATGATGTATTTGTGTGATGCACTTCAGAATGAGTCTTCCGATGTGCTGGAATATCCATATTGTCGCCGTCCCGATAATTGATAATAAGCGACATGCGAGGAAACAAGGTCCACCTAGTCGTATAGGAACACTGCTGACGACATAAATCATCGTTAAAAGGAGGTAGAGTAGTACGATTGCTCCAGTGATGGCAAATAGCGGATGGCATTCTGGGTTCGCAATGTTTGCCATGCACCATGTACAGTCGATTGTTTTGCAGAAGCTGACCGCTGGGCAGCGAATAGTGCTAATTGTTATCGTATTTCCTTGTAGTCGTTTGATGCGGAGTTCGTGTGCTAGACGTTTTATAGTCGGCGGTAGCCATACATCTGTCACGTTTTCAATTGTTGGACTGTCTCTTCGCGTACAGTACGATTCGGTGCATACTTCGATCTTTTCGGAATTCATCACATTTACGGTGACTCCGTTTTCTGTGCATGTCTCATTTTTGAATTCTTGTGAGGCTGGTAATGCGAATAAGCCGGTTGATAACATGAGTATCATCATTATAGTCATGTAAATTGAAGATGCGGTAGGTCGTCGTAAGCCATTCGTTGATCGTTGTCGAGCGTCCGTTCAATTTCATGTAGAACAGCTTCCAAATCCCAATTTCTATCGTTATCATCATAGTTTTCAGCGCGATCTTCGAAAACTTTGCGCTGTACTTTTTTCGAGAACTTTCGTATTACCATCTCTTTGATGAATCGGGAGTTGAGGTCTTCGCCGAGTTGACGTAATTGTTCTGTAATTGCCACAATGGAGTCGAGAAGGTTTTGTTGGTCCTCTGTTTGATAACTCATCGCCTGTTCGTTTGATAATTGCTCTGTCAACCGTCGAATTGTGGCATCCTTGTTGTCGAATCGTTTCTTTAAACATTCAAGAGCCAAATGGTAGTTGTCGTTATTGATTTCGTATCGTTCAATAACTTTCTTCGCTTTTCCCCGAACGCTTTTATGAAGATAATTGAATTTTTCCAAATTCGAGAGGTTCTTCTTGTCGACCATATCTTCGAAAATGGTATAGAAGTTGCGCCATTTCTCTCTTTCTCCATAGAAGATCGGTAGTGGAATTGGGGGTAGTCGAGAGTCCTGTCGAGGAGATTCTGGAGTTGCTGTACGTTCATCGCCTCGTCGTTCGCGACTTGGTTCTTCAGTTTTTTCGATGACGCGAACCATGTTCCGCAGCAATCCGCTTAGAGCCGTTTCGTATTCTCGGGCTGTTTGAATTTTTTCCGTGATGATTTCGATCAATTCATCTACTTTCGTCAGAGCTTCTTCGTTTGCTTCGTTCTTGTCTATAGCTTCGACTAATTCTTTAGTCCGGGTTTCCACATCTTTTCGTCTTTCTTGGATGGCTTGAAGCTCTGTCTCTACTATTCTCGCATTTCGATTTGTAGCGGTTTCCTCCTCCTGGTCTTGTAGCAATTGTTCCAAATGTTCGATGACACGTTTGGATTTCTTCAATTGTTGATTCAAACTGTTCGACATTCTCGTTGCGAATGTCATGTAATATCGTATAGATGTTGTTGTAGAATTTGACGCCATCTTCGTACACGACGTTGGAATTTGGAGGGGTTAGTGTTATTAGTTCGTTAGTCGCATAGAGGTGAATTAGTTTCGTATTCGTAAGTGTGTTGCCACGCGGGACTTTTTCATGCACACTGACCTCGATCGCTTCTTTTTCGGCTTGAAGGTTCGATGCTGAGAGGTCGATGCACCAAATGTATGAGCGTGTATTGTGCACCTCAAACTTGGGTAATTAAACCATTTATGTCAAAGAGAGAAAAATGCTGAACACTAAATAATAAATAATCATAACCAAAAAGTTATAAGGAAGAAAATGAATAACCACCACTTCTGCTCCACTTTTATACCGTTATTACAACATTATTACAACAGATGGAGCAATAAGATGCGTTTTAAATATATTAAAAAAGGGAAATATTGCGTGGGATGATATTGCCCACTATAGATAAGAAATATATTGGAGAAATATATTAAAAAGGAAGGTCGTTCACGACATTGCGTGCCAACCAACGAATTTTCAATTGAAAACAGTAAAGCTTTTCGACTGAAAATGCTTCAAAATATTCTTTTCTTTTTTATCTCAATTTTTTTGAGGTGAAGTCACATAATATAATTTCAAAAAAATATATAGCTAGGAATCGTCACTTTCCATCATTCATCCAAATTTTCTCTCAAAATTGGTTTTTTATTTTCCCAAAATAATCATAAGAATACGCATTCGCGGCGAGACACAAAGCCAACAAATGCCATTAAAAAACGTTCGAAATGTACTCGAGGCGTGAGATTTTTCTTTTTCTTCAAAACTCCTAAATATTTCGATATGGATAATCAGAATATTGCGATATTATGATTGTGCAGTGTATTATTGAGAAGACAACGAAAAACAGGTCTATTTGGCCATATAGAATTCTATCTGCGGACAATTTTCACGAATATGATACAATTGGTTTTTTGTAGGAGAAATGACTGGTCTATTTTTCTGCCAAAAACTGCAATTAATCATTCGACAGCTTTACTTTTTTAATCCCAAAAAAGGAAATTAGCTTTTTTTTCCGGCAACAAAATGTTTGCGGATAATAATTCTATATTATATCATAAATATTTATTGCACATAGTTTAATAGGATCGATTCGATTCCGAGTATAATCCGCCGTCATGGGTGAATTCAGTTTGGGCACCATCGGCGTCGTTCAACCGTCGCCTGAATATCGGAAGCTTCGGATCGGATCGGATCGGATGAAAACTTACGACTGAATGAGAGGTTCCGATGATTTTCCGCATGGGAATGCCCGTCGAAGTTGCGGACGATTGAAATAAAACCATAACCACGGGTTCATGCAAGAATTCAGATTTCCAAAAAACATGATGTAAGTGGCAAATGTGCTATCTGAAATTCTTTGATTTTGATTTTCAAAACGATTTTCCTGTGGTGGTTTTCGGCGCAATCTATCGATTATTTGTGAGATATCCCAACTGATTCCATCCCCCGACGTTTTATGTATTTCTTCTTTTTTTTTTGCTGTTTCGCAATCTCGCTTACTTATCGAGGATGGCGATAGGGCATCAATAACCGAAGTGATGCAAAATGGGGCCCATAAAAGGAAATTGGCAGCGACAATTGTGAGAGATAGTTTGACGGTCTGAACTCTTCGACGATCAAGCTCGACGCATTGCATTGTCGCTCCTTTGTGATGTGCTTGCATTCCACTATTCGACACACTCAATGTCATATCCGTGTTCTCAGTTTTCGGTCTGAATTTACAATTCAACATATTTAACATTCTTGAATATAATTGGTGCTGCGGACAAGTAATGGCTCTCATTTGAAATTGCCGGCGTCAAACGAATGAAACAAACCGGATTTTCAGAAATCAACTAGTTTGACCAATTCAAAAATTTATCGAACTATTAATGTCATTTTAAAAAATATTTTGAAAATTGCTAATTTTTCCAATGTAGGAGTGTAAAAAATTTCATTAAATGTACTTTTTTTTATTGTCGAATTTTAAAAAATGATTGGCTATGTTGAAATGCGTTTCGAGACAGCGATAAGTACACGAAAGTGCGTACATTGCATTATAGTGTACGCGCATTTAATATTCAGTCAACGATAAATTCAAATCGATTCTGATTCCGCGAATTTGAAGGCTTCGCCTATCTTCAGTCGTTTGACGCCGACAATACATCTTGAAATAATACGTAGGTAATTTTTTACATTTTTAATTGCATGAATAGATCCATAAAAGCGCGTAGGCTTAAATGCAAAGTACGTGGTCTCGCGTGCTTCTATTTGCAACGAGACACATTGGCTCTCATAGTCTGCTTCTTAAATAATCGGCATTCGTAATTATTCGATAGACGCGTTGTGATTCTTTTCGAAATTCTTTATTCTCGTGGAGCGAAGTTTGCGCAGACTTTCAGCTTCTTCTAATAAGAATCTGCCGAAGGTCTTTACAAACTCAGCATGTGTTAACGACCGAGTATAAATGTGAACCGCAGCGCGTCTGTGCGAACTACATGGTCTTGCAGCGAAAAATAATACATATAGAAATATAGAAGAGCGAACAGACTGTTGAAGTCTCACCTCTTCGAATTCTGAAGAGAGCTGCTGAAGCTTGTGCTTTTCCACACCGCCTTGCACACGCAATAGTACAGATATCCGGCAATTGCCGACGGCAACAGCCAAACGACACTGTTGAAAAGACACACATATAAGGTATACTGTAATGACGGCGTAGGACCATGTTTGATCGGTTTGATCTACCTGATATGGCTCGGTGTAGCCGCCAATACAATCGCCGTTGTTTTTCTCGAATAAATAGATTTGGGGAGTCGCGAAGAAGAGGGAAGCTGTCCACGCGATTGTCGAATACAACGCGGGTCTGTCGTAGGCCGATGATTTCATCGAAGCCAACGGTCGACAAATCGCCTGCAATTCTCGGTCGTCATTTCGTTTCGCCTGAATTCGGCACACCTGGTAGCGATCTGCGCTGATGGCGACCAGAAGGAACGACGAGGCGTACATGGGAATGACTTGCAGAAAGCGCGTGAATTTGCACAACCAATTGGGACCATAGAAATTGGGAACGGTCGCCGTCATGGCCATCGTCGGCACCATTGTGATCAACGCGAACAGGATATCCGCGGCGCACATGTGCAACATCAACATTTGAACCGGCGAGACGCGTTTTCGCCGCAAAACCTTGTTATTCTTCAGTATGACGTAAACAAGCAACGAATTTCCAACTAATGTCAGCAAAATGATAATGAGATGATGGAGGAGCATCAATTCGACGGCCGGCTGCTCAATCATCTGCATAGGAATGCCATCGTCCGGTTAAGGAAATACAAACCAACTACCTGATTGCCATCGACGACTTCAGAATTGTTCGGCACGAATTGCTCAAGCATCTGAAAATGAGGAAATTTCTCAAAACCGGCTGTCACGGATGAGTTGGATTCGAACTCGCAGCTTCATACTGAAAGGACAAGCGCACTAACCAATCAGCTAGAAATTTATTGACGAATATAATATGGATTTTTTTAATATTCATACATTCATCTTCTTCACAGAGAGACGATTCGGATGGAAGCAAAAAAAAACGCACCAAATGATTGGAAAGAAGAGCGAAAAATTGAGTAAAATTATGGGATTAGGTTGGCGAGAAAAAAAAGTGCGGAAAACAAGGCAATTTGAAAAATAAAAACGAATAATTGAACTGTGAACTTTTTCGGGTTTTTATTTTCATTTTTTTTTCAAAAAAACCAACAAATTATTCGATGCGTATTTTTCATTTTCATTAGATGATTGAAGCAAACCAATTTTGGGCGCCGAAAAAAAAAATTGGCGGACCGAAAAACAAATTCTCATACTTTGTTGTTTGGCGCCTTAAAAGGATCTGCTTTTAATTATGCGCGTCTGAAAATCTAGAGAGATGCTCGACACTATTCAATTTCCACCGACTACAACGCATTATTCCAAACGCCTCAAAGGGCGCTCGAATTATAAATTTCAGTACGAGCAGAAATTTCGAGAAGATTAGTAGACAAATTTGGAGGAGCTTAGAATTGCTGGATTTGTTTTTGATTTGAACAGGAAATTTAGCGAATCAATGAGCGAGCGACGACTAGTTGAGTTTCGAGGGAAACTATTGGGATGAATAAATGGCTTCGCAACGACGAGGGGCTTCTTCACACGCGACGACAGCATCGAGGGAAAATCAAACTGACGCTATTAAAGAACACACAAGTTATTCACGTATGAAATGTCAGTTTCAGAATGATGAAATGACGCAAACTGGAAGACAAAAATTGATGTCGAACCATTCGACTCTCCGATTGGCGGCAGTGTCCGCTATTTGGTGCAATCGATTTACACCATGGTGCAAAAGCGCTCCCACATTTCGAAGCAGTCTTTTGTGATTTGTGTCTGGTACACATTTAATTATAATATACGATATTTTCAATTAAGACAAAAAATATTTTAATTCTCATATCGGAATCAAATCAAGAAATTCGAGAAGCCTATGGTTTCGACTGAATCAATTTTGATAATTAGGTTGGAAAGAATGGCGATGGGCGACGCCAAATTCGCCATCGAAAAACAAATGATGGAATTCACCTCTAATCTCATTGTTTTTTAGGGTGGGTCCCCTTTCTCTATAATATGTATGAATTTTTTTTGTTTTTTCATTTTCATTTTCTCACCCGTATACATAAATTAGAAATGGCGTTCGAGGGCGTTAGAATGGTGTGCAGGCGAGCGGCACACCGAAAATGGAAATTGGAATACCTGACGGATGGAAGACGGCATTCGGGCGAAGAAATCCGAAGGAACTTGGTCCATTCGATGCCACGTGTGTTCGAAGACCATCCCTTCAAAACAGATTTTTATTATTTTTTTTTTTTTTTTGAAAAAAATTAAGCATGAGATTTAATGTTGGGATGAGCTCTGAAATTATTGAAAATGAACGATGACTGAGCTTTTTTTGAAATTGACAGAATGCTTCAATTTTACCAAAGGGATTGCCTTTTAAAAACATCATTATTTAAACCTGACATTAATGAAATTCATATTAATAATGCATATTCTAGCTGCGGACATATTTCGAGAGAGAGACATTTGCAAATTTTCCTCGAACAAAATTGAAAATTGAAAACAAAAAGTTCAAATAGAGTTTTTTGTAAAAAATAAAAACAAAAAGAAAATTGAGTAGTATTTAGTATTCCTCAATGAATTCGATTCTAATTAATGCACTTTCAGTAATTCAGCGATCCTTTTTTTTGTTAAACTACTGTACATCCAAAATGGAAGATTGACATAAAAATTAATAGCAACAGAAAACCCTTAAATGGATTATTATAATTATTTTGGTTTGATTAGATTAAGCTGAGGTTACAATGCATGAATAGAAAATGACGAGAGCTGAACAAATTCGAATTCTGTCTCTCTTTTTCGCTTTCATAAAAAATAAGCAGAACTTTTGAAAAACGCATAAATCATTTCAATTACTTAGAAATGTACGAATCAAATGATTAGTATTATGTAGTCGGTGTCCGGCGACTGCTGTACGCGGGTAGATTTACGGGGATGCGTCTTTCGAAATGGTCTCGCAAGGACTAACAAGTTATTTCAAATTTTATGGACCGGTTCGATATTTTTTTTAATTGAAAGGCGTTCGAAACTCAAGGAAATGCAAAACTCATCAAGAAAAAATAAAAGAAAAAATTCCCACGAAAACAGCAAATAAGCAATTTTCCTTTTCAAGGCGCATGCGCGTAAATCTACCCGCGTACAGCAGTCGCCGGACGCCGACTATATGCCATCTGAATATTCAGACGACATAACTATCAATGTGGAAAAAATGGCCTAAAAATGGAATTTGGAAAAAATGGAAATATTATTGGCGGAAAGTTGGCTAAAAATTATGGCAGTCATTTTGGAGCAAATCTAAAAATGTATGAAGTTTCCCAAAATAGATTAAAGGTGCATACGACGCATCAAGACCCTTTCCCTAATTTTTTTTTACATTTAGCCAAGCGACATCGAATATATGCTGGAAAACGAAATTTTTAGAACAAGCCAAATGTGAGCATTTTATAGAAGTTGAGCAGCTACGTACGTAAGAGATTTCTCAAATCGTAATCGAATTATATCATAAATCCAAAATTTAAAAAAAAGTTAATAATCAAGAATAGAAAGCTGTGCGTTTTTTCCTATAAAGAATTCACATGAAAAGCTTTAGAACAATAGCGGATTATTTTGACGCATTCAGACAAATCCGAGTGATTTTTGTCAAGGTTCAGCATAAATGATGTGCAATACTCGAGCAACGTTCGAACGGAAATATTTCAATTATAACAATACATTCGATTTTGCCAATCGAAACATTCAAAATTGTTTTTTTGTGCTTAAACGCAACTGCAATTGACACTCATTTCAATGAAATTCGCATTTCAAATACCCAGTTTTAATTGAATTTATCAGACTTGTTGTTTCAGAAGAGCCCCGATCTCTTTTTTCAATTTTTAACTCCGGCAAAGTCTTTGTGCGGACGAACTACAGATGCCTTGCAGATCAAACTCACGGACATATAAAAATTTCCGGCACCGCAACAACACTCCAAATGTATTGTGGAAAAATGACGAATGTGAAAAACTTCATCCATATCCTATGCATTGTGTGCGTATACCGAGTCGCACATCTCCATCTTAGCTACAGTAATCTTAACTGAAATTTATTTAATTAATTATTGATCGTTTCTTTTTATATAAAACAATTAAATTTGAATAATATACAATAATAATTATTAGTACATTTTTTCAACACAACACCACACATAAAACCAAAAAACCGCCAAGAAAACGCAGAAAAAAATTTAAAAAAAAACAATTGATTAAATAATTTTCAGTTGAGATTACTGTAGCTAAGATGGAGATGTGCGACTCGGTGTACGCACACAATGCATAGGATATCGCTGCAGTTTTTCACATTCGTCATTTTTCCACAATACGGAATTGACCACTTTGAGCGCAATAACGTTTCGAATTGACATTTTCAGATCCGCCCGTTGCAAGAATGGTTTTCAGCAATTTTTGGGAGAATATTTGTGTTAAATTCGCATGAAAACCAGCACCCTGTGTAGATTTTCGGTGAGTTAGCTTCGCAGGTTATCCAGAGTACGATATCCAAATTCCCACAGTTTTAATTCGAATTTGAATTGCCGCTTCGAAAAAGTGCGATGGTCCATAAATATGCAAGGCGCTCGTTTTTATGCGATGGTAATATTTTCGTGCAACCTATGAAAACCGAAAAATCGTTTTCTGACAGCCGTTTTAGCAAGAAATCGTCTCGAGACCCATCTCTTTTTCCGCGTTATGATTCTTTAATAATTTAATTTAGAATTGTGAATCTCGGCAATTATTTAAAAATTCGAAAGCCCGACACGCTAAATTGAGGGCGCTGTGTAATTGGAGTGTCGTAATGATATGGTTTAAAAAAGGTTTGGGACAAACCGCAGAAGTTTTTTGGGAACCCGCTGTAACTCCGATGTTTAAACCAAAAACCAACCACGTTTCGTCCTTTTCGAATCGCTGACCGCCTTGAATAATTGTGGACCATCGCACTTTTTCAAGGCGGTTATTCAAATTCGAATTTAAACCGCGAGGATTCGGTTACCGTACAGAGTGCTCGTTTTTTTTTCGAATGGAATAGTAATAACTATTGTTGAGAAATGACAAATGTATCTAGGTGTCGTGGGATCCTGCGTTTTGTACGCAATGCTAAGAGACCGTTACCGTAATCCTCGCAGCGATTTACGGAGATTTTTTTTAAATATTCTTTCAATATTTTTTGCTGAATTTTCTAATTTTCTTTAGAAATCTTATATTTAAAACCTGTAGAAAAAAGAGTTTAATTATTTATTTTTCAGAATATGCACTTTTCCATTTGTCTAGTTGAGTTGGGAATTATTGTGAAGATTTTGACGCTCTAAAAATTATTTTGAAAATGAAGAATACAAAAACAAGATAATAGAAACGCATACAAAAAGCAAAACACGATTAAATAATTTTATTAACGACAAAAATGATTTCTTTTTAATCTCTGGTGTTTTTACCAAAAAAATGTCGTTTAAAAGTGCTTATTGTGCTAAATACATTATTAAACTCGGTTTCTGCAAAATTTAAAAATTTAATTTAAAAAATTTCGAAAGAAAATTAAAAAATTGAACGAAAAATAAAAAAAAATGAATATGCGAAATTAAATAAAATGTCCCCGTAAATCGCTGCGAGGATTACGGTAACTGTCTCTTGGCATTGCGTACAAAACGCAGGATCCTACGACACCTGGATACATTTGTCATTTTTCAACAATACACAAATTTTTCAACATTGAACACATTTGAGAAAAGGATAATTAAAGACGCATACCGTTTCTGAAGCTCGATCTTACGCACCGATTCTGGTAGCAATTTTTTGTATAGAATCGGAAAATAGGAATTTCTCGAATTCGTTTGTTTTTGCCAAGGACAACCGACCCCCCCCCCCATGAATGCTTCTAATTGATCCCAATTGGAATTGAGCGCACTAAAAACAACAAAGCTGGCAGCCATTTTTTATTTTGAAAATGGAAAAATCGAAGAAAAATAATTAAAGAACGAGAATGAATCAATTATTCGGAATGATTTAATGGAATTAATAAAATAAAAACAGCAATGAGAATTAAAGCATTAATATTATCAAATTTGCTGAAGAATCTTGAATAATGAGTCTTTAATCATTAAAATTGGAAGATTACCGTTTAGAAAATGAACAATAAATAATTAAATTTTTTTTTTAACAAATCCGTCTTCAGTTATTGCGTTGCGGCTCTCTCTGTTGGCCAGGTCTCGCCAGCAACTGCTGCGGAATTTGCAGCTGCTGTCGCTGTCTTTGACGCTGGCTGATCACCTGCTTCACCCGCGGATCCATTTCTGCTGGGCAGACCCTCTTGAACAGCAACCTAATCGAGGCGATCTCAATAATTGAGTGATCTGCAAAACGTAATATTTATATTAACATTCTTCCCAACAATTTACCACCGTAACCTTTAAGCATAGTCGACATCAACATCGGCACTGGTTTTCCGTCGACAAATATCGCGCGTTGTCCGGTGTTCGTCAATTTGAATTCATTTTTCTCCTTATCCAGTTCCAAAATCGCTTGTTTTCGCGAGATCTGAAAAAAGGGACGAGTATTGAATTTGAAATGAAGGTCGCAAATGAACTGAATTCACATCATTTCACGTGCATCAATTTCTTTGACGCATCATCTTATCAGTTCATTTTGTTTACAAAGATATCGCTGAACGAGTGATAACTGATTACCTTCGACGCTGGGCCTTCAATCGATAAATCGATATCAACTCGCTCCTGGCTGTTTAACATCGACGGAGCATTTCGTCCGATCGTCGTCGTCTCGAATCTTACTGTGTATTTAACAAAGCGACCACGAATAATAGCTAATGTGCTATTGTGGAGCTTCTCCGAAAAATTGAGATTTGATAGATCCAGCGCTGGACGCGACCGAAGTTTGTCCATACGTGATTCGAGGCGTCTCAAATTTTTGAAATTTTCAACTATTCATGATTTATTTATTATTTATTGTCTCGTTCCTGCGGAAAATTTGCTGATGGGCCTATTTATACAATTGAGAAATGTAAAAAAAATGCGCATTGTTCCAAGGCAGGGTTGTAAAAATGCACATTTAATTTTTTGTAGAATAAAATACATTTCATGAATTGGTTCATAACAGGAATGCGCGGCAATAGGAAATTTTGGTAATTCGGCAATGCCACTATAAAAAATCAGCAATTTCGGCAATCGATAATTCCATTTCCGCACATCCCTGGTCCATAAAATGCCAAAATAATGCGGCTTTAGTTTTTTTTCTTCTTCAACCTATCATTCTGCATATCTAGTAAAAAATTTAGTGTTTTTTTTTTCTAAATTCATTTTATGAAAATGAAAGAAATCAATGCTTTGAGACGCCAAATTTGTTATTTTTCACTTTTATGGCAGATTTTCAGTATATTCCAAGCATATTTGTGATTACGATTTAATGTTGAAGAGAACAAAAATAATAACGCAACATGTATAACGTTTTCTGCCAAACGCAAAATCTGACAAATTTGCGCGAAAATTTAAAGGGAATGTTCAATGATTGCCGCGCATTGATTGATATCACACAAATTTACCTAATCGGCTTCAAATAATCTAGCGAATAGCTATTATTCAATGAGCCCTTTTCAATTCGTATCCAATTGACATTGTTGGTAACATTGCGACTAAAATCAACACCAATAATACATATAAGAAAACACAAACTAATTCTTACTTTTTTAAACCACGATAATAATCGAGCAGGAATTGAGGAGTTCGACATGGGTGGAATTTCATACTGAAATAATTGAATTGTTTAAATTATATTAAATTATTTCTTTGAAACCTGTTGTTGTCTAAAATGAGTGCACAATCCGCAATTGTGACCTTGCGAACCTTCTCAATGGCGGTAATTTCGTTTTGGAAGAACTCATCTTCTTCAACCGAAAGCGGTGTTCTTGCTTGGATGTGCAGAATTTGTTCAGGACTCAAAACGCCGAACCGTTTTTTGCATTGTTCTAAGAAGGGCTCGTCGTAGAGCAGTCGAAACCAACGATTCTCCACTTCTTCTAGTGTGTAGTTACGCGAAAAACGAACGGTTTGATATATCGCCTTAGCGTGTTTCATATGCGTCATTGCTGTAGCCATAATAACATCATCGACAACTGGCCATTCGCGCAAATGTACTGTTTCAGCCTCATCATCCTCGTCGTCTTCATTAGCTTTCTGAAACGTAAACATTACTTTTCTAAGAGAAACATATTTGGATTGTTTAATTGTGACCACACAACACCCTGAAACAATCAATTTTCTTGAGTACTGAAGTTTCTCCGCACAATTTTCACACATTTTTGTCCGAATTCGACAATTTTTTTCATTTACAAAGAAAACTGTCTTAAATTAGCGTTATGTCCAACCTGACATTTTTTTTGTCCACAATATTGAAATTTTCAAAAAAAACTCAACCGAAAATTACATCACCTTAGATGATCTGCTTTCCGATCGATCTGAGCCCTTCTCCAGTGATGATTTGCGTTTCTCGTTTTTGGAATTTGATGGTCCTGGCTGGTCTAAAATGCAAGTTGTTCTCAAGGAACGTTTTAGAAAAAGAAAAAATACTTGATGATGTGCTATCGTCGGGACCTGGGGTCGACTCAGTACATTGTGTTTGAGACCTTTCGCGTGATCCGTATCTTTTCTTTAAAAAAAAATAAATAAAAATTATCAACACGATGCAAAAAATTTAACCATTCTTGCGCTTGAATCAACAAGCTCATCATCAAATTTCGGCCGCTTTATTTCCCGTGTCGATCGTCTTGATGCCAATTTGGAAGGAGTTTCTTGATCATCACCCAGCGTGCGCTTTCGTTGTTTTTCGTTTCCGTCGATGGAATCAATTTCAGATACAATGTTTAACAATGCTTCTAAAACTGGAGCAACCTAAAAAGTATTGTTTTGATCTGAAACTTTTAAAATTAAATACCTCATTTATGTATTGGCGAGTAGAATAACTGGTTTTTGTTAGATCATCACCCATTTCTACAAAAAAAGTAATTTAATTAACCATTAATGGACCATTTCATGAAATGTAAGTGATATAGAAAAAAATGTAAGCGGAAAATGGGTGGTGAATAGATTTCAATAAAACGCGGGTGAATCGTCGATGAAACATTTGAGAGAGTGTGTGATTTTGAAAGACGGAGACATTAATTTTCATCGCCGTTTCACCAAATCTCGCGTTATTCCGCCGTTTCTACAACATGATGCGCTAAATTTAATGAAAACAAAAATCGAACAAAAAATCAAAAAATAGCGCAAGTGCGCCCTATCGAACAATATGGCACATTGCCAGTAATGAATCGGCTACCGTACTCAGGTTTGCCTGCATTCCCTAAACCGCCCATTGCCTAGAGCCGCCTTTTCCCCCCACGGTTTTACTTTTGCTTTTGGAAGTCCCTTTCCGAGCAAACCAAAATGTTGTCAAAACGACTTCTTTCGGCTATTGGAAACACCGTCAAGGTATTTTTCTTCTTAATTAAACGTTTTTATTAATTTATTTTCTTGGTTTAGGCCTTTTTTTTTAATTAGAGAATTTTTTTCATTTGGAAAAATTGAACATTTATATTTATTTTTTAAATTTATTTTCTATTTAGGTTCAAAATGCCGGAATTGCCACCACCGCTCGCGGAATGGCTGCTTCCGGTAGCGAAGTCTCCAAGATTTTGGAGGAACGAATTCTTGGAACCGAGACCAACATCAACCTCGAAGAGACTGGAAAGGTTTGTCTTCTTGATTGATATTTTTTATTCAATAATGTTTATTATAAAGGTCCTCTCCATTGGAGACGGTATTGCTCGTGTCTATGGTTTGAAGAATATTCAAGCCGAAGAAATGGTTGAGTTCGATTCCGGAATCAAGGTATTTTTTCATAATTGGTTTTCTTTTTAAAAGTTAATTGCTAGGGAATGGCCATGAACTTGGATGTTGACAATGTTGGAGTTGTCGTTTTCGGTAACGACAAGGTCATCAGAGAAGGAGATATTGTCAAGCGTACCGGAGCTATCGTCGACGTTCCAGTTGGAGAAGGACTCCTTGGACGTGTCGTTGATGCCCTCGGAAACCCAATTGACGGAAAGGGTCCAATCGCATCCGCCAAGAGATCTCGTGTCGAGACCAAGGCCCCAGGAATTATCCCCCGTTTGTCCGTGCGCGAACCTATGCTTACTGGAGTTAAGGCTGTCGACTCCCTTGTGCCAATTGGTCGTGGACAGCGTGAGTTGATCATTGGAGATCGTCAGACTGGGTTAGATACTGATTTTTGTTAACACAATTAAATATGTCATTTCAGTAAGACTGCCATCGCCATCGATACCATCATTAACCAGAAGAGATTCAACGACGCTGGAGATGACAAGAAGAAGCTTTATTGCATCTACGTCGCTGTCGGACAAAAGAGATCCACTGTCGCCCAGATCGTCAAGCGTCTTACTGACGCCGGAGCTATGGATTACACCATCGTTGTTTCTGCTACCGCCTCCGATGCTGCCCCACTTCAATTCTTGGCTCCATACTCTGGATGTGCCATGGGAGAATTCTTCCGTGATAACGGAAAGCACGCTCTCATCATCTTCGACGATCTTTCCAAACAAGCCGTCGCTTACCGTCAGATGTCTCTTCTTCTTCGTCGTCCACCAGGTCGTGAGGCTTACCCAGGAGATGTCTTCTACCTCCATTCCCGTCTTCTCGAACGTGCTGCCAAGATGAACAACTCTCTTGGAGGAGGATCGCTCACTGCTCTTCCAGTCATTGAGACCCAAGCCGGAGACGTGTCTGCTTACATTCCAACCAACGTCATTTCCATCACTGACGGACAAATTTTCCTTGAGACTGAATTGTTCTACAAGGGAGTCCGACCTGCTATTAATGTCGGTTTGTCTGTGTCCCGTGTCGGATCTGCCGCTCAAACCAAGGCCATGAAGCAAGTCGCCGGTTCCATGAAGCTCGAGTTGGCTCAGTACCGTGAGGTATTATTTTTTCACATAGTCAACCCGAAAAATGAAATAAGAGTTTCAGGTCGCTGCTTTCGCTCAATTCGGATCTGATCTCGATGCTGCCACTCAACAGCTCTTGAATCGAGGTGTTCGTCTCACCGAACTCTTGAAGCAAGGACAATACGTGCCAATGGGAATTGAAGAACAAGTTAGTTAATAAATAAAAATTCATAATTTTATACTGTTGTTTAGGTCGGAGTCATCTACGCCGGAGTTAAGGGATATCTTGACAAGATCGACCCAGCCCACATCACCAAGTTCGAGAAGGAATTCTTGGCCCATCTCCGTTCGTCTCAACAAGCCGTTCTTAAGACCATCCGTGAAGAGGGACAAATTTCACCACAGACAGACGCCCAATTGAAGGATATTGTCATCAACTTCTTGGCCACATTCAAGCCATAGGAGCCTTAATTCTTATTTCTTAAAAAACGTATGTAGAATTGTTGTTTTTATGTTTTTTTGCGGAGCCCCCTTTTTTTAGTTTCGAAATAAAGAATAATTATGGAATTAAAAATTGTATTTTTTGTATCATCTTTTGATGTGTCTTCGTACGAGCGAGAATAAAAGCCCTCTCCAATTGTTTTGAGCTTGAAATAAAAATGAAGTCGAAAGTTGTGTTGATCGAAGAGCTATATTTGAAACTTTTCCTGTTTGAAGTAGGTGTAGCCCACTCATGAAATGTGGCAGGTGTCGTCAAGTGTGATGCATCGGTACGCAAGGCACTTGGAGTAAAAATGCGGCCGAGTCGTTGTTACTCACCTTTTTGCATAATTTTATCACGTTTTATGTCATTTTCCTCTAGGTAATAATGTCGGCTCGGGAACAACAAGAGCAGGAATTAGAAGCACTCGAAGCAATTTATTCAGAAGGCGAACTGACAATCGAAAATCGAGAATATCCTAATATTAGCCTTAGCATTGAATTAAAATCGAATCAAGTGAGTTATTATTTCTTTGTCTTGTTTATTATTTATTTTTCAAGTTCGGGGAGCCCGAAGATGACGATTTCGAAGTTACATTGCACGTAAACTTTCCCGAAAATTATCCAGATGTGGTATGAACGCATTTTTATGATTAAAGATCAATTATTGATTTGATCAGGCTCCAGAATTATCTCTTTCTGGAATCGAGGATATCTTCAAAGAGGAAAGAATTGAGGAGGTTTTAAAGGTAATATTAAAAATCGATAGTTATGTAATGTTTGTTTGGTTGTAGAAACTATACGCGGCCGCCGAGGAAAATCTAGGAATGGTTATGGTTTTTGCAATTGTGTCTGCTCTTCAGGTATTTCAATTTTCTTCTATGAATTATTGTTAACGAGTTTTCTATTCAGGAAGAAATTGGAGAATTGATGAATGACCGTAAGAAGGCAAAGGAATTGATAGTTGAAGCTGAAAAAGAGGCAAAAGAAGCTGAAACGAGAAAGAAATTCGAAGGTTCGTTTTTTATCTAATATTTTCTTCTGAATAATTGAATTTAGGAACAGTAGTTACTCCGGAATCGTTTAGAGCTTGGAAGGAGAAGTTTGACGCCGAGAGGAAGGCTATGATTGAAAATGCTGAGAAAGAAAGGCTCGCACAGCTCGCTGGAAGACTCACTGGAAAACAATTGTTCTTAAGAGATGCTTCATTGAATTTGTCGGATATGACCTTGATTGGGAATCAGGATGATGTCGAAATCGATAAGTCACTGTTTGATAACGAGGTGAGCGTTATTGTGAAAATAATATTCATTTTTAAAATTTTTGAATTATTTTTTATTTCTTTGGAATTTGTTAACAATTAATTTCTTAGAAATTTGACCGAAACGAAAAATCGAGGAAAGAAAACCCTTAAGAATTTCTAAAACGTCGCTAAATTAAATCAAAGATGCACTGTTGTGCACATTAAAAAAAAAATACGATGATACATCCAATTTTTGCATTTCTTAGAATTTCGTTGTGATTTTTAAAGTGACTAATAAAAAAAAGAATTGACCAAATTATAAATTGAATTTCAGGAACTCGAAGGTCTCGACATTGATTCTGATGAGGAAGATTAATATTTAGCATTTTTTTATATATACGTGTGTGTGTTTGGGTGTGTCCCTATGCCGTTTTCCACTTTTTGGTGTGATTACACCACTCATCCTTTTTTATTTATATTATATTATAAATATCTAGCTTAGCCGTATTTTTGTTAAGTTTCTACCGGTCTTCTTCTTGTTGATTCATTATTTCATTATTGTTATGGATTTAAATGATTTTCCGTTTTTCCAAAATTCTTATTGAGTGTTTTTAGAAGTTGCTCTGGCATCTTTAAAAATATTTCACAGTTTCTTCAAGTTTTCAAATTTTTTATCAATTTTTTCTAATTTGAGGAAAATTGAAAGTTAATCGAGGATGTCATTCAATGGATATTCAATGTCTCACCTTTTACAGGTATTGAGAATTGAAGAAATTGTAAAAAAAAAGTTGGTTTAATTTCAGGTTAAATCGAAATTTGATCAAGAATGGCGAAGGTTTTCAATACCAATGAATAGTGGGCCGATAACATATGAAAATTTCCGAAGGTATGTCTATTAAAATTATTAAAGAGTATTGAAGTAATATTTTCAGCCTTGTCGAGAAACTACACCATTTGGAAAGTGTGCAATTTACATTATGTTATAATTCCATATCGGGAGACATTTTACCGATTACCAATGATGATGTTAGTTCTTTTTTTTCAATTACTAACTCCATGTATGTCGCATTCCATTATTTTTCAGAACCTTCGCAAATCTTTTGAATCAGCCCGTCCTGTGCTGCGGTTGTTAATTCAGCGGCGCGGCGAGTCGTGGGAAGAGAAGTACGGATATGGTACGGATTCGGATCGCCGCTGGAACGGCATTGCTTCGATTCTCAACCCACAGCGGCCGCCGAAACGAAGCTATTCGATATCGAATCCTGCCGATTTTCGGCAAGTTTCGGCTATTATCGATGTCGACAAAGTGCCAGAAGCGCACCGGCGGGTACGGTTGTGCAAACATGGTTCGGATAGACCGCTCGGATTTTATATACGTGATGGAACGTCGGTGCGCGTGACGGAAACTGGTGTTGTCAAGGTTTCCGGAATTTTCATCTCGCGGCTTGTCGATGGAGGACTCGCAGAATCGACGGGACTGCTCGGAGTTAATGATGAGGTTTGAGAAAAATGATACCATGTCTTTTTTCGTTTCTATAAAAAATATTTAGGTTCTTGAAGTGAATGGAATTGAAGTGTTTGGGAAAACACTGGACCAGGTCACCGATATGATGGTTGCAAATGCTCATAATTTGATTATAACCGGTATGTGAAGTTAGATATTCGCAACAAAAAGAAATAAAGGAAATTTCATATTGATTGTCATCTAGTTTCTTTTTTTTTCAGTGAAACCCGCAAATCAACGAAACACTCTTTCTCGTGGTCCATCGACAATGGGAACTCCAAATGATTCACTGTCAGCACCACCACACCGTCCGATGGCGATGAATGGGAGTACAGATGGATCATATCATCCACGACAAGCCGAAGATTCTGATGTTTCTGATGACTGAGAATTGCCTTCTGATGACTATACTGCTTCTGCTCAAATGTATGTATTCAACTCGCTTCATCACTTTCTTTATCCCCCATTTTTTTCCGAATGTGCATATTTAATTTATTTATTGTTATTTATGTTCATTATATATATATACATATATACATATATAGATATTTATATATCGAAGATATCGAAAATGGTTGTAATTCGAATAATGGGGTTGTGCCTTTTCCTCTTGTTGCTGTGATCATTGTTGCAATTTTCAAAATCTTCGTGTCTTTTTTGTTTTTATATGCGCTATATCGCAACTTCTCATAAATTGAACCATTTTGCTTCTATCTGTTTTGCTCAAAGACCTCGCTTATTCAAATCTCAACATTTCTGAAGCCGCACAATTTTAAGATTGGAATTGCAATTCGAAATAAGTTCGAATCATGGAAAAATAATGAGTTTTAAATGTGAACCCATTCAACCGACTTGAGGAAATTTGTCCGATTATGGACCAATTTGTCGAAAAAATATTTATAATACAACAACTGGATAATCATTCGTTGAGAAAATACTTCATAACTTTCTGATATTAAAAATTCTGAAACTAAAATTTTTATGCCCGTTCGCAGTACTTTTGTTTATTATATTTAGCTAAATAAAAACTATCAAAATTAATTATTGAATTCCTATTGATTTGATATCGAAAATCACATTTCCTTCTTTAAAGTAACTAAAAAACACGAAATTTGTGAAAACTTAAAAGTAAAGTTTACTTACTTCAGTAGTGATCTTAAATATGGATCCTTTTTCATCATTTTTGCACTTCCAATTAGAACAAATTGTCGTTTTGCTCGTGTAATTGCGACATTAAGACGTCGTGAATCTCGAAGGAAACCGATTAGTTCTAAAAATAATTGGTAAATTGATTTTTTTAATGATTTAAAAACCCCTAGGATTATCTCTGACAAGACAGAAAATGACAATTTGCTTCTCATGGCCTTGAAATGCATCAACTGTGTTAATATGCAGATTTCGAATTCGAATAATGCCTCGAAGATGCTCTACTTGTGCATAATATGGAGCAATAATTGCGATATCTTCAACTTCGACGTTGTGGTTTCGAACGAGAGAATGCACATATTCTGACACAATTCGAGCTTCATCTAAGGAAAATTTGGAAAAAAAGATGCGCTCAAATTTTCGAGATTATTTACCAATATTTACTATTGAATGTTGATTTCTTCCTTCTTTTGATCGATTTTCGAGATTTTCTGTATTCACCATTAATAAGGGAGAATTCAAAATTTGGTTGGATTTCAAATCAGGATACAAGTCACTGAAACAGATAAAAATAATAATTAGATGTATTGTCGACGTCGCGCGAGTGCGGAAAATTGGCTAAATGCTAAAAAGAGGTCTCGATGCGCCTTTAACCTAACCTTAATTTTGCACCAAGACCACTGCCATTGCGATTTTGACATTTTGCCAATTTTCCGCAACGTTGACAATATATACATACAGAAGAAAGAAATCGAGTACCTCAACGTGATATTAGCGACCGATTCGTGTGCGATCAATTGCGAATTGTAGAAATTTTCATTGGACCAACTCATTATTTTACAATTCATTCTGAAATGATTCCAATTCAATTAGGACGTTGTCTTTTTTGTTTTTTTTTTTTGCATTATACCTATATTGCTCTTTAAGTAATACACTTATATTGCTATTCGCAAATTCTTTCATCATCCTTTCCATAAGTGAAACATGAAGATTGCCATTTTTGGCTTCTTCCGACACAACAATTGGAGGCAATTGCTGAGGATCTCCGACGAGGATAAGTCTTTTGCATTTCACCGTGCTCAACACTAATGACCAAATCGCGGGTTCAATGCATTGCGCAGCTTCATCTGAACGATCATTTGGATTTCAAATCCATTCGAGACCCTACCAACAATCAGCACATCCGGAAACCAATTCAAATTAATAAGCCATGGAATGAATGAAGCTGAGATTGTTGAGAAAATTCCGCGCTTGTTTCCATAAATTTCACAAAACATTTTGTATTTCAAATTGTTTAGCGCACTTTCTAATGACTTATTGGTTAAATTGCGATTCTAAAAAAGAAAGATACTAGAAAATTTTTTACCAAAAAAGTATTACCAATTCCCTGTTGAGATTTTCAAGTTTTGGAAAGTCTGGATGGTCTATGAGATCTTGATCTTTGTCAGTTCCACGAGCAAGCGCTGAAATTATTTCAGTTGTTACAAAACCAACAAAAAAGTTGGTTCAGACCTTCTGGAGAAGCTTTTCCATCGGGAGTTTGTTGAATACTTCTAATTGTAGCTTTCATTACATTGGCAACTGCAATATGGGTTGGACCACATACCAAAACCTGAATTCTGTAGAATAATTTCAAAAGCGCTTTCGTTTCACCACCTTCTTATTTTTATTTATTAAAAGCCGAACAATTTCAGCAATGGTTCGCGTTTTTCCAGTTCCCGGTGGTCCTTGAATACACAAAAACGGACGGCGATCATTTAGCGAAGCCGAAATCGCAGCAACTTGACTTTGGTTCAGATTTTCGTTCAAATTTGTCATCTTTCGGTCTGAAATCGACATTATTTGTGGTCAATTTCAGCTCAAACCGTGTATTGATGGCATCGTTGCCCCGCGAAATGCTAGATTTACGAGATGAGCACTCGCATTTTGATAATGCTCATTTTTCTTGAGAATTGCTAGCAGATTCTGCATCACGCCGGTGTCCTTTGACGGCAATATCACGAATTTTGCATTTTCCGGAACCGACGATACTGATTTAAGCTTTATAGCTATTTGATTTTCAATCGGATCGATCACAAATCCGTCATCGAATATTTTGAGGTTCGCATTTTCTTTGATAATTCCTAACGTTACTGGCATTCCTGGTTTCAAAAATCGAGTTCTCGTCGGATCAGCGTTAAAGCACAAATAACGCCCAAGAACTGGACTCGTTTGGTCTTCAGTAACTATAAGATTTGCCACGCACATGTTCCGTTCTTCGAGAATTTCCCAACTAGTTCCTTGTGCTATGGCTTCTTCTAACTACAAATTTCAATAACTTTTTTCCAAACAGTCCTTTATAAAGAAACCTGTTTACATTTCGCCTCAATTTCAATTTGAATCAACTTTTGCCATTTCTGAACTTGTTCGTGAAATTGGACAGGGAGACCGAATTTGGTGGTTTTCTTTTGACGTAGTTTTTTCCCAAATTTTTTCGACGACTAAAAATTACAACAGTTTTATGCAGGCAATACATTTTGGGAAACCTGGATTGAGCTGGTTCCTAATCGACAAAAAATAATTTTCGAGATAATTCGAACCCGTAAATTCTGAAGAACTCCTGACATGTTTGGTTTAACACTGAAAAACTAATATTCTTTGTTAGCTATTTATTTTTACTGTTTGTGTTTTGTTAGATGATTATGCGAAATTTAACCGTCTTTCATTTAAAATAGTTCGAGCGATTCAAAAATTCGCAATGGAGCGCGACCGCAACGCGGCACGCAACGCTACCAGTTTATTGAAAACATTCACACATTCGTTTGTTCGGCGTCGTCATTGTGCTCTCTAGCGTTGTTTCTGGGAATTTTTGGGTATTTCTTATTAAAGCACTGTTATTCATTCTATTCGTTCATGTTTTGTTGATAAAACTTTTCTTAAAAAAATAAAAGACACATCGTGTAATGTTTTTTTTCGGAAATATACTGTCACTATTAATTTTTTTCGCACTTGTTAATCTTTGTATATATATTTTTTTCTTTGACGTCACTGCATTTAAAATGGAATTTTAGTTTCAGAAATGTTTAATAACCCTGTAGTTTTGCTTTTTAACATTCGCTTTTTGTCAACTCATGCTTTTTTTTCAGAAGTGAGAACTTCCCAAACAGTTCGATTCAACATAGTTTTGTCACATTTTTTGAAATGTCTGTAATTATACGACTTCAAAACTTGCCCTTATCCGCAGCAGCGTCTGATGTGCGCGCGTTTTTCTCGGGCTTAAAAATTCCTGACGGCGCAGTTCATATTGTCGGAGGACCAGAGGGCGATGTGTTCATTGGATTTGCTTCTGATGAAGATGCCAGACAGGCGATGAAGAGAGATAGAATGAAATTACACAATTCTGAGGTTTGTACTGTTATAGTTTGATACGTCTACGTGGCTTTGAGATTACTCGTCATCCACCATTCCTATTCTGAAATTCCTGATACTGGTTCAACGTTGGGAGGGTTCAGATCTAAGGGTGCACAAAAGAAAAATGTTCGAATTAAAATTCCTGATGACAATTCCCCTTAAATTTATGTTGATGAAGCCTACAAATTTAAAAAGTGGAATGTATATTTGGGCTGTGAAACTTTCAATATGAATTTTGTAAATTTGGAAGTTTAACTAAACATCTGTTTTTCGAAGATCTAAAATTGGGGAATCTTATTCATGCTCGCGAAGTTAATACATAATGTAACTGCTCATTATCCGATTACTCTACACACGGCCCACCTGAAACATGTTGTTTGTTATGCTCTGTAAATATTTTCTTATTCCTGCCTAACCGATATTCTGGTACCTGCCAATTTATATGAGATGATATTGTCGAAGTCGGAATAATATGAACACTGGGAATGAATGAACAACAATCATTGTGCGCGCCTACTTCCTTTCTGGCTTCGGCAGTATTTCTAAAAATTTAACGCGGAAGAAATGATGATTTATTCGATAATCTCATTATACATGAAGTGAAACTAAAGTGGAAATAGCAAATTACTGTTATTACTTACTCGACATACCTGTATAACTATGTTCGGATGAATCTTCGGCACGAAACTTGCGAATTTTGACGCATCCGATGGCTCGTCCTGTTCTTGACTTCGTGGCGGGTCGTTGATAACTCAACGAAGATTCAAATGACGAATAGGAACAATGTGGTTTATCAGGCAGCCGATGAAAAAATCACAATTTAGTACATTGTGAATTGCGCATATTCTTCCGCGTTGTGTCTCAAAACGCAGCATCCGTCAAGCTTCATCAGTGCCTGGTAATTGTTGGGCTCTTCGATAAAATACACGCCAAAATTGGACGTATGTGAAATAGTGGCGATTCGCATCTATCAAGTCGTACATGGCCTGATTTGACGAATAATACCTATATGAACAGTTGGTATGAACTAATTGCACAATTTGTCGTTTTCCCGCAAGCAGAAGGCACATCCAAACGTATAAATGGCGTTTGTTTCTTCTTACCCCAAATTGAACATTGTCTAAAGAATTTTCTAGGAATGTGAATCAAACGGAAACAGAAAATACTGGTCCGTGTGCTCGAAATTTTTCAAATTTGCGGGGAAAAGACAACATTTGGTTTGAATCGAAAACTTGTTCTATTCGAACACACAAATTATTTGCGTTTTTTAATTAATGAGCACCGAGATGTTAAGAACTTCCCAAGCGAGCTCATCCATAACGAAATGTCTAATTATCACATTTCTTATCGGGCTTTTTCACTTTATTAAATTTTTCATTCATCTGATTTTCGCAAATTTAATGTCTTCGTATCGACAGATCTACATCGCTTTGAACCGTGGGATGCACTTTTGGAGCGCTTGCCAATCTGTTTTGTCAATATCTGGAAGTCTATCCAATCTGCTTCTTTTTAAGCGTTTTCGAACTATTCATGATTCTATAATTATAAGCTGCTGACACCTATGTGAAAATCTTTCATCGATCTATCCAGTGGAATGCAAAACACTTTAACGTAAGAAATTTTTAGATGAATGCATTGAGTAAAAATATCAAATTCGATAATTTTGCAAGAACTAAATAGATCCATTAAATTTAATGTGCTGTGAAATATTTTGCGCGAGTGTTTTGGATAAAAATTGTGGTCTAGTATTGATATTTGACAATAATTGAATGCATTTCTGGGAGTCCTATCCGCGTTCTGAAATTGCATCTCAACAAAGTAAAGATCTGAAAACGATAAAATGAAGTGTGCATAAATACTGGAATTAATGAATAACTTGTTTAAAATCTCATCGATATCATAGCTTAAAGAAACAATTCAAAAATAGGCAATTTTTATTTCCTAGTTGTTAAGAGATAATAAACTCGCTGAGTTGTGATAACGTTCCTTATTCATTTTTCCAATCAATTTTTGAAATTCGAAAAAATGTCAATTGCTACCCGAAAACGTGCAAATTGTTCAAACGGATAAGCTATTATTTGATTCGTAATAACCATAATTGAGTAGAGTTTCCTTTATAACAAATGTGTGCAAATGAGGTCCGGAAATTGTTTCCAAAAAAAATGCTTCTGACAAGTGGGACCATTTTTGTTCAGAATCAAAAAAGGCTTTCAATATGGGGTTTGGTATTTTTAGAACACTTCATATGCTAATTTGTCTAATTAGTTATTCATCAATGGTCCCATTTATTAAACATCTGAACCGTTGTACGCATTTGAGTCGTAATTTTCAGAAAATTGAGCATTATGTGTCTATTTATGCCAGATTTGGTTATTTGGCGCGAAGCGAATACATTTTCGTACGCCCCAATTGATATTTTCTGTGTGTTTGCATGTATTTGATATTAAGCCAACCCTCAAATGAGTTTGATACAAAAAGCCTAATTGAATTGAAATCGCCAAAAGTTGCCCGTCTTAGAAGTTGTAATATGCAATTAGTTCTCATATAACGTATAATTTATTGAAATACTAGGTCGGAAAAATAGAACTATAATTGAGAAAGCTGAAGAAAATACTTGGAAATCGTGTGATCACGAAAATTTGTTCCAAATTTGTGAGAAATAGGACTTTTAAATGTCCAGAAACTGACGCGGAAAATTTGTTTATTGGGTTCTTTAAAAAGTTGAAAGCGAAATATTCCAGATTCGGTTGCTTCTCTCATCGAAAACTGAAATGAATGCCGTCATCGAGCAGGCAAAAGCCGGCTATTTCTCTCCAAAGGATTCTGAACTTCAGTCGACCGCGCCACTTTCAGCCGCTTGGAATGAACGGCAAATGTATCCGCCGCAAAGACCCTCATTTCCGAAATATGTTGCTGACGACACAAATAAGCCAGCGTATGCCCGAATGGATTATGCACCAAGGCGTTCTCCGCCAAGACGATCGCCACCAAGACGATTGTCTCCGCCAAGAAGAAGTCCGCCAAAAGAGATTTACGAAGGAGGGTACATCGGAAAATTTGATACACGTCCGCCATATCAGCCGTTTGAAGTATTCCTGACATCTTAGTGAGCACTTATTGAATATTGAAACAATTTAGGAGCGGTCTCGTGCAGTTCGAGAAGAGACACCTGAGAATGGGTTGAAGGATGCGTTCGCGAATCTTCCGCCGCATCTTCGACCACCGCATGGAATACCGCCGCCGCACATGAGACATCTTTTGCCGCCGAAAATCGAGTCGCCGTCAGATATCAGAAAATCCGATTCGGACTCGTGGAGAGAATCGAGATTCAATTCGTAATATTCTTTTGAAATCGCGACTCTGAATTTCAACAAATGAGCATTTTCAGAGCATCTGAGCCGCCGGTTTATCCGACAAACACACGAGCGCCTTTGATAAAGACGCTGCCGGAGTTGCCAAAAAATGGGGCTCGAAAACCGCTTCTCGGAAATGGAGCACCACCATTTAATGTAGGAAGTGCTTTGAAACGACAAAAAAACAAGAAAAATGAGATTTATAGGAAAGACCAGTTCCGCCACAATTACCGCCATTTGTTAAGAAAGCTGCTCCACCAACAAGCTCGCCAAATGGACAACAATCTACTACTAAGTATCCGGGATTTTCTGGAAACATTTTCATTTGCGTGTTGATTTCAGTTCGGAGAAATACTATATTGAGCTAACCCGACTTCCCAATGATTTGTTGAGTCCGGCGAACCTCGAAGAATTCATTAAACCGTCGACACCGCTCACATTGTCATCGGCGAAAGTCGTTTTCGGACCAGGAGGAATTCATGTTCATACGATTGTCCGTCTTGAATCGCGCGCTGATATGACTCGAATGCTTAGTCGAGATGGAGAAATGGGAATCAAGTTGGATTTTCGTGTGTTGTTTTCTTCTTCTAGTTGAAGAATTTTCAGAATTCGTGAATCGTCCAAACGCGACTTTGACGATGCCATCGATGGCGTTCTTCCACTTGCCACGACTCCTGGAATGGAGGACGAGAATCGACCAAGACGTCGTCGAAGCCCGGAGATTCGCCGAAGTCGCAGTCCGCCGAGAAGGCGTCGATCGAGAGAACGAAGCAGGAGAATGTCGCCGGATCGCAGCAAAAGAAGGCGATCTCGAAGTCCGCGATCGTTCAAACCGCACACCGACCTCAACCGATGGTGTGTTCAGATCACAAACGTGCCATTCAAATGTAAAGAAGATGAACTGCAAGCGTAAGATGAAACATAGTGACAATTTGAAAATTTGACGAGAATTTGCAGATGGTTTGCGCAGAAGGTGAAACCGGCGAAATTGGTGCGAACCCATTATGCGGATGGAAATGCATCGGATCGTTGGATCGCCGAGTTCTCAAGTCAGAGTCTCATGAGAAGAGCGATGAGCATCAAGGGATTGTGCTCAGGAAGAACATTGAGACTTCAATATATCGACAATGATTTGGCGGATGAGCTTATGAGAATTGAAGATGTTTATGGTGCGGAGAAGAAGCAGCAGAATGAGGCACTTCGGGTAGGATCATCCGAAAACCGTTTGTTTTTTAATTGCCGATAATTTCAGGATTATGCTATGAAAGAACTCGAATCGAGAAATCATCATTTGATGAGTGACGACGATCCGCAATATCCGTCGACGTCGCAAATGCCTCTTCCGCCGCCGCCGACATTTTTCCCGCGCGGACCACAAAGAGGTGTGCCGCCGCATATGGTACGAGGCGGAATCGCCCCGCGCGCCGGCTACCATGGATATCCAATGCGTGGAATGCTGCCGTATGGCGGAGGTATGTATCGCGGGAATCGAAAGCCTTCCGAGCCGCCGACGGTGAATCCAATTTCGGAAATGGCTCGTTCGTTGGGACCGCCGGGTACTGTTGTTTCGTGCAGCGGATTCCCAAGAGATGTCACTTTGGAAGACGTGGTGAGTGGACGATCGTATCTCGGCCAAGTCATAACTTTACTTATTTTCAGTTGAAATTTTTTGATGCTTATAATCCCGACCATAATTCGGTTCGTATTCGCCGAGGCGATGACGGCTTGATGACCGGCGAGTGCATGTTGGCTCTTGACACTCCCGAACATGCCATCGAAGCTGCCAAGAACCTCAACGGAGCTACTATTAAAGACCAATTGATTAAGGTCGAAGTTCCAAATGTTTAAAATTATACATTGTTCTTAATGTTTAGCGACGATCTCATTATTATCCCAGTTTTGTAATTATTTTTCTTTGTTTAGACTTCATGTTTTCTTTTTGATAATAATAAACGCATTTTGTTTGGACTCATTGGTTTATGCACATGCTCAAAGAATCAATAAGAAATAAATTAAAGAAATAGTTATTTGTGGAAAACACCGAATAATTCTGGGAGCTTACGCGTAGTAGTTGAGAGACGCCTTCTTCTTAGCTTGGACTTCGAGAATAGCATCCATGAAGTCTTCGTGGAGAATCTCAGTGGCGTCTCTTCGAAGAGCAATCATACCCTGAAAATGTGCCATTCAAAACTATCGATTTGTTGCTAAAACAGTCATAATTCAAATTGTACCCGTAAATAAACACCGAAAGCGTTAAAGGGTAGGATCCGCAGTCGTTTGATGTCGTCAATACAAAATTAAAAATTCAACTCACCGCTTCAACACAAACTGCTTTGCATTGGGCTCCGTTGAAATCATCTGTGCATCTTGCGAGCTCTTCAAAGTTCACATCTTTGCTGAAAACATTATATTTGATTATTGCAATTAGCATCTAAAAGTCTTACTTGACATTCATCTTTCTCGAATGGATCTGCATGATCCTCGCACGCGCATCCTCGTTAGGGTGGGGCAATTCAATTTTACGATCCAATCGTCCGGAACGAAGAAGAGCAGGATCAAGAACATCGATACGGTTAGTGGCGGCGATCACTTTAATCTGATCGTTTGGCTGGAATCCGTCGAGCTGATTGAGAAGTTCGAGCATAGTTCTCTGCACTTCACGATCTCCAGCCTTTTCGGAATCGAAACGTTTCGTACCTAATTAAAAAATAATAAAAATCCACAATTTGAGATAAATTTACCAATAGCATCGAGTTCGTCAATGAAAATGATAGCGGGAGCCTTTTCCTTGGCAAGAGCAAACGCATCACGGACAAGTTTAGCTCCATCTCCGATAAACATTTGGACGAGTTGAGGACCAGCGAGTTTCAAAAATGTGGACTTGGTCTGCGCAGCGACAGCACGAGCCATCATAGTTTTACCAGTTCCTGACAATAACAATTCAGCTGTTAAAATAATAGTCTGACGTACCTGGAGGTCCGTACATCAAAACACCTTTTGGCGGTTGGATTCCAAGATTCACAAAACGATCCTTGTGGGTCATGGGAAGCACAACAGCTTCAATAAGCTCTTGAATTTGCTTGTCGCATCCTCCGATATCAGAATATTGCTCAGACGGTCGCTCGTCGACTTCCATGGCCTTGACACGCGAATCGTACTCGGCTGGTAACTTCTCAAGGATCAAGTAAGAGTCCTTGTTGACACCGACAAGATCTCCTGGTTTCAAAAGTTCGGGATCTACGAGTCCAACAACCGGCAAAAAGTATGTAGCTCTGGTAGATGTCTTAATAACGGCGCACTTGGTCTTTTGTGCGTCAAGATCGACATTCGCTCCTTCTTCTTCTTGATTGTCTTCCAGATCGAGAAGTTCGACAACGTTTGAGACAAGATATGGCAGAGTCTTATTCACTTTGATTCTCTCCGTATTTTCCTTCACTCGATCCTTCAATGTTTGTGCAGAATGATTTATGCGTTGCACTTCGCTTCGCATAATTCTAAATAAATAAGACAATTCAAAATTCTTACGTTTCAAAAATTACCTAATTTCATTTTCCAACAGATGGGTGCGGCTTTTCAAATCATCTGTTGACATACGCAATATCTCCTCGTCCAGTGTCTGAAAATCCTATTTTTAAAATTTAAATTATTTACTCATAACCTCCTCGACTTCCATCGCCTCTGGGGCCTTGTTTCCTTCATTTGGTTGTTGGGAAGCCATATCTCAAATAATAAACGATAATTTTAAACGGAAATATGATAAATTATGCAAAAACCGAGGGAAAACTGCCATTTTTAAAATTCGGCAAACGATGACGCGTTCCTCTTCACGTAACAGTGTTTGCAGACAAGACGTTGCACTTGACGCAATTTTTATTTTTTCATTTTGATAATCTGTTAAAATCACTTTTGCAAAGATAAACTCGTTTTCATTATTCGAATCGGTCCTAAGCGTGTTCATACGACATTTCATAATTGTAGAATGGTGCTAAAACGATTATTATTGCGTCGAGGAGTTGCAACAAAAGCTTCTACAATGCGCGCATGGGTTTCCGATGGTTGTGGAATCGAATTGCGGACAATATCGAAGCCAATCATCACAAAGCCTTCTCAAGTGTTGTTGAAAGTAAAGGTGAGCGAAAACTGCCAATTTTTGCTGTGCACAATAATTACGTGCAATTTTCGAATTTGCGTTCGAGTTGAGAATATCAATATAAACCAGCTTAGGCGAGCAGTGTGAATCCTCTTGATGTTGAAATGTCTCAAGGGTACGGTCGTGAACTTCTCACCAGATGGAAACAGTTGGCAGCATGCGATCCAGCCGTCTCACACTTCCCCGTTATTCCCGGTCGTGATTGCTCAGCCGTGGTGGAAGCCGTCGGTGGAAACGTGCATAATATTGCACCCGGCGATGAAGTGATTGCCGTGATTCCAGTCGTCGATCAAGGAACACATGCCGAATATGTTGTTGCAGATTCGAAATTCTGTTCGAAGAAGCCTGAAAGACTTTCGTTCGAAGAAGCAGCCGCTCTTCCATATGTGGCCAGTACCGCCTACGCTGCACTCCGAGTTGCTCAAGTGTATCCAGAAAATGCAAATGATCAACGAGTATTGATTCATGGAGGCTCTGGAGGCGTTGGATCCGCCGCAATTCAGCTTCTCAAGGCTTGGGGTTGTCAGAAGATCGTCACAACATGTTCAAAAGACAGTTTCGAATTAGTCTCGAAAATTGGCGCAATTCCTGTCGACTATTCTTCACCAAATGCCACCCAAGATCTCGTCGATAATGGCCCCTATGATGTGGTTTTCGACACTGTTAATTCAGAATTGGCGAAATGGAGTGATAATGTAAGTTTTTGTTTGAAAATTGGGTTTTTTTTTGAGTACAAAACTTGTTGTTGAATGCAATGTTCTTTTTTCATAATTTTAGTTTTTCGTTAATTAATTGATTCAAATAAACTTTAAAAAAACCAAAATATTCTAGGTGATGGGATTCTGGCGAAATTCAGTTCATGTTTCGATAGTCTCACCGCTTCTACGCGAAATTGATAAGAATGGTTTTGTTATTGGGCTTTTTAGCACCGCTCTCCAACATTTCGAGCGTTCATTCCAGGTATCAACTAGACGCCGTTTATCAGATTTCATAACGAAGAAGTCGAATTGTAGAGTCACTTGCGCGGCCGCTGGTTCACCTACGCATTCTTCGTGCCAAGCGGCAGTTTAATGAGGCAGCTGACGAAACTGACAGAGGAAGGAAAAGTAAGATTTCGCTGGGTTTTGGTCGACTATTAATTTGAAACGGAATGATTCGGTTCACCTTAATACCAATTATTAAAAAAAACTAGATGATCAGACATCGCAAAAATAGCGCAAAATGACATCCATTGACCAAAAAATTTTCCAAAATAATATTCCAGTTTTCATTCCAACAGTTTGAAATTGAACAAGGACAGAATAGTTGTACTTTCTGAAAAAAAAAAACAAATTCGTAGAGGTTAAAATTCTTTTTTTTTTTAGAGAAATTGAAAAAAGAAATATTAATTTTCGATAACTTTCTTATAAGAGCGCGTCAAATTGTTTGAGTTCGAAAATATCTTTTTAATTTGCCACCATGTAAAAGAATTGAATTCTGTTGGTGTGTATTAAAAAGAATGATGACATTCGCTATGGGCAGCTCTGATTAGAACTATTTTTATCACATAACTGCTAATTTCGGTCAGTGGTTCGAAAATACTCAAATTTGTGACATGTATCGTTGCATTTCACATCAATTATTTCTACAATATCAATTAAAATCACCTATCACGATTCAAAATGTTCGTAAATTCTTGAAAAATGTTAAAAAAATCAATTTCTATATATGTTTTCCAAACGAGACCCAATAATGAAATTCAAAATCGTTCTCATAAATCGACACTAGTTAAATGCCCAATTTTTTATTCAAAATATTTCCGGTTTCCTGATCAACAAAAAATTGTTCAATTAACTTCTAAATTACAAATGTTTGTTTATGAATGACCCTTTGAAATATCAAAATGTTGTTTTCGAGAATATTCCATTTGTTTTCTACAAATTTCATAATTGTGCTGTCTAGTCATATAACCCTCAAACACACGCGAATTTGTTGCAAACGGAAATTGAAAAACGAATTTTAATTAAAAAATTTGACGATGGTGTCAGGCTACAGATGAAAGATCGTTGATATCAGAAAATATGATTCAGAGAAATGAATCCCAATGAGAAAATCTGAATTGGATGCGATTTCGCAAGCCGCTTATTATTAATCATGTTCATTTCAGATGCAGCCAATTGTTCAGCGCGTGATGAAATTCGAGGAGATGGAAAAAGCGTATGAGAAGGTGTCGGAGTTGCGAGGCCGCGGCAAAACCGTTATCAAGTACGATTAGGATTCGAATAATTATGCTGTAAATTTGATGGATTCACTAAAAAATTCTTAATTTCTAACAATGTACGGTTTGGAAACTTGTCTGGCAGCGCGCTTATATCTATCTGCCTACGCGCACAATGCTTTCATTTTCAATCGCGCTTCTGTTCATCTCATCACTCTCCATTCGCATTCGTGTTTGCGTGAGTGTCCCTCCTCTTCCCGCCTCGGACGTCGTGCGCGGAATTTCGCTTTCGGGCCATTCGAATGCGTCGATCACTTGCCTGATGCATGTCACCCGTCTCTACAGTCGAACATTGTATTTACACCCGTTTGCATTTCTGATTGTGCCTATTATCATCACCACTGTGGTCCCGATTGGAATATTGTATTGGTTTCCGATTCGATTATCTCCGAATGCTGAAGTGGTGGGTTGTTTTCTTCAAAATACATCAAGTTCAAAAAATTAATCTCAAATAAAAAAGTCGTCCAAAACCAGTATTATTCCAAAAATGAAAGTGTTCTTAAAATTATTAAGAAAATCGATCTCACGCTTATAATCGACTTCCTTATAGATTTTCGATTAATTCTGTTCAAATATATCATCGGTTTTAAACTTTACTCCGTTTTTTCCTTTCTCTGCTTCAAGAATTCTTCATTTTGGGCACTCAAACATTTTTGCGAGAAAAAATGACATCGAAACAATGGCAAATCCCTTCATTTATCCTTTAAAAAATTGGTTTTCGAGACGCTCGAAAAAACACAATCGAAAGCATTTCAATGCGGCTTGTTGATCTTGTCTTGTCGCGATATTCTGTTCTAATTGGATTTTGCTTGCAATTAGCCGGGATAACAATCCATTTCCTTAGTTTGGCATATCAAATAGCTTCAATAAAAACGTTTTTTTTTGGGAAAACGAATTAAATTCGCAAAAATTGTGCATTCACTTTAACGCAACAATGCACTGATTTTACACTACAGTAACCTAAATAGTATTGGCAGTAAATAGACGAATCGACGAATCGTTCAAAACCAGAAATCGCGACCATCTTACGCGATAGTTCTTAATCCTCGTTTCGCAACTGATCCGTTTCAAATGTTTGCCGGCCTCAACACAAAAATTATTATGCACGCCGTCAATGCCATCTCGCTACCGGTTGTTCCGAAGAGTAACAAGAAGAAAATGAATATGGAAAAAAGCACGGCGAAGTGGAATTGTCTTCGAACAGATTATATGATGAATTGAGGCAAAATTGAGGTCGAATGAAGCGACGCGCAATAAAATATCGAGTGCAACGGATTAACATGCTTATTGTTTTTTACTGGTCGAATCGTCCCTCGATGACCAATTGCGAATTTCCTCGTAATAAAATAGTTTTGGCGAGAAACGAAACGAGATTTGAAAATCGGTGTTCGACCAACTTTTTTCGTTTCATTAAATAAATTCGAAACGAATTTTGAGATGTAAAACATAAATTTTGAATGTCAATGTTAACCAGCCGACATTTTCAGGGATTCGACACCAAAGACACGGCACTTTCGGGTCCACGACTTGCATGGGCTCGGATTCAGCCGCTGCTCATGTTCACAAATCGCATATCGTTCTCGAACCCGCGCGAGATTCCGCCCAACACGCAACAACCATCAACGAAGCCGATCGTGCGACGAGTTCGTCGAAGTTGGGCCGACAATCTGCTGCAGGCAATCAACCAGGTTGCCTGCTACGACGCACCCATCCCATTAATGGACCACTTATCGCAAATCGTGCTCGAAGTCGACCACTACGATGACATTTTTGATTTGAATTTCCTCGAAAAACTCTGCGCTATGCAATCGGACATCGCGAAACCGCTCGCCAGATTCGATTCCTTTACGCCATATCGAAACATCTGGAGTGTCGCCAATATGTTTGCTTGTATTTCGCCAAATTTGAGGGTGAACTGCACCCAACTTGATGAGGTGAAAACATTTCAACATAATTAACACGCAATTAATATGAATTATAGACGGATATTAAACTAGTACGCGAGGTGGTTGATGATTGTTGGAAACATCGAGATGAGATCCTCGAATGTCGCAGCGAGAAATGCAATGGAGTTTGTGAGGCGTGTAAAGGTATCACTATGATCACAATGATTCATTCAAAATTAATTTATCTCTTTAAAAAAAAGAGGTTCCATCTTCGTGCTCGACACAAATAATATTCGATTTATTCTACCGCATTCTGCCGAAGCATCGCGAGGACTCTCCATTTCTTGTGAATACCTTCCTGCCAGTTTTCACACTTACTGGATACATCACACAGCAAATACCAGTTGATGTGCTACTCTATGATGAACTGGAGAACGGGATAATGGAATTCACGAAGAAAAAGGAATTTAAGCTTAAAGGTGAGAAAAATAAATGTGCAATACATATACAGTACTGGCCATAATGATGTTCGCCTAGTGTTTTTTGAGCATAACTTGGCTCAAACGCAGCCGATCGGGCTGAAATTGTTACACTATCTTTAAAACGCGTTGAAAATGCGTTTGATTGGTATCGCATACTGCAGAAAATTTTTTTTTTCGAAAAATCACAAATTTCATAAAAATGCAGAAAATGGAAAAAATGACACAATGTGATTTGAAAGTCTCAGAAACCCGAAAACATTACAAATGTGTAGAAAACCGGTTTTTAATTTATCAATACTTGTTTGCGTATCCCTTGGCATCAATAACCGCTTGGCATCTGCGAGACATCGAGTCCAAGAGGGTGCGGATCACTGTATCGGAATGGCACTCCATGTGGTTTAGAGTTGAGCGAACTTTTCGTCGGCGTTTGATGCTCGGAGCCCTCTAACCCTGCGTTTCAGTTCTTTCCAGATATGTTTGATTGGATTATGGTCAGGAATCTGTGATGGCCATGCAAGAACATCAACTCGGCGACGTTGGAACCAATTCTTTACATGTCCAGACGTGTGCTTAGGATCGTGTCTTGCTGGAAAACGAATGCACGTCCGACGCTTGCCAAGGCCCAAGGTCCCATTGTGGTTTCCAGGATAGCCTTGTGCTGGTACCGATCCATGATTCCATTTACACGTCGAAGCGGTCTCATGGCGGTGTCGGGGAAGCAGTCCTAGACCCTGCAAGATGCTTCATCGTTCGGAGGTGGTACTTTGGCATGAATCTGGCTCCGATAGGTCGACGAATCCACTTGATTTCATCACTTCCGAACAAGTCGAACCTCGATTCATCGCTCCAGATGTGTTTGGCCCATTCACATCGTCCCCAGTTCATATGATCCTTGCAACATGCCACCCTCGTTTTTTTTCAAGATGTTCCCATCTTGGAGCCTAGTAGTTTTGCAAGGTCTACCATGTGATTTCTTAACAAAAATGCAGCCCAATAGATTAGAAACAGTCCAGAATGATTAAAAAATTGTAAATTTTGTCTTGATCGTTGCAAAACTTTTTGGATTCCTCTTCGGGAGCACAGGAACTGCTGAGCCAGAAGGCTTCTGGACGACCCAGTCTTATGACCGTTGACGATCGCTTTTTGAACGTCCGCCGTGAAATTTTTCTTTCCAGAAGGTTGAAAAATTACTAAAAAACATGTTTCAAGTTCAAATTTCAAATAAAAAATTTTTATGGACAAAGTTTGAAAAAAATGAAAAATTGCTAAAATCGAAAAAAACAAAAAAAATTTTTTAAAAAATTAATTTTTCAACATGAGGCAGTTTTATTGTTTCCAAGGTTGCACAACTATGTTTAGCGTTTACAGTAAAAATTTCAGCCAAATCGGCTGCGTTTGAGCCAAGTTATGCTAAAAAAAAACTAGGCGAACATCATTATGGCCAGTACTGTATATGTATAGTATATAGCAAAAAATCGATAAAAATTTCAGGTCTCTTAATGGATGTAAAACGGGATCGTCTTCTGACTGCTGCTCTCAAAGATTCGCTTCTCGCCCTTCTCGCTGCTTTTCTCGTCATGCTCGTCGTCGCCATCCATTCGCAATCCCTTCTTTATGCCTTTGTGGTCATCCTATTGCTCGGATTGTCCGTCGTCGGAGCACTCGGAGTCTACAGCTTCTTCACCGACGAGTTTCCCCTATTGAACTTGGTCACATTCGTTCTACTCATCGCAATTGGATCTGATGACGCATTCCTGCTGCGGACAAATTTCCCGAAGCATTTAAATGAAGACACATTCCACGAGGTTAGTATTCAAGCAATTTCGAAACATTTTGTTGTTTGAATCATTCTAGTTCCTAATGCACACCTCGTTCACGATGTTTCTCACATGTTTCTCAACCGTTGTTCCGTTTTTCATCAATATCACTTCAAATGTCATCGTATTCCGGTAACATCAATCTCTTGATCACGTTCATTTTTCTATCCAATATTCCAGTTGTTTCGGGTTATTCGCCGGTGTTACCGTCATCTTCAATTATTTCCTCGTCGTCTCATTCCTTCCGGCGTTTCTTCTTGTCCAGCATCGTCATCTCGACTGTTTTCCGTCGCCCAAGGTCCCACTGCGATCCACGTTGTCCCATCTCATGTACGTTCTTCTCCCACATGTTCTGGTTCAGGTATGTGAGATATTCTCGATTTTCAGCTTAATTTGAAACCCACGAGTTTTAGGGCCGATTTTTGTTCATGGCTCTTCTAAGTGTGGTTGCGATTGGTGGCGCTGCGATCACCTACGAAGGCCTTCATCTTCCGGAGTACAATCCATTGCAACTGTTCACGTCGGATAATCTGCACGAGTGGTACGATAACAACGCCGAGCGTCATTTCGAGTTTGTCGCCCACAAAATCGCACTTCCGTTGACGTCGCGACTCGTTTGGGGCGTCGAACCGATCCATTCAACGTCGACGTTCCGAGCGAACGCGACCACTCCATTGAGGTCGGATCCCTTATTTGGATTGCGAACTCCTTCCGATGTTCGAAAATTGGCAAACGAATTGCGAAAAGTGCGACGATTGCCGTTCATCGAACATCCGCACAAATTTTGGCCCGAACGATTTTTGGAATGGTCCGATGACTTCCCATGCGCTGAAGGGTAGCTGATATATCCAAAGATCAATTCCAACAATCACATTTGCAGATTCTTGTGTTGCAACATGACGAATTCGCTCTTCTCAAACACATATTTGGATTTTTGCCTTCGCAATTCAACTTCTTATCTTCCGACGTCTTACAACGACACCCCGATCTTCGACAACGAGACGTTTGCGCTTGTTGGATACACGGCGATGCTGCCGACGCATCTCAAATACAATCATCGATTCGCTCTTCTCTCCGACGCCTTCAATCTTCTTGAGAAGACGAAACCCGATGATGGCTGGTGGGCGCCCGAATGGTGGCTCATGTCGACCTGGTTCGATCTTCTCACCTCGATCGTCGCTGATTGCCAGAGTTCCGTCATCGGCTCTCTCGTCTTCGTCGCCATGTTCGCATTCATTCAATTGAAGTTCCAAGCTGTTGCAGCCGTCGTCACAATCGCGTGCGTCATCTGCACGTCTTCGGCAATCGTGACAATGCTCGGCTGGGTTCTCGGAGTGCTCGAAGCAGTCATTCTCGTCCTCGTCGTCGGATTGTCGTTTGATTACACTCTCCATTATGGAGCCGCTCTTCCAGATAGTAAGCTTCATCTTTCATTATTTCAATGATCACGATTGTCTTGCAGACGGCTGTTCGGAGCACCGGATTCGAGAAGCGACGGCTCGCGGAGTCGGCCCGGTCACTCTCGCCGCATTCACCTCATTCCTCGCCGGCGCTTCAATGCTTTTCGCCAAGACGCACGCATTCTACCAAGTGGGAATCTTCCTTGTCGTCATTTCCATAACGAGTTGGACATTCTCGACGTTCTTCTATCTTCCAATGCTTTCGATGACACTCCCGCGTCTTTCGAAAACGTGCAATTTCTGCGACAAGTCGTCAAATCTAATGCAGTTGCACACAAACCATCGGCTTTAAATTCTCATTTTGCTCATTGTCAGACTATACGGGTAATTCAATAAAATTATGCTGGATTTATCCAAAAAAAATAATTATAACAAATGCATAGAAGGGTAGGGAAGACGAGATCGCTGAAGTGAGAATCACACGAATTGACACACACACACAGGACTACAAGTATCGCACAGAAATATTAATTATGCAGGTTGGCTCTCGGACGCGGAATCAGCTTTTCTGCGGGATCTGAAATTATATCAACGTCAAATTTCACATTTCTAGAGATTTGCAGGCGACTGGTCGGATAGAGTCGACTCCGATGAATGAGATCATCGTCGAAAATTTTAAACTACTCAATCGCAAATTTAGAATTTCAGAAAACAGCTTACTTCCAAAAACGCTCGTAATAAATCCCGTCCAATCTCTTTCAAGTCATCAGTATTTATCTGAAAATTCAAAAAATTTTATTTCAAAACAAAAACGAATTCGACCTGAAATCCCTTGTTCTGCGCCATTTGGAATCCGCAATATGTGGATTCAAGTGTATACGCCAATTGTACACCAAATTGACGCCAAACATTCACACGCGCCGATGATTCCTTGGCTCGCGATATCGAAAACTTGCACTCTAACGGATTGAATTTTCCAGAGCACGTTTGCTCAAGAGCTTTCAGCAGTGCAAGGTATTCATCATCCTCGGTAGCGTCGGAAACGTCTTCTTGCCTCCAGGACTCAGCCGGGTTGTTGCCGAACAAGAAACAGTCCCACTTCTTCGAATGCCCGTGTAGATCAACATAAGCAAACGGCTTCTTGTTCAACACATCGCACAAGAACTGAATGATGGCCTTCGAGTGGAAGATTTCCGGATGTAATCCCTCATTCGGTCGATCCCACACGCGATTCAGATCAATCCCAGCCAATGAGCATCGATGTGATCCATTTATAACACCATCCGGATTGAGCATCGGAATGATTTTGAAGACGAATTGCTCGCGGAGTCGGTACATCTCCGAACTGGTGCCGCACAGCAGATTCTCCAATATTCCCTGCATGATCCAGCTCGAGTTGCTTTCGCCGGGATGAACGCGAGCACTAAGAACAATAACCGGTTTCGCAGACACTTCCGAACTGGAACAAGCCGATGTGATAGTGAGCATTTTCATCGCGTTTTCGGCGAGACTAAAACCAATCACATCTTCTCGACAGTAAACTGCAGTGAGTTGATGGCGTCGGAGATTGCTCAAACTAGCCTGAAATTCAATATATTTAAGATAATATTATTTCAAAAGAAAATAATTACCATAAGAAATGAGTAAGTGTAAGGATAATGGTAAGCAATATAACAAACATCTCCAGTATTTTTGAAGGTTATATCGAAACGAATCGAATAGTAGTGCCTACAAGAAAATTTCGATTCACTCCGAATGATTTAATGAAAGCTCACAGTTTTTTCCGTTCTTCTCCGTTCTTTTCATCAACCGCTCCCGCTACTTCGCTAGTGTACAGGTTACGGTAGTATAGGATATTCTCTCCAACTCGTTTCCATCCAAGACCCGCATCGGCCATCGAGAACATCACCGGTTGCATTCCCTCGCTGTACATTGATGTCGATTTGAAGCAATTGGCGATCTCGAAGGTATATTCAACACCTTTTCGCATATTCGACACCTAAATAGAAACTCATTTTATGTTCAATTCGAAATTGAATTAGAGATCACATACCTGGAAGAAAAACCATTGGTAGTGATCACGAAGCTGATTGAGATCAGGCGAGAGGAACAACTCATAATGATTGGGAGACTTCTGTGTGACACGTCGAAGGTTTCCGCTCTCGAATCGACTCTCGAATCGCAGATCATCTCCAGGAGATTTTGGCAAATTCTCTCCGAATAAGAGTGGATCAACATCATAGACAATTTTCGGTGACATCTTGGTGTTCACGTTCTTCTCAAGTTCGTCGCTTATTAATTTACTGCAAAATTTCGTATTTTTCAAGAATAGAATAAGCGATCCTTGCATTTTTTTTAACGAAAAAAATAATGCTTTTCAGATTGTATTTCATATCAAATACCTCATGCTATTTGTCGATTTCATAAGCTTCTCATTTCTCGCCGACGGCGTCGTGAACATCTCCAACGGGAGTGTCTCCTGGAACGGCATCACGTGCTTCGTTCGTTTGCACACCTCCGACCAGCTCTCTTCGGCATTTCGGCTCGTTTCAACCATGCAACCATATTCGAATTCGCCGAAAAACGGCGCGTACTTGTTGAGTTGCGTCGGTGTCAACTTGGTTGTTTTCGGAAGCGGCAGTGCTTCCTGCAATAGACGCCAATGAATTATTTATGCACAATTGCCGAGGAGATTGAAAGAACAACATTTCGGGCAACGCACTCAGTGCGTCACCTTCATGAAAATTTGGCTCTCTTACCTTCTCATCATCATCCGACTGCTCACAATTGGACGAAGCATTCTGATCCTGAAACGCCATCTCATCATCATCAACTCCGTCTTCATCGCTGGATCGTCCATTATCGAACGAGACATTTATGGAAGATGAGTTGCGCACTCGGCCGCCTGGCGTCGCGGGTGTCGCCGGCGGCAATGGGAACACAAGGCGAAACGGCACATTCTCCAACGGATACGGTACCGGCGGCATGCAACGGAGCCACAGCGAGCAGAGTGAGTCCTGAAACATAAAACATGCGATTTATCCTTTCAATATTAAAGCATCTGGTGTCGGAGGCTGCACAAAAAAAAACTTCCAAGAAGATGAAGAAGAAGAAGAAGAAGAAAGAAAAGAAAACAAAAGAATTGTCGCATATAACTTGTTGATCTCAACAATTCCTCTCCTCTAATCACTCAAGTGAACGGCCAACGAAAATGAAAAACGGGAAGGGAGGGCACACACCAAGTCAACAGCGAAAAAAAAAAAGAAAACAAACTTCTATTTGGCAGGCAGGTGTATAACTGCGGTCTCTAGCTAGTCGCTTTCCAACGTTTTTTTCTTGCTTGTTTGGAAAGATTAGTGAAGAAGAAACCAATAGAGAAAGATATAAAACGAGGTGTTGACGAGATGCGATCAGTGAAATTACGCGAAATTTCCACAGAGTTTCAAGAATGTCGAAAAAAAATTAAACGAAAAATCACGAAAAGCTTGAATCGACTTTCGCATCGAATTCTCAAACGAGACAAACATCATGCATTTATAGAACGAATTAGAAAAGAGAATGCGTGCGTGTTTATGTGTTCCGCCGACGGCGTCAAATTTGTATTCGGAAATCGTCAACGAATTTTGCTGCTCAACTGATTCAAGCGGATTCGCAATTCGAAGAGTGTATATATTATATACTAAAATCGGAAACGCGCCTCTCAAATTTCTCACTCCTTTCTCATAATTAAACGAGAATTTGCATGAATAATGAAGTGCGCGCTTCGGGATCATATCATAAATATGCAACTTCTCATGTTCTATGCAATTATTTTTGAAAAATTCACACGAAATAAATAATTTCCAGGAAAAACAAAGCTTTCGGAAATACGCATTAAAGAATTAAACACCAGATGCTTTATAGTCGACATCGATAAGGAAATATCTGATAAAAACTCACCACAATTTTTGCACGTTGCCCACCTTTTGGCGCATCTTTGCTCATTTCTTTGAGCTCTTTTGCACAAATATCGAGTACACCAGTCTGTATCATCTCATCTCTCGCCTTCTCTGCAATTTTTCATGTAAAATATTTGAATGAGAATACAAATCCCCCTTACTATTGTTAGCCAAAAGTCTTGAAATGGCAACACATCCAATAACGACATCACCTCGTGCCGACGTCATTGCAGGATTGTCTTGAGTCCCAAAAAGGCTCGACAACAATCGCGGAGGTCTTGAGATCGCAGAGAGCTGCTTCCGCAAGATATCGATGATCGTCCGACTAATCGAATCACGTATTGTCTGGAGCCGAGTACGACCTGAAGAATACTAGATGAATTCATCAGCATAAGTCTGCAACGCAATATAGCAATTGTCGTGTCAAGTGCGTTTACTTGATTCTGTCGACCTTGAAAGTGACAACGCGTTCCACGAGGCATTCTTTTAATTTTTCTGATATTTGAAAGAACAAAAATCAATTAAATGAAACAAACAACTTCGTAAAGACGTCAGCAGCTTAAAAATAATTATTTTCTTTCAAAAATAGATACATTTAGATAGAAAAAGTCAGATTAAATAACTCACGATTTTTCAATGTGAAAAAAAGAATTTGCAGATGTTTGTCGAGCAATTGAACAGACGAAATCTCATCCAAATTCTCGCTAATCGAGGTGATTCGCGCCATTAATTTTGCCATGAACCCATCTTGTCTGCCAATCGATTGACCATTTCTTGCTAAATATTATGAAATTAGAAACATTGAAAATGATCGATTTGGCGTCATACGAGATCTTGCCATTCGAATGAAAACCGTGTAGAATTCGGGACACAATTGATCAAACTTGACAAACACGCGACACATTGTCGGAAGAAGGCCACTGACACGGACTTTGAGATTAAAACGATTATCTGAAAAAGTGATCATTTGAAAATCGAAAATTTGTTTTGATAATTTGAACCTTTAAGCCCAATCTTATACAACAGGGTGTAAAGCATTTGATCAACTTCCAGATCTAATTGAGATCGTTGATTCAGCTCAATCCGAAGAAGAAGACGTTTACGAATGGTCCGACTGAGTGTCGCAACCGCGTCGTTTTTGATTATCCCCTTCTCTTTTCTCCTATCTGAATTATGATTCATATTCGTGTCGAGACCCGACAAAAATATACCTTCGACAGAGACTATTTCGAATATCGCCCAAAGAACTCTACACAGTATAATGAAATAGGCCTCAGATTTCTCAGACTGAAAAATATCAATCAAATATGGGAATCTGGTGATAATTGGGTACCTCGAAAGCTGAAAGAAGGAATTTGATTCCACTATTCGGCAATCCTTTTCGCTTCTTTCCACCATACATTTCGACGAGATCTTTCTTTTCAGCAATCGTCCAATCATGAGCAATTCTGTAATTTCAGCCTGGTGAAATTAATATGGAAATCTTCTAACATTGAGAACAAATATTTAATTTTTGGCTTTATTTAAGTATTGCGACGTCACGCGACTGAAGCCAATTTCTTGCAGTCGCGTGTTCATCTAAAATATTTTTTTTTAATTTTCAAACGATCCAAACCTCTCTATATACAGATCAACATTTGGTGCCGGTTCACTCAAAAATGCGTTGATATCATTGGCAAAATCGCACCTAAAATATTGAAATTTCTCCAAAAACTGATAAAAATAAACAAACCATTGCCGAACTGGCGATTGCTCCTTCAAAAGAGCGGCAGCGGACATTCGTTTCATTTGCAATAAAAAATCTCTAAATTGCGTTCACGTCATTCCTTAAATACACAAAAATCGAAGATGAAATAAAAAAAGACAATACAAATTGAAGGTATTCAAGAGTTCCACAAACATTTTTTGATTAACAAAACATCAAAGTTTGAGAATTCGCATTTATTCAAATCGAACTATATTCATGGCTATTATATCGCTGATTGGGCGCCCCTTGTTTAACGCGAGTAGAAGAATCCGCTCTGAAATTAACGTACGAATTGAATCGTTGTCAAGGGCGACCATTGTGTTTTGTGCAACATGGAGGTCAGCCAAATGTTGCGAGCATGTTGTTCCTTTTATGGCAAGGACAGGTGGTTATTGTGTGAAAATAGAGGATTGTAAGGGACTTTTTCTATTATTTTCATTATAATATTTAAAATATTTATTTTTACTAATAACACTTACATTAACTGCCTCAATCTCTTCTTCCGACAATCCTGGTCTTTGGAACTTTGCTGGAAGTAAGGTATGATCGATTCCTTGTCCTCTTGGAATTTTTCCGACGGGTCCAATTGACGATGGCTTGGCTGGAGCAGATACTATAATCACCAGCTTATAAATAAATCTTTTCAACTAAAATACCGGCAATGTTTCCGGCGACTTGAAGGGGAGGCAGAGTGGTTCGGTCGAAATGTGGTCGCGGCAATCGGGCTCCGATGAATTTGATCATGGGAATACGGACCGCTGCCGCGTTGCTAGCAATAGTCGAATGCATTTGGCGAGATGGTTTGATTTCCGGAACGACGACGGTTGGCTTAACTTCAATGGACGGCGTCTGGCTTCTTCCCAGAAGTCTGTAAAGAAGCGTCTGATAGCGTTGGAACCACGAAGTTTGAAGAAATCTAAAATCAACGTTTACGAAAACTGAAAACGAGCAAATTTCTATAAAGCACTATGCACTATTATGGTGAATTTGTTTAAAAGCAACAGAAATAAATATTAATATTTCATTTTTTATTGGATTGGTAAGCTGGGTGCACCACACAACACTCAGAATTACTTGATCAGTGAGAAATTGAAAATCCGTCTAGATTCCATTATCTATAAAATTTTAATTGAACAAAAATCAAAATATTAGAAACATTGAAAAAAAAACAAAAAAACGGGCTTTCCTCATCGCCCGTAAAAATACAGACACGCCTACTGCAACGAGAGCGCGCACTGATGCAATGTGATCGCACACTTTTAACAACGTCTTTTATGGAAAACATGGCTCATATTATTCACAAATTGCCATAGCCTGGAGAAAAAGCAACTAAAATCCAATTTCTTGTTTAGGACAATAAATAATTTTAAAAAAATGATAATAGAATTGTCCGTGTTAATGTTGAAAAAAATGTTTTTTTCCTTATTATACATAATTAATCACTTCGAAGGACGTAGATAAATATGTACATTTGTATTTACAAATTCTACTATTATTGATATCTGCGAAAACTGAATAAAAGGAAGCAGCATATTCTTCTTCTTCTTCATATTAGATTGTCAATTTTTCTTTTGAACTTTCTGAACCTTATTCCGATGATCTACTCGGGAATGCAACAGCGAATCGAAGAGATCTGAACTATCAAGAGAATCACAATTGCACGTAGTAATTGAAATGTCTTTATATTGTTCTCATATGGATTGTGTGTTTAATTTTATCATGATGGTAACCCAATCAGATTCCGACAACTTCCGACAGAAAGGAAAATAATTTGCTGCTTTCCGATACCTTCTAATTAATTCTGATCCAGAATATGTAGTTTGTGATTTGTTTATTCATTTATGTCCTTTAAAATTCAAAGATATTTCCATATTTTCTTCTTTAAATCAATTAAATTATTACACAAATGGAAAAAAAAATCATTTCAAATAATTTTAGAAGATTTTCTCTGAATTTGCGCGTATAACAATGAGTCACACACAATTCGGTGAGCCCATCCCAAATATGTATATCAAATTTCAAAACGTGTGAATTCGAAGCCAAAGCCTAAAAAATTGAGAAATGTCAAGTGCGCGTTCCCCCACGAGACTCGACTTTTCGCCTTCTTCATTTCTTTCTGGTTTGCTTCGAAAAAAGGAAAAAAAAAAGAAAAATAAGGGCCGAAATATCTGTGCAGATGTATGGCACGACATTATTCCGGAGACATGATTTAAATGCGAATTCATAAATTTCGCTCCATTTCGCGTTTTTCTCTCTACGGGCTAGATTACAGTAGTCAGATGAGTGAAATTGGCAAAATCATGACGAATTATTGGCTTCGTTTTCTGGCGATTCCGACGCGTCTCCTGACAAACAACATTCCGAAAGCTATAATTTCGAGAAGAAAATGTAGGCTAACGGATATCCCCCCAACATTAAATCTCGCTTTTTTTATTCTTCCGAATTTTTTTCAAGCTTTTGTTTAAAGGAGCATCGATTTCGAAACGAGTTTTCCGAAGAAAAATGAGAACTGAGCTCATCCAGTCTATCCTGACAAATTATAGCCAATTCAAGACTTAAAGGATCATGTTAATTTAATAACAATTCAGGGCTATAAAATAATTGTCAAGGACAAACGAATATTCCAAATTTGATTTAATTGATCCCGAAATTAAAATGTGCTAATAATCCATCATTTGGAATTTTTAATCACAACCAAAATACTTGAAATTTATGAAAAATTATGCCCTCTCCCATTGTGACGCTTCTATGAGTATTTCCATACGAGACCCGAAGCGGTAGATCAAATGATACAGTAATCGCACTCGAAATTCGTCCTTGACAATTATTGAAAAAAAAAGATTATTTTCGAAGAATCTATGGCATCACTGAATTCGAAAATCTCGCTCTTTATTAATTCGCCTCAAGACCATAATCTGGACTCCTTCAAGTTTTCACCGGCAATTCGTCATGCTGTGTTTTGAAATGGTCCCGTTGGGAATACAACTCGATGCGCCATTTCTTGAGACATTCCGCGTTTTCAAAATTCTGATTTACCCACTTTTTCCTCAAACTGCAAAAAACCGCCCGTAATTTGTCTGCAGATTTGCAAAAAAAAATGTGTGGAAACAATTTGATAATTCTAAATATTTCTTATTGGACCAATTAAAGAAGAGATTCTTCTAACGATATTTTCGTTTTTTTTCCTTTCGCGCCAAGACCCATAAAATCTGACGTCATTTCGGTCTTCTTGTGTTTCATGGTGAGAATTTTTCTCAATCTATCCATCCATCTACGGAGTTGTCTGTTTGTGTATGGCATGACGTGGAAAAAAATCGTGCTGGAATGATGCCAGAAAAGGCGGTAGAAGGCGGCAAGACGAATGAAATTCGATTGTGCGCCGCCCACTTTTTTTTCTTTTCTTTTCCATCTTCTTTTTCTTCTGTTTTTTTTTCGAAGAAGAAGAAGAAGAAGACGTCAAGCTTGGCCAAACTTCGTTTTCTCCGTTTTTTTCGGATTTCGTTCGTTCTTGTTTTTAAATCTACATCTATGTATGTATATTCTCAAGGCGTTGCTATGATTTAAGCTCACACACACACACACACAAAAATAAATGGGCATGTACAAATTAAGCGAAAATCGATTGTGTGGTGGGAAAATTTTTGGCGGTGCTATGGTTTTTTTTGCTTCAAAATGTCCGCAGATGATCATCTAGATGACAATCTAATTCGGACTCTCCAATTCCATTCGTTAGAATTCAATTATTAGGGGTATGGGGGGTCCAACATAAATATATATGTAATCGTCTTGAATACTTATTCAGACTGATTACAGAAACTTCCAGAATTTGAATTAATTTCGAAATATGCTTTTGTCATCTAAGAATATCATCATGCTTATTTTCAACTCAAACATTCCATTTTTAACAATGATTTTCAATGGGTCTCGCAGCGAATTCGTCTCAAGAAGTCACTTCCCCCTTTCTTTACCAAAACTATAATTTTGGCGATAAATTATTTTGCAACTCCTAGCATTATAATTAAAATTCGCAAAAAGACGAGGTCTCTCTGTGTAGATTTACGACGAGTTTGATTCGCATGTTATCCGTAGTACGACCTGTTTAAATCGAAATTTGAATTGCCGCTCACGAGGGTCCACAATTATGCAAGGTGCTCGTTTAAAGGTAATTCAAATTTTCTCAGCCAAATTACCATCGCAAAAAAAAACGAGCATCTCGTAGAAGTGTGGACCATCGCACTTTTTCGAGGCGGTAATTCAAATTTGAATTTAAACAGTGGAAACTTGAATTCCGTACGACGCGATTTTTTGCGAATGTAATATTTATAATTTCCGACCAACTTCCCTGCCACAAAATGTTTTCCTCTTTTATTTCAACGCTCCGCCCATATTGCAACTGGGCAATCGCGCTCCATTGCTAATTTAACAGCAAATGACCAAAAAAAGCGAAAAAAAAGATAATTGACTGACCGCCGCCCAAACATTCGTTTTTTTTTCGCCTTCTGAAATTGGATACGTTGGAGGGAAGAAGAGCACACATGAGTCGAATAGCTCACTAATTGAATGGCACACACACACACACTTGGAGTGCGCATAGTCTCGCGACGAAATAGAAAAAAGCGATGATGACGACGACGACGTCAGAAAACAGAAAACACGTATAAAAACGAGAAAATCTTTTCACAAAACCGAATCCAATTAAATTTTCAACCGCTTCCACTGGCCGCCTCATTATTTTTGCGTCGGATAATAATAATAATTGGGAAGATGCTCATTTCTCGAAAAATTCTATTACTAACCAACACGCAAGCGGACAACTAACAACCAATCAAAGGTTTCTGTTATGTTTTCCATTTTTTGTCTTGAATTTGCAAATCTGCGGACATTTCAATTCATCTGAAATCTTTCCGAATATACTTTTAGTTATTATAAGAGTCGTCGGATTTTTGGTGTAAGACATTCTAAAATCAAAACGCGTTTGGTTCGAGACCATATGCGCCTTTAATAGTTGACATTGACGTCCAGAAAACCAGTTCAAAGGTCAATAGGGAGCTGTGTAAATCGTCGAAAACGCAATTGTCGTAATCCGTCTGTGTCAAGACCCAACCTTCGCCACTCAATATTGACATTGTGCATTAAAACTGAGAGCAAAACTACAGTAATCCGAGTTGGTTGATTACAAACCACAAACTCGGTGAGAAGCGCGAATTCGCCGCCGCACGGCCTCGAAAAAATCACGGCTGAATTTTCGATGAGACTTTCGCCGAGCGGCTGAAAAAAAACTCCGCCTAATTATTCATGAGTGTCTTGCTTTTTGGGGGCGTCTTCTTCATATATATATTTTTTTAAATGCTCAATCGTTTTCTTCTTTTATTTCAGAGAATTTTTTGTGATGAATCATTCATAGTTTTGTAGGCATGTCGTACTCAAACAATGGCGTCAAACTGATCATTTTTGACAAAGACGGAACACTTTTGGATTTTCACAAAATGTGGCTACCGTATGCCACGACAACTGTGCGATTGTGAGTTCAATGGGTCTAAAGGAATCAAGCGTAGAGGGCAGGCGGGGGGCTTCCAAAAAATTGGGTGGATTTTCTAATTAGGGTTCGAAAACCACCAAAGCTATTCATAAGAAGAAAAGTTTGTTCCAAGAGAGATCAAATGAACAATGAGAAATTTTGCAAATTTTTCTATTCTCAATTCGAAAATCACGACGAATTCATCCAAAAATCAAAGGGTCCTAGTTTAAAATTTTTGGAAAAAAATGTAGGAATTTGGCAAATTCCGAGCATGGCGATGAGAATAATTCTTATTTTAATAGTCAAAAATTGATTTGCTAAAAATGAAATCAAAAATTGTATTTCCATTTTGAGTATTCTCATTTTTTTCATTATCATCCTGGTTTAACCATGCCGTTTTTTCTTGTTTTCTCATAATTCAACATTTCGCAAACTAAAAAATCCCCCAGAGACGAATTGCGCCATATTTCGTCGAATCCCGTCAGGACGACAAAAAAAAGAAACACGAATCAGCGACCTTTGACCTTTGGTTGTCGTTTCAGACTCGAAGCATCGACGAAGATGCGCGTCGGACCAGCGATCTACAAAACACTTGGAGTGGATCCGGTCGCCGGAAAAGTGAGTGTTTTGCGAGTGGTGAGCATTCTCAACAAAAAAAGGGGGAAAATGGCGAAGAAGAAGCTCACACGCGCGTCAAAACGTATCCAATATCTTTGTTTTCGTCGGATTTGAGAAGTAGTTGAAAAAAAAATTCGCCAATTGGGACTCTATGACGAAAATCACCAAATCTCTAGGGGGCGAGGTGGGTGATGCCGAGTAGAATATGGCAGTGGTCGTTGAACCTCGATGTATGTCCGCAGAATTGATTAATGCGATTACAACTTCTGAATAATTCGCAAACAAATCCATGAAATGAAAAAAAATGTTTTGAAAACACACAAATTTGCCAATATGAAAAAAAATGCATATTAAAAGATATTTTTCATTCTTTGTATTTCATGAATTTACTGTAAATTTTAAAAAATAAAATGGTTGGCTCAAAAAATTCCAAATTTGAATTGGTTGTGGCAAAAAAAAAAGAAAAAGTCTCAATTAAAAATTGTCAGGTTTCGATGGGAGCACTCGCTGAAAAGACGCTCATCGGCATTCGAGAAGACATCTCGTTAACACTTCAGGTAGGGCGAGGGTCTCGACGCGATCATCTCGCAATGAGTCCGTCTTGCAGTCATTCGGAATTCTTCCCATCGAAGCCGACGCCATTGTTCAAGGATGTGTTCCGGAAGCGTCGCCCGGCGAAATGGCGCCCGTCTGCGATCTACCGAAACTCTTCGGGACTCTCAAATCAATGGGCATCAAGATTGCGGTGTGTACGGCGGATAGTCGGTGAGTTGCTCGATTCATTCTTGAACCATCGTCATCATCATCATCGTCAATCGCCGAGCATTCCAGACCGGCGACGATGGAGCAAATGAATAAACTCGGTGTCGCCGAATATTTGGACGACGTCGTGTGCGGAAGCGACGTCGGAATTGTGCCGAAACCTTCGCCTCATTGTGCGATCACAATCTGCAAACGCTTGAATGTTGGTTTCAAGGTTCGCCGTTTTGTTTTTGAGAATCCAAACACGCCGTCTTTTTGTGTGTTTCTTTTTTTTTGAATATTCAATTGTGACGGCTGTCGCGGAAAGAAAGAAGAATTTGATTTTCTCACCACCTTCGTCATCGTGTTTTGTTTTGCAGGAGACTCTCATGGTCGGCGACACAATTGCCGACCTCAAAATGGGACGAGTCGCCGGTCTGCGCGCCAGCGTCGCCGTCATGACAGGTGTCGGCACTCGCGAAACTCTCGCCGAGTATTCCGACTACTTTGTGAGTTGCCTGAATTCGCTAAAATTATTTCCTGGTGCTCATTTTCTCAAGCTGCTCGTGAAATTTTCATTAATTTCCATGTGCCATTCAACCATTTTTTTGCAGCTCGACGATATTAGCGGTCTGCCGCAACTCATCTCAAAAACGATGGCCGAAGACACAAAACGAGGCTGAAAATTCACATTGAATTCTGAAACCTCACCACTAACCCTTATAACTAATATATTATTTATTTTCAATGGCCTCTATTCACTTTAACCATTTCAATCAAACAAAAATACTAACAAAAGATGTACATAGAACTTGACTAGAATCCAGTTTGATCTCCAGTAATGATCTCATTCATTTTCCCCAAATCTTCTTCTCAAGCAATAATTGTGTCAACTTTCTGAGTAAATTACGGTAGGAGTACACTTTTACAGAAACAGATTTATTTTGTATTTTATTGCTTTTTATTATAAACGAACTTCATTACACATTTCATTACACAAAATGGGACCTAAACTGTGATTCTAGAAGAGAAGATGAGAAGAAGAAGAAACACTTTTAATCAGATGAAACATTTGGAGGATATGACATTTTAGAGCAAGTTAAAACAATGGGATTCCTAACTCTAAAAAAGAATAACTAACGCATCTGGATTATTTAGCTACGTTCGGTTGATGAATCCAGGTAGCTTAAAAACCTGAGCATTTTGCAAATATAAAAATGGACATTCAAACAAGATAAAACGGATTTAAAAGATTTCTACCACGGTTGTTCTTCCTCTTCTTGCGCTATGCACGATCCGAATCCAGAAGCTCCATAATTACCCGCGACATTTTGCATGAACTCTGGTACGATTTGCTCGGCGTCGGCAAGAACTTGCACCAGGTGCGGAATCAGCTCAGTATCATCCTCGGTTACAAATGATGTTGCTCTTCCGGCATTTCCAACACGTCCCGTTCTGGAAATCATGATATTAATAGGAACTGTTAATTTCTACACGTGCCTTCCAATACGATGAATATAGTCATCAATGCTTCGCGGAAGATCATAATTAATAACATGATCAACCCCTTTGATATCCAAACCGCGTTCAGCAACGGCTGTTGCAATAAGAACAGGCTTCGAACCGTTCCTGAACATTCTCATTGCCTCTTCACGCTCTCTTTGTTCACGTGCACCATGCGTCTGGAACCAAACGATCAATGAGACTTTATACACGTGATGAAATAATTACAGTGATTGCTGGAATTTGAGCTCCCGACAAAATTGAGGCCAGAGTATCTGCCATTGCGCGTTGCGCAACGAAAACAATTGTTTTTTTCTTATACACTTCTGCATCTTTAGTCGTTGTGTAGTTTTCGATATCGACACCGAGTAATTCCAAAAGCTTCTCCTTCTTATCAGGTTTCTCCAGTCGTTCAAACTCTTGAACAACACATTTGTTCGCAGATCCAATTTTGTCAATCGTAATCATGGCGTAATCGTTTCGCAAAAACGACCGAGCTGCGGTTTGAACACAATCAGGATAAGTTGCACTTCAAAAATGTTTAGCGTAAATTTTCTGGAAACGAAATACCTAAACATAAGAGTTTGGCGATCTTCTTTCTGCGCCATCCCAGGGGATTGAAGAATTTTCTCAATATTATCACCGAATCCCAGTACATCAAGCATTCTATCGGCTTCATCAAGAACTACATATTTCACTTTTTGTAAGCTGATGAAGCCTTTTCCAATAAAGTCTTGCATTCTTCCGACAGTTCCGACAATGATTGTAGCGCCCTAAAACGAACACCTTGAAAGAAAAACCACAATGTTAAAACGAACTGATTCTAATTGACGCATACTATGCGATACTTGAACTCCTCCATAAACTGGCTTGATTTCAAGCATGGTTTGGTAAGCGAATTTACGACCCTCATTATAAATTTGGAGAGCTAATTCGCGAGTTGGAGTGAGAATGATGCATCTGAAAAAAATTAGCGTATATAACACTCAACATTTTTAACACCTTGGGTAGCATCCAGCTTCTCCAGCAGTGTTCAAATCTTGATTTTCCAACAATTTAGTCATGATAGGAAGAAGGAATGCAGCGGTTTTTCCCGATCCAGTTTGAGCACATGCCATAATATCTGATCCTTCCATAATGAGTGGAAGAGCATATTGTTGAATCGGAGTCGTTTTAGAATAGCCAGCTTGCTTAACGTTACGCAAAATTCTCTCGGGCAATCCAGCTTCTTCGAAACTCCTAAATTATTCGCGATTATTATTCCCCATTAAAATTTAAACTACTTCACAGGCTTGCATTGCGAAGCATTTCCACTTTTACCGCCTCGCGTAATCGTAACATTCGTATCGAAGAACTTATTAAACATGTTTCCTTCCTCAATCTTTTGCAACTCGAAAACGTCTTCAACTTTTTCTTCTTCTGGCACATGAGTAGCCATAGGTTTTTTCTCTGGTCGCGGCTGGGTGCATTCAGCTGATCGATGACCTTCTTCACCGCAGTTGAAACAAACGCGACCACCTCCAGCACCATCAGCACCAAAACCACCTGCAGAACTTCCAAAGGTGTCTCCAGATCGCTCATTATTGTGTCTGAAAGTTGTGTCATTCCCAAATCCACGACTTGAGTTTCCAAAATCGCGCGGTTTTCTTGGTTGTGGGCAGTCGTGAAAGTTATGACCAACTTCCTGGCAATTGTAGCAACCTGAAAAACGTTCAAGTATGGCAAACTATTATCGAAACACTGCGGGAAATTGGTAATTTCAAAATTTGGACGGAGGTCTTGGGGCAAAGCTAAAAGTTTCGATAGTCGCGCGACGACGACAATCGGCTTCAATGCATTTTCAACTTAATTCAACTACACAGTAGAGCGCACTAACGAAAGATTTAAGTAAAAATTAACGTTAATCAAAAAGAACGCACCCATACCGATAACTTGTAAATTCGTACATCCTTGTTAATTACTAATTTACTAAATAATACCTCCACCATCTCTTGGTTTTCTTGGTTCAGGGCAATCGTGCGAAGTATGTCCCGGTTGATTGCAATTGAAACAATCTAAACAATACAATTTTTAAGTGAAAATTCGAACACAATCACTTCTGTTGCCACCACCACCACCTCTCCTTTCTTCCGGGCAGTCTTTCGAATTATGTCCTGGTTGTTGGCAATTGAAGCAAACTGAAATTTCCAGTTTTTTCTTTAATTCATACAATCATACGTCCAGATTTCGGATTCGAATCTCTGAATCCTTCGTTTCTTCCGCCGAACCCTTGGCTACTTCCTCCAAATCCTTGGCTACCTCCTCCAAATCCTTGGCTACCACCACCGAAACCTTTAGATCTTTCTCCGAAGCCGCTCTGCTGCGTCTCATCTCCACCGAAACCTCTCGAGTTTCTGCCAAAGCCATCGCCAACTGCATTTTGATTTTGTTCGCAGTTTCCACCGAAGCCTCTCGAGTTTCCACCAAATCCACTGATCTGATTGTTCTCCCGATTTCCACCGAAGCCTCTCGAACCACCACCGAACCCACCGCTATGGTTTTCTTCACGATTTCCACCAAAGCCTCTCGAACCATCGCCGAATTTTCCGCTTTGATTTTCATCACGATTTCCACCAAAGCCTCTCGAACCATCGCCGAATTTTCCGCTTTGATTTTCATCACGATTTCCACCAAAGCTTCGCGAGCCACTGCCGAAGCTGCCCGATTTTTCTCCAAATCCGGACGAATTCGCATTTCCACCGAATGCAGACGTTTTAGTCGCACCAAATCCAGATTCCGCTGGCTTTCCAAATGAGCCCGATCGGTTATTTTCACCCGCGTTGGCTCCAAAACCCGATGGCTTTCCAAAGCCTCCACCAAATCCGGTTGAGCTTCCGAAACTATTGGGCTTGTCGCCAAAACCTTGACTCATACTAAAAAAATTACAATTACTCGGAAAATCCTGCCAAAGAAACGGCAGACAAATGCGAGATTCGGTGAAACGGTGGTGAAAACAAATGTTTTCGTCTCTCAAAATCACACACTCTCTCAATTACCGTTTCATCGGCGATTCACTCGCATTTCACCGAAATCTCTATGCATTGCCGTTTTTACAGCACGATTCGCTGAGTAATAATGTAAAGGCAAAGTTTCAGTTTTTGTACATTTTTAAATTAACAATTGTGACGAAAAAATGAAAAAATCCGACACACATTAAATTTTAAAAATGTACAAAAAACAGTATTTCTCATCATAACGTTCGAAACTGATGGAAATATTTGAAAAATTAATAAAAAGCGATGAACAGAAATCATCCATTTATTAATTGAACAAGAACATATAAGACCAAATTGTGCAAAAATGAGAAATCGAAAAAAATTTTAAAATTCTTGCGCAAACAATATTTTCCGCATGCGATATCCATCTTGATATTATTTGTGCGCCTTTAAATTACTGTATAAACATTTTAGGCCTAAAATTCTCATCTCTAAATTATTAAATGCAAATTATTTTCTAGTGCCTACACAAGAACAATAGCCATCAAGCCTCCTTGGCATATTCCTTTAAAAGCACATTCATTGCTCACATCGAGCGTGTCTATTGTAATATAACTTGTTCCAAGATTTCCAATTGCAAGTGAAAAATTTATTAGAAATCCATCATTGTTCGGAACGTGCACTACTCTTCGTGACAACTGACTCGTCATTACACAGCGAAAACCGCTCGACGAGAAGAAGCAGCGAATCGTTTTTGAGAATTCATTTGTGTGCACCAAAAATTGCGATCCATGTGGTTTTTATGGCAGCCGGTGGAGACCCGTCAACATTTCCCCCATTTTTCATATTTTATTGCGACCGCCCAGTTCTTTTCGATAAGCTATTTTTATCGTTCCTCAAAAACTCGACTCGACGACAGATATTAATGAAAAAAAAAGAAAGTCATCCGGAACAAAAAATAGCCATTCATTTCTCTTGGTGAGACCCGACTAAAGTATATAATATAAACGCCACCGGACTGGACATCACTTTTCCATTGTCAGACCAATTTTGGTGTGTGTGTGTGTGTCGACACTAAGAAGAAAAAGTGGTTTCACACGAGATTTGTCAATACGTTCGTTTTTTTGTCTTCTGTTTTCATTTTTCCCCTCAAATTACAACAATCATTTAGAATAGACCCATTGATACTCAGTCAGTTCGAAAAATTGCTTCAATTGCAAACTCGCACATTTATTGTAATTATTTATTAAAATGCGCGTACAAGATTCGGATAAACACATCCCTTTAAGGATTCCGGGATTTTTTTCGTCTTCCTTTTAATTTTTGCAATATTAGCAACAAATTTGAAATCGGTGTCATTTCCAGGCCAGCCGGTTGCCATTTTTGGACCGAATGCGTTAGTTTTGGACGTCGGCATGCCGAATAATTCAATTATTCGCCATCAAATTTGTGTCATTTTTTGTCTTCTTCGTGTTTTGGGTCATGTACGATTGCCTTATATGTAAATAGGGGGGGATTTTCTCTCATCAGTCAAAAATTTCGGTGCCGTGCCGCTTCTGCACGACGTCGCCGCGAAAACCCTAATCCCCGCCCCTCTCAAATCATTCGTTTTGTGCTCTAATCTTTTGTTTCTTTTTTGTTCATCCCTTTCTTTTATGAATTTCGGGCAAACTCATTCAAGTACTTCTTTTTTTAGGAGACAAGAGAAAATAGGACGACGAGCAACTGGGGCAGACGGGAAATGAGGATAGATGTAGCCGTCTTTGGAGTCCTATTAATTTTAAATCTCATTCGAAAAGGTAAATTTAGATGAAGTTTTAAAAAAATGAAAAAAAAAACGAACCCATTTAAAATTTAATTCGAAGTGTACTGTAAACAAGTGTGCAATCTTTCGCAAAAATGCACACATTTTGCAATGTTTCCAAAAAAACCATTATTCTTTATGAAAAGTCGTTCATTATTCGTTTTTCGTTTTCAATGGGCCATTTATAATAAAGCAAGGGAATGAAGATGTTGAATATTCCCATGTGGAGAATTATCTACGCAAAATTTGCACATCTTTTGATTTTACGCCAGTCGACATGTGTAGCGGCGTGCAATCAGGTTTGCATGAATTATAGCATTCTTTCGTCTTTGAATTCATTTCAACTCTAATTTTTCCAGTTCAATGCTCCGATGATGAAGAAAGGCTTATGGTTGATGTATTTCGCGGCTACAACTCTCTAATTCAGGTTTTTTTTCTGAAAATGAATTTTAATAAATAAATAAATGAATTAATTGCAGCCGGTTCGCAACAACTCCGAACTTCCGCTTATCGTCAAAATGGCTCTTCAATTGGTTCTGCTCATCAATGTCGTATGTTTCCGGTCAATTTCGCAAAAGAAAACACCGATTAACTCATTTTGCAGGACGAGAAGGATCAAGTAATGCACACCAACGTTTGGCTCACATTGGTAATTCTTTATAAGGATGGGATTAAATGTCTCATTTTGTGTTCAGCAGTGGCATGATTTCCAAATGAAATGGAATCCGGTGAATTACGGAGAAATCAAGCAAATTCGAGTGTCTCCTGATAAGGTCTGGCTGCCGGACATCGTTCTTTTCAACAAGTTCGTTTCTCATTTTCTTCTCGCCAAATATGCCGTCGCATGTGCATTTGTTTGCAGCGCCGACGGAAATTTCGAGGTCTCTTTCATGTGCAATGTGGTCATCAATCATAAAGGAGATATGCTTTGGGTTCCGCCGGCCATTTATAAAAGCAGTTGTATTATAGGTAAAGCATATTTTTAAGAAATGAAAACTATTAATTTGTAGATCTATTTCATGAAATGTATTTTTTTTACAAAAAAATGTGTTTAAAAAAATTCCATTCCTATTTGCTAGTAAAAAAATTGCAGTCGAAAATTATTTTTATTTATTAAAAATTAAAATCATTTTTGTAGATGTTGAATATTTCCCATTCGACGAACAAATATGCACATTAGTTTTCGGCAGTTGGACGGTAAAAAAATCCATTTTCATTGTTCCTTTCTCTATTCGTTTTTTTCATTTAGTACAACAAAAACGAGATCAAAATGGATATCGAGAAGGCGAAACTAGTCGATTTGTCTGAATATTCAGCGAGTTCAATTTGGGATATCATCGATGCTCCAGCCTACCTCGTGAAAGAGCGATCCAAAATCGAATTTCAAGTCAAAATTCGCCGCAAGACCCTTTTCTATACTGTCGTTCTGATCATTCCAACTGTTTTGATGGCATTTTTGAGTATGGCAGTATTCTTTTTGCCAACAGATTCAGGTGATTTACTAATAAAATTTAAAAAAAAAACCAATAAGATTTCCATTTTAGGTGAAAAGATAACTCTTACAATTTCTGTTCTTCTTTCAATTGTCGTTTTCTTATTATTAGTTTCAAAAATTTTGCCCCCAACTTCAATAACTATTCCCTTAATGGCCAAGTGAGAATTCGAAGGAATTTCGATTAATGAAAAGATATTATCTTTTTAGGTACCTTTTGCTCACATTCGTGCTCAATGTCATCACTATTCTGGTTACTGTCATTATCATCAATGTGTATTTTCGTGGTCCAAGAACACATCGAATGCCGAAATGGGTCCGGCTCGCTTTTCTACAGGTGTGTGTTTGCAAAAATTACATTGTGGAAGTCTCACGATGGAAGGCTAAATAGCAAACATTCAAAGAGATGTGTACGGTGTGCGTCTTTAAACAATCCTTATTTAAAAAAATTCAAAAAAGCCCAAAAAAAATTCGCCCAAGATTACTGCTATTGACTTTTGGCATTTAGCCAATTTTCCGCAGTCGCGCGACGTCGACAAAATTTAATATTGAAAATAATTCTAATTTCCCTGGAGGTTAGAATTGTGTCTTATACATAGAAACGATCACCGAATGGCTTTCCTATAATTAGGAAAAACTAGATTAGATTTGCAATTTTTAAATGATAATTCTTTTTTCGAAACCACGCAAAAACTCATTGCCACGGGCGGGATTCGAACCCGCGAAGGTATTTTACCGTAAGTTCATATGACTCATGCCTTTGACCGCTTGGCTACCGTAGCAGACATTCTGAAAAAGGGCACCACCTAAATGAGGGAAACGGACCACTCAACGAGATGGTCCGTTTAGGACCATAAAACGGAGTGATAAATTAAGAAGATCACCTCTGGAATTTCGTTTAGAAACGAAAACTGTCAATTCACAGTCTGAATATGAGGTGTCTCCGATTTATGGTCCTAAACGGACCATCTCGTTCTTGAGTGGTCCGTTTCCCTCATTTGTGTGGTCCCCCTTTTTCAGAATGTCTGCTACGGTAGCCAAGCGGTCAAAGGCATGAGTCTTATGAACTTACGGTAAATTACCTTCGCGGGTTCGAATCCCACCCGTGGCAATGAGGTTTTTTGCATAATTTGAATATATTTCAGAGAAAACTGAAATGTAATTTGTTCAAACAAAATATTTCGCAACAGTTGGCAATTCTTGTGTATTAATACTGATATTTATTTAGTATCTACCAAAATTGGTGTGTATGAAGCGACCGAAGTCAATCGCAGAACGCAGTGCGGTCCGTCGTGCTATGGCTCAACTACCAGGAGTTGGCCAATTCGCTCTTAGCCCATCTGCCCATCATCCACTTTGTCCAGTGGCCGATGATCGGTTAGTTTTTGAATATTCTGAAAAATAGTTGTGTGTGTGTGTTGTTCAGAAACATCGCTGACGATAGTCTGCTCGATGCGAAAACCTCGACATTCTATCCATTATCAACTAGTGCAATTCGTGCATTGGAAGCTATCGAGTATATCACAGAACATCTCAAGAAAGATGAGCAGCACAAATCGGTACGTCTCGTAAAAATATTTACAATTAATTAGATATTTCTTTGGTTTCTAAAATTTGTTAAAAAAATTGAAGTTATTCGAGTTGGACATTTAAAAGAGAAATTTTCCAGTATCGTGATGATTGGAAATATGTAGCCATGATCATTGATCGCCTTCTTCTGTATATATTCTTCGGGATCACAGTCGGAGGCACCTGTGGTATTCTCTTCTCAGCTCCATATGTTTTTGAAGGTACGTTTCTTTTTAATGCATTCATGCGATTTTTTCTATTTTTTAAAAATTAGCCCTCTATGTCGAAAATTACAAAGAATTATATCTCATGCGATATTTCGTAGTTCTCAACCATTCATTTTCAAGACACATTCGAAAATTTTCGCGGATCATGTCGGTCATATTTCTGTGTTATTCTTTTTGCAAAAATCAAAAAATTGAAAAAAAGGAGGTTCAAAAACATATCTTGTGTACCCGCTCAAAAAAAAAAACAGAATAAATGGCATTTCAATAAAAAATGATAATAAATGAAATTTCGACATGTCCATCAAAAATTTGGCATGTTCATTTGAAAATAAATTACTGGAAATCACGATATATTGCGTCAATTTTTGTACTAAAAATTTTGTTGCTTTAGGCGTCAATCAGCAGGAAGTGCTCGATCTTCTTCGCGATAAATTCGATAATAATCAAAAAGCGCCCTAAAATGTCTCACCCGTTACTACTTTCCTAACCGCATCTTGCTGGTCCATTTCAATTTACTGGTCTCTTTCGAATATTATATCAGATTGTACAAATAACATTATCAATCGAATTTAGAAATGCTCAAATTACAAAAATTGAGAAAATGAGAAGGGAAAATAATTGCGGAGCAGCACCCGCGTTGAATACATTTGACCAATTATTCTCGTTTTGGTAATGAATTCGATTGCGGATGATTTTCATGGCCTTCTGATTCATCTCCTGGTCGTTGCCGTCGCATTTGCGAATCCATTTCGACAAGAATGAGGTGTCGTCGGAGTTTTTGTCGAATGTCAATGGCATTCCGAGAACGGCCACGTGATTGCCTTTCATGCAGATTTGAAGTGTCTCGGTTATCTGAAATTATATCAATTGTGAAGAAATCGCGTTGTGTTCAAATCTGATTCGTTCCAACCTTGCAGTCCAAATGAAAATGAGACGAACAGATGAAGTTGTAGTATTTCATGTTGAGGTTTTGCTCAGTGATTCCGTGCAATTTGAGGTCCGGCTCAGAAGAAGCCGCGACTATCGGAGCATCAGCAGCTGGTTGAGCTGCTATTTGTGAGCGCGACATGGGGATTCGAGTAGTAGAGGGCGACAATGTGACGCTGATGCTCGTCGAGCTGCTCGAGCTTATTGTCGAAACATTAGCTGCTATTGTGGCTGAAAATTTATTATTTTTGTTTTGCAAAAATTAAAATAATTAACTGTAATGGTTTGTTTCTTTATTTCGCATTTTTAAGAAAAAACTGATTTTACACTATTTTTTTAAAATTTCATTTTTGCAATTGGGTCCCGAACCGAAAATATTTTAGAGTCCCATTTTAGTTCAAATTGTATATTTTTGTCGTTATCTCGGACAAGTGATAAATTAAGAAGATCACCTCTGGAATTTTGTTTCGAACCGAAATCTGTCAATTCACAGTCTGAATACAATGTGTCTCCGTTTTATGGTCCTAAACGGACCATCTCGTTGAGTGGTCCGTTTCCCTCATTTAGGTGGTCCCCCTTTTTCAGAATGTCTGCTACGGTAGGCAAGCGGTCAAAGGCTTAAGTCTTATGAACATACGGTAAAATACCTTCGCGGGTTCGAATCCCGCCCGTGGCAATGATTTTTTGCGTGGTTTCGAAAAAAGAATTATTATTTAAAATTGCAAATCTAATCCCGTTTTTTTCATTTATTTGTTCGATATTTGTTAAAAATCGGATATTTTCAAAAATCAATAGTTTCCCATGATGATTCATCACCCACAATTATATAAATTTTAGAAATTTCATATATTAGAATAAATGCGATATACAATCTTAATTAAAGAAAACTCACAATTGTCCGCAGCAGCACAAATCGAAGAAATAAAAGCGAGAAGAACAAGAAAACGTGGTAAGGCGGTCATATTCGAATACAGTTGTGGTGACATCGAATTAGGCGTCGGCGTCGGCGGCAACAGCGACGAAGCGTCGTGTGACGTGTCGCAACTAATGTGCACCATCCCACAATTTCGAATAATCGATTTACAATTCGCGAAAAAAAAACGGTTTTTATTTTGGGAGTGGAAACAGAACATAGGCATAAAAAGAAGGGGGCTTATTAAATAATTATTAAAATATTTGGTGAGACAATACAAATGGGGAAAAATCAAATCGATTTGATATGGACACGTAACGGAGCAACACTCGGCACAATTATTTAAAATATTACATAAAAAAGAGCACATTTTACTTATTATAAAACTTTTTGTTGATATATTGAATGGTTTTCGGTACGTCGAACACGATTTTGTCCTCAAGCATAAATTTCGTCTCTTCCACCGAATCCGATTTCAGAAGATCCTGTAATAGTGTGATTTTATTGGGCTTCTTTCTAAATAAACCGAATAAGAACGCTAAAAGAGACTTTCTCAGAATGAACTACCCCTAACCATGTGCATTTGATTTCCAAATTTCTCTCGATTCTCAATATTGTCTGATCGTTTGAGTTTACAGCCCGAAATGACAAAGAAATTAAATTCAATATTCGAAAACGCGCAATTTCCGCGCTTCGCCGAATTTAAATGAAATTGTATTCAAATGTGTTTTTTAAAGACACTTTCTCGTAGAATTTCGGCTGGAATTCGGTCAAATATTCAGTCAAACATTACTGGGAAAAGAATAGGCGAAATATGAATTCGATGAGAATTCTTCGTATCTAATGTAAGAGAGTCACGATTTCCTGAGTCTTTATAGATGCATAAAAAATCACTCTGCTAAGCGAGGAGCGAGCATTTTCGAGTTTCTCGCATTACCTGGAAATGAAGTGTCGCTTGATCGGCAATTTTTCCCGCTTCATACAGCATTATCGCGAATACGCCCTTCTCGTTCGTCGACGCAATTTCCAGCGACAATTTCGTCAATTTCTTCGGCGACTGGTAATCAATCACATCAACCAAAACGCCTTTTCTGAAATATTTCCATTCAAAACAATTGATTTAAAAAAAGAAAAGCAGACGAACTTGAAAAGCTTCTCTGCCGACGATTTATACGATTTGATCTGATCGAGTGAAGCTCGCTCCTTTTGAATTTTTCCCGCTTCCTTCGTGTTCGGCCGAAATGAGAGTCGTCGACTTGTCCGCGACAGATTCTCAAGACACGTGTTCAGGTATTCCTCGTAACGCGCCATTTTCTCTTTGAGCTCTTCTCGCTGCTCAACCAATTTCCTCTTCGTCTCAGCAACACTTCTCTTCTGTTCGGCGCGTTCTCTCTGTCGTCTGGCATGCAATCGAATATCCTGGAAATGTTGAAATTAACCAAAAATCAAGCAATCAATCGCGTACGTTCGCAATATCAGTGACGATCGACTGATAATCATCGTCTTTTGATGTCTTCCCGTTTGCTTCGAGACTTTTTAGATCCAATTTCAGGCTTTCCTGTTTCTTTTTAATCGATTCCCTGAAAAATTGTTTTCTCGATGACCCATCAATCTATTGCTTACATATTGTCCGGATACAACACCTTAAGATTTTTCTCATTCGACGATGTCGGCACAGTTTCGAGAAGCTCTGACACATTCTGGCCGGCGAGTTCGCACAACAGAAGCTCGACGACGAGCTTCTTGGCTCTAGCGAACAATTGCGGCGCTTCTCCATCAGCAATCTGCTCATTCGGCGACGGATGAAGATGCAGTGTGATCATTCGATCGCCATCCAATGTTTGCGGAACACTAGAACAACAAATCAACTGCAGAACGAGATCCTCCTTGTCGGTCTCAATCTAGAACGAATGAAAACAATGGAAGGGCCATCGGGGGAAAAAAGACAAACCAAGTTCTGATGCTTCTTCAAACAATCCAAAACCGTCTGAATATCTCGATCCATAAGAGAAAGTGTTGGTTTTTGGAACGGATCAAATTGAGTGAACTCGTTCATCGAATAAATCTCATCAAGTGAAACATTGCGCATGGATCGAATCATATAAGCCCTTGAAAAATCATTATATTCAAATTTTAAAAAAGTCAATGGAAAACTCACAAAAACTTCTGATTAATACTGTGAATTTGCTTGTTCAGAGCCGTCAAATACCATTTATCATTACCGTAACCCTTGTTCTCAACTGCAAATTCCAAGAACCGTGTGATACATTCGAGTCGATGCATCGCATCATCGCCCATTTGCTTGCCGAGAACCCGGAACAAACTTCGCTGCGAGACCAAACTCTTCGACAAAAACACTTTGAATGCGAAAATCGCGCAGTAGTGATTGATCTGGTTGGTTGCCGCCGATGGGAATTGATGACGGAGCGCGTTTTCCAAGTATGATGTCAAAAAGATGGCACTTTTTCTGAAAAAATAGAAGACGCTAATTAAGTGAGTGTGAGTGTCATACGGTAATGTGAATTTGTTGAACAATTCCTCAGTGATTTCCTCACTCCATTTCGCCAAAAACGAAAGCGAATCGCTCAGAATCTGCGAAACGGCTTCATCCTGAAGAGCTTTCTCAGCCGTTTCAATTGTTCGTCCATAAATTGATTCGTATAGCTGAAAAATTCAATTTTCAACTATGCCTTCAATTTCCCACAAAAGAACCGACAATCGTAATAAGCGTGGGAACATTTATCAACAAATCAAAAACCAACCGTGATGGGTTCCAAATGGAATGTTTTGACGCGAGATTCTTCCACTGAAAAAGCCGTGAACACTTCAGAAGCAGCTTGGCAAGGATCCGCAAGAATATTATCGAATTGTCTGAAATGACAAGTCTGACATATCAAAGTTTGATCGGATAATTCGTTACCCTTGTGTGAAGAACTGCGTCATCATTGAAAAACAATCGCTTGTTGGAAAGTCTTCAATCTTCTTCATTCGTTCGATTTGACGCCCCAGAAGCTCACATAGTAAACGAATCTATTGAATTAAAATTGATTTTACATATTTTTTTATCGATAAAACATTCAACTCACCATCAAAAACTGCTCTCGATTATCACTGAGAAATCCGAAAATCGGGCAAATCACATTCGCTATCAAATCTTTTCTTGGAAGAACAACTTCATCCGATCCTAAAATGTATTTTCATGGTTATTAATAGCTCTTTAAACTCTTTTAGTATTCACCATCAATTAAATTCGCCAAATATTTTGTATTCGTTTGCAAATAATACAATAATTGTTCGACAGTTGCTTGATTTTGGCGATCTTTCTGTTTTCTCAACGAAACTCCGCGAACCGAAAACGAGTCGGCAGCTTCTGCAGTCTTCTCGCGATGTGCGATCACGTCCTAAAATCACGTCCTTCATTCAACAATCTCCATTATAATATGAATTACCGATAAATTCAATCTATTTTTGATCAAAAGACCGATTTTCTCATCCAATTCGGCAAGATCTGCATCCAATTGTCGATTGCTGTTCATCAAGCGAATCACTTCAACTTTTGCATTTGCAACATCTAAATTTCGAAAATGCAAAAAAAATTGAAATGGAAATACCAATGTCATCAGTAAAATCGACTTCATTTCGTGGCAATTGCTTGACGAATTTTCGAACAAGAGCGAGCGTCGGCACTGTCGAGTTTTCTGAAAAAAAAAACATTTTAAGAACTGCGAAAAATCATTGCCACGGGCGGGATTCGAACCCGCGAAGTTAATTTACCGTTAGTTCATAAGACTTAAGCCTTTGACCGCTTGGCTACCGTAGCAGACATTCTGAAAAAGGGGGACCACCTAAATGAGGGAAACGGACCACTGTATGCTACAGTGTGAATATGAGGTGTCTCCCATTTATGATCCTAAACGGACCATCCCGTTCTTGAGTGGTCCGTTTCCCTCATTTGTGTGGTCCCCCTTTTTCAGAATGTCTGCTACGGTAGCCAAGCGGTCAAAGGCTTAAGTCTTATGAACTTACGGTAAAATACCTTCGCGGGTTCGAATCCCGCCCGTGGCAATGAAGATTTTTGTCGAATTTGAGTGTTTTTGAGAAACTTACTGAGCAATTCGAGATCCTTTTTTATTCTGTATGACTTGTAATGTGTCTGAATCTTCTTCGCCGCTTGTTCCTTCTCACTTCTCTCGATTTCTTCCTTCAATTGCCTCTTCTTTTCAATGAATTTTCGAAGAGCAGCTTGTGATTTGAGCACTTTCGGCTCATTCTTTCGATAATATTCATCGAAATTCGCGTTTTCTTCGTCCATCAACTTGGAGATCTCGTCCCATTTGTACATTCCCGAGTCGATCGGCGTCTTCGGTTTTGTGCTTTTCGTTAATTTGGTCGTCTCCATGTACACATTTCCAGCGTGACATTCATGGTCCAACCACTTCTCGCTTCCCTCGATGGGTTTTTTCTCCTCGGGAGCAGTGAGCAATCGTCGTGTGTACCACTGCGAAAGTTCTTTTCGATAATTTGCTGAACGATTCAACGAAACAATCGATTCGAGCGCATTTCGGATCCTCGTTTCGTCACCAGAAATCATCGCGTTGTTGAGAAGGATTACTGTAACCAAACAAATGAAATCAATTAATATTCGCGATAAGACTCGCCATTTTCAAGTTCGGCGAAACCTTTTTGAATTTCCTCATTAACTGCCTGCATCGAATTTCTCACTTCACTGACAGTCTCAGGCTTTTTGAGTTTCAGCCGTTTCACATAATATTCGATATTCTGCTCAACATAGATATCAGCAAAAACGTCATAGCTCAAAATGTGCTCAATTCCTTCTCGATCATCTCTCGAAATCGATTCATTCAATTCCAAAACTAGAAAAAAAAAGATTTCGAAATTCAACGAATATTTCGAATGACTACCTTGTCTCTTATCCGCTGAAATATCTCCGAATTCTTCAACAATCTCTTCAAGACTTCTACGATCCAAAAAATAATTATCATCATTCACTTCTTCGTAGGCAGATTTAATTCTGAATTTCAAACGTATGAATATTATATCAGTTCGAATCTACCGATTATAATAAAGTTTCGCATTCGACTTGTTCGGAATCAATGAAAGATGTGGATTGCAAAGCGCATGAAACACATCTTCAGATGAGCCATGTTCAACCGCTATCTTCACTTCAACAAGTGCATTCGCTTCTGAATTTTGAATTCAATTTTCGAAAATTATCGACGAGATTACGATTGATAACTTCACAAATGCCATTCTTCTCCATTAAGCCGTCATTTTCAGCTTGATACCTACGAAGAAGATCAATGTACAAATTGATGGCCGTTGGTCGGACATCTTCGAATTGGAGAAGATCGAGGACAGCAAGAATCGCTTCGTGGCAGCGAGGGTCCGACGAGTTGAGTATTTCAACAAGTTCCGACAAAGCGCTCGTATCTAATCAAAATTCTTGGAATTCAAGAAAAAATCAATCAAATGCTTACTATTCGTATCATTAATAATATTCTGAACAAAAATTTTCACATAAATTTCGGAATTTTCTTTTTTCAGCGCTTCCATGTATTTTTTGGCCAGCTTCTCTTCAACATAATCGATACCACAAGATTTGAGTGAATCAATGAGAAGGGTGAGATCCTGAAAATCAATTTCTAAAATGATTCAAAAACCCAAATACGAATTTGACAAACATTCTCTTGAACCGCCTTCATGATCAATTCCATCGAGTGAGCATCGGCATTATCTTGTTTTCGATCAGACAACAAATGCCCAACATCTCCGAATTCGGGCAACTTCGAGTCCTTCAGATTCTCCTTCATCTCATTGAGCTCATTCGAGGTGAATTTCGCTTGTCCGGCCAGATTTCGAATAGGCGGCGCTTTTCGCTGACGGTGCAATAAAGTGGCGAGAGCATACAAACAGAAGATCGTCTTCGTATTGCGGCCTTCAAACACATCAGCAGTTTCGGGAATGAAAATCTCCGGCAAATTGACACTCTCCATTGCTCGACGCCATTGCATTATGTTGTCTGTGTGACGATAGACGGGCACATTCTCATTCTGTGCATACTTTTCCTGAATACCAATTGAATTCTTGATCCCGAGACGAAAATTGCGCAATAATCTCGATTCAACGAATTTCGCTTTCAAAAAAATCACCGTCATGCATAATTAAAGAGAAAGACGAAAAAAAAGAAAGAAATTTTTGCAATTGTGTTTTCATGAATACTTGAAAAGGCTTCGAAATTTATTTCTCTCTCTTGCGTTTTGTTCATTTTAAAGGAACATGAGTAACAATTTAGAAACGTTCCAAAAATTGAAAGCAAAACCGGTTCGAAAATCAGTTTTATTATTTAAGTGACTCATAAACGACCGATGAAAACATCGATTCATCTAAAAAATTACAATAATTTCGAAATTTTTGGTTCGTGCCCATTTTAGGAAATTCGCTTTTTAGCCGAACCTTGGTATTAAATTTAAGGACTGTTTAAAGGCGCATTAGCAAAAGTCAAAAACAAATGACCAGCAGTCATTCTTTCGTATAAAAAGTAGGTTTCGTTGTCGTTTTAAAAAATTGAGGGGGGGGGGCAGATTCGTATTCAGTTTATTCGATGGACCTATTAAATTATACAAAAAATGAAAAAAGAATTACCCATTTTTCCAATGCAGGATTGTAAAAAATGCACATTTAATGTTCCTTTTTACATTTTTTTTGTATTTTATGAAAAGGTCCATTTCGAATATAAATTGAATAATAAATAAACATTGAAAAAAAATGTTTTAATAAGTAAAATCGAAATACCTGATTAATATCGAAAATGCCCTTTTCTGGGACGACATCAGGCGCGAATGAATGGGCGAGTCGCGCCAATAAAACGCCATTCCGCATATTTTCCTCAAGTTCTCCGGCAGGCACAATATTCGAGTCGTTGAGGCATTCCGACAGCCAAACACGGACTTCTGCGCATCGACACAGGTATTCATAAGCGACGCGATTCAATCGACGCTCGTCAACGTCTTCAATTGACTCTTCCATTTCTTCTGCAATAATGCTCAAATTAATTAAGGGATTTGATTGGCGCTGGTGGTGTCGATGGGTGCAATCGACACCCACAACTCGTGTCTCAAGTGTCATGAGTAAACACGGCTTATTAGGGGCATTGAAGAGGACGAAATCACACTGGAATATTAGAATTCACTTACTGATGCAAAACACAAATATGGCGAAGAAATTAAATGGGAAAACCAATAAATGAATGTTGATGTGGCGATAAATGAGTTGAACACGTCGAAACACATTCAAAATTAACATTGTTTTCGGTTTTAATGAGATTTTCAAAACTGCAAAAGTCTGTCGATTTGTGGGAATTTTGATGTCTGATTTTAATAAAGAAGGAATTTCGTGAAAAAATCGATTTTATGCCGAGTTTTTCGATGCAAAATATTGTACAAAAAATCCAAATATGTCAATATTGCACTCTATAACCAAAAAACATCATTTTATAAAAGAGAACATGGAAAATAGTAAAGAAAAATGACTAATTCGTTGGCTGAATGAGAAAACCAGTGAAAAATCGGAGAAACACAATAAAATGAAAACGAGAAGCAATCCATTTTATTTCAAAATTGCGCAACAACGAGCCTCCGATGAGCCGACTGGGACGAGCCAAGCGCAAGCGTGACGGCGGAGGTCCGACACTCATCATATTATGCATAAGAATACATAGTAAAGCCATCTGAGAGTGTTTCAAACAGCCGCCGCAGCCGGAATCTCAAAAGCTTATTCAATTGGCACGCTGCCAAATATTTTATTTGCTTTTGCGAACAATGCTTCGAAACTATCAAAATGTACAACTACCTGACAAAATTGGAAGAGACGCAGAGCCTCAAAGCCACGCCCACTTTTTTTGCGCGTCACAGATTTTTTTGAGGGCAGAAAAAAGGAGAGACGATTCAAAATTGGTGCCAATTAAGCTTATTTAAAGGTTTTTATGGAGAAAAATATTCGCAGAATATTATTGAATTAAAAAAAAAGATTTACTCAAAATATAATAATTTTTAAATTAAACAATTCGAATTTTGAGTAATTTTTGGCTTGAAATTTTCGGTTTTATTCCATTTAAATTCAAAAGTATGGCGTGAGCTAAATGGAAGGTTGAGATAATGAATGAGAAGTGCACACCACGAAGAGTACGAAGATCCACAAAAAATTGCACAAAACGAGACGAGACAACAGCTGGTCGGTGTCGTTTTTTAGAAGGCGGCTGCGCGCGCGCGAAACGGAAAAGTTTGAAACCGCAAAAATACCTACAACCAGACGGATGAGATAGATGGACGAGACGAGTGAGAATGCGCAAAAATGAGACAACTGACAGACAACACGGGCCTTAGTTTCCAAATGAAGAGATCCGATGGCCATCATGCCTAATGTAGCAAACAATTCTACGCTTTCATCTCATTTACTGTTTCGCGATTTATACATTTAATCGACAAGGAGACGACAAAAAAAAAGAGACTATGTGAAAGCAACGATTCTCAAACCCCTTAGTAGTTAAAGCACATTTGTAGAAAGGAAGTTTTTCGCAGAATTTGACCGAATTAAAATATTGAGAATCTTTTTGAATAATTTGAAATCGCATTGAAAAATGTGTCAATAATATGAATAAAAACAATACTAAAATATTTATATGAAATTGTTGAAAGGTACATTTCAAGGTTGTTTGCTAAATTCGGTCATGACGAATGCAGGTGGGCCATAACACGATGGCGACACCTGTTTTAACACCAACTGGTTGTAAATTACAAAAAAAAAAGATAAGAAAAAGGGAAGGAAAGTGGAAAAGGTATTTTAAAATAGCAATCCAAGTTTATCTATATGAAGCGGAAAGAAAAAGAGAAATATTTGCAGATGTTTGAATATGAAATACATGGTCAAATTTTGTTTATATGAATAAACGAGACGAGAAAAAAAATGACATCTGCAGAATCTTGAAAATTCGGACGTGATTAAGACGTACTAGTTATTTACATATAGAAATAGATGAAAAAATTAGGATTTCGGTGGAAAATAATCTAAATCTGGCATCAAGGATTAAAAATGGAGAATTGTTTTTTTTTTTTAAGGACGATATTATGCAGAAGCTTCACCTACCGGAAAACCTCAATTACAATGAGGGAGAGAGAGAGAGAGAAAGAGAAAAACTAGAAAAATACGAGACTAAATTCGAAAAGCTTCCCAAAATGGAGCCATCTTTGTCTTTTCGGACACAAGTTTTGTGTTTGCGGAAAAGGCGCGCGGTGTCGCATTTCAGGCCGACGAATTGCAATAGGATCATTCGAAATCAATTCTGCAACAAAACGACGAAGAGAGCGCGAATTGGGTGATAAAAATCGATAAGAATGTTGGTAATTTTGTGTTTGCTCAAAAGATACGACATTATTGATACATTTTCATGGCCAAAATACGAGGGGACGTGGCCACCATACAACAAACAACATTTTTTGCTAATACGTTGTGCAATCGACATGTCCAAATTAGTCATTCAAAAAAATGTATTGACCCCCCACGTGTGGACCCATTCCAATATTTTTTGGTGTTGTGCGTCCTGAATTGAAAAGAAGTTTAGTAAATAAACGTTTTCGAAAAAAAGCGACGCTCAATCTTTTTATAAACATCTGAATTATAAGCAAAAAATTGATTTGGTTCGGGGGGTTCGCATTCCGCGCGACGGGCGGGGTCACTGAAGACAAGTGTTGTCGTCGCGAGAAACGAGTGTAAAGAATTGGTGCGCAATAAAGAAATAAGCAGCTCAAAGTTGTTTGCGATAACAAAAATAATGAATTGAGCCGTAAACACTTTACGATAAATTGCGGACATGCATCAAATATTACGGTTGCGACAATTTCTGTTGATAAATCATTTTTGTCGGCGATTTCAAAAATGTATGGGTTAAACACAGAACAAATAGTTGTGCTCTAATCGACTTATCTTAAAAGTAAACCAAATGCTTTCCTCGTTCGAATTGCTCGTAACCATTAGCAACAAAAAACCAATTTCTGCAAATTTACTTCTACTCTCGCCTCTATTTCTTCGTTTCTCGAAAAAAAAAACAAACATAGCCGATGACGACGTGCCAACTTTTACCAGTATTTTTCAAAAAAAAAATCAAAACGATACAAATACGGTTGAAAAAATTGAAACCTATGAATTTAGTATTCAAGACAGACAACACAGGGAGAAAACATGGTAAGTTTTGCGTTATACAATATGAAACAATGTGAATATGGGGTGTGAAGCGTTTAGAAGTTATAAGTGCCTGGTGGCTGGTTTTCCGAAGCTTCTTCTTCAGCAGCATCGTCGTCAGCAAAGAATTGCGAAATAATTCTGTAGGCATGCGCATAAATTGTCTCCGATTGCGATTCCTGAAGACGCTCGAGCTGGTCGATTCCGCCACATTCCTCGATTTGATCGCGAATCGCATCCATTCGTTGCGGATAACTGCAATCACATAATTTTGTAAAAAATACGGGAGAAACATTATAAATCTTACGTAGCAGAAACCGTGAGCAACGCGGTGTAGATAGTCTCAAGAGCGTTGTTAAGCATATCAGGGTTACTCTGAGAGAGAAGATTGCAAAGCGCCGGAATGGCGTCCTCCTCGACCATTGCGAAAATCTGCTTAGCGGTTCCACCTTGAGCAAGATTCGAGAGAGCCCACGATGCCTCAAATTGACATTTGTAGTCTCCCTAAAATTGTTTTAGTTTTGAATTACATTGTACATATTGAATCCTCACCGATTTCAACACGCTAACAATGACTGGAATGAGTCCAGCATCAATAACTGCCTGAATCTGACCTTGAGTTCCCGCAATGACGTTCGAGACGAGCCAACAGCATTCCTTGACGATGCTCGTGGTAGAAGTGCGTTCAAAAAGAGGCAAAATCTCGTTGAGAGTTCCCAAATCGATGACAGTTTGGGTGAGCGAATCGTTTCCTGTTGCCACATTCCCCAACGTTCTCAAAGCTGGTGCAACAAGAGATTCTTCGGAGCGGAAGAATTTCATAATCTCCTGAAGAACGCCGCTTTGGCGAGCAATCTCGATTTGCTCATCGGGGCCGTCGGTAAGATATGAAACAGCCCAGCAAGCGTCTTGGCGGACTTGTTGGTCTTTGTGCTGCACCAATTTGGTGAGCCCGAAACTAAGAACGCGTAGTACTTCTAAAGGAGCATGAGGGTTCTTATGCCGACACATGTTGGAGAAAGTCCAAGCAATGGTGCGAACATGGCTAACCGAAAGGGTATCGAGCTTAGACATCAAGTGCATAAGCGCCTCGATTCCATGACAGTCTGAAATATGTTAAATTTATATATTTTTCAACGTCTATAGGTCGTACTGATTACGAAATCGCGAAGCTCAGCGCTATCTCCGGCAATGTTGGCAACCGCCCAAAGAGCTTGTTCCGCAATTTGTGGATCGTCATGAATTGAGAGCTTAACGAGTGGTGCTGTAGCTCCGGCCTCAACGGCAGCGATGGTTTGAGCAGAAGTTCCGGAGACAATGTTAGTGAGAGCCCAGGCAGCTTCATAAAGGATCTTGGTGTTCTGAAGATAAATTCAAAATGTCGCATAATAATTTTTATTAAATTTGCATACGTCAAGAGCTAAAGCTTGAACTAAAGCGTGAACAAGACCGGTTTTGATGACTTCATCGATTGGTGGATTCTTGTTCTTCGATAAGCTTCGTCGAAGCGATTCGAAGCAGACTATCATATCATCAGTCGATGGGTTATTTGATAGAATCCTCTTGACTTCATCGTTCGATAGTCGCGCAGGAGTGCTTGCTGGCTTCACATTTTCAATGTCGACAGTGTCGAGGCTCTTTTCATTCTCATCATCATCGAAGTCGACAATGTTTCTTCTTTTCATCATCATATCGGCTCCTTTTTGCTTTCGGATCTCAACACTACATTCTGTGCGCCGGCGACGAAGCTCCTGTAGAAAAATTTTTAAAAATGTTAAAAATCAAATTCGACGTACGTCATGCTTTGACAAGTTCTTATATTGGGTGAGACGACCATCATCGCGCTCCTCGTTGGCCTCATTTTTAGCATCGGTGAGCGGCATTATGGGTGGGGGGCTCTGAAACACTTTTAGTTTTCTAAGAACTACAGATTGAACAAAAATATTTATGACGAAAACATTTGACAATATCGGAAATTGCGAAATCAACTACAAAAAGCGCCGGAAAGAGAAAACTGGAATATTCTTTGCTGGCCTAAATATTCGCGCCAAAAGGAGCATTTGAAATGCGCGGCAATGGCGCCAGTCACGGCGCTGGCGTCTTTTGCGATGCTTCTTTGTATTTCTTTTGAAGTTTGAATTTTTGCTTACGGTTGTAATTATAGTGGTATTTTAGGTAGAATGATAGGAAAACGGATTGCACATCAAAATATATCTTTCTCAAGGGTTCTTTCATCGGCGCCTTCAACTTCAAAAGCCAAATCAAAGGTAATTTAATTGAATTTATTCATTAGTAACTTTTTTTCAGGTTAATTGTGCTGTTTATGGATGTGGTCTTTCTGCTTCCGGCGCCCTCGCTATTCCAAAACTTGTTCATAACAATAATAGTAAACGTTTTCTAAAATATACTCATTTTAATCGGATATTTTAGTTGATGAAGCCTTTGTAACAGCGCCGGAAGCCAAATTCCCGAAAAGAATTACATTCTTCAACACTGAAAATATTCGCCACATTTCCGCGGGCTTCGGATTTTCCTTATTTGCTTCAAATAAAAAGCTTTATGGTGCCGGTTTGAACAATAGGTACAATTCTATTGAAAAATAAAGCATTTTGAGTTTCAGATTTCAGATTGGCGGACATATAGCAGATATGGAACGTAGGAGAGGTCAAGAATATTACATAAGTGCGAAGAAAATTAAAATACCAATGAATGAGAATGATAAAATCTTGGGAATTTCAAGCGGAAGAGCTCATTCTTTGATTCTCACAACGAATGGAGTGTATGCAATTGGAGAGAATCAATATGGACAGTGCGGAGTGAATCCTGATCTGTCTAACACTTCTGTCGGGGTGAGTGAATTTACAAAATTTCTCAAAATTCATTCTTGGAACGATTCGGTACTGTATTATTAGAAATGTGAATATTCAGGTTGGAGATTCTCCGCTACAGAAGATTCAAGTGGGATCCGATTATCCAATAGTAGGGGTTCATTGCTCATTAGATTCTTCATTTCTACTTAATAAAGCTGGAGAAGTGTTTGCTTTCGGATTGAATGAAGATGGGCAATGTGCTAATGAGGAATACGGGATCCAATGGAAACCTTCGAAAATCAAAGGAGACGCCGCTGGCGTGAAAATCAAATTGGTAACAGGGAGTACTGACACGTTGATGGCAATATCAGAAACCGGACAACTATTCATTTGGGGGCAGACTGAGTATAACCAAGCAACAGAAGCTTGTTCCGATATTCAGTTGAATGTTTCTCGGCAAATTTGCATCTCGTCGAGAATTGGAAAAATTGTTTCGGCAGCTTCAACCTCAACATCGTGCGCTGTAGCCAATGACAGCGGAGAAGTTTATGTATGGGGTGTCGGAGTTCTGGGACTCGGGCCGAATTGCGATCGTCTAGCGAGACCGACGAAAATGGATCAGCCACTTTTTGATGACAAGAAAGTTACGAATGTTTTTGGCGGAAATTGTAATTTTGGAGCGTTCAATTCAAATGGGAGATTGTATGTCTGGGGAGAGAATAGGTGAGTCACGTCGTTCATTTTGGGCTTATTCATGCAATAAAAATAAAAAGTATTTTAATGGAATATCTTACATTTTTTGGTTAAACAAAATAAATTTCATGAATGAGCCAATTAAAATTTATATTTCGCGTTTGTGTAGTATTTGGTTAGAAATTAAATTTTAAACTCACATATTGTCGGCGTCCGGCGACTGCTGTACGCGGGTAGATTTACGCGTATGCGCCTTGAAAAGGTCTCGCCACGTGTGAATGCGTATTTTGCTGTTTTCACGTGAACGATTTATTTTTTCTTGATGAGATTGGCATTCCTTGGAATTTCTAACGTCGTTCGGTTTAAAAATTCTCGAACCGACCCATAAAATGCGAAATAACTAAGTTAGTCTGTGCGAGACGAAAAGAAAGACGCATCCGCGTAAATCTACCCGCGTACGGCAGTCGCCGGACGCCGACTATAACATAATTTATTTACTTAAAATGCAGTCTAAAATTTAGGTTTAATAATTTGATTTGGTTTGGCTCAAAACTATCAATGAAATATGCCTAAATAATAAGTTTTATAAATTAATTTTTATTAATTTTCTTTATCAGGTTCGCCACAATCGGACTTGGTCACATGAATCGTCAACTCTTTCCATACCAATTATTTGTTCCTGGTGATATTCGCAGTGTGTCATTGGGACCTGATCATTCCCTTATTTTAATTCATTGATTATATTTTGTTATAAAAAATAACTCGAATACAATTCCTCTTTTTTACATGATTTGACGTGTCACCTTATCACTAGAAATGCCTCTCATTTTCTTTTGGTTTTACAACCATTAATACCTTGTTCAGATGTCGCAGGCAGTCGTGCGCGCCGCCGGACTCGTCGTTTATCGGAAGGTTTCCGGCAAAGTCGAGTTCCTTCTACTGCAGGCCAGTTATCCGCCGCACCACTGGACACCGCCTAAAGGACATGTTGATCCAGGTGAAACCTTTGATAACTGAATAATTCATCTTAATTAAATTTCAAAGTGTTTCTTCCAAGTTATTTTATTTTAAATTGGATTTTGCGTGTTTCATAATCTTTAAAAAATCAGCTCACGAAATTATCAAACAGTGAATACACGGTTTTTTTGCGTAATTAATGATTTAGGAGAGGATGAATGGACTGCTGCAATCAGAGAAACGAGCGAAGAAGCGAATTTGAGCAAGGATCAACTAACCATTCACGAAGATTGTCATGAGACATTATACTATACTGTAATGCTTGTTTTTTATCATTTTTGCCCTAAAAATATTCATTTTCGAATAGAAAGGAAGTTATTTTATAGAAGAATCGTAGCGAATTTGATTCAAAAGCTATTATCGAGAATTTAAGCATTCGAATTTTAAGAGAGATTTATTTGGTTTGGTTTTTTTGTTCATTTCCAAAATTTTCCTACATTAGATGATTTATTTTTCGATTTTAAAATTAAATTTTCAGGCAAATGGTAAACCGAAATCGGTGAAATATTGGCTGGCCCTTCTCAACAATCCGCTTGATGTGAAATTGTCGCATGAACACCAAAATTGGAAATGGGCCGATTTGGAGGAAGCGATCAGGGTGGCCGATTATGCCGAGATGGGACAACTTTTGCGAAAATTCCACGATTTCATTGAGAAGAACAAAAACTGATTATGCATGTAATTGAAAATTTCATTTTGAACATTGTCTAATAAATTTATAGCCCCCAAGGGTTTTTGAAAATAATGAAAAGAAATGCGTCTTGAAAGTTTCGGAATCGCAAAACGAAATGAGCGATAATGCTAATTGAAAAATGATTTGAATTTATCGAGAAAAATACCGTACTTGTTTTTCCGGTAATAAATTGGATTTGAATGTTAAAAAAGAGAATAATTAATTAATTATTTAATTGCCTATTATTTGTGCTAAATTACTTTTCAAAAATCAACAAAACCCGTTCAAATATTTCTGAACAAATTGAAACCAACATTTATTGAAAATATGAGAATAACGAGTTAATAATCGTTGTTCGATTCTTCCTCCTCGATTTTTTGTAACGGTGTTGACTGCAAAAATGTTTGTTTTCTGAAATTTCTAATTAATTGAATATCAAAAAATAGAAATTGAAAATTTGACACAAAAACTCGAAATCAGTGATCTCGAAAACTATTTCACAATAAGCCGGCGGCAACTGATGCTGATAGTCGTTTTTTCAGAAGCAGACTATATTGAAATGTGCTCCTTTAAATTCGGTTATAAAGGATCCGCGAAAATATCCAAAATTCATATGAATTTAATCGCACACTATTTCTTATACCAATTTTGATGGAAAACCGAGATTGCGATTCACTCGTATTAGCATATGCGCGGAGTTCGAAGAAAATTCTTGTGAACACGTTTCTCGGCGGAAAAGTGACGTCATTTGCGGAAAAAAACGAAGATTTTTTTTGGCAAAAATTATAAATTTAGAGAAATTTGACAATGCTTTGAACCCTTTGAAATTCGAGATTCTAAAACATCCAATAGTTGGCTAAATCTTCAATAAGCGTTGAATAAATGAAGTAGTCTCATTCAATCGCCCACATTCATCGCAATTCGTTTCTTTTTTATTGTGGCCGATATCAAAACTATGCGTATCCTACGTGACAAATCCTATCAGCAGTTGGCCGCACTAATTCGATGCCCTTCCCTTCCTTCTTCAGAGCTTCTCCTGCGTTTCGTCGTCGTTCGTCTCCTCTCGCTGCGCACCTCTTTTTTATATGTTGTGAGCGGGCCATGAGAATAAAAAACACACACGGCCAAACACTTTTTTTTTTGATTTTTTGCGTCTCGCTTATTCTTGCGATTCAACGTTTGATCTTTCTTTGGATCTATGCGAACGTTTTCGATCGAAGACCGTATTTTTAATTCTTAGGAGGCCACGCCCATTATCGCTTTCGGATTTTTGCATCATCTTACTTTTGCTCCAAAAATTTTGCGTCATGCTTCAAAAAAGCGTTCACTGCGCACTCAAGCGAGTTCCTTCTTCTTCCTTTTTTTGGGGAAACCCCCTTTTAGCCTTTTAAGGCTTTTAAATCCTTTTCCCAATTGGGTTTGCTTGCACAATATTTTCAGTGTTAAAAATATGAAACTTGAAACTCCTCAGAATTGTCTGCAATTTATAAGACAATCGAAATTACCTTTAGTTACTAGTTTTGAACTCAATTGTAACTCATGTACACCTGCTCAACTCTTAAAAAAAGCGACGCTTATGTTTTGGCTCAAAATATTGAATGAGATGCTTGAATATGGTCATTGCATGATGCAATTGGTGAACATTTCAAAATTCATTTGTTTCGTTAAACAGAAATATACGAAACGAACGACTATTCAAATAAATAAATTTCGAATATCTGTTTTTTTTTTCAAAAGGATTCCTTGTACTAAGGAGAAGACGCGAGCGAGTTCGGATTGATAGAAATATATAAAATTTCAACATATAATTTTCACAAAAAAAAAACGATTTTTACAATAACCACACAATCCCAAGAAATTCATATTTTCATTTTTGAATGCACGTGAAAATCATTTTGTTCGATTTTGCCGTGTAATATCCTCAAAAACCTCTCTTGAACCCATCTCGCACTAAATATTTCGCGTTTTTTCCTTGAAATGGGCCAGTGTTGTTCGACAAGAAATGCGGTCCGAACTCGTCAATCTAGGTGTTTTATTTTTTAATTTATTTTAGCACTTTTTTTTAAGTCGTAAAAATTGTGGTTTTCCAGTAAACAGCCGATCTTGGAAAAGGAGAAATCCGTGAAAGAGAAGAGCAGACGCGAGAAAAAGCCGCGAAAAAAGGAAATTGCTAAGCAGCAGAACGAAAAGAGCAAGAAGACTGAAAAGAAGAGTGTCCATCTGAATATGCCGAGCTCCAGAGTTTGCCAGCTCGCCAAGTTGCGGACACTTTCGATTCAAAACTCGACGGATATCATTACAACACAGCTGGTTTGTCATTTCTTGAAATGGTATTGAATTAAAAGCCCGCAAACACCGAACGCAATTCCGCACGGCATCCTAAAAAATGAGTTAACTGGGGAAAATCAAAAAAAATTAACTCGGGAAAATCATTGGGCAAAACACGGATGAGACACATTTCTCGGTTTTACACGCAGGTTGCAATGTAGAAAAATGTTTTAAAAAAATTACATTTAATTGAATTTTTTAAAACTCTTCATAGGAAAAATGTGTAATTTTCAACATTTTTATTGCCTGTATAGGCCATAAGGGTGTTCAAACATCGTTTCACACATTATATCACAATTCGCATAACCGTTCCGTATGGCCTGATTTTCTTTCCTAATGAGCCCACATTTCAACAATTCCACTGATAACAATTGTTTTTCTTTGTTTGTTTTCTTCTTGATCGCCAATATTGTACAGGTTTTATGGTAGACACTTGCCTGCGTTCAATAATTTGTGTTTCACACATTCCCTCGTTTTAATGGGATGATTATAAATATAAACATCGTTCGGTGGTGGGTACGGCAACCTGATATGTTTATTTTATTCGTGCAAAATTGCTCGTTCTTTGTGATTGCCAGAAATATCTCAAAGATACAGTAATCCATGTTTTGAGACCATAATCAAAACGGTTTCTGCGCCTTTGAACATTACTGTAGAAAGTGGATTTTTTTTTACTGAATTCTTGGAAAAATTTTTTGCTTTTTTTTCTTATTCTTTTAATATTTCTTGTACTGCGATAACTCATTAATCTTTTAATCTTTTAAATTTTTTCTTTGTCGTTGACTAATCATAAAATGATTTGAAATGAAGAAATTGCTATTGCAATTGCAAAAATATCAAAGTATCAAATAACATGCCAGCACTGAATGGCATAAGAATAAACTTTCATTGTGTTTGATTTCTGATCGAATCATTCCATCAAAATGTTCATTATGTAGTGATCGAATATTCACTGTTTACGCCAGCCTCCTCACGTCATTGTAGCTTTTCTCAACCACACCGTTCTATTGTTAGTGCAAATGTGACGTATCGAAAACAATCGCACTGCCCGCCCCACTGAAAAAACACAGATGATGCATTTTTGCAAACGCTTTCGCCAGAAGTTCGTGAGCGTTCTCAAATATTGACTTTTCTGCGTTTTTTGCAGATTCCACCACGTGATTTCGATGAACTCAATATTCTTAGCAATTTCCACGAAATTGGGCACCCACCAAATTATCACAAAAACGCATCAAATCGGCCCGGAAATCTTGGAGAAATTGGTTCTCGAATCACGTATAAAAGGCCGCTGACACACGATCTTCAAAACCATTCCCCTATAATTTCTGATGGCCACCCATCACATTTCGTTCAAGCGCACTGCTAATCCATATTACTCGTCAAACGGCATTTTGACCTGTTTCGCGCTATTTGATCTACAACTCATGGATGATTTTTGACTTTAGCTTCGTCGCTTTTGCAAACATTGTTCGCTGCCGTCATTTCGGTAACCGCACAATTTTTTTTCAAATTTAATCTTCTTTCATGCACAATCGCCATTTCGTTTCTCGGAGAAATCGTTTTATTGGGACGTTCAATTTTATGTGTTTATTCTTTCCTTCAGAAGTGCCAATAAAAAGCATTCAAAAAATCATTGCCACGGGCGGGATTCGAACCCGCGAAGGTAATTTACCGTAAGTTCATAAGACTCATGCCTTTGACCGCTTGGCTACCGTAGCAGACATTCTGAAAAAGGGGGACCACCTAAATGAGGGAAACGGGCCATTGGTCCGTTTAGGACCATAAATGGTAGCACCTCATATTTAGAATGTCTTATGAGCTTACAAAAACAACAGAACTTTCGAAACCTTCGCGGGATCGAATCCCGCCCGTGGAAATGACATTTTGCTAAGAATCTTTGCACCAAAAATACTTTTAAACATTCATTCCCAATAATTATTGTTGTTTGTCGTATAATTTACGTATATAAACTCTCACCAGCTCCTAATTTGGTGTATTTTCTTCGTATTCAGAGCCTTAAAATATGTCGTCGATGGTATGCCGCCCAATTGTTCCCGACACGAAATCGTTGAAATCGATCAAGACGAAAAAACCAGCGCCGCTTAGAATATCGACTGTGCGCGATTTGGTGCGAAATTGCAAAATCATTTTTGCCCGATACTCAATAAGCCTGATTTTGAATGTTGGAAGTTTTTTTTCAGGTTCATGACGCTGTCGAGTCGCTTGTCGTTGGCGATGATAAGCTCCGCAAAATGATGCAATGCATGGAAAAGTCGATGGAATATGGTTTGTCGCGCTCGCATGGCGCCGCTGTCAAAATGCTGCCGACGTTCGTTGACGCGGTTCCAAATGGCACCGAGCGTGGTGACTTTCTCGCCCTCGATTTGGGTGGCACCAATTTCCGAGTGCTCCACATTCTGCTCACCGAAAAGGAAGCGACGATGACCGGAAAAATTTTCCGTGTGCCTGAGAATATCATGCGAGGGAGCGGCGAAGCAGTGAGTTTTCTTAAAATCTTTTTAGCCTATTGCGATTTTTTCCATTTTCAGCTTTTCGATCACATCGCTGAGTGTATGGCCAAGTTTATGGAAGAGAATGGATTGAAGAAGGACGGAAAGGCGATCAAATTGCCGCTAGGTTTCACCTTCTCATTTCCGTGCGAGCAAGATGGTCTCACGAAGTAAGAATTTGATAGATTTCTGTATGGTAAATTGTTTTTTGTGTTTTCTTGCCGCCGGCCGCAGAGGAGAAAAATCCAATTATTTTGTTAATAACAATAATAATAATAATAATAATAATCTATTTGGAACAACTTAATAGAAAATGCCATCAAATGAAAACATTGCGATGATCTTTTGGTTTTCTTGTCGATGTGCATGTTAAACAAGCATATTGTAGGTGTCAAACGACTGAATTGACTATAGGTCAGGTGTCTCGAGTCAGAGAGACTTGCGCTTGTCTGCGTACCCCCGTGTATATATGTGTAGGCGCATTTAATGTTTAGCTGCGCGTAAATTTGCAAATTCGTAGATCTACAATGATCTCAGGCAAATCAAATAAAATATTTTGTGAATCAAACATTCAATAATAAACTCTAAAATATTTTAAGAAATTCTAAAGTTTATTGATACTTTCGAAAACTTATTGAGACTCGATAAACTTAAAAATATTTTTTTAATCTTATAAGATTTTTCTTATTTATTGAGCAAATTCTAAATTATCTCGATAAATTCTAAAATCTTCAAATAATTTCTAAAGTTGATTGAGAAAATTCTAAAATATTATAGAGACACGTTAGTTTCTCAATGAATCTCAAAATATTTTATTCGATTTACCTGAGATTTTGCGAAATTTAATTTCCCGCCATCGTTTGGTCGTTTGACGCCGACATTTTTTGTTATTTTCAATTATTTTCGAAATTGCGCGACTACGGCAAATTGGCTAAATGTCGGAAATATGTAGTATTGAGACACTCATGATGTGTGATTCAACTCTACTGTAGACGGCGCCGTCCGCAGTCGCGGGGCTTCCAATATGTTAAATTCGCAAAAAAAAACGAGCTCACTGCGTCAATTAACGATGAGTTAGCTTCACGGATTATCCAGAGTACGGTACACGAATTCCCACTGTTTAATTCGAATTTGAATTACCGCTTCGAAAAAGTGTGATAGTCCACAATTATGCAAGGCGCTCGTTTTTTTTTCGTCAATTATTAAATTATTAAATTTGAATTGACTAAATGTCAAAAAAAAAAACAGTCACAGTGGTTTTAGTTCAAAACTATAAGTGTATGTACAAGGCTAGATTAAAGGCACACACCCAGATCTCATCTATAATTTTTTTTGATCTTAGCCAATTTATCGGAGTCGTGCGACGCCGGCAATAATGATGACAATTGAAAATTTTTAATGGTCAGCTACGTGATTATCACCAAATTGTGTGAAACCCTTTCGATTAGCAAAAATGTTAAAACATATTTTCGATATCGCACGACTACGGAAATTAGGCTAAATGCCAAAAAAAATTTAAGAGACGTCTTGGTTCTTCCTGTGCGCCTTTAACCTATCTCTGTATTTAGGGCTTTAAATCTACTTTTGTAGTTTTGTTTTCAAGACCGCTGTCATCGCACGACGCCGACATTTCCGAATTTCAATCAAAACTTTCAGAGGAAAACTCATCAATTGGACGAAGGGATTCAATGCGACCGGTGTCGAAGGATCCGACGTTGTTACACTTCTCCGCGAAGCTTGTCAGCGACGTAAAGACATTGACATTGACGTCGTCGCGCTTCTGAATGATACTGTTGGAACCTTGATGGCCTGTGCATTCCAGGAGAACACATGTCAGGTAGCAGTTGGCTCGTTTTTGCTCGTGATTCGTCCGAATTTATTCAGATTGGTGTTATTGTTGGAACTGGCACAAATGCCTGTTATATGGAACGAATGGACAGGATCCCGAAACTCGCCGGATATATCGATGAGCATGGGCATACACCTGATGAGGTATTGCCTGTTTCAAACGAATCATCGAGGCTCGTAATTCATTCACACGAAATTGGTGGATTTACGAATTTGTAAATGCTGAAATGCACGCTACGCGGTCTCGCGCACTTTTCTTTTCCTAGAGTCATCATGGCGCATTGCCAATTTTTCTTTGGTCTTTTGAAACCGACAATATCTGTAGTTACATCTTTGCGCTTTTCAATTGAACTAATATGATGCGAATGGAATTTCGTCCCGATTCTTCACTAGAATTTATCAATTGCGTTATTTTAAGATGATCATCAACACTGAATGGGGAGCATTTGGCGACGACGGCTCGATTGAATTTTTGCGAACAAAATGGGATCGAGAAGTCGATGAGAAGAGCATCAATCCTGGCAGGCAGCTGTACGAGAAGATGATCTCCGGAATGTATATGGGCGAAGCTGCGCGTACTGTGTTAGAGGATTTGGCTCGTCAAGGCCTCTTATTCGGCGGCGACTACGAAGCCATTTCGCAAGCGCATTGCTTCCCAACAAAATTTGTTTCCGAAATTGAAACGTAAAAATCTTTTCTTATTTCTTTTCTTATTGCAACTCGAGCATTTTGCAGTGAACTTCTTGGAGACGATGACCATGGATTCCAGAAGACGTGGCAAATTCTCGAAGACATTGGAATCAACACGATTTCGAATAATGATTGCGCGAATGTTGCATATGTGTGCAGTCTGGTTTCGACGCGTGCTGCCTATCTCACAGCTGCCGGAATCGCCATGCTTCTGAATAGAATGAAGAAGGATCACGTGACAGTTGGTGTCGATGGATCAGTGTACCGATTCCACCCGACATATCCGAAATTGTTAGATTTGAAGATCTCGGATCTGATCAAGCCGGGAATCGGGGTAAGCGCATTAAGAAAATCGATTTGTCTAAATTCATCGATTGCGTTATTTGGTCCCACGAAAATTTTAAACGTGAGGATTCTTCTTCACTGAAGACCAATTTGTATTCAAGTCGAGACCAACTATACGCAATTGTATAGATTAGATAAATGTTATTAAAGTTGTTTGCCTTTTAAGAAAAATGAAAAGAAGGTTGATTTAACATTGTCGTTTTTGCAGTACAAACTCATGTTGTCCGAAGACGGATCCGGCCGCGGAGCAGCTCTCGTAGCCGCCGTCGCTACGCGAATACGCGAGGAGAAGTTGGCGAATGCCAGGAATTAGATTTAATCCCCGTTTTTTTTAATCCTTTTTAGGAGGAGAATTTAGAAAACTCGATAATTTATTAAGATGCTTTATCTCGTTTTTTTTCTGTTTTGGTCCCACCGCGACAAAATCGCCATATATCTAATTAAAGATTAGAATACGGGACCTTTTAGCCCAATATACCCCTTTTTCTTTGTTTATTGCATGCTTACCTAGTAAGGTTACTAACCTAGTTACTAACTTCTCAACTCTATTCCCCTCCCTTTCCTCTCCTATTCCCCTCACATATTTTTCAATTATTTTTATTTATTTATAGCAATTATTTTAATTGTCGAATACAATGGTTTTGTATAAAATACTAAAATTAGATTTTAAAGAACCCTTTTATTCAAAAAGAATAGTACAAGATGAAAATATACACGAAAATTGGTATTAGTAGACGAAATTTATTGGAGTTTGTTAGAATTTGCGAATTCGCGCATATACTCGGCGAGAGTTTGAGTTTCTTCGAGTGAAATTGCGTTGTAAAGAGACGCGCGGATTCCTCCGACAGACCTGAAAACGCAGATATCATGACGATTTTTCTCTCTATTCGAATATTTCTACCTGTGACCCTTTAAACCGATCATGTTCTTTTCCATGGCGCCTTTCACGAACTTCTCCTCGAGCTGTTCGTTTCCTTCGGCTCCACCGATTCGGAAGCAAATGTTCATAATGCTACGGAAGCGTTTATCGACGGCGCAATAATAGAAGCCGTTTGATTCGTCGATGATCGAATAGATCAACTGACTCTTCTTCTGAAATTATATGGAATTTTAAAAAATGAGAAAATAATTTGTATGAAGCTTGCGAAAAAGAAATCATTGGCGGATTATTTTTTGAACCTTCTTTTAAAATTTTTAATTATTTGGAAACTTACCAAATTCATGTCATAGATTCCTTGAACGCCTCCTTTAGATTTGATCCATTTCAGCACCAAATTAGTAATGTAAATTCTAAAATAATCGAATTTCGATTCGCTCCAAGAATATTTCGATTATTACCCTCCAGTCGGTGGGGTGTTGTACAAGCTGTTGTTCTTCACCATTTCCTTATAGCTGAACACAGCCGGAGTAATCGGCTGCTGCTTTCCAATGAGATCATTTCGAACAAACACGACAGTGAGTCCAGCAGCTCCGAGATTCTTCTGTGTGCCTCCGAAGACGACGCCGTGCTGAACAAAGAATGGTTAGTTTCCGAAAAAGAATCCTCATTTTTTACATCTTTGAAGTCGAAAGGTCTCGCCAAGAAATTCGATGAGATATCGGCAACTAATGGAACATTGTGATTTTCGGGCGCTTTCGGCGTAAACTCGATTCCATGAACGGTCTCGTTCGCACAATAATACAAATAAGCGGCATTCTGCACAAAATCTTCTATTCAATTTTTCGATTTGTTCGTTGTTCTCAAACCTTATCATGCACCCAATTCTCTTGATCCGGAACTGTCACAAACGGCTTGATCGGCGTGAAAACCTGCAAAAATCACAGGGAATTGGGCGAATTTCGGCAAATGCTTCGCGCATACCTTCTTCACACTAATATACTTGACCGCTTCCTCGGCGGCTTTCGACGACCATGCGCCAGTCACTATGTAATCCGCGTGATCATGATTGCCCTATCAATGAACATATTACGAATAGTTTCAACAAAAAATAAATGATATATTCTATCCCTTTTATGAAGAAATTGATAACAATTCGCCATTTCTGGATTCATATGAATAGTTGTTCGTTGCAAGAAATGCCGATAACGCAAAAGATAAATTTTCGCCGAGAAACAACTGAATTTGTACGAATGATCAAGGAAATCTAATAAATACAATTAAAAAAAGCAAATGTTTTTAATTTTATTATATCGACTAGTTCGTTACTATGACTCAATTATAAACATAGTCAAGAATTTTTCAATAAGTATAAATGCTACTTGAAGCTTGTGTCTTCTTATGTCTGGTGTTCAGGAAACCAGTTCATTTTTCAACTATCGCCATCAAAAATATGCGATCAATTTAAAATATGCGACTCAATTTTCAAGATTTTTTCCGAAAAAGTTGAAAAATTGAACCCGAATGAATTCTTCCGGGTTCCCATTTTTGGCATTATTAAATGTCACCTTGAGATTGAGCGGAATCGCCGCAAATTGTCCAGTTCCGCCGCCCTGCATGAACAGGATCTCGAAGTTGTCTGGCACGCCCCTAAAATATTCATATTGGTTAAAACAAGAAATAGAAAAGGAAATAAATAGATTTTACATGATTTCGCGGAACAATCCAACAGTCTCATTTAACAAATTCTGGAATTCCTTGGATCTGTGCGACATTTCTGCAAAAACAAAATTGGATAAATTATCAATAAAAAAAATGAATGAGGCTTACCCAGGACACTGAGTCCCAAATTTTGATAGTTGAGCTGCTCTTCTTGCACTTTGAGCAACACTTCCTCAGGAATCTTCGCTGGTCCCGCTCCGAAATTAATTTTTCTTCCACTCATTATTAAGGGGTTAGTAGAGTGAGTTTGGTCTGCAAATGGATGATCTGCTTCAAAGAACGAAGCGGAATGAACGAAACATTGATAAGAATGGGTACTAATGTACGTACGCGAATGTGGGCGGAGTCATATGGATAACACCATAAAACGTTGGATATGTCACGTAGGCAGGCAATTATGATGACATAATGGTAATTTAGGAACACAATGATTGATCGGAATGATGATAAAACGGCAATCGAATGGTTATAAAATATGCACTTTGATCGTTTAAATAATAATGTTTTTTTTTCAAAGAAAACATGATTTTCAAATAATACAAAATATCAATTCAATAAACTTGGAAACAAAATATACGAAATATTACAATCAATTTCAAAAATTCTCCAAAAAATCATTGCCACGGGCGGGATTCGAACCCGCGAAGGTATTTTACCGTAAGTTCATAAGACTCATGCCTTTGACCGCTTGGCTACCGTAGCAGACATTCTGAAAAAGGGGGTCCACCTAAATGAGGGAAACGGACCACTGTATGCTACAGTGTGAATATGAGGTGTCATTGTCCTAAACGGACCATCTCGTACTTAAATGGCCCGTTTCCCTCATTTAGGTGGTCCCCCTTTTTCAGAATGTCTGCTACGGTAGCCAAGCGGTCAAAGGCTTAAGTCTTATGAACTTACGGTAAATTACCTTCGCGGGTTCGAATCCCGCCCGTGGCAATGACTTTTTCTGTATCCTTGAAAAAAATCCTGTTTTCCTTGAAAAAAATCATTTCCTTTTTTAAATAAAAATCGTTTTATTACATTCGCAAAAATTGAGCTCCCAACGCCGAATTCCTGCGAGTTTGCTTTATAGGATTTTTTTGTACTACAATACCCTAATTACCATTTTTCAAATCGAAATTTTTAAATCAAAATTTAGGGCGTCGGTTCGATAGTTTTAATTTAAATGACGAAGAGTAAAATCATTAAAAGTAATATAATTTTTACTTTTGTGAGTTGTGGAGCGACTTGTTTTGAGTGCATCGTGTGGATTATTTTTAAGTAGAAGAGATCTAAAACCAAATCTAAAATCATACAAAAACACGGTTTGGTCTAAACACTCATTTGAAATTCATAACGGGGACCCCTTAAAACTTTCTATTAAAATACTAGATATTGAGAGGAACACAACTCGTCGAAGAATACTGGAAGGAATTTATATTAAAACCAAGAATCCTGAACTAAATACTAAAGGAGAACTTATAGATTTGGTCTCGGATTTGGGAATTCGAGGGGATTTTTCTTAGTCAAAGCTTAAAAATACTTTTCTAAACCTAACCTCGATTTTTTCTAAAAATTTTTGATCTACATACATCCTCACATTAACGCTCCTAACATATATTTTTTTGTGTTACGTATTGGACATTGTTTTGTTTCTTGATTTGTTCTTATGGTTGTTTGTTTTTTGATTGATTTTTTACTTACAACTTAACTCTTTTATTCCTTTTTGACCAATCTATTACTTATTATCTTGTAGGTAAATTGACCTTCCCTGATGATGATCTAAAGATCGAAACGTCGAATAAACATTTAAACATTGTGCAAGACATTTAAAATAAAGGGTCATATCAAGAAGATCTCTTCTACTTAACAATAATATTTACTGTAATAACTCAAAATCACTCGAATCCGACGCGAAATTCTTTGGAAAAAGTGGTGAAATTATTTTATCCCATTCATTTTTTAGATATTATCGGATTTGATTGGTTGAGTTACCAAAATCGAAGACGATCACATCCGAATACGAATGCATTCGAATCGAATTCCAAAAAGCAACGTTAATTTCACAATCGAATACGACAAACCTCGATTCGAAATTCTCAAGCGTAAACCGAAGCGAAATTTTTTGTATTCGATTTGAAAGAAATTACCTGAGAAGATCATCTCTTAAAATTTAAATTATTAATGAAATTACGGAAGAAAAATTGATGAGACGAAGCAAGGAAGAAAAAAACAGAAATCTCATGCAAATGGCGAAAAAATGAACTGAAATGAGGAAATAAAACGGGTGTCTGAGCATAGAACTTTTTGATAATAACCGCTGGCCGTCATACCATATTAAGTTTTATTATCGCTCTTTTCAAAATACCCGATAACTCAGGTCATTTTGATAAAAGACCAATGTATCGGAAAATTGACTTAAAATTACATATAGTCAACGAATATCGACAAAAATTAATTTAACCTTGACATACCAAATGTTTATAGAAGTAGGCAATTTATGATCATTGGTGGAAATGAGAAAAACATGCAAAAATTGAATTGACAAGAAGAATTAATTACAGTAACGTTATAGGCGCATATTAAAAAATTTGGTGAGGAGTCTCGAAGTGTCAACCTCTTCTGCTTATTTTTTGCTCAATTTTCACGTTTTTTTAAATTTACATTCGCAAAAAAAGCGAGCACCTTGCGCCGATTTACGATGAGTTTGATTCACAGGTTATCCAGAGTACGGTCCAAATTTAAATTCGAATTTATGTCTCCTCGAAAAAGATTGATGACCAACAATTATTCAATGCGCTTGTTTTTTTGCGATGGTAATAATTTTCCGTGTTATTGTTGTAATTCTGATTCACCGTTAATAAATTTATGGCACAAAATAAGAAAAGGCATGCAAAATGAAAAAGTATCAATTATTCCTGTTCAATTTCGATAAGAACTCCGCCGCAATCTTTCGGATGCAGAAAAATGACATCCTTTCCGTGAGCTCCAATCTTTGGCTTTTCTCCCAATGTTCTAATTTTATTCGCTTTGATTGCTTTTATCGCTTCATGAATATCGCGCACTTCAATGCAAATATGGTGCATGCCACCATCTTTGTTCTTGTTCAAAAACGCTTGAATTGGCGATTTATCACCATATGGGTGCAACAATTCGATTTTCGAGTTTGGCAACTCTACGAAAACCGTGTAAACTCCATGTTCAGGTTGTGGCTGAATAATACTTATATAAACATTGGATATGAGAACCAAATTTCTCACCACAGCCTCGCTGACTTTGGCTCCTAGATTTTTGTAAAATTCTGATGATTTCTTCAAGTCTGGTGTGGCGATGGCGACATGATTAAGGCGTCCAAGCATTCCGGCAAGTGGGTGGCTGCTCATTTCCTGTAAATTCACCACATTTAGGAATTTCGCTTTATATATATTTTTTAGAAACGTATCAGAGTTAGAAATTTAGTTGCGTTAAAAATACCATTTTTTTTTAATCTTTCAGACGATCACATTCAAAAAAATTTAATTAAAAATCAATAATCATACTAAAATGTAGTTTAGTGAAAAGATTGAAAACCGAATTAACTGATAATTGAATGAAATTTTAAATGTAAAAAAGTTATTAAATTTGGTTTGAAAATTTAATGAACTTTTTCAAAGAATTTTATATTATAACCTTGCAATTCCATTTTTCTAATAGACAGATTAAAAAAAAACGTTACCCTAGTAATGAGTGATCGGCCAGCAACATTGCAAATCAGTTTGAAACTATTCATTTTGACCTGAAATCACAAACACTTATCAGTGGAAATGAACAAAATGAGAGGTTTAAAAACAACAAAATCTATTCAATCATTTCTCTCTCTCTCGCTCCTCTCGTTGTAAATTTTCATTTTGCACGCGCACGTTCATGGCCAACTGATCGAACGAGACTCCGCGTGAACGACACATTGCCCGCTATTTATCGTTTTTTGGACACTTTGTTCGACGAGCCGCCGATTTTTCCTATTTTTTAAGATTTAAATAATTAATGTTTATTTGCTAATTCTAATTCAAATAAAAATCACCGGTTTAAATTGAATTGTTTCAAATATTTTTTTAATATCCAGAATTCTCTCGCTCCTCGGTTAAAATTCATTAAGCGAAAAATAGTTTTATTTAATATTATCTAATTATTCATATTTCTTTCCAATAGCGTTCTGGAATCATTTTTTCTTGTAACATTAAGTATTAATTATATGTCTACTTGTCGCTTTTTTTATTATTGTAAACAATATTGTTAAGTCATTAACTCTTTAAACGTAATACAATGTTTTTATAGGTATGGGCACGAAGCTTTCGGTTTCGCTGGAAGGCGCGACCCATCCGGAAATCGCACCACGTGTCGACCGTCCGCCAACTTTCGATCCACAATACGGATTCGAAAGACCACGTAAGGTGCGTGAGATGAAAGCGACTTGGGAGGAAATGGAACAATATCGGCTGAAGCCTGGACAGCGCGACTACTGTGCTCACCATTTGATTGATTTGATTAAGTGCCAGGTTTGATTATGTTTAGAAGAATTCTAAATCAATTTGTCCGTTTTAGGCTCAAAATGCACCATTCGCTGGACACGCTTGCGATGGCGAAAGAAGGGCTTGGGATAAATGCGAGTATGATGATTATATCATGAGAATCAAGGTAATTTACGATTAAAACATTACTCCAAACATAAAATGCTTCAAAATTGTTGCAAGACTAACAACTAAAACGTTTTTTAGATTTTTGAATTTTGTTGTTGATTATCAATTTTTATTTTTTCCACGAATTGAAAAAATAACTAAGAGAAATTGAATTAACCTCAAGGGCGTAAAACGTCAGAACGAGAATTGATTAAAAAAAACGAGCTTCTTCTCACTAAGAAAATGTTATGCTGGGAGCAATTTAAACATATATTTTTAAATTAAATCACGAATAAGTTGAATTTTTTGAGGAATTCGAACGCGAACGACGACTTCTTCAAAGGAAAGCCAGAAAGGAAGGCCACTAATTGTGTGAATAGTAAACAATTCTTTGATATTTGTTCAATTTCGATTTCTAGCGAGTAGCTTTTTGTGTATGAAATTAAAGGAATAAATTTTATGAGAGAATCTCGTTAACACATTTTTTGGCAAATTGTTATCTTGTCAATTTCTACTTAATTTTGTAAATGTCTTGAAAAGACTAACTAATTTGTATAGAATGGGAGAAATTGGTAGAATTGTGGCGGAAACATTGAAACAAGAATTGACCGACGAACAATGTGTGCAGGTAGAAACGAAATTGAAAAAAATGCCGTTAAAAGTGAATAAATTGAAGGTATTTGACAAATGTTTGCGATTGGTTGGATCGAATCGAGATTTGAAGACAAATGATATCGGATTTTGTCTTTTAGCGCGAATGATCAGCAGGTAGATGAGATAATTGGATAGTGGTCTCGAGAAGACGACATTTCCGGAATTCTGAAAATTCTTGAAAAATAATTGCAATGAAATTCGGATTTTTGATATCCAATGTGAAATAACGATGCGAGTTTTTAGATCAAATTCATCAATTCTTCGAACTGTGCAAACGAGATTAGCCAACAGATTTGCGCAAATTTCGCAGAAAACAACATTTTCGGGATGCCTTTTCACGCGAGAATTGCTCATTCGAAACCCGCAGGCAAACAATTTTCAATTCCTCATTTCTTTAATCCGTTTTTCAACAGATTTTATTATTTTAATTATTTACCGTGCATTTTTAGGCTGGTGAAATCCATTCCCAACTGGTTTTCCGAATTATTGCAAACTGTATCGATCAGGCGGTTGAATCTGATGTTGAGGCTTCTCGAATACTAGCAGCCGAGCTATTCGCTCTCCGTGCCAACAATCAAACAATTGCCGAGCTTATTGAAACACTTGACTCGCTTCTATCCTCAAAAAATGTGAAGTATAACAAAAATGGTTCGATTTTTTGATTTTTCTTAAAATTATAAATGAATGTCATTTCAGGAGTTCTTCAATTGTCAACTTTCGGAGTTTCTTCTCTTCGACCAACTTTAATCAACATCTTGTTTGAATGTCTTTCAATGGCTTTAAACTCAATAACGAAACAAGGTTATTCGTCAAATTGAACAAGGTTATTCGTCAAAATTCATTCCATATGGAATTTAGGAGTTGTGATTAATCGGAATAATGTGATCAAAGTGATCGAATTGGGAATACGTGATTCGAATTCGCGACAATCCGCACTCATGTGTCTTCGTTCAATTTGTATCAATGCCAAATCCTCGACAATTCCCATGGTTTGCAATTGAATTCTTATTTTTAATGCGTTTTTTGTTCAGATTGCCCGAATCGTTTCCACATTGCTTCGCGATCTCGAGAATCCTGATGTCGAGCTCATCAAGACGCTATCTTTCATTTCGACGACGTTTGGGCCAATCACCTCAACAATTTATAGGCATTTTTATGTCATTTTTACCGCCCTTCCATCACCACTTCATGAGCAGGAATACGGTATTCAAGCTGCTGAGCTATTCTCGAGTATTATTGAAGGAGCTGGAGCACTTATCAAGCCTGAGGTGTTTGTGACGGTTCAGAAGGCGGTTTGCGAGGTTTACATCATCATATATCAATCATGTGGTTGCAATATTTGTTTGTGTGATTCCAGAATGCTCTGAAATTTGTGGACAGCCCAGTTTATATCAAAATGCTTTCGTCATTCCTTGCATTAAACAATGAATATGTGCCATCGCCGCTTCAAGTATGAAAAAATTGATTTTTTAGTTTCCTATAGAAAAATCAACGGATATGATTTTTACCTTAGAAATTTTGCAGATTGCTCGATATGTGAGCCATCGAACTCGCACCATCTGTGAAGATGCGCGTCGATTGAAATGCCTTTGCGATGTTGCTTCTCGTCCACGAGTTTGTGACATCGGCAGTGGAAAAACTATGAAATCGATATCATTGAGAGAACAATCGAAGATTTCTGTGCATGTTGAGGTGATTTGAACAAATATTTCAATAGAAATTCTGGAAATTGCAGAAAGAAATGAAAGTTGAAGAAACTCCAGCTGCGGCAAATCCGGTGGCCGATTGCGATGTTGTTGTTCTGGAAAGTGATGACGAAGAAGATGAGAACAAAGAACGAGAGGAATGTCGAAAAAAAGAAAATGAAGATGAGGATGATGATGGGATATTTATTGTTGAGAAAACAGTAATAGTGTTAGATTAATTAAAACATAAATCGTCGATTTTAGGTGCCGGTTAAAAGAAAAGCGACGTTTGAGGAAAGAATCGAACAGAAGCAATCAGAGAAAAAGAAGAAGATTTCCACTGAAACGGTATCATTCAATATTTTGTGCCAAAATGAGAACAAAAAAACATTTCCTGATTTTTTTCAAGCAATTTTTCTCATAACATTACTTCATTATATAGATTAAACGCCATAATATAAAAAATCAAATTTTTTTAACAGTCAAAGTGATTCAAATTCATATGGACCTTTTCATAAAATGTTTTTAAATGTAAAAAATTCATTAAACGTTCTTTTTTCCAAACCAGCATTGGAAAAATGTGTATTTTTTACATTTCTTATTTCTTGAAAAGGTCCAATAATGATTATTCAATTCTATGTTTTGATAGCTAGAAAAGGCAAAACTCGCCTATTGATGTAAGAGTTTTTTCCATAAGAGAGAATTGGTTAAATGCCAAAAAAATTAGTTGAGATCTTACAAGGGAGGTGTTTTTACTTAGTGATTTGGAATTTTTTCTAATTTTGCACACAAACAGATCAAGAAATTCCCTATCGAGTGTGCTGCAAAAGTTCCAAAAAGTCGTAAAACTTTAGGTCCGAAGTTTTGCAGAAAACGACATAGCTCACTCGATAGGGAATTTCTTGATCTGTTTGTGTGCAAAATTAGAAAAAATTCCAAACCACTAAGTAAAAACACCTCCCTTGTTAGTGCGCGCAGCGTGTGCCTTTAACCTATCCTAATGCTCGTAAATCTACACTATTCGTCTTGCGCCCACTGCTATTGTGTACTTATCAAATTTTTCGCAGTTGCGCGACGTCGAAAATACATATTTATTAATTTGGATTTGACGAAAATGTGTCTCCTTCAAAACCAAAATATGGAGAAGCACCCTTGGATTTTCTTTCGTTTTGAGAAATGTCTTGTTGAAACTTGTTTTTAAAAAACATGGTTCCTTTCAGACAAGCACTCTTCTCGACGGCGAAGCGACGACTGACGAAATTCTCGAGTTGTTCGATTTCTCTTAATTAATTTTTGTTGTTTTTTTCCTCCATTTGTTGTTGATGTTTTTTGTTATGTTGTATGCAAGAAAATGAAGATATTTACACTTTGAAATAATTAATTAAACAATATGTACATGATACAGAAATGAAATTGATAAGAAATACAATTTACTAAACACCAAAGCGATTCTAGAAAGAGGTATAAGTAAAAGAATTCTGTACACACAAAAAGGGTAATTAAAGAGGAAAACCCATAAGATCGAAGGAAAAACGAAAAGAATTAAAATTAGAATAAGAAGATGGTTTATGCAACCGCCGATTTCTTCAATTGTGCTCCATTATCTTCTTCTTCGTTGTTCGACGGCTTTCTTCGAGTATATTCGACTTCTTTCTCACCGAGAACCGCTTCTCTGAAAACCAATTCAAATTGGGTTTCAGTTTGATCAGAATCTAGATTTACCTTGTGACGTGCACGGATTCGATATCCGATCCAGGTACAATATACTTGGCTTCCAAAAGCGTTGCTTCTAAGATTGATCGAAGAGCACGAGCACCTGAATAAAGTTTGATAAATTGCCAAAATCAAAATCTCGATATTACCGGTTTTTCTTTCCAGCGCGAGCTGTGCGACCTGCTCTAAGGCTTCTGCCGAGAACGACAAATCAACATTATCAAATCCAAATTGCAGTTTGAGTTGGGCGAGCAACGAGTTTTGCGGTTCCGTCATCACACGAACCAACATTTGTTTGTCGAATGAATGGAACGGAACGAGAACCGGGAATCTGCCGACAAGTTCCGGCACCATTCCGAAGCTGATCAGATCGCCTTGATCGGCTTTCGCAAGCAACTCATCGCGTTTTCGCATAATCTCCGCATTCGAATCATCATTGGAGATTCTCACATTTCCCGAGTTCGTTCCGAATCCCAATTCCTTCTTATCCAATCGTCTTCCAACGATCTTATCCAAATTGCTAAATGCTCCAGAAGCGACGAAAAGAATATCAGAGGTGTCAATCTGAATATATTTGAGAACTTTCAAAAAAAAAATGACGAAGGACGACAAACCTGAACAGTTTCTTGTTGGGTTCCCATTCCTTTGCGGCCGTTTTTCACATTCACGATGGTCCCTTCGACAAGTTTGAGAAGCGCATGTTGAACACCTTCTCCGGAAACATCCCGGTAGGCCGCAGAGTGGCCTTCGTGAGCGGCGGCAATCTGCAAAATACCTCATCAAATGTTTCCGACATTAAATATTTATTAGAAAGGTTAAAAAAGAATTGCTCGAATTCAAACCTTGTCAACTTCATCAAGGAACACGATTCCTTGCTGCGCCTTCTCGACATTCCCACCGGCAGCTTGTACCAATTTCTAAAAGTAGAGAACCTTCTTATCTAGCATCTGATGCAATCCGATTACCTGTATCACACTTTCAACATCTTCTCCAACATATCCCGCCTGCGTCATTGATGTGCAATCGCAAAGCGCAATTGGAACATCCAAAACTCGAGCCAACGTCTGTGTCAAGAATGTTTTTCCGACTCCCGATGGTCCGACGAGAAGAATATTGGATTTCTCGAGACGAACAGTCGGCTCCTTTTCGGGAAGTGCTCGGAATGTTGGCGGACTTCGACGACTCGGTGGTGGCGTCTGAAACGCAAACGGTCAGAGAAGATTCCAAGTTGGTTTATAATGAAATGTACTTGATGCATCAACGAATTTCTCAATTCGCTGCTCGCCATTTGTCCAATTCGCATTTCGTCCTAAAATGCGAAATTTTCAAAAAAAAAATCGGGGTGGATTTTGTGGAAAAAAATCAGCGACGAGAGTTTTCGTTCGAAAAATGTGTTCAATTTTCAGAAATAAAATTTTTCCTAGAACATAGCCGATGAGAATTAATTGCGAATCGCTACCTGATACAACACTCCTCGCGGCATTCTCGTGTCTTCGGCATTCTTCGACGATCCGCCATTCGTCTGATAAATCGACGAAGCTCCTGTCTCGATATTGTGCTCAAGGCGGCGATAATGTTGATAAACTCCAACGGCCAACGTTTTCTTCGCCATTTTTTGGCCAACGACGAATTTGTCGAGATATTCAGCGATTTGAGTAGGATACGGCGGACTTTTGCGCAATGAGCCCTTCGAAAAACCCGACTTTGAGGAGTCCTCGAGGAAATTCGCAAAATAAAGCTTATTGCAGTGATCACAATGAATATATCGATTCGATGCTGCAAAAATCGAGATGGGGTTTCTCTTTAAAAAAAAATACGTCGAATAAAATCATCCACCCAAAAATCTGGCATTTCATTGCGAAAAAGCACCAAAAATCAATTGAAAATCTTACGAGTAGCAGTCGGCAGAGGCTTCAGAGGTTTCGAGCAATGTTTGCAATTTCCATACGAATGAGCCGCCTTATTTGGTGGCAGATTCGTCAAATCTCCACCACCAGATCCACCTTCATTATCACCACCGGAAGAGGACGAAGAGCTAGTTCGAGTTGACTGACAACATCTGAAATCGACTATCTACTTTTTTTCCAATTATTGAAATTTGAATATTAAAACGCATTGCAACTTGACACTGTGTAATAAATCACAAATCCTGTTCTAGAAATTATCATTTTTCTTTTCTATTATTTATTTTCTCTTATCTTTCATGTGAACACCACGTGTTTTGAATTGGAGATACTTTGGTCTCGAGTTGAATTTCGGATCAAACATGCATTCAGTTGAAATTGATTTACAAAATTCAAATTTTATTTTCAATTATTAATTCAATTATATTGCGTCAAAGACGACTACAGTAAATGTGTGAATTCTCATGTGAATTTTTTAATTTCCCGTAATTTGTTGGATAAAAATAACTAATAATTTCCCATCTGCAGACATTATTCGAGGAATTTGGTAAATTGAGCCCTTTAAATAAAAAATAATTTTGCCGTAAAAATCTCTCAATATTTCAAAGTGGAAATTTTGAATGAAATATTTCAATAGCATTTCTTTGAACTGAACTCACCGAATATTGGAGTTGTAGGCGGAAGCCGCGGCGAGTTCGCTGATTCTCGCTGATCTCGTCAGCAAACGAATCGAGCCAATCGTGCGGTGCATCTGAAAAAAATTCGACATGCTTTTTTCTTTCGAAGCTATAAAAAACCGACGACTCAATCGATTTACGCAATATAAAATTGGGGAGAGAAAGAGAAAACTAGATCGGTATGACAGGTCGGAGCGAGTGTTGGTGACTGACAAGGTGGGAGAACGTACGAAGGGGCTTCCCCCACAATAAACACCCCCTGGCTTACTTGTATGTTATTCTCGACTAATTCACGAGTCAGGCAAGTTGGACAAGAAACAAAGTACGACCCTCACAAAACATTCAATTATTGATCCTGATGGATTGTACTTGACTAGCATCCGACAACAAAAAGGGCAATCGAAATACGAGGAGGATGGCAGCAAAGTGCTCTGGAACTTGGCCAAACTCAAAACAAACCCAACAATTTTTTGTCTTGTGCTCATCAAAAACAACATTTTTTCGAAGAAGAAGAAGTAAACACAATCATATTCCTCGAGTATTTTTGCAGCTGTGGGATCAACGAACGAAGAACTTAGCCGCCAAAGTGTCTTTAAAAATCATGTGAATAAAAATCATTAAAAAAAATTTTTGCACTTCATAAAATACAGAACAATTTGAAAAAAAAAACATAGTCCACCACTTAAACAACGGAATGATTTTAATGTAAAAATCTCAAAATGAGAAGAAACTCGGCCTTTAAACAAATCGATATTAAATTTGGCTTCTACAAGGCAATACTTAATCAGATTGAAAGTTTCGTTGCTCAGAATTGAGTTTCTCATACAATCTCAAGTTTACTTGTTTTTAATTTGCTCAATTAGTAAAATTTAGAATAAATCTATTTCCTGCCAATACCATCTTAACTGCAAGAAGAAATTAAAAAAAAAACAAAATCAGGAAAAGGATCTGAGCGCGTCTGCAAGCACCACGACATTAATTTGCGGAAATTTTAAAGAAACCGATATTTGCGTTTTTTTCGAAAGTCGTCTTGATAAAAAGAGTGTCATGTGAATTGATTTTAGATCAAAGGAAGTGATATCAATCCCTTTACTTTTAAAGAATCCCACTCGTACAAACAACAACATTTTAGTTTTTCAAAAACGAAATGTTACATGTGTTTAAAATATTAAAATTATGACGTTTCTGCGTGATTCTTCGAGATTTTAAAATGATTAATCGCAATTTTACAACCGCGAAACACGGTTTTTTTATTAGTTAATCTCGTTTGACCCTTTTAAGCTAAATATACTTATTATTCTAGATTGCACGATTGTCTGAAAATTCTCCAAAGTTAAGACGATTGTTCATGCTTGAAAAATCGAAATCTGACCAATCAAAAATTATATTTCAATGTTGAAAATTGAAAAACAATTTCGAAAATTGCAAAAATTTCGCATTGTTAGTGCGGGGGATTCCCCGGTATCATTCTGCACTTCCTTTTACGCTGCGATGATGTTCACATGACACAACTAGTTGTTCGACCAATTTCAGGTCAACAGACACCAGCAACAAGCGAAACAAGAATGATTTGAAATTAAATTGAAAAAAAAAATTGAAAATAAAGGATTCGCCGTCGACAATCCCAAGAACGAATCAATAACCAGCCAGTTCAGAGTACATTTTTCGCAACATTTGCGTCATTTGTGTGGCGGTGGATCGAGGCGCAGAATCGACGAGAAAGGTTCATTCATTCCATTTCAAAAAGAAAGACAAAAAAAAGATACGTGAACAAGACGAGATCACATGGTTTCGGGTGATGATATCAAGAAACTTACACCAAACAAGGGTGTTTTATCGAAGTGATTTGATTTGATTGATGGGTGGATTCATGATAAACAAACAAACAAATCGGAAAACAACTGGCTGGCACACGTACGCGCAAAGTGTGCTCCATTGCGAATTGCGCTTGATCATGGGAATAGGCGACACGTGCATTCGTGGATGGGTGCAAGAGGGATTCCCCGACCTTGGACACGTCATACTCACCATTTGAGGTCAAATTGCGCAATATGATTGGCGAACTGCCAAATGAGCAATGCAAATTCGTTTTTTTTTTTAACAGGCAGTCTTCGGATTAATGAAAATTCAAGAATTCTTCGATAAATTTTCGAAAATTTTCTGTCGCTTCCGTTTGAAATTCTCGAAACAAGAAAAAAAACGAAGAAAAACTCTCAAACATTTCTTCGAATACATAAACTGCCTTTACGAATTCGTTTTTAATGAAGGGGATGAGAATAATTTGAATCAAAAAGAAATATTTAACAGAAAATCGAGGAGCATCTTTGAGAAAAAAATCTTGAAATCGACGTTAAAACGGTTTTTGAGGAAATTTAGATGAAATTTTAGCAAAAATGAGATAAAATTGAGAACAAAATTCGGTGTTTAATGGAAAAAAAAAGAAAATATTTTTTCTACAATAAATGTATGCCACCTTTTCTTATTCAATTCAATCTTTCTCACTGCCATTTTGAAAACTAATAAATAGTAAAAAATTTGCTGTTAAAACCATCTAAAATAGTCACATTTCCCGCATTATCAGTTAGATAAATAAATAAATATATATATACGAATGATAATAATTGGACAAGACTACAAACTCAATGATCAATTGGACCAACAAAAAATGGCAAAATTTTATCAATAATTGTACATTAGTGTTATATTTATTTATGTGTTAAAGGTAACAGTCGGCTGAAGAGTTCCGAATCTGTTGGCAGGATTCGTCGGCGTTGTCGTCGTCGAATTCATCAAAATCGGCGTAGTCGTTGACGTCGTCGTGTCATTCGTGAGATTCGTCGTATTCCGAAGAACAGTCGGAGTAGTTGGAACCAATTGATTTCCATAAGGCGACGTCTACAAATCAAGCGAAGAATTATTCTGAAAAAGACCATCGGAAAAATATTGTTACCTGATTGAAAACTCCCGGCGTCGTTGATCTCATCACATTCGCATAACCACCTAATGGGGTGTTGTTCAAACTGCTGCTTGATGGGAATACGGCCTTATAAGCCGGGGTCCCGCGAAGAACAGACGAAGGGGTCAGATTGTTGGGAACTGCGGATCCATTGAGCAATGGCGACATATAATTCGAGCCGTTGATGAGCGTTGAAGTGCGATTGTTCCGATACAGTTGTAATTCTAAACTATTCGTTACAAATTCGAAATAAATAGATTGCCAAAATTTGATATGATAAAACATTTCCTGTTTGCGGAAATTTTTAGTTACGAATAAAAATGCCGCTCACTTTCGTTCATCTCAACGTTTGCTTTTCGAAATTGTTCCGCATTTTCCTCAATTTCTTTGCATTTTTTGCGTTCATCTTCCAATTCTTTGCGAAGTGTGGCAATTGTCTCTAAAAACATAACAATTCGAATAAAATGTTTGATCGAGAATTTAAAAAAAACCGGTTAAAGTGAGCACAAGACCATCCTTTTCTTTCAAATCCGCTTCCAATTCCTTCAATTTTCTCATATCAACACTCTGTTGACTGCCGTCGCCGCATTTATTCTATAAATTGTAGAAAATTTTGAAAAACAAAAAAAAAACAGACATCTTCGAATACAAATCCAGCTAATATTTTGTTTCAATGATCAAATTCCAAGAATCTTGATGAAAATTCATGAAATTTTGTAAGAAATTCGATATGTAACATGTTTTTCTTGGCAAAAAGTGCACTTTGACCCAAAAATTGTCGATTTCTCAATGTTTTCCGTGTATAGTAGAATTTGATATTCAAAAAAGCGTTTCTTTTTTCAATATTCACAAAAATAATAATAAAAGGCTCACATTCAGGTATTTCTTGACAACATGCTTCGATTTTTCGACGTCTTTCAGCAATTCGCAGTTTTCTTTGCGCAATTCCGAGTTTTCCCGTCTCAACGCCTCCTTTTCCTTTCGTAATCTATCGCTTTGATCTTGCTCTTCGCGAATCTTAATTCATTCGGGCATTTTCGAATGCAAAAGATAAATGAGAGATTCATCCCACAGCTTTTCCTTTACTTTCAAATAATGCTTTATGAAAGCTTCACCATTTATCTATTACAACTCAAAACGCTAAAGGTCTTCAACAAATTAAATTTCGTCGTATTTAAGAGGAAAAAACTCACAATAGTATCCATAATTTGGAGTTCCTCAGTCATTTCTTCGACTTGTTTTCTTGCATCTTCGGTTTCTTGTCGAATTTCCTCCATTAATTCGTCTTTTTCTTCAGCAAGAATCACCAAATTCTGTCGTTCTTCTTTCACAAGCTGAAATTTATAAAAAAAACATAAATTTTCACATTATTTTTGAAACTGAAAAACGTTACTTCGAGTTCGGATTCAAGTTCTTCAATGCGGTCCAAATCCTGCTTATTTTTCTCTTCCAAATGTCGCAATTCGTCGAGTTCTCTTCGTGTTTTGTCGAACTTCTCGCTTAATTCATTGTGCTCGCTCGTCAAATGCCTCAAATGCTCCAATTTTTTCATCTGGCTTGAGCAGATTGTCAGCAAATGGGCCGTCAATTGGTCGCCGCGCACTGCGCTCATTTTCAGCGCAAATATTCGCCCTTTACTGATGGGAGTCTTCGAAAAAAGTTCGAATCTGATATTTATTTCAAATGATTTTGGAATTGTTTTTTAAGCTTCTTACGAGCAAACCCTTTTATCGGCATCCAGAACTAATTTGATTTCCGTTGGTTTTCCATCCGCAAAACTATGAGGACCTAAATTTCACGAAATTTCCATTTTTTATTTAATATTTATCATTAAAAATGCAGAAATTATTCGAAATGTAGACTGATTTTCTCATCACTATTCATATAAAATCATATATATTTGTCAAGCTTATAACTTTGGTTAAAAAAAAACTAAAATTAAGCAAATTTTCGCGAAAAACAAATATTAATTCTGACATACTGCAAATCATTCTGGTAATGAAAAATTAGTTTGTAGGTCTTCTCTATTACCCATATTCCCGGCTTCTCCTGAGTCATCTGTTGCAATATTTTTACTGAGTAGCTTCTGAATTATTGCTCTTGGAAATGCCTCAAAATCCACTGTCAAATCATGTTCCCGTGATAATTTCTGAAAAATTCCAGATTTTGTTTTCTCAAAATATACGCTTCATTTTACCTGATACTTGTCATTATTAAGAACTTCTGCAAACAAAAACTCGAAATCATCAGAACGACTAATTTCGAATCGCAATTCCTAAAATCAATAAATTAAAAATTAAAACGATTTTTAAAAATAGCACCTTTTCTCCGGTGGTCTCATTTCTCTGCTCAGTAATTTTCAAATTCACTTTTGCTCGATATGCCCTTTAAAAAAAATATAATTTAAAAACTAATAATATCTTACTTATATTCTGATTGATTAGTCCTTAATGACTGTTGTAATGAAGCAACAAGTGGCTGATTGAATAAAGCTGAAGATCTAGTTGAAATCGAAGCGAATTCCGACATAATTCGTTAAAAAATGCAGTGTTCGAATTGGCGCGCAGCGTCGCGGACTAGGTTTTCGCCCAATATAAAGTTCGGCCGCGTGTGTATTTCCACATGTAATGCCTTTAGTCGATGTTTAGCCTTACCCTATAGAAAAATTAATGTTTTTTTTTCCATATAGCCGTTTAAATTTATTTTGAAAAATTTTGCTTAAAAATTTTCGCATATTTGCGTCTAAAATCGCTAAACTGAGTCATTTTTTATTTCCATCACTTGAAAATGCTATTTCGTTGTGTTATCACAGCGCAACTATACTTCCGATATCAAAAAAATATGATATTTAATTTTAATAAAAAAATGTTTTCAACATTATCGTTTTTTCTTTATTAATAGGTTATATTGATGGAAAATCTCCGTTTTTTTTTTCAGCGAATGGATAATGAGCCTTCGGTCACATGAACAGCTAGTTGTATGTGTCGGAGTCCTTTTCCTGCTCACGGTATGTATTTCGGCCTTCTTCTTCCTTCCAGCCGGCGGTGCTGACTTATATCTCCGACAAGACCATGTAGTGCCTGTGAGAGATCCAACAATTCGGTATGATATAAATTTTCATATAGTTATTCGAATATTTTTTATTCAGAGAAGAACTGCGGCGACGAGAACAAGAGCTTTTATTGAAAAAAGCGGAAGAAGCGATTCCTGCGCCGATTCCGAAGCCGGAGATCGGCGCTTCTGATGACGCTGAAGGCCGAAGGACCTATGTGAAGCAAATGATCAAATTCGCATGGGATGGATACCGAAAATATGCTTGGGGTGAAAATGAGCTGAAGCCGAACTCAAAACAAGGGCATTCCTCATCAATTTTCGGATTCGGCAAAACGGGAGCAACGATCGTGGATGCAATTGACACATTATATCTAGTCGGATTAAAGGAAGAATACGAGCAAGCGAGAGAATGGATTTCGAATTTCGATTATAAAAAAGCTGTGGTAATTTGAAAGAATTTTAATAATGGCTGTAAGAAAGTTTTTCATTTCAGAGAGGCGAAATTTCTGTTTTTGAGACAAATATTCGATTCATCGGAGGATATTTGGCAGCTTATGCACTCTCCGGAGATAAGGTTAGAATTTGTGGATATTTTATTCCAAAGTTTATCTGGAGTATCAAGTATTCAAATCTTTGAAAAATGAAGGTTGTGTTTTTAATTGCAAAAAGATATCATAAAATTGCATATTTTCATTTCAAAATCTTGAAAAAGTAGCAATTTTCGCACCATCGTGATCAATTTCCAACATTTTCAAACATTTTTTGTGGTTGGTTTAATAACAAACAAATATGGTTTTTTTTGGGTATTTCGCCTATGGAAGTATCTATTTTTAAATCCTTTTACTTTTTTTTTTAAATCCTTGTATGTGGCTAATAAGCCTAATGCAAACTTGGTCCTACCTGGAAAAAATCGATTTAGAAAAGTTGTATTCCGGAAAAAAGTGTTTTGCTTGTTTCAATTGTGAACAACACAAAAAAATATCGAATTCTTTTTAGATGTTTGTACAAAAAGCTGAAGACGTCGCCAAGGTTCTTCTACCTGCATTCGACTCACCAACTGGAATTCCATATTCTTTAGTCAATGCTGAAACAGGTATCATTTCAAACCGAAATTGAACGATTTTCAAATGACTTTTCAGGCCGTACGTCCACTTATAATTGGGCTCATGGAAAGGCGATTTTGTCAGAATTCGGTTCACTTCAGCTCGAATTCGATTATTTGTCAAATGTTACTGGAAACCCATTGTATGCGGAAAAGGTACCATTTTAACATGTGCCGGTTAATTTTCATTCGTTTTTTAGGTGCAAAAGATTCGGGATGTAATGAGTAGTTTAGAAAAGCCCGAAGGCCTTTATCCAGTCTATTTGAACATACAAACAGGAAATTTCGAGCAACGTTGTAGAATTTTTCGTTTTTTTTTTTCAAATTCGAATTTTGCTTTTTTAGATTTCTATTCAATGGGAGCTCTGGCGGACAGTTGGTACGAATATTTACTGAAACAATGGGTATCCACTGGAAAGAAAGTCAGACATTTCTGTTTGCTCTTAATTCTTTATTTTTTGTAGAATGCGAAAACCAAGCGAGAATACGAAGAGGCGATATTTGCCATGGAAAAGAAGCTTCTTTTCGTGTCAGAACCCAGCAAGCTCAAATATTTCGCGAAAATGACCGGCAATCGTGTTGAGCACACGTTCGAGCATCTCGCGTGCTTCAGCGGTGGAATGTTCGCACTTCATTCGATGAATGAGCCGAATCGAACTGTTGCCCAACATTATTTGGAGCTCGGAAAAGAGATTGGACACACTTGTCACGAATCCTACGCGAGATCTGGTAAATATCTCGATCGTTCATTTCGAATCAAAATCATGTTCAGCGACCGGAATCGGGCCGGAATCATTCCATTTCTCATCGAGAACTGAAGCAAAAGCTGAACGCAAGCAAGATTCGTATTATATATTGCGACCAGAGGTTTTTTCTCTCTCTCTTTTAAACCTACCATTATCAAAAATACATATTATATAGGTTGTGGAAACTTGGTTCTATTTATGGCGAGCGACGAAAGATCAGAAATATCGAGAGTGGGCCTGGGACCATGTGCAAAATCTTGAGAAGCATTGCAAGGTATCATTCCAAGAAATATAATTAATTTTGGTTTTTTAGCAAAAATATTAAGTATTTCTGTCAATTTTCAAAAAAAAACCGTTTAATTTTTTAAAATGTTGAAAATTTGACCACTGAATTCTGAAAATGGATTGGACCTGAAAAAACATTTTCCAAATCTTGATTTAAGGGTGAAACCGGATATTCTGGGATCCGCGACGTCTACTCGTCACAGCCCGAACAAGACGATGTTCAACAATCATTTTTGTTCGCCGAACTCTTTAAATACCTCTATTTGATATTCTCTGACGACAATGTCTTGCCGTTGGATCAGTGGGTTCTCAACACCGAAGCCCATCCATTCCGAATCCGAAATTAGCAGTTTTTTCATGTATTTATTTGTTTTTTTTTTCTGATTCTCTTTATGGGTACCCTTCCTATTTTTGTTAACTTTCTCTGTTTTTATTTTAACGCTTGTTTCATTTTTGGTCATACTGTATGACTCATACATGAATATTTATTTTGGGATGCGATTAAAAACGTATTCTGAATCATACACATTAACATATAAATAGGATAGGATACATTGCGATTGAGATGCTATTTTGACAAGACATACTGAAACGAAACCAACAAAACTGAAACTGAATTAAAGACCGCCGCCGGCGCGGTAGACACTTGGCGTTCCGTGGATTTCGTCGAGATAGCCGACGAGACGATTTCCGGTGATTTGGCCGCCTTTCAAGCCAGAGTACAACTGCAATTATAGCAATTCAATTAATTATTTCATGGTAAATTAGGTCTGAATTTATTTAAATTCGTTGTTTTTTTTTTTCAAGCGTATTGTGCAAAGAGAATAGTTTTTTTGATTTTATAATTTTACTTTTAACAAATCTATACAACTATTGTTGCTTTGGTAATTTTTTGTTTCGAAATCAAATTTCGGCTCCGAAATTGACTGGTTTCGATAATTGTCATATTCGATTCGGATATGACAGTATATACTTAGAATTTGATATTTTACTAGAGACTACGACGAAAAAAACGCAACAATTTTTAGTAAAATTGATTTTAAAAAATTGGGAGAAATTTAGAAAATCATAGAAATTGGACATATTGCATCTGGGAAAATACAAAAAATCATTGCCACGGGCGGGATTCGAACCCGCGATGGTAATTTACCGTATGTTCATAAGACTTAAGCCTTTGACCGCTTGGCTACCGTAGCAGACATTCTGAAAAAGGGGGACCACACAAATGAGGGAAACGGACCACTGTATGCTACAGTGTGAATATGAGGTGTCTCCCATTTATGATCCTAAACGGACCATCCCGTTCTTGAGTGGTCCGTTTCCCTCATTTAGGTGGTCCCCCTTTTTCAGAATGTCTGCTACGGTAGCCAAGCGGTCAAAGGCATGAGTCTTATGAACTTACGGTAAAATACCTTCGCGGGTTCGAATCCCGCCCGTGGCAATGATTTTTTTGCGATTTTTTAAAAATAATATTTAAAAATTATTAGGTTTTAATTCATAAGTAGATAGTTTGACATTTGTAGTGCATCAAACAATACAAACCTACGAAGAATGAATGTTTGATAGTAGAAATATCGAAAAATGTAGATTAAAAAATGAAAATCTGTCAGTTCTTTTTTCAAATTCTCGAACAAAAAATGATGTTACCTGGAAGAATTCGGCAATCTCGATTTCTCCATTTTTGTTCAAATCGACTTCGTTGAGAAGTTCGTGAAGCACACGTTCATCAATCTTCTGGTTATGTTCCTAGAAAATCGGTGTTTGGAAATGAAATGAGAAAAAAGAAAATGATTACTCTAAAGTGTCGACGCAAATCATTAACAGTGATGTGTCCTTTACGATCCTTGTCCAATTGAGCGAATCTTTCCTTAGCCATGTGCATTTCAGCCCTAGAATTAAATAAAATATTTTATAGGCAGATTTATGCTAAAATGTTGTATAACAATGAAAACCAAATTCCCTTACTTGGTCAAATTGAGCGGCGCATTCGACACAGCCGTCTGTTTCGCCGTCTGTCCCATTTCATTATCAATGAAAGTGCGAGCCTTCTCCAATTGTGCTCTTTGCTCAGCCGACGACCATCCGAGTTCTTCTGCCATAATTCGAACGACCTCCGGAAGGACCTCATGTGCGGCGTACGTGTTCAAGAATGCCAAACGAGTCCGTCTCGCGATCACGTCAATCGGCGTACACGCGTATTCGCGAACGGCATAACGAACTTCGGCATCCAAGTACGGAAATTCGGGATGAAGGCGGTTTCCGACGATCGGCCAACGCTTTCCGGTCATTTTCGTCATTCGAGCGACGACGAATGCGCGATCTCCGTAGGTCTGGCACAAGTGTTGAGCAACCTAAACCAATATTCCTCATTGAAAACAATTTTATATATTCGTCGAACAAATAAAACATACATCAACTTCCATTCCGTAATCTTGAACGAGATGAATGTAGAGAAGTGGATTGTAGTCATGAGCTCCTTCGAGTAAAAGTCCAGCGGTCACACATGAATTTGTTGGTTTCAAATCATGAGCCTAAATCAGAATTCCAGAATATTCCCGAATTCCGTAGTTACTTACTTTGATGCACGTATCGACAGTTTCTTCAGCCATATGCCGATACGTCGTCCATTTTCCTCCAGCAATCGTCACCAATCCCGATTGTCCGACCTCAATGATGTGATTTCTCGCCAAACTCTTCGTGTCCTTCTTGTTCGGATCGCGGACAAGCGGACGGAGTCCCGACCAGGCGCTCATCACATCACCGCGTCGAACCGACACGTCCTTCGACAAATATCCGCGAATCTCTTTGAGGATGAACTCGATGTCATGATCGGTTGGTTGTGGCGATAGAGTGACTTCCGACGGAGCATCGGTGGTTCCAGCGATTGTCATCTTCTCCCATGGTAAGAAAAAGATAACACGACCATCGGAAGTGTCAGGATCAAGAAGTCCAGTGTTCGATGGACTGTAGTATCCAGGAAGAGTGATGTGAACACCAGAGCTCGGAGCGCAGATTGGTTTTGCGGTTTCTGGATCACCCATCAAACGGATTGAGTCGGTCGATGGTCCGGTCGCATTCACAACACATTTCGCCTTGATGTCCCATTCGGCTCCAGTTACCTAAAATAAAAAAAATTTCGAAATAATAATTATTTTTGAGCGGAATATTTTCATTCCATTCAATAAATTATAAATGATCATCACCCAAAACCATTTTTTTTCCAAAATATCAAAAATCAAAATGCAATTTGGTGTATGAATTCTTTTCGTTTTAAAATTACACAAAATTCAATTTCTAAATTGAATATCGTACCAAATCCTTGACATGCGCTCCGACCACTTTTCCATTCTCATCTTTGTTGAGCTTCTCAACACGCACATGATTCGCACACTGCAAATATTTATGTGGTCCCATCATTTCAAGCTATCAATTACAACAGCTCCGTGTCGAATCGCTGTGAGGATGATGGCAAGATTCATTCTCGCGTCATTGTGTTGTCCGTCGTAGTAGATCAATGCGCCTTTAAGAGCTTCACTACGAAGAAGCGGGAATCTGAAAATAACTATTTTAACTTTAAACTTGTGGTTTTTGCGCAAATCTAAAAGTGTAGATTTACGCGCGTAAGGAAAATCGGATACTGCGCACCGAGACCTCTCTTTACTTTTTTGGCATTTCGCCCATATTTTACTATTACCCGATGTCGACAATAACATTCAAATATAAGTACGAATGTTAGCAAAATTACCTTTCAAGTGCCTCCGACTTTGAGATGAAGTACGAGTTTTTGAGTACTCTTTTGCCGGACACTAAATCGTAGGCTTTGATTCCTGCCCAGTAATACGGAACTTGCCACAGTCTGTAGTTTTCCATTTATGGACAAAATAGCAATTGACGAACGCTTACTTGTATACAGGAAGCATAATTGGCAGTGGCGAACTCAAATGTGGCGCAATTTCCAAGAGGTTCGCTCTTTCGAATAGTGCTTCCTTCACCATTCGATATTGCTCCAAATCGAGCTTCATAATAGCTGCTTGAAGGTATCGAACTCCTCCGTGAATGAGTTTCGTCGAACGAGACGACGTACCCGAAGAGAAGTCGTCGAGCTCGACGAGAGCAGTCTTGAGACCACGTGTTGTGGCATCAAGGGCTGTACCAGCACCGGTAGCACCACCTCCAATCACAAGAATATCAAAAATCTCGTCGCCCTGTAAATATTGTTATGATTCACATTGAAAATTGCATCATAATGTCGATGTGAAACGAATGGTGGAATATTCAATTTCGTAAAATCAGTGTAGATCTACGGAATCACAGAATTACACATTTTTGACCGCAAAAATTTTATTGGATATATGTAGTTTGAAAAAAACATCTAAAAACATTTAGAAAATCATAGAAATTGGACATATTGCATCTTGGAAAATACAAAAAATCATTGCCACGGGCGGGATTCGAATCCGCGAAGGTAATTTACCGTAAGTTCATAAGACTTAAGCCTTTGACCGCTTGGCTACCGTAGCAGACATTCTGAAAAAGGGGGACCACACAAATGAGGGAAACGGACCACTGTATGCTATAGTGTGAATATAAGGTGTCTCCGATTTATGGTCCTAAACGGACCATCCCGTTCTTGAGTGGTCTGTTTCCCTCATTTAGGTGGTCCCCCTTTATCAGAATGTCTGCTACGGTAGCCAAGCGGTCAAAGGCATGAGTCTTATGAACTTACGGTAAATTACCTTCGCGGGTTCGAATCCCGCCCGTGGCAATGATTTTTTTGCGATTTTTCAAAAAGATTACAGATTTTTGTTTATATACGTATATATATTGTTTTTATTTGAAATATTTCACGTGAATACCTTCAAACTGTCAATGATATCTTTTCTCGTCGGCAACGCGCTGGGTGTTCTCTTGTTGAGATCTGCCAGAAGGTCAGCATGCGCTGTGCGGAAGTGCTGTCTCTACAAAAAATATCACTAATCATTTTAGCCGATTAAAAACCGCCGAACCAATTGTCGCTGAAATCGCTTTTCGTTCGTCATATCCAACGCTAATATCGCGGCCGTCGATGCCGCCACAATGGCGACGCCGCCTTTGGTGAATCGCACCCAAGACATTTGGTGATGGTGGTGGGCTGCAAGAAAGTGTGAATATTGAACAAAATCGAGCAACTACTGTCAACAATCGACGAGAGAACATCAAGTAGAGGGAGTGTGGCGAGAAAAAGAGAAAGAGAACACATTTTTTGTTCAATGATTCTTCAACCATTTTTATTCAATATGTACTCAGAGTGCCCTTATTGAAACAGGTCCCTTAGGCTTCGAAAAATAAGTTCTTCTTGATTTTTATGTTCAGAACTATGAGCGTTTTCTCGAAATTCCGCGCAGACTTCTTTTTTTTTCGATTCGAAGTAAACAAAAACTGTGAAAGACCGCCCATTCTGCAAAAAAAGACAGCATGATTAAAAACCGCAAAGGAACCAGTTGAGGCAGCCATGAAAACGGAATGTTGTGGTTGATTTGATTCGAATTAGCTCTTGAAACAAATTTGGAAAAAAAATAAATGTCTATCTGAAAAACAGATTAACCCATTTTTTAGGAGGGATTAGTTGGAGCGAATGCAAAACGATAATGGTAGATCAAATTAATGATGATAAAAAATGGAAATTGTCTAAACATGTCTGTGATTTTAATTTGCTTGGCCTTGATCTTACATCCAACAAACAAACAAGTAAACAAACAAACAAATGTGTAAATAATTCGGCTGGCGTTAATGAAAACGCGGTTTTCTTCAAACACTTGCACTCAAGGTGTGATGTGCGGGTTTGAGCACATCATCGCAAATGCAAACACAGTTCGGCATTTGTGATTATTTGACTAGAAAAAGTGAAAAGGGACATTAAAAAACATTGTATTGAAGTGAACCGACTTGAACCGAAGGCGAATGGATGGCGGGAGGGTCAAGAGGCGATGGCGAGGCGCGCCGAGAGACATCCGAGAAGCAGACGACGCGTGTATCGATCCTCGGAGCCAGACGGGACGTGTGTATTTCGTTCGCGCATGTGAGAAACGCATGCTGTCGGCGCGGACGACAATTGTTGAAAAAAACACACACACATACACAAACGGTCTTCTCACGACGATTTGCGAAAACAACATGTCTAGATGATTGCGAAAGAAATGTGCCGAATCGGCACTGCCGGGGTCGCATGGAATTGAAGCTTCGGAGATAATCATGGAGATTCTTTCAACTATTTGACATCGAGAGCGAGCTTTTTTTTACATCAATAGTAACTTTTTGAGAAATTTGAGAAATTATTTGAATTTTGGGGGATTAACCGACTCAAAAGTACTTTGATACTTTAATACTATACTATACAGGGTGTCATTTAAGTTCCCGCACAAAAGTTTGACGCCATGAAGAGCTTGGCTGGCGCACTTTTCGTGCACCAATACAATTTATTTTTGTTAAATAAGGTATATTTTACTTACTTTCCAAGTTTCACCTCTTTCGGATGTGTTTCCGAGAAATGGCGAAGGCTAACATCCATCGCGCTTCCATTATCGAAGTTCATAAGCAAAATGTGAGCCCGAGAGACATCATTGAACGCCTCGCTGTGCCTCGTAGAACGGTTTGCGACACCATCAAACGTTTCAAGGAGCTAAATACGACCAGTGACCGTCCCAGACAAGGAAGACTCGTCTCAGTAACCACTCCTCAGAAGATAAACGCCGTCAAATCGAGGATCAGGCGAAACCCCCACAGGAGCATGAGAAAGATGGCGTCAGACGTGGGAATGAGCATCTTCGCTATGGAACAAATCGTCAAAACGAAGCTTGGACTGACCCCATATCGTGTCCAAAAAGCGGCAATTCTATCGGCCGTCAACAAGCAGAGACGCTTCGAAAAAGCAAAACAACTTCTTGCTCGCACGCAGTCTGGAGAACATCTCGTCACTGTCTTCTCCGACGAGAAGCTATTCACTGTGGAGGCGGCATTCAACTCACAAAACCATCGAGTACTTGCCCAGACATCCCAGCAAGCTTCTGAGAAAAGCAGAACAATACATCGAGCCTCACATCCTGCCAGTATGATGGTTTTCGGTGCCATCTGCTCAACCGGGAAGCGCCCCTGGTTTTTGCAGATCAGGGGATGAAAATGAACAAAGAAGTCTACGTTCGGGACTTTTTAGAGGAGCATGTGATGCCCTGGACCCAAACGCATTTCGTTGGGCAGAAATGGGTCTTTCAACAGGACGGAGCACCCGCCCACACTGCCAAAACTACTCAGGAGTGGTGCCAGACCCATTTTCCCGACTTCATCAAGTCATCCGAATTGCCTGATTGGTCCCCAGACCTGAACCCGCTTGACTTCTCCGTGTGGGGTCTTGCAGGAGAAGGTCAACGCAAAACCCCACTCAAGTGTAGAGACTCTGAAGAAGACATTACTGGCGGAATGGCACAATCTTTCCATCGAATACCTGCGTACCACAGTCGCATCCTACCCGAAGCGTCTCTGTGAAGTCATAGCTCCGAAAGGAGGCCGAATCGAAAAGAGTTAATAGATAAATATTTGTTATACTATAGATAAAAAATATTTCGAGTCTCGTTTGATTTGGACCTTTAGTTTCAGAAATATACGTCTTCAAAGTTGTGCGGGAACTTAAATGACACCCTGTATATATATATACAAGTGTCGTCACGATCGTTGGGTACAACAGACTGTTTTATCATCATTATTGCATACATGCAGGCTCATGATCGCCGACTGTCGTTGATACGAATCATTGAGAATTTCGTTTGGGAATGAGAAGACATACCGTTTGTCGAATAGTCATCTAGAAGTAATTTTTGATTTCTTGAAGAATTTGATTTTTCGATTTTTCTCGAAATAAGCTCGTCAGCAAAAAAAATAGTGTGTTATCATGAAACAAACACGTCTTGTTGTTCAACAATACAACGAGATGGCAACCGGTTGCGGAATATCTTTAAAGATTCTTTGTTCATCATATCTCTCAAATCTTTGTGTGATTTTCGCCGTTTTCTCGGATTTCTCTCAAATGCCAAAAAATCGAAATAATTTCATAAAATCGTTTGAAGAGCCGTTAAAAACTATAATTCTGTGACAATCTTTAGCAAAAAGAATTTTATCGTTTTTTTTCAGGTAATCAAGCAAAAAAGATAAAAATAAAAAGCCGTTGGGACATCTGGAACAGTTGTCCATTAAAACATCCCTCCATCCCGCAAAAAAGAAATAAAAAATAATCTTATTTTTAAAATAAAAAAGCGGGAAATAAACTCGACGAAAATTCGCAAGAAAAATGAGATTTTGAAGATTTATTACTACGGGTTCAAGCAACAATTATAACAGGGAACAACTGATTAGTATAACAAATTTGAAAAAAAATTATTTGAAAAAAAAAAGAAATTATGGTTATTACTCTTGCATTTCTTCATCATCGCTCTCAGCCTCAGCATCTTTCATGTCTTCGTCTTCCATATTCAAGTCATCGAGCATTTCGGCGAGAGTTGGAGCATCCGGAATCACATCATCGTCGGCTTCAACCATTGGTACTTGTTTCATTTTATCCTCATCCTGAAATATTGGGTTCATTTCGTACAAATGCACAAGGAATTCAAGAACCAATCAAAAGTATTAGTATTAGTCAGCAGTTGGAAAATAACGAACCGTAGTAAGGATTGGCATAGAGCTCTCAAAACCTGCCGATGCTTATCGCCGAATTCTATACACTATCAACGACACTCCAGTTTTTTCAATGTAATTTTTGTAAAAAGCGCATTTAATAAATAGGCCCGTTTACGTAAAAAAAAACATCTTTAGAACTGAAATTTGCTTGAATTAAATAGGTTTTTATTTCAAAATCTAGCCGAATTCATGACGGTCATGCCGGAATTGAAATTTGAAGAAAACGTGTTCGTTAAAAATTATTATTGAGAAGTCCAAAGCGGGTCGAGTATGGCAGGGCGGGACGGTAAAATTTTCAGATCGACCCGGCCCGCCGCATTTATAGTTACAACTAATTGAATTGTTCTCCCTATTTCACTGCAATTTGGAAAATGACAAAAATGGTTCGGACTAAGCAAGTATCTATTTCTCCATTTTTTCCGTTAAAGAGTTTGTCCCAAAATGTCCCTGCCTAAGCTTTAACCCAATCCGAAAAATGGTAATTGTTCGAAACAATACTCTTTCTTTTATTGAGCCAAGCACAATAATATTCCCACAAGCTAATTTCCAGAGGGAAAATCTAATTTATACTTATAACTTACTTGTTAGCAATCAAAACAAAATAAATTTTGCAAAATGTGAGAAATTGATGGCGAGAACCCCCTCAAGTAACTAACCTTGTAGATATTAATTTTTTCTCTCATGAGAACATCCTCTTCAATATCTTCCATGAACCCTTGGAATTCATCAGCAACCGAAGCCGTCTCATTTCCAACAATATTTCCGTCCACAACCAATCTCTTAAGTTTCCAAACTCGTTTCGCTGCTCGTTTAGTCTTGTCAAACACCTGAATTGGTTTTAATTGGAAGTATTCAAAAATAAATAGCTTACCTTGCGGACAATAATTGCATCAGGAATGTTGTCAGTATTCATCGCATCAAAAGTTGAGTTGTTCACATTGCAATTTTTTATGTCAAACGCTAAACATTAAAAAAATGCCAATTGATTTGAAATGTCAGGCAATACCCAAAACAAGATCTCCTGGTTGGAGTAAGTGCCCCAAATGAGTTCGAGCCGATAACGTTTCAGCATCCGACATTCCGACTTGGTCACTCCGTACTAGCCAAACATCCGCAAGCTGATGCTTCTTGCTCACAAAACCATGACCAGCCTAAAATAAAAAAATATTCGAAATTTTAAACAACTTGAAACCTCGTGAAAATAACTTTAAAAATCAATCATTCCAAAAAAGGCGCTATTTAGAAAAACTCACTTTTCTCTCGAAATTATCAATTACATCGACATCAAGAACGTAAAACTCGGTGAGTTGCTTGGGACCACAAAGTGCCTCAAATGGCTCTCGCCAGAACGTTGTCCTACAGTCTAACAATAGTTTATATAAAAATGGAATTCACATACGCTTGAACATCGACCATTTGCAGATTATTCGGATCAATCAAGGTGATGACGTTGGAAACGCGAAGACATAATACAATCTGCGACATGTTTCCGTATTGCTGAGCAGCTTTCTTTGGTAGGCAAACAATATTGTCTCTGTAGATTTGACAAATCGTAAATATTGGGACATATCTGAAAAATTTACCTGCAAATCGGCACAATTTCTACACAGAATGTGTGTTTGTAATCATATGTGTTGTTCTTTGTGTCATGAGATACAAGTTCCTACAAATAAAATAATGAATTCCCATAAGAATTATTCCCATTACCTGCGCATAGTGATATTTGCATGGCAAAACTGTCATTAGGAAATCGACGAATTTGCGTGCTTCTTGTTGTTTGGCAAAGAAAAAATCGATACCGGTAGGAACCGGCTTGACTCCTGTGCATTCCTTGTGTGCACTGTGCTTGAGCAAGAGCTGCTCAAGATAGAAGAGCGTCTTCTTGAATTCGGCACGTTGGCGTACTTGCACACAAGCTCTCCAGAAGTCTTTAGCCTCAGCGCGTCGACAATCATCACACAACTAAAACATTACTGCTTCAGTATGATTTTTAAAAAACCAAAAGTTCAATTGCTCGTCACATTTAAATAGTTCTCTAATAGATTAATTTATTGATTTACTATAGCAAGTTCAAAGTTTTCACCTGACTCTGAACAGAAAATTCGACAACCACCGCCTGTTGAAGAATTGTGTTCGTGAACACCTCTTTTTGAACAGTCAACTTCACTTTAATTCTTTTTGAATGTGCTTCAGTCCAAACAAAGCAAGCATCAGTTAAACGAACCTAAACAAAATAAATTTTTTTGAAAACCCAGTTTTTTAATGATATTATACTTTAGTAAGCATTGGTTTCATTTTTTTCAAGCAAATCGATAAAAGCTCCTTCGATTCGAGTTCAGCACGCATCCAAGCACTAGGCGGTACGAAGTATCTGTCGCAGAACTTGCACATGTAGATAGTGGCTAAAATGAATAGAAACTTTGTTATCAAAAAATATTATTTAATTTGATTCTAGATAATAGAATACAATTTTGATTTTTTTGGAAAGTCTGACGAATATTCGAACCTGTCCTCGTGATTCCTTCAGTGATATCGACTTTTGACCTCAGACATCCACTACACATGTTTGCCGGATTCGGCTCGATGGCAACTCCGCATTCGCAACATGCGATCAGTCCTACAGTCGTTTTTATGTCCAACGTGTGCATTTTCTATAAAAATATAGATTAAATAGGCTAAATTTCGCAAAAAATAGAAATTTAGGAAAGCATTTTATGACGAGACAAGTGCGCGCCATCGCACTTTTTGTGAATCCATTTGAAAATTTTTATTTTCAAAGGTAAAACTGAGAATATAACATGAGGATTATTTGAAAAAATAAAATAATTAACAATTTATTAGCAATACAAGTAAATATTTAAGAGATCGATTGAATTAATAGTTGAATGTTATGTACAATTCACCATATTGGCTGAGGGCATTTTGGAGGTAAGTTCAAATAGTATATTAAACCGGCTATGAATACCACTGACGCTGAGACGATGTAACGAAGTGGCACTTCGAATCGAGGAGAATTCTGCAAAACGTCATGGTTTCACATTCACGAAGAGCGTTGGATTCTTACAGTTTGTGTGACTTTCTCCGTTAAAATTTTTCTCTCTTCTTCTAATCTTCTCCCGTTTTCTTCAACTTCTTCAAGATCTTCTTCTAAACTTGGTATTCTTGGCGATCGGTACCGAAAACTTGGTGACTTTGAATAATCTTTAAAATAATTTAATAAAAATTGACAATTTAGTATTTGACATACCATATTTTGTAAACGAGACATTTGGAGAAGTTCCTGCCAATTTCTAAAATCATTTCGTTCCATTAAACAAATAATTTCATAATTCTTTACCGCTAAACTTTTTGACAGAAAATGAGGATCGATACTTTCCGATGGCACTTCGCTGATCATATCAGCTTGTTCCATTAATTTTTCAGCCAAATGACTTACCTGAAACACATTTATTTTAAATTTCAACTGTTAAAAACCTACATCGTGTCCTTCTTCAGCTAATTTCAAAGCAATTGAAGCTTCTTCTAAAAATACGTCTAGCTCATCTTGCATTTCCCTTCTTAAATTATTAGAATTTAAATATTGCACTGAAAAATCAACAGAATCAACAATAAGGATATATTTATTTTCCTGAAAATGCGCATGTGCAAATAGGCAGCCAGACTATCCCATTTGCGCTCCGCCGCGAATGACTCATTGTGTGTCGATTTGAATTCGACGCGTGCTGTTTTAATTAATACAGTTTAATTTCAAGTTTTTTTAAACCGCTTTTATACTTTTTCTTGGGTTAATGCTTTACATGGATTAGGGGTCAAAACAAAAAAAAAGAAAATTTCAATACAGCAAAAAGTAAATCAATTATTATTTTTTCCTTTTTACTGCATTGAAATATTTTCAGCATTAGCCCTTTAAGCTAAATTGTATTTGACATTCATCTTCTGCAAATTTAAATTTCGCATTAAATTAATTCATTCAAACTAAAAAAAAAATACATTTTCAAATACTTAAAAAATGTATAAAAATGCGGTCGACAAAATATTTGCTGAAAAAAAAATTAATTTTACTGTAATTGGTTTTTTCTGCAAAGTGTTGGCACAAGATACTGTAATTTACATTTTAATTTACGAAACAAAATAATATTTTCTATGATTTTTGAAGTGAATGCCATTTTTTGCTTTATTGGACAATATTCATACTTCAATATAATAATTATGGATCTATTCATACAATAAAACGTTCTTGAAAATTACTAATTTTTCCAATGCAGGCAAAAAACTTTTCACGAATAGGTTCATTAATCATTTAACATTTAATATTAACTTTTTTGTTTGAACTATTTCGAAATTATATATTTAACATTTTCAGGTTTCAGAATGAGTCTAGAGGTTGTGCGAGGTTTGGTTGAAAAAACACCTGAATTCTACAACGACTATTTATTGAAAACTCAAACAAGTAAGTAATTACATATAAATTAGGACGAATATGTAATGTTTCAGTATTTACCCCAGTTTTTGAAAAGTTTGCAAAACTAGAAGAACTTGACAGAGAATGTAAGCAGATGGAAAATGTCTTGAAATCCTTAAATTGTACGAAACCTTGCACATCATGCAATTCTAAAGAATTCGATGAGGTTTGATCGGCAGAATTTTTAAAAATCTCATTTTTTGCTTAGAAATTTGGTATCGAGGTGAAACAAGTGAAGAAAACGGAACAAGAAAACGCGAAATGCAACGAAAAAGAAAATGAAAAAGAAGAAGAAACAAAGGAAAATAATTCGACGAAAAAGGAGGCCGAGCAAAAGAAAATGGTGCCGGCTTTGAGTGCTGAAGAGTTTAAAACTATTCCCAAATATATGCTAGGGAGGCTAACGCATGATAATTTGAATGAAGTAACAGCGCACGAGCTAAATTTAAAAAATATGTTTTATTTAGCTTGCCATGAGGATCGACGAATTCCTGAGCCTCAAACAGAAACTACACACAAAACCTAACAAGGCTCTAACGAGAGAGGATCGAGATTCATTGGATAAATGGAAGGAGCTGGTAAAAAGCTTTTTCTCAATTAATTTTCAAAAATTCTATTTATTCATGCTTGCTTCATAACTGTATATTCAGGAATGTCAAAATTGCATCTACAGGGTGGCTGAAAATTACCCGGACTAATATTTCGAGCCTTCGTGAGGCGCACTGGTGCTTTTTCAGCGCAATGTTTTTTAATTTTTTTAATTAGCAATGCTTTTTTTACTATCTCTCAAATTTTCATGATAATTGGTTCGGTTTTAGCAAAATGGCGAAGCAAAATGCAAACCGACCCGCAATTATCGTATTGCACAAGTCAGGAATAGGCACGTATGCAATTTGGAAGCATCTGGGAATTCCGAAAAGCACCGTCTACGATGCGATTTTTCGTTTCAAGTATCTTCGCACAACCCAGGACCTTGCAGGCATAGGAAAAAAAACTACGGTGACGACTTCTTCGAATGTTAAGATCGTCCGAGACAGAATCAGACGAAATGCTCATCAGAGCATCAAAAAGATGGCTTCCGCGCTGAATATGTCACGAGCTTCAATGACAACCATTGTGAAAAAGAAGCTTAAGTTGACTCCTTATTGTGTCAGAAAAGCGGTAATCCTTTCTCAATCCAACAAGCTCAAACGGCACCAAAAGGCAAAACTCCTTTTGGCGGCCGCGCGGGTTGGGGAACATCTGTCGACGGTCTTTTCGGACGAGAAGCTGTTTACCGTGGAGGCCGAATTCAATTCGCAAAACCATCGAGTGCTTGCCCGAACATCCGAGGAAGCTTCAGAACTCGGCCGGACGATTCATCGTACGTCGCTCCCCGTCAGCGTCATGGTCTTCGGTGCCATCTGCTCCAATGGCAAATTTTCTCTGATTTTCGTGGAAAAGGGTGTCAAAATCGACAAGGACTACTATATCAATGAGATCCTGAAGAAGAACTTGCTTCGTTGGGCCCAAAAACACTTTGGTGGACAACGATGGGTGTTTCAGCAGGACGGGACGCCAGCTCATACTGCAAAGTTTACGCAGGAGTGGTGCGCCAACAATTTACCCTCCTTCATCAAGTCAACAGAATAGCCCGCCTCGTCTCCCGACCTTAATTCGTTGGACTACTCCGTATGGGGGGTCTTACAGAGTAAGGTCCGTGCTATGCCCCACCCGAATTTGGACTCTCTAAAGAAAGCGCTGGTCGAGGAATGGGACAAATTGTCGGTGGACTACCTGCGCGCCACGGTCGACGCATATCCGAAGCGTCTTCGCGCCGTCATCAGAAACCGCGGATTTCGAATCGGACACCGATAGTCTATTTATGTTTGTTATTGTAAAAATAAGCTAAATATGAAATTTGAGTGTGTTTGAACAATTATTCACTGAAATACATTGGTTTTCATATAGTCCGGGTAATTTTCAGCCACCCTGTAATGTGCTCTGAATTCCCAATAAGTGTCACAAAAATTAATTTTAAAAAAAATCCGCAGCTAAACCTCTCTAAAAAATCAACAATTTCTATTTAATCTAATAAAACAACGGAAGAAAAACCTAAATTCGAGTACTTCTATTATCATTAAAATTTTTATTGTCCGTAAATCTACACTTTTGGTTTTGCGCCAAGACCACTGTCATTGTTTTCGGCAATAATACAAACTATAGTTGTGCACTGACAATATTGGACATTTTGAATTGCACGGGCTTGTAGTAAATCGGAGCATATATTCATCACACTTTGAATAATACCCAAAATACTTAACATTCACAAAATCAGATACGCCTAATCCATGACAATATTCATATATAGTTAAATGTTAATTTATAATTGATTCGTAAATGTGTATTTTTTGTCTTTATGAACACTTTTCAGGAGCGAAAATCGAAAAAACTGACGACGAACCTGTTTTGCATCGAAAGCGACATCAAGCCGTTGCTTTCAGAAAAACTTCGCCCAAGCTTCGGAAAAATGATTCCTTGCCTTCGACATGTTCGACGAATCCGAGAAGAACGATGCGGACCAACAACATTTTATTATGTATAATTTATTTTTTTAAATACACTCTTATATAAGTTGAGTTTTTGAGTTTTTTGGCAATAATCGATGCCTTTCATGGCAATTTTTACCTTTGATTAATACAAAAATATGGAAATATAAAGATTCTTGAACAGAATGGCAACCAGAAATGCTCCGCCTCCGCCGGCTCCGAAACCTGGACGGGTCAAAGTTTATCGAGCCCTTTATGATTTTAAAGCAAGAAGTGTGAGTGTCATTCTTTTTTTCCTCTCAACCAGTCGTCACAGAAAAACATTCAAAGTGGGGGGGTTTTTGACTGCATAGGTTATATTTGAAAATTTTTTACCTGAATATATGTAGATTGTTTCCGAAAAAAAGATAGCTACCTGAATCGGCCTCTGCGTAAAGCATAAAACTTTGAGCGGCTTTTAATACCTCCTCCAAAAAATTTGAAAACTTAAATATTCTTAAAAATCAATTATTTTCTATCATTTTCTGGCAAATTTCCTAGTATTTTAGATTTTTTTCAATTAATTTCTATGAAAAACGTCATAAGATCCAAATCGCTAATCGATAAAAAGGAAGAATGAGTTGGGTTTTGCGGCGACTGATTCTCGCAGCCGTGTTTTTTTTTTCGAAAATTATCTATACGTTAATAACGAAGCAGATGGAATTCTGAAACGTTTCATCATGGTTTGTGCAGATATTTCATTTCTCCATGTTGTAGTTTTCTTACTAGTTCGAAATCGTTTCAGGACCAAGAATTGTCATTCAATGAAGGCGATTTGTTGTATGTCAGTGATCAGGCTCCAAATAATGATTGGTATACGGCGAGTATCGGAGGAAGAAAGGGATTAGTCCCAACTAATTACGGTACATTTTCGATATAAATCTTCTAGACACTTCACGTTGGGAAATGAATTTGTTAAAGAAATTTTCATATATTTGTTGTCAAGTTTCCAAAAGTGGACGAAAAAAAAGATGAAAAATTGATGAAACATGGATTAAAGTGGATTTTATAAAACTGATCCACCACATATCTCCTTTTCATCCATTATTCATTCATTTTTTATCCATCTTCCAAAACGCAGTGAACGGGACTGAATTGATTCCATTCGTAATGTGTGTTAATCATTCCGTTTTATTTGAGTGATCAGCGAGAATGTCGAAGAGCTTCCGAATCCATTGCACGAAGCTGCTCGTCGAGGCAACATGGAAATGCTCAACGAATGCATACAGGAGCAGGTCTCGGTGAATAGTCTCGACAAATCAGGATCAACTCCGATTTATTGGGCATCGCATGGCGGCCATATCGAAGCTGTCAAGCATCTTCTAGCTGTTCCGAACGTGGTTATTTCTTCTCAGGTTTTGAATTATTCTAAACAGTAAAAAAAAGAATGAATTTTCAGAATAAACTCGGAGACACTCCTCTTCATGCTGCCGCCTATAAAGGGCATGCCGAGGTTGTGCAGCTTTTATTGAAGAAAAATGCGGACCCATTTGTTCATAATATCGAAAATAAGAGGCCGATTGATGTGGCCAAGGTTGGAAATTGAAATGGCGTCAGATGAAAGAAGATATTTAGGATGCCGATGTTCGTGCACTACTCGATCAAGCAATGAAAGCAGATAGGATCAATGAGAGTGAGTATGATGAATATCAATCAGATTCTGATGCCGATTAAAATATGCATGTCTGTTTATAATGATTTAAGACCAATTTGACAATTTGAAATCCTGTGATAAAATTATGTGAATAAATGTTTACAAAACGAATGAGAGCCAGGCCAAAATAAGTGTGACACCACCAATCGGAGTGAACTTGCGCACATCCTCCTTTCCAGTTATCGCATAATGATAGCACGGACCAGAGAATAGGAGCATACCAGCTGAAAAATCTTAAATAATTTTTATCTATTGAGGGTGTCGCGTGATTGAGCAAAATTGGCTAACAAATTTAGAGAGACGTTTTTGTGCGCCTTTAACCTATCATTAAGCTTGGCACGTAATTCTACCCATTTAGATTTCTGATAAAGAGTGTTGCCACTCTTTTTTTGGCATTTCGCCAATTTTCCGCAATCGCGCAACCTCGACAATATTTACTTGCTAACAATGTCGCCGTAACGCGCGGATATCTTGCTTTGCTACTGGCCAACAGTGCCAAAGAATGAATCAAATGGTAACGATTTCCAGTTTCGAATGCTGTTTTCCGGCGATCAGAAGCATTTGGAGAATCACGCAAAACTAAAAAAAAATAATGATAATTATTCGTGTGAAACGACGTACCATGAGATCCATAAGCTCCAAGACTAATTGCCAAAGCACCAGAGACACCAGCAAGTCGAACAAGATGGCTCATTTCACCAATTGAAGGTTTTTGAGAAGAGCTTAACATATAAATCAGATTCGATTAGAAAAATAGTGACGTACGCCACTGGAAGGTATTGATTGATGAGAGGAACGTAATTCAGAAGAGATGTCGTCGCGTCGATGAGTAACTGCGACATGCACTATTCTATAATTGATAATTAATTCAATGAAATGACGACGTTCGTCAGATTCGAAGCAATAAAAATTATATTTAACTACTTTTCGATAGAACGAATAAATTGACTGAAATTTAAAAAACGGTAATAAGCAATATTTTACTTGAAAAAAAAATATATTTAACAGATATTGGCACATGAAAGACCTGAGCGAATTAACGAAGTATCGACATTAAGATTTGAGAATAGCGTTTAATTGAAGCTGACGTTTTTCTAGTGCACCGTGCTGACTGGCGAGGGTCTTATCACTACGAACTGATAAAGCGAGAAGATAGCTTAATTCGATGGGTGTGAACATTGACCTGAAATATTCATTATTGATAAATAAATCAAATTTAGAGGATTCTCACCGTTTTTCAGGGATAATTGATAACAATCCATCAGGATCATTGGTAAGAAGAAGATCGAAGAAGGCTCGAGCCTTGTCCAAATCGGATTCTCTTCGATTTGTGATCCTTGACAATCGTTGCTGAACTCCCCACACATTGCGGCACACTCGTTTCTTCGCTGCCTCGGTTAGTCGTGGCATGAATTGGCTCAAATGAATGAAAATCGAGGCACACAAATGACCGAGACCATCGAAAATGTAGGAGAGTTTCGAAGCAGATAGAACATCTTTCAGCTCGTTGTAAAATTGTTGAAGATCCTTGCCAAGAGTGACAACCTGAAATCACAAATTGAGTTATTTTATTTTTAAAATAGAGCTTTTATCGATATTTATTAATAATTTCTGTTTTTTTTTTTCGTAGTTTTACCTCGGGATCAACTTCATTGTGAATTGACGAATTTCGATATTTGGCGAGCGGTGATAAATGATAGAAACAATGGAATCGGATTTCGATATGAAGAAGTAGAAGACAAGAATCTGCGATGGTTTCTAGTCGCCGAACACAATCCTCGATGGCTGAAGGGACGGATTTCTGCAAAATGGCAAAGAAATGAAAATATTTGAAATCATATTACATTATCAATCATTTGTCCGTCTTTGAGTCGGACTTGAACCATACAAGTGTCGAGAACGAGTCGGACATGAGCCGGAAGCGAATAAACCAGCTCTCGAATCTGTAAACTCATATTAAATACAATTTTCGATACGTTTTGCAATAGAAATATTTTCAGTAATATCTAACCTGATCGCTGAACCACCTGAGAGATTCATGAAGGCTAGCAAACATGCGAATATCATTCATATCGGTAATCAAATGTGCTTCAGTCAATTTATTCTGCGTCTGTGTTCCGAGATTCCCGATGAGAATCTCCGATTCGCGTTTGCTTCGCTCGCCGACATCTTGTTCGCTTTCAACCGAAGGCGTCGTCGGCGACAAATTGGCAGCGTGCCAGTTCGGTAGACTCATCAGAAGACGTGAGATGTCGTCATCGGCTGTCCACGTCGCCGAAAGCTTCTGCTTGCGAGTGGCTACTGCATCATTCTCACTAACACTACTAGGAGTCATCTGAAGGCTCATATCCATTTTTGGGCTTCGCTAACAAAATTCTCTTACCCGATCATAAACATCGGTCATATTTTTATAATAATCGGTGAGGACGAGCAACCAAAGAGCAGCAAATCGATCAGCATACAAATCCATGCTAATGATCAAATCATGAACTTCTTTGCACAATTCGAGCACTTTACGACATGACGGTAAGATTTTCTGGAATTAATGCATACAAAACGAGAAATAACTGTAATAATCGTACATTATCGACTGGAGCTCTTAGCGAATCTCCACCACGAAGGGCCGATTCAATTCGAGATGCCAAATTGGTCTTGACACGCTCCACAAACATTTCCATAACGAATGAGTGCATAAATCGTCTGGAAATATTTCTTTCAAATATGCATTTGGGGCGTTTTTGTCGAAAACCGTAATTCGCAAGGCGATTCGTTAATTTGCTTCTCGATATTTTCCATTAATCGACTGAGAATCGGGAAAATCGCCACAATATTGTAAGCGGATGGCTTACAAATCACAACCTTCGGCTGCGAATTCGATGAAGCGACATTCGGAGATGAAGCACACGCAGTACAATCGAAACGGAACAATGCTTTCTGATCATTGCTCACGCTTGTGTCGTCAATTGAAGTATTGATATCTAGATGTTCCGAGATAACCACCTGCAAAAGGTTTGATTGTTCGATAAATATCTTGTTTTAAACAAAGAGACCTCAAGTGCTGATTGGGCCGATTTCCAGAACGAGATAACTACATCGGATCTTGAACATTGTTTTTCAATTAGCTCTGCGAATTCTGCATGTAGAGCACATGAGGAGTCGAGTTGAGCGGAAAGCTAAAATTTAAAAAGGAAAAATTAAAATTAAAAAAATAAGGTGAACCATTTGCACAAATTGTTTCAAATGTGCTTGCTCTCCGTCGTTATTTTCATCAATATTGCACCCAATTCTCATCACTTGAATACTAATCGATATCATTTTGTCCATCATATTTTTGCAAAGGAATTTTAGTCGGTCAATATCCCAATTTCCACCTTCCAAATTTGATAATGCTTCAACCGCTTTACTTAGCCGAGTTTTCGCCGGCTCCACATTAAATCCATTTCTCATTTTTTCATAAATCGACGAACAATGTTGATTTTGATGAACTTTATGTTCCGGAATTGTGCGGACAATTGTCATTAGCTTCAAATATTTGTTTTTGTAAACTTGTATTAAAACTACAACTCACATGTTTTTCAAACGGCTCAATAATCAGCATAGTGACTAAGGTGTCGTTGATTTTCTCGAATAAAATTTGCGCATAGTTTTCGATTTGATTCCTTAATTGGCTGAGACCTTCGATTCTCGACATTTTTCCATTCATTATTTCTCCTTAAAATATTTTTTAATTCAGAAAAATTGCAAAAGTCATACTAGATTCTGTAACAATTGCCGCTGCGTTTTGATAAGACTCTTTAGCTATAAGACACTCAATCTTTGCAGGTCCTTCCCGTAATTTTTCACTACAAATATGCATATATATATTTTTTCAATTTCCTTATAATTTAACTTACATTTGAGCTAAAATCTCGCACACCGCTTTTTGTTGAGCATTTTCGAGCCAAAGCTTCTTCAAATCGTCTCGTTTCAATTCCAGCAAACTCTTACAAGTTTGTAGAGCATTTTTCACATTACGGATGCGTTCCCGACAATCTGAAAATAATTTTGGAGAAAATACCAAAGAATTCAAGAAACCTGAAACTTTCGCGGAAACATCCCGAAAGGAATCAAGACATTCGTCAACATCAGCTTGATGATCTACAATTTAATTAGTTAAAATTAATAAAACACTAACACAAAAGTTACTTTTGACGAGTCGGTCAATTAATTCTCCAGATTCCCTGAATCCTTTTTCAAGCCTCGCTTTCTCAATTTCTCGTTGATCTTCGGACACACTAGAGGTTAGTGAGCGGATAACATTAATCAGAAGACCAGTTTCTGGCTAAAAGTAGCATTGAAATTACGAAAATTATGAATAACCTACGCTTGATGAGGCATTCGTTTGTGTGGTCCTTTTTCTCGCCGCTGCCACTGGCAAGCTATTATTTTCATTCATAATAGCTTGAAAAGCGAACAGTTAGAGAATAACGTATTGAATGGAATTCCTAAGCAGCGGCAAACAGTTCTCTCAATCCCTTCGGGATGCGAATCGCGGCCGCAAAATTCCTCTGCCACGGTTAGAGGCTCCACAGGTTTTTCACGTGGGAATTCGAATTTTTGTGTTTCACCCTGATTACATTTTAATTTACTTTATTGCTTATATTTGAGTAAGTACTGAAAAAGTTACAAGTTGCGGAAATGAACGAGTTTTATTATAAATATTTCGTAAAGTGTGTAAGCTGTGTTTTTTTTTTCTTATTGATTAATGAATATTGTGATTATTGCGTTGTAACCAAAAGTAAAACACTGGACGCGTTTTCAGATTATTTTTGAAATGCCTTTAAAGCAACATTCTAAAGATATTCACGTAAATCCACACAATCTCTATGTCCAATCTATGCGAAAGGCCGTGTCGTCCATGCATTTTTAAGCCAACATGTAGTCCACACGGACAAATCCTCGGCCATCATTTTTTTGCACAAAAAATTCCAGTTTCCGTGTGTTTTTTTTTTGTAAAATGTCAGCTGTTACAGATTGATTTCTCATGATTCTTTCGCAATTAGCTGGCATTGCGCCAATGCCGTTTTCTGATGGCGACAACTTCAAAGGACTTCGTGATTATGCGGAGCAATTAATTACCGGCGATGAAGATTCTATAAATCGTGAGAAATATAGAAGAAAAATTATTGGTAGTACATTTTACAGAACTGCGGATGATTGCTCGCTGCATGTTGGCCTTTCCAAAAGAAACTTGTGAACATCCGGAGACCGTAGAAATTTTTGTAGACCAAAAAGCGAACGTTCAACTCCAAAAAGAAGTAAATTCCATTTTTTTAAAGGAAAAATTAAATGTAATTTAAAGTTCTTCACATGCATTGAAGTGGAATGCTTCAAAGGAAAAGTGGAAAAGGAGATTCTCGAAATCCTTAAAACGAAATTTAATAAATCCGGAAGAACAATAAACCATAACACCGCTGTCTACTGGATCACTAGATTTCGCGATCGTCAAGAACGAGCAATCTTTGAACAAGCTCTCATCAAATATATCGAAATCATCAAAATAAAAGAAAACGAAGATCCACAAAGAGAAGTTGCTCTTCCGGACGTTTACCAACTCTACACCTGCGCACTGGATGCTCATCTTTTCGGCCGATATCGCGAAGCTTTTGCCCTTTTGAAGCCCACAATGCCATTTTTGGCAACAAGCCCAATTTTATGGATTCGGATAACGGAAGCATGTATATGCGAGTTTTACGAGGTTTATCGATTGGTAATAAAAAATTACAGTTTGAAATTCTAGGAAACCTTCATGTTCACAGACACTTATGAGCGGTTATTTTTCAACAAACCTAGAATAAACGAATTGAGCAATCGAAGGAGTTTCAATGAAATGAGGTAAAAAAAAACATTCAAATTCTTTGAGTTTTCTTCGAATTATCTCAAAAACTTTTGAATCGTTTTCCAATTAATTGCAAAATTTCATAATACTTTTTTGTAAAAGTTGCAATTTGCAGGCCGCGTCATCCCGATATGACCCCACATTATGCCGAATCTGCCGCATGTATGGCTCTGACGATGGCGAAATGCTCGAAGAATCCTGTTATACAGTACAGCGCCGCACAGAATTTTGCGTTTATGATGCTCAAACTTCGGAAATACAGGTAGTTTTATTTGTTTAAAATTCTTTTTTTTTTTGAATATATTACTTTTCAGAGATGCTCTTGACATTATTCAATGGATTGTGGTCACAATTGGGAATCGAGCATTACCAATGGCACAAATGTCTATATTATTACTATATAAGGTAAGACTAGTATCGAAAATCAAAAAGAATTTCTATTGAAGGCTGAAGCACATTACTATCTCGGTGATTACTCAAAAGCCATTGAGACAGCGATTCGAGTAACGAAACACTACGAATTCCCAACATTCCGTTCACGAGCGCTTATGATCCTTGCCATGTCTTATATAAAACGAATGAATTATAAGAAAGCTTACGAATATATCATGGTTAGTATTGTTCATTTGTTGTTCATTCTGCTATTTTAATGCATTATTTCAGGAAACCCTCGATGTTCAAGATCTATGTGTTCCAATGCTCGAAAACGTTGCCTTACTAGGTGTCCATTTATCATATGTGATGAACAATATTCCGATGCTTCAAGTATTCCTTGGTATTCTGCAAGAGATTGTGCATTGAATTTATATGTATAAAGAGATTCGCCTGTACTTTGAAAAGAGGGTACGCAATTGGTTGAAAACCTTTGAAATATTTGATTGATGAATAAAATTCGGTTTTTTTTAATTCTACCGATTCGGTTGTAGATCATTGTATATATGCATGTTGGCGCACCGTTGCATTCGGATATCTCGACCATATTCCACGTAAGGAAATAAATTGGTTTCTTGAATTTATTTTTACCCCCATATTATTGGTTTTCGATGAGAAAAAAAAACAGATTTTTGATTCATTGAAACAGAAAATTGCAGTAAATTTGTGTCGAGTGCCGATGTCGTCATATGCGGTGGCGGAATATCGGGGACTTCTCTTGCCTATCATCTAGCAAAACGGGGAAAGAAAGTATGCCTGTTTGAACGAGATTCGTATGTTCAATGAATGGAAGACGATTCTCATTCCAATTGATTTTTTCAGTGTTGGTTGCCAAGGTGCAACCGGATTATCGGCCGGATTGGTGTCAGCACCGATATTCTGGCAGGATGCCAACATCCAGACCGTCGCTCAAGAATCGCTGAAATTGTATTCGAATTTGGCGCAGACTTGCAAATTCCGTGTGTTTCATTTTTCAATTGTAGCCTATCAATTTTCTGATTGATTTACAGGATATGTAAAATGCGGTCGAACGTATTTTGCATCGACGATGTCGAACGAGATTCTGCTTCGAAGAATGTACAGCCGCGGAATTGTTCAGAATGACAACGTCGAGTTGATCGATTGCCAGAGTGAAATGCTCGCGAGATGGCCGTTTCTTGAAACCGAAGATATTCAAGTACACCTCAACTCTTAAAATATCGAACTTAAATGGCATTTAAGCTTGCGCTATTTTCACCCGAAGACGTTGCGTTAGACGCCGTCGCTCTTAGTCAACAATTAGCAGAAGTTGCGAAAGAACACGGCGCGAAAATATTCGAGAATTGTCCGGTTACCGACGTCCATCTAGGAGATGAACGGCAAGTATATGGTGTCGATACCAAAAACGGATTTGTCGAGACTTCGCATTTCGTTGATGCTGCTGGAATTGTGAATATTTGTCTGAAAATAATAGCAATTCGTTTTTTGATTGTTTCAGTGGGCTGGAACAGTTTTGTGCAAGTCTTTACCCCATCAGCACATTCAAACCGCCACCTATCCTTGTACATATACGTATATACACACTTCGAAGTTACCCACTGGAGCTGTTAGTGATCTTACACCAAGTATTTCATACTCCATTATTTTGTTTTAGTATAAATTTCAGTTTTCAACGATTTGGATGGAAATGTGATGATGCGAGCCACTTCGTTCAAAACGCTTTGCGCTGGCTTCGCTGAGCAGAGCATTCGACCATTGGCTCGACAGTCGGACAACACGACACCTTGGCATCAACCAGAACCGGACTGGGCTAAATTTGGTAATACATGGTTTCATTTTTATTTCAATCGTTTTTTAAATTAAGATAAAAATCTCGAAAAGCTGATTCACCGATGCGGAATGCTCGGAGAAGTCAATCACGGTGATCTGATTTGTGGAATGGAGTCTTATACACCGGATAAGCTACCGACAATTGGAGAAAGTAGTCAGGTACGATCTTAAATTAATTTTAAAAAATGGAATGATTGACTTTAGGCGAAAGGTTACTATGTGATGTGTGGCATGAACGGACAAGGACTCTCTTTGGCCGGAGGACTCGCTAAACTCTTGTCTGAGATCATTTGCGATGGTGTTGCTAAGACCGCCGATGTAACTCGAGTTGATGTTGGAAGATTCATTGATCTTCACGCGAATAGCCAATATCTCATCGAACGGACTCCGGAAATCGCTGGTCATCCTTTCTGATTGATTATCTTTGCAAATATGTTTGCATTTTCAGCTCAAACTTATATGAATCTATATTCTTCACATCAATGTCATACTGCGAGAAATTTGCGAATGGCGCCGATATATCACCAATTGAGGGATGCTGGTGCTGTTTTTGGCGAAATTATGGGGTGAATAATTCAATAAAATTTCAATATTAACACACCTTTTTTTAGTTACGAAAGGCCGCTATGGTTTGAAAAATCGCCAAAACCTGGAAGGAATGCTCTTCTGCAAGGTCAGGATGCACTCATTGGAAAACCGGAGTGGTTTGACAGGTAGTGTCGAGAGTTTCCCATTCTCATAACACGCACACACGCAGACATTTCGATTTGCAGAGTTTCGAGTGAGTATGAGGCTTGTCGCGAACGAGTCGGACTCATCGACATGAGCAGCTTCAGCAAATACGATATAACGGGTCCCGACTCGGTGAAATTCCTACAGTACCTGTGTTCGGCAAATGTCGATGAGCCTGTGGGAACAACCGTTTACACGGGAATGCAACACAAAATGGGAGGATATGTGACGGATTGTACCTTGAGCAGACTCGGAGAGAACAAGTTTGAGCTCTCAATTTCAGCCCTCATCATATAAAATAATTCAGATTCTTCATGGTTGCTCCGACAATTCAGCAAGAACGGTGTCTTGTTTGGATGAAAAAATGGATCGATCGAATGGGAGTCAAAGTTCACGTGCAGGATGTGACCGGCGCCTATACCGCGCTTGATTTGATCGGACCTTCCTCGAGATATTTGATGAGCGATGTCACCGGATTGGCGATGTCGACTGCTGAATTCCCAACATTCCGTTGTCAAGTATGTCTTCCATCGTTCTCTTCTTCTTTTGCATATCACAATTTTATTCAAGGAAATCAACATTGGAATGGCTACGGGAATTCGTGCAATAAGTGTGACTCATTGTGGTGAACTCGGATGGGTCATTTATATACCAAATGAGGTAATTTAAATACCAAATGCTCGATTCATTTTTTATATGCATATTTTTAATGACGTTTAGGTCGCTCAAAATGTGTACGAGAAGGTGCTCGACGCCGGCCAGGAATACAGTCTGCAGCATGCAGGATATTATACACTTCGTCAGTTGAGAATTGAGAAATTCTACGTATACTGGGGACAGGATATCAATGCAACGGTGACGCCGGTTGAATGCGGAAGAATGTTCCGAGTTGATTTTAAGGTAATTCAGGAGATTAATTTTATACCCGCTTTGTGCCAATATAAACTTAAAAATTTAAATTAGAAAAATTTTAAATTTGACCTAAAAGAGACAGTTCGTATCTATTTAGCTTGAATAGAAAAACTTGAGTTTTCAGAATTCAAACGATCCTTTCATGGTAAGTCTTGTCTCAATTTCACGTATAGAATTTTAGAAATTCGAGAAAAAATACAGAACGTCCTTCTAAAGAACCTACTGTATTATTTCGAGACTTTTTTGTGCTTTGTGTGTCTTAATTATGCTGCACTTTTCTCGATTGATTTCTAATTTTCAGAAAGACTTTATTGGAAAACAAGCATTGCTCGAGCAGGTCGAGAAAGGGGTCTCGAAGCGATTTGTACAGTTGCTCATTGATAGTCACGATAAGGAAACGGATCCGTGGCCACAGGGTGGAGAGACTTTATATAGGTAAGTTCACAATGAAATTTTGAAATTGATAAAAATCAATTTGTAGAGACGGAAGGCCTTGTGGATTGACGACGTCAGCGGCATACGGATTCACGCTTGGATGCCAAGTAAGCTCATTTTGACTTTGGTTGATTTAATACCAATCGTATTTCCCTTAAATTGGCCTCGATTTTTATTGACCCAAAGGCTTGAAAAATGATTTTTAGTTCACCTTAATTTATGAAAATTCCTCAAATATTTTAAATTGATGTTTTTTGATGCTAACTATCTACCGGTCCCCATTGAATTATTTGGTTTGCTCCCTCTCTCATCTCTGCCCATCAACCAACTATTGACCGAAATGGATTATTCCTAGTGGTGTGCAGTCGTATTGACAAGCGCACCGACGGTCGCCGGCGGTTCGCATAATGCTGAATAAATAATTAGCGTCAACACTCGAAACCGAAAATTGCAGGTGTGCATCGCATTCATCGAAAATAAGGAATTCGGAGTGTCTGCCGATTTCATTAATCGCGGAACTTATGAGCTCGACATTGCTGGAAAACGATTCCCGTGTCGTGTGAATTTGCACTCGCCGACGCTTCCGATGATTTCGTCCGAACATCCGCTACATTATCGGCCGACACAATAAATAAATAGTTGTTAGAAGAAGAAAAAAAACAATTTTGCCATAATAGCATAATAATTTGCCATAATTGTTCTTGTATCAAGAGGAATGAATTAGATTCGTTGTGTTCGTTTTGCTCGTTGTCGCACGCGTTCGCCGCACGCGACGCGTCGCACGCTGTTGAAAACCGACGCGGGCGTCTACAATTTGCCGCGTTCGTCGCGTATTTGAGCAATGAATAACAAGTGGATGAGGAATCAGACGGCGATGTACTCGAACGATCCGATTTTGAATGCGGTAACGGAATATTAGTGTACGAAATAAACTAGGGCCTTTTAGCAGCAGCCACCACCACAGATGTTGTTTCCCGATAGCTCGCAAAATCAAATTCCCGATGGGATTCGATTTGCGATTATTGAAGCGGTTAGTCGGAGACCGGGAATCTGGAATTCGCAAAAGAGAAAAATGGAGGAGCAAACCGAAAACGGCTGCTCATGGAGGTTGCCGAAACCGTCAGCCAACAGTTCAATTTGAATCCATTGGAAAAATCTTAAAGATACATTTGTCAAAACAAGGAAAAAGGTTCGAATTTAGGCCTATATAATATTCTATTTTCCCGGAAACAAATTTTCCCAATAATCAACACTCAATTCGATTATCAATTTTTTTCTTATTCGTTTTAATCAAGCTTAAATTTAGATCACTTTTGACCAGGACGGTAATTTGATTCAGCCGAAGTGGAAATATTTCAATGCGCTCATGTTTCTGGATTCAGCTTATAGTCAAAGCCCTTCTACACGTACAATTAAGCGTCAAGCTGAAACGGTTAGTCTGTTTAAAGTCGTTCCGTACAAATTCGTCTTTTAGTATGAAGACAACATTAAACGAATTAAACCGGACGATTCCGAACAAGTTGATGAATATATGGCCTTCTGTATGCATTCTTTATCTCTACAAAATCGCAAATACCGTTTCAGGCAAATCACTCTACCACCCACTTCGAGAAATCGGTTACAAAAACCGTGTTCAATTAATAAAAGTTCAGAAGACAATACGGGATATAATTCACGAAGCGCAAATGAAGACTCTAACTGAACAACCATCTCACATGCAATAAACGAATTTCGAACTTCCTTGTTATAATTAAACTAAAATGACAACAATTTATTTTAACAACAACAATGGCTTTAAGCAGTCTCCGATGGGACGCTAAGAATGATATCGGAATCTCCGGCGTCAGTAACGGCAAGAGTGCAAACACGGAAGAGACGACCACAGGCGGTTCCGAGCTCAATGTTGTTTCCATTGTAGTGGTGAACTCCGGTCTTTGCGAGCATGGCGTAATACTCGATCTCGGACTTTCTGCAACATTGTAACATTAGAAAAGATGTCTTAAGAAATAGTAAAAACCTCAATGGTGGGGTGTTGTTCGCGATGATGACGATCTTGGCCTTTCCGTTGAGGAGGGTCTTGAGGGTCTGTTTGTATCCCAACACGTACTTTCCGGTCTTCATGACCATGGAAAGACGGGAGTTGATGCTCTCGGCAGTCTTTTTGACCTAAATGAACCATTGTTAAAGCTGCCGACAATGATCCGGAGTGTACTGGTATTCAACACAGTTGAAGCATCCAGAGGCGTATTAATTATTGAGTATGGAAGTTTACTCCTTCTCAATTAAAAATTCGAACTCCGGATTACTCCATCTCTGTTCGAAAATTCAACTCCGGAGAAACTTCACTAACCTGTGGCTTAGCAGCTGGAGCCATTGCGTTTTACCTGAAAAATAATATTTTTTCAACGTGAATATGAAAGACTAACGCGCGTTATTTATTTAAAAGACAACAAGAAAGTTGGGTTAAAACTTAAAATCCATTGAAGGAACAAATCAGGTGAAATTGAATTTTTTAACTATTTTTGAAGAAGAATGGCATATGATTGTAGGCTTCAGAATAGTATGATGCGATAAAATTGTCCAATATAAACTTTATAATTTATTTTTTTGAAACTTTGAAATTAATTTTTTAAAAAACCTTTGAAAAATGTATAAAATAGGCCCAAAAAGTGTAGGAATCGTAAAAATAAAATGTAGGAACGCGTTGCGGTCGACGCGTATACGGTTGCACATGACCTCGCTGCGAGACCAACGAAAATTGACGCGCCTCCCTTTAACGCGCCACTTTCTCTTTTTCGGTTTTTGGGATCCGAGTTCTCCTGGCTTCTAGCAAAAGGACAATAAATCCCTAAACACGTTCAAAACCCATAAAAATTCAAAAAATCTATAAAAGTCCAAAAAAATATCTTCGGCTGACTTCTCTCATAAAGGTGTGTTGTTGTTGTTGTCTTGTTTTCGTTATTGATTTTCAATAATTGTTTTTTTTTTGCAGGAATAAACATGGCTGCTCAAGGTATCCAAAACCCATCAACTACTTCTTACTCGATGGCGTCTTTGTACGTCGGAGACCTTCATCCGGAAGTTTCTGAAGCTACGCTTTTCGAACGATTCAGCACCGCTGGACCTGTCTTGTCCATCCGCGTGTGCCGCGACAACGCTACTCGTCTCTCACTTGGATATGCTTATGTCAACTTCCAGCAACCTGCCGATGGTGACAAAGTGTAACGTGTACAAATTTTCATGTCAAAATTTTTTAGCTGAGAGAGCGATGGATACCATGAATTTCGAAGTGCTCCATGGAAGACCTATGAGAATCATGTGGTCTCAACGCGACCCTGCCATGCGTCGCTCCGGAGCTGGAAACATCTTCATCAAGAATTTGGACAAGAATATTGACAACAAAGCAATCTATGATACTTTCTCCTTGTTCGGAAGCATTCTTTCGTGCAAGGTGGAATTTCGCAATTTTTCGAAAATATTCGTTAATTCGTTTGCAGGTTGCTACTGATGAGGAAGGAAACAGCAAAGGATACGGATTCGTCCATTTTGAGACCGAAGAAGCAGCTCAAAATGCCATTGCGAAAGTCAATGGCATGCTTCTTTCTGAAAAGAAAGTGTACGTAGCCAATAATGTGATATTGAAATAAATCAATATATTTGTTTTTCAGGTTTGTTGGAAAATTCCAACCGAGAGCTCAACGAATTCGCGAGATGGGTGAAACTGCCAAGAAATTCACCAATGTTTACGTCAAAAACTTTGGCGATCATCTCAATGAGAAGTCACTCGAAGAACTGTTCTCTCAGTTTGGAAAAATCACCAGCTGCGCTGTCATGACCGTCGACGGCAAATCAAAGGGATTCGGATTTGTCGCTTTTGCCGAGCCAGAAGATGCTGAGAAGGTACTTTAATAATAGGAAAAATATTTTCTAATAATAATTTGCTTTCCAGGCTGTCAATGCCATGAACGAGAAGGTCTTGGAAGGCACCGATTGCAAAATTTTTGTTTGCCGCGCTCAAAAGAAATCCGAGAGACAAGCCGAGCTCAAGAAGAAGCACGAAATGATGAAGGTTTAAAAAACATCTTTAACTAATAGTTTATATATTACTATTTTCAGGCCGAAAGAATGCAAAAGTACCACGGTGTCAACCTTTACGTCAAGAACTTGGATGAGAGTGTCGATGACGAAGGCTTGAAGTCTCACTTCGAATCCTTCGGAACCATCACCAGTGCCAAAGTCATGACTGACGAAAATGGAAGATCCAAAGGCTTCGGATTCGTGTGCTTTGAGAAGCCAGAAGAAGCCACCAAGGCTGTTACCGAGATGAATTCCAAGATGGTTTGCTCCAAACCACTCTATGTTGCTCTCGCGCAACGCAAGGAAGATCGTCGCGCTCAGCTCGCTTCCCAATACATGCAACGCCTTGCGAACATGCGTATGCATAACAATGTTCCTGGACCGAACATGTACAACCCAACAACCGCAGGTCCAAACCAATTCTATCTTGCCAATGCTATGCCGGTAAGGACCGAATAATTATTAAATGCGAACTTTTTAAATGATTTCAGCAACAACGTGGATTCAACAATCAGCCGCGCGGTGTTGGTGGTCGCTGGGGAATAAACAACCAATATCCTGTTCAAGGATACGTCATGCCTGGAACGGCTCCAGTCTTCCCACAGGTAATGAATGACGTCATGTCTCAGTTTTTCTAACTGTACGATATTCAGAGTCGCCAACGGCCGCAAAATGCTCAGGCTGCTGGACGCGGACAGCCCCAACAATACAGCCAAGTTGCGCAAGGAGCTCGCGTTGGCCAACAAAGAATGCCACCAGTTCAAGGACAACCGCCAGTTGTTCCAAGACAACAGGTATTTTATCGAATAAGAGATCGCCTTATCTGATAATAAAACTTTTAGCCACCAAGACAACAACCAGCGGTTGCTAAAGGAGCTCCACAAGCTTATCAGCAATATCCTCAACAACAGGGACGACCTCAAGGAATTGTCATCGGAGGACAGGAACCGCTTACCTCCCACATGCTTGCCTCCGCCGCTCCACAGGAGCAAAAACAGCTTCTTGGTGAACGCATTTATGCGCTTATCGAGAAAATCCACCCCGGCCACAAGGACGCCGGAAAAATCACGGGAATGATGCTTGAGATCGACAATTCGGAACTCATTATGATGCTCCAAGATGACGACCTCTTCCGCTCAAAGGTTGCTGAAGCCGCCAGTGTTCTTGAGAATGCTGGCAAAGAATAATTTGCATCCATCCAAAACTGTTGAAAACCGTTCCATCTGTTTTCTAATCGGCTAAGCCACTACTGTTAATCATTTTTCTGTTACTTGTTGGTGGTTGGTTTATGCCAAATGTTCCACCGTGTTAAAATAAAAAATCGAAAAAAAAATGGTTGTCTTTGAATTTGTGTTAAGAAATTTCAGCGAGACTTATTTATTCATAACAAAAGTCAACAACAAACAGAAAATTCAACAATAAAAACTAAAAGTGCAACATTAACAGAAACAATAACAACGAGAATTGACAATGTGATCAGCTTCCGCATACTTTGGATGGATGCTCAATTCCGAGCTTAATCTTGACATTCATTGCAGCGAGTTCGGCAGTAAGGTAGCGGAACACTCGTGGAACTTGAAGCAGATAAACTTGATCGTCTCTACCACATGATCGGCATTCTTGCTTCTCAGAGTAATCGATTGGTTCGTCGATTCCCTAAAAGAGTAAATTTAATTTGGAAAGTTTGCTAATTTCAACATTTTTGTTCCACAACAGATTTTGGCAAATTCTACAAGTTTTCCCGAAAAAAACTTGATAAACTCGATGCTAGTTGGTTCGCATCGGAAGATATCTCTCATAAATAGGTCAAACCTTTCTCTTTCGAACAGCTGTATGAACATGTCGATTAGACATCAACACAGACAAAAGGGATCCACAGCGGCGGCATGCGTAGGCGACGTCGCGATCCGAACAGTTTAGTAGGCGGTCCTGCAACGAACGAATTGAAGCTTGACAAACGAATTTGAGTTGAGCGGGGAGGGGGGGGGGGGGCATTTGAATACAAGATGAAGGCGATTTAATTAAACCGAGCAAGACAAGCGTTTCAAGGAGGCAATCAATCTTGCGGCGGGCTCTCTTCGAGAAATTGGGGACCTTTACCCGAAAAGCAAACGGAACCCTCATTATTTTGGATGGCCCTCTCTCTCACCTGAAGCACAAACGAGGTTCCGTGCGCAATAATAGCATCTCTTTCCATTTCACCGAACCGAATTCCACCGCCTTTCTTTCGTCCTTTCACCGGCTGATGAGTGATCGGATCAATCGGCCCAGTTGCGCGTACTTGGAATTTATCGGCGATCATGTGTCTCAATCGCTGATAATAAACGATTCCGAAGAAGATTTGCATTTCCATTTGACGGCCGTCGACACCCGAATAGAACGTCTCGTTTCCATAGTAGTTGTAGCCGGATTTCGTTAGCAGCTCACCGAAATGATTGATGGCCGTGTTGTCCTCACTGAAAAAAAGAAAGGGCGATTTTTTATGAATGGCAAATTCCGGCAAATTACTTGAAAACAAATGGCGAGGCGTCGTAATTCTCTCCGTGCATTGCCGCCGATTTTCCGGCCATACTCTCGATCATCATTCCTGAACGAATGAATTCAAATTCTGTACTGTGTTGGTCGCCCTACCGATTGTCATTCGAGATGGGAAACCATGAGGATTGAAAATGATATCCGGCACCATTCCGCTCTCCGAGAACGGCAGCGACTCAACAGGCCACAAGAACGAGTTGATACCCTTCTGTCCGTGTCTTGAAGCGAATTTGTCACCGATAATTGGATTACGCTCAACACGCCATTGAATCAAAGCATGCTGAAAGTGTCATTTTCAATTTTCAAATTCATTATTACTGAGATTCCAGAGACGGACAAAATCGAGAAAATTTTTAATTCGTCTGCTCCTCACCTTTGCTCCATCATCGCTTCCATTATCCTGTACCAATCGCACAATTCCACAATAAGCGGGCTCCGCATAATGGAATTTGTGCTTCTTATATTCTCCTGTTTCCATGTTAAACGTCACATAATAAACTTCGTCAAGGAAATATCGCCGGCCTTGAATTGGTAGTCCATCCTCTCCGACTGTTGAAATCGATTCTCGTGGGTTTTTGTGGAAAATTGTCTTGCGTTCACGTTCCGTCACCAAATTAATTCTGTAAAGAAACAAATCCTTTTTTTTTCCGCATTGGCTCTTTAAAGATTCTCACAAATATTTCAAGAACATCTCGATGTTTACAATTTTACCCCCCAAGAATTTTGATTAAATTAAATTATTGTGTTTTTTCTACCTTTCCACTTTAATGACAGTTCCATGTGCAAATCCTCGTTGATACGATGCCTTATTAATTGTCATAGCGTCTTCCATATCATATCCTAAACAATCATAATTCATTATAATTAATATAAAAGCGGAAGAAACCAGTGTACGAGATAACAGCGACACACGCATTCGTTCCCAGAGGATATTCGTCCATTTGATATCTTTCGTAAGCATCAAGCTTGAGAAGAGGCTGCTGCGGGAACTGGAATACAAGTATATATTGAGATACTAGTGGAATGCGAATAAATACCTGCAGCCGATACATTTTGTTATCTGCTCTTGTGTGCCATGCGTGCACCGCTGTTCCCATTGTCTGCTTACCCATCTGACATTGGTAGACGTTACTGGAAAAATAATTATAATTAAACAGGTTAATTAGATGATAAATTACCGCGGAGATTGATTATGGTCTGGAAATGGAATGAGATTTCCAGCAAACGAGAACAAACAAGATGGATGAAGTTCCTGGAATATACAAAAAGTTCATTTCAAATCAGAAGGTCGACTGACCTGATGAAGTGTGACTCCTGGCTCTGCTTCCTCAGGATCAAGAACAATCGAAAGATAGACTTGCTCAAAAGTTCCAACATGCTCAACGGCATCCATTGCCAGATTTCGAACAGGTCGCATCATTCGACCCGAATCGCTGAGAATATACAATCCGGGGTATTGAGTTTGAATATTCTTGACATCTGTTGAACGACGAACAAGAGCGATCTGCAGACAAAATAGTACAATGTTAGGAATCATGAGGTTCGAACCTCAGCTGTATATGGAATTCTGGCATCATTCGCCACTTTTGCACATCGAACATATCTCTCAATTGAAGCTGACTTGGAGATTGGAATATATCCAATGAATCGGCCATCCATAAGAACTGGATAATACTAAAATAGGTCAAATTATTATACAAACCAAATTATGTTTTAAATGCACTTCTTGATCTCTTGGCGCGAGTGCAATCGTTTTGTGTGTATACATTCCCAGTTCGGTCAAAAAAGCAGTCACATTCGAGTTATCGCTGAGATGTGTCACAATACGACACGACGCCGTCAAGTGATTCAGAAGACCACACGGGGCACCGTCAGGAGTGTGCACTGGACAAATGAAGCCCCATGCTTCGGGACGCAACTTTCTCACGTCTGTGGTTCTCATTTCCATAAAGAATGCTCCTCTGGAAATGAAAAAAATTGAACAAGTATGTTGAATGAATGGAAAACCTGTGAATGGCACGGAAATGTGAAACAAATCGTAGCTGGTTGATTCGTTCGGCAATAACCGAAAATCCAGTATCCTAAAATAATTTGTTTTGAAACACGAACCAAAAAAAATGACGATATCCGCGATCTGAGTTCAATTTCTTTTCGAAACCGTTTATCGAAATTTATTGAAACTGGAAAGAAATTTCCGTTTGTATCTATATCAAATAGCTTTCTTTCAGCAGATTTTTAAACAACTTCATCCTTTTCTTCTATTGTCGGCGTCGCGCGACTGCGGAAAATTGGCAAAATGCAAAAAATTTTAAGAGGTTTCGGTATGCCCATTTAACCTATCTTTTTATATTTAGGCCCGCAAATCTACACTATTAGTTTTGTGCCAAGAATACTGTCATTATTTTTTTGGCATTCAACCAATTGTCGAGCGACGTCGATATTAGCTCCTTCGCGAAACGTATAAGAAAATAACCTGCTGTAAAGCTAATCCAACTCTGGTAACCAAATTTCCGGTCGCCAAGAAGTATGCCAGTCCGCGCGTGATTTCTCCATTGTTATGATTTCCAAGGCATTTTAAGAATTGTTGGCTGAAAATTAAAAGAAAGTAATATTCGATTAATACTGAGGTACTTACGATGTTAGAACAAAGTCTTTTTTCGCCGATAGGTACTCGATTTTTCGTCGGACCATTCCCAAAATGTTCTCCATTCGTTCGCGAAGAATTAAAAGCATAATATGACCCGAAACAGACGCCTCTTGAAACTGCGGATTATCCGGCGTTTCAGCAGCGCATTCTCCCTGAAAATCCCAATTTTTGTAAATATTTTTGTGGAATGAAAATTACTTTAACTAAAGCTATTAATTTCTGTGCCATGTAAGCCAAAGTGTAGAACTTCTCCTCATTATCATTTAAATAAACAAGCACACATTGTTCTAATATAAATTTACCAGCAACCTGAAAACGGTAAAAAATAAATAATTTAAGTGGTTTAATATACCAAATCATCTTCCCATGGTCCTATTCGATCGGAAATCGCAACTCGGAATCGCGAGCCGATAGCACGAAGAGCGCCTTCTTGATGAAGAATTCCTTCATCTTGGCATTGAGCCAACATGCTAATTACACATGACTCATAGAATTGATCAGTTTTGCGACCACTTCAAACATAAAATTTCACATTTAATGGAACAACTGTAATAATTACCCGGTGAATTCTGACGTAATGACGGCGTCATTTCTGTTGGTGAGCGCCTTCACAATGTACATCAGCGGAACATAAAAGATTTCACGACGAAACTGAATTTATTAGGTACAAATACCGTAAGATTTTAATATTAAAGAAACACTTTAGGTTTTTGCCTACCTGTAAAGCCAACTGCATAGTCCCGGTATCCAAATAATGCAGTGTCATCATAACTGCGGTATGATTCTCTTTAACACTTCTCATCATGATTCCGAATTCGGAAAACAATTTTCCTTTCTCTTTAAACGTTTTTCTGACAATTGCAATTGGAAAATTTCGGCGATTCGCGACCAACAATCGAATAACCTTAAAATTGAAATTACTTTTTTGTTCGAAAATCCATAGGAAAAACCTTTTCAGATCCATTGACGATAAAATATCCTCCTTTTTCAATTGGCTCTTCGCCACATTTCACGAGTTGTTTTCTAGTCATATCTCTCAAATGACATCCTGTTGAGCATAACATAATTGGAACCTTGAAAAATTAGGAAGTTAAAAAAATTCCTTTGCTAAAATTACCCGCCCTAGAATTGTCTCGATAATGTCTAATCGTTGACCATTTACGTGAATCTGAAAATGGTGCACAAATTTAAAAAAAAACACAGATTTCACTTCTTACATCAATTCCAACTTTCAGATTTCCTGCGTATGTTAGACCTCTCTGACGGCATTCTGCTGGATAAAGTGGCAACTGATCGCTATTAACTTTCGACTAAATAATTTTTTGATATCTTTAAATACATATATTTTCTTCTATTTTACCCCACTATCCAATGTTGGCTTTGACAATTGTGCTGAAGTATATTTGAAAACAACACTGTCGCCGTTTTTTAAACGGAATTTCTCGGCAGGAACTGATTGTGCGGCGAATTGGCACCCAGAATTTACGAGAAAATCAAACGATTCGACGTGATATGAAGCAATATCACAATCCATTCTGGAATAACGAAATAATTAATGAATATGTGTTATTTTTAGGGCAATAATGGTTTAAAAAAATAGAGATGGCCGAGATACCGGTAGTCTATTTTCAAGATTTTCTCGTCCACGGCCACACGTTATTATTGCAACAATATTGGTGCAATTAAAAAAAAGACGCTAATTTTCAAGACCAATTGTGCTACAACGTGAACAGGAGACGATAAATGCATTATAATATACAATCTTCGCGCCCCACTTTAAGCGGGGTATCGCATAATCATACACATAATCACATCTACAATAAACGACTTTATAATTAATAAATATAATGAAAATCTATTAAAAAAAATATATATATACATATATTTATAAAGTAATTAATATTTAAAAAAATTTAATTTTTTAAAATAAAACTTTAATTTGAAAATTAATCAAAATCTCTTTATGGAAATATTGATAAAATGTTTTTTAATGTTTAAATTACATTAGATGTGTTTTGTTTTTCATTACAGCATTGGAAAATATGTAATTTTTGCATTTTTCCTCAATTGCATAAATAATCATTTCACCTCCAAACACTGTAATATTTTAATTCTAAACACCGGTAAAAACCGCAACACTGCAATTGAGGAAAAGACCAAAAAGGGATTTAAAAAATGTTCAGACTAGAGAAGTATCTATTCTTTATCCACTTTTAAACAATTTTTGGCTCCCTTTCCCAGTTTTAGTGAGATTACTAATGGAAATTATTATGGTAGCTAAAGGCGCATACATTTTTTGCAAAAAGTATCATAACACGATTTCTACAATTACAGTAACCAATCGTTAAAATTTTTGACGCGCGCGTTTTCGTATTTTTCTTTTCTTGTTTTTTCATCGCGTTTTTTTAGAAAACGGATATCTGAAAAAAATAATTTGAGTATTTGTCGATGTAGCTTGATCGAAGATATATATATATATTTTTTTTAGAACATTTTTTGTATTGATTTTTTTCTAGAAGACAATTTAGGAAATATTTACAGGTAACGACATTTGTTGCGTCTAATATTGATATTAGATGAGTACCGAAACTCCAAGAAGCCGACATAATTTGCGGAGAACTGCTGCTCGAGTTGCGGTATTCGCAATATAAAAAGCAAAAATTATGAGTTTTGTTCAGAGTAGTTCGCCCGGATCGTTAACTAAATTTTTTGGAGTTCGAAAACGATTGTCGGAGGCTTCGACTCCATTCATTAAAAGGAAACGTTCAGTCGTGTCAGATGGAGCTGCAGTTCCTTCACCGATATCAACAAATGTAACCCCAATTCGAATTATTCACGAGAATAATGGTAATAGCTAATGTATGATTATATAAAATTCTTATTATTGTAGCAGAGAATTCTCCGCGTCCACGCTTTGTGAACAAAAAATCAAAAACGGAATTTGGTGTGTTTGACGATCTTCCTGTTGTCGTTGTTCGTGATATATTACATAATTTGCCTTGTAATCTCCAATTTTTTGAAATTTATTAGGTATTGATATTTCAGATGCTCAATTGGGTTCGTTGAGCTGCACATCCGTTCAATGGAAAAAAGTTGTACAAAATTATTTCCAATCGAAGGCGTTCGATTCCCGATTAATGAACGACATCTACCGCTTCATGAAAATTTCGAATCCCTCCAAATATACATCTGAAGACCCATTTTATTCTCTTGGTTCTTATTTAAAATTTTTGGAGTTTCCATAAGTTGTTTTTTAGGGGTTGCTCTTAGACGACTTGGCGCAACCGAGTCGAAATTTAGTCAAAAGTTGCGTCCGCTTGAAAATTTCTTAAAGAGAATATTGGCCGAAACGAATTCCTACGATGGTTGTGGGCGTGCGATTCATGCGGTATAAATAAAGATATTGTCGAAGTCGTGCGACGGCGGAAAAAATGGCTAAATGCCAAGAAACAATAACAGCCATCTTGGTGCAAAGTCGCACGACGCCGGCAATATTACATTCGAAAAAAAGACGAGCGCCCTTGCGCCGATTTACGGTGAGTTTGATTTGTAGGTTATGCAGAGTACGGTATACGAATTCCCACTGTTTAAATTCATATCTGTTTTACCGCGTGTAAAAATTCCATGGTTCGCAAAATTCCGAAGCGCTCGTTTATTTTTGCGGCGGTGTCATCACTAAGAGTTCGTTAGCCGTACTACGGATAACCCTCGATTCAAGTTCAATGTAAATCTAAACGAGACGCTGTGATTGTAAAATTAAGAACTACCGCAGTTATTAATTATTTTCAGTTTGCGGAAAACCATGATGAGCTGTCGCCGGAAGATTTTGAGTCGATGGTAAAAATGGGCTTCAGTCTAAACAACGATTTGGAAAATGACTTGAAAAATATTGTTTTCAAGAAGGATGAAGAACATCGAAATCTTGATCATCGAATTACTGCGAAAAGTATGAAAATACTCGAGGAAGAGTTCAAAGTAATAGTGAACCTACGATCTTGAACAATATTACATTTTTTAGGTTCGACAAATGATACGCGATTTGTTCTTAAACAATCGTTTTTCGGATCCGGATATCGACACGAATCGTCATTTTCTAACTTGTTTGATAGCCTCCTACAAATCTTCTGGAACTGATGCTCAATCTCGTTTTTTGTATCTTTTGTATGCTCCAACTAGAGAAATCCGCGGAATTGGTATGAATCTATCCCAATGAGTACGTACGAAATGTAATTTTTGAAGAAGTGATCAATTGGCATGCATTTGCGGACCTTGTTATTCATACGGAAGATGAAGCCACTTCGAATCTCCGCCCATTGGCTTCTGCTCTAAAAGCTCTTGTAGTGAGCAAAAAGACGGGAAACAAGTTCTCATGGTCCAAAAATTCTGTTTTTAATTTGATGGAGGAAGTCACAAGTAATTTCTACGTGGTTCATTCCATTCTAAACTTCTCAATTTAGCTTATCCTGCTCCGTGGTCTATGAACACTTTTGTTTCGTTCCTTTTGATGCAGCCTTGCCTAATTCCTATATCGATTGTTGCTAGGATGTTGCGTTCGCACGAAGAAGAAGCAGGAGATATGATTTCTACCATGAAATTGGTTAGGGCTTGAAATAACAGAAGGATCACCAATTCGAATAGAATTTCTTAATTTTTAAAGTTCAATTGTATCACTTTAAAAAGTGATAGCTACTTTTCAGTTTTAGAACCTTAATGTTGGAAAAATTATCAGTTTGTCTTTTCAATGCGATTCAATTTTTAGCTTCTTTTCCGCTGGAATATCAAATGCGAGCAATTACTGACTCCAGTGTTTGATTCGATACGAGTTTCGCTTTCTGAGGAGAAGCGCAAGGTATTGTATGATAACATCTGGAATTGGCATCGAAGGAATAGCGAAGAGTTGCGGGGCCGTTTGGGTATAAATAGAGGAATTATTATAATTCCAATTTGAAACGTTTTCAGATTCTTTTGCCGACCATCGTGCAGAATTACAAAGCCAAATAGATATAATGCCACTGTTAGAGAAATTAGTTTCCCCATAATGGTAGTTTTTGTTTTTGCCTGTATTTGTTTCCTGCCCAAATGTCTAAAGTTCCCAATTTGTATTATATTCCGATCATGTGCATTAGACATAATCTTGTAATATTTATATTCCAATATCCCAATTTAGTTCCCAAAGTTACTAATATAATTTAAATTTGTTTAACTAATCAATCGCTGCCCTCCCCCTCTTCCAAATCAAATTTTTTGTTATCTGTCAAATTAGTCATGTTAAATAACATAAATCTGTGAAATTTTCGAAAATGTACGAAACGTTGAAGAATTTATAAGAAATTAGGCATTATACACAAGGAAATCGAAAAATACAAAAAGAGAAAACTGTTCGCAGTTTTGGAAAAAAAAATTGATTTGAAACAACCGGCTGTTATTTGGTAAGTGATCTAGGAAAACATTTTAAACTGAACAACAAAAAGATTTCTTGACAATTGGATTGGAGGCAGAAAAAAGGAAAACTGAAACACGGGGACTTAAGAACAATTATGCATATAAAATAAATACTATCAAGAATTATAGATAAGTTTCGAATCCGTAATATTCTTTTTAGATTGATGTTTTAGGAAATGTCATCTCGATCATCGATGGAATCTGAAAACGGATTTCGTAAAACCGAAATAGAAGTAAAAACACAACTTCGGGAACCAAATTTTGACTCAAAAATTCTGACATTGTGAGCCTCTTTTTGAATTAGCAGCCAAAAATTTTTCGGTGGTTACGGTACGTTGAAATAAAATGCTAATCTTGGCGTGACATTGGACAATTTTGTTTCTCGTTAGATTGTATGGTTTTTTTTTAAATCTGTTTCGGAAGAAAGAGCGACAGAAGCGGTTTTTGTGAGAAATTACCGTATCAAAAAAATTGGTTTTAAAAATCTGGTCAAATTGTTTAGAATTATATTATTTTCGGCGATAAATCTTTGTGAAAAAAAAAAACAATTCCGGAACGATTTCGTTCCGAAGTTTCGAATAACTGATTAGTATTAAAAACGATTCGGCCAAATTTGTAACATTTGAAAAATTTGCCTTCAAGCAAATGATGGATGCGTTGTGGATTTAAAGAAAACTCGCCAAAATTCGCATCATATCAGGATAAATTTTAAAGGCGCATTGTCAAGTCGAGAACTAATTGGGTCACTAAAAGGTCATACCTGGTAAAGACGCGACTTTCTTCATGTACATTCATTTCAGTCGCTTTGAAATCATTCAATTCCTTCTTAATCATTGCCTGCAATTACGACAAAATAAACAAATTAAGAAGCTTTTGAATCACTTTATCCGTCGGTGTTAGTCTCGTCCACGGCTTATCCGTTTTTCGGTCATAAATCTCAGCCTGTGTAACTTCTACATAATCATTGAATTGAATTATTTGCTGCTCTTTGAGTTGTGCAATCGTTGGACGAAAACTCAGCTAAAAATGCGGATGTTACGAGAATTCGAACGCGAATCCGAAGAAGCTCACCTTTCTCAACAGCAATTTTCTCTTCTCCTCCATCTGTTCGCGCGCCGTCTGTCCGCGCCTTTTCAATATATTTCTGTCCTCTAGCTCTTCAGCGCTCGGCCTTTCGCTTAGCTTACGTGCCAATTTGATCGACGCCGTCTTCATAAGCTTCTTTCGATCGTCCGCCGTCTGCCCATTTATGTCATCTTTACATGGAGGCGCTTCGAGACGCAACGCGATTGTATCCTTGCGATTCACTCTCGAGGCGAGACCCGCTGAAAATAGAGGGTTTTTTGAAAATTTCGAACCAAATCGAATTGCACTTTTCTCAATCGGCACATCTTCCTCATCATCGCCATCATCGTCGGACGACGAAGTGGTCGGTTGCGCCATATTGGCGGCTCTTCGAGCTGCAGCAGCTGCTGCCGACACCGGAGAGGGAATATCATCGCGATATTGAATCGGCGAATCACTGTCGCTATCATCAGTGAGTTTTGATGGAAGAGGACTACAAAACATCCAAATTTTTAGGAGTTTCAAGCGAAAACAAAAACTCCAAATCTTACTCATTTTTGACGGGAGTCGAATTCGCCGACTTCTTATTCAATCGTAATCTCGACGGCTGCCCAGGCCTTCTCAAGGCGGGCTTGTCAGGTTGAGCTGAGAAATTCGGTTCTTTGGCTTCAATTCTTTTATATCCTTCCTTCATCATTCTCGAAGTTTGCGGCGACAATTCGCCACTTCGCGATTTGCTCATTTCGACGTCTTCGCCTTCACTCTCCGTGCTTTGATCGTAATTGATATTCTCTGAAAATCAACAATTGATTTAAATCTCCAACAAACTTTAATCATACCTTCGTCGGAATCTCTTTCTGGCAATTCGACGCAAATCTCCGGCGGAGGCGGCGCAGTGAACACAGCCGTCTGATTCCTGATACAGACGCGTTGTGGTGACGATGACTGTTCGGCGTGGACACGAGCACGGACTACTGATACGTGTGGTTGATTAGCCGAGTTTGGAGCTGGAGCAGGTGGAGGAGGAGTTCTATAAACAACCAGATTTTATTGAGTCGAGGGGGTCGAATTCAAACAATCTTCTCATTTAATGTTCTTTTGAACGAGAATTAAGAAAAAAAATAACTCACAATTGTTGCGATACGGCTGAAGTGCTCGGTTGATATGTGATCGCCTCAGCTGCTCGATTATCTGCAAAACAAAACACATGATGGGAGCAACACAGAGATATGAAGAAAAAGAAGAAACACAACTAAACTAATTAAAAAAAGAATTATTGACATTCGTTTGTACATTGTTACTTTGTTGAAATTTGTGGTAATCCAAGATTATTCCATAATAATGCTAATCAAACAAATGCGTTTTGGTTTGCACGATGATCGCGCGTCTAAATTGGAGCTAATCAACTAAACTATATATACTTTTATCGGGAGTCAATTTTAACAACAACAAAAAAAATCTCATACGCCCATAACCAATACTTATAAAAATCAATTCATTCATTTTTGTGAGCATAATTGATTCTCATTTAAGGTTTCCGCAAATCGAAAAATTAAAAACACCCGAATTTCAGGATTCAAGAGAACATCGAGAATGAACATTTTATCAAAACTTGAATTTTATGATTGAAACTATTGATTAATCGCTAAAAATTTGCTAGAGAAGATAAAAATGATTGGCCCGATATTTAAATTATTTCTAAAATAATAAAAAACGAGTTCAACTCGAGTGCACAACCGAAATCTTAACACTCAGTTGTGTTCGAGCACAAAAATCGAAAAGTTTGCGCAAACAGAAAAAAGAGATAGGATATCCGAGGGGAAAGGGGGGGGTCCCCGGACGGATAAACCTTCACACCATCGAGAGTAAGGTAAATGCTTATAAATATTGACTAAACAACAAAACGAGAACTCACACTTCTCGTCGAGATCAACCCGCGAGCTGATCGACGACAATTCGGGAAGTGACGGCGACGTGGCAGCGATTTTCGGCGCCGGATCATCGTCGGCAGCGCGCGTTCGATTCGCTGACCGATCGCTGTCGCTTCTGAAAGAAAAAAACACTAGCGAGGGTTTCGACACGAGAAGCCACCGGACGATGAGCACACAAACCTTCGGACTTTTCGCTTCAAGTGCCTCCACTTCCAAGGTCGAACTAATCGTAGCCAGAATTTGCTAGAAATTAATGGAATCGAGCGACGAGAGGAGCCGCGAGTCGTCGGCGGACTCGCGCGTCTGCAAACAAACCGATTTTTGAAAACAATAAAATATCGAGTACATGTCTAGAAGTTCGAAATTTGTCTAATTCAATTGACAACTAATTAAACTCTCTTATAATCGACGTCATGTGTCTGCTAAACACTTTACGGACCGAAATCTAAAATCAATAGAAAAACCAAGAAGGCGTTTTCTCAAAACTAGAAGAGAGAATCATATGTTGTGCGATTAATTATCTTAATTTCTTTCATGAACACTGCAAATTTGTTGGATTTGTACGGCAAAATATCAAACTAATAATTTGACATGGTAATTCAAATCAACACAGGTCAACTCGTGCTCTGGAAGGACTCCAACGAGCAAGAATGACTCTAATGTTTGTGAAGTAGTTATTTTGGACTGGTAATTCTATTGTGTAATTTGGGATGGAATTGGAACCGCCCCGTTTTGTTCAGGAGCGGGCCTTGATTCGCCGCAAACTTGACCCGGAGCACGATTGAGAATATATCTGCGGACACATTCAACGGTGAAGACCTACCCATTTTTGGCGTCGACTTTTTTCATGCCATCAGCTGGGGCAACCTCGTTCATGCCTGAAAACAAAAAAAAATAACAAAAGAGAAAAATATTACGAAGGAGTTCGCGGGCGGACGGAAGAGGGCGACAGTTGGCCGTTGTCAATTTCGAACTTCCAACAAAACATTCATATATCTTTTTCGGCTTTTTTAAAGGTGCAATGAATGGGCGGAGCGATGCAAAACACTTGGGGGGGGGGGTGGTCAATTCGAAAATTTCGACCAAATCCAAATTTTGAGATGAAAAACGACACTGTTCTCAATGATCGAGTGCCTCTTTTGAGCAGCAGAAAACCGATATTTTACGATTTTAACGAAAATTTGATATTTCAGAAAAATTATTTTTGAGAAGAGTGAAAAATGGATGAGTTTTCAGAAATATTTTGTTGAGAAAATCGAAAAAAAAAACAATAAAAATTTTTAGACATTTCAAACAAAAAATCTGTGAGACTAAAAATAGGTTTGTTCAAAATGGTCCATGAATAATTCAACATATTGCGACGGCGGCAAAAACACGAAAAAAAAACAGAAGCTTAAAACTCACCGCTACTCGGCTGATTATCAGCGACGCATTCGACAAAAGCGATGTTCGAACTATTCGTGTTTCCGTTGCTGCTGCTGCTCACCACGTTCGTCTCTGAAAAGAGAACGAAACAAAATTAATTATATTCCTACGAGTTGGTTGGTTTTCAAAAAAAAATAGAAAGAGGAAAATTAAAAGTCGGTTCGGTCCGCCTCCTCCGCAAAAAAACGAAACAATGCGATGTAGACCAAACAGCAAAATGAATTTATTTTTGAATGGTTAATTAAAAAAAACGGAAAAAGGGAATCAAGAAGGAAATCATTCAAAAAAAGTTTACCCCCTTTTATTTGGTGAAAAAAAAACGGAAATTATCAGAAATGAATAGTACAGGATAAAATAGCCGATTCACTGATATGCTCCTTTAATCGAGGTTTGAGAAAGGTTTCTTTTTTTTCCTCAAAAGATATCTACAAGATGATTCAACGAAATACTTTCAGGTAAAAAATTTAACGGCATACATTTTTTTTTTACAATTTATTTAGAAAATTATTTTTTTTTCACAAAGATGTTCGAATCGAAACAATTCGGCGGCGAGAACCAACTGTATGTATTTTTTCGTTATTATAGCATTCATTTTGACGCTAATGGAAAAAAAGGTACGACTAATGATTATCGTAGATTGATGGAGTCTATCGTATACGGAAAAATATAGTAATGAACTCAATCTCAATGAACTCATGCGATCTCACATTTCTTTTTGAATATATGTTAGACGGAACACCAGTATCGAATAAAAAAGTACACACACACACAACTCAAACGCATGTGTCTATTTTGATTTCCGGAATTTAGCCGTCCATCCGAGATAATATAATCAAAGCCCGGACTTAGCTATATTTAGGCGCTTCGTTGTCCCACGACGTTGCTGTTGTCAATTTTTCGGACCCTTTTCTATGAATTTAAAAATGCGTAAGAGATTCTCAACTAAAAAAAAACTTTTCTTAGCGAATTTCGTACAATTTTTTGACCATTTCATGCATTTTTGATGGTTTTTTTTTTGCAAAAATGAACTCAAATATTGGGATTAAACACGATACTACAAAAATAATATAATAATAGTGAATTTGTAGTCAAATTTAGGCAAAATAGTGTTTGAATTTCGGTTCTGAAAATTACCTTTATTTGGCGGTAGGCAGCACGAAAATAATAGGCGAAAAAACATTGCTTGAAATTGTCTTTCAAATATGCGACACTCGCGACTGGTTTTTTTAATCACAATCGACAAGGGTTTTACATAAATTCACACAGAAAATGGGCGTGGCTTGTGATTTGAATTTCGCGCCAATCGAATTTGGGTCTCAAAGCGCATGAATCGATTATTTTATAACGCGAATTATTCAAATATGCACGTGATTCAGGGTTTATCAACATTAAAATGCGAATTGTTTTATGGAAATCTTCGGTTTCAGCAATGAATCACTGTTTTAGAATCCGGGTGGAGAATAATAATAATAATAATAATAATAATAACAGGCCAATTCGATGGTCTACGATTTTTGGCTGTTTTGGTCACGAAACAAAAAATTTTTGTTAGGAAACTGATGTTGAAGGAAAGAATATTAAAAAAAAACGACATTCGGATTTGATTTTGAGCAGGAAAAATGAGCGCTACCAAATTAGGATTCAAATTTATGCGCATTGGCTCATCTCATTCATTTCGCCCTATTTTATAGTGCTTCATTTCGATTATAATAATACATGTTTTGTTTCGGCTGAGGTCAACCCATAAAACTGGTTGTTTGACATACAGATTATTATGGTTTGAATATGAAAAAAAAAACTATGGAGAACAAACAAAATGACTGAGTAACACCGACGAAAAAAAATGCAAAAATTTAAACGAATTCTGTGATTCTTGAAAGGGACCTCAGTCATTCACGTTCAACCACAGTAAAATTTAATAAAGCTTCTTTTTTAAACATAAGAATGTAACATAAGTATGTAATTTATATCCAATATTATCGTTTTCCGATAATTGTGAAATTTGAAGGAATGAACGGTCCAACATACTCTATTTTAACTGTGGATTTGAATTTTCATGGACGAATATAAAACTGATTATAAAATGTTTAATTTTAAGAGAGTAAGATATTTGAAACCCTACTACAAGGGTGTACAGAAAAACCCGTAAAGCAAAATAGGCCTTTAAATGAAATTTAGTGAAATCGGAGGAATGACAAATGCTCCGGATAACACAAATGGGAAATCCTTTGTATGGAAATGGTCAGACGAGCCACCGAAATAATGGTGTCGAATTTCAAAGCCTAATCAAACAACAACAACATCAACAAATCGATTACAGTGTGGGAGGCGGAGTGGGTGGCAAAGAGCTGCAGACAGCACAAAATAAGCATAGAAATTGTGCAGTTTTTGGCAGCAACATCAGGAGGCATCCCGGAGAACAAAATAAACAAAAATCTTGAAGAAAAGGGGCCCCGGCGACAAGATTTGCGAACCACGCGAACAAAAAAAAATAGTAGAAGAAAATTGAGAGAGACAGAGGCAAACGATGGGATGCATGTTGCGAAGATCGCCAGTGCGGATTTCGAACGGCTGAAGCGGATCGTACGCGCGGCGGCGGTTAGAAAGCGCGTGAGATGAAGAGGCAACAGACAAATACAGCGAGTAACAGGTGCCAATTGTTGGCCGACGAAGCCGTATGTCAGCTCAAGCTCTGCTCAATACCTCCTCACACACCGAATTTGAATAATTGGCCCACACGTTGTGGGTAGTTCACACAAACTGAGGGGTTATATCTTCTCATCTCCAATCTCCTCCTTGTGGGCGGGGCTTAAATCATGCCGGGTGTATATGTATATTGTCAGGGAGAACATGGTGGAACCGAATCATTGGTTGATTTATTAAAGATTAGAAGATCAAGAGAGTCATTAGACTAGTACTTCATATGGACGGAGCTTCGAATTACAATCGCAAAAAAACGAATTATCTCTCTGTGTAGATTTACGGTGAGTTTGATTCGTTTTAATCCTCTCCCGAAAAAAAATACGATGGTCCACAATTACTCAAGATCCTCGTTTTTTTGCGATAGTAATATATCACAACAAAATTAAAAGTTTGCTGATCGAATTTTAAAAATATATAAAATGTATATGTTAGACATACGAGTTTTGTAGTTTTACAATATCTTAATAATTGAACGCATGGTAAATCAAAATTTAAATCGAAATCATCTGTGGACATCGCGCACTTGAGCCTCTCAAGGCTCCAATTTCCGCATAAGTACATCATTGGAATTCAGGAGTCTTTTTTAGTAGATTAAAAAGACTAAATGCGCCAACGGTAAATGCTCTCAACTGCTCGACGAAGAATGTGTATCAACGGACGAATGAATACGGCGACGGAACACGACACAAATCTAATTTGCGGTTGTGTGTCGACACATTCTGAATTAGATGCACCGCCAAGATAAATCATCTATCTTTCTTTTCGACCACTCAATTTTTTTCCTAATTACTAAGAGCGACAGAAAACAGGAAGCGCGACAGAATACTCGATAAACAAAATGAGTCACAATCGAATGTCTGCGAAATAAAAATATAAAAAAAAACATAAATATTATAAATGTAGTTGGATATATTGATTCTAATTTAAATATAGTCGGCGTCCGGCGACTGCTGTACGCGGGTAGATTTACGCGCATGCGCCTTGAATAGGCCTCGCAACGCGTGAATGCTTATTTTGCTATTTTCGCGTCAACGGCCCATTTTTTCTTGATGATTTTGCATTTCCTTGAATTTCCAACGATTTAAAAATTATCAAAACGACCCAAAAAATCAAAACTGTTTAGCGTGATCTCATGTGGATTCCCCGGGAAATTTCAGTGACAAATTTGAAACAAAATTAAGAATTCAAGTATGTCAAGTTCATATATATATATATATATATATATATATATATATATATATATATATATATATATATATATATATATATATATATATATATATATATATATATATATATATATATATATATAATCATTGTTGAATAATAAAAACGAGTTTGTTATCGTTTGAATATTTGATCTACACCCGAAATACGTCAGAAAGCAATTCAGCAAATTTGCGGCGGACAATTCTCGATAAACATCTGATCGTGTCAAATCAACAACAGATGAAATTGGGAAAAATATGAACAATTTAGGTATCCGGAAATAATTATTAAATCCGAAATTTTATTAAGTGAGTGATCTCGAAAGAAATTGAAAACCCAGCGAATGCCCATAGCTCAACAAACCAGGGTGGTCCCTTTAAGACGTCAACAAGCCAATCGATCATCAAAATCAACCAGCAATGAAAAGCAGAAGAAGCAAAGCAGGACATGAACAAAATAAACGAGGGTTGACATGAAAAATAGAGATCAATTGAGCCGCTCTTACTTTTTTATGCGGTCGTCGCCGAAAACATCTCCGCATTACACAGCGACACTACATATTTCGTATTTGGTGATGATTACGAATGGGCGGAGCATTCTAGACGGCAACGAAGAATAATAATCGAGGGCATTGAGAGGGTATGTATAAATACATATGGGTGGTGCAAACACGATCACATAAAAATGCGATTGTTCAACAAAGAGAACGGCAAGCGGTTTTTTCATTTTTTGAACTACGTATGCCAACTTCGTTTATTGTCAACTTTGAGGTCACATTGAATGGAAGAAGTAAAAAAAAGATGATTTGGGAAGCAAACTGTAGCGAATATTTTGCGAAAATAGCTGTTATAAAACATTAGTTTTAGTTGGGATCTCGCCCGCGAAACACGATTTCATTTATTATTGATGAAATGCGAACCGAAAACTAATTGATGTCAGTCAAAATTGGCCATGACAAAATTTTGGATGACAAGGTTTAAAGAGGCGCATTGTATGGAAAAATGAGTTTCAATGTTTTTATGGGATTTTTACAAATGAACATGAACGAATAAAATGGTATCGCAAGGATTCTTTGACTTTCGATTTCTAAACAGAAGATTTTCATTACTCTAAGCCCAATGAGAAAATTAAAACAATGAAACGAAATATATCAGATTTGAAGAGGGATTGATTATAAATGATCACAGAAAATGATTGAAATATTTAATTAAAAAAAACTATTTTAGCAGCCCCCATAAGGCATTTCAATTTAAAATGTGCAACACACGCAAATCAAAAAGGAATAAAACCAATGAGAAAAAATCGTCCGAAGATTCTTAAACAAAAAATACTTCACTGACAATTTGTCATTTCAAATCAAATCTCTATCAAAATACACGCAAATAAGAAAAAAAGACATTTGGGAAAAAAGGCGAGATTGCGGCGAACACATTGAAGGCGAATTAAGGCAGCAAACAAACAAACAAACATGAAGAAGAAGAAGCCTCTGACCCAACAAGTATTCGAAATGGCTTGCCGAGAAGAGGACAACAACGGGATGCGCCGGATGTAATAGCTAAGTCATCTGTTGATAGTTATCGTGGTCCGTGCCCGTCGCCATTCAACGAGACACCACCCTCGCTCGACGGACCAACAAGACAGCCATCCCATCATTCATCTTTTGTCTCCTGAAGGCTCGAAATCACAAGCGGACCGAATCGACCGCGAACACGGGACCTCTTATTTATTACACACCACAAAAACAATAAATCTCACTTGAACACCAAGATCTCGATTGGTTCAGGTGGAAATGAGAGATATTTGTCGTCGGTTGCAATGACGAAGAAGCATATGCTCAACAGAACAATAATGACACGATTTTGACAGGTTTTTTTTATATTGTAGTGCCCCCGAAGATTGTGAAGGTTCAATTTAATTAATTCTAATTGGGTCTCGTATGGAAAACAAACTCTAAAGGCTAATGACAAATTCGAAAAAAACTTCTAAAAAATAACGAGGAATAAATATAATATTATCATAAATTAATCGTGCAAACAAATGACAAATGTAAATGACATTGAAATGAATGATGATTAATGATGTGAATGTCATTTGCACATCGAAATGTGAACAAATAGAAAATCGCTTTAATGGGCAATCGAACGTCGAAAGAGATTTAAAAAAACAATATTAAACAATGTTCCGGCTTAAATGAGTCGAATTAATAGATGTAAAAGCAAAAAAAAAAATGCAAAAATTTTAAGGAGAGGGTTGGCACCGCGTGTGCGCCTTTAACTTACCCCTATGATTTTTATTTTTATTTTGTATATCTTCACTTTTAGGTTCGTCCCAGGACCGGATAGAAATTATTCGCAGCCCACACAGACAAAAATTCGACAACTTTGAATATTTCTGATTCATTTTAATATGGTAATGTTGTAAGTGAGTCATAGGGGCAAAACCAGGTCGACCAGCGACCGGAAGGAGGCCAATATATATTTAATCAACCCTCCGACCGGAAGCAATAATCCAAGACCTTTATCAATGTCACCAGCTCACCCCCTATATAAGCGATGCTCGTTAAACGAACGAGGAGGTAGGAAGCCGGGAGACACCCTACGATATCCACTATGTTATTTTGCTCATTCTTGCTCATAAATAAACTCTTAGTTGTTTATTGTTTGCTTCTAACACAAGCCATGAACAAGGAATGGAGCCGGGAACCCTGACCACTCGGCCGAGGTCACTCAATTCCCGCACTATGTGTAAAATCGAAATTAATCCTCAGAATGATTCCAAATGAGACCCAAATGGCGCTAACAAAAAAAAAACGATAAACTGTTAGTTTCGACAAACAAAAACAACAAACAGGATGTTAGTATTCAACAATTCTCAGCCAATCGCGATTTCTGATCTACTGTAGAAAGGCCGCTTTTTGAGATGAAAAGCTGACGCGCGGCAGATGTTTGCAATCCGGCGCCCAAAGCCCATAATTGCCCATATTAGGCATCGGCAAAATTGTATCTTTTATTGGACAAAAAAAAAACGCCTCTTTTGAATAAAGCGAGTAAAAAGTAAAGCTAGATGAAATTATTAGGTGATTTGAAAGTAGAGGAAGGTTTCAAGGAATAATAACAATTTTCGTATCAAGGTAATTTTAAAGCAAAATAGTTCGAAGACCGTTTAGATTTAAATTTTTTTGAGAAAATATCAAGAGAATTCATTTTTTTTTAATATTTTAAATACTCTATTGTTACAAATAATTTGTAATCGTATTCGAGCACAGTGATTTTTAAAATGTGGAGACGAGCATTGTTTAATTTAGCTATCATAATGTGAAAAAAGCATAATTAAAAAAATTAAATTTAGACTACGGTTATTAAAAAATGTCAAAAGACGTAGTATGAGCACACATTGTTTTTTATAGAACCAAATAATTTGCAGCCCGCACAATTTATAAAAAAATTTCCATACCAAGTCGGTAACAGAATCGTTAAAGCAATTTTTTTTAAGAAAAACGAAAAAAACAGACTGCCTTTAACAAGAGTTTTAAGGAAATTCTTCCAATAATGAGCGAAACAATTGAAATAAATTACCTGCGAATGTGACAATGATGCTTGGCACCTCGAAATCGTGGCTCATCTTCTTATTCATAGCATATCTGGAACAAAAGTTGGCGTCAAATTCTCCAAGAAAAAAACGTTGCCAAAATAAGGCGGTGGATGGCGCTGCAAATCGGGCTCAAGGGAAATAATGAACAGAACGAAACAACCGAACACACCGACATATTCGGACATACACTATTACATATCACGATACGTATGAGGATCAGAACACGAACAACAGGAAATCGAAGAAAAACAAATTAAAACTTCATCAAAATTAGCTCACTATTTATGTAAATATTACATAGAGTTTGAATTGGCATTTAGACATTGAATAATACAATATAAAAATAGAAATCTGCTCGTCGACCCGTTCAAAAAATTGCGGCTAATTCGGCAATGTCATTTGTACAACGAATGCTCGCGAATATACTCGATGACTTCGTCAGGCGTCGAGTATTTTATTGATTTATCAACGGCGATTGCAGCACGAAGTCGAGTTGAGCTTACTGAGCATGGACACACTTCATCCTAAAATGATAATTTCGATAATATTCTTTTTGATGTTTCTAATAAAAATTCCCCTTATTTAAATTGTATTTCTCGAGGGAGAACGCATTTGTCAAAATTGTTTCGCTTTGGTATCAGCTGAAAAATCTCACATGCTTTTTACAAGCATCCCATAGAAGATCACACTCGGCACTGTTTTATCTATTTTTAGAGCTCTTAATAATAACTAAAAAATATATAACGTTATACATACATATATATCACGATAGACAGACATTAAATCAATGTGAAGATCATAAATTAACCTTCAAAAATCTATATATTTTTTTTGGTTAAAACCACTTTTGCTCATTGAGCATCGCACATTTCATCTTTATTTTTGGAACGTGAGATTAATAATAGAAGAATCCCTAACGGATCTCATTTTCCAGAATGCCATTAATGGCGTTTCTTCTCAATTTTACACATTTTACACAAACCTTGATCATTATTATATTTTTCGCGTATTGCGCAATATCCCTCATGCTTTTAACTGTTTCCAATGGCGTTGATCCTTCTCTTGCAATCATAACAAGTCCAAAATCCATTATTATTTTCACAATATCACACGGATTCCAAAGTGTTGATCCATCGGGAAGAACCTTAGAAAAAGAATCGACGACGTCACCGCCGACGACGAGCATCAGTCCGGTTTCGGGTCCGAATTTCTTCTACAATAAAACCGGTTTAAAATTTTTCTGTTTAATAATTTAAAAAAACCTGCAATTCCTCTTTATGATGTGTTAGTACTGCTAATGTTCGTGTCCAAGTTGGTCTCGTGCATTCCCAATCATCTGCTCTAATCCATTTCGATGACTTGACTGCAGCTTCTACCATCTTGAACCTGGAAATATCAATAAAAATGTGTGAGAAGTTCGTATGAAATACCTATGATTAGCCTTTATTAGCGTTGATTTGTTATTATATGAATCTGCGACTGGGCTCATTATTCCCTCAAGGACTACTATATTATTCGATTCGAGATGTGAGCGAGCTGTCTGAAGAAATTCAGTAATTCCAGAAATAAATGCATTTTTCACCTCTAACATTCTTAAATGCGCAATTGTCGGTGGATTGAACGATCCGACCGCCAAAAGTGCAACTTTTCGGTACGACATCGCATTGGCAGACGAAATTTAGTGACGGGAAAACGAGTCAAACATCCGGTTATTGAATTAAAATTTGTGGTACGCAAACACCGACAGGTGGGTGCTGAATTGTTGCGTACCGTAACACGATTCTCATTTCCGTCATTTGTCATCATCATCGACGACGGCGTGCGGCTTTCAGTTTTTAATCCAGTTTTTTTATCGTTAAAATCTAATTAAATTAATAATCAATTTTTGAAAGAAAATACGTCTTTACTCATTCCTAGGAAATAAATTAATTTCGTCGAAGTTGTTCTCATTTTTTTCTCATCTCTTTTCATCAACCTGACGTGATGTTCTTGAAAAACAAAAGTAAACAAATAGATTGGAAAATAATGCTGTATTTCTCTGCACCCTCTCATTTACTCTTATTGCTTTCTACTTCTCTGCGCCGCGTGTGCTACTCAGCCAATTCACCACCCATGGGGGATACGCAGTCAAAAAAGACCCCCCCCCCATTTTGCCTGCCTTCCCTTGCCTGCTTTCCCTCGAAACCGCGCTCAATGCGTGCGTGTGTGTCTGTCTAATTCGTATGGGTTTCTCCGTGTCATCGTATCCGCGCAAACATACCAATTAAAAATTATTGATTTTTCGCTCAATTTCGACTTCATCTATCATTCGTCATCCGCTCTTATCATCGCATGTTTTTTCTCGTTATTGATTCGAAAGCTTTCATCGATTTCGCAACCCCATTTTCTGGCGCTCGTAATGATTGCACCCATTTTGCAGTTTCTTGCAGAATATGGCCACGAGAAACGCTGGAGCTGCTCGTCCGGGAGGTCCGAACAAAACTTGCCAATTCAAGCTTGTTCTGCTTGGTGAAAGTGCAGTTGGTAAGCGCATTTTCGTTTATAGTTTTGAGAGAATTTGTTTATGGAAGTATTGATTTCAATGCATTTTTAAAAAATATTGTAGTTAAACGTGTTCCTGAAGGATTGATGGAGCATTCTAGAAGGTTAAAACAACGGAAATTTGTTCTAAACGTCAGGCAACAAAATTTATTATAAAAGGTGTATCACGACAATGTAGAAAAGAAATAATTGATATTCTTAAAATAGAACTGTGGTTTCAATTCGAACTTTTTCATTTATTGCTTTATGAAACGCAAATTTTTCCCTCATCTTTCGTATCTCAAAAGCGTTAGAAAATATACTTTCTTTTTAATTTCTAATGAATTTCCAACCACAAAACCTATGTTTCATAATCGAAGTCAGTCTGAAAATTGCGTCACTTATTGAAATCTTTAAACATTTTTAATCTCATGTGGATATAATAAGCGGAGTAACTTTTTTTGCAACTTTTGTCGTTTCGTTAAAGCTTCAAGCATCAAAAATTGATAAGTTTAATTTTTGAATAATTCGTTTACGGAAAACTTCTTGAAACCTTCCAGAGATTTCAAACGCACAGTAAACAAAGTCTCGAATATGCAATTTACTGCAAATTAAATTGTTTTTGACTCGACATCCCAATCGAACATTAATGATTTCAGGAAAATCCTCTCTGGTTCTTCGATTCGTCAAAGGACAATTCCATGAGTACCAAGAATCGACGATAGGTGCCGCGTTCCTGACACAAACCGTGAGTCCCATTAATCCGACTTATGCAAAAATTGTGTTTGTTTATGATTGCAGGTTTGTTTGGATGACGCGACGGTGAAATTCGAGATTTGGGACACCGCCGGACAGGAGAGGTACCATTCGTTGGCACCGATGTACTATCGCGGAGCTCAAGCTGCGATTGTTGTTTATGATATAACTAACCAGGTAATTGCAATTATCCAATTAACTTTGATTTCTTTGATTTCGTATAGGAATCTTTCCAAAAAGCCAAAAATTGGGTAAAGGAGCTCCAGCGGCAAGCATCGCCAAATATTGTGATGGCATTGGCTGGAAATAAGGCGGATATGGCGAACAAGGTGAATATCTTCAGCATTTTTCGTTTTGCAATCCTCAATTATTTTCAGAGAACTGTTGAGTATGAGGAAGCTCAGGCTTATGCTGAGGATAATGCTCTTTTATTCATGGAGACTTCTGCCAAGGTGAGCTAGTCGTTGTCAACTTGTTAGAAAAAAAAACTAGTCATAAAAACGTTCTCCTGTGCAAGTATAGTTTGACGTTTTTGCCGTATTTGTAGACTTGCAACATCCAAAAAAGCAAATAAAAGCCCAGAGAAACTCTCGTAGGCCATAAAATAGTTTTTGCGGCCTATCGATTCGTTTGCTCAACAATTTTAATTAACATCGATTTCAATTCTAATTTCTAATTTATGAAAGGTTCTGAAAAGGATTGCATTGAAATGAGAAAATTCGCGGTAAAATTTGAATCACTTCAAAAATATGAAACATTCGATAAACATTTTGATGAAATGGCATTTTCGTCTTCTTGTTATTGGCGTCGTCGCGCGACTTTTGAAAATTGGCTAAATATATAATTTTCATTCAATTATTACGATTAAAAAAAGAAAATTTTGTGAATCCAACGTATTCAGCTTTTTGTTGCAAAATGTATGGATTTGAATTTTTTATTAGATATAAAAAAGAAATGTGTTTGGAATGTTCCAATTGTCGAAAATTAGCCAACTATCCATCTGACATTTGGGATTAATGGCTAATTTGCAGACTTCAATGAATGTGAATGACATTTTCATGGCGATAGCAAAGAAATTGCCAATCGGACCACCACAAGGTGAGCCGACCGGCACCGTCGATATGAATCAGCCACAACAACAGCAGAAGGGCTCTTGCTGTAAATAAGTCGCGGAAATAATCGGTTTCTTAACGCAATTCTTCTTACAATTATTGATTTCTTTTTTTTCGTTTTTGTGAGTGTGTGGTCAATTTAAATGAAATAATCCATTGAAATTCATCCATCCCCCATCCGCCTGTGATCGTGTTCGTTTCCAGTGCGCGGAAAAGCCGGATTATCTCATTGATCTTGGTGCTCCTCAACTGGATCTTCCACATTTTCCCATTATTTTATAGCAAATCTTTTTTTTTTCATTTCTGTCTCGTCCGTATATATCTTTTATATCGCGAATTTCCTTCTTTTTGTATATTACTGTATGCCCTCTAACGCACGCGCTTCGAATAAATGAGCACATCCATCCGTTTCCAATTGCCCCCCAAAAACATTAATTTTTTCGCTGTTTTAGTCTTCTCCTCCCAATTCTGAATCAACTTCATTCTTCTTTTTCGTATTTTATTTATTGCACCGTTATTTATTTTGTGAAACTTCTGAATAATAAATCGGCAAATGTTCTTGGCGAGCCCAATTTTTGCGATAAGAGTTGTTTGTTTTCGACGTTGACTATTTTTGCAGTTTTTTTTTTCTCAACTATGCCGAATGTTCAGATGAACGATGATTATCCAATGGACGAGTTTGACCGGCTGCGACCTGATGCGTTCTCAGAATTCGATCAGTATATGGATGCACTTCCTGATAGGTTGCATGAAAATTTGCCGGATGAAATCGCCGAAGAAGGCACTCGAAATCAGATCGACGATTACGTCTATGTGAGAATCATTTGTTTTTTAATCAATTATATTAGATTAGGTAGATTTTGATATTCATGCGTTTAGAGTGGTCTCGAACGGAATGTTAATTTAGTTCTTCTTTTAAATTTTTAGAAATAAATTACAAAATGAATCATTTTTTGAAACCGTTTTATTGGAGATCATTGATTCAATTTTTTGAAGATTCCGTTTCTGAAAAAGGCGTTGCGTGCGTTCACTTGAATTTTTTCGCAAAAAATGTATTACCAAATTTAGTAGGCTATATTGTTGAGTGAAGTTGGTTCCGGTCCTTCCTGAATGTGGCCAACTTCTACATTTTCAGAAATCATTGCTGACTGTTGGAAAAAAAAAACCAACAACTACAAGGTCCGATAGCGGCAGATTCTGGTAGAAGTTTTTAAAGGGCTATTTAACTTGAAAAAACTAAATTCTGTAGCTATTCATGATATTCACCTTTTTACACAAGTATCTTGGAAACAATTATATTAAGTTTAGGGAGCAGTGGCGAGGGATGAACCCTACGACGAAGGAAAAGATCGACATCCGGCTAGAATGACGCAAGCGGTATATGAAAAAAGAAATAAAATAAGAATGTAAATGATTTGAAGGTGTCACCTGCGGAATTGAAACTGATTGAGTTGAGTAAGGAATGGTTTGAAAAACTGCATGGAACACGATATCACGATTGCATTTTGCTTTCTGGAAGAGTAATATACATATAATATTAAATTGAAAATAATTCTGTTTGTAGACATATGACAAATATGTTTGGGATCTCATTATTGAGGGTCCAAAAGGGAGTATTTATGAAGGCGGCGTCTTTTTTGCGGAGATAAAAATCCCGAAATTGTTTCCAGAAGAATGCCCGATTATTAGTTTTTCCACATTTATAATGCATCCAGAATTTCAGGACAATGCGATGGTAATATTTTTTAATTTCTCAAAAAAAAATCAAATACATTTTTTTGTTTTAGTTTGCGTATAAAAATCTGCGGAGATATTGGAAATACGATATGGATTTGATATCGGTCGTCGATTTCGTTTATGATAATCTTGTTAACGTCATGACGAAAACATGTAAGTAATTTACCGGAAAAAAACGAATTTATCTCAAATTTTGTTTCAAAACTCTAATTATCGTTTTAAATCGTAATAAGAAAACTTGAAAACGTCTTGAAAATGCTGAACAATTGGGTATTTATATATGTCATTTAAAAAATGTAGCCATCATCGAGTCGAAATTTTTCATTTTTAGTATGATTTTTATTCAATTTTCAGACAAACTTGACACTGTTGGAAATCCGAAAATTGCGCGGCTCCTAATTTCTGATCCGGACTCATTTTCTGAGCAAGCCAAAAAATATTCTCAAGATTACGCGGGGTAGAAATCATCAATGAATGTGTAAATAACTGTATATAGATTTTATTGTCCTTTTCTTTCAAGTCAATTCTTTTTTTGATGATCATTCTATTTCCTATGCAGGCTCATCTGGAAAATATCTAAAAAACATCACTGATGGAAGCAATTATGAGGAATTGTTGGAGTTTTTTAAGACATTCCAATTTGAAATATTTCAATGAAGCTTTAAATTCGGAATTGGAATTGAAACGCAAAATCCATGATTTTTTTTTTTGCAAAAGTTTTCATTTTGAGTACTTAGAGCTGATCTTCGATTCCCCTTTATTTATTGGAAATGTGTGAATCGATGAGCCCATTCGATTCATCACAAATTCGTCGTCGTCGTTGGTACTCAACAAATAACTGCGTGTACTCGACATGTCATGTCTTCTTCTACTCATCACAACTTGTTGACCGACTACTCGCCGCGATTCGCCGAAAGTTGACCCCGGGTGTTCTAATCAAACAGCACCAATCGGGTGGCACACACCACCAAATTTGGGCGGAGAGTAGCTACTTGAAACCGGAGCAAATACCGCATTGGTCATTCATTCACACACGAACATAGAACAACTCGTTATTCGATTGACCTATTCGAGTTTTGAAACATGCGCAAACCTTTTAAGGGCATACTATTATTCACCGTATTTGGTAGGTTATTGTTTGATTATCGTGCAAAATTTGTGTGTTTTTAAAAAAGATTTTATCGTCATGAATAAAGAAAAGGCTTAGAAATATCTAGAATTTGTTTTTTTTTCTCAATTTACTCTATATATTCTGAATTTTTCAACACGGAAAGATGACATTTTTTTAGCATTTCTGATGGAGTGATTGTGAAAAAAAAACTTCTGAAATATTTTCAAACCAATGTTATTTCGAATACATAAACATCCAAAATCGAATCAGATTCGACAAATTATCAAGCGCATTTGAAATTATCCGAAAAACCAATCGGATACGACAATTTTACAATCTTTTCCATAAAATTGCCGATTGGGACGGGTTCATTTCGCAGAATTTTGTTGAAATCGATTGGTTTTGAGTTATAAAGATGGTCCAAATCGAGATCCAACGCACAAATTCAGTGTATAAGCGCGCTCATACACAGAATCTCATTTTATTTTCATGAAAAAACAATTACCGTAGTACGGTAATTGTTAGACGCACATTCTGCATTTGTGCGTGTGGACACAGTGCGGACCGTCAAAAAACGACTCAGAAAATTGTAGAAACGACGGAGAGATTCGGGGAAACGGCGATGAGAAGAAATGTCTCCGTCTCTCAAAATCACCCACTCTCTTAATTACCGTTTCATCGGCGATTCACCCGCGTTTCACCGAAATCTCTATTCACCGCCGTTTCTACAGCACGATTCTCTGAGTCAGACCCGGCAGCCGATTTTGAATTTTTTACCCTTTTCCAAGTCGGATCTTATTTTTTTGCTGTTTTCTTTCACACAGGAACCTCTCCATTAAATAGTTCAGTACGAAAACCAACTTCAGAAGTTTCTTTAAAAAAATCTGAAACATTTCCAGTATTTTTCCCATTTTGCCATGCTGCGATTCATTTTGGACATAGGGAAGCAACGTCTCATCAACTTCCATTCGGCGCCCTTAACACTTGCGATCTATTCGAAGAAGCCACTGCATTGCACTGTCTTCGTGATCTTGTCGATTACGCGGACCTCACAGCGAATGTGCTTCATCCACCTTTAAGCGCCGTTGAAGAGAATTGCGATAAATTCAATCATTACATGATGTGCACTTCAGGAGTTCGACCCGATTGCAGGTATGTCGAAAATTCGAGTCGTCTTTTTCATAATGTTTGTAGGCAGTCGAGGGCTCCCAATATTGAGAAGATGTATGAAACGATTTGCGAGGAGAAATTCGCAGCGATAATGAAAGATGAGAAGAAATGCCTTCTAGAAGTGGAAAAGTAGGCGATTTTCGGTTCGAGACCCTAAAAGCACGCGTATTTTGCAGTGACAAACAAGTGAAAGAGTGCTTTGTGAACAAAACGAACACGCTGAGAGACGAGACGCCAGACACTGGTGAGTGAACACACGCAGTCTCCTATTCGCAAAATGCGAACGGAGTGGCGTGGCTGAGTGGTCTAGTGGTATGATTCTCGCTTAGGGTGCGAGAGGTCCCGGGATCGATCCCCGGCTCAGCCCAGTTAATTTTTTGCAGCTTCAATGCCAACAACAACGTACGAATGCACCGTAATCCAAGCCTATGTCGATTGCCTTTTCGAGCGAGAATCGGAGACATGCAAAGACGCGGTCAAAATTGAGATTTCGTTTTTATCGATGTTAGCCAAACGAAATGCGGATTCCGAATGCAATTTGATGATGAATGCGACAAGATCCAGACCAAAAGGTACGAAAATCTGCAAATCACATAAATTGATTGAAAGATTAATTGAACACACAAATGTTCAAATTGAAAAAATAAATCAATTTTTTGAATTCCATGTGTTTGGTTGCAGAGAAACCATTGGAAGAATGCGACGATCGTGGAAACTGCAAATGTCGACTTGCTGGGTATTATTACGACGCAGCCCAGAAGAAGTGTCTCGACGTGAACGAGTGCGACTCACTCTCATCAGCTTGTTCCCAAGTGTGCACAAATCTGCCGGGCTCATACGAATGCTCTTGTGATGAGCGATTCTATCGATTGGCTAGTGATAATAAGACGTGCGACCGAATCGACAAGAGTAGGTTTTTGATCTTCCACACATTTTCAGTCACACATTTCAGCACCATTTTGGCTGTTTTTCGCGCATGGTCAAAGCGTTTGGAATATTTCGACCGATGGCAAATCGTTCCAATTGCAACGTGCCGGACTTCAGAAAACTGCGATGATCGACGTCGACGTGAAGGAGAGACGACTATATTATGCGGATATTGGGGCAAATGTGATCGAAAGAATGAATATTGATGGAACATTTCCGCAAGCTGTTCAACGATTTGACGTTGATGGGCTCGAAGGAATTGCCGTTGATTGGATCGGACGAAATTTGTATAGTTTGAGGAAGTGAGTTTTGTTTAGCGATTCGATGGATCTTTTCAAATCAAATCAATGTTTTTTTTGGAGAGCCTTTAACGAACTATATTTTGTTCTAAATATCTAAAAGAAAATTACCGAAATGACAATTTGGCGCGGACATTTTCGGCGTTCGAATGTGTCTGCCTCACTTGCGTCGATTTACAGTATGCGCCTTTAAACGTGCTCGAAAAATTGGTTATGACGTTCAGTTTCAATTTTGTCTATTATTGATAGTTTAACGCTGGTGGATGAATCCAAAACGCCACAATTCCCCTATTTTTTCAATTTTCGATTTTAGAAAAAAAGAAACAATGTGTCATTTGAGTGAATTGTCAAAATGATTAGCAATGATCATCAATTCGAATTACAAAATGTGTTCGATCCCTCCGAAATACTATTAATAATCCAGATTTCACTATATTTAATTCTCAAAAATGAAAAGTCAATCTCAGCAAGGCAAAAAATGCCTGATATCATCAAAACTACGGTATTTCATTGCGAGACCCGAATCGTTTCAGAACCGATATTCTTGTGCAAAGTCTCGATGGCCGTTTTCGGACCTCCGTCTATCGAAATGTGATGACCCTTCCGCGCTCAATTGCCCTTCATCCTTCCAAAGGGTATACGGTAGCAATAGTTCAAGCCCATCAATAATCGGCTTCAGATTGATGTTTGTCACCGATTGGTCGTCGAACGCGTTCATCGCAGTTGCAGCAATGGATGGATCGAGATTCAGGAAGATCGTGACGGATCGGATCACATGGCCGAATGCGATCGCCATCGATATTTTTGCTGAGAAAATTTATTGGGCCGACGCATTTTTGGACACGATTGAGTATGAAAAATTTGGTGTTTTTTTTCGAATCACAAATTTCTGGATTCAGAACGGCAAATATGGATGGAACTGGAAGAAGGACCGTGGTTTCCGACGCCGGTTCGGTTCCTCATATTTTCGGTCTTGCTGTCGCTGACGACTTCATTTATTGGACCGATTGGACATATAGGGGCATTTTGAGGGCCAACAAACAGAATGGTGAAAATATTACTGTTCTGGCACAGACTGCTCTTCTACCGTACTCTCTGAAAGTGTTCCATAAGACATTACAACCGGATCGTAAGAAGCGATCAATAATGTCTCATGCATTTTCTCACATTTTTAGAACCTTCTCCTTGCGAATTGATGGGCTGCGGACAATTGTGCCTTTTGGGTGAAAATGGAGCATCGAAATGCTCATGCGGAGAAGGATTCGAACTTCAAGAAGATAACAAAACTTGCTCGTCGAATTGCTCTGATATGCAGATTGAATGCGGTGGTTCTGATCCGAAGTAGTCGAGAATTTTGTTGAAATTCAATAATTTCCACGTCTAGGTGCATTTCGAAGCTCTATCTTTGCGACGGACTCGCGCAATGCTCGAATCAGGCCGACGAAATGAACTGTCGTGAGTAAATCATAGAGGGTGGCGAAACCCGCAAAGTGTCCGCACACGCGCGCGCACATAAGACGGCGATGAGGCCGCTCATAAACTTACCTGGTTGGGGGTATTCCGTGATCACCAAGACGGAATCCCCATGGCGAGGCCTGTCCATTGCACTTTCGAGCGGGCTGACCCGTGTGGCAGTCTCGAGTTGAGATTCGCCAACAACTAAATTTTTGCGTGAGGGGCTGCGCTCGCGCGGCCCTGCTAAACTTCGGAACTTCTGTGGAATTGTCGGCATCAAACCGGCGTCCAATGTAGACTTACTGTCAGAGTCAAACGAAATTTAAAAGTTTATTGGCCCTCTCCTTCTCAGTCGTTTGACGCCAACAATACGAAATCGAAAATTTACGCGCGGGCTAAATATGTAAAAAAAAATGCAGATCCCACAAAAAAAATAGTCCCTTTTCAAAGAGAATATTTCTCCTGTTTTCAGCGCCTCGAATTTGCCTGCCTGGACAATTCCAATGCCATGATAACAAGAAATGTCTTCCACCGGGCGGACTATGCGATGAAGTGCCGGACTGTGCTGATGGATCCGATGAAATCTACTGTCCAGAGCCTAATAAGGTCCATAAATCGAAAAGTTTTGTTTTGAACACGCGGAAAACACGAAGTGTCTCTGATAATCAATGGTACTAATCGAACGATTTCCATTTTCACCGTCCAAACCCATCGACACGAAGTATGCATTGTTTGTATTTCTACTTAACTGTTTTCTATTTTATCCGACGCGCATAGTAATAAATAATATAATAATAATATTTATATTTGTATCGATCTACTGTAATCCTGTTTTACTATTCTGAAACAAATATACAAGAGGATTATTGAGGTTGGGTTCGGCCAATTAAGGCGCGACGAGTGTATAAATATGCGGCTCGCTTAAAATCGAATCCATCAAATAAACGCTTGTTGCATTCGCATTCAAAATGATCTATTTCGCTTTTTTTGTTGTGGCGTTTTTGAAAATTTGCGTTGCGCAGGTAACAATTTTTGCGGACCAACAACTACAAATTTGATCTACTCTAGGATTGTGCGCCTTTAAATGACCCGAATGGTGAGTTTGTGATCAACGATTCGAAGAACGGAACAACTGGAAGTCTAAAATGCAATCCGGGGTACAGTTCGAATTGTTATACGTTCAGTTGCCTCCAGGGTGCCTGGAATCCTGAGCCAGGTTCGTCTTCAAAGAATTTCGCAGAGAACTCTTTCGCTCTATCAATGCGTGCTGCGGACATCATTCCGGGTTTGCAGAACCTTGTACTCCAACTCGAGCTCGACGTCAAACTCAAGAATGCTTCGCCATCGGAGTTCCTTTGGGAAGCAACATCTCATATTCGGCGCCAGCTAGCAACACGATGACCTATTCGCAAGGCACCCAAGCCACCATCTCCTGTGCGCCAGGCCATCAAATTCAGGGACCAACAACATCGACGTGCAATAATGGAATATGGGACCCTCTGACTTTGGGACCATGCATTCTCGCTCAAGGTATGTGTTCTTCGATTGTCGCATATCCAATTTGAATCGCAGCTTCTTCGACCGGCTGCTTAGCGCATATCCCACCAATTGGTGGCGAATTGATCTACTCGACTGACCACCAAATTGGTGTATATCCGGCTGGCACGACGGCAACTGCGCGTTGCACCAATGGCGCCAACATCGAAGGCGTCTCGACGGCAAGTTGCACCAATGGCGCATGGAGTCCGCCAATGTTTGGCACATGCGCCGTTTTCACGACGCCGCCAATCAATTGATAACTATCGCCTCATTTCGTGCTTTTTTTGCTGTCTAAAGTATTTGTCTCATTTTGAATGAATAGAAATGAATAATAAGATTAAAATGACTCGCAGGGCTTCGATTTGAGCGGTCAAAGTCTAAAAGCCCCTTTTCCATTTTACTCGTTTGCAAGAAATTCCATCAAAAAATGAAAATGGCGAATTCAAATCGTTGAAACTACATACATATATAATTGATTTCCATCTGCCGACAATTTCGATGAAATTTGTCCGCAGATGACTATTCATATGTGATATTCGCAAGTCTTATCCTCTCATGATTTTCAATCGGATTACATCTTCGATATTCGTCATTCCTTTTTTTTCGAGGCCACAAATCTCACGATGAACAAATTTCCAGATTAATTTTTGTGTTTTATTCATATTGCTTCTTTTTTTTTTCAGAAAAAATCAACCTATAATTGAAATCATAGGCTATAATTTGAATAATGATTACCTATAATTATATGATGTGTGGAATACTATTGGAAAGTGATAATTTGCAGATTTTTGAATCCAATGACCACACTCAAATGTGGTCTATTCTTATGAAGAAGCACGCAATGATTTGAGATTTTCCATCTGCGGACATTTGCCGAATTGTCCGCAGCTGCGATATTATCTAATGTGGAACCTGGACGCGTCGTCTCGCATTTTTCAATTATATGCACGCGTTTTTTTTTGGTGCCTAATCCGTTTGACGCAAATGGGCGGTCGGTGGACCTCGTGCGAGCTCGGCGGCGTCCGGCCACAAATCCAATTTTCAGCTCGCTCATTAAATGCGTCCTCTTTGATCTTGTTCGCGTTCGCCTATTAAAGCAAAAATCTCGCAATTTGAATATAATAATGGGGAGCATGTCTACCTTCTGAAAATGACGAAATTCGGTGTGTGTGTGAGTGAGTGATCATGAGAAAAGGCCGCAATCAGGTGTATTTGAGAGGCGGGCCAGCCAGGTGAAAATTGAGCACTGAGTGGGCGCATATTATGCGTAATTCGTGCTCAATACTCGATATTATCGCATTTGTTGTTTGCTCGGTTCCATTCTTTTCGTTTTTTTTCCCCCTTCATTTCCCCTCCCTGCTTCTCCTTCTGTTTTTCGTTTTATTTTTGCCCCACCGCATGCATGCTTCATTCGCAAAAAGTGCGGGTGGCGGCTAAATGCGTCTCGTTTCCTTCTTTTTTTTTTTTTGGCTGCAAATTGTTTTTTTTTTCTCTTCTGCCGGTCGAAGCCATCTGAAATTTGAAATCCGCCGCCTCGTCTCACCCATTATTCTCGTTTTTTTCCAATTTCATGATGATTGTCGTGCGGTGTAAACCAGACGACCAAGTCGGTTTTTTTTCGGCGACTCCAGAAGCAACAAAAAAAAACGAAAACGCCACCACATTGAAGTATATATATATTCGTGCGTATATATGTGAATGTGTGTGTGTGTGTGTGCGTATTTTCCTCGTCCTCTCTCTCTTCCTCTCTATCGTGGTTTTTGTGCGATGCATGATGAGCCGGCTGTGTGCTCGGCGTCTCTCGCTCGATTTCTCTCTTGCTGAAACCCGGGGAGGCCCTCCCCCAACCAACACCAACCACCCCCACCAGCCATCGATTTATAGGCATAAGAGACCCACACATCAAGATATCCCTCTCTACGTTTTTTTTTCGTCGCCGCCGCCGCCGTCGTCGACGTCGACGTCGATGCCCGCCTTCCTTTCATTTCGTTTTTTTTTTCCATTTAGTCGTGCTCGATGAGCTGGACCGTGTTTCGAACGAAACGTCATGTTTTCATTCAGGTGATGAGCCAAAGCAATGAGGAAAAGACGGGCGGTCCGTCTCGAAAACCGCCTTCTTTGGTGCTTCCCACAATCTCGGTATGTCGGTTTTTCTTTTCGAATCTATATATTCGTTCTGCGGACAATTCCAATCCGAATTCCGATATTTCAAAACCAAAAAAAAATTGTGATTCGATTCCAAAATTCTACCAATTTTCCATCGACTATATTACAATTTTTTCACGCGTCAAGAAAAAAAAGAATTCTGTCGTTGAGAAACCGGAAATGAAGCGAAGCATTGTGTCTCCCTTTGGGAGTTGAGACCCCCTCCCCTTCCCCCATATACTCCTCCTCCTCCTCCATTCATATATGACTCGAGCCGCCCGTTAATGCCCTTTTGTGGGTGGTCGTTTATTCGGATGGTTATTTTTGCCCCGTCCCGAAAACGTCGAATCGGGTTGTCATGTGAAAACTCTCACGCGATCAGATCAATTCCAGTTCAATTTCGTCACTCGCGACGATGTTTTTGAGTGAGCATTTTGATGCGCTCATGAATATTCGAGTTAATCCGCTGAAATGTGGGAGGGTCGGCGAAAAAATAAAACCAAAAAAAAACGGAAATGAAATTTGAATATTGATGGTTTTGAAATGAGAAATCGAAACAACTCTCCCGCGGTTTTTCTAGTTTCCCTAGTGGGCGTGGCCTTCTTCGAAATGCGAGAATTCGATGATTTTTGGTCATTTGCTTCTTGGAAAACTGAAAGAAATTGCATTTTGTGGTGACAGACAAATTCAAGAGGGATTCGTCTTAAATTTTTGAATGGTCCCTTGAGTTGGCTTGATGTGTTCTCTGTGTGTTTGTCACTAATGGACCTATTCATATAATAAAAAAAAATTTAAAAAAAAATCAATTTTTTTCATTTGAATTCCCTATGCACGCACATCGAAAATCACAAAAAATTGACGCGATATATCGTAATCCTCCGCTCTTTATTTTCAAAGGCGCACGCGAAAAGTTGCGCGGGTCTCGTCGCGAAGTCGGTACTGTATTTTTTATTTTTCATTCTGTGTGCTAATTTTTCGTATTTTTCGAAAACTTTGAAGAGGAAATGTATAACGGATGGATGAACGAGGTAAAAAAGCAATTATTGGCATAATTACACTTAATTCCACAATATAAGTCTATTTTTCATCATTTAGATACCAATTAATATGAAAAATTGTGATATTTGCGTTGATTTGATGCAGACTTCGCTCGATGCCGCTTCTGATGAACATTTAGCGTTGATTACAAGAAATACTTTTACAAATTTCCAAAAAAAGACATACTCTCAAAGAATTAAAAAAAATCGAAAAAAAAAACAGCCATAAAAAATACAGTATCGACTTCGCGACGAGACCCGCGCAACTTTTCGCGTGCGCCTTTGAAAATAAATAGCGGAGAATTACGATATATCGCGTCAATTTTTGGTAATTTTCGACGTGTGTGCATAGGGAAATTGAAAAAAATTGATTTTTTAAAATGTTTTTTTCATTGGATGAATAGGTCCATAATGGATACAAATAATTGCTCCCAAATATTGTATGATAAATTATATGAATCTCCTTCTGCGGACATCATACCAGATTAAAAAACAAATCGATTTTGTTAGGGAACGTGTGATTTTTTTGAATCTGAATAAATATTTAGCTATGGAATAAATGAAATGATTCCAGTGTCCATTGATATGCGAGCAGGGACCATCAATGCCATCATCACCAACCGCAGCAAACCCGAATGATCCGATCACCGCAGATTTGATGACGAGAATACAAATGGTAGTTGAATGGAATTCAGAAAAAATTATAATTTTTGCCTCTGGTTTTATTTTAGTTCACCTCTGCGTTGGACAGTGCTCGATTGTCGCCAAACTACGCGACATCGGATCTCGGATCGAGTGCTCGCTCGAGCTTCTCGACGGCCTCATCTTGGATGGCCTATCGGGATCGGAGTGTCGATTTCGACGAATCCGGCAAAGAATTGATATCGCCGTTCGACTGTGATACCGCATGTTCCGTCTCGCCCTCATACTCATTATCGCCCAATTCGTTCAATCGTTTCTCGTAGGTTTTTTTCCGATTTCCCTTCTTTTCACCAAATTCAATTCGTCTGCAATTCATCAAATTTCAGATTCGACGCCAGAAGTGTCTCATCGTTGTGTCATAGCACCCAGAATCTCAATCAATTGATGCCTATTGATCCGATAATCCGGTCCGAATCATATTTGATCCAACCATTTATTGTCCGATTCTAGAGAACGAAGTCGGTCCGAAAGTGATATGATGCCGAAGGATGACGATTCGCCGCACATTTCGAATTCGACCTATTCGGTTCCGTGCGCGACCTACACTAAAAAATCGCCGAAATTCAATCAGGAAGGCAAACGAAGTAGCAGTACACCGCCACCAACGGTAATTTTGTTTTTGAGAAAATCAAGCAAGGAATAGCCATTGTAGATCAAAAAAAAAAACATTTTCAAAATAATTTGATTATTGATTATTTTGTGATTTTGAAGACATCGGAACGCGATGAAATCGAAACGAAGCGAAGAGCCCGACAAGAGACGCTGGATGAGACGAATCTGCTTGTGAGCAATTGGGCACGCGACCAATTGTTCGCCCTGCAGACCGCCAACATGTACAACCAAGTGGTCACCAGCATTCTCGCGTCGCAGCCCGTCCCGAAGCCGAGCGAGCATCCCGTCGAGCCGGCGGTTCTGTTGCCGAAGTCGAAGGACGACGACAATCGAATGCAGTACACGTGCACACTGTGCGGCCAGGCGTTCGCGGTGCACGATCGGCTGGCGAAGCACATCGCGTCGAGGCATCGCCAGCGGTCGTGCACACTCGACGACGCTTCGAAGGTGCACAAATGCAACATGTGCTCGAAGAGCTTTTCGCGAAGCGACATGCTCACGAGGCACATTAGGCTGCACACCGGCGCCAAACCGTACAGTTGTCCGACGTGCTCGCAGGTCTTCTCGCGGTCCGATCATCTGTCCACCCATCTGCGGACACACACCGGCGAAAAACCCTACGGATGTCCGCTGTGCTCATATTCAGCGGTGAGTTGCCATCAAACCCAACGCAGCAGCTGAGAGTTTGATCGGGGCAATTCCAGAGTCGTCGCGACATGATCTCCCGTCATATGCGCACCCATTCGGCGACCGACGACGTCTCGACGCCGATCGCGCAACTCTCAATTCGCAGCCCATCGACGTCGCCGCTTCCTCCGAAGGCGACAACGCCGACGACGATCGGATCCGGCGAGTTGTCGGCATTCAAGCCGGTCCGCTCGTCGACCCATTTGATAGTGTCGTCGCCAATCAACTCGCTGTCCCTTTCGACGCCTTCATCGCCTTCTGCGTTCACTCTCAATCGGACCAATTCGTTCGAAAACACGTGAATCATCATCGGGTCTCGACAACAATGTGCTGTTTAGGGCATAATGTACATAAATTAATATATTTTATTTATTCTCAATCGAAAGTGATGCTCGTCGTAATTGTCATGAACCATGAATAAAATTTATTCATTTCGGAATTTTTTTTTTGCGAGTTTCATAGAATTTCAAAAAATATATTTCGAGTTTTCCGCAATAAACTCGAAAAATTGCAATTTATCAGACCCTATTTTCATAGGTTTTTTTTTAGTATTCTCGCGTGTTGAAAATCTGATGATCTATGGATTTTGACAAAGCAATTATTTGATATTTTCCCCATTTTGTCATTCTCATTTCGAACTATATTTCAGAATTCCAATTAATTGCCAGCGTTTGCCATTTGACTCATAGAGACTCTTAAAAACTCCACTCAAACTCGACAATTTCCTTGAAAGAAAGAAAGGTGTTTGAATTGCAGCCAAAACGGTTGGTTTGGAGACTTCTGCAATTTTTTTCCTGATTTTCAGGCAAAAATATTTCTATGTTTGGTCTTTGATTTTAATTTTTTAACATTTGAGGTTAAAAAAATCAGAAAAAAAATTATTTATTTTAGAGGGCGCGAAAATTGCGTGAAATCAAAGAGCCGCCCGCAAATGCTGCACAAAAAAAAATGAAAAAAAAAAAACATTTCATTTAAACATTTGTTTCAATTCGCTTTTTTTCACAGCAAAGTTAAAACTTGAAAAAATTTGAACCGATAATGCCATATAAGCAGTTCAAATGGCACATCGAGTTTTGGCGGTTTCTTCAATTTGTTTTGAATATTCTGATTATTGCCCGAGTCTGATTGATTTCTCAAAATTTTCGATCATTGGCACAATGGTCCGAAAGAATCAACAAAACTTGATCTTCAGAATGTTCTCGAATTCGGATTCCACGACGCCTCGCTTAAATATTTCCGTAGTCCTGAGAAGGTCCGATAAGAATCGTGACGATGTGCTTCTTCTCTCCTGTTTCGATGGATTGTTGGAGATAAGCCAAAAGTGGCAATCACTTTACATGGAGCAATTAAAAAAAAAAATAATTTATTATCATTAAAAAATAGAAATCAAATTAGACATAAATTTGGAGTAATTTGAAATATTTGCAAGTGAAAAATGAAGAATAAAAGACGACTACGGTAAGAGGAAAAGCAAAAATTAGGAAGAGACAAACGCGATGAAATGCATGCATTAATAGCGGGGCATGAATAAGAAAACGGGGGGTTGTTGAGGGGAACCGAGAGGAAGGAGGGGAAGAGGCGGAAACCGTTTAGAAATGAATGAATGCGATGTCATTTTGAGTTGAGAAACAATTCTCGCCGACCGCTTGCAAATATCATTCTCTGCAGAATCCTACCATGTCTCGTCTTGTCCTATCGCTCGTTTTCATTTCTTCGGCAACTTTCGCACGGTTTTGTGTACACGATCAGAAGGTATTCGACTGACGGTCTTATGCTCCTTTAAATGGCCATCGGTTGACGAGAACCCGTCAATTTGCACAGTCTCTGAGTTTCGATTTGCTCTCTTCACCGTTTTTTTTTCAGAATTTCTTAGTTTGTAATTGAATATTCTCGAGAATTTGCGGAATAAAAGAGCAATTTGAAACACGAATTGTGCAAGAATAAACGAATTGATCGATTGATGGTTCTAGGGTTCGTGCCTCGGCCACGACATCTGGGGATGGTGCTTCCACAACAAGACCAGCGGCCGATTCGACTGCGACGACGACGGCTTCTGCGCCTCGCAGGAGCAGCTGAAAAACAAAAAATCATCGGGATGCTTCATGCGGGCCAACTCGTCGGTGTGCTGCTGCAACGAGGCCGACGGCTGCAATCTCGGATTCATTCAAGTCGCTCCGAAGTACGCGTTCGGACAGCAATGCACCAATTCGATCGAGTTTCCTGGCGAGGATACGCGACAATTCAGACCGTGCGATGATCCCTATTGCTATTCGATTCTGTCATCGGTTAGTTGTTCAAACTGAAATTAGTTGGATGAACTCAACAGCAAAGAAAAAACCAATTAAGGATGAGGATGGTGGTCCGACGACGGTCATCCGCGGATGTCATTCGCGAAAGCTCGTCCTCCACAACATGTTCAAAGCCGAAGACGCCGAATTCAAGAACAACACGAAATGGAAGGAGACGGAACAATTGGCGAGTCTGCCCGTGTGCTCCGACGTGCTCCGCCATGAGCCGTCGATCAACGGAACGCGCAGATTGTGTGTCGACTTCTCATATGATCAGGTTGCGATTGTCCGCAGCACGAAATTTGTAAATGCGAGACGATCTTGCAGCAAGACGAGGACGGCGAGGTCATCAAGATGAAGTCGAGATTCTGCTGTTGCGATGGTGCGGCGAGGTGCAACGATAACCTACTATGGGGAACCGACGGCGTAACATTGGTAAACGTTTTTACATAAATGCATTATAATCGAAAAAAGAAAAATGAGCACCTTGAGCAATTGTGGACCATCGTACTCTTTCGGGGCCGCGGTTCAACAATTTAAAATCAAATTTTAAATTACCGCCGCCAAAAAATGCAATGGTCCACAATTAGTGAAGGTTCTCGTTTTTTTGCGATGGTATCGGCAGCGTTTATTGTATGAGGTGTAGATTTACGGGACGCACCTTTCGCCATGGTCTCACCACGCGCGAATTTTTATTTTATTTTTTCTTGGCCATCTTGTGAATTCTCAGCATTTCTACAATAATTCAAATTAAAATTTATCGAAATCAGCAATTTTATGCGAAAAATAAGTTAGTCTGCTCGAGACTACAGCGCTCGTAAATCTACACCTATGGTTAAGTCTCTTAGCAATAAATTAAAACCGAAATAAAAGGCAAAATCATCTGCGGACAATTGATGGTAAACCCGTGAATTGTCGGCAGATTGAGCAAATGAAATTCATTCGAGTTGATTTGCAGCAAGAAATGGAAGAAACGATCAAGCAGCGACGGGTGGCCGTCTCTGCCGCGATTCAATTCTCGCCGTTCATTCTCATTGCATCTCTCATAGGATTTTTATATTTTTAGCATTTTATTTTGATGATTCATTTTTTTTTGAAATTATTCGCCAAAAGAAAACACAAAAAAATGACTAGAATTGAGCAATAATGAAACGAATCAAACAATGATTCCCGTATGACGAGAATAGCACCGTTGCAATATCAAATGAAGATGTGGTCCTGAGAGGAAAATAATCAAAAATGGAAGAAGAAGAAGAAGAAGCTCAGGGGTTGAAGAATTTACATACACGTTATGGAATGAACATATTTACACATGTGAAAAAGAAAAGAAAAGAAAAAAATTTGTGTGTTTTTCTGGATTTTCAAAAAACGCCGTAGTTTTTAGTGGTTTGCGCGACCCGTTTGAGATCGTTGGCGAGTTCGTCGACTTCACGCGGATCCACACGATGGCCGTGATCGGATCGCGTCACTGATCGTATTGATCGCGTCGATTTCGTCTGAATAGCAAAATAATGAATTGTGAAGCCCCCGCCTGTCGTACCCTCTGCATGCTGTTGTACTCCGACGTTGGCCTCGACGGTCTCGCCGGCGTCGATCCGACGCGTTCGCCGGTCAGCCACTCGTGCTTCATCGCCTGCTTCGCGCTCAGCCTCTCTTCGCAATTCGTCTCCAATAGCGAATCGACGAATTGTTTCGCGAGCTCGGAACCCGACCAAAACTGCAAATCCAATTTCGTTGCGGGACCCCCACCAAAATGAGAAGCATCGGATGCTCTGCTACTTCGGACCCCTCTCTTAGAATTTTACCTGCGGATAGTAAACATAATTGGCGGTGATGATGTGTGTGTACAATCGACTTCTGCAGTCGTCGTCGAACGGCATGATGCCGGACATGAGAATGTAGGCGATGACGCCGACGGCCCACATGTCGACCTTCTGGGTGTACGGCACTCGAAGCAATAGCTCCGGCGCGATATATTCGGGAGTTCCGCACGTTTCCGTCATTGTCTCATTCGGCTTCGTCGCCTGATAAGCTAGTCCGAAGTCGGTGATCAGAAGGCGCGAATCGGGCCGAGTGTCGGCGTATAGCAGATTCTCCGGTTTCAGATCTGAAAAATCTCAAAAGCTCAATCAAACAACTCGCTTTTTTCGCCGATATCTGATCGGCTCTTGAGCATTTTTGATACACGGAAAAATTGAAAAATCGAAATTTCGCTCCGTGTTTTTTTTGCAAATTTTTTTAGAATCAAATATTTGATACCTCGATGCGTAATTCTGATTGAGTGCAAATATGTGAGTCCGTTGAGCAACATTTTGAGAGCTTGTCGAGCTTCTTCCTCCGTATATCTGCCCTTGGCCACCACCCGATCGTACATTTCGCCGCCACACGCCATTTGCATTACAATGAATAATTTTGTAGACGATTTGAATACCTGAAATCCAACAGAATGGGTCTCACCACGAATCGAATATTCTTCGCGTGAGCAGGTTGTTTGTGGGGGTTCGATTTAATTATTAATGAGAACCATTAATGGGTCTCGAATGGAATATGATCTACTTCGGAATCTTTTTAAACTACCTCAAAACACTAGCCCAAATAAAAAATATATATTGGCTATCAGGTGTTTGCGTACTCTGCATTTTATCGTACGCGCAGATGATAATATCTAACAAGGGAGGTCTTTTTGCCGTCAGTCTTAAATTTTTATTTTATTTTTTGCATGCAGATTCTTTAGAAAATTTCCAATCAAATAAACAAGGTCCCTACCTGCTCAAACTACTAATTATCGAGATATGGACCTTCAAAATTTTAGCCCCTCCCCACGTGAATTTTGCATACAAATATGCGTAAATTTCCAATTTCGTAGATCCGCACTGATTTTGCGAAATTGAATTTGCCGCCATCATAAAAGTCAAAATAAAAATTAAATATATGGCACTTATAACCGAGCCCTTGCATTTTCAATTCGTAACAATTCGAACCTCTTCGAGTCGTATCACATATGGATGCGACAATCGGCTGAGAATGTTGAGCTCGTTGTTCACGGCTCCGCAATCCGAGCTCACCACTTTGACGGCGAAGAATTTGCGAGAGACGCGATGCTGCACCCGAAGAACCTGTGTGTGTGTTCGACGATATTAGATTACGACGACGACGTCTGCGAGCAGAAGCCTACCTGCGAGAAACTGCCTTTTCCGACGACGGCGAGAACCTCGTATTTGCATACGAGACGACTGTCGAATCGCATCGCAGGTCGATCACGCAGGACCGCGCATTCGCCGAGCGGCATCTCACCGCCCACCTGCAATCCATTTATTCCTTTTTTTTTTGATTTTCGCGGGTTTCCATTAACCGCTGAAATGTCCGCAGATCGAATTCGATATTCGTTTAGCTTTGACAATTATACTGTTTTATGAGAGACACTCGACTTTTATCGAGTTCTCCTTCCCCCCCACCCCCTCCACCCTCAGTAAATGCGCGATCGAATCTGCGGACATATTTCGGGGTTGTCGACCCTACCGGTGGCGGACACGTTTGAGCCAGCGCATGCGGATCCAAATGCGCTTTTCGGAAATGATTTGAGAAGAAGCTGCCGCGCGACGAGCTCGACTGCTTCTGTGAGCAATTACCCATCTGAAAATCGAACACAAAAAAATGAAATTTCCATTTTCAAAAAATTTGCAAGAAGCACGAAGAAATGGAATGGTGTTTGGCGTGTTTCTCAATGTATATGTGGGTGTGTGTGTTTGGGTGTAAAGTTAAATAAATTCGTCGAGTGCGCGACTGAATCGAACAATCAAAAAGAACATGTGTGTTTGGAGAGAGACAAACCGAGGAAGCGCCGCCGCCGCCGTGCCGACCTCCCATTTTCTGCCTGTCCGTTGGTGATATTTGACAAAAAAAAAAGAAACGATGTGCTGCAATAACACGCACTATTTGTATCCCCGCCGCTCGAAATATCCGACAGCCAACAGATTTTCGTCTACTTTTAGCAACACGAGTCTCAAGATTTTGACCTCGCTCTCCCAATTTTTTTTTCCATTTTTGAGTCCACTTCAACATTCTGCGGACATCTCACGGGGTTCACACTTCTTATAAAGTCACAATCGTCTATCAAATAAACAGGGTTTTGATTGTTGCAAAAAAATCATTGCCACTGGCGGGATTCGAACCCGTGAAGGTAATTTACCGTAAGTTCATAAGACTTATGCCTTTGACCGCTTGGCTACCGTAGCAGACATTCTGAAAAAGGGGGACCACCAAAATGAGAGAAAGGACCACTCAAGAACGAGATGGTCCGTTAAGGACTATAAATGAGAGACAGTCTTATGAACATGCGGTAAATTATCTTCGCGGGTTCGAGTCCCGCCCGCGGCAATGATTTTTTTTTGGAAAATTGTAAAGCAAGAATAGTTCAAACAAAAACTATGTAATTTCAGAAGGCACTCACAATATATGAGATATTTGATAATTTTAAACTCCATAAGATGACACCAGCTATTTTTTTTTTGTTAAATCATCTGCGATGTGTACGAATGTGGTGGAAAAAAGTGATAATTCGATAAGAGTAGACGAAAATCGGAAAAGTTTGGCGATTGAGGGTGAAAGGCAAGGTTAAAAGCATGTTGGCGCAAGAAAAGTTAATTAGAAATCAAAAATGAATGGCGAGAGGCGAATTCGAACCGGTTGACGAAACGAGAAGGCGAGGTGATTCCCGATCGTTAAAATGCGTGAAAAAAATGACAAAGGCGACTAACAAGAGGGCAGAGTAATGGACTAAAATGAGAATCGTGCTGCGGACATCAACTAGGTTTCAGTCAACTCGATAACCCAATTAAAAAAAAAAGTAAACGTCAGTTGTGAATCGCTTGGTTGCTGCCGACAATTTTGCCGATTTCAAATTGTCCGCAGATGTTGAATGATGAATATGAAACAGATGATGATTTTAATATGAAATTGAGACAACCGAGCACAATTGGCAACATTACAGCCGAATTTCGATTCGAAATCGCAACCTGAGGATGTTTCGTGTTGTGTGTGTGTGTGTGGGAGAGCGCGTATGTGTGTGTGTGTGTGTCTATGGCTCCACGTGCTGTGCTCTAAGCTCCCGGGGAGAAGATGAACGAGAAGCTTGGCCGGGTGTGGGTGAGCTGCTACTGCGGCTCAAGTGGAAATCGCGCACCTCTCAAGAGGATTGGCCTTCCTTACCCTACCTGCTGCCTGTCTGGATCCAATCCAATCCAATCCAATCCAACTTGTTGGGGCATTCGGATACAGGCAGAGAGCAGCGGAAAATGGCGCTAATACGCCGCCATCTGGGCGCCATTTCTGACTTTATGAGCCCGTTTTTTTTCTCATCAATTTTATGACGACTGGTTGTATAGATGGACGCGAAACCCGCAACGATGTCCGTTCGAAATTACTATTTGGTGCACACATTTATTGAGTTGCCAGCGAATCGAATTTTTCGCTCTAAAATATCCTATGTGCAGCATTTGCGAAGCCCGTAGATTGTCCGCAGCTTGAAACAGAGAATACGAATTCAACAATCTAGGCTCTCTAGTCTCTTTTAATTTCGCCTCGGAAAAATTTTGGCATTCAGGTAAACGAAAATCAATCGGATTCGAAGAAAAATTAAATACAAATGAACCTGTTTCGATTGAAAAATAATTCAAATTCGATTAATAAAATGCTTAAATTCGATTTGAAATCTTGGTATCAATTCAAAAATCATCGAAATCGATTGATTTATTACTCATTCTCAATTTTGAAATCGTATTCGATTGAAATTTTGGAATAATTCGAAACAGATAAATTTACATTCGATTTAGATTGAAAAATGAATTATTTTCGAATCCGATTGATGTTCATTTACCTGAGCAGATGGTTTTGCAAACCACCGAACATCAATCGGATGACGTTGAGACGCTTCGAATTTGTTGTAATTGGTTGATTGATGAACATCGGAATTGAGATAAATTGGCCCCGAGCGAATTCAAATATTTGTCAGTTGCGTTTTGTGTGTATGAGTGTCTGTTTGTTGTGTTGATACGACTCGGATATTGAGTAATTGTTAGCTGACACACTGGAAGAAAAATTGAGTATATTCGAAAGACGGTTGCGAATAACAACATCCGCAGCCATCAAATTGTTTGATTACGGTAGACAACATGATGTGCATGCGCCTTTAAATCGAAACGGCCCAACAAAATATGCTCAAGATGTTTGCAATCGAATGAGCTCCAGATGTTTCATTAAAAAGTCTTGTCAAATCAAACTTCGAATAATCCAACATTTTCGAGAAATCGGGAAAAATCACTAATTTGGGGGAAGATCAAAGTTTTCTATTTTGGGTCTCACAACGAAAGCATTTATCAACTACAACCACAAAATAAAATGAATATTGTCAGGGCCTTCAAATTCGCGAAATCGGTATAGATTTAAATTTTTAGTTGACTGAATATTAAATGCGCGTACACTATGATGCAATGTACGCAGTATTGCGTACTTCTCGCTGCCTTAGGACGCATTGGCACATAGCCAATCATTTTTTTTAAATTTCATCCAGTCGTTTGACTCCGTCAATAGTTAGTAATATAGTATATATATAGTTAGTAATATATAGTTAGTATTTGGTAAAATAATGCAGCTCATATTGCTGACGTCGTGCGATTGCGAAAAATTGGCAAAATAAAAAACAAAAATTGAGATTAGACGACTAATTAGTAAACGGTATGCGCCTTTAAACTATCATCATAGTTTCGTGCGTAAATCTACATATTTAATTTCGCTCAAAGACCTCTTTCTCAAATTTTGGAAATTTGCCAATTTATCGCAGCCGCGCAAAGTCGACAATAATTTTATTGAAGAAATAAGGCGAAAATTTAATTGAAGAAATAAAGTTTGGAAAAAAATTAAAATTATGAATATCTGATATGCGGACAATGTTGCGGGTTGGCAGGAAATAAAATGAAAAACGAAATTGAGGGATTGCATAACAACGTCGAACCGCACCCAATGGGTGACGAATTGAGATATCAAGTGGCAATAAGAAAAAGTGAAACCGCAGCAGTAGAAGAAGAAGAAGAGAAGACGACGACGACGACGACACGCTGATTGGCGCTGATGAGAATCTGTCACAAAATTCAGGGGCGGTGTCGGTTTTTGACCGATCGGGTTACGCCTCATATCTATTTCAATAATGTCAGTTGGTGCCTTCCGGAAATCCCGGCGATCAAACGCACACACACACACATACACATACGAACACAAATTTCAACAACTCGGCATATTTCAAACCACTCATTTTTTATATTGATCAGATTTTGTAGTAGGCGCACAAAAAAGAAGGGGAGAATGGGGCAAGAAATATGAAAAAAAAATTAATTCATACAATATTCGCGGTCAACCAGTTTATCGCGGGAAATTCCATTATTTTCCTCATTGCGGTGCGAGGGTGATGCTTGCCGACGGAACGAGGTCTGCAATCAACAAAACGATTAATCATTATTTTCAAATGTCGCAATCACCCCCCCCCCTTTTTTTCTCTGAAGAAGCTAGCTAGCGGAACGAAAATCACTTTGATATTGCATGCTTCGATTGAACGCTGATCAGAACAAGTTTCAAGACTTTAATAATGTGTGCCACAAATCTACAGTTTTACTCGAAATTTCTACTCTTATCTGTTCGAATCTGAACGGTTTAAACTGAAAGCTTAGCAATCTTTGGTTCGATCTTACTAATTGGATAATTTATGCTTTTTAAACTTTCTATTTGAATAATTATATAGATAATATCATAGTAAAAGTATCGAAAAGAGATTGAAAATTATATTTTCGATTGAATTAAATTACTATAATTATTATTATATCGTTAAATTTTGCATAACTTCCTACCAAGCTGGTTCAGAGGAGCACCCATATCCTCATTGGTGAAAACTCTTCTCGGAAACGGAGTCAACATCTTATACGGAAGAGCCGCCCCATAATTGGTGTCGATCCAGGCACGGACCATCGCTAACTACAAAAAATTAAGAAATTGATTTTATGAAACATATCGCTTACAGGTTCTTTGGCTTTAAACTGCTGCTTGATCACTTTTCCATCAAGAAGGCGAATCTAAATAAAAATGAGAGAATTTAGCGATTATTATTGTTAGTCCTACCTGAATAGTGGTATGTTCATAGTCCTTAGGAGGTAATGGTTGGACAGGAGCCGGAGCTGGAGCTGGAGCAGCTTTGGGCGTCGCAGTTTCTCCAGAAGCAGCAGCGGCCTTTCTTGCTTCGCGATCGTGTCGAATCTGCTCCAGAATCTCTCTTTTGCGCTTCTCATCCTCAAGTTTCTCGCGTTTTCGGATTGCGGCTGCCTCCCTTTAAAAAGCGTCGCGATTAATTTCAAAACTGATTTCTCGTGATTTTACAGCATTTCTTTCTCACGTCGCTGCTCCTTGCTTATCAGCATCGCCTTCATATCGTTCTTTCGTCTCTTCTCGAGTTCACGCTTCTCCTCCTCCTCCTGTTTCTCTTTGATGGCGCGGTGTGCACGAATCTTCAAGAATGATTGACGTAATACTTCGGACAGGTTGTTCGACTAACCTTTTCCCGCAATTCTTCTACCTTTGCCTTCTTTTCCTCATCCGTCAACGGCTTTACCACCTGCAAATTTAGGGACCATTGAAAACGGCTTACAAATATTTTTTCTTCGAATACAGGAATAAAAGCAAAAAAGAGTCTCATTAAATCAGTTGTTCAATGGAATTTGAACCTTAAAAATCGATTCAAACTATGCAAAACCAAAGACAAATCAAGATTGCCCATTAATTTTGTTGTCAAGAAGCAAACAGCAATTTTTTTTGCTCCTATGTTATTTAAAGCTTGCATTTGAAAAATTTATAAAAATTACTTCGCTACTTTCGCTGAAGTCGTCGTGCTTTGTTTTGTTCGCGTGGAACATCATCCCATTCTCATCTCTGAACAACTTTCCGCATCTAAAAAAATAAATTTAACCGATTTAAATTATTACCTTCCAATTGAACTCACGTGTTACACTTGAAGCTTGCGGCTGCTTCAGTGACGACTTCTTCGCTGCTGGTAGCCGACGAAGGCGCCGGATTCGATGGCGCCGCGTTTATTGAATCGTGCGCGACAATCCATTCGATTGCCTAAATATGGAAGCTGGACTAAGTAAAATTTGAATAAAATTATCAACCCCTTCTAGTGTTTCGGAGGATTTTGCTGCTGCCTCCGCTTTTTCCTTGTCGAATCCCATCTCGATCAACTGTTCAACAACCGACATTTTTCTTTTTCTTTTCTGAAATGAAGTTTTGTGAAAATTAAGGATAAAATTTCAACGACGAGGTGACGCTAAATGAGGTAAGAAAAATGATAAAACGCATACGCGAACGCAACACGCGCCCGTATCCGCTCTCGTGACTTTTATAAATCCTATGGACCAACTATTGATATATTAAAAAAAACAATATAAAGATGAACATAGAAATGAAATATTTAATGTATTAGAAAACAGAATTATAGACATCATTTTCTTTTTTTATTTTTTATAATTGATTTTTTGAAATTCAAATAATAATAAAAAGTCATAATAAAAAAAAATACTTTCGTTACATTTTAATAAATAAAATGATACAAACATGCGTCTTTTAAGCAGGCGTGAACAAAAAAAACCGAAAAATAAATATTTCAAAAGTGGTTAAAGGCGCATCGTTTTAATTGTCAGCAATATCCTGCACGGAATTGCCGCAATATGCCGCGAAGTTTGAAATAGATTAAATTTTTAATTTTTTTGGAAATTAAAAAAAAAATTTTTAACTTTTTGGCTTTTTATCAAAAAAAACTGTTGAGATTATTAAAAAGAAAAATAAAATATTCCAGGAATGGATGAACTTGAAGATTTTTTTGGTAATGAAGAGTTTGACAGAGAAGCAAGTCCTTTCGGAGAAGAAGCTGAAGAAGGTTTTAGGAATCTATTTATCTTAAAACAATTTTTATTTTTATTTAGTTAATGAAGGACCATCGGATGAAAAGAAACTCAATGATTTATTCGAAAAAGGCATTCGAAAGCCGAAAAGAATTATGGTAATTTTTAAATGAAAAATTATTAAATCATCCCAGTCTATTTATTATTTATTAGAGAACACCGCAGTTTAAAATAATTTAAATTTTTAGATGCTCAATTTTTGAAAATTTTTTAATGAAAATGGCTCGAGAAACGCGATTTTATTGCGAAATTAAAATATATCAAGTTGATTAAAGAGGATAATTGCTTGGATCTCATGACGAATGATTCTTATTGTCGATTTGTTTTTCGGAAACAGGTAATATGAAATGATATTTACAGAATCCTCGAATAACATTCAATGAGAATATTTTGAGCGGGCCGCGCGGAATTCAATCGTTAAAAGAAACATTCAAAGATTTCAAGCCAAACCCAAAAGGAAATCCGGTAAAAGTTGTACGATTGTTTCTATAATAGGTCTTCCATTTTCAGTACGAAAACTTAAAAATTATGATGAAAAAGTACGCTCATTGGGGTCACTTGATGTTTCCGAAAGCGAAATTTGAAGATCTGATTAATCGTTGCGAGACTCTTGGTCCAAAACGTCAAGTCAAGGTTTGAAAAAGTCGGGCTTAATACTTTTATTTGTTTAATATCAGGTTTATATGGCAAAATCACGGTTAGGCATGCCGTTAACCGACGAAGATTTTCTACCAAAAACATCGAAAAGGAAAGGAAAAAATGATGAAATCATTGACGACGGAGCTGACGACGAAATTCCAGGTTTTCGTTTTATTTTGCTTCATATGATCAATAATATCACTTGTTTTCGTTGGCGGATGAACTACGAGTTTGATTGTTTCTTTAATTTAAATTTTGGCTCTCATATGGAAAAAATCTGAGTAGCCCGCCTTATTCAACATTTTCAAATTCGTCGTTGACAATCGAAAATAAAAGAATAAGTCGGGATTTAATGATTTTTTAATGGAAATGTTCAGAAAATTTTACGTTGAAGAGGCGTTTTTGGAAAACCGCCAGATTTTCAAAATTTCCCATTGTTTTCTCATTGAATTTTTTAAAAATCACTTTGAACTTTTGTAAGGTAATACAATATTAAATATTGACGAGGTTCTGAGACCGCCGAAAATTGACTACATGCCAAAAAAGTTTTAGGAGGTCTTGGTGCGCGGTGTGCACTAACCTTGTGTGTAATCACAGTCAGCAATATATATTTTTTATCTTTAGAAGAAGGACCTGATAGAAGTGCAGAAAACTCGCCGATTCGAGAAATTCGGAAGACGTCTCCCATTAAAGAAAATCCTCCAATCGATGAGAATGAAGCTTACGAATTATTTGAAGAAGCCGCCGAAAAACAATTAGAAGAAGAGCAAGACAAACTAGCTGAAATGGAAGATGACATATTGGCCGATTTCGAAATGAACAATGATTGGTGAACATATTGAGATAAATTTTCACGTTGACTAACTCGAAATAAATTCATTTTCTCTTATTTGGCATGCAAAAAGATGTCGACGAAATCTGGCTTGTCATCTTCGACTGAGCAACTTATTCCAATGCGAGTGTTCGATTCTGAATTCCTCATTATATTCTAATTTTTTTTAGTGTTTCATTGAGTATTTCTGGGAATTTTACGACGCCGCCAATCGCGGTGACCAAACATTCAGCGGTTTATAAAGTTTATTCGCAAATGTAAACCAACAATTCTGTTTCTTTTTTGAAAACTCTGACAAAAAGTTTTGCAGACACAGACGACCAGTGGCTGTCAAAATTATAAATAAAAATGCGATTCCACCAAATGATGCTGAAAAATTTCTACCAAGAGAACTGGATATTACCTTAAAAGTATTCAAAAACGCATAAATGAAATCAGTTCGAGGAACTACTGATTTTCAAGGTCCGCCATCCCCATTTGTCTCGTTGTCTTTGCATAATGCAGCCAGTGCCGTCGAAAATCGCGATTATTTCCGATTTCTATGAGCGTGGAACACTTTTGGATCTGATTTTGAAAGAAAAACGACTCAAGGGTAATTTGAATGGAAGAGTGTCTTTGTGAAAATTTGGAATTTTCTCAAGAACATCCGCTGGCGATCACGCTTTTCCGACAATTGATCGAAGGTGTGCACTATTTGCACGAAAGGAAAATTGCCCATCGAGATGTCAAATTGGAAAATATTCTTGTCGATGGAAATGGCGACATTAAGCTGACTGATTTCGGATTTGCAAGGCATATTGAGCGACGAGAAAGGTGTTTTTTTAATGAAATTGACTTCCTTGAGAAATTTCATCACGATTTTTTAAAGGTCCCGATCGTTTTGTGGAACCAAACCGTACATTTCTTCGCAGATTTCTCGATTACGCCCATACGACGCATTTGCAGCTGATTATTTTGCGTGCGGTGTGGTTTTATACACAATGGTTGTTGGCAAATGGCCGGTATTCCCACTAAACATTTCATCGAGAGTATTTATTTGAAAAGAAAATACTGTTTAGGAGTATTCGATCCATTCTCCCGTTTCTCTTTTTCCTGATGATCTTCCAACAGTTGCATGCCGGCGATTAATCATGTCTCTGTTAGAAGAGGTTATTTCATACAACAAATGTTTTTTTGCTGAAATTCAATAATTGATTAGAATGAACTTTGTCGGGCTGGTTACGATGAGTGCGTGAATTCTGAATGGATGGGAGCCCATCCGCATTGGGTGTTTGCCAATCATGCCTTCTTTTATGAACAGGTGGGGAAGTTTGTTTGAATTTTTTTCTCAATATTGATGGCAAACCACAGAAATACACTGCTTTCGATAAAATTTGAATTAAAAAATAGCCAAATCCATTAAACTGTATATTATTTGGTTTACATCAGTTTCACCAATACCTAACAAAAAATAAGTTTTTTTGATTGTACGAATCTTACGAGCCGCCTGCAACCTTCGAATTCAATGTTGAACTCAAAATACACCTAAACTGATTTTTCAGTAGAGTTCCATTTGAAATTAAGATGATAATTGAAAAATAATCCTGTAAATCATTTACAGCAAATGGTTACTACAATTGCATTCATTATCTTCTCGAAGCAGAATTCATTTTCTGGTGTAATTTTCAATATTCGTTTTAGGTTCAAGAGCCGCCTTTCGAGTTTGCCAGTGACGAATCAAGTATGGCTTTCTGAATAGAGATAAATCAGGATTAAAAATATAACATTCGAATATTAATTCTAATTTTAATAAATTTGTTTTCAACCAATTCTCGAGAACAAATATTATCAAATATCTAACCTTCGCGTCTGCAAAACGTCGTCACCGTGTTTGCGTCCGTGTTATTACAAAGCCAAATGACTCATGATTTTTTCTTGCGAAATCTTATCGTTTTGTCGTTTACCTCGCATATTTATTGTTTTAAAATCGTCATTTTGGTTGATTTGTTTTCAGGAATTGTACGTGTCGCGAATTAAGCGTCTCGTACGACCTCTACAAAAGCTTTCAAACTGGGTGCTGGCGAGAGTAGTATGGCTTTGGACAGTAAGTGTTTTTTTTTTCGCTTTTCGCAATGTTCTTTTTTTCAGAGCATTTGTTCGAGCTAAAATTTGCTGCAAAGCAATTGGAGAAAAGCGCACAAAGATGCGAGAAAGAGGAAAAAGTTGAAAAGGATAAACTGACTGCCGCTATAAAGGTGTTCCGTTAAAATCTTGAATTTGATTTGAATTATTGATTTTTTCAGAAGGGAAATAAAGAGGTGGCGCAGGTTCATGCGGAAAATGCGATTCGCAAGAAGAACGAAGCCGTTAATTATATTAAAATGGCAGCGAGAATCGATGCGGTTGCTGCTCGAGTTCAAACCGCCGCAACTCAGGTAAAAATAAATATATTTTAATTTCAACATATATTTTTTTTTTAGAAACGCGTTACTACTAGCATGAGCGGTGTTGTTAAGGCTATGGAAAGCGCAATGAAAAGCATGAATTTGGAAAAGGTAGGGAATGTTGCAAGTTTTTTGATTTTCAAATATTTCCTTCCAGGTCCAACAACTTATGGATCGGTTTGAAAGAGATTTCGAAGATCTCGATGTTACTACAAAGACGATGGAGAAGACAATGGATGGAACTACTGTATTGAATGCACCTAAATCGCAGGTTGATGCCCTTATCGCTGAAGCCGCCGATAAAGCTGGGTAAGTTAATGGAAAAAATTGATTATAATACTAATAGCGAAATATGGTAAATGACGGAGAAATATGCGGTGCTATTGATATATCAAAACTTTTATATGAATTTATTATGCTGAAGTTTAAAAAAATATCAAACGATAGAGTATCAGCATATTTTTGTTCATTGGATTAATTAATTGATAGCCCGCGCAATTTAAACTTCCCGAATTCCGTCCAGTAGTATACTTATTTAATTGAATTTTTTGTAGCCACTTTATACGTTAGATTTTAATTTATTTAAAAAAAATCCTAAATGTATTAAAAATACATGTAAATGTTTACAATAAGCCCTATAAGAAGTAAATTTTATGGTGGTATGCAAATTTTGGGAAGAAAACTCAAAATATTATTTTTTAATAGTTTCTAAACCATTTTTTGCAAAATCTGCATACTGTAGTAAGAAAATAAACTGCCGCAAAATAAGAAAAAAGAAAGTAATTTCCAAATGTTCGCTCATATTTTTTGCAGAATCGAACTCAACCAGGAATTGCCTGGAAATGTTCCAACTTCTGTTCCAGCTTCATCTCAATCGGTTTCCGAAGATACCGACCTCACATCGAGGTTGGCGGCTCTTCGCAACATGTGATCCACAATTGTTCAATTATCTTATCCCATTCTTTTTGTTTCTTCCCATTCCCATCACATCCGCATTATTAACCTCTAGAATCGTGTATATATTGGGTAAATAAAACATTGAATTTCTGAAATTCGCACATTATTTGAGAGTTTTCGAAACCTCTGCATTATTTTTTTGATCTACAAAAATTCGCCGAATCGTTTTGTTGTCGATGATGATGAGTTTTGTATTTCGCCCTTCGCCCCGCACAGATTGATTGTAATCAGTGATAAATACGGGCCGTCCGTCAATTTTCTCATTTTTCTCTGCGTCTCTTCAGCCAGACTCGTTTTTCGTTTTTGCTTCGGCCCGGCTATCTGTTCGTTTTCTCGTAGCCAACACTGGTTTTTTGTTTTGCTTTTCGATTCAAATTGTAATTATTATTAAAAAGTTAATAAAATACGGCAACAATTTTGAAGCTTTCTGCAAATCTTTAAAATTATTTGTGAAATTATTATTTTCTATTAATTTTTAAATTCAACTAATCGATATGTTCGGCATCGATAAATCATTCTTAACTAAGTAATAAAAGAAAATTGATGAAAACAAGAAGTGAAGCTTTTAAATAATTTAGTTTATCAATGATTTTGGAAATCATAAAGCAAGAATCTTCGGATTTTTGTTTTTTTTTTTCGTCATTTGCCAACAATTACCTTAATTTTTTAATAGCACGTGTAAATCTTCAACTATCTGAATAATTTCATTTAATCATTTTCATTTTTTTTATTATTATTATTTCTTTGCTGAAAATTAGATAGATTTGTAATTTGGATTCTGTAGATTAGCACACATCACAGATCACATTCTGATCTCGTCGATTTCGATTTTATTAAGTTTAGTTTGCAGGCGAAATGAGAATCCTTGTTGGAGTTAAACGAGTTGTCGATTATGCTGTCAAGGTAATATTTCCGATTTTTTCAAATAAATATTGAAATCGAGATCCGGCCTGATAAAAGAATTGCACAACTCGCATTTTCAGATCCGTGTCAAGCCAGATAAGACTGGCGTTGTGACGGAAGGAGTCCAACACAGCATGAATCCATTCGACGAGATCGCCCTCGAGGAGGCCGTCAAACTCAAAGAGAAGAAGCTCGCCAAGGAGGTCGTCGCCTTCTCTTTGGGTGGACCAAAATCCGCCGAAGTGCTCCGCACAGCTCTTGCTAAGGGAGCCGATAAGGCTATTCATGTCCAGGTAACCAACTCATATCGGGTTAGCACTCGTACTGATACGGATGCAGGTCTCAGACGCTGATGCTGCGAAGGTCGAGCCACTTCATGTTGCTCAGGCTCTTCAGAAGATTGTCGAGAAGGAGAAATTCGATGCTGTTTTTGTTGGAAAGCAAGCGATCGATGATGACGCTTCACAGGTTTGTAGATGAAAAAGAAACGAGTTTTAAAATTAATAATTAGACCGGACCGCTTCTCGCTGGACTTCTTGAATGGCCACAGGCATTGTATGCATCGAAGGTTGAGGATGGAGGTTCTGGATACCTGAAAGTGACCAGAGAGATTGATGGCGGACTTGACACCATCAAGGTCAAGCTCCCAGCTGTTCTTTCTGCTGATCTTCGTCTCAATGAGCCAAGATATGCCACTCTTCCGAACATTATGAAGGCCAAGAAGAAGCCACTTCAGAATGTTCCGATCAAAGATCTTGGTGTGGATTTGGCTCCCCAAACCACTACTCTTGAGGTTTTTCCATTTTCATGTTTTCTCTAATCGAATTCTCGCCAGGTTGCCGATCCACCGGTTCGCAAGGCTGGAGGATTCGTTGAGGATGTTCCAACTCTCATCGCGAAACTTAAAGAAAAGGGACTCGTCAAGGCGTAAATGCAGACATTCAGAAAAATTGCAATTTTTATCCCAGAAGTGTTTTAACTTATTCTATTCGTCTCTTTTTTTTTATGTGATGCAGGTATAAAGATTCTATAGATTAAAAAAAATTCATTATTTTCTATAAACTCCAACTTGTCTTATAAATTACAAAAGGGAGTAACTGGATTTTGATAAAGTTAGAAGCCGAAATGCGTTGTTGATCAACCCGTGCGAAAACTGATGAAGATAAAGCTTAAAAAAATGTAAATTTTGAGAATCGTGGATAAAAAAATACCACTTTAGTTGGTGTATTACATTGCGGACAAACAGCCGATTTTTCGGTTGTGTCGAATAAGGTGTATCGATTGGTGTAATGTGGTGTATCTTCAAAATCATTCCGCAAAATTTCCGCTGATTTCGACGATGTCATTTTAAGCATTGCGCGACTTGGCTCAATATTCAAATTCCAATGTCTTTCTTGCTCTTTTTTGTCAAGACACATCGAGATTCGTTCTTGTCGTCGACGTCGAATCATAACAGATTCGCCGTTTTCACGTCGCTCAATTAACAATTGAAGTGAATTTCTGTGATTCATCCAATATCGTAAAATACTTGCGGCCTAAAGATTTTAAAGTTTCGAAGAATTGAGACAACAATCATTCGCTACCTGATCAACAGACACTGCTCGAATCGAAATTCCATTGCATTTAAGAATTCTGTCGCCGTTTCGAAGCAGAGAAGCCTGAAAAATTCAAAATTAAAAATAATCAGTATTACTGAGGAATATATTTAAAAATGTTATGAAATATTGTCGTGGACGAACAAATTTGAGAAATTTGAATTGCGCAGGCCGCCATTTAATTGGTCCCAAAACAAAATCGGCTCATTCTTCGCTATTCGGCACTTCTACTAATAAGCGAAGTATTTTAAATTCATCAAAAATTATGCTCTTTCATATTATGATAGTTAGAAAACGTAAAATTCGCTCCTAAAAGTTTTTCCATACGAGACCCAAGGGGTCAAATCAGACAATAAAGCATTCGCACCAGGGCTGTGCGGCAATGGAATTGCCGATTGCCGAAATTGCCGAAATTGCCGATTTTTCAAATTGCCGAATTGCCGAATTGCCGAAGAGAACGTTCGATCGGCAAATTGCCGAATTGCCGAATTGCCGAAATTTTGATTTTCGGCAATTTGATATCAAAAAAAATCGGCGAAACAAAAATCAATCTCCATTGAATAATTTGAGATACCGTGAAAATTCGCTATTTATATTTCGAATTATCGTTGAAAACATTTAATAGCCGAAATTTTGATTTTCGGCAAATTGCCGAAATTTTGTTTTTCGGCAATTTGCCGAATTGCCGGATTGCCGAAATTTTGATTTTCGGCAAATTGCCGAATTGCCGAGTTGCCGAAATTTTGATTTTCGGCAATTTGCCGAATTGCCGATTTGCCGAAATTTTGATTTTCGGCAATTTGATATCAAAAAAAATCGGCGAAACAAAAATTAATCTCCATTGAATAATTTGAGATACCGTGAAAATTCGCTATTTATATTTCGAATTATCGTTGAAAACATTTAATAGCCGAAATTTTGATTTTCGGCGAATTGCCGAAATTTTGTTTTTCGGCAATTTGCCGAATTGCCGGATTGCCGAAATTTTGATTTTCGGCAAATTGCCGAATTGCCGAGTTGCCGAAATTTTGATTTTCGGCAATTTGCCGAATTGCCGAATTGCCGAAATTTCCGATTGCCGCACAGCCCTGATTCGCACCCGTCTGTCGTTGACTATACAGTAATAGCCTTGTCGAGACATGTTCTAAAATTCAGTATGCGCCTTTGATCTGAATACTGTAGAAATATTTCTGCTGGAACTCGAATACAAATCCTTCAATTTGTTTTATATCAGTTTTCTCGTTTTTTTTTGTTATAATTTATTCGTGTTTGATATTTATAGATTTCTCGATGTCATCAATACCGTCGTTCGTAAAATCCAAAGAAGACAGCGATGCAAAATGTAATTAAAAATCGTCACAGTTTTTATTTTTTTGAAAATTAGATTTAGTGCAAGATCAGAACGAAGCCGATGTGATCGAAGCCTCTCCAATACGATTAGCAACACCGATAATCAATGAACCACAATCGAAAGAATCAATTCCGAATCCACAACAGGAAAATACGAAAAAACGAGCTAATGAGGAAAATGTCCAAGTTCCAGCGAAGCGTGGGCGAGGAAGACCGAGAAAATATACGATCGAAATTGATAAAGATAAACGAAATAATATTGCAAAAAATATGGCAAATAGTAAGTCTCTAAATCTGAATGTCAAGGTACCAAAGTTTACCTAGAATATCGTGATAAATTAGAATATTATTCAGGAAAAACCTATTAGTAGCCAACCTGTTAGCCAGGAGCCAAAACAATTAAAATCGAAAAGGATTCTTCATGTTGTAAAACAACCAAATGATGAATGCTTGTACTCTGGTCGGAAATTGATTCAACAATTAATTTATCGTCGATTATTTTAGATATGATCAAAACTACTGATGAATTGTATCAAGTTGATTCGAATAGATCGTTTTTGTCTTTGAGAGAATCACCAGAAATGAAAAGAAACAGTCCCGAGAAGAATTTGAATGGCATTCGGAAAGAAAACCTTTCAAAAACTCCGGAAATTGACGAGAACACACCAGTAAAACCAATGACAAATGGTTTTTTTTTGCGAATTCGGTTCATATTTTAATTTAAAGTGTGAATTAAAGAAGAAAAAGGTGATCGAGTCGAAAAGAAAGTATATCGCGGAGCTGGTAGACCAAAAAGAGTTGATTCATCGAATCCGGAGAGAAATAAAAAGAAAAAGATGAGACAAGTGAATGGAAAACTGAAAAAGAAATCGACTAGAGCTGACGAATCCAGCGATTCAATGTCTGACGATGTAAATGAAGATACGAGCAGCTCATTTTCTGGTTTGCACCTATCTAATTAACCTAATTTAACATAATTAAATAGAAACAATTCCGCCTCCATCATTTGTGCCTGATCGCATATTTTTCACTGTCTCCAGATGCAGTAGCAACAATTCATACGTTCGCACCCCAAAGAGTAGAAGAATGGTGAAGATAATTTATTTCTAAGCTTTTCCGTTGTACATATTTATATTATTATTGTGAGTTTTATTAATCCTGTCGGAAACTGAAATTTGTATATATTTACGAGGATGTGCCTTTGAAGATGAAACGCGTTGCAAAAAAACAACATTCTGTCTGAAAATTTTTAGGAACGCGTTCCAAAGGGCTCATTTAAAGGTGCATTCGGGAAAAAAATCGCATATTTTTGACAATATTTTGATTAATAATTGAGTTGAGTTACTACGCTTTGCTTATTTTTATAGTTAATTTTTTTAAAGTTTTAGGTATGATGTCTGTGTGAATTCTGTAAAATCAAATTGTGTATTATAGCTGTCAAGTTTAAATTTTGTTTTTTTTAATCATATGATATTTTCCATCCATTTTTGCAGTAAAAGAAGCTTGAGCTTTTTTTCCCACCCACAAATATGCAAATGTCTTTCGATTTAGCATAAACGCAATTTTCCCATTGAAATATGAATCTCATTTGTGAATTTTTTGAAAAGACTCATTTTTTTGTAACAGAAAAGTATGTAAACACCGGGCCGCATATATGCACATATTTTGTGTCTTCGATTTTTTATCATTCCGTTTTTTCCTTTTTCTCATCCGCTCAATGTCAAAACAATTTCGCGTTTTCTAACGCTAGAAAAACATGTAAAAATAAAGTCGGATGCGAGATTTATGAGTGCCGACATGACGAATGCGGCCAGCCGCGATTCCCAGTTGGGGAATCGAACGTTGGAAAAAGAAAAAAAACTATGCGTCGGATATGGTAAACAAACAACGCCTACTTGCATCGACGACGGATGGACGTAGGCGATGAAGATGCCGCGCGATCGCGAGCCAACCATCCGGAACGCCATTCCATTCGGCTCGCTGACTTCGCGCCCAATATTCACCTGCAATCAATTATTACGTTTTTACGAGACCCATTCGTTTTCCCGTGTGAGAGCAATTAGAAGTGTGACGAAAAACACTCGAGCGGTGACATTTTTATGTGGAAGCAATTTCAAGTTTTTGCCGTTTTCTTTTTTTTTTTTTGACGAAACCAACAATTTCGGCTTAAATCTGCTGAAATTGAGGCCCTGCACAAATTGATTGGCGAATTTGAATTGCTGACAGACCTCAAGAATTTGCGACTTCTCAACTTCGGGCACGTCTTCGGAGAAGCTTGACGACGTCGGGATTGTCGTCGGACGCTCATCGTCGCAGTTGATCAACGCGTTATCATATGCGGACACGCTTCGCGGCACGCGCATCTGCAAAATTTGCGCGTCGATTCAAATGCAATAGTCCGTGAACACGGTGCGAGAATTTGGAGGCGCGTCGCCGGAAGACGACGATTAAGCTGTTTCGGGTGGAGCACTGCACAACAATTGTCTCGGAGCAAATCGGCGAGGGGGAGGAGAAAAGTAGAAAACACACACACACGGGGCGAAATGGAAGCACACGCAAGAGACAGATTAAGTTGGCACTCGACTCTCATCAAAAACGAGAACGACTCCTTATTTAGACGGCCAGGAAATTGATGAGAAGATGGATGAATGTGGATGGGCGTCGCAAAAAAAAAACACAAGACAATAAATGGGACTAATTATGCGCAAATTGCATCGCATATGCGCCGCTTTTTCTCAATTGTTCTTAGTCGGCAAATTGGATGAATTTTGAAGAAAAAAATACATATATATTTAACTATGTGACCGCAAATTGTCGGCAGATGAAGTTCTTGAAAATCGCACTTGATAATTGGGCAATTCAACTCAAGAATGAGCTCGATTAGAAGCGAAAAAAAAAACAAAAAGTAATGTCTAGACAATTGAATATCCTTTAGTTGCGAGTCTCGAATTTTTTTGTGTGCATTTCTACTTTAATTCGATACGGAAACCACAAAATCTGCAATGAATCAGCAAGTTTCCTTTGAAAGCAAAAAAATGTGAACGCGCTCACATCGTTTTTTGTTGTTTGGTGACCATTCATCATATTTTTCCGGTGGCATTCGCTGAATAGACATTCATATATACATGTCATAAAAGTTTGCGCGAACAATCAATTAATATTCCGCTGAAATGAAGGGGGACATGGAAACGCCAGTGAGAATGCCTACAATTCAGCGAAGGCACCTCCGCTTGTCAATGAATTTAAACGAAAATCATGTGCGGACAACTCGCGGGTTTGAAACGAGACAAAGTGCACGAAGATCAACGAGATCTCATGCATTTCGAATGCTGTTCGGCATTTTGCTCGACGACAATAGTTGCTGAGCAATTTGTGCCCAAATTTGGACACTTGGACACAAAACCGAAGGGGGCGGCGCCTCACATCAATATTTAATCACTCGTCGTTTCTTCTTCGCGTCTTCTCTTGTTTCGCCGATTAAATGGAATTCGTGCGGAATTCTTGTCGACCAATCGCTCGCTGCTAATTCGCATTCGTCGGGTTTAAGTGCAATTTGGCTCGTCGCTCGCGGTTTCCTTTTTTCTTTCTTCTCAACATCAATATCGCGTAATTCAATATTGTTCAAGTTCTCGAGTACCTTTTATTTGCACATTTTTCAAAAACCATTGCGATTTGAACCCGTAAATAATATAAGTGTTATGCAAATTTTGTAATGCTTATATACGGCCAGACGACACAAAAAATGGAGAGACGGCACACTATTATGTGTATGAAGGCCGAAAACAATTGTTGTTAACAACAACAACAACAATAGAGCCCCAAAACAATAAATTTTAGCTCAGAGCAAATTCTCAACACCAACAGTCTGACTCATTAGAGCAGATATCGATCATCATTGCTGTGTGTCCGCCGGAATCGAGCAAACGACCTCCCGCGCAACGACGCGAAAGAGTACGCGATTCGCCATGCTGGCAACAGTGGGTTGACACAAGAACGCGGTATAGGAGAGCGCGCGTTGTTGGGGAACAGAAAACGCCGACACACATGCAGAATTTATTATTGGAATAAGAAAAATCTGCAATTATTTCATGTAGGCGGATTTCACTTCACCACCAGGGCCGCGTTGAATCCCCTAAAATTGTATCAAAATTAGAACACCAAAAGAAATATTCGCTGGATACCGTTTTGCTAGTAGACGCTCCAGCTTTTGCGCCGCCGCCGCCGCCTCCAGCGATCGGACGAGCGAACACACTTGCTCCGGCTTGTGGGTTACCAAATGCCACCGATTTCACCTCATTTCCTCCTCCTCCACCAGGATATGCTCCGTAGCCGCTGCCTTGAGCTCCGCCGCCGCCGCCGCCACCTCCCATGCCAGCCGTCTTGCTGGCCGATCCGCCAACACGGCTTCCGCCGCCGCCCCCTCCGCCGCCTCCAGCGATCGGACGAGCGAACACACTTGCTCCGGCTTGTGGGTTACCAAATGCCACCGATTTCACCTCATTTCCTCCTCCTCCACCAGGATATGCTCCGTAGCCGCTGCCTTGAGCTCCGCCGCCGCCGCCGCCACCTCCCATGCCAGCCGTCTTGCTGGCCGATCCGCCAACACGGCTTCCGCCGCCGCCCCCTCCGCCGCTTCCGGCAATCGGACGGGCGAACACACTTCCACCATACTGCGGTGCACCGAATCCCACTGATTTCACTTCGTTGCCGCCGCCGCCGCCGCCGACTGCGCCGTAACCGCTTGCTCCAGAGCTTCCTCTTGCACCTCCGCCTCCTCCGCCTCCAGATGCTCCTCCAGATTTCGCGCCACCGCCACCGCCACTGCCTGCAATCGGACGGGCGAACACACTTCCACCATATTGCGGTGCTCCGAATCCAACTGACTTCACCTCATTGCCACCTCCTCCAGCTCCACCATATCCGCTGTTTCCTCCGCCGCCACCGCTGCTTCCTCCTCCTCCTCCTCCTCCAGATGACTTATAACCTCCACCACCTCCTCCGGCAATCGAACGCGCAAAAACGCTTCCTCCAAACTGTTGAGCTCCAAATCCGACCGATTTCACCTCATTTCCACCATAAGCTCCTCCGTATTGAGGATCGGATCCTCCAGCTTTTCCCGCTCCACCGCCACCCTCTAAACGATTGAATTTCTTTCTATTCTTCCTAGTTTGACAAACTCGGTTGCGCCGAAGCGAATTGGCTTCCTCCAAATTGCGGAGCTCCGAATCCGACCGATCTGATTTCAGGCTTCTCACCAGGAGCTCCACTAGTCGAGCCGGCCGGCTCGTTGCCGCCACCAACTTTGGCGACCTGCTCTTCAATATGCTGCGCCGCTTGTCCAGTGACTTTGGCCTGCGCTTGCACCTGAGCCTTCTCAAGAGCCTCGGTCGTCGCCGGCGTCATCGTCGTCTTCTTGAGCGCTTCATTCTGGTTCTCGCCGTTCGCGACGAACACCATCTCGCGATTGTTGCCGATGACTACCTTTCCAAGAATCTTCGCGTCTTTCGGAGTTTCGCCGGGCTTCGCAGCCGTCGCTTTGCCCTCGTTGTTAACGAAAATATCGGCGACAACGTCACCGGCCTTGGCGTTCTCTGGCGGCGTCGTCGGCAACACGCCGGCATCTAAAATCCGAAATTGAATCCAATCCGATCCAATCGACTGCAAACCTTTTCCGCCACCAAGATCTTTTCCGGCCACTTGAACAAATTGGATCTCGTCGTCGACTTTGATTATAATTCCAGCGGCCGTTTCTCGATCCTTTGGCTGCTGATTGTTCACTTTGAACACTGGCAATCCGTTGTCAGCAACATCCGCTTGAACAACGACAACCACTGAATTCCCCCCATCATCATTAAGAATCATGATCTAACTAATCCTACTATCTTTGGTTCCAACTTTCTCGAGGATCTTTTGATCTACCACATCGGAGATATTGCTTTTCGCAACCGATGTCGTATTTTTGCCATCCATCTGGAAAGCGAGAATCGAATTAATTGAGATTCAATTGAAGAGACAAAAAAAACCTTCGCGGCTCCCATATTATTCGGCACAAATACTTCTTTATCATTCACAAGCACCAATTCTCCTTCGATATAATTATCGAATCGCAATTTGTGACTTTTGGTGAGACGATCATTCGGAATAAATTGTGGAATGTCTTAAAAAATCGATCGAATCAATTCGACGATGAACGAAACACAATTTACTTCCCGGGCCGCGAACGAGAATGCCTTTGACGTGATTCAGCTTTTTCGCCTTCGGTCCCGCCTTGTCGTTGTTCTTCGGATTGACGTTGACGATCACCGGTGCACCGCCGACACCCTAAGAAGCAACGATCGCTCGAGCTCATCAATCTCGAAGACGACAAGGTCAGACTCACCGGCGTCATCACACAATCGGGCGTATAAGCTCCATCGATCTTCTCTTCCTCGTCTTCGTCGTCTTCAATATGCCGAAGGGCTCCAACCTTTCTAAATTCGATGTGAATCATCAGCGATCATGCGATTCAATATCATACTCGCGATCCGAAGCGTCATCTTGGACTTCTCCGTCCTTCGACGCCTTCTTCGATCGCTTCCGCTTCTTCTTATGCGCCGCGCATCGTTTGACCTTTCCGTTCGTCCTCGTGCATTTATCGCAGAGGATGTTCGTGACCAGCAGGTACTCGTTGCCGCCGACCTCGACACGATAGACGCCGAAGCCGTCTTGCAGCTGAAAGTTTTCCGGCAAATCGCCGGACTTCTTTTTCGCGTCGATCTCGTCGTTTTTGAGAAGCGTGCCGAGACCCTTCAATCGAATGCGCCTTTAATGCATCGTCCGTCCGTTTTCTCGATACCTTATCAATCATCGCGGCGAGTTCCGCTTGCGTTAGAGTCTTCCCATCTTTTGACATTTGTTCTCCAAAGTTTTCAACTCTGCACACATCCATATTTGGTGGTTTCAATTCAATTCAACTACTTACTCTGAAGCAGATCACTATGAGAAGAATCAGTTAAAATAGTGGCGATTTGTTGAATTGGAGATGAGAGCATCACGTCATTTGTTTTCTTGTTTTTTTGTGCTCAAAGAAAAATATGAATTATTTATTTAAAAAGAAATGATATCCCGGGTACTCAAAAAATTAGGATAACTGAAAAACTCGTGTGAAAATTTAAAAAAAAAACGATAAAAAGAATCATGAAGGGTCTCAAGTGGAACATGGATTGATTTGATCACAGTGACAAGACAAGACAAAATGAATCAAAGGTTGAGAGAGAGAGAGAGCGAGAGAAAATGAAATATGAATTTGAGCAAGATTCGACTAGAAGTTACGGTATAAAAAAAACATTTGTGAAAGCACCAAATAAAACACAGAAGGAGAGAGAGTTGTTCAAATGTATTGGGGCGTCTCTTGACCAGTCAAAAGTCGGAACATTGAGGTCGGCATGGTTTTCATATGGATCTCGCCGACTGCTGTTGCAAGCATGTTCACGATTCTGCAAAAAAATACATTGATTGTGATTCTCCGGTAATATTTTTCGAATCAAATTCGACAAATTTCGGCTCTGATCGGTTGAGGTTCAAAATTTTTCGTATCGGCTTCGAAAAAAAAGGGCATTTAACAATCGAATACGCCCAGATTCGAAAAAAATACGACGATTTTCGAATCTAGGCCGGTCAATTTAATTGAGCCGAATTTTTCCGTATACGATTCGAAACGAATTTCCAGAGTTCAGCACATTTTTTTTCGTTAGAACACTTTAATGATTATTTGATTTCATAAAAAAACAATGATTACCTATCATGTGCAACTGCCACCACCGATGTTCCATTGATCTCAATTATCCGATGCCCAACCCGAATGCCGCCGCGTTCCGCGATTCCACCTGAAATTCAATCGATCAAATGCGTTCGCAACAATCTCAATGATACCTCGAAGAAGCGAGCAAATCACCCCATTCTGCACCGAGAATCCTAATTGGTATTTCGTGTCAGGACGCCGAATGCGAACCTCGACGACTGGCGGTGTCGAGACGACTGTCATTCGAACTGCCGTCGCGGTTCTGAATGTCGGAATATTTCGAAGCGTCTGCTGAGATTTTCAAATTACTTGACGTTTTTGATTTGCGTCTGCGCCGCTGACAACGGCAATCCGACGAGCGAAATTCCGTTGATATTGATGATTTGATCGCCAATATTCAATTTGTTCGAATGCGCTGCGGGACCCGTTGGATTCATATGGGCCAGGACTACGGTCGGAAGCATCGAACCCCAGCCGGATTCGACGACAACGATTCCCAATGGTTCGCCGCTCTTCTTTGGAATCACCACCTCCTTTTGAGTTTCTTTTTTAGCGAACATTTCAAGTTCATCACCGAGGAGTTCTTGTGAATTCAGCACTTCCTGGAAATGTCTGGTTCGAGAAATCATACAAATATTTTTTTTAGTTTGCCTGATAATCGATTTGCCTTAAATATGAGGGATCATCGATTCCATTCGCACGAAGAAATTCGACATAAGCGACTTGGAAGGCCTGTCCGATCGACTGAGCAATGAAGGAGGCCTCGTCGGATTCGAACACATGGCAAATGACTTTCGGAGTCTTGCGAACACCGTTTTCACTGAGATCAACATTAGAAAAACGATTTCCAAAATTTGCCTTACTTTTCATTGCAAGATTCATCCGAGTGACTCGTCGACATTCGGCGAGCCATTAGGACCACAAGGTCCCCAATATCCGCAATATAGCTTATGGTCCGTAACGCATGGTCCATGAGAATATCTTGCCGAACATCGGTGTCTGATATCCTCTGAAAACGGACGCATCGAATCGGATGATTTTTGCGAGAACAAACTTGTAAATCCGTATTCAAAACCATTATTTTTTCTGTGGAAATGAACAAGTCGATTTCCGTCGACGGCTGCACATCTCCTTCAGGCGCCTTGACTCGAGCAACAGCCTCTTGCGCCTGAGCCATTCGAGCAGCTTTCGAGCCGCGACTCTCGCAAAGCATTTGGGTTGATCCAAGATATCTTGCACGGAAGAGAACGCCCTCGATGAGAACTGCAGGTTCGTGTACAAGAGCTGCAAAAATAAGTGGTGATTGTACGGAAATTTAGAGGAATCGATAATGTGGGGGAAATGGAAAAAAATGGCGGGGAGGGAGAGTTTCAAATAATCGAAAAAGCTTCGTCAAAAAAAATAGGACAGCAAATTAAATTTACACTTTAGCCTTATTCATTTGAGAACTAAATGGTTAAGCTTCTAATTAATTAATCAGTAGAGATGTCCGAAAAAGGGAATTAATAGAGCAAATAATTTTGCTTTGCACAAACGACGAAATTCATAAGTTGATTGTTGCGGACATATCACCGATTAAATTCTTCGAAATTCTGAAATATTAGAGTCTCACAACATGTTTAAGGAAACAAAAATTGAAAGTCGCAATGATTCTTTAATAAAAAATAGGCAATCAGTAAAAAAAACTAAAAAAAAAGAAATCAAACTAAATCACACAACTCGTGCACAAGAAAAGCGAACGGAAATGAAGAAAACTTGTACTCACCACATTATTCATTCAAATTGCCGCCGCCATTTCGCCGACGAGATGCGCGGTGCAAAATTAATTTCAATTATGTTTGCTTATGCTAACTATGCAATGCATTCTACTATGTACATATGTGGAATGATGATTGGTGTTGATTAACAAAATTCGAGATGTTAGAGGACAAATTCATGCTTTTTTTAAAAATAATTTTTCGATTCGAAAATCAAATTAAAATTTTGAAAAAAAAAACATTTAAATTTCGAACATTTCAAATTTTGAAATGTTTAATTTTAGCCTTGTTTGATAATTTTGAAAAGCCTAATTACCTTCTTTGCTATTTTTCTTCTTATCAATCGACGTTCGATCCATCGTCGATTTCGTCACTCCCTCTCCTCCATTCAACAATCGGTCCGTCTCCTGCTCTTCCTCGTCAACATTACCGTTTTCGGCGGCTTCCTGCGCTGCCGTCGCCGCCTCGTGCCAGCTCATTTCCTGAATACCCAATTGATTTCGATGGTCCCCGCATTTGAGAATGACACTAAAACCTCTTCGGCTGAATTGCGCTGCTCTCGCTGCATTTTCTTGAGATACGAATCGCGAAGCACCCAAACCGGATCATTCGGATCACTTCCATTCGGCGCTTGTGGATTCGCACCCGTCGTCGTTGTTGAGCTCGATGAGCCATTCTCCTTGTTGTCCTCGGCTGGCCAGCCACCCTGAAATTTAGACAATGCGGGATTACGGAGAGAAGTCGACAATTACCGAGCTTGACTTCCTCGCGATCGGATGAGCCGGAGGAGGTGGTGGAGCAATTCCGGATGTGCATGCAGCTTGTTGAGCAATCTGTTGCTGCGCGAACACCGCCGCCAGTTGATCCGGGGTGAAATGGTGTGAGGCTTGCTGCTGAGCGGCACCAATTGGCTGTTGGATGAAGCTTGGATTAAGTTGAGGCGCGAACGGATTCGTGCCATTCGTGACAAATCCGGTTCCCTGTGGTTGCATGAAGTGCTGTTGCTGCGGCATCATGGCAAATTGTGGGGCCGTCGAAAACGCAGACTGTTGAGGCATCTGTAAATTAATAATGGATTTTAAGAAATGATTCTTTATATGGTTTTATTTGCGGATAATTTCACATTCCTTCATAATTATTTAAATTTTCGGACGACTATTTCTCGAATAATCTTTTATTCTTTTTTATAATCTGTTATTTAAACATCTTGGCGAACCATGCGAGAGGAAAAAAAAGAATTCTTTAACAATAATGAATTAACCAGGGATGCGTGTGCGTTGAATCGTAGTGCAACTCTCTCAACTATAAATCCTCCATAAATTAGCACGAGAGTTGGGCGGAATTCCGCGTTTTCAAACTTTTCCTCAAACCCAGATTAGCACTTTAGCATTTATACTATTTTTAATTTAATGCGATTAATTCGTCAAATTTAAATATCAAATCTTCAAAATTTTCTCTCCAATAGATTTCATATCCTTTGAAAATTCCCTACCGTAACTCCAATGGGAAATGCATTTTGCGGCGAAAATGGATTCGAGTTGGCAACGAACTGAAACGGAGCCGATTGTTGGACCTGGTGCAGCTCCTGTGGCAACTGCTGCGGCTTCTCCTCGTTGAGATTGAAAGAGCTTCTCAGTTGGTTCAGCGATTCCTTAACAACCGCCGGTTTGTCCGCAGATGTGCTCGGCGCCGTATAAGGAAGTGCGCTCTGCAAATGGACTGGTTGATTGCTGATTAAAAACAATCGTTTCAGGTTTAATAAGTCACAACAAGAATAAAGGTCCATTTTGGGTCAAAGGGCACAAAAACGCAAGCAAATTGTAGAGAAGGGACCAAAAACCAACACAGAACAATCACTCCACTCAAGAACAACCTTATCGTCAACTGAGAAATGAGCAAAAGCGTCAGAATCCGCTCCAGCTGTCGTTGGTCCGATAAGCTCGGCGAGCTCGCGATCGTCGATCTGTACTAGTGAATTGAGCATTTTGAAACAGAAACAGTTAGTGCTATTGATTATCCCCCAACATTTAAAGGCGCATAGAAAATGTTTTGAATTATTAAAAATCATTGACTAACATAATAATATCGATTGCGCGATGTTAGAAAATAAGGCATCAAGCGGAATACGAAAATGATTAGTTACGATAGCAGTAATTCAGATATGTGAGAGAATAAAGGAGAGACTAGAATAAAGTATGCGCCTTTAAACCTGAGGACCATTTCCCATTTATTCCCCCAAAAGTGCAAAAGAAGTAAAAGAGAATTGGCATAAATAATTTCTAGACAGGTGCAAATTAAGAATAGGGAAAAGGAGAAGTCAGGAGGTACTTTGAGAAGTTTCAAGAACACGCTGAAAAAATATAATCGGAAACAAATATATTCTGGTTTTGGCGAAAAATTGCCATTAAAATTATTGAGTGTGTTTTTTTTCTACATTAAATATTTTAAATTGCAAAAATAAAGTTGCAGCGAACCTGTTTGATATTTTTATTCTGCGATCGCCTTGTGATCTCCTTCTCGATTTCGCTCATCTGCTTCCGAATAAGACTGTCCGTCCGATCACTCGACGATTCGCCGGACATCTTTCGCTTCTCATCCCCATCCGATTTCTCATTCATCGTAGGTTTCTGCAAAAAAAAAACGAAAAAATTTCGAGAATATGCAATTATTTTTATTATTGCCGCATTTTTCGTCAATTTCATTTTTTTTTCTTGAATAAATGACTCGCTTGGGACGCGAAAAACAGCCGACTATATTCGGCAATATTCACCCCCGTCTTTTTTTTCTCTCTCTCTTCAATTCCGTGCACAAGACGCCTAAATTGTCGATGTGCCGCCATCTCGATTACCATAATTAGTATGTTTAGGACGAGAATGGCAATTGCACTTTTTTTCGGCAACAACATTTTCGGAAAACGCGAACCTCGGACCCCTGCTCTTTTGAATCTTTGATCACATCTCCAATTATCTCAGCAATTGGCTCCTTATTCTGCTCGAGCTCATTGACTTCATCAACTCGATCGAACAAATCCGGACTGCCTGCAAATGTTTCATTCTTCATTGGTCCCCTTGTTTTCATTTTTGGGAGACATTGATTATAAATTCAACAGAAATGCGCGGTTTGCGGCAAAATCATGCCATTCATTTTATATCGGCTCGGCTCATCTATTATATGTATAAGGAAACGCGGCGGACAGCGAGTGCAGCGTCATTGCGCGGACCCTTTTAATTATGTGCCATTTCAGGCGTCTTTTTTGCAATTATTCATCGAAATGAGAAAGGTGCGAGACCCCCATGAATTATTTATAAGCTCGACGATATTTCAAACTGACATCCTCAAAGGGTTATTACGTTCTCCCACAAAAGCAACGAGAGATTTCTACTCTAAACATATCCTACTAAACTTCTAAGCCTTTATTTAATCTGATGATCAAATAATCGCTCTTGCTCATAATTTGTCGAGTTAAACGTTGTTCTATTTTGTATCAATGTGTTCGACAAAATTTTCTAATTTTCGCTGCCATTTCCTGTCAAGGTCAACTCTCGAAAATGGCTCATTCATTGCGTGTTTGGTGCACTGAAATGAAATTAATATCCCCTCAAGTAATATCGAGATCATGTGGACAATTAGTGTCGAACACTTTTCGAAACGCGCAGCTGGAGAAGACGAGCAGAGCCCGTTGGCCGACGAGCCGGTCGTTTGGTCGAGCTGCTGCGAGCCGCGCACGCGCTCGCTGTCCATCATCAGATGCTCTCGTGTTTCAGTTTGCGCACTTGTCAACGCGAAAATGTATCAAAACCCTCCTAGTGGTGAACAAGTTGCGGCCGCCAAAACACATTCACGAAATTCCGGCAGAGTCGGAACGCAAAAGAGAATGCGAGAAACGGTGGAATGGGATAATGCAATAATCACGGAAAAAAAACATGCAATTCTTTTGTTGAAATGAAATCGAACAGAGTGCATTTTTGCGCGGGAAAGCTGAAGTTTAGATGGAGAAAAAAAAAATCGAATGAAAATTAAAATTGAAGTACTGTAGAACAAAAAGTACGTAAACATCGCTACGAGAAAAGTCACACTTATATATTTTTTTTTCAAAATATTCCGTTTCTGGTAGCAATTATTTAAATATCATAAGCGCTTTCTGAAAAATGTCGCGTAGATATATGGCGCTGAGCAATTTTTCATTCGAAATTGTTGTTTATTTACAGAACGAGCGCCGCGCACCTATTATTTATGGATACATGCATCGCAGTGGTTTTAACTACAATGACTAATGGCTAGGATTATGTACGAACCTTGGTCTGTGGTTGTTGATGAACACGCAATTTCTGTCGGTAATTTCTCGTCCTTAAATGTTTCAGCATCATTGCCAACCTAAAAACATATAATCATCATAATTCAGTTATCCACTTAATGTCATCGAGAGCAGATGACTCTTCGAAAGACGACGAACCTCTCGATGATTTGGTGACACATTCGATGTCACACTACCAGCTGTCCGACGGCCGTCGTCTTCGGATTTGTGCGATGATGAGCACTGAAATGACCGTTGTTATCCGATAATATTTTTGCGCATCCGGCAGAAGTGATTTTTGAGCCCAAAACACGGATTTTTCAAAATTAAATTTTTGGATAATTCTCGTTGTGATTTTTATTGTCGATTACTACAATTTTATGGGAAGAAATAGAAAAAAAGCATAAAACGGCAATAATTGCGGAAAGCGTAGACGCAATAATTTCGCTCATTATTCTGACGTCGCTTTTTAGTTATTATACAACTGTAGTCGATCGCCAAACAATAACCAATAAAAGAACCAGACAATATTCACCTGTGATGATGGCCTCGGCTGATGATTATTCAGGAACGCAGCCGTCGTTGCTGGTTGGAATTGCATCGGAAATGGTATCGGGAACTGGGCCCCACTAGCCGCCATCATCTGCTGGAGGTAGTGCTGCATCATTTCCTGATATTGCGCCGGCGCAATCATCATCGGCATCGGAGCCGCCTGAGTCGTCGGTTGGCCGTCTTTTATGCTCTCCGCTGATTGGCCGCCGTTTTGCCACGAATTCATGTCGGCAGCCGCCATGTATGGATTCATAAATGGATTGGCGAAAAAGTGAGCGCCGGGCGGAATCATTTCTAAAGAAGAAAAGTTAATTCATGTTTTGAATTCGGCCCCAATTTGATATTTCTTTTGGTATTCAAAGTGAAAATCCAAACTTTTGTTGCGTTTTTCTCCAGAATTTTGTTTCGAAACATGAATAAAATGAGACATTTCGAAATATGGCAATGATTCGTCATAGAAAAAAAAACAACACAACACAACAAAAATGTGAGTGGGGGTAACATACGGAATGGCACTTGTTGCTGGTCGCCGCCGCCGCTCATTTGTGGAGTCGTCGAATTTGGAATGCCGGCAGCCGTCGCCGTTGGCGGAGGCGTGGCCGACGCGGAGGTCGTCGCCGTGTGCTCCGGCGAAGACGACATATCGACCTGTAAGCTCGCAGATGGGATGATGAGCATCGTAAAATCGGCGAAGACGAAAGAACACGACGGGGAGGCGGAGAAAAGGACGAGATGGACGGCGACAAAAATAATTAAGAATTCCTATTTGGAAAATGGAAAAATGCGCACGGCCGGCGCAAACCCTATTAAATTATTTTTGATACTAAAATAGGAGCGCACAAAACGTTTTTCATTAAAGGTTCGAATCAGCGACATCTTTTGACTTTAAAAAAAAACATGGAATCAACTGTTTTTTGGTTTGCAACAAGCCGAGAACAAGAGAAACAAGAAAGAAAATGTGGAACTCAACGGCGAAAAAATTAATCCAAGAAAAAATGAGAAATGTTGTGCAAACATGTGTCTTACATCTAATCCCACCCACTTTCTTCGTCTTCTTATTCAAATTGGTCACGAAAAAAAAAGGAAAGTTTTTCCGTGTTGACGGGAAATCCGCGAAACGAGTAAGTAAGCTCGTGTGCTCTCGGGCGACCATATTCTAATTAGAACATCCGATTTTCATGGAATTTCGCCGCAATTCGGCATTGATTATGCAAATTCAACCTGGGGAAAAACGAGGAAGAATGTCTCAAAATCGCCATTCTCATCTGGATATCTAATTTCGGGCGTCGAAACGTGACAGCTCTTGAAACCGAAGCACTTTTGCGCTAATTTTTGCAAGCTGTCGGCTAGCGAAAAAAAAAATCAAGTTTGAGAAAAATTTGAAGGAGGGACTGGTAGGTTTTAAGACTAGAAGCAGAAGCCAACATGTGAAATTTCGACACACCGATTGAAAGTGTTTCATATACGTTAGTCATTTTTAAAGGCACATCAGTAATTGAGAATGAATGTGTCGTTTCAAAAAAAATTGAGCCTAATATTTACAGCGTTTGACAGAAATAGTCCACAGATGGTGAGAAAAAGAGATTTGCGGGAGTATAAAAATGCAACACACGCAGAAAGAGAAAAATGTGAGCCATAAAATGTGGATGTGTTCTTTTTCTCTTTTTTTTTAGGCGGCACAAAATCCACATAAAACGAGCGTTTTGTGGAAACCACCCAAAAAAAAAAGAATGAGGCACAACATTCCCTAGATGGAAATGATTGATTTCTAAAACATATGCGAAATTCAATAATTGACTGAGCGAATGAATAAGAGTAATCGAAGGAGAAGAAATTTTGTTTGAAAATTCAAAGCAAAGTCAAGAGGATTTGTGTGAGAGAATGACGCATCGTTTTTATTCATTCATAAAATCGTCTCCATTCGCATTTTTCCCATCGATGAATACATATAATATAAATAATTCGCGAGTACGAGACCATTCTAGTTTTTGATTTTCTTCTTCTTTTTTGTTCAATAATTCATTGGTATTTGGCACATTCGAGCATTTACATCAAATAGGTGTCAATCACGCCGGCCGTCTACAACTCATCATGTTTTGCATGCAATCGAATGAATGACGTGACCTAGAAATTTCTAGGCCATGTGTGGATTTTCCGAGAGAATAAGCGCCCAATAATCAAACATCCATTCCGTTTTACACATCATTCAAAATGTCGATGAAACTGATGAATTAATGAAAATTATGGAAAATAGAAATGTTGCTAATTTTGTGGGAAAATTTATGAAAACACTATGGCATATCAAAACCAATCTGAATCGAATTACAAACTCGATAAGCGGATGCATTGAATTTCGAGTCGGATGCGAAAAAAAATAGAAAAAAAGAACAAATCGGATCAGACAATTTTACAATTTTATCCATAGAATTGCTAGTGGGATCGAGTAGATTCTCTGGTAGCTCAAAACCAATCGGATCCGACAAAATTCGGCTCCAGAATCAACCCGATCCGATAGGTAATTCTACGGATCAGATTGTAAAACTATCGGATCCGATTGGTTTTGAGTTATGAGGGAAATGAAAATTATCAAAAATTACATTCTGCAGGTGCTCGATTTCGACATTTTTTAAAAGAGAAACTGAAATTTAAAAAAAAATGAAATCGGTCATTTTTCGCCGATAAAATTTGTGTGCGGCAAAAAATTGTCCGATTTGTGATGATGAAACCGACTGGAGATGAACATGAAACGTTCAAAAGAAAACTAAATTGCGAACAAAATTAGAATCAATCATTGGTGGCGCACGAACGATCATAAATTCGAGGTTATGCGAGATAAATGATAAGGTCGGAGGGCGGCGAATTCGATCGAATCGAACGACAAAACACAATACATTACGAATCTTGTTTGCACTTGGCCAATTTTTTTTATGAATTAAACAAGTGAAATGGAATCGAACAAAATCAATAAAATCGAGAACGACGGCTGCTAAAATAAAACGAATTGGCGGGTTCATAGTGCATTACACACACCACCTCGAATCGGTGTGTGTGTGTGGCTCATTAATCATATTACAACCGCAGCACACCGTCGACTCTCTCGTCGGTGGCGATTCGAAATCTTGTCGGCAAGCAAAAAAAAATCCATAAAGAATGATGGAATGCGAAATTGAAAATTGGCGACGACGAGCACGAGCCCCTAGTGCTGCTGCTGCTGCTGCTCAACACATACATACATGTAGGCACACTCTGTGTCTCGTTCTAGTAGCGCGCAAAAGCAAGAAGGAAAAATGCAGCAATGAAAATAGGCATGGCGAGCGGATGGCAGGCAGTGCTTAGATCGCGACACTCAAACTCTAACCGCCTGCGTCTCGTCGTAGTCGGTTCCTCTGCGTCGCTGACCTCCGCTGCTCGCCGCAATCAGGGTGTGCAGTGTTGTTCGAACTTGAGGTTCCTCTCCCATCGGACCTTCCTCCCCCCCCCCCAAACCCTACCACAGACACACACACACACACGCAAATAAGCAGACGCCCATGACCCGTCAACCCTAACGAATAGATTAACGCTTTTGTCTTGTGTTTTCACAACATTTGATACATGTATTACCACCACCGCGGTTGGGTAATCTGACATTGAAAGTTCTCGAAATCGACGACTAGACAACCCACCCAACTGGTTCTCCTTTTTTTTTCCGCGTAGATCTCTCTCAACTTTCATTTGAAACACAATAATTTAATGGAGAGGAATCGGCGAGTAGATCATCATTAAATATCCCCTATTACGGCACATTCGGAACAGTACAGTAATCTCGATGAACTACTGTTACAGTAATACTATTAATCCTGAAATGCTTGGTGAAATCTCGAAATGAATGAATAAGAAGTGATGAACTCGAACAATGTCCGCAGCATTGAATGTGCTCAATTTCAAAGTTGAGAAATATTGAAAATTTTCGTGGTGAATACGAATTTGAGAAATTCGAAGTGAGCGAGCTTTTGACTTGTTTGGGATTTGAAAAAGCACTTGAAGTCATAAAACGCTTGATATTTTATTAGAAAAACAAAAATGCTCGAGAGTCGTTCTATACGAGACCCAATTCGCCATACAAACATTTTTTCGGAGTCAATTCGGAATCAGTTCGGGAAATTAACAACTCGACTGACACAGGAAATTAATGGAAATGCCAGTTATTTTAAACATTGATTATTTATCAAAAAATTTCGTTAAAAAAAAAACAATGTTTCCGAAATAAAGTTATTTTTCAGACATCTTTGTCACTGATTACTTTAATTTTGATTTTTAATTTCTCGCAAAGAAAATTAATCGGTTTCAAAAATAATTTAAATTTCTATCGATATCGAATATAAATCAATCAGTTTCGAAGAACTCGAGCATTTTGTGCTCGAGAACCACCAGACCACGCCCATCGGGCTTTCAAGCCGAACAAGCGAATATGGTTTATTTTATAAGTTTTATCTTGTACAGTGCGCGTCATACGCCACCCCCAAATTTCACAGTTTTGAGAAAACCATATAAATTGGTGACAAGACAATCTCATTTTTGAATTCAGGACCATTGAAAACTTATATGTGCGTATTTTCATAAGGGTCCGTTGATTCGTATCCGCGCAGCCCAAGAAAGTTGGATTTTCAAGCGCCCTCTATTTATTGTCTTTTCTTTCGGCATTTTTGCATTTCTTTTGCTGATTTTTAGCATAAAACCACTTAAATAATAAAGTCGTCTGTCACAGATTTCAATCGAATTCGACTTTACCATGGAAAATGAGAAATCGATGGATTTCGAAGACTTTTTCGATTTGGCCAAATTTTGATTTATCCGAGTAAAATTATTCAATTAAATTGAAATCGATGAAATGCAATAAGAAAAATTCGAATATAGACATTTATCAGAAATTGAATCAATTTCGGACAACTGTTTCGCAAAAAATAAACCAGCACCTTGAATAATTGTGGACCATCGAATTTTTTTTCAGAGTGATAGTTCAAATATGAATTTTCCAGTTTTTCTCGAATTTCAATTTTATAGAAATTAGAAATTCTGAAAAAAAGACCTCAGTCTTTCGCTAAGGTCTTTTCGCCTTAGCGAACGGCGCATTAGTCGCCGCAGGCCAACTATCGAATTAAATTCGCAAAAAAAAACGAGCTCCCCTGTGTAGATTTACGGTGGGTTTGATTCGCAGGTTATCCAGAGTACGGTACCCCCCCCTCCCCCACAACTTGAATTCAAATTGACGCTTTCTTTCCACCCCCCCACAGCTTAAATTCAAATTTGAATTACCGCTTCGAAAAACTGCGATGGTCCGATGGTCCACACTTAGCCGAGGTGCTCGTTTTTTTTTGCGATCATAATACATAATTTACTAGCCGAGATTTCAAAAACGAAATCATCAAAAACAGTTTTTACTCCAGCGCTGAAAAAAAAAGAATCGTAGTCTTTTTCCTGTGAGTTGAATTCATAAAGGAAAACTATCTGAGAATTTCGAAAGAGACTGAAATGCAAGTTCAATTTCGGACCCCTATGCGTCGTTTTTCTGAAATACGAGACTGTTACCATAATATTATCATGGTTTCAGAGTATTATTCTGAAAATTTCAAAAAAAAAGGGATCGATGCGCCACCGACCTCTCAAATGAGGTCCCTCAAATATTGGGACACCCATTG